AACTTGGTAGAGGTGAAGAAACTCGCAGATTTGGTTGCAGCTATCCGTGTGCGTTTCAAAGAACTTCAAAATTCATGGCCCGAGCACTCTACTCTTTCAGATGTTATTCACTGTTGCTCCGAGATCTTCCAATTCAGACACCAAGAACCGCTTGCTAAATTTATAACCAAGGCGGAGAAACTTCATTCATTTATTTATGAGTGGCAGACTGTCGCAAGTAAAGCATTCTCTGCCGCTCAATGCTACGACAATTTAACAGCCCTTCTCATAAATTGGCGGCGCATTGAATTATCCACTTGGGCTCGCCTTTTGGACATAGAAGATGAGAAATGCAGCGAGGATGCGAGTGCATGGTGGTTTGTTGCGTATGATGTGATAATTGCGGCCCCATTACGGCTAGTACAAGACGGACAGCCATTAACTGAACACTCCGTTGAACTGATCGCTACCCTCGAGAGATTCATTTGCTCCACCCCAATGGGTCAATACAAGTTTAGGCTGCAACTTGTTGCAAAATTCAAAATGCTACTGCATCTCTATGCTACGGACTTCCCCCCTCTAGAACAACTAAGTGGTGCGATTGACAACCTACTTCACCACTACCTCCCGTTTGTGTCTATTTTTGAAAAATCACTTGGTGACGGCAGACAAGCACTGGAACGCGACATCCAGCAAACTATTCAGCTGGCAAGCTGGAAGGACGTTAACATCACTGCTCTCAGAGAGAGTGCACGTCGTTCTCATAACAAATTGTTCAGGGTTGTGAAAAAGTATCGCAGTCTTCTAGGGCAATCCTCGGAAGGCCTGTTCATGAAGGGACTCTCCTGCCCTCCGGATACAATAGAATCATTGCCGGATAAATGTATCGCACTACCCGATCGTGTTTCCTCCACTGCCCTCCGCGTATGCCGTGAAAATGTTCACGCATGGGGCCAGCGACCCATTCGATTTACGGACCCGGATGGCGCAGTCAAGAGCATGCAACGTGTGTATGAGAACTCTCTAACAGGATTATTGGCCCACGAGGAGCTCGATGCGTTCATGCGCGACATAATTGACACCATCGCCGAATTTAAATCCCGAACCCCAAAGACCCTAACCGAAGACAACCAGCACGATGTTCAGCATCTCAAAGGCCAAAAGCGGCGGTTCTATGCAGAAAAACTCAAAGACCTTCGCTTCATGGGCATCCGTTCTAATGTTGGGACTACCATTCTTGAAAGTCAACAATCTGTCGCTGCGGTCCTTTCAACGACACGCCCTCTCACGGCGCATGTTGATTCTGTCCATATTAAGAGCGCAGACTCTTACTTTCATCGATTTTTGGATTTGGTGCCTCGTGTCCGCATTTCCTCGCACGAGTACTCTGAAGACCTTAGCAATGTTGAGGTTGCTAGAAGCGCGGGATTTATTGAAGGTCTTCTTCATTGGGCATTGAAACAAAGGGAAACTCTATCATGGAGGATGGATAACTTTATTGCTCTCGAATCCACGATGCAACAAATGAGGAATGTATCTGATCTTAGTAGCTCCCTGTTGTACAGTAACAGCTATCTCCCATCCAGCCGTCGTGATCTCCGAGGAACGCTTCGGTGGCTTTCCACTATCCTTGGTGTCTGTGGTTCAACTCTTCAAATCCACCGAAATTTTGCCGGAATTGATTCGTCGGAAGTGCTAGGGGCATTGGATGATTGGAAAACCCGCTTGAACACGCTACTTATCTCAATCGAAAATCTAAAAACTCTACCTCCAGGATTATCTACTAGCACTCACGAAAATCTATTTTCGAGCGTTCAGACGTTGGTTTCAGATATACGATCCGATGTACTAAAACGGATTGATGAGCATCCTGAGTTGACCTTCGCTCTGGAACAGATACTTCCATGGACTGAATTATGCACAAAATCAAGCATGCCAGAAACCAATGGCCAAATCAGAATTTCACTACAGGAGTTTGACTCGGCCCTCTTGACAACGATGGACAAAATTTTTGTTGTGATGCAAAAATTAAGTTCCTCACTGTCCACAGCTCCTTCTTCAAAGGATACCCCAGCCTGGTTGGTAAAAACTGAACAAGTTATATCAAAAGCGTGTGCAGAGCTACACATGGTCGATATCGCTGGTGCTATCAACTCTGTGCTAGCCCAGATTCAGCACATTTCCACGACGGATTCGACTTCGCTTACTGTTGTTGGCGCCGCCATATCAGTAGTACTGCCAATCGCGGAACAATACAAATCGATTTGTACTGATGTCCTCCACCGGTATTCTGCGCTACATCGAGAGATGTGCAAGATGTCATATCTCTTAGCAAAGTCGTTTAACCAGATTGCGTCGGAAGGTTTCTGTACTCCGCTTGAGAGCTCTGGAGAGCAGGGGAAATCTGACAAGCTGGAAAGTGGGACTGGGCTAGGCGATGGGGAAGGCGCTGAGGATATTAGCAAAGATGTTCAAGATGATGAAGATTTGTCCGACCTAGCCCAGGAAAAGCAACAAATGGATGGAGACAAAGAGGACAAGGAGGGGGAAGACGATGCTGTCAATATGGACCATGAGGATCTTGAGGCAGACAGAAGTGATTTTGAGGATGAGAAGGATGCGGAAGACGGAAAGGGCTCAGACCAAGAAGAGGAAGAAGATATGGACATTGATGAGGAAACTGGCAGTGTTGATGGACTAGACGCTTCCGCAGTTGATGAAAAAATGTGGGATGGGACCAATGATCAAGAACAGAAAGATACGGAAAACGAACAAGGAAAAGGGGAGCCAGAATCGGAGGATAAAACAGCTGCGCCCACTGAAAAGAATGAAAAGGTAGACCAAGATAAAGATGGAGAGGAAAGCGAAAACGAGGGATCCGAGCCTCCTGATCATGAAGGAGAAGCTGTTGGTAGGGAAGACATGGATACAACCGATCCACATGCAAAAGAAGAACCAGTTCTCGATCTACCCGAAGACATGGAGCTAGATGGCCAAGATGACAAAGATAAAGAGGGATCCGATCTGGATGATGATCTTGGCGGTTTGTCAGACGATAATAATAGCACCTGGGAAGGCGAGCCAGATGCTCCGGAACAACCCAATGATGATCTGGACCTGGATTCTCAACATCAAGTCGAAGATGAAGCCGAAACAGCAGAAGAAGCAACAGAAGAAGTTGTCAACGGGCAAGAAGACGCCGAAGGTCCCAAAGAGGAGCCAGAGACTGAGACAGCAGAAGAAGAAGAGGAGGAGAGAGAGGGACTCTTGGAAATGGAGAGGACAGATAACCAAGCAGATTCGGAAAATATTGCTCCAAGTGAGGAAGTTTCTGGTGGTCTAGGAGTCGACCAAGATCAAAATCGAGAGAAAGGGGACTCTGGCGAAGCAACTCAAGAACAAGGCTCCAAGGACCAGGCTGACGAGCAAAAGCCTCAGACAGGCAGTGCTGACCAGGGTGAAGACGGGAAAGAAGCAACAAACGCATCTGGTGGTCGAGACGACGGCAAACTAGAAGACTCCCAAACACAAGCTTTCAAAAAGCTTGGCGATATTCTCGAGCAATGGCACCGCCGTCAACGTCAAATCAAGGAGACCTCTGACAACCAAGACACTTCCCAGAATGAAAATCAGGATACCAACATGGAAGATGCGGACTTCGAGCATCTCGCAGACGATCAGGATGTCGCAGATACTCAAGCACTTGGCCAGGCAAACGAAGAGCAAGCCAAGAGCCTTGATCAAAGCAACGCTGTCGAATCCGATATGAAGCCAGAAGAAGGAGAATTCCTTCCAGATGCCGGAGAGCCTCAGAATCTTCCTGCAGAACAGTCTTTGGAAGATCAAATGGATTTGGACCAGAAACCAGGTCTGTCGGAGAACAATAATACATCAAGATCATTTGTTGCTGGTGATAGAAGCATGGAAACTGAACCTACAAATCAAAATGGACAAAAAGAGGAGTCTCGAGAAATGGAAGACATGGATACTCATCTGTCTGCCTTGCATGTCACTTCGGAATTGGCTCCATTGAGTTCTCCAGAGGAAGCCCGGCGACTATGGTCTCACTATGAGTCAATTACCCACGATCTCTCGCTCTCGCTGACTGAACAACTACGCTTGATTCTCGCACCCACTCTGGCAACCAAACTGCGAGGAGACTTTAGAACCGGAAAACGACTCAATATCAAGCGCATCATTCCGTACATCGCATCCCAATATAAACGAGATAAGATCTGGATGCGACGATCTGTCCCTTCAAAGAGAAGTTACCAAATCATGATTGCAGTTGATGATAGTAAATCAATGCTTGAGAGCGGCAGCGGGCAACTAGCTTTCGAGACGCTCGCTCTTGTTGCAAAAAGCCTAAGCATGTTAGAGGCAGGGGATCTCTGCGTTGTCAGTTTCGGAGATGAGGACCACGTCCGTGTGGCTCATGAATTTGGAAAACCTTTCTCGTCTGAAGCAGGTGTCCAAATCTTCCAGCAGTTCAGCTACAAACAGACTGGCACAAATGTACGAAAACTTATCTCCGACTCGATTGCTCTGTTTAGGGAGGCGAAGGCGAAACGCTCTCGTTCGAGTGGGAGCGGAGATCTTTGGCAGCTGGAACTCATCATATCGGATGGAATCTGTGAAGACCATGAGACCATTCGCCGGTTAGTTCGACAAGCGCAAGAGGAGCGAATCATGATAGTCTTCATTATCGTCGATGCAGTGAAGGGGAACTCGATTCTCGATCTGACGCAGGCGAGTTTCGAACCTGACGGGTCGGGGACAGGAGAGATGAAGTTGAAAATGAAACGATATCTTGAAGGATTTCCATTTGCATATTATCTGGTTGTTAGGGATGTTCAGGAGTTACCAGCAATTTTGAGTTTGGCGTTAAAACAATGGTTTGCGGAAGTTGTCGACGTTGCCGCATAGAATTTTCGACTGTACCGTTTCATTTCTACTATTAGGCCAGGGCATGTTTTTTTTTTTTTTTTTTTTTTTTTTTTTTTTTTTTTTTGTGTTGATGCATGTATATGTTCTGTTGGATTTGTAGATATACCTCTTGTGCATACTTAAAATAGGCCATTTCCTTTAGCTACCTTCTAAAAGCCATTTATTTAGATTTTCTCTTCTGTAATCTATCGCGCAATTTCCGTATCCTTTCAAGGGGATTTCAAATTTTTATTTCATCTAAACAACTCATTGTACAGTACTTCGTCATACGAGGTAGTTATGGAAGAATATTAAAACTATAAGAGTCAACTAACGGAACAGCCCAAGTTGCTCAATGATCTTGATTTGATCTGAAAACTCTCCAGCGAAAGTAGAAAATTGACGGAAACCACTAATGTGCACTTTTATCGATTCTATGAAACCATTCCCATTGCAGCATATGAAAATCAAACCCAAACGATGCGACGCCCGAAATATAACCGTATGTGAGCCAACTTTAAATATTCCATTTCCCATCAACCAAACCATGACTATGAGAGTAAAATACCGGGTATAAATGTAAAAAAATGAGTGCTTGTAAGGCATTATCAGGAAGGCAAAAAGGTTCCAACGCTTTCCACCTTACACACTCCAAGTTGCCCATCTGGTTCCCGATTGTACACGAACAGACCTTCCCAATTACCATCCATACTTGTTCCCTGCCTCCCTCTTGTTCCTCCTGCCAGCCGCAAAACTCTCCTCCAGTGCCTCACGCTGAGTACTAACTGCGTTAACCAGCTGCTGCAAGCTGTGTTTACCCGGCGCAATTGAACGAACAGGATTATGTTGTTGGGCAGCTAGTTCTACCTCTGATGCAGTGAGGAGGAATGCATTGTTGGAGGAGTACTCCTGATCTGTGTTGAATGTTATTATGTTGGGGTTCGATTGTGTCGCGCCAGCGGCGTTGGAAGCAGATGAAGAGACGCCCTGGCGGCCCAGCAGTTGCCGTTTCTGAGCGGCGGTAAGATTCAGATCATCGGCGATGCTGGCGAGGGTTTGCGGTTGTTGACGCTGCTGTTCGGGGACGCGTGCGGAGGGCGGAGGGCTTGAGGACTCCGAGGGTATAATGGTGGAGGTGTCGTGTTGGGGTTCGGAGGATGTGTTGTATACTAAAGGTATGTAGGGGGCAGAGGAGGATGGTAAAGCGGACGGTGCTTGTTCCTCTTCCTTCCCAAGTCCAAAGAGGCTAATCTTAGGTTTCGGAGCTGGTTTAGAGATGGTATCTCCGACTTTCATCTGCCCAGCTGTTGTCATAGTCTCATGCACTGGCTTCCCTCCATCGGCTGACGACGTAGTCTGAGGAGGCGGTACCACCGTGGTCCTCACTTTCTTCTTCTTGGTCGTACCCCTAGCCACAGACAGCGGCTTGAACATCATCGCATTCCCCTTCGGCTTAACAGCAGGTTCCTCCACCTTCTCTTTGACAGGTTCAGTTACCCCAATACTATATCCATCCGCCACTCCAGCCTTAGTCTCCTCCCCCGTCGTCCCAGGGAGGCCACCATTATCGAGATCCCACTTCATCTGTTCATCAGCCTGCCTGTCGAACCCCGGTTCCGCCCCCGTCTTCAAACTAAACACTTTGCGGGGTGCCGCCGTCCCATCACTTCTCTTATCCAGCCCAGGTTTAACAGGTCCCTTCCGCTTCGGTGCGGGGAGAAAAGAATTGAAGCCCGAAAACGCACCCCCACCACCACCCTGAGCACTTATTCTAGGGCGTTTCCTCGCCGGACCATCACCGTCATTATCGTCGCTACCATTTTGCTGAGCATTGCATCTGGCATGCTCATCTGCATCAGGCAGGCTCACGAGGATCTTGCCTGGATTCCTTCGATCAGTGAGAGGTTGAAAAGTTGGTTTTGAGGACTCGCGGGAACTCGAAAGTGCAGTGGGGCCTGCTGCTTTCTTCTTTTCAAATAATTGTGTAGTCGATGCAGATCCTGAATCTGAACCTTCAGAGTCTGAATATGATACTAACGCCATCTCTCTGGAATGCGTGGTGTTGGATGTAATGCTGCTATGGCCAATTCGAGGCTTGTTGCCTCTTTAGAACAAGATGTCATATCACGTGACATGGAGTCATTTCAATTCATGTGGCAAATTATTTCCTTGCGCCTCCGCATTTCTATCAGCGCTAAATATATTTCATCTTTCAGGATGCCGTACAAAGCTACAGGGCTACCCTACTATTCTGGGTTGCTTGCGAGCCACATCTCGTGGAGCTTTTTCTGGAGGTCCAAATCCTCTCAGCTTCTTGCTACAACTCTTAGTAATATCATTGCCTGACGAATCCTTCGTTGGCAAGCCATCATCATCCCACTCACTGAACTCATTCGGTCTGAACAACTCCAATGGACTCATCTTCCCTTTTTCAAGTTTCTCAAGCTCTTTCCGCCTCTACTGTTCTTCAATCCGCTGTTTCTCCAAATACTGCCCAGCTTGTTCCTGACGGGCCTCGATAAGATCTCAAGTAACCAGACGTACTAGAGCCGGTCGGCCTTCTCAGTCTTCCAAGTAGATACCAGTTAAAGAGATCAACATCGCGAACACAATCACAGAGCACCAGAACTTCTTTCGTGATACTTTGAGGATCGTCCAGGTTTACAGCTACCACACTATTTCGGAAGGTTGCTAGAACATCGGCATAGTGCCTCGCTGGGCCAGCTTGGCCCTCCGGGCTGGGATGATTTCCAGAGGGCAAAGTCATTCTTTGAGTGTTTTGCTACAGCGCGTTGGGACAAGGATCCCTCACCTTCTTTCTGAAGGCTTTTGTCGTTCCGGCTCCATGGCTCTAATCTAGCATAGTGATTTCCAGCCTGCTCGAAGGACTTAATGTCAACGTAGACAGAGCCATCTGGCGTTGGGCAGCCGAATTGCTTCTAAACGAATTGCTCCACAAAACCAACAAAATCTCAGGTCCATCTTCTGTGACTCTCGTCAATATGTCCGGATCCAGAATATTTAGCTTGCGCATATCTTCCTAAAGTGATCTTCGTATTATTTCGTTAACCTGGAGAATATCGAGTGGTCATCATTAGGAACGGATGAGCGGGCAACCTCATCGAGGTAGACAAGGAAAGCGTCTTCACAGATACCATAAAAGTCCTCGCTACTTGGTTGGAGCTCTCCGATCGCAGTGGTCTGTTCCTCATCTGCCTTGGGAGCGACGCCCTATTTCTCTATTCTCTTCAATGCATACCCGATGATTTTCCCGCTAGGGAACCGTTAGGGAACCGCTTTTAATATTCATCTTGATTTTGGCCTCGTCAGCTCCAGGCCTTTTATTTCCTTCGAGGGCACCACCATTTATAACAAACGCGTAAACTTTCTCAGGTTCTTGTTGAAAGTCTGAAGGATTTCACCAAAGGTAGCTTTACTTTCAAGAACGCAGAGAATGCCATCCTTGCTGTTTTTACAACATGGTCGTCGACTACCGGATGTTTGGCGACGTAGTCTGAGATGAGGTGCTGCTGGCGTGCTCTGACAATAATCTGGGGGGGGGGGGTTCATGGATGAGTTCTGTGCTTCAAAATAGCGGAATCTGCTCAGACTGCAGGTGGTAGAATGCCTTGTCATTCATATCAGTGATATTCATCACAAATTACACGTTGAAGTGAAAATAATCCTGCATTATCCGGCGAATTATGTCCGTAGTAACATAGTTCCTAGGGTGGCCGAGGTGAGCATCATCGTACACCGTAGGTCCACAAGAATACCAGGTAACTCTGTGGCCTTCTGGATCCTTTGGGATAAAAGCGTTCTTGGATCGTGTCAACGAATTGTACATCTTAAGAGGAGATAAATCTATTCCAGGACGCATTTGTGGTTGTACCCAAGGGGGCTGCTTGTAAGTCGTTTCCATATTCTTGCAGCTCGCTGGCCCGACTGTTCTCTGTCGTGGTGAAGGCGCGTAGACCGAGAGAGACGTTGGGGCGTTGGTTGAAGAGTCAGTCAACTGGCATTGATATAGCACTGACTCACTCACTAAAAGGTAAGTAACCAACTCTACGCCCTCATAATAATCTATAAAACCACAGCAAATAAGGTACGAGGAGGACAAACCAGTTTCTATTATGTATAACCTTAGTATACAGAGAATAGTTCTCCATATAATTAAATCCTTTTCTGTTTTTTTGAATTTGTTGAGACAATTATTCCGTAAGAAGTCTACCTAGTGTAAAAATGTGATCAAAAAGATGATATGCATGAATAGGTTGATTGGTTAATAACTATGTTACATACATATAAAAATGGATTAATGTGCAATACCCCAAGCCAGACGCATCTCCAATACATCCACCACCTCTTTCAAACATTCCATCCTTCCTTATGGCCCTGAAAACGGTTGCTGGAAAGGGTTAAATAAATACGAAGAGAAGATAAATACTGACCCTTACTATCAGTTAGTGTCCTTTCTAAGCAGTATCTGTCTGGCGATTCCCATGTCAAGCGCCACTGCCTTCCCAGCTCCATCAAGTTCAAAGACAAGCTCATCAATCGACCTGCGTCCATACCGCAAGGCATCAATGGAGGTCCATGGCTCGCAAACACCGCTGAAGATCTTCTCTTTAGTCAAATTATTATCAGCGCCGGGCTCCGGAAGAGTGGCAACGACACGGAAAGACGTTCGCGACCTGACTGATTCGCGCGAGCTGCTGGTGTACCTTGCCGTCAGGCCAGTGGGCTGCAGGCGGAGGTCAACTTTGGGAAATGCTCCCGGCGGCGCGCCGAAGAACGCCCCAATTATGTCCTTGAATGTGGCACCCTTGAGGTAGAACGACTCAATTGCTAATCCTGGGCCGGTGTCGTCCGTTTTGTTGCTGATTTTCAGCACGGTAGCTTTTTCGTTTTCACTGCTTGGGGAAGAGGAATAGGTTCCCGAGAAATCTTCTACGGCCTGTAGTCGCGCTTCCTTGTCCAGAGTGGCACTAAGTAAGCGTCCAATTAAATCGGCGAGGAGTGTCCTTTGTGACCCTGGTTTTGCTCCCGCTGCCAGAACTGTGAATCCCACATCGTGATCCGGGCTCAGGGCGATGACTGAGCCGTAGCTACCGAGGTCTCCGAATTTGGTATAGAAATCGATAACCCTAGTGTTGGATGACCGGTAAATCTCCCAGGGGCTGCCGACGGAGGACATCAAAGAGGAAGTGTGAGAGTTGGGCTTCAGCCAGCGTCGAGTGTCTGTTTCTGGAATAAGGCGAGATTGTAGAATTGACTGTCCAACCCGAGCTAGGTCAGTTGAACTTGAATAAAATCCTCCTGCCGGGTTACCAGAACCACGTGAAGTGTTCCAATGAGACGTCAGAGGATCAAATGGAATAACGCCCCAGGCGTCAGGAGGGGTTTCGATACCGAAACGCTTGAGCTTGAGTCGGTCGACGATCGAACGCTTGACAGATTTTTCAAATGGAACGGCCGTGATTCGCTCGAGGACATATCCCATGATATCGAAGGCCACGTTAGAGTAGATTGCAGTACTAAATGGAGCAAAGACCGGATGATGTTCCATTAATTCCGCGAACATCTCTGCGAAACCAAGGATTAGGACATGAGTTTCAAAAAGTGGAACTGGTTTAGATGCTTACCGCTTCGGGTGCACGGGTCGAAGTGTAGGCCCCTCTCTCCACATCGTGGGATATCAGAATTGCTCAAAGCTGGGAGTCCCAGCTGAGCGGCAACAGTTTGATTTACTTTGCCGGCAATGTCGTTCGAATAGTCTATGGGTTGGTTAGCGAAAGGAGCTTGGAACTAGGAAAATGCAAAATGGAAACTTTCCTCGCGCAATTCCTGACAGTTGGTTTGCAAGAGAGCCAACCGTGATATCTCTCCATTGTGGAACTATGGTATCGTCTGGATTTTGGCCTTCCTTCCAGATCGCACGCTGAATCTCTGGGATAAATTTTGCAATCGGTTCGTTGAAATATTTGAATCCTGTTTCGATCAAAAAAGCGTATTGTCGGATTGGGTGTCACGGATGAATATGTTGAAGACATATGAATCTTATTTGTATCAAGATCTGCTTGTTATATTATCCGTGCACTATCTTCTATATCTATTTCATACAAAAGATAGAGCTATTTATAGTAAAATATATATGCGAGCCAAGAGAGCTAGCATAAGCGAGTATTAGACGAGCGTTGTAGTAAGCTGATGATGATGAGAAATATTGTAGTAATATGATGTTGATGGCGTTCAGTAGTGTATAACCTCTTTTTCCTGACACACCCCCTTCAGCGAATGTAACATGTAAATGAAAGTGTAAATGAAGCTGCAACTAAAAGAGTGTAGATGAATCTATAGAGATTACATCAAGATAGACCATTTATTCTGCTTGCGCCTCGATGATATCTGTATGTTTCTGGCGTGGCAGAGCCTTAGTGAGGCCATCCGCTGGCATCTGGGCCGTAGGCACCCAATCAACTGTAATATCGCCGGATTGAACACGTTCTCGGAGTGATATCTTTCATCTGAATCCTCCCATCGGGATAGGATGACGATATCATCCACATAGAAGAAGACAATTAATCAATCATTTGAGAAGAGGCAGCAATCCTCTGGCATAGAGGTGAAGCCTAGCGTTCTCGGATTCTTCGCGATGTGGGTGTTTTTCAACATCTGCCCAGTGGTTCGGTGGATCTGGCAGTTGAGATCTATGAATCCTTGAAGGAATTGATGCTGTTGAGGTAGATGTATTGTTGATAACAGTAAAAACAGTATTAGGAAATAAATTTTGAGACTTGTAGAAGTCTGAGTGAGAATGAGAATGAGAGAATGCTTCATTGATCATTTGAAAAGGATTGGCTTTGGCATTTGCAACTGCCACAAGGTGGGCAGCTCTGTGATTTCAGGCTCGTGTACGATTATCTATCGCAGCTGTATGTGTATTGATATCAACATTGGGACCTGTATCAACATTAGGACCTGTATCAACATTAGGGCCCGCTGGCCCTGGCGTAGGTTCAGGTGTTGGTTTCGGTGTATGAGATCTAACGTGGGGACATCTAGATATTTGATTTTCCGCATTAGATAGATGGCAGGGTTTGCAAAGCTCAGTGGTAAGCTCGTCCGCAGCATCTTCTTGATGAGTGATTTGAATGCCAGTTGCATCATTTGCAAGCTTTTGAATGGCGATTTTCGATGGATGTCCTAATCTCTTATGCCATGTTGACTGAGTAGCTATAGAGATCTTAGGTTTTTGAGAAGGTTTTGTGTGTATCGGCGTGTGGTAGCTGCATCGGCTTCGGTAGTGGATTTTTCCGAGATAGTTGAGAAAACAGCTGTTTCACTATTATATTCTGTAACTAGCAACCCCTCAAATACTTCAACACGTGCAAAGATTGTATTATCTGCGTGTTTTCACAATCTGAAGTCTTTTCCATCATAATAGATGCCTTCTATATGGAAACACGGTTTCCATGTGATGATATTTGTATGGAAATTTGGGATGTAAGCCGCGTTGGTGAGTTTGACATTGAACTGCTTTCCTGCTTCATTTATCATGATAGTTCTAACAGTTCCATAACCTTCAACTTTAGTGCTGGAATTGCCTGTATAGACTTCCGCATTCTCATTCGCAGGTGTAAAGGATAGGAAATGTGTTTGATTATTGCATATATGCTGTTCCGCACCAGTATCAAAGATCCAGGAGTTTCGGAGGTAGGAGCGTGAATTTGAAGAGTTCATCGATATTTTCCGGATTTGCTGATCGATAGATTGATGATCGATAGATTGATGATCGATAGATTGATGATCGATAGATTGATGATCGATAGATTGATGATCGATAGATTGATGATCGAAGGATTGATGATCGATAGATTGAGGATCGATAGATTGATGATCGAAGGATTGATGATCGATAGATTGAGGAACTGATTGCTTCAGAACCATTCCTCCTAGGACTGCTTCATTGACATCTACCATATCTGTATTTGTGGATGAATCTCTAGATATCACATGATCAATATGTCTCTTCAATTCTTGATTCTTAAGAGCTTGATTAATCTGAGTTCTCTTCTCCCCGTTTTCCTTCCATCCAGGTGGCTTCCTTGATGGATTGAGATAGTAGCACTGGGTGTATCGGTGACGGGCTCCGCAGATGCAGTTTCCGAATGTCACTGATCTTTCATTAAGGGTAGCAAAGTTCATAGGTTTATCTTCTTTGAGAATACCCATTTCCCTATACTGTTCCTTGAAGTCCTTAACTAACTCTATCAAAGATATAACATCTTTATTATGTCGGACATTCTTAGCCCATGCTTGTGCATAACCTGCATCAATAGCTAGGTTTGCATTTAAGAAATCTTTCTTCAAGTTGAACTGTCCAGCTATATCCGCCTCTTTGATATCATCTTCAATGAGAGACCAGTCATTTAATCACTTCTCTATGCCTCTGTTTTTCGGTGCTTTGCAGAGATCATGGTATCAGGTTCTCACATCATCTTGATAGTCCGCGGTTGTGGGGGAGAGACGATCTCTTAACAATCGGATAATGTCCTTTACATCATCATCCTCGCTGCGTACATGTTGTAGCTCTGTGGCATCCACTGTTCTCCATATGACATCTCGTATCTTTGTCATACCTTCATTCATTTTCTCATATTTCATATATTTGATTTTCCACACAGTGACCTTGATGTCATATGCTATCTTGGCCTCCGCGGTGGCTTCTTCTGGACACTCGGGTTTCAGAGGTTCTTCTAGTTCAGAGAAGATATCGGGTTTATCAAGATTGATGAAGTCTGATACCTTCTTGTCCTTTGCATATCCTAGCATATGCTTGTACCAAAGTTTCCAATCTCCAGGAACACTAAGGTGTACAGTTGCACTAGACATTGTCTTGTCTGTCATATTGGTCGAGTATTTCGGATAGATATGATCAGAATTCAGGGTGTATAACAGTCGATTATTTCGGACCGTATACAAGTGAGGATCTATCGTCTCAGTTCGAATGATAGTTATCAGTTCGAATGAGGACGGGAATCAGGTATGGTATAACAGTCGATTATTTCGGACCGTATACAAATGAGGATCAATCGTCTCAGTTCAAATGATTGTTGTCAAATTCGAATGAGGATTGGGATCGGTGTATTGCGCTTCTCTTCAGATGCTGCTTACCGGGCTCATAACTGTCGGATTGGGTGTCACGGATGAATATGTTGAAGACATATGAATCTTATTTGTATCAAGATCTGCTTGTTATATTATCCGTGCACTATCTTCTATATCTATTTCATACAAAAGATAGAGCTATTTATAGTAAAATATATATGCGAGCCAAGAGAGCTAGCATAAGCGAGTATTAGACGAGCGTTGTAGTAAGCTGATGATGATGAGAAATATTGTAGTAATATGATGTTGATGGCGTTCAGTAGTGTATAACCTCTTTTTCCTGACACGTATACAGTCATAGCCTTTGAGATACTGGCAATCCGGTACATTGTGTCACCATTAAGTTTTTGACCCTCAGCAATTGAGCCCTTAAGCCCGGGGGCATCGTGATGGTACTCGTATAGAAGCTTCTCCTCGTGACTAGAGAAGATATTGATTGAAAACGACGTAGTGCTGGCATCCAAGTCAGCTGACTGGTGAAGAAGCCCTTTGAGGTTGGATTCAAAATCGTCCAATGCTCTCTTCCAGGTCAATGAACGGGAAAGGCTTCGAGGTGCGGGAAACGCGGGGCCAATGAGCGAACAATCCGCCGCGTAGAAACCTTTGCATAGCAGCAGCAAAGCCAGGATGCATGGGATAAATCGGAACAACATATTTAAAAAGGGATTCTTGCCTCAGTTTTCATGAGTATCTTTAAAGAGCAAAGGACACAATGCCAGAAAATATTCAACTGTCCTTTCTATGGATGAGAGGAAATGGGAAGAATCTCGATCCTTTTATCTGTTTTGACAGATGAATGGCCCCTTATGCGCTGAGCTATTGGAATAACGCTCCAGCAGACTGGGACGAGAAAACTTTCCTATGCCATGGGAAGCCCCGCTGCTGGCAGATATCCTCGACCATTTACTGGGGCTCGCGTAACTCCAGAGTGGCTCTGACGGGAGGTGGTGTGAGGTTACGCAATCGATAATCCATCAAATGATGTGCTGGTTCACAAAGGGTTCAAAACCGCACATGGAGAATTAAGTGGTACTGAGAGTACCACTCTAAGAATTTAGGGTCATAGGCATCTGGAGGTTCGACAAGATATCGACACACTTGGAGCGGATAGTTAAGGAGCTTTTGACTAAGCTGAATAAGCCTGTAAGCAGAGCAATTCTACCCGCATGTCTAGAATACGTTTACCTACCTCTCATGTTGGACTTAACTAGAAGATGTTCATCAATTGGAAGCCTGAAAAAACCCTACATGGGTTCCCAACTCAGTCCAACGATGGTTGGCGATCCTTGCATGACGCTTGACGGTTGAAGCCAAGATGGTCGTCGTCACGGTCCAACAATTGCAAATTTGCAGTTGTCGTAGTTCTTTTCGTGTGGTGGTGGGCTATCGTTTCACGATGTTATGGGTAAGTAGCATAAGTCTCCGGTTATGTGGTTCTTGGCGAATAGTTACCGAAAAGTGCGGCCCGAGTCCGCGCACCCGGGCCGAGATGTTTATTTTTAGATCCCGTCTTTTCCTCATTTGGATTAATGGATGTATATAATACCTATGTAGGTGAGGTCCACGCCATCAGATATTTATCCAGCTTTATTATTTCTCTAACGAAATAAAAGAGATGAGGCTTATAGCTTCACATTATTCGTATCGACTTTCTCTAAAAATAGATTTTTGGCGATGACGTCCTCTTGATTTAGCTACTATTTTAGAAAGGGGATCTCGCGCTAGTATGGCCCCATTTAACAGGAGTGCAGACTCCAAAGCACAACCATCCAGTGGCATCCATGCCTCTGTCATACGGCCTCGTGGCATTCGCTTATTTTATGTCATTGGCCGGTCCCCACAGGTACGAAGAAAAAAAAGCTAAGCTTCTGTCACTTAGAACTCCCATGATATGACCGAAGCTAAGGTACGAGGTCAGTTTGTCTTGGGCGACCGGATATTTTCAAGACGAGAATTGAATTTCGCGGCTGGGGTTGAGTTTAGTGCAGTAGTATTGAGATGTAGGTTGGCTATATCTCCACAATAAGGCTACTCATAGGATTTTTTCCATGTTGTCTGAACAAAAGAAATCTCCGGATGTCATGTCCACCTTAGCCGTGGTGTTGTCCTCGAAAATGTTTGCCTATTTAGAGTGCCAAGGTGACATAACGAAGCAAGAGATGCCAGTTCCAAATGCCTCGACAGGTTAGCTACCAGAACGGCAGGGGTGAGTGTCCCCGCATATTGCCGCCAGCACTTCCAAAATCTCCAATAATCTGCCTTTATCTGACCAATATCTGGTCATGATCAGCAATATTGTGTCAACAAGGGGCTGTAGAATGAGTTTCAGAAATGAACTCCCAAAATTGAATCCCACGCGTGGAAGAAAATCGTAGAATATATCATGAACCCATCATCCTATGAATCCATCATCCCTTATCCCGCAGCTCGCGCTCCTTCACCCACATACGATCTAGTATTTGGAAAACCTCTGTGGCGCCCTTTATGAGCTGATCCTCCATCCCAAGTGCTCCATATCGATGTTGCATTTTATCCGGATGCCATCTGACCCGTTCAATTTTCAAAACAGTAAGAAGGTCAGATGGGTGGGACTGAAGCTTTCCCCGCTGCTCTAAACCAGAGGCAGGGGTGTCCGCCGGGGTGGGAATAGGCGCGTTCCGCATAAACGTCTCCACGGCCCCGGGAGTAATATCTCTTCGCTTACCCGATTCAACAGGCCAAAAAATGAGATTTCGAAGTTTTTCGTTCATTTTGTCAACTGAAGGGCCGGTATCCTTCGAAGTCGACGACGATGATGCTGTTGCTGCTTTCGACGCCGCAGCACGAGCTCGCGCATTCAAATCCTCCCAAGTATCCAAATACCTTCTCCAGATATCCAACCAAACATCCGCCGTACGCTTCTTCATCTTCCTCTCCTGGCCCCTCCGTAAACTCTCCTCAATCATCCTCTCAAACGACTCGCGTTCGCTCCCCCCTTGCGTCCGCCTATTATCATCCCTTTGCCTCTCCCGCTCCTTCTTCCTTCGCTCCCTCTCCTCAAAAACCGCCTCATGGGTCTTTTCCCACATGCGCGCACGCACATATGCCGCATATTCCTCATCTGTCATCTGCTCTAGCTCACCACCCAAATCCGGACGGGCGTAGGTATGAATCGGCTGGCCATATACCGACTCCCAGTATGCCGCGCCTTCATCGTCAGCTAAGGCGTCGAAGAGGGATTCACGGAATGCAGCGTCGGGAGACAGTTCAGGAGGCTCTTCATACGTTGGAGGGGGGGTATTGGAAGACTTGTGGCGTTTAGAGGGCCGGTGGCGATGATGTCGACGGCGATAGCGGCGCGGGTGGGATGATGATTGTGATTTAGTACCATCGCTGCCATCATCGTGTGGCGTTTCTGATTTTGATCTGGAGCGCGAGGCGCGGTGTTTGGATTTGAAGCGGAATTTGCTTCGTTGGGCGGTGGAATATTCGTTTTCCATTCTTTCCCCTTTTTTACCGCCAAAATCGTGTAATGTCCCGTGAGCGTTGCCGCTAGAGCCAGGGCGGTTTCTATATCATCTGAGCACCGTTTATCTCCTAGAGACCGAAAATAAGATTGTCGGGATATAGCAAGAGAGTAAGTGATGTCATGTCTCGGGTGCCGCAGGGACGTAAATGCGATAAGAGCCGTAGACTATCATCACTTGGGCTGATCAGATAGGATAAACAATCAGAACATCCATATCAGTCTTCGGCGATTCTGAGCGAAAGTGAAACTAGTTCGTCGTTGGCCAAACGAATGTCGTGGAGAAAGCGTTGCGGTGAGGTGCAGAGTTGGTTGATGTTGGGACAAGGTTGGCTCTTCAAACTAGCTCACATGATATTGAAATATATTTATGTATTACCAGTACCGAAAATACAACACACAAATTCATATCTTATCAGATCATCATCTTGTTTCTATTTACTCGTCACCAAGAATTATCACTCCATCCAGGTTAAATAAACGCATCAAACCATTCCACCGGTAAGATGACCGGGCAGGCGAGGTTGGCGTAAAGGGTGCTTATTTGAAAGGACACGTGCTGATGGGGTAAGTTTAGATATTACTTCTACTGAGCCCACGCGGAGAGACGACATCTGCTCCCTGTCGATTTGAGGCGGGGTAACTTGAGGCAGAGTTCAGAACCTTCCTGACTTAGGTCACCGCTAATAGGGCTTTTTGCTAACAGGGGACACTAGGCGGGCGGATTATCTTGTGCATGCCCCTGGCGTTGCAGAGATGAGTTGAGTTTCCAGGGCTAATCACACAACCACTAAAGCATTCTGAAGACATCTGAGATGACCTAATCGCCCTTTGGAACAGAAGGGAATTAAATCAGGAATTTGGACCTGGTCACAAGATTTATTTCGATCCTTTCTTCTTTCTTTCCTTGGTTTTCATCTTCGAATTGCGCTTTTGATAATGAGTAAGTCAACCCTTCTCGTTTATCCAAGTGCTGGGAAAAGAAATGGTGCAAAGGGAGATTGTTTAGGAGGTGGAAAGTGAAAAAAAAAAAAAAAAAAAAAAAAAAGAAAGAAAGAAAGAAAGAAAGAAAGAAAGAGCAAAGGTAGTAAAAACCGGCGAAGCTCGAGCCGTCAGAAAATCAAGGTATATATGATGCATGCAGAAACAATGCTACAACCAGCAAACGCAAGGAACCCTGAGAGAATACACATAAGAAACGATTTAGGACGGAAGAATAAGAATTTAGGGTGAGGAAGGGGGAAAGAAAATGACAACCTCGACTATCATTCATCACAACGGAAATATCGATATCAAAACCTCCGTCTTTGACTGGCTCTAAAAGCCGTGAAACCAATATATGCCGCCAGAATAAGAAATAGGAACATGATGATCTTAAAGAAAAACCAAAACCATCCCCCGGCACCAGTACCATCATCACCACTCCTACTATAAGCGCTTCCCTTCCCAGTCTTTGACTTTTGAGTAGCCTTCCTACCAGCACCGCGGGAGCCAGTCTGTTTGTCTTCCGGCGCCTTGTCATATAGCGAGTAGGTGCTGATAGATATGATGTCATGGTTGTCGCTGAGTTCGCCGGTCTCGGCGGACATACCGAGGTAGGCGACAGTGGGTATGTTTATAGATTGTTGCTCGGTCGCTTCAACGGTGAAGCAAGGGGTCCAGGAATGGTCCGATTTGTATTGCAGGTCGAGGGCGAGGAACTTGTCTTGGAAGTAGGTTATACGGGCCTTTGTAGCGACGGATGCGCCACGAAGTCCTCGAGCCTGGTTCATTTTGACATTAGCTGGAGTATTGGGCATTGAAATAGATAAGAGTTAGTACTCGAAGGTGCAACTTACCGAGCATCCAGCAAGCTCATTGGCTTTGCCGTCATGTGCCTGGTCATACGATGTCTGACCATCGCCCAGCATAGCCATAACATAGGGAAACGCAACGGATGGGCGATTATTCTTATACGTGTCAAAGAAGATACCCAATCCTTCGAACTTGTCTATGGAGCCAAATACAGGGCCCTTAGTTGAGCGTTGTTTGGTGAGCCATATCGCCATACCATCTCCATGAAGGTTTCCTTCGCCGTGGATGCTAAATTCGACTTCGACCTATATCAAGACCTACATTTAGCACTTTCCCTCTGGTTATTCATTGCGCCGCGGAAGAAACGGCACCGACCTGCCAATTAGTCGCGGTTAACGGAACGCGAGAGAATAGCCAGCCTTGTCGCGATGGTCGATCCGGAGTAAGACGAATATATCTAATTGGCAAGGATAAGTAGGTATAACAACTTGGCTGGGAATGTAGAGTCAAAGCGGAGAGAACAAAACATACTGATCCGTGCGAATGACGGTATCACCACCATAATCGAACCAACGGCTTTCCGACTCGGTATCTATATACGGCTACCGGGGGGTGTATTACGTCAATTCGCGTCCATAGCCACTATGGAAGCTCAGACTGTTGTTTTTTAACGTACTTGAGATATACTGTAGGGGATCATCTAGAAGCGCAAGTGAAAGAAATAGTCAATGATTAGTGATTGAATCGACAAAACAATACGACGCGGCGTTTGTGAAAGCAACATACAGGAACTCGTTTAACGTCGGCATGGTCCTCGAAATCATGAGGATCATCAGAGGCATGGGACAGACCCAGGCATAGGCCCAACACCCATAGCCAAAGGCAAGGGAGCGCTTGTAACAGCATGGTTCCTTGCTTCAGAGCGGAGGTTCGGGTGCAGAGGGCAGAGGCGGAGGATGCGGGGGTCAGTAGACGCCGGTCGTAGCTGACTGAGGGCCAATTCAAGACGCGCAGGAGAAATTAAAGCTGGGTAAATGCGACGACTGCAAGAAAGGAAGGTCATCAAGGAGTGTCGTGTCACCAGGACATCAGCGAGTTTTATGCCTGTGTCTGGCAAAGCGTAGAACAGGCTGGGGATCAGAATGGGTGGCTAGCTTGGAAAGAACGCATTGAGCGTGTAAAGGATCCCGCTCAAGTTTCCTTGCGTCCCTGCAGGCAGAAAATGTAGGGGATATAGGCAAGGAATATACAGCGACTGTTGGCTGAGGTTGTAGCAGCTCTTGCAGCTATTGTACGCAGTGTATTCGCTCAATGTTGACGACGTTGAAGATCAATCTGTCCACTTCTCGTCTAGGCCGCGAGAGCCAGTCATGTGACGATGAGGTAAGCAGGCTGCGGCCGAGTCTTTCCCTCGCCGCGCCGATATATCAAAAAGCTCAGTAGCACCAGAACAACTAAGATTCAAGAGAATAAAGGAGCCTTCAATTATCACAACTACCTCACCAATTCCCCCAAGTCAGAACCTCTCCGCATGATTACTGCATTTACAGCCACAGCCACCCAATCCAAAAATGTCCCTATCAAACCCCTTCTCGCAAACCGGCTCTGCCTCCCCGCAAACCTCCGCCGACGTCAAATCCGCAATAATAACCCAGGTCCAACAAGAGGCTGCCGTTAACAACGCCCGTTCCCTCATAACCGTACGTAATAATAGTTCCCTCTCTCTCTTCTCTCCCCCTTTCGCTCCCTCCACAACCCTCTCCAAAAATACCCGATCCCCTCAAAAAGAAAATTTTTAATAAAAAAAAACACTCCAAACCCAAGCCCTAACCTAACTCCCAAAATCCAGAAAGTAAACGAAAACTGCTTCGAAAAATGTATCCCATCCCCAGGCTCCAGCCTCTCCTCCAAGGAACAAACCTGCCTCACCGCCTGCATGGAGAAATACATCCAGCTATGGAACGCCACGAGCCGTGCCTATGGGGCGCGCGTGAACCAGGAACAGAAGATGGGCGGCGTTGGCGGTAGCTCGTCGTTTGGCGGGAGCGGGGATGGGAGCGGCGGTATCTTTTAGTTTTGAGATTGTTTGAGCGGGGAGGGTGGAGTGGTTGGTGGAAGGTGGATTTGGATTGGAATTGACTGCCATGATTTAGCTTGATGGATGGATGGATGGATGGAATGAGATTGGGATAAGAGGATAGTGTATGATTGTTTCGATCCATCACGGCCCGCCGGTACAGTTATGTGAGAGCCATGAGCTGGACAGACCTTTCCATCTATTTTCGCCATTCTGAGTTGATTTTTGCTTTGGCTGGGAACGATAGAGAATACGTCACTTATATCCCCCTTGCATTTGTCCTCCCCTCCTAAATTCTTCCCGGAGGGGGGTTGGTTTTCTTTTCTTTTCACTTTTTTTTCTTCGTGATAATCTCTCTGTATTTATAGTGTACTGTGTCTATCCCGTTTTCAGTTCCGTTCCCTTTCCTTTTTTAAGCCTGCTTTTTTCTATTGGAAAATGCATAGTTGTAGAAACGCAACTAAACGAGACAGCACCGACGTACTTGGGGTATTGGGATATGTTCGATGAATGATAGGAAAATAGGATAGGAACGTTTAGGGGGGGAAAAAATGGACCAGGCATACGACTAAGTTTATACTGTAAATGAGAAAAGGAACAATTCTTCTTCCGTCAACAGAAGGCAACAAAAGAAAGACAACAGATAATATTTTCTTATATTACAATATGACCAGAATCAGGCAAGAGAGGTTATCCCAGTGTCAGTGTCAAGTGTCGAATCAGATATTCTTTATCCCTGACTGCTACTTTTGCATCATGTCATTCAAAACATTGCCCTCATTTCTCCAAATGAACCTCATATAGTTATATAAAAACACACCAGGCCCTCCTTATACCGCATATGCCCATCCTATTTTGACCAAACAAGGAAAGGGACAACGAACGGAGTGCAGAAAAACAAAAATAAAAATGTGATAAAAACGGTGCCCTGGAAGCTGATTAATCAGAATATAACTATAATAAAATTTCCAGTTAACCATACCGAGGGGGCGAGGGGAAAGAGAGAAAGGATGAAAAGAAAAGAACGAAAGAAAGAAAGCAAGAGAAACTTATGTAATATAGAGAAGTAGGTGCTAACCTAACTTAGATAAGTTAATAGCAGTAAGAAGATAAAAGAAGAAATAAAAACAACAAGCCAAGAAGGGAGAAAAAAAGAAAACCCCTGCTAACTTAGATAAGTTAATAGCAATAAGAAGATAAGAAAGAAGAAGTAAAAACAACAAGCCAAGAAGGGTCATGGATACAGGAAGTGGACACCAGAAAGGGGGTGCCCTAAGAACTAAAACAGCTAGACAATATTGTCCAAAAGAATAAAATGGCAAAAGAATAAGATGATGAAGATGAAGATGAAGATGAAGATGAAGATGAAGAAGAATAAGAAGAGGAAACCCCATCCAAATGCAGATAAGAATGCAAATAAATTAGAAGAAGAAGAAGTTGGAGGACGAACGTGGCGAAGAAGATAGTATGTAGAAAGAAGACACTTTTCCCCGTTATTTTCTGTTGCATAGATAGCAAACCAATATAAGAGGAGTAGATAGGCAGCGTAATTTTTGACACTTAAACAGAGGTGATCTATCCTTTTTTGCTTTCCTTTCTGTCGTCTCTTTTTTTTTCGTTTCTGTTCCGTTTCCATACTTCGTTAGTCGATTCCTCCGCAAAACTTAAAAGTCCACGAAATAATGACCATATCTAAATCAATTTGGTATTAAGTTAGCGAAGACAATATTCTCTTCCTTTTCTTTGACATGAGAACGCATATTTCAGAGCACAGAGACGGGCAGATAGTCACACAGGTAGGCGAGAAATAAAGTAGGAAAATTGAGGATAGAAAGAAGAAACATACGGATCATCGCCGCCACCTCCATACGCCTCCGTTTCCTCGGGATACCTATCAAACTGGCTCGCATCGCCCTGCCCACCTTTCACAGGCGGTATGTACGGGGCATCAATATCTTTCCTCGCCAATCGATCCCACGTCACCTCTGCAAACCATGGATGGTTCTTCACGTCTTGCGAGCCCCCGTGCAAGTTTCCAAGTCGCACAGTTAGATCTGGCGTAATCAGCTGGGAGAGGAGATCCTGGGCGTCTGGATGCATATAAGGCGGGTACTTGACGCGGCATTTGAGGATGTTTTCGTAGATTCTCATAGGGGAGCCGCCATCCCAAAACGGAGTGAAACCGCAGAGCATTTCGAAGATTAGGATGCCGAGGGACCACCTACTTTTCCAGTCAGGTAAATTGGTTTAATTTAGTTTGGCGGTTTAGGGCGGGAGAGAATAATCGGAGGGAACAGGTCAGAAATGAAAGGTAGGTAGGTGTATATAACTTACCAGTCGACAGACATATTGTATCCCTTCGACGACACCACCTCCGGTGCAAGATAATCAGGCGTGCCACACAATGTCCATGTAATATCCCTAACTTCCTTCGCGAATCCAAAATCCGTTATTTTCAAATGGCCGTGTCTGTCGAGAAGTAGGTTCTCCGGCTTCAAGTCTCGGTATACGATGTGATGGTCGTGCAGATATTCCAACGCCAGCGTAACTTCGGCAGCATAGAATTTTGCAACGGGGTTTGGGAAGCGCTAATTGAACCAAATGGCGAATTTAGTGACAAAAGGAAAAAGAATAAGAAAAAGAAAGCAAAACAAAAAATGATATTATGGAGATTCAAATGCTGCATAGAAGATCTCGCCATACCTGTGACTTCCTCAGTAAACTAAACAACTCCCCACCCTCCACAAAATCCATAACCATATAGAGATTCTTCGCGTCCTGAAACGTGCCCCATAGCGTGATAAGAAACGGATGCTTAACCCGCTGCAACATTTTCCGCTCATCATTCGTGTGTTCGACCTGCTTCATCTTCACCACCTGCGCCTTCTTGAGCACCTTGATCGCATAGAATCGTTGGTTATGCCGCGATTGAACCAGGTGCACACGCCCGAAGCTGCCGGTGCCCAACGTCCGCTGTAGCGTAAAATCATCTAGTGAGTACTTCCCCTTGGTTTGTCGTGTAGACTGGACAGATCGTTGCTGTTCATTTTGTTGTTGCTGATGTTCGTACTGTTGCTGCTGTTCGTGCTGTTGCGGTTGTTGCGGTTGTTGCGGTTGTTGCGGTTGTTGCTGTGATGGTACATGTTGGCCATCGCCAACTCTCTGCTGTGATGACTCCACTTCGTCTTGATTGGGCGGGTTTATGATATTCTTGATGCTGGCAACATTCTGATAGTGGTGAGGTTGCTGCTGCTGCTGTTGCTTAAATTGGGAGGGATCGCTCGCGATATTAGAGTAAAAGGGCGTGGAAGATGGTATGGGGTTCATGGGTAGGGAAGGCTGGCTGTTGCTAGTGGTGGAGGTTGCGCAAGTGTTTACAGGACTAGAGGAAACAGCTGGTGCTAGCGACGAGGCTGCCGCTGCCGCTGCGGTTACCTCTGCTGCTGCGTCTCGTGGGGCAGTAGTCGTAGTAGTAGCTGTGGGAGCGGTGGTTGTAGTGGCAGGCTGCGCACTGAGACTATCGGTGCGGGTGGAGGAAGCGGGGTATGGCCGAGAGGAATCAAGACTGGAAGCCGCAGGATGCTGGACCAGGGGGTTTAGAGGAGGAGGATGTGGTGAAGTAGTAATGGCTGTTGGAGAGCCAGGATTGTTTGTGCTGATACTAGTACTCTTGCGGGAAGACGGCGATTCCGCTACTGGTGAAGCGGGCAGATCCAGGTCCCTCGAGTTGCGCGAGTCCTTCGTCCGCTTCTTCTTCAGCAAGTTTCCTAGACTCCGCATGGACCACCAAAATAGGAGCCTGTGAGGTTATTCACCAAGGTCTCCGTGCACAGTAGCAATGACGAGGATAAGACGTCAGTGAGGGGAGGTCGAAAGATGGTGTTCCTTTCCCTCCTTGGACGTGCTAATCCACATGGGCTCCTGTGTAATTGCGCTTTTTGCCCTTATTCTGGGGGAGTCTGGTGTCTCTGCCTTTTTTCCGGTGCAGACGAATGTATGAATTCTCTATCTCTTAGCTTCAGGAACCAGGGGTTGGCAGATAATTAGGGGATGGATGGATGAGGGGGAGGTTGACTTGGCCGTGAGTGACCGGAATAAGACGGATCCGAGGGCGAGACGAACCTAGGGTGAGGGGGAGAGGTCAACAGGCGTAACGGGATGCAGCAATGGCTCTGACTGAGGGGAGGATAGACAGGTCAGAACTGCATGGCAGCTGCGGGGAGCAATTAGAGGGGGCAGAAGAGGTTGTTGTGGGATAGATCATAGCAGCAGCAGGTTTGAGGTGGTTGGTTGGTTGGTTTGGTTGGTTTGGTTTGGTTGGTTTGGTTTGGTTGGTGGGTTTGAGACTGGGAACTGACGCTGGACGGTTTCGGCGTTGCCGGGTTTGGTTACAGTTGAGCGTGGGTGTCAACAACACTTGAACGTGGTTGCCAGCTCGGGCCGGAAAAACAGCTCAGTGTGGTTCCAACCCAATTTTAACCTGGACCCATGGCAGCACCCCATTAAAACTACCATGCACTAGACATCTCTAGCACATCATCTCTACACCTACATTCTTCATATTTCTTGTGATTATAACTCATTCTAACTATTTCTAATACTAATCCCAGGTTTTAACCCTCCAATCTACATCTCTACAACTAATAAGAACCTAAAGGTTGAGATGGGGATGGGATCCGATGGGGACAGTCAGACTGTATTAGTAAGGATCTATGTATTATTATGTGTAATGTAACGTGGATAGTGGAAGTGTATTTTAGAGGGAAGCGCTAAAGTTTGAACGTTGGGTCCAGAAAAGTAGCACCACAATCAACTGCTTTAGCACCACGTTCAAGTATAGTATGTACGTAGTACGCAGTAACTATGCCCCAGGGTTGCCACCGCAAGCGTGTTGGGCGGGGCTGGCTCTGGGCCGCGGCGGTACTTGGGCGGGCGGGCAATTCTGGCTGCGGATGGATGTACCACAACCAGAGTTGGCTACAAAAGACTTCCCTTGTCCAATTCCTGACATATATATAGAGATCTAGCCTCATGTCTACAGAGTATCCTATTAGCCAAATTTCCCAATTCTCTGCACTACAGAGACTCCTACTTAAAGATTGTGTGGCCTACTACTACAGATTTTAGTATGTACAGTACATATACATTTCTTACACTCTGTGTATGTACTGTACATACATTTTAAATATGCTCGAAGCCAGAGAGGCCCGGATATGTCTCAGAATAAGATAAAATACAAACACATCTTGTTTTATTTTATTTTATTTTTTCTTTCTTTCTTTCATTCAGAATCAATGACACATGAAAGATATCCTCCTGAATTGACTGAGTTGAAGGGATGGATGTTACATTTGATTTCCCTGCTTTGCCTGTTGATATCCTATTTCCTGCTGAAAGAACCTAAAACACCAAGAATAAAAGATGAAATGTCGTGGGAAGGCCTGAATGACAGCAAAACCAGAGCCAAAGCATGAATGATGATGATCGAGTCCATTTTCACGCTCCCAGACAATACGACCAATTCAATCCCAAAGTATATACATGACCTTTAACCCATCACAGAGCTATGCCTATACACCACAAGCGCCAGAGTGAGAAAAAAAAAAAAAAAAAAAAAAAAAAAAAAAAAAAAAAAAAAAAAAAAAAAAAAAAAAAACCAAGGAAAAAGGTACAAGAAATCCAGAAATCCACAATCGCAATCACACGCGAGACTGCGACATATTCTTCTTAATCTCCTCCACAATCTCCACCGCCTCCACCGCAGTCTTCGCCTCAAAGTCATACCGCTTCTGCTCGCTCGCCGCATTTCCCCTCAACACCACTACCCGGAAACTCTTCGGATGCCGCCGGCTAATCTTCGAACCCACAACGTCATTGAACGATATCGACGTCGTCTTGCTGTTCGATTCGAAGAGCGTCTTGCCCGACTCCGCTGGCATGATGTGCATGTAGTCCATGTCGAACGCGAGCACACGTTGGTTCGACGCAGTGAAGGACATGGATTGTTTGCGGATTACGTTGTAGCGTCGGTAGTAGCCGCCTAGGAGATCTTGGGAGTGCGCGAGGGGGTGCAGCATGCGCCCACTTCCAGTGTTGTTGCTGGCTCCCTTTTTGCCCTTCTTGGAGCTGGTGCCGTGGGATGTGTTTTCGACCATTAGCGGCGCGTTGGGTGAGGAGCTGCCTGGGGATCCCGTACTGGAGAGCGGACCAGCACCGAATCGGCGGCGGACGAGGTCTAGGTCTGTAATGCTGCCGAGGGCTTCGACGGTGCGGTCTAGTGGAGCGACAGTGTTGGAGCCCATGACTTTAAGGAGGTATTGGCCCTTGTCCAGGCCCCATTTTTTGCAGACGGAATCTAAAATTTCGGCGATGTAACTGTCTGTAGATGTGTTCATTGAGGTTGTTTGCGTTGCGTCCAGGTCAATATATCGGATTTTCAAAGTCTTTGTAACGCCCATTCTAGGTGTCGCGTGTGATGTAGGTACGGCGGGGCGGTCAGCGGGGGTGAGAGTGCTATCATTCAAAGCAGATGAAAATGGCTGACCTAGGATGGGATTGATCCTTCCGAACATCCTGTTTTTAGCATTGGCTTGGTTGGCTTGTATTATTGACTGGGTTACTTCAGGCTCATCGACAGCATCGGCTCTCGGGGTGGGATACTGCTTCTCATTCTCTGCGAATTCAGTTGGTGTCGCTTTCACAAGCGCAAATTCATCATAGGGTTTGCTCCTCGACCGGCCCCGGGCCGCAGGGGCGCGATTGTTATTAGAGGTAAAGTCGATGATTGGTCTGCCCCTAGCCAAACATGGGAAATCATAGTCAATTTCGCCATCTTCCATCATCCGAAGATTCCACCGATTTACATTGAGCATATCTCCCTCGAGGGGCGGCTTTAGGCCTTCTTCCATATATCTCCATAAACCGAGCCCGATCGCTTCAGCAACGGTAACGGGCCCGGGATGATCTAACTCCTTTGATTCTCGCACAATTGGCATATCTAAGGCTTCGTCCGGCTGAGAGGAGGACGGAATAAAGAATTTGATGTATAATGGAGTTGCATTGGACCCTCTGCCCGATAACCCCGCATATTTCTCCAAAGGGTTGGCGGGCGCTTTCTTTCGCGCTCGGAGTGCAGTAGACAAAAGGCTGATGGGCTCAACAGTGCTAATGGGCCGAGGCGGTGGGAGCACGTTTAACTCGGCTGAGGTAGCTGTTTGTTTCTGTTTCCTTGGCGAAGTACCCTGCGATTCAAGAGTCATGGGTAATTTATTGAGGATCATCGGAGAAGATGAATCTAACGATCCAACGCGATCCAACAACGATCCCGAACCAGCAGTGCCTCCGAACTCAGATGAGAGGACAGATCCTTCGGACTCGGCAATTGAATCTTCGTCATGCTCGTTGATGGCGTCATCAATGCTTCCTATCTCCAACTCATCTTCTTCATCCAGCTTTTCGCTCGGTGGTTTGCCATTTGGATTGATCACGTCCTCATTGTTAGAAAAATGAATCTGGCGTCTCCTCGCAGTGGCCCCATCTGCCTCGTTATCTGATGACATATCACTACTAGTAGCCGTGTTTCTGCGAGCTCGAGCTTTTACTGCTTCAACCGCACCAAGGGAGCCCCTCCGGTGCTGTTTGTTGACGGATCTTAATGAAGGCGATGTTACAAAAACGTCAGGATTATCACGACGATCCAGGCTCCGTATCGGAGATGAACCAGCACGGGTTCGTCGGACCGGCATTTTTGTAAACTTGATTTGCTGTACAGAACTGCAAAGTAGTTAGCGAGATATGAGAAAAAAAAAGAAAGAAAGAAAGAAAGAAAGAAAGAAAGAAAAGAAAAGAAAAGAAAGAAAATATTATGCTAATCTCCAAAAACAAGTTAAACCATACCTGTGAACCCCGTCAATCTCCTCATCACTCTCATCGCTGAGATCACTACTATCATCATCCTCAGCCTCACCCTGGCGGTGCTGCTGCTGCGATTTATGCATATCCAACCTCTCTCTTCTCCGCGCCTTCCTCCCCACAGCCCTCTTCTGCTGTCGCTGTCTAATAGTGTTGACACTCTCCCTCCCGCCCGTCACCATCACACCCTCTTCATCGTCACCATCTTCGACAATACCAAACCCAAGCCCCACAGGCGCAGCAGTATCATTGGGTCCATCACTACCACCATTTACATCGCCGAAGTTCCTGCTCTGCCGCGCACTGGCCTGGAAATACTCTGACGCGACAGCCGTGGCGGTGGGGATGGGAGGGGAGTAGGTGCGTTTAATCTGGGAAGCATTGGCACCAGTGGCTGATGACCAGCCTGCAGCACGGAAGCCTGGGGTGTTGAGAATGGAGGAGTTTACGTTTATTAGCCGGTCACCGACGCCGTCTTTAATTGCAGAGAGATAAGAGGTGCGGAGCTGCCAGATGGTAAAGCTAGAGGCGGGGAAGTAGTTAGTTACCCGGTAGATGATGGTAGCGGGTAGAGTTAATTGCGGTAAAAGGGGCTGGTAAGCGTACTCTTCATTTTGGAGGAGAGACATAGTTGATATCGATAATTGCGTAAGTTAGGGTATTTTGGGGTTGAGAAAGGTGTTGAAGCGGTGGGCCTTGTGCGGAAGGCAACAATGGCCGTCTAGCTATACCGTGATATATCCAGTAGGTGGAATGTAAGGGAATTGTTAGGGAGTAGGAAGGCGGTTAAGGTGCGGAATATCTGAATGTGAATGTGAGTGTGGTTGTGGGGTGGGGTGGGGTGGGATATAGATATCAAACAGCGGAGTTCGAGATACCAGCGGCGGGCTTTGAGGCTGGGGTTCCACGGAGGTCCATATCTCGCGGGGAATAGAGGAATTGAAGGAATGGATGGGAAATGGGAAGAATGTCAGGACCAGCCCGACGAAACGAAAGTGAATGAGAAGCCTCGAGAGAATTAGGCGTTGGAGGCGACAGGAGCCGCGTTGCCATGCCTGGACATCGGGAGGTTTGGCGGTCGCCCGGCGAGGGATGATCCCGTGACCTTGGGGTAGCATTACGTAACCAAGTATTTCACGCCAACGTAATGAATTATTGGAACGTCTGATTGGTTCTATCTGGAACCGGAGTGCTTAAAGCGATGGCATTGTTTTTATACATGAAATAACCCGGTTTTTGTTCCTTTTTCTCATTATTTTCTTGTTGTGTTGCAAAATAATAATCAGTAATGTGACATAAAAAGCGATGAAAGGAGAGTTAATAAATATAACCCCTGGATGAGCATCAGCTCGCAACTTAGAATACCATACCTGCAACAATCCCCACTCAAAACGACCATGAAAAATACATCGATTCCGAAATACCAAATTAATAAAATCAAAGGAAAGGAAAAAAGAAAAAAAAAAAACCAATGAACAATCACGATTTCCCCTTATCCCAAAACCACCGATACAAGCTCCTCCACTCCTCCGCCTCATCCTCCACATACTCCCCCACCATCTCCGCCGTCGCATTCGAATCCTCATACACATCCTCCACCACCCTACTCTTAACCTCCGCCGTCCCATCCGCCACTTTGCCAATAATCCCCGCAGGCCTCCCACTGCCGATCCCCGACATTCCCGCCATCCCCTTAACGACAGCCCCCTTCACATCACCCGCCTTCTCGCCCGCCTTGGCCGCCAACTCTCCAGCACCTTCCCTCATCTCCACCGCAACTTCCTCAGCCCGCGCCCTCGCCCGTGCCAATAACTCCTCCGGGGAAGGATACCGGCGCACTATCCTAAGGAGGAGGTAGTACGCACGCACCACGAGCCTGTACACCGTGTCCTTTGCGAGCATGGCGATGCCATGGCTGAAAAAGCCGCGGAGGACGTCCCCGCTGAGTCCTGCGTAGAGAGCGGCGAAGCCCTCGGTGCGGGCGATGCTGTAGATGGCGTGGAGGATTGTGGGTGGTGGGCGTGTAGTAGGTGCAGATGTAGCTGTGGCGGTGGCGGCCTGGGCCCGTGTCTTTGCCATGGAGAATGGATAGGTGAGGGAGGAGGCGATAGCCTTGCTGATGGCGGCGAAGAGGAATGTGGCTGATGCAGGGGGTCGTCTGCGCTTGTCGCGGGGGAGGAGGGAGAGTTTGAAAAATTGGTTGAGGAGGAAGGTGAGGGAAGGGTTTAGGGAGAGGATGAGGGAGGCGCAGTAGCCAGCCCAGAGACCACGCAGACCCTTTTCGGTGATGATGGCGGACACTATATCACTCGTTGAAGACGTGTGTGTTTTTGCCGTCTTCTTCCCGGGTTCTGTTGATGATGAAGCTGACACCAGGCCCTCAACCTGCTTTCTCGTCAATACAGTCGAGACCGGCATCGTAAGCAACTTGGTAAACGACTCGGCCAAATATCCCACAGCCAACTCATCCACCACAGGCAGGAAGCTACCATGCATCTTCAATCCCCTCGCGCGCAGTCGCCTCTGTCGCAAGAATGAATAAGTAAGGAAGAACACAAATGAATCCATGACAGCCTTTCCAGTCGCCTGCGTAAGCCCCGCATATAACCCGCGCAACCCGCCCTCATTCTCATAAATTTTCTTCGCAGCATCTATAATTCCTTTATACTCCTCTTCATCTCCATCTCCATCTCCATCATCATCGATATCAACACCTTCACTCTTCGTTTTCCCCTTCCCCTTCTCACTCCGTCTTTTCCTCTCCCTATCCCTCTCCTTCACCGCCCTCAACTGTCTCTGTAACTGCAACCGCGTAACAATCAAACTAAGCGGATACGTCGAGATAGTCGAGACAGCTGCACCCGCGGCCCCTGCTATCCCCTGGCCAAGGGCCGGCAACGCGGGGCCCTTCAGAACAGCGGCTTTCCAATCCTCGCTGTCTGGACGGTATCTGCAGGCCGTATCATCGCTGCTGGTGTCATTGTAGATGTGGTAGAGCTCGAAGTGTTCCTATGTAGATTTTCCCGGGGCAGGGGATGTGTGAGGCTCTGTGTCTTGATTGTGTATAATATTTGACTTTCTAGGTCTGGACGAGGGGGTGAGAGGAGGAAAGAAGGGGGGCGTACAATTGAAGCTTCGTAAGGAATATCTTGATCGTTCGGCATAGTGGGTAGCAGTAGTAGACTAGAATGAAATCAAACCGCCGAATATCAAGCTCCTGCTTCGTTTGCAATTGCTCATATATGAGAAGCGGGTTACGGCGTAAACAACAGTGAATTATATCCGATCGCTTCCCGTAAAATTCCACCCCAGGTTTCCACCCCAGGTGTATTTCCCTCAGTGTAGTCCCTCTTTATCCCCCTTCGGGCTGGTGTGCTATCCCGGAACGGATGTAGGTGTCCGATTGCGAGGCGAGAAGCTAGCTCTCGGAGCTCGAAACCAGCTAGAAAGTTCTAGAGAACTGTTCTGGAAACCCAAAGCAATAGGAGCACTGTGATGAATTAGAAGAACATGAGTATCATGAAAGGGGAAAATTGGATGGTTTCTCCTCGACTGCAGACGAAGAGTGCAGGGCAGTGGTTAAGGGATGCTGCAAGTATCAAGTATATATCCGGATTTGGCTGGGCTCAGTGGGGAACCAATGACGTCGTCTGGGGTCAACTGCGAGCTCTTTGTCTTGGCGCTTCCCCTCCAGATAAATCCTCCATTTGCCATATGTGCCAGGTTTCGTGTGTAATTGAATTGTTATATTTGTTCATTCTTTGACCTGCCCCTCGATTTGTTGCATGCACACTTATATACCCTCTGACAGTTTAGGTATAGAGTTCTAAATAACCTCATCGGGGCAACTAAATATAGCAACGCTGGCTACCGGATCAATACAACGTCCAATTCGATTTCTTTCTACTCTTCCCTCCCCCCCAGTTTTCAGAAGGGAAAATAATAATAATAATAATAATAATAATAATAATAATAATAATAAAATATAAATAAACGTAAAGGCAGTAAAATAAATTCTCACTTTCCCTCCCTTCCCTTAAACTAAAATCCCAAATAGTCTCAAAAATTTCCAGCCTAAGCAAACCCCATCCAGCCAACTGATAACTTGGTTGTCAAGTAAAGGTCAAAAAGTGGCAAAAAAGGAATCAAAATGTCATGAGCACCCTCCTCCCCATTTAACTAGCCCATTGATCGATCTGTCCGAAGACGACGATGGACGGTCATGTATATTGATGGGAGCCAAATTGACCGACAAGGGTACCAGAACCCTTTCTCTTCCCCAATCAACCCACCAAATCAAATCAAATCAGAGAACACCCAAGCAAAAACCAAAACCAAAACCAAAAACCAAAACCAAAACCAGCCCAAAACAATAAACCAGCATGCAAAGGCCTTCACACACAGCCCAGGATTTCGATCCACGAGCATAAAAAAGACAAGAAAAAGAAAAAAGAAACCCCCCAACATCTATCCACCAAACCCATAGAGCGTGCGCCCCTGTCTCTTCAGCGCATACACGACATCCAGCGACGTGACCGTCTTCCGCTTCGCGTGCTCGGTGTACGTGACCGCATCGCGGATGACGGATTCAAGGAACGATTTCAGCACGCCGCGGGTCTCCTCGTAGATCACTGGTGTTCACACCCACAGTCAGTATGGCACGTAAAACGTAAAGGGAGGGAAGGGAGGGAGGAGGTGAAGGGGTAGAAGAAAGGAAAAGAAAGGGAAGGGAAGGGTGTGACTGTAGACGTACTGGCAGAGATACGCTTGACGCCGCCACGACGGGCTAGACGGCGGATGGCTGGCTTGGTGATGCCCTGGATGTTATCGCGGAGGATCTTGCGGTGGCGCTTTGCGCCGCCCTTGCCAAGGCCCTTGCCGCCCTTTCCGCCTGTTGGGTGGGTTAGTTGGGTTAGTTGAGGTTGTTTATGGCAATAGAGGATAGATATTCTGTATGTATGTGTGTATGGCATAGGGGAGAGGGTGGGTAGGGTAGGAGGATGCCTGGGGTGGGGTGTATGTGTCATGTCTCTGGAATGGATGGAGCAAGCATTGTGGTCGTCATCTTCTCATCGTTGTTCATTTATATAGGACCGGACCAGTGGAAGACTTTTTTCTTTTTTTTTTCTTTTTTAATATCTCTCGAAGCTGATCCAATGTCCGTGGTGGTGGGTGGTGTTGGTGGGGGGAGATCAAGTCAAGCGCAACAGGCGCTTGGCGTCATGCAAGGGCCAGAATAGGCATGGCGGTGCCAAGACGACGGCTCTTCCCTCCCTTCTTCCCCCGGCGTCAAACTCTTCTGGCGACGAACGACGGATGGATGGGGCCGATGTCGATGACGATGACGATGCAAAAAACCACAACAAATGTCATCAAAAAGAAAAATAATTTTACTTACGTCCAGTCATGGTTTATTTTTTTTTATTATATTCGATAAAATAAAATTATATATAAAAAAAAAAAAAAAGAAAAAAGAGAATAACGTGATAGCGTGTGGCGAAAATACGCGTCCTTGTTTTTTTTTTCTCTTAAAATGTGTTAAAGCGAGAAAGGCAAGAAAAGGCAAGAAAGGCAAGGGAAAAAAAGTGAAAAGCCGGAGGTGGGGGGGATGCGGGCTTAAATAGTTTTTCCAAAGTACCCAGAAACAAATAAAGCAAAGCAAAAGCAAATCAACCGGCAAGCCCCGTGTTTCCGTAGGGAAAAAAAAAAGCCCGATGACTAAGCGTTGTGGTTGGGCCGGGAAAAATCCTCAAATTAACTGATTCCCAAAGCAAAGAAGGGCGCTGTTGATAGCGGGTTAAGGCGAGCTGCTTTCCAGCGCTTCTTTCTGCACCGATTATTGTTCCTCTGCGGTGCCTGGGTGGAAACTAGGGTTTGCTGGCGGGGTTCTGCCGGCTGCCTGTCTTGGCGCGCACTCACCGCTTTTCAAGTGGCTTGGCGCGGACCTCGTCGTTCTCATACTATCGCACTTGTGAGATGGATGAGGAGCTATTGAGATGACTACTCCGTATACACCGGGAAGAGCAGAGGCATAGAAGAAGGAATGAATGGAAAGAAGAAGAAGGAACCGAACATATGTCATTGATTTACCCTGTACACCATCAACCACAGTTCAACCCCATCATCTCAGCAGTCATCCATCATCACAAGTCAGTGGTATGAATAGTTAAAAGGCTTGACCGGCTGGAGCGGAGAGGAGGTAACAGGAAAGACCACTCTGAAAAGAATTGAGGATCATGAGAGAACAGGAATCCGGAAAGAGAGCAGAAGAAGAGAGTTATGGGAGACGAAGAACAAAACCAAGACATCAATGATTTAAAATATATATATAGATTAGGAAAGAGGTAATGAAAAAACAACGAAAGAACGAAAACCGCCATACCCGAACCGCTTGATTTTCGAAAAATAGAGAGATAAAGAGAGAGAGAGGTGGAAAAGCGAGGAATACACTTTTGATCCGGGCCCAACAACGCCTGACATAAAAATAATAAATCCCCAGATTAAACAAAACAAAAAGAAAAAGAAAAAAAGAAAAGAAAAAGAAAAAAAGAAAAGAAAAAAAAACGCCAGATTAAATGCAACCAAAACTCCTTACAACAAAATCATAACTCCCGCATAGACAGTAGGAGACACAGTTAATAAGAAGGAAACATAACCCGGGAGAAAAGAAGTAGAAAAGACAAGAAAATGATGAACAAAAGCAACAGCAGTTCATCCAGGGCCAAGCAAGAATGTAGAAGAAAAGCTCGAAAATCGTAATACATCAGAATTCAAAACGAAAGAAACCGAGAACACAAAAACAAAAAATAGCGCAAAAAGTCAGTGGAAGTGCAGTAAGTTACCAGAAAACTCATCATGGACAGAAAAGACAAGCCCTCCTTTACCCTCATTCATCATTGGGGCTCGCATGACAGAGCAAGGGCCGTGGAAACCAAAAAAAAAAAAAAAGAAACAGAGATTAAAAATGGGAAATGGGAAGAGACATGGGAAAGGCGTAAAAACATGAAGACGTCAACTAAATCGCACAAAGCAAAACTCCTCTCCATATGTTCAGTGGCACCGTCAAGTTTTTTCCAAACAGTGATAGGAATGTAATACCGAAAACGGTAGGTTGGTCTGCTAATAACAGTAGTATAGCACGGAGAGTTTAATCATCCGTCATGAAGGGGGTAGAAGAAAAACATAAATAGCCAACTCCGTTACGTTTCGTTTCGTTCCCTTTCCTTCATCCAATCACAGCCGCGGCCCTATCCGTGATCTAGAGGATTCAAGAAAAGGTAGCTACACCTTTTACCCTCCTATCAATCAACGAGAGGTTCACGTGAGGAATTAGAAGTCGGGTGGAAACTGGAAACAGCGTACAACGGACCGGCGCTGCTGCTGGATTTATCCTCGAATAAATGTTTGAGTGGGGGATTCAGATAACGTCATATGCATCGACTGGTGATATGGAAGAGTAAAGCAATTCGGACAAGGTGGATTAGGTGAGGAAGAAGAAGCCCGTTCAGGGGTCCCTGGGGATCGACTGGGTGAGATGTGCCTTGGAGATCGTTGATCGTCATTGGTTGGCTTCGACGGAGATGGCTGCTTTTCATTATCAGATGCTTCCTGAGGCGACGGCGGCGGCGGCGACAGCGCAGACTCCGCACTGGTAGGAGCATCAGTTGTCATGGTTTCATTGTCCCGAGGTGCGGTGATAGGTGATTTTCGAGAAAAATGGGTTGTTGCGTGTGAGTCTGTCTTGGAAGATCCATACTTGGTTGTTTCATATACGTCAGTCTCAAAGCTACCAAAATCCACTGGGCAGTTTTCTACTGCGAGAGCTCTGGGAGACCTACGAAGCAGTACTTATCCACGAGTTCCTTGTACAGTGGCGATTGATGAGAAGGCTGTCCTGACACAAGGTCGGTATGTCTCATCGGACCAGGCGAGGATGTACGAAGTTGAGAAACTCCTGGAGAGGCTGCCACGGGGGGCTCAAAGGGTTCACGCCTCGCGGACTTGTCTGGAATAATGGAGTCGGGCGAAAACGTTGTCTTGTCAGCATGTTTGCCACGGCGGGTCTGATCAGCGCTTCCAGGCTGCATTGCAGCTGACAACGATGCTCCAAAATCATAGCGGTGTCCAAACGTGCGAGGGGTAGGGGAAGTTCTCCGGATGGGGGGTGGATCGTGGAAATCATCATCCTTCTGGGAAGCTGACGATTTCACTGCGGAACTTTTAGGTCGATGGTGATTGGGCACGGCAGGCAAAGGGGGAGACTTGAATCCGGGCTCTGCAGGGAAAGGAGGTACAGATTTTGAGCGAGAATTACTCAAGGACGAGGGTTTGCTCCGAGGGATAGGCCCTGATGGTCGAAAACCTGCAGAGCCCTTTCCGGGCCGTCCCACATTTTGCACCTTGGGCTTTTTCAAAAAGTCGATATGATAGTTCATCAGGTTATTGTTGTCCCAGAATTCAAGGCCATTGACATTATAACGTATGCAAATGAACATCCGTTTGGATTCAAGGTTTCCCATGTCCCCTAAGTTGATGGTGAAATTGAATCTGTCATAGCCATCGGTTGCTTGACTACGACGAACATCGTCGTTATACTCGGCAACAACCTCGGACGTTGTTTTCCAATAGTCTGATGTGAATCGCGCCACAACATGCTTCTGGAAAGAAATATTGGCAACGGAAACCACACCAACAAGATTCTTGTAATCTGACGATAAGAACATCCGCTCCAGGCGGACGGGCATGGTCTTTCTCGCTTCCAGATCATCTGGGAAATTCGCGATCCGAGCTTCCCACTCAATGGACTTTGATTGGAAAGGTCCGTTCGGATCTAGGTCGAAGGGAAATTCGCTATCACCGTCGTAGTCCTCCACGGGGGAAGAACCTGCACTGACAGCGAGAGGTTTGTCAATCTGAAGGAAGTGGCGAATATGCTCCAATTGAGAGTCGAAATGGACTGCCTTTGAGAATACTGGTGTGCCTGGAGCACTGCAGGGCCTTCTCTTCGGTCGAAGCGCAGGCCTCACAAGTTCTCCGGACTTCTTTCGCACCATAGACGCCTTAGTGCTGAGATCCATCTCATCCTCGCCACGGTCGCTATCCTCAGGGGTATGGGTTGCTACATCCGAGGAATTGGGATGAGGCACGCCTGATGTGTCTTTCTTCAGGCGAGACTTAACACGGGACTGCTGTGCCTCTGTAGCTAATGCCATCGACAAGTCCAATGGTGTTGGGGTGTGTTTTGAAATTGAAGCAGCCTTGGCGCCAGGTCCTTTCCTGCTGGGGGGGGTTTGAAGTGAGCTCTGATCGATGGACATTATTACGGCCTCAAAATCCTTTGAGATATCTCCCTCCAACCCTTCTGTAGACTTCCCTTCCTCATCGCTCGAGTTGGATTTCGAGTCCGGGGGTGAGATAACTGCCCCTGTCGGGATCATCGCACCTGATGGAGACTTCCACAAGGCTGCACCGGGGGTGGCATTTGACGATGACGAGCTACTCCTCCTTTTCGAGTTGGGTTCGATATCTTGCTGCCCTAGATTCGACATATGGTGAGAGTGGGTTGGGCTCCGTCGATGGCGATAGATGTAAGAGCTCGACGGCGGGGAAGATTGGCTGCGTGAATATCCCACGAGGTTCACAACTGGCTCGGATTTGTGTCGCTCATGGTGAACACTAGGCGGCGAAGAGCCAGCAGAAGCAGGCTGAGGGCGAACTTGCGAATTGAACAACGGAGATGGTGGAGTGTAGGGCATACGGCCGACTTGTTATGTCACAAGTGGGCAGAGAAGCAATCCTATCTCTGTAGATACATCCACTGCTGGTGCTGGTTTTCAGACCAGAAGGTAAGACTTGAACGTAGGCTTTGTGTTGTGGAAAGTAGACCTAGAAAAAGAAAAAAAAGGCTCGGAATCTGTGACTAGCTAGGTCAGTCTGTGAATACGGAAGTTTAGGGCAAACAAATATATAACCGGACGGTCTGAACGGAGATAAAACAGAGTAGATAGTGACAAAGTCAGAATAGCATCTATGATGTCCACTTCAAGTTGGATGGGGCATCTGTTTCAGGCAAAAAAAAAAAAAAAAAAGGAAATGAATCAAAGAGTGCACGTCATTCCGTATAGAAGAACTCACAAGGGTAGATGCGAGAGACAAGAGTTTCCTCCACTAGAGAGGGGAAATTTTTTTAAAACGAAGATAAGAAACTCCCGTCCTGTTAAATAAGTACTTGTGGAGGATGTGAAAAATATAGCAGCAATCCCTCCTGGAGGCGAAATGCATGATCTCCATTCTCCAACGGGCCTTTTTGCGTGGCGGAGGGGGGGTCGGGGATAGAGAAGCAGGGATAGTAGTAGCACCAACTTCTCTAGAAGCCAAGATATGCGGGGGATAGGCAGGCAAGAGAGGAGGCTGCTTTTTGATTCCAGCTAAGCGAGCAAGCAATCTAGAGCTTCCTGTGCGAAGGGAGGATTGCTTCTGATGCAGAGCTTCTGCGGGATGCTGGCTGTATGATGGGGGCTCATGATAGATAGCAAGGGCGGCAAACGATGGTGGCTAAACCATGAAGAAAAAGAACTAGACAACAACACAAAGAGACAGTTTCAAATTACCTTGTAGATAGATCCCCAAGCTGCCCTGCCCAGTCTTGGGAAGATAATGTATAATAGGAGAGAGAGGTTATGGCACAAACAGTCTAAATGATAGACTGGAGATGGAAGAGAAGAGTATTAGAAGAACGGGGGTAGAGGAACTAACTACTAGAGTAATCAAGGAAGAAAAAAAAAAAAAACTGGAAAACCTGGAAGACGAAGAGGAATAATACAAAAACAAACGACAAACGACAGCAGAGGAAATCAACGGCAAAATAGAGGGGACGATTTAACTGGGAGATTGGCAATTGAAAGAAAAGAAGAGGAGAAGGAGGAGGAAAAGAAGAAAAGAGGAAGAAGAAGATGAAGAAGATGAAGAAGAGCAGCAGCCGCAGCAACGCACGAGGAGGAGGAGCAAGAACGCGGACCCACAACCTGGCGCGATAAGGCGACTCAAAAAAAGACACTGCACTCACTGACAGGCAAGGGCAAGACCGGCAAGACAGGCAAAGACAGGAAAAAGACAGGCAAAAGACAGGCAAAAGACAGCCAGGCAAGACAACACAGGGAAGTTGGTGGCGGGACCCCGGCGGCGGCAAGGTCTAGTCTTTAGTCTTTTCTCTGTGTCCTCGCTACCACCGCCGCCAGAGCTTCCCATGGATGGATAGCGTTGGGGAGGGAGGTGGGACGATATCGAGTCTCAAGTACGGAGTACTGGACATAGACACGACATACGCTGCGTATATAACTAACTTCCTGATTTACTACACATATCTGGGGAATGTCGTCTGTCACCTTCCTATGTATCATCCATGATGCTCAGCTTGCGGATATCTATATCAAATGGGAAAGGTCATGATAGATGCATTGTTTCTCTTCCTCTGATGGTCCTCTCGGATGCAAATCCAAGAGACCTGTAATGTACGTACAATTGTACTTATCCATGCGTAGATTTTAAACTTCAAGGTGGGGGGGATTTTTGGTGGCTGTAGATAAAGTTTTGGCACTTTTTGTATACACTTCGGTAAGATCTGACAAACTTTGCAATTAACCATACATTCATAACATATATAGCAATTATTGACAATTGATGTGTACACACGTACAATAATAATTCATATCTAATTTGTACTGTACATGGCACGGTACATCCAACATGTCAAAAAGGGTCTCTAGAAAAACCCTCTCTTTTTTGTCCCACCAGGTCCTCAGCGTGCCTCAACGCCAGCTCTGCATATTAGTAGTCTTCTCTATCATGCATGAGTGAATCACAACATAAACTTATGTCCATCATGTCCATGTCCATTACACACGAAACGGGAGCCCTTGTAGGCCACCCCCCACCCAGGGTCCTGCAAACACAGCACAGGGAAGACCGAATTCTCGATATTAATCCCTGGAGGGGTGGATTCTGGGCCTGAGGCCTTGTCTTGTATTATTAGAAAGCCTAGAAGGAACTTAACAGAAACTGAGTTTTTTCTTAGTGCTGCATTTAGCGATGATAATAAATAGCAGCAATAATAGAGTAGGGTCTACCTGTGCCAATAATGCCAAAGTATGTAATCCCTGAGGAAGGAAGGGAGAGGAGAGGGAGCTCTGACAGACAAAGGCTGCTGCTGTTTTAACTAGTTATTAGTTTGATATTGTAGGCTACTGGAATGTCGTTTGTTCGTGCGTGTACGTACGTTAGTTAAGTTACTTATGATACTTGTTGATCTTGAAAGCTCCGTCGGCGATTCGGCACAGCCCGAAAAATATTTTTATCAAGAAGAAAGAACGGTCAACACAACAGGAATGGTACCATAAGAAGGTTCTCGGGTGTATAACGAGCGAACCCCGTTGTTGCGTGGAGTGGTGTGGTGTGATGGAGGCAAAAAAAAAAAGAGCAAAAAAAAAAAGAAAAAAAAAAGAAAAAAAAAAAAAAAACTGGTGTAGTTAGGGGTAGTTAGTTAACTAGCGCGGCGATAAGGAGGCAGGCGGGCTGATGAGAGCCGAGAGCTGGCTCCGGCGAATCAAAGCTCCCCAGGGATTCACATTTGTCTGATCAGTGATAGAAAAGTTCCCAGCTCCGTGTTTCCATTATTATGTGTACGGAGTATGTAGTTATGTAGTTATGTAGTTATCAGTTGAAGGTTAAAATTTCCTTTTTTTTAAGTCTTTTCTTTCTTTTCTTTTCTTTTTCTTTTCTTTTCTTTTTTTTTTTTTGCGTGCTTGATCTTACAGCGGCTTGGTCTTTGCCACTACTCCACTCTCAACGGCAAAAATTTCTTTGCTATCTTTTGTTCTATCTTCTTCCTTTTCGAATGATAATAATCAATGGTAAATGGTACAAGCTGTAACAGGTACACCTGTAGATGCCAATGGAGGGAAAAAAAAAAAAAAAAAAAAAAAAGGGGGGGGGGTTGCCGCAGGTTGATGGAGAAGAGATAGATGGTTTGGGAGAAGCGATAGACAACGCCATCCAGGCGATTCCAGTCACGTCATCTAATAAGTTCCTGCACTGGACTTTCAGGAATCAAGCAGGATTACAGATTATTATTATCTCAACGGAACATGTCAAAAGCCGTCTGGCAGCAACCCAAGAGAGGCAGGCTATGGGAATGATAATATGCAACTTACCTAGGTACCTAATAGTTCCCATACTGGCGAAATAGGCCCTGGAAGTGTTGGAGATTGATGTCCGAATAACTAATAAGTAATAACCAGAATGAATAATAAAACTGCAGGGAAGGAAAAATGAACCTAGGTTTTATTTAGGGCCTTTTGCCAATTGGCTTTTTCATGATCCCCTCCATTGTTGTTAGCACACAGCGCATTCTTGTTTGTAGTGTACATCATATACGCAGTACATGTACAAGTACATGGATGTACATGTAACCTACATACATTACCTCTCGAGATAGTTTTAAGTTTTCCATATATTGTTCCCTTTCTCTGCTCTTCCCCCACATTTTGCCCATTTCCCCGCCATATCCTTTCCGCCTTCTTCATCAGTTCCCATCTCGTGAAGTAACTACCACTAGACCAACTCTCTGGTTGTTTGATACTGATATGATATGCATGACGACGGCCCTTATCCATCACGTACTTGATCTCGGAGTTAAGTGCCCACAGACAGTTTATCTAGCTAGCTACACGCCCCACTCGGCCTCGTTCTGGCCCCCCCCGCCCCCCAGCGAGCTCGATTGCCACAGGCTCGACACTATACTGGCGCCATAGGAAAACTCTGTCGCGTCGCGCCTTGTCAAAATAGTAAGGAATGAATGAATCAGGGTTGAACTAGTGTAAGGCCCAGAAGCGCCAGAGTTCCCCAGCAGCCGAGATGGAAGGCTTGCAGGGAAACTGAGAAATTTATGCCAGACAAAAATAAATAATCAAGTTTAATGTTTTTTGTCGAGACACCAAGCTTATAAGTTAGCACTTTTCAAGGTTAGTGTTTTGCTTCCTGAGGTGCTCCGTACCGTACCCCACACCGTGGTTACGGATTACGCTGACAGTACTCCGTAGATGCTGAGAGCTTTTGTCCCTACTGGCAATTTGATTCTTGAAGCTTAGCAATTGAGGTCTAGAGGGATTCACTATCTCAACTACATGCAGATTATTCATCGATAGCCCGACAAGCAGAATCCTGAGATATAGAAACAAGAAAGGAAAAAAATAAATCTGGAGGCGGTGAGACTGAAATGCTTAAAGCTAAAGTGACGATCAGCTGTATTATTGGGAAGGTGAGTGAACAAGTCCAGGAACACCTGGCGGACCTTGACTGATAAGAAGCTTCATCCAGGCTGTCATCACGGCAATTGGGGTTGATCTTGTTGTTGGTGGTGTCTGTCGAATTTGAAAATCAAGTCAACGCTCTTTCCGGGTAACGTTAGCTATCCGACTTTGTGTGTACCGAGTACGGAGTACATAGTTAACTATGTAACTACTGTTGACACACACAGTGCGGATAGAAGAACTCGGAGACTAAAGTCGAGGTTGTTGCAAACCGATTTCCATCATCTGCGCCATGATTGCGCCAACCATGCACTCGAAACAGTCTGCTGGGAATAAGGAATAACACTGTGGCGCCTGGAACAGTGGGCAAGTCACCGTGCTAATTGGCTCCGTTCAACGCCCTCAATGCAGACTTCCCCCCGCATCTTCGCCAACCAGTCAACGTGTCACTCTTATGCATGCAAGCAATTCGCCGATAGGGGCCCAGAACCTGCAAAAGAAGAAAAAAAAACAATGTCAAAGCACGCGCTATGTCTCAAATCAGCTCTAACGGGCTTACTGTTCTTGGCGGCATCGAGAAGAAGAAAACGGTCAGAATCAGGGCAAGTTGGCAGAAAAACCATGTTCGATTGCAGGATGGCCCCTCTTCCCCAAGCCCCGGCTGCTTGTCCAGATCCCAGATCCACACATGAGCCTCCGAGCAGACACGGGCTGAGATGGAGCGAGGATAGGCAAGACCGATCATCCCCTTCGACAAATGCCGTTGGTTGGTGCGGTGCAGGGATGAGCTATGTAATTTTTTTTCTCAGGGAGGCGGCCTAACTACCAAGGCTTCGACAATTCGTCAACGAGCCATCCGATTGCGATTGTGTTGAGTCCATCCGTCCAAGAGCTCCGCTACATCGAAATCCCCTCTCAGAGTGGATATCCCTGTGGTTTTCTTCACATATTGATCCTGTGTATCACGGGCCTCCTTGACTGGAAATGGCGCACTAGTTTTTGCTTGCTTATCCGTTCCTGTAATACTCCGCGCCGTCCTACTCGCCACAGCTCCCGCAACGGTGTGCTGCAACCCATGCATCAACGGGAGGTTTGCTGCATTGCCATATTATTATTGCTGTCAACGATCAGAACCCCACTCTACCTATTTACATAGGTACACAAGGTATCGTATCTTGTTCTTGATATTTTCAGCTTCAAGCAAGAGATGAAAAGTTCCGATATAGAAAAGACCCTTACAAACTCCTTCCCTTCTGCATTCGCAGGGAATCTAGGGTTTGGGCCTCTAGATTTCTGACATGCAGCATTTCATCCAAACACATGCAAAAGGATCTCCAGCTCCTCCCAGGATGGGCTGTGCTGTGAAGACTAGGGGCGGTTAGACCTACAGTACAATGCCTGAGGCGCCGACGCTCCTTCTTCCCTGCACCGTGAACAAATATCAACTCTAGGACCTTGTTGACGTTTATCTCACGTTGACTGAGTACACATATTGTGACCATCCAAGTCTGCATTGCATGGTTACACGGATAATCGAGCTTAATACCTGCCTCTCCACGTCTACTGCGTTCATATTATGGTTCTCCATGTATGCGCCGCAGTCTGAGCGCTCGAGGAAGAAAATGAGCTATGTATGTTCCTATGAGATCAAGATATCCCTCATCTCAATCCAAATTCACTAGCCCACGACCACCTCTGTGAGTCTCTCATATCCGAGCCCGTCCCAAGCAACGAAAATTACACTCTATTCAAATCAGTTATGGGTGTGCAGCCTACCTCATTGAATCGATTCGTACCAGGGAGCTTGAGCGTTCTCCCGGAGGCTGGATACACACATAAAACAGTAAGTACTTCTATACCTTCCTACCTCACCGGTTTGTGTGCCTCTGTTCTTTTATCCCGTCTTCGACTACTCCGGACATTTCAACGAGATGCTGCTGTTTTAGATTCATACAATGCAAAATACTGTCATGGAATTTTTCCCGGGGTATGTTTGTACGACGGGTTCGTATCTTGACATATTAAACATGCGCATTATCTGTACATAACTACCCCAGTCGGCTCGCGTAACTTGCATAACATTACCCCCTTCTCCCCCTTCTCCCTTCCCCTCAGCAGGCATGGCAGATTCCCTGAGATTTGAAGCTCAAGACAATCGAGGGAGAGCTGCGGAAGTGACTGAGCCTGGAAGCAACGGCCCTCCGTCACGAAACGGTACTAATGTCCGAAATCCCCACCCGCGCCCTCCCAGGAACCCCTTTTTATAAATCAATCACATAGATCACATTTCATCGCAGCTTAACGGAGAATATTCGGCGAAACACAGAGTACATGTACAATTAAGATAGTTTTGAATCCACCGCTCGCTCTCGCCCGGTGCTCTTCCCTCTTCCCTGCACACCCCCCTCCCATATTCAAACCCCATGTCCCCACCAAGACACCAAGACACCCTGGCCCTAGGCCGACTCCCTTGTACTGTACTGTCGCTGGCTAGAACAGCTACAGTTACTACTATCATTACTACTATTATTATTAGCCATCGAACACCCCCAAGGACCCTCGCGGGGGGACCCAGCCCTATTGTAAGAAACCCTAGCCTGTGGAAAAGCGACGCAATGCATAACTATTCAAACCGCATCCCTCCCCCCTCTTCCTTCCCACCACCCATGCCTTGTTCAAATACCTTGACAAACCTGGGTACTAGCCATGCTACTTCGTAGTCCAGGCCTGTGAGTATCCACCTCCACTTCAGTGATAGCAGAGGGAGAAGGTTGCTTGCTAGGTTAATAGGTTTCGTGCTGGGCTGTGTTTTGCTCTCCCGGCCGATTTATTCTTGGGTCCGTCTGAGCACCTTTATTGGTGTTAGTTGGGCATGACCCTGCATCTACTCCGTACAGTACATACCTAATAGGTATGTCGGTAGCTAGCTAGGTAGGTAAACTACCAAGGGTATCTAGGGCTAGGGGACATTGCTGTGCAGCCACTGCGGGCGCATGCGTTGGAAGGATGATGCTGTAGAGCTTGGAAAAGCGAGATTTCGGAACGGTAAACTCCGTTATTCCTATCGAAATTCGAAACGGGTTTCTTTTTACTGGTGGGAAGAAAATGAATGAATGCAGCGAGTGATTCGAGGTTGTTGAAGCGCGGGGACCGGGGCGGGCGGGGGGACGGTGGGAAAGAATGAACATGAGAAAACAATCTATGAACCCCGGCAATAGAAAGAAAGTAAAGTATTTAATGTTCGACATGCTTTAGGAAGATGTCGGATAGATAACAAACATATAAGTAACAACATGTTTTTGAAACAATAGCCGTCAACCCAGGCAATACATTATTAGTTATTTCATCCTGTTAGAACGGGGGAGCTTGTGTGCGTTTACTTGCCAACTGCTGCGTAACCGTCTCGTCTGTAAACCCTCACGAGAGGAAGGACAGGACAATAGCAATAACAACAACAACAACAACAGCTGTCAAACTGGTGAAACTTGGAAAGAAAAACTTCATTTAAGTTGTGATTCATATGAATGGCCTCTTCGAATGTCTTCAAGAAAAGGTTGCATCTCTCTCATCTCCTTGACATCCGGCGTATGTATGTATGTATTGGCAATAAATTGGCCCGGGTTTTGAGCTTGAGCGTCGTCTTGAACGCAACCACTCTTTTCCAAACAAACGTACTATCCACCTTGTCCGGACCATCTTCCCCTGTCGGTCTTTTGTTCGTATAGCCTATTTCTAATACATACAAAACAAACCGTGCAAGGACCGAGACAGCTGGACAATTTCGTGGTCCTTGGGGAATCCTCTCGGCTACTGGCATGCAAAGGCTAGGTTCTTTTTTTTTTTTTTTCTTTTTTCAGTCTCCCCTCCCCTCCCCCTCCTCTCGGTGCGCTCTGACCTTCTGCATACGGCAGCTGATAGTAGCTTTCTTTTTGCCGTATCTTCTTTGCCTTATCGTCAAACTGTGGTGTTGGTCGGTCGGTCAACGGAAGGCTCGGGGGTGCACAGGATATGCTTTATCTTGTCTCGATTCTTAAAAGGTAGTTCTTCTCCATGAGTATTAACGTTGGGATTTGCGCGGGGCTTTTTTTTGTGTGTTGGATCTGATTGGTGCGGACATCGGGCGGGAGGCATGCATAACTCCTCGGCGTATACCTTGGGCTGAGCATTTTGTAATGTGCTTCCAATTGAGTCAGCCGGCACGTTTGTTCGACGACGTAGGTGTCTATCTATCTATCTTACCCCTCTTGCTAAACCGGGGTTACTTAGAGATAGTGGTGGCCAATTAACATAAGAAACCAATGCGGATACGCTTTGCTTTGCTTGCATATTCACTCGCAAGATATTGCATAGGTGGCTCAGATACCCCGCATAATATACACACCTATATGTCAAACTCATATATCCCAGAAGGTCTCGAACTGTTCAACCATTGAACTTAGACAGCTCAGATCCGCCCATGTCCGAACTCACACCCGGCTCATTCGGATGGATATGAGAGGCCAACACCATCTGAAGAATCAGCCACCTCCACATACTTTCGGCGGCCAAAGCTTCCCACAAGATATATATCCCTCTCATCCTGATCACGCGAGGCCTAGTAGCTGTATGATTAGATGGCATGCGTGGAAATGGGGACGGGAAGTATACGTCTCAGTACACTTCAAATGAAATACGGGGGGGGGCTCTTAGGTTAGAATAAACTGTTCAGGGTCGGGAAAAAGGGAACGCGAGATTAAACCACCAATCGCGAATGGAATAAGATTTGCTCCCACCTCCATGATGTGAGATTGCCCATAACAGATGGTTAGAACCTTGTCTCTTCGAGCGGGAGGGCGGTGTTTGATCGTCCCGCACGCACAAGGCACGGAGCACGGCATCACATGAAAATGTGGCAGAATTGGAGCAACCACCTTGACAAGATATACTGTACAAATTCGTTGCAATGTCGTCAATGGCGGACGGAGCACGCAATGAATTGCCAAATGCTGAGATCAGTCGGCCTAGCATCATCGAGAGCATGCAGAAGCATTAGCGAGAACCACCTCAAGAATTCCATGCATCCTAGTAACCAAGTGGTTCATTCATCGTCTCACGGCAGGACTAGGGCGGGGACTGAGGATCCATTTCGGACCGTCAAAGCCTGCCTGCTTATAGTAGTTTTATTTTGTGAGAAGGGGTACTCAGCTCTTAAGACTAAGATGGGTTGGGTGGTTTTCCAGGTGGTTGCAACTCGCTTGAGATAAGCTTTCTTTCCTGTAGATAAATGTTGTGACTATGGCCTAGGGAGGTAATATCAGCACCTACACTATGAATATGAATACCGGGAAGGAGATCTAAAGAAGAGAAAGTTGGACTTACTCAAGAAACCTTCCTTGAATATTAGTTTGGCGTCAACATAGTCATCTTCAGAGTGCAACACCCCTTATCCATATGACGCTAGGAGATTGAAGTCAGTGGCATTATTTGGCTTTCTAGAGCATAATTAGAGTAATTTTCTTGCTTTGCTAGGTATGAGCTCGAGTTGCCCTGCATTATTATGCTTCCATCATTCTGATGAAGAGGAATATCTGAAGCTTAATAATTTTGATATTGAATATGCTGATGCACAGGCTGGCGAGAAGTGAGCCTCCATGCCTGACATAAATGTCAGAGCATGTGGAGGCTCTGAAATAAAAAATAATATCCTCTCTAGTAATGTTCCTAGAGCGCGATTCAAAATCCCGTGTCTTTCGCAATCACTCCATGTAAAGTGAAGCTGTTGAGCAGGAGAGGTACAGCTTAAAAAGCTTAACCAAGAGGCAGCCAACTCTCTTCGGGTGATTGAAGGGGTCCTTTTCTGATTGCATGACAGCCATCTGGAACGCTTGTTGTCCTTATAGCATTTCTTTTTTTTCTCTGCTATAAGAGACTGTTCGGCACTGGCAGTCAGACAGAAAGAAGGCCGAGAAGTCTCCAAATCTCCAAAATAACATAACAGCACGCATCTGGCTGCGGGAGTTTTTCAGTGAGCATGTCGACCATTGCCCGATAAGGTCCGTATCTGAGTTTCAGAAAGTTAAACCCGGTTTAAAACAGAATTTCAGGATAAAATGACTGCCATCACAATGTCACTGACGTCAACCTCAGACATCAATGTGATGCCTGAAAAGGCCTATCTTCGCTTTAAACCAAATCAACAGACGGCAATCAAGCTTCCACTTTTTCCTGCCATATAAACTCGAACTGCAACCTTTTGTGAGGTGGTCGAGGCTGACAGTCCATAGAGAACCTCAGAGTGAATCATAGCACTCCAACGGGCTTCAATGGGAGAAGATGTCCATAAAGACGACCGAGAAGGTCTGCCTATCCCCCGGTTTCCACTGATTGGTGTTCTTCATCAGGCTCAACCACAGAAATATGCTCTGTTTCCGCGGTTCTGTGACGGCTAAATGCATAGGGTTCGGAGTCTACCGACAGGATTTGTAAACGTGCTCTTTTTATCAATTGACATGGTCGCCCGTTAACTGTCGCCGGGGCATGGCACAGGGCGGGAAAAGCCTTGCCGACGTCAGTGACGTAGTTGATAGCGGGTTGGCAGTTGCTTCCATCCGGATCCGGCAATTTATTTATTTATACCCATGGACGGGACGGGAGACAGTCCAGCTCTCGAAGTCCTTGAATTACTCCCAAGTAGCTGTGCACAGGAACGCATGATCATCTGCAAGAGAAACCGTTGTTCAGGAGATACCGACGCCTGTTGCTATACTATTTAAGACGTTGGTCATCATTTGCGCCAGCGCCGTGAATTCTCCCACATCCAATTCGTCAGATTCTCAAGTGGACGAAAGACCAACCAACAACGCCAGACGAAATAGGTTTCTGCCATGTCATAATTCAGAAATAATGGTTCATCTCTATCCATCTTCCGAACTGTCATATTAAGCTCTACTCCCTTATATTGCGCTTTATCTGTCGTGCACTTTCTATCCGAACTAGAGAGTACTCGGACCTGCCCCTCACTACTAGCACTAATGCGAGGGATGCGACAATGTCGAGCGGAAACTCTACGGGAGCTGGCCTGGTGAACTTGGAGACGGAATTAACTTGCTCGGTAAGGATTAAATTCAAATTGAGCTCCTAGGGTGTCCTGTCAACCCAACCCTCTCAACGACACGGCAGTCTAACTTGCAGCACCAGATATGTACAGATATTCTCTATCAGCCACTGACCCTACTCGACTGCCTCCATACCTTTTGTGGCTCCTGTTTGAAAGAATGGTTTTCATGGCAGGCATCGCATCCACCTAGCTCCAGCAGAAATGTCAAATTTACCTGCCCGTCTTGTCGAGCGGTGATCCGCAACACGAGACATGATGCTAAGGTTAATACGCTACTCGATTTGTTCCTGCAGTCGAACCCACATAGGGCGAGGGGCACTGGAGAGAAGCAGCAGTTGGAACAGAAATACAAACCTGGCGATATTCTTATACCAACACGGCCGGCTAATTCCTCCCGCGCGTCCGACTCAGAAAGGGAAGACGAAGAAGATCGTAGATTGCTGGAGGACGTTAGACAAATGAGTTTATCAGACGTAGATCAAAGACGTGCACGTGTGAGCTCTAGTTCTCGAACCTCGCAATCTCGGACTCGAGATCGAATTCCAGGGACTAGAGAAAGAGACCGCCAGGAAGAAGCTCAAAGGCGAAGACGAAATGCGCGGCGGGCTGCAAGTCAACAGCGAGCTTCCCCCGATCCGGCCATGCGTACAAGGCGAATTGAGCACCAGGCAAGCTTACGATCGTTGTTAAGCACTTCGGATGGAGATTCTGCGATGGAAGAAGAAATTCTTAGACAGATTATAGACGAAGGGCTGTTGGATGGGATAGATTTACAAAGTTTAGATCCGGCGCAGGAAGATGAGCTCAGTGAACGAATCGCCGAAGCGTACCGAAGGAGACACCTTCGCCAACCTATTGCTCGCCAAAATGCGCGTGGTGATAGAGATAGTCGTTCGCGGGATCCTAGAAGCCGTCAACCTAGGACAAATAGTAATAACGAGCGCCCTCCAGTTTCACGACCACATTTGCTTGAAACACCAGCACCAAGGCCCGGCCGCACAAGCCGACAGCAAAGGAGCTCCTCTGACCAGGGCGTGAGGCGTAGAGCGACGTCACCAACCCATAGACCGGTTGCGTCCTCATCGGACGCGCTCGTACAGCCAGTAGTGAGGTCTTCTAGCGATTTATCCGGCCAACGACGCCCTTCCCAGAATCATTCAACTTCAGAGTCATTCCGACACCGAGCGACATCGTCACTCTTGTCCTCTAGACGTAGCGGCGAATCCGAACGGAGGGTTCGCCAGAGCGGCATACGGACTGCTGATCGTCAGCAGATATTTGGCTCCCCAACCTCCCCAACCACTACTACGATTACAAGTGCTCAGACATTATCATCCAGCCCGCACAACCCCCCCTTCCAGTCTACTTCAGGACCTCAACCGACCGAGCGTATTCCGTCCGCTGGCATATCCTCATCCTCAAGACCGTCATCGTCTCGAAGTGACACAGCTATTCGTTCGAGTAGCGAATCACTTCTTCCAGAGCCGTCTATCTCATGCAGTCGATGCGATAAACGGAACATTCAATATAAGGTTTACAAGACCTGTACTCGATGTGATGATGGCAATTACAATTTGTGTTTACTTTGCTACCGAATGGGCCGCGGATGCCTGCACTGGTTTGGGTTCGGGAACAGTGCTCAGGTCCGGTTTGAGAAGAAATATCCAATGGGAATTTCAGCTGTCCAAGAACCACCACACATCTTGCAATCACGTAAATACCTGCGTCCACCGGGTGAAACAACACAAAACCGGCCGAATAGCTCCCGAAGACGAGCAAAGGACGATCCTGCAAAGCGGCTCCAAAACGGTATGTTTTGTGATATGTGCCAATCATTTTCAGATGACTGCTTTTGGATATGCAGCGAATGCAACGAGGGAGAATGGGGCTTTTGTAATAGCTGTGTCAACCAAAGCAAATGCTGCACACATCCTCTTCTGCCACTCGGTCGAGTCCGGGAGAACGAGATTGGCCCCCCCAATCCACCAAGCTCATCTCCCGTAATTCCTTCCAGTTATCAATTAGGATCTACTATCAAGATTGGTAGCGATCGCTATCAGCCTCTTACCTTCTCTACAAAATGCAATAACTGCACCTATCCAATTCCACCCTCGACAAGTCGGTTCCACTGCCCAGCATGCAATAATGGAGATTATGATCTTTGCACAAACTGCTACTTGAAACTAGGGGCGAACGGCAAAATCAGCAAAGAAAACGGACGAAATGGCTGGAGAAGGTGTCTACAGGGCCACCGAATGATTATCGTCGGCTTTGAAGACGACCCAGATGGCCAGAGACGAGTTATAGTCAAGGATATCGTTGGAGGCCATGCGCTGAAAGACGATGTAGCGGCAGCGGCAGCAGCAGCCATAGCGGCTACCGCAAGCGAAAACACAACTACGGGCAGTCCCAATTCTAATGCGCCAGTCCCGATCCCCGTTCGCCAAGATTCCGGAGACTGGACGTGGAAAGAAGACACCACAGGCACTACCAGCATTTCCCACCGTCGACGATTTCCACGAACACGCACAACCTGGTCGAACTCATCGCCAATCACGCCGACCGATCCCACAACCAAAACCCACTTTGCCTCCCATTTCCCTCCATCAGGTGGTATTGGGCTGCGTCTACTGGCGCAGTGGTCATATTACCCTGACCCGGACGTGATGGATGAAATTATGTTTCCTCGCGGAGCGGAGATTACGGAGGCGGAGAACATCAACGGTGACTGGATGTGGGGGTGTTATGCGGGACAGAAGGGCCTCTTTCCCGGTGGATATGTGGTTGTTATAGAAGAAGTAGGGGTGGATGGGGTAGGGAGGGACTAGGCATGGGTACGATTTTGTTTCAGATAGAAATAAATGGTGTTCGATGTTGGTTTTTAGCCAGTGAAGGAAGTTCGACAATTTGATATTTTCTCTTTAGTTCCTTTCTATAAGTTATCTAATGACGACGAAGGTAGGTAGTCGATGCTCGAGGTGGCTGGGTGTTATTATGGCTATGTTTATGCGAAGAAGGAACAACGATTGAATGATTGAGAATGTATCCTATGCTATATGCACATAATAATTCAAACAATTCCGTCTAGGTAGATACTTTCCGGAAAGATTATAGTATAGCAATAACTCAGACATGGAGATTGTTGAGCTGTTCTCCATATATTCAACGATGCAAGTGGACGCGTCGCATTGGCACGTGATCCAGTTTCAGCCCATCTCGACTTTACCCCTTTTTATTTTCAATGCCTGTCAGTTTTGTTTACACACAGTCTATCTCTAGCAGTATAACATGACGGACTTTGGCAGTTGATATAACTTATAAACCACCAATCCCATCCGCTGCCAGGTCTGCCACGTCTACTGCAACTACAGCAGGTCCTGATATATCCGAACGTAGCAAACCTAATAATTTCAAAGACGCGCATCCATCCACCACGGCCCGCAAAAATGTCCTCCGCCACACCCAACAACAAACAAGCCTTCCTCCTAGACCTCCCTACCGCCCTCTCCCTCGCCGCCGCCCTCTCCCTCCTCCCCCTCGCCTCCCTCCTAACCCTCCTCCTCATCCCCTCCAGACGGCCTAAGACAGACCGCCTCCTCTTCTTCTGGCACGCCTACGACGCTCTCACCCATCTCATAATCGAAGGTTCCTTCCTATACAACTGCTTCTTCATCTCTACGGAAATCCCCGCCGTCACGGCCCAACATATCCCGGGCCCACACTTCCTTGACCAGCCGCATCGCCTGTATGGAGCCGCGTATGGCACGGGCGCCACCGCGCGTCTGTGGCAGGAGTATGGGAAAGCAGATAGCCGCTGGCTAGGCGCTGATCTGGGTGTGGTTGCGCTGGAGTTGCTTACCGTGCTGCTGGGCGGGCCGGCGGCGGTGTATGTTTGCTATACGCTCTATAAGTCCTCCTCTGCTTCGTTGTCGTCGTCGGCGGTGGCGGCGGATGCGGATGCGACAGTTCAAGCAGCAAAATACCGGTTCAGGATGTGGTTTGTGGCGATTGGCCTGGCTGTTGCGGAGTTGTATGGTGGATTTATGACCTTTGCACCCGAATGGCTTTCCGGGAGCCATGCGCTGGACACCAGCGATCCGATGTACCTGTGGCTTTATCTTGTGTTTTTCAACATTCTGTGGGTGTTTTTACCGATTTGGGTTTTGAAGCAAGGGTGGGGAGAGGTTAAAGAGCAGTTTGTTCGTGCGGCGTTGGCTGGGAAGAAAGGAGCTTCCAAGAAAGATTTATAAAGGACGGGGGAGAGATGTTTTCTCTGATACCCGGCGTGTTTTGTTGGCGCGTTCATAGCCTAGCAGTTTTGAAAATAGGTGGCATGGAGCGGCCAAGTTGTGATATGGGGTAGGTAGGGGGAGAGAATTTCTAGTTCTTCCAAAGATGCGAGTGTTCTGGCTTTGTTTTTGGGGGCCGTTGGTGTGCGTGTACTATCTTTGTGTCGGGTACGAAAACAAAATTTAAGCTTAAAACGATAACGGATGCAAGCCAAGGTTCCATGCCATTGTTACCGTTGTTGTGTTGGCATACTATTTGTTGTTTATGCTACTATATCCATATTCGCCGCTGATCACTACCCCCTACTATGTTTTAAGGTCATAGGTTAGGTAGAATCCAAACACACTCTTGTCTGTTCCTTTCCCCTCCCTTGGTCTGGATCCGTGTTGAAACCTGAGGCTGTCTCCGGACTGGACTGGGTGGGATATTAGAATCTCCTCTGGCTCTATCCGTACCTCGCCCATAGACACCCGTTTGACATCAAGCCACCTTTTGTGCAGCAGGGATAACCCATTTATTATTGTGGGATGTGGAATACTTGGCTTCACGCCTTGATCTAGAGCAGCAAACGGAAGACACCAAGGAAATTCCACAGCCGCGATGGGAGAGCACCGCCACAATCTTCCAAGAAACTATCCACACTAGCAAGAATAATAACGGGGGGAAAGCGAACTCATTCTGATATCAGCGGCCAGACAGCACAAAGACGAGGCCAGTGAGGCAGCCTTATGCGTCCGTCTTGAAATGGTATTATGAGAGAGCCGGGTTTTGTTGTTTCGGCTCCTATTCGGCCAGTCTGCCCCGCCACAATCATATGAGGGGCATCGCTGATGATGTCAGGGACTTTTTCCCTTGGTTAAGGCAGATCCGGGCCACAGGCTCCAAGCCCAGAAACTTATCCGTGGTCAGGTCCTTGCGAAGGGACGGATGAGAAGATTTGTATATTATTTACTTCTGTAGTTAAAACTGTGGGACTGGGAAATCAGCCCCATCTTATCGATCCACTCCCTCCGCCAGCCACGACGCGAATATTTAAACAAATGCAAACATCTCCCCCGCTCCATATTTTCTTAGCGTAGGCACGCTTTGCTCTCGCTTCCCGCTATTTCATTTTAGCAAAAGGGAATTGCTGTGATAGGTACCAGAGATCTCGAATTCACGTCCTACTACCCACGGACTGCGAGTTTTCAAAAGCAAAAATGGCTGATCCTAATGCATCTCCTGGCTGTATGTGTTCCCCCAAGCTCATAATAATAAGTTAACTAGCCTTGATTGTGATGCTTACCAGTCCTCAGCTGGCCACCCTCCTCCCGCGCAACCTGGACAATATCCACCACAGCAATATGGTGCCCCTCCTCCCCAGGGCTTCCCTCCACAGCCAGGACAATACCCTCCCCAGAGCCCATATGCGCCGCAACAAGGGCAACAATATCCCCCGCCTGGCCAGTACCCTCCACCGGGTCAATATCCACCCCAGTATGGCCAATATCCGCCTCAACCTTATCCCCAGCAGTATCAACAGCCGCAGGGCCACTACCAATATCAACAACCACCGTATGGATACCCACCACAAGCTCCACCCGCGGGGTATAATGCACCACAACCAGGTGCTCCGGGATACGGCGCACCACCCCCCGTCCAGAACCCCCCGATGCAGCCAAATTTTGCGCCAGGAATCGCGATGGAACGCCCATCGATAGGTTACACTCCTGGCCAGATGGCCCCAAATGACCTCGCTGACGATGCCGATGCCCTCCGAGCTGCCATGAAAGGGTTTGGAACCAATCAGAAAGTTCTCATCAAGATTCTCTGCAAAGCGGACCCCCTGGCTATCGAGAGGCTAAAAGATACCTTCGCGAAGCGCCTCGGACGTGACCTGAAAAAGGATATCATCTCCGAGACCTCTGGCAACTTCGAAAATGTCCTTGTCGCGCTGGTTCACGGGCCGCTCAAGCAGGATGTATACGCGCTCAGGAAAGCTCTCAAGGGCGCCGGCACAGATGAAGCGATGCTCAACGACGTCCTGCTCGGCCGATCCAACGCTGATATCAACGCGATCAAACAGGCTTACATGGTAGAATTCAAGGGCAGATCCCTCGAAAAAGATGTCAGCGACGATCTATCCGGCGACATCAAGGCGCTCTTCAACATCATCTTGACCGCATCACGGCCTCCAGAGAATGCGCCAATCGGCCCCAGCGAAATCAATCTCGCCGTCAAGGACCTCTACCATGCCATGAGCACGCTGATCCCCGACGCCGCCGTCGCCACCCGCATCTTCACAAGCCACTCATACAGCCAACTACGCCAGATCAAACAGCAGTACGACGTGCAGTACAAAACCGTGCTCGAGACAAAAGTCGAGAGCAAGTTCTCCGGCCACATGAAGGCGGCACTCCTTGCGATCCTACAGAGCGCCACGGACCCGATCAAGCGGGATGTCGAGGGCATTGAGGCCGCCATGAAGGGCTGGGGCACCAAGGATGTTCATCTCATTGAGCGACTCGTGCGGATCCACTGGGATAGAAACCGGATGCAGCAGGTTAAAACTAAGTATAAGAATGTATACCACAAAGAGCTCGTGGATAGAGTGAAGGGGGAGACCAGCGGCGATTACAGGGCGGCGTTGGTAGCGATTTTGGAATGAGTATGGATAAGGCATGGGGCATATGATGATTTATTTTTACTTCTTATTTTCTTCTGAAGGATTCGTGGATTCGTCCTTATGTTTTTAATATGGCGGCGCACTTACCCCCATTCCCCGGCCTTCTTCCACCCATTTCGTTTCGTTTCGTTCCACCATCTCCTGTTTTCAGTTTGAATGACTGGCGAAGAGTGCGCTATTGTCCGCGCTCTTGCTCGATTTCTATACTTGCCTTCCTTGTTTGGCGCCCCCTCTTATTAACCATTATAACCATTATCTCTACACGAATATTGCCCCTTTTTTTTCTTCCTTATATTGAGCGGCAAGTTTCCGCAAATTGAACATGCACATCAAATGTCTCTATATACTTAAACCAGGCTGCGAGGTCATAATATATTTTTATACCCATAGCATGTGTGTTCAGACGTGTAAACCCCTTCTGTGAAGATTATTTCAACATACTCTCTTCCGTTACATCAGATATTAGGGATATATCGAGCAGTGAGATACTGATGGGCAGCAGAATTGGTATACGATAGATATTAAAAAAATGAACACAAAGGCAGATATCCAAAAGAGCATTAACAAGAGGGGAAAATATAATAAAAGAAATAAAAGAAATGTATAAAACAAGCAAATCACTCGAGAACAGCAATCAAAAATTTACAACATGAGGATTGATGTATCCCATGTAACAGAAATGGGGTATATAATGCCCTGATAAAAGCCCTATGCATGCAGTTCATTTCTGGCCGTCATTTCGTAAAGTTCGTAAATATATTTGTGTGTGCCTATGTGGCAATTGTGAATAGGGGCATTAATACGGTGTTGTGTATGGTATGTAGCTAGCTGGATGGTAGGTAGCGACTGGATGGATACTTCGGTATATCATCATCGTGGAATATTAGTTACTTGTGTGTGTATGAATGAGTGATAAGAACTAAGAGACAAGGTATGTTAGCCTCGTATTTATATAAATAGAGAAGAATTAATAGGAGGGAATATTTTAAACATACCGTATAATCGGGGCTCGTCTACGAGTTGTGTCGGGTCGGGATCGCTTTTCTGGTGCATTTTCGACGTGCACCGTGCTCACTCGATTCTCTCCAACCACTCTCCTGACCCCTCGATATAAAACTTGGAACAAAACAACAAAAGAAATCCACCATAAAGGGATCATGAAAAGCCTCATCCTCTCCACTTCAAATCTCCTGAATATCACACCAAAAGAAAAAGAAAAAGAAAAAGAGTCAATAAAAACACGTTGAAAGAAGCAAAAAGACAGGAAACAAAAAAGGAACACAAAACAAAGAATCAAACCCTCCCCCTCCCCGTCCCCCTTCCCCCCTCCCCTCCCTCCTCCGCCTCACTCCCCTCGCCACTCCCATTCCACAACCGACCCACACTCTCCCGCACACTAAACCCGCCAAACAGCCAGTCATTCGCATGGCGCCCGCAGTGGTTCACCGTCCCGGACAGCCGCCTGTTTTCACTCAGGGTGCTCCCCCCGCTAATCTTGCGCTTGGGATGGCCGTGCGGGTTCGAGTGGCGTTTGCGCATGGCGCGAAGTGGTGTTGGCGGGGTTCTGGCTCTAGGGCTTGGGCTTGGACTTGCGGTTGTGGCTGTTGGGCTGGTGACGAGGGGTGCGGGGGAGGTTGTGCGGTGGCTCGAGTGGGTGAGGTAGGTGAGCGGGGCGCTGGTGCTGGGGGTTGAGGTGGAGGAAGAGGAAGAAGGGGTGTCGATATTGTTGGCTTTGGCGGCGGTGGTGGAGGTGGTGGAGGTGTCGATTGGGGTTGGACGGGGGGATTTGGAGCGGTAGCGGAAGAAGCGGCGGGTTGACGTTGTTGTGGTAGTGGTCGTCCTCATTTTCATTTCGGGCATCTCGGGGGTTGTTTCTGAGGTTGTGTGTGTGGTTGTGATGGGTTTCTCGTGCGTTTTCTTCCACATTCGTTAAGTTTTCTTTGAAACGAATAAGGGGAAAAGACAAAAGGTTTGTCGATTCGATTGGATTTTGCCTGTCGAAGGACCGGGTCGATTGGTGTCGATTGGTATCAACGCAAATTCAATTGCGGATTAGTAGCGAGCTTTCGTCGAGAAGGCTCTTTCCGCTCGATAGGCCTGGTTAAGATATCAAGACAGCAATTCTACAGTTATCTTTCTTATGCTGGTTATCGAATGCGGGATCGGACGTGTTTTGCGACAATGTTCGTGGAATCTCAGAACCAAGTCTCGAGATCAGGAAGCAAGGGAGAGACAAGGACGCACTGCGTCGGTTATTGGGTATGTTTGTACTGGTGATATACGACCCGGTAACAGGACGGAATACGTTTGATAGTGCGGAAAGATAGGGACACCAGTGCCAATTCTATTGCTCTGATGTAATTATTTGAGAATGAGGATGTGTTTTGTCTCGATCAACGGACGACGAAGGTGACTTTATTATTGTAATATCAAGAAGGACTATATGAGACTCGAATGACGCATAAAAAGCGAGAGGTTAAAGAAAAAAAAAGATAGATTCGCTGGGGGAAGCGAGGTATTTATCTTCATTTTGATTTCGATTCCGCCTGAGACCTTATCTGCAAGCCCATACATATTATTCTGAGATGATGTGCACCATCACATCCACCCCAAAATTAGTTCCTCGGCAGGGGATGTGGATTGGTCTGTTACCAGGACCAAGTGGAGCATTTTGTGCAGTTCCGGAGAAGAAGATAGATACCACTCCAGTCTAATTATTTTTGAGGCGCAAAGTGATTGAAATGATGCGGTCGGTCGGCTGGTTGGTCGCTCTCCTGCACCCGGGATCGTCAACCTACGCTGCGTAGGCTGGGAATAATTCGTCCCATTTCAGTGGCAGGGAGTTAGGTGGTGCGGACTGTCGATGCTCGATCACACCGTTTTCACCTACCCTACCTTTTCATTATTATTACATAGTATTTGGTCAGTCACTGGCTTCCCGCTAGTTACTGTTCCCAGAACTCCCATGCGTTGGCACACCCTGTCTCCTGGAACCAGTGAATCATCGCGCCGACAGAGCCATCTTCCGAACTTCAAAATTCTGTCGCTTGTGACTTTGAACAAATCAGCAAACTTCGAACCGGTGACGATGTATTTCGCAAGCTATTCACCCCTTAGTCGAGCCAAGTCACTGGTATGTTTTGGGGTGCAGCAAACTGTCTTGCAATCTGGGGGCTGATAGGGGTGGGGCGGATGGCCAACTGGGCCGAAAATGCCTCCAGAACGGGGCGGGGATCAGAGGGGTGTGAGATAGGAGCAGTTTGGCTTGTGATTCTGGGCCTAATTCAGCCGTCTATGGGCACCAATGCATGGAAGCTCCAATCCCACATCCCCAGCTCGTCCGTTTCTGGCCAGTTTGCTGGTGCATGCCAGGCTTTTTGCATCCTGCCTAGGTTGCCTATAAATCGCAGCTGTTTTCGCTGTATGGGTTATCCGAAACCAAGCTCAAGTTTGCCCTGTTCCCATTTTTCTGCGGTCTGTTAACTAGCCCATTGTTACTCTCGGCGCGTTAAGTTAGTAGGTAGCGCGCTATATGAAGAGTCATCGGATCAAGACGGCATAAAATGAACTGTGTATGTGAAAACTGCCGTATCATTTCGGCATCGGGATCCGGGTCAGGAAATATGGATGACTTTGGGATAGCAAATTTAGCAACAACGGCAGAGATTCATCGCCAATATTTATTGCTGCCGAAACGGCCAATGACATCCCCAGGATTGGTGGCTCTATCTCCATATCAGGTGATACAAGGCAGGCACAGGCCGCGGATCTGGCTGGGGAGCCGGGATTGTGATGAACAATACGGATGGGAAACTGGTGGCAGAGCCTCAAGAGCGGCTTATTCTTCTTCTTGGCATTCGTCGCCACCGTGCCTGCAACCCACCCCCTGTTCAGCCCAAAGTGGAGCACATCTCTGCCTTCTAGCGTCCTTCTAGAAAATAACATGGCGTCTTTGGTGACCTCCCATTCGCTACGGCACCATCCTGGTCACAACAACCCCGGGTTGCAGGCTTACCGCCAGTTTCTGAAATCACATGGACGAGACCTGACCTGGATGACGTGTTGGTTGCATGGCGTGTTTAGTCCCCAGGGGACTAACTCGCCGCTTTTGCTTAGTATATGTCATGCAACTTCATACCTAGATGGACTTCATCTGTGAAGGGCGAGTGCATAACAGGTCTCAAAAATGAGATTTTATCCATCAAGCCATTCGGTTCACATGAATAAAATATTAAAAACTCGAACATAAACATACGAAAATATAAGCTCAAATCTTGATAGCTGCCTGTATAAAAAATGGTCTTATAACTCTCGTGGAATAATTAGTTAGTAATCTTGGCAGCATATCAGCATGAGAAGGTGAAAAAGGAGAATGAAACTTGAGACAAAGAGGAGTCGCGATCTCGCTACAATGTCGAAGAAAACATCAAAAAAGGGGGGAAACAGAAGAAAGAAAAAGCAAAAGAGACAACTAGATAGAGGTGATGGATAACTCAGCTTCAATTATAGATCTTGTATGTGTATCTTTGCAGCAGTCAGAGAACTTTTCAAGTACAAATACAGCACAGATCTTTGATTAGACATTCATAATGACAATTCTGAATGTTTGGGTGACTCAGCTGTTAGAGCCTGTACTGCTGAGTTGTAGAAGATTCTGAAACTGTTTTGATCATGAATGTCTTTGGATTTTCTTCTGTGATTTTGTTACTTAGAGATTTCAATCTACTGGAAGACCTTATTCTCAAAAAGAGTGAAGAACTGAAGATCAACAACAGAAGAAAGAATATTGAGAACTTATCAATTCTATATACAGAATTTTGTTATTCTAATTCACATTTCACTGCAGATATTAAGCAGTTGTCAGATAAGTGAATAGCTCAAGCAGTTCTAAGCATGATTGAGATATGTTATTGAGATTCCTTCTATCAATATTGTGAATATAGAAATATTGTCAATTCATTCTTGTAACTAAGGGGTGGGATGACTCAATGAGACATCAAAATCAAACGGCTAGATCTAACCCTGTCGGCCTGAACCTTGAAGGGAACATTCTTCGTGCGTTCCATGGAGTTCCACGATCCATGGTCGCTTCCCGCTGTCAGGTGATTTTCAGCCGCACTCTGCCAAGGAACGCTAAGCCTCACCATCCGTACGATTATCCAAAATGTCCAGCCAACTCAACAACAATGACGATGGTTCCCAGAATCCCAGCGAACCATCCATCTCTACTCCGTGCACTGTGAGAAGTCTTCACATGCAAAAACATCGTTACTTTCCCATCATTAATTGGCCGTGGAGAAAGCCATGTATTGTATGTATGTCAACAAGTTCCCTCAAATGTTACAGGGTGCAAATAATTTTGATACTATGACAAATGAGCTTCAACAGCTGATGGATATGTGCCATGGTATATTTTGTGATTCCAGATCCAGTCGTTGGCGGTATCAGACCCACGAGACTGTGAGGACGAAAAGCTATACCCCGGCTTGAAACTAAGGAAATATCCAACATGGCGCTCTTGTTGAATGATTGGCGAGCCCTGCGCAGTGGACCGCAGGCATGATCCAGTTGCACTACATGAAAAACAACAGGAATGGTGGCGGCCCATGCTGCTCTGAAACGCATGCAAAGGGGAATACCAGAACTAGTACTCTGTATGTATATTTAACTAAGAGATTGAGGGACTGCTGTTAAAGCCCTCTCTCCTTGAGACGGCAATGTATGCCAACGTGCCTGCAGAATCTAGACAACGAGGTCATGATAGCAGCCACACTACCGCATCCGTCCTTGTTCACACACCAGCTCTACCAATTAAAGGATCTTGTGCGACTAGTTCTTTCATGAAAGAAACAATCAGAAAGTTTTCCCCAAACATAAAAAGAAACTAAATAGACATCTGTGGAACCTTTGAAATTGGAAGATGATAACAGAGTGTGGAATTTTCCCACATTTGGTTGGTTGGTTTTCTTAGAAAATTAATCAGATTTTTTCACCAGATCAGTTTATTCCGAGATTGGTTCTGAGAAGCCACGGATGTGAAACTCCAGTATACTGTAACATGGCACCTTGAGAAGACATGATCAATCCTTTGAGTGAAGTGAAAGTAAAAGTTTCGTGCCATGCTCTCCTCTGTTATCGGTTAACTATGTATTCGCAAATCTTACCCCTTGCTGATATATATATATATCTTATGCACTATACTGGTGTATGCCCTGCGGTGACAGTGTAATTTCTTTTCTTTCTTTGATGTAGCAGTAACATCCATCATTACTCCTGATTAACTTAAATCTAGAAAGGGAGACATTCTTTGTTCTTCTGAAGAGAAAAAATATAGGAGAAAGTGTAAATCAACTTTGACTATTAGTTTTGTCTGAATTCATCTCTTTGATTGTAGAAAGTGAGAACTTCCCACTCTTTCAACCAACTATGAGAAGAATAAAGTCCTCCTGATGCATTTGAATCCACTTCACAGATTTACAGGAATGATAGAAAGCCAGCCTCTGAATCAAGTTATTGCTGTAATCATTCTGAACTGCATACATAATTCTTTTCAGGTTAAATTGCTCAAAAGACAACAATGTAGTGTCCATGGAGTGATAAAGTCCTTTTGAAATAAAGAGTGCATCCAAAGCCTAGCTGTACTGTTGTAAGCATTGATGGCATTTCAGCACAACAGATGAGGTGCGGAAGAAGAGAGTTGAAAAGAGAACATTTTTAAAGAGAAGCAAAATGTGTAGAACATCTGATAACAAGCTAACTAGTCCTACTAATCTCCTTCTGGATGGAGATATCCTAATGAGCGTTAAAAAATCGTTGAAACAAAAATCAAAAATCAAACCCCGAAATTCAAGAAGACCGAAATGTCTCTCTACACCCGTTTCCCGCCGATATTAAGTGGTTCGATGCCCAGCACCATTTGAATGATCGATGGTCTCGAGCCGCACCTTCGCCGTCAACTTCGTCCCCAACTATATTCTCATCTCCCAGTCCTGCTTGACGTCCCATTATTAGATGGCACTCAGTGAGTGACCTCAATCCCGTTGGATTCAACCCCATCCCTTGACGTTTCATCAAGCAGCTCTCTTCTTCGCCAGGCGTGCTCATATTCCACATCAGTCATTCCTATACCCCTATACTTGTGTTCGAGGGCGTCGAAAGCAAGGACATTGTCCACGTGTTCGACCCCTGGTAAAAGAGGTTAGCTCACCACTTCTATTCTCACGCGAATTATTCCATAGATATAATAGGCGAACGCATAAATAAGGGCTATAAATAAAACAAGTAGCTGAACACTCACAATATTGAGGAATCTCTTGATTAGTTACTTCCACCGCAACAAAGTTACTGAGGACAGTGCGCCGTGAAACCTGGCTGTTGTCTGCAAATGTAAAGTGCGCAACTGCACCTACTTTGAAATTCCCCAGAGCTCCAAATAGGACATTCCTGAAAAGCACCCAATGGTAGGTGGGAAGCCCATCTAAGACTCTGAAAGTGTTTGACGTAAACTGTTCAGGCATAGATGTGTTCTCCTGGTCTGCTCTCTGAATGTGCAGAGTTGTTTCAATACGTGTAACTCGCTTGTCCTGGAAACCCGTAGCATCACGAGTATTAAGACTAATCAAGATGGGCCACTCCACGGGAACATTCGGTTTGATTCGCCTAGCGGGCTTGATGACGAATTTCGGCTTGATTTCCAAGGAGGACCCTGTAGGAGGACTTGCTTGCAATGGTTCACTCATGTCTGAGTAGGGTGTTGCTGATCTTTACTGTGATGGAAGAAGTTGATGAAATCAGTTAATTCAGGCAGGTATTCAATTTCAACTTGAATAAAGGTCAAATAAGATATGATTCGTGATGTTGAAACTATCAAATATTTGTCAAGTGAAGAGACATTAGGTCTTTTATATCCCTTAGGCACTGGGGATTTGATTTGGTTCAATTTTGAAAAATAGTGCTCTTTGGGTACGTGAAACAAGTTCGTGGTATCTATTCATTGAGTCTGCTGGCTGATGGTGGTCTCAGTAGAGCTTGACTGTGCCAGCTCGCATCTCCCTTTGGTAGATCCCAGCAATATTTCCTATCCCATATTGTTTCATCCATCATAAAATGGCCATAGATGTGCTGGGAATGACCGGTATTGAGAAACATGAAACTGGAAGCTTCATAATGCCTTGAGCCTGTGAAAACCCATTTTTAGAATCTCGTCACAGCTAGAAAAACAATTTAAAACATGGTAAACTAGTTTCAAATGGTGAAGAACACGTTTCAGGGTCGAGATTTTTTTGACTCCAGGTGATTGAATGCATGAAACCCATGAGATCTCAAGGATGAAAAGATGTCCTTCCATTTAATTCAAAGGAATATCTGAGATGGGCCTTTATTATTGGATTTTTGTCTAGTCCTGCTCACGGGCACGCGGTATCAGAAAGGGCAGTGACTGAAGACACCTAGAAAGGGTTCCAGACGCATCACACAAATTCTGCAACTCATGGAGTTCAAAGCCCACTTGCATGGGGTGATACTCAAAAAAAGGAGGAAACGGTCTATACAATCCCAGATATGGAGAAGGCATCACAGAACTAGCATTGGATTCTGCCGTAAGACTTGGCTTGCATGTCTTCAACCCCTATGGAGACGGCAAGCTTTCCACGATTTAGGATATGAGCAAGAGTAGATGACTGCGTAATTTAGACAGCAAGACCACGGTAGGAGTCAGCAACCTACATTAGGTACGACAAACACCTGTTGGCCACTGTGTCTGGAAGTAATCTACTTTTCTCTCTCTATCTGGGTCCAATTACAACTCCTGTCCTGGTGATTGTTTCATTCAAAGATTTTGGCAATGACAAAGAGCGGCGGAATATGCATATGTAAAGCATCCAAATTGGAACCATGTAATGCAGTGTCAAGAACACAGTTGGTGTGCTTGGTGTGGTGGCTGTTCACAGGTGAAGATACCTGGGTGTGAAGCTCATAAGGCAGACCAACAGTACAAAGAGCGACAGGTCAGCCCGTTCATGTGCTATTTTCAGAAGCCATGGATATGGAAATCAATTCGACTGCAGAATTGCACTTCGTTGGTAATTGATCAATAAATGGATTGAAAGGATCTGTCGATCACACAAAAAGAAACAAAAAAAAGGTGGTTTGATATGTTATTCGGCCCGGAAAAACCTTCGGCATAAGTTGGTTCCCTTCTAGCATTTGACTCAAATATCACTATATGCTGCCGTACAGAGGATAGTTATTAACTATCGATGGGCTTGAAATAGTTATTGAATCACCATCTGAGGCGAGGAAAGGCAAAAGACACATTATGAACGATTTGCTGCAATTGGCTACCAGTCCCCCTCGGTGCCTGGAGGCATAGGCAATGGGGCCTCACAGCCAATACCCAGAAGGTACCCGTCCATCACACGGCTACATTAACGAAACGTGCAAAGTTTGGAAGGGGTCTTCTATATTCAACAGCTGAATCTACGAAGGAAATCAGATACCTCATTGACCTGGGCGTAGCTTGTTGAATTGTAGGACCCTTCCTGGAAATCACCACCCCTGCAGTTAACTCATAACATGCGCTCTTGGAGGCGGCCAAAGCACAAGAAACTTCGCTTCCTCCCCAGGAATGGCAGGGGAAGAAATCTGCTGCATTGTTTCTGTTGAACAATCCACGATGTCTCTGTTATTGTTGGCGTGGAAGGGGAAGAGCTTCCAGGCTTCGGCGGGAGGCTCTTTCTCTGATCTGATGTCACCGGCTGATATATCAACATGTTCACCTTCGCTTCAGTGTGCGATATGGCAGTCGGTCAATCGATCGTTTACTTTTATTCATTCATTCATTCATAGCATATCATATTGGTGCATCCAGTCTTCTTGCGCTCTGTTTATCTTGTCAGCTATCATGGTGGCCTAACTGCTCCGCATGCGCTGCCATATGTCCATCGAATACCTTGAAGCCCATACAGCTTATGGTTCGTTGTGGCTGTCCTTCTAACTAATGGATTAAGAAACTATCGTTACGATTTATCTTTGCCATTTTAAGTCTTGGCCCTGGGGTTGCTCTCAGTGTTGTCGTTGACTTTTGGAACTCCGCTGGAACGCTCGCAACATTCTAGCCACCTCGTAAGTATCCCATGAAATCGCACCAGGAACAACTCAACACGCCTATTACACTTTCGCACCGACTGTCCAAGCCTGCCAGGGAGGACTTTTCATATCTCGGCGTGTCAAGAATAAGGTGTCCGTTACTCTAACTGCGATCCTGCACCCCTCACCTAGAAAATATCTACTAGTTCGGTCCGGATATTCCGCAAATTCGAAGTAAATCAAGGGTACGGCTTCAAGGGAATGCGTCTGATTGATCCAATTACAACAAAAATATGGCACCTATTCATAAAATACCCTTACAGACGAGGCAGACGCACGTCCTACCACCTCGCCCGGCTAATGGCCCTCCAGGAGAAGCCGTACCGGTAACAAGCTTCTTTCGCTGGAAAACCTTATTGTGGATCATGATTGCTACTGTTTGTATTTTCGTACTTACTGTTTATTTTTGGAAATTTGGTGCATTTCTCCGCCACTTCACTAGCCACAGGATCTTGGATGGTAATCCTAAATCCACTCGATATGCGAAAACCTGGCATGGTTGGGTGCCTTTGGATAAATACGAGAGAAAGAAGGCTTGGAGAAAAGAGAAATTCAGGAAATTTCGTCGATCGGTAGCGTGGAGGTCGTCTCATGCTGATTATAACTGGGTGTGGTGGGATCCAAAAGGTGCTGCGATGGAGCAGCATTTCGAGGACCAAAAAGTGATTCGCTGGCTTCCTCGCTGGTTGAAAAGTTATGAACATGAGAAAGCAGATTTAATATCGAAAGCGCATGCTAGGAATCAAACAACACGCCCATCGGACGGGAACATGAAGCGAAAGCCAGGGTTACGACATTCGATGAAAACTTCGGCACAGGTTATAAAGTCTAGAAATCGCCCACTACGGAGAAGGTTACCGTTATCCCTTGATGGCTATAGTGACGGTATAATCCCGTCAATGTTGTATAATAGTCTAAGTCGAACTTCTGCGAAGAGGGGCCCCTATCCGTCTCCAAGCTCTCGGGGTGCGGTACGTCTCCGGCAAGGAATGGTTATTTCGCTCCCAGCTGCGCTGAATCAACAAATACCGAAACCTGACTTCCCACATTGCGGATTGAGGCGATGCCCCTCTCTATCGAGTCTTCCCCAAAATTTGGGTACCGTTGATATGAGGTACGCTCCCGAAGCTCGCAGGAAGACAGTTTCAGAAGGCTTTCAAGGGGATGCAGTTCATTCGACACTTTCTTCAAAACTATATGAGCCTCACCTCCGAAGAGTTATTCCGACTGACGAAGGACAAATCAATGTCGGTGGCCCTCAAGCCGTGGTAAAAACGGACAAATCTCTCAGTTGGAAGTACAAAGCATGGGCCGCAAAAATGCAAATCCATACTTTTGAGCAAAGCCCTCATTCCCTCCATGGCCTGGTTGGGCGACCTGGAAGTCCACTATCCGGAATCCTGAAGGCTATGAGTTCTTCCGCCCATCATTCTGAGTTTTCGGAGCATTATAACAATATCCCAGCGCATAACCACGGCTCTGGGGCATCCGCAGCTAGCATCAGCAACCCTGGACCCTCAAAGCTGCACGTGCTCGCTCCTCGCATACAACGTAGAGCTCCAAGAGTCCATACATCTAACATCTCTGACGCATCGCTCGACATAACACCTGTAGATGGCATCCTGGATGTAGACCGATCACCACTTACCCAGAATATAAACCAAGACAACACAATGAGACATTCGTGTAAGTACAACACTAAACATGTCCAGCGGCAATCATTATTACCGAACGAGAAAGAGGACATTTCCCTGCAACAACCACTTCATCCCACGGAGAACAAAGCTGTCTCATTCCAACTCTCAAAACCCCACCAGAACGCAAAGAACGGATCGTGGGCAAATCCACGGCCTAGATTGAGCGATTATGAAGTGGAATTGATCTACGACCTGGATCGTCGCCTCGAATGGCTCTCAAATGAAGTTGAGCCTGGCCGCAAACCATTTCATTTTCTGTTACTCGCTAACCACTGGCTGAACAGAGCAACGTGGATTGTTCTGGACCCTGTTTCGAGAGTTTCACCTATAGAGCGACGGACACATGGGGATCCTAGGTTCAATCGCTCTTTACCTGAGCCCGAAAAGGACGCTGTTAAGCGGAAATACCCTGTGAAAAAGCGTGTGAAATTGCACGCCCCCCGAATAGATTCATGGCGACTGGCAATTAACGGAGCTAGAAAATCATTAGGGATACAGGAATTCCTGAAAGCCGTTGAATTGTTTGATGGCTCAGCCGACGATCCTCCTGACGCAGCTATTGACCCAGCGAGTTGGATCCTTCGAAAGCCCCCGCAGGGATATGAACGGTTGGATAAGGAATTAGAAGTATACTACGAAGGAATGTGTGGCTGGTGGGAAAAGTTAGATGACTGGCAGAACGTTTGTCGAGCGTACCGGCCACGCAAACTAGTTCGTGAAGGGGGAGCTAATCGCCAGAGAATGAAAGAGGTGGCGAGAAAAGCCACTAGACCATGTCGCAAAGTGATGAAGAGAGGACGGAATCAAGGCCAGAACGCGCCTTTGAAGGGAAAACAAAGGGAAGAGCAACTAGCCGCCCGCGAAATGAGACAAGTAAGGTCTGGGAGCGGTTCTATTCCACGCCGTCGCCGATGTCAGCATAGTGAGGGTCCCAGGAGGCCAACAATTGCGGGGTTAGCATTAGACACTCCAGAGAATAGTAGTTTTGTGTCCATATCGCGATCTGCTGGTAGGTTTTTTACTAGAGAATCGGCACACAGACAGTCGTCAATGGGGCGCTCATTTGCGCTGGATGGTGGTCAGGAGTCCGGTGCTAATATGGAGGCACTTGGGTAGGTTGCAGCAGCAGTTAATCGTCTTCCTCGTCGTTATTGGAAAAGTGTTGCGGACGCTGAAATCAATGCTTTCTTTTCCGCTATCTGTAAAATGCATTCTAATATCATTCGTTCGATCTCCTTGATCTTCGGTTCTCTTCAACCCCATCACCTGTAGGACTCTCGCAAATGATATATGACGGGCTGTAGTTTTTAGTTTTAGATTTGCTAAATGAATAAATAAAGTAAACAAACAGGACTGTAATAATATGATATTGCCCGATAACTCCTAGATACTGCAAACGTGAACTCGCCGCTTCTGCAAGGGGACTGAAAGAAATGGTACAAGAACATCAAGAAAGGGGACACCATCTAAAACCTATAATACATCGAATTTCTTTCCTTATAAATCAATGCCGCTTTCGCTCTTTCGTTACCAAGTCGGGCTGGGAGCATAATAGAAGCTACCCTGGGTACGGGCTTATACTGATAGTAAGCAGCCCAAAACGTGATCCTTGTGGATATCATAATGTACATGTACATCGAGAGAAGAAGTATGGAGATATGGGTATGGAATCGGAAGGGGGCACTTAGAAACCGGGAGGATTGACTCGTTGGCTGACTCGGGTCCATTTGGGAAGTTCTATAATCCGGTGAGTAATTGGTTAGCAACCCGGATTGTAAAAATAAAATGAAAATAAAATAAAATAAAATAACCGGTCTGGCCCGTTAAAAGAGTGAAAAAGGCCATGAAAGTAGAATCATTTTGCTTTCGCTCTCTGTATCCACATAGGATAACTACACAAGGGCGCAAAGCAATCAATCGATCGTCTCAATGTTGCATGGAACGTACTATGTATCCCCTTCCGATATTTCTTCTCCTTCCGATCGAAAATCGTATATTTGTCCTTGGGCAGCATCTCCTCCTCGCGCGGCATCTCATCAAACCACCGAGTGACAGCCTTGCTGGTCATGCCCTTGCGTTCCAATGCGCCGCTCACAGTGTCGACAACCTTATCGACGGCACGTAGCCGTTTACGTTGACGAGCTTTTTGCGGAGCAGAGAGGCGCCAAGGGATTTTCCTGTTTGGATAGAAGACGCGATTGAGTTAGCTCTGTTTCGTTCAGGAGTCAAGTGAGCGGGATGATGGAGGCGCTGGGCGGCGGATGAGGTCAAGTGGGTGCGGTGGGACTGTCAGGATTTATCGTACCAGAGGAGACCTCCCATGACGGGAGAGGTTGGTTTGAACATCTTCAATGTGCAATGAGAAACACGACACTTGTTATCTGCTGATGTTAGAAGTTTCTTCGACAGCGCAAGTGAAGGAGTTGGATGTTCGATGTTCGATGTTTCCTGCGGAGATTATTATATGTGGTCCGTGCATTTTCCTTTTCGGGCATTTCCATCGAACTTTATTTTTTGATGATCCCTCACAGTACGGAGTAGTAGATCGTCGTCCTCCTTTCCTTTGACAAAAACAACGCATTGTTGTTTAGCGCCTAGCACAATCTTCTGCCCATTTCTTTCTTGTATATATATTGCCTATACCAATGCACATGTTCTTAATGGAAGAATTGTGATTACATTGCCCTCATGCACCTCAGCCATGGCACCCTGGAACAACCCTCCAGCTTCTGGAGGGGCTGCTCAACTGCGACCATGTATACGGTCGTAGCAGCATGCCGGGCATTCCTCTACGCCGCGAGTAACACGGAAGTTCACGGGCACGAGAAGTTTATAAAACTCCTGGAGTCTCGCGCGGATCCAGGCTCGCGTACCCGAGGCTTGATTACTGGTATGGATGGAAATAACCATTGCAGAACTGCTGCGCTTGCTTCTTTCACAAAGTTAAAGATTTTAGTTCCTGGGGCTGATATAGTAGGCTTGAGGCAGTATCAAATCATATAAGCGTGTACGTACGTATAAATGGCTATGGTTAGCTGCTTCTAGTCCCTGCGAAATAGAAAGTGTTCTCTGGGCTGATTGACGACTACCCTTAATTTATTTTAACAGAATGGATGACCCTTTGATGTGGGGAACGATTCCGTTATTAAACAAACGTGCATTCAACTCGTTCAATCGCAGATGGGCTTTTGGAAGCCATGATATATGCTACAGCAACAGGTAGGAATGACAATGCTCAATATCTGCCTGTGCCAGCTTGACAACTGTATGAAGTGATGTTTAGCGGCTTACAGTAGGTTATCTACAGAGCTGTTTCTGCATTTTTCACCCTAGGTCAAGTCATGCCTACACATCGTATTCTCCATTCTCCGTACGGAGGCCTCTTCCAACCTACCATGACACAAGCAATCCGCCTTCTGTCGCGCGGACCATTTTCTCCTGAACCACATATGGCACCTGCTAGTCGGCAGCATTGGAGTCTACAGAACGTTTGCGTTGACCCTTTTTCAGAAGTGGCTACCGCATATACTACCACAGGCGAAGATTCGCATATCGCGCCTTCGGCATACGCTTGTAATAGTTTTTCGTGGATTCACATCTTCCCGGAGGGAAAAGTGCATCAAGCGCCTAACAAGACGATGCGATATTTTAAATGGGGGGTGTCGCGGCTGATTCTGGAGGCGTCCGAGTGTCCCGATGTCGTCCCTATGTGGATTGAAGGCACCGACCAGGTCATGCACGAGGATCGCGGGTTCCCACGATTCATACCCCGCGTCAACAAAAATATAAGTATAACCTTTGGCGATCCAGCTGACCTGGAGGAGCAGTTTGGCGATTTAAGAAGGCGGTGGCGGCGGATAAAGGCAAAGGCGGAAGAGGGTCAAAAAGACCTGTCTCTTGGAGTCTTGAATGATGAGCTCAAGTACGGAAAGGAAGCTGTTGAGTTGCGCATTGAGTGTACAAGGAGGATTCGAGAGTTGGTTCTCGCCGTTCGAAAATCGAGAGGGCTGCCCGACGAGGACCCAAAGGAGAGCAGAGTCGAAACTTGGCTTCGTGAAGGGCCGAAAGTTGAGGGGAAAATGGATGACGGATCGTGGATTCGAGATACCTAAGATTTGTGTATACTATGTTTTGATATTGCTGTAACCATACCCTTAGACCTCATTGTCAACAATTTACCTATAATCTACCCTGGATCATGTTGCTCCCGCAAAGAGGACAGCCAACGCCATCCATCCTTCGTTCTATTATCAAGCCAATAATATCTGATTACGACATCTTCATCATTATTTTTTAGTGGGCGTTTGTCATCGATATTAGTTAATCTTAGCGTTGCCTTGTTGTCTGTGGCGTTCTGCGGGATTTTGATTTCTCTCCTGTCCACCCCACCCACCACACTCCTTTGCATCCATCACAAACGCCCGCCAGTGCAGCCAACAGCCGCTTATGCCCAAGAAACACCATAAACCAACGAGCCCCAAGCCGAGTTCTACCGTCCATCCATCCCTGACCTCGTTTACGGGTTCAAAGAATCAGAGTAGTAGTGGATCGGCGACTAGAGATGGGCGGTCGGTAAATGACCTCATCCATCACCTCCGTCGTACACAAGTGTCGAGACGTGATGAGGTCAATGCGAGTCTGTCGCGGGTGGCGCCCAGATCAGTTCATCCCTCGATAAGGAATCTACTAGGCCTGCCCGAAACCCCTCCCCCGCGTCCGCGTCCTAGCACCCGTGTTGTCGGCGAGCGGGGGGTTCGGAGAACGCCTGGCCCCGCTGCACCTTTGAGTTGGCTAGCACCAAATGATAATGGACCGGATTCTGAGAGAAGACGCAGATTTACTCGCGATGATGCGCAGGAGAGAAATGTTCGGCTAGAGCGTTTACCGGGCATACAATTCCCAGCTAAGGGTAGCTTGCAGCATATGGTTTTGAAGTCCATGGCAGTCAACTGGGACTCGCATCTTCTGTACGATGGCGTCTTTTTATCTGAACTTCCCAGCCCAACGAAGCAGCTGCTTCTGAGTTATATCTCTACATTTACAGACCATGCCTCGATGGAGGTGAGGATGCAAGGGTTAAAACCCTTGTTCCTGGACAGTTCAGACGATGGTATCACCGAAACTTACCCAGATATTACTCGTCTGGATCTAGCCTCCTGCCTGGGCCGCTGGATGACTTTCAAACACCTGGCGCGAGAAATCAAGGGGGTGGATAGGGCCGAATCACACTCCCACGGGAAAAAAATTGAGGGCTCGACCCTCCCGTCCTGGGAAGAAGAAACGGACAGAGAATTCTCTTCGGCCGCTATTCCTCTAGCTCCAACCCAACCACTCCAACAGCGGTTTTCCAACCTCAAATTCCTATCCCTCGCCAACCCCATCCCCCGCGAAGCCAGCTGGCACTCCCTTTTAAACCTCCTCCCACACCTTTCTACGATAACCCATTTGTCTCTCGCCCACTGGCCAACCCCAACCGTAACGCCAAACTCCCTCACAGTGAGCATGAAGCATCCGAAACTCAGCTCCCTCTCCCTGCCCTACGGCGGGACAGATATATACTCCGCATTCGAAAACAACTGGGTCGAGGCCGCTGGAATCTTACGCAGACTTTCCAAAACAACTTATTGTCTCAAATGGCTGGACCTAGAAGGCTGCAGTGACTGGCTCCCAGCTCTGAGCTGGAATGGGATCGATTTGGAAGGAAATTTCCATGCCGCGGCCGGGCCGGAGTGGAATGGAGCTTGGAGGAACCTTGAATGGCTGGGTCTTGGGCCTGGGTGGTTTCCCGATGTGTCTGATGTCGAAGACTCGTATCTCATCCACGAAAGGGATAAAACCCTGCTGAGGGAGATTGAGAGTGGGCGTTATGACTCATCATCGCTTGGAGCTGCTGGAATTGAGGACAAGAAGGCGCTGATCCGGGAGAGAGATGGATACCGGAACCTCATTGAGCGGGCGGTTGAGGTGAAGAAGCAGGTGCAGACGATTAGGAGGGACGGTGGTGGGAGGTGGTTGGAGGTTTCTCTCGGCTTGGAGAGCGAGGACGAGCTTAGGATAAGGGTGTGTGGGGATGTGGTGAAGTGAAGAATGCTACAAGGGCGATGTGGCGGGCAGCTACAACCCGGGGTCCACATACTTGGTCCGTTATTTGAATCACAACATATTCGTAGAGCATTTCTGTATCAAACTTTTGCAATTTTTTCCTATTTTTGTTCGTATACCACTCAAGAAACTGCGGCCAGGCCACTGCAGCTACTATACAGTTTTCGTATAGTCTTTCAACTATAAAGCCCCCCTCCCCTGCACATGTGAGATAAATGTCAAGATAAACGTGCATGTGCCTAATATCCCCAGATGCACCAATTAAACAAGAATAAGAAATCCAATAACTACTTCCCACCAGAATTGAAACTCTTCAGAGGATCAACTTTCTTCCCACCCCTGCCAGCCTTCGCTGGTCTGCCCCTACCCCTATTCCTCTCCCTCGCCTTCCGAATTCGATTTTCATGCGTCTTCCTAAAACCAACAAACCCAACGTCGCCAGCTGGACCGCTACTAAGACCCCCTTTCCCCTTCGTCGGCATCAGGTAATCAGGTACGTGTTTCAAATGCGCCTGCACACGAGCTGCCCGTAGCTCCCCATCATGTCGCAACTGCCTCAACTCCTCGGGATTCTCCTCGAAATGGCGCTTCAGCTTCTCACTTTTGACAAGCTCCTGGCGGATCTCGCGCGCACGTGCTTCCTGTACGGCGACACGAGTAACAGCACGGAGCGCGTCGGACATACGGTATCGGAATGCGTCGACCTGTTTCATTTCGAAGTGATAAGGTTTCACCTCCCGACCGAGCTTGCCCTGACGCTTGATAATTTTGCCTAGCACTGCCTCGTCGTGCTTGGCGGAAGAAAAGCTCGTGGGTTTGTGTTTGCCGAATTGGTCCGATGGGACGACAAAGGAGAGGGCCATGCCTGTCTTGCCTGCACGACCTGTGCGGCCAATGCGATGTGTGTAGGATTTAGAGTTGGTGGGGAGGTCGAAATTGAGAACGCAGGCCACGTCTTGGAAGTCAATGCCGCGGGAAATACCGTAGTCCTTTTCCTTGGCGGATTTTTTGGGACGCTTGCTTGGACGTGCTTTGGTTTCGTCTTCGCTGGAGTCTTGGAGGTAATTATTTGTTGTCTTGACGCCACTGCCGTCATCATTCTCCTGCTCTGGATCCTTGGAGCTTTGATCTGACTTCCGGGATGGTTTCCTAGGTTTTTTAGGTAGTTCTCCTAGAACTTCCTGGTCGTCGGCCGCTATTATGATGTCGTACACGCCCTTGTTGAATTCTTGAACCACATGGATACGCGAATTCACAGGTAACTCGGAATTAAGCACGCAGCTCCTGATACCAAACTGTTCGAGAAACAGTTTCAATCGGTAACAACGGTCCACGTCACCAACGAATATGATACATTTCCCCTTGACAAGTTGTAATTTGAATATAACATACGTCAAGAGGAACTTCTCATCTTCCGCACACCTAACGAAAATGTTAAAAAATGGCCTTTCTTCATAAAAGCCGTGTCAACCAGAAACCTACCTGACAACAAATTGGCTTATTCCAGCCCCTTCATCCTCCTTCTCTTCTAGTTTCAAAACAACGGGGTTCCTGCAGAATAAACCTTTCAGCGCATCCACTTCCGACGTAAAAGTTGCACTCATTAAAAAGGCCTGAACACCACGGGGTACAGCCTTGGCGAGACTCTGCATGTCTTCTTCATAACCGTACGAGAGGACGAGATCCGCCTCGTCAATGACTAGATGTGTTAGGTGCTGAAGAGTGAGCGCAGAGCTGTTGATATTCACAACCGCCCGAGCGGGAGTTGAGATGACGATATCGGGGAGGTCGGCAAGAATTGAGCGTTGCACGGCATCGGAAACCTTTTGGGTAAGATTTGTGGAGCGTATATCTTTGCCAGCAAAGGCAGAGAATGAGGTAACTGTCTTGTGAACTTGTTCCGCCAATTCTCTCGTTGGAACTAGGATCAAAGTTGAAATCGCCTTGTGTGTAGGGTCATTCTAACTATATTGTAAGTCCCATGCCTTAATATCAGCACCACGGTGAGGAAGCGTACCGTCTTTTTCTGAAGAATCGACTGCAAGATGGGCAGGAGGTAAGCAGCTGTTTTTCCAGATCCGGTCTTTGCGCGAGCTGCGGGAAAGTTAGAACTGAAGACTTTTGGGATAAGAGGGGTTAATAATTGCATACCTAAAACATCTTTCCCATCTAAAGCTAGTGGAATTGCCTCCGCCTGAATCAGCGTTGGTTTTGTGAATTTCTGTTGCGTCAGGGCTTGGAGGAGTCTGGGATCGAGGTTCAAGTTCTCGAAACTATGGGCCGTATTATTCTTCTCCACACTATCTTCCGGTGAAGGGACATTGTTGGCGTCTAGCTTCCGCTTCATGATTGACAGCCAACTTCCGGCTCTGGTACGGATTTACTCTTGATGTTGGGTTTTGAAGGCGTGTTTTTTTTTTTTTTGGTAGCTCTTGATACTGGGCGAAAAAATGCATTGAAACTTTCCATCGCGGGGCTTGGCGCTGCGTCGGGCCGCCTAGTTAATCCGGCCCACTATCAAAACACCTCAGCTCAACTCCTTATCGTCTTCATAAGGGACCCGCGGGATAGTGACGCTTGACATATCTGGACTTTTATGTTAAAACACCCATAAAGTAACTTTTAATATCAGTTGCGGCGCAGACTTGGGCCTATAATTTTCTTTGTCGGCTTTGCTACCCGAAATCTAGGCGCCAATCCTCAGTCTTTGGCCGTATACAATAGGGGAGAAACGTCTCCAGTTAAGGTTTATCAATCTGATGTTAAAGCGTTCGGCTGCTAACTATGCCTTATACATGATAATAGATACGCGAAATGATTTAAAACGAGGGTGACATGAATGGGTGAATCTGGAGTAAAGGCGTGCTGAAACAGTTGAGCCCTCGGATGTGTATGCTCGCGAATTCGACTGGCGGCAGGTTTACAGGTAAATGAATACAACAAAGGATTATTTTCATTCCAGAAATTTTCAACAGAATCGGAATCGTACCAATGAGACAACCCCAAGCAATAGGAATGGGAATTTTAAGATTGGAAAGACAAGAGCGGACATCAAGGATGTTTTCAGCGAGGAGCTGTCCCACATTGTCGGGCCTCTAGCATCCCGCTTTTGCACCGTATGTGGCCGACATAACATATAAATCTGCAAGGAAAAGGATAGTTAAAATAAAAGGGGATCCATTCATGGACCGGTGCCCTATTCCTCTTAAAATCCCTGTGGATGACGAAGGGCCTTCCCAATGAAACATTTAAACGCCATTCCGAAGGAGTTAACACTTTAAACGAGGAGACTGGGTGTTTCAGGTATATACTGCGGTGCCCCGGATTCAAACAGCAATGTCTCGCGCACCGTATCACCCCTTCCGGTATAACGATAAAAAATCTTCTTGAATCATCCCGCTCAGTTTTCGATTGCACAGAACATCGTGTGTGTATATGACGGCGTGTGTTTTCGTATCAATGGACGTCTGTCGATTCCACGCCCGGCGCTGTAGGAATGGCACTATGGATATGTTGAGCTAAGTTCTCTATATAGACGTGATTTCACAAATGCTTACAAACACCAACAACAGTCCCCTCGTCACAATCTACCTCACCAACCTTGTAGTATCACCTCGGACGTTCCCTCACATGATAGCCTTTGGCTCATTAGCCACTGTTTCTCTCACTATGCTTCACTTCGACAACATTACCTAGACTTGTGTAATGCTGCGAAGCATCGTTCGTCCTGGTCTTCCGTGCGGGGCCAAGCTCTGAATCTTTGGATCCCGTTTAGCGTATCTCAAGACTCCAGCCTCATCATCAACCCCAGGATTCGTGGAACTATTTGTCGCTCACCTTTTTCTGTAGGGACCAGACGAGAAGCTGAAGCTCCACTCAGCGGGCGTAACGCCTCTCCTTGATTCATTGGAGGATGGTGTTGCTCACTCCGAGCTAGTAGACTCGCATTTGACTGAGACGGATGTGCGAACTCCGCTGGGATATTACTATAACCCAGAAGATTGCTATTTTGGTGAGGTGGGCTTGCGAAAGCTGGCGGTGAGCTATGATCGTTTTCGACATTGGCGGGGTATCCTGAACGGTAAACGAGTTGAGGATTGCCGATTCGCGAATTATATCCGCTACCGTCTGATGAGTCCTGGGCCACCGGTGGAGGTGGATTCCCCCGTTTCGATGACAGATGATACTGAATGCGCTTGTGTGGAATCTCTGTATTGGGGCTCTGCGATCTATGCTGTTTTTTAAATCTGTTTTCCCTGCCGCGTGGTCCGGCCTCTCGTTGGTCCAGGGCATATATATTCAACTCCCGAGCGGTGTCTACCACATCACGGTATTGGCTCCTCTCGTCGTTCTGCTGACCTGAATATACGCTACGTGATGTGCTATATTCTCATTAGCTTAACTCAACGTTTGACGTCCTTCCCTGGATTATGAATCCAAGAAGAAAGATGTTTATGGTAGTGCATTAATATGTCTAGCTTGAAGGGACTTGATTTGGAGCAATACTCTACGGTTCTTGGAACTTTAGGTGAATGTTCTGCTATTCCTTGTCTAACCGGTCTCTTTTCAACTTGTGCGGCTGGCTGCTGATTCTGTGGATCACATCCTGTTCGGCGATATTCTGTACTATATGCCCACGGTTCTCGGCCAAAAGATTCTGAGGTGTCCGTTTCCTCAAAATCTGCGAGTCGGTTGTGACTGGGTTCTTCTGTCAGTCTGCCCCACCGGGCCATAATTCTAAATCCGAGGACGTACCTAGACATGTTTTTGGCCGATTTGCGCCCGCTCCTAAGTTCGGCTATGATGTCAACAATACGATAAAAATGCAGGAAGAAGGCAAAAATATCTATCAAATGCTTTGTTCTTTGGTCACATAAGAGCACAAAATCACCGGATGCCCTCTTGCGACCCATAATGCTTAGGAGGAGGAAGAATGCGAACCATAAATAAACCAGCTAACCTTGCGGCTCAGCAATTTTGTTCAGAATGGAGGTGGCGCCAGGGATGCAAGTTGTGTTGGCTTTGCCTAACTGATGTGTAAAGATATTGAACAGCTGATCGAGAGGTGCCTTTTCGCGAATCATGCAGGACGCTAAACGAACCTGACGCTTTTTTTCCTCCATAGATATGCACAATAGCGGCATATCCAATGCATGTCTACCTACTTCCAAAGCACATATACCCGATGACTGGGAAGTTCGTCCTGCAAATGGCCACATGCCATATTCGATTTAGCCCTTTTGGGCCACTCGTTGTCAATCTCCCGACCTCCTCAACCAGAGGACACTTATCCAGAGGTTCGTGATGTCTTTCTCAACCTGTATAGGTGAGCAAAACTGGTCAGTCCGGCAATCCCGCATAAAATACTTCAACAGGAAATTGTCTTTCTAAACGCATACCTGCCGGGCGCCAACATGAATTTATCTCGCTTGGCAAGTCGGCACATGCCCTAAATGACATTCTGACAGTATCACACACTCTCTCTCAATCAGACCAATTATGGTATCCCTAGCGGTCAGTTACCAGCACTCTGCTCCCCATATTCAGTCAAACAAATGATGAGCACCATTGGTACCATGGTATTGTATTGAAAATGCGACCCTGGGTTATGTCATGTTATTTTTCCACGTTGGTAAGGCTGGGTATTGATACTGTATAGTGATTACCGCAAAACGTTCCTTTACAATACGGATGCGAAGTTTCAGAGAAAGCAACAGTGTCTTGTTTGCCCGTTATTGTGGAACCCATGATAATGGGACTACCCTTCGAGGGCTTCCTTTTCGCTTACAACATAATATATCTTCTATAGGCGGCATGATTCGCGGGCTTAGATGCACCCAGGGTAATGGACATGACTGCCGAGACTTATTGTCAATGTTCTGAAATATTTAAAGTACCAAGTGTGAATTACCCTCTGTCCACTTCAATGCCTCAGATAAAAGGTGAATGAATAAATATGCTCTCCATGGCTAAGTCTCAACCCATCCTCCCTGATATAAAAGCAGTTGTTAAGCATTTTTTGTAGCTCATCCGATCTGGACGATGCTTCTACTTGTCAAATCAGTTCAAACACAACCCTTTCGGAATCCAGATGGCTTCTCAAATGCACAAGTGTAAATAGGCGCAGATCCGATGCGATGCATGTATGTACAGTACATGTACCATCCGTTTTGTGAAACCCCCAGCATTTGCGACGGAAATAAGAGAACGCTGTCTTCAATAAAGGCACAGTCATTCATTCCAGTGTCTACCGATATCCTATTCAAACCTCAAACCCGAACGCCAGGGACCTAATTATGATCGAGATAGATTGGATCCACTATTCCATAAAGGAATCCCTAAGCTGGGTCGAGTATCGGAAGAACGGGGCGAATATCCAGCTCCCGGAGACAACTATCGTGGACTTGAAGATGACCTGATCGTGCAAAATTATCAGCTAGAAAGAGAGCTAAGCAAGACATTTCAATACATGAAGCACTCTAATGAAGAGGGTACTAGCACGTATTCAGATGATTTGGATGACGACATCTCCGGTAGGAGTGAAGTATCTGTTGGCTTTGGAAACATCTAAACATGCGATCAAAGCGAAAAGCCTTGTCGAGTGAGAAAGCAGCGACAGGCAATTTTAAACCAATGTTGGGTGATGAATCAGAAGGCTTCCTTGACCAACTTGAGGTCTTTACGAATGAGCGGATAAATAACTGAACTCTCTGGAGGAAAATGCTGGACCCGTCCACCAAGAATACAAGGATCAGAGTATCAGAGTTTGCTATGGTATCCTTCAGTGTGACGCAGGTGGTTCCGGTACCAGTCTTATCATTCGAGCCAGCTTCTGGGCAGCTTGAGAACACTCTGTTGGGAAATAGAATCAAGGATTATCTTTGTTTTCTGAAGCAGACTCTACGCAAGCTCATGATCCCATCAGCAACCTAAATAAGTGGCTTCTGCATCAACTTCGCATCTCCATTTTTGAAATGTTCTTCTACAAGGTTATTACAAGGTTTGACATTGGGAACCCGACGAGCAAACCTTCTATTTATCGATTCAGTGATAAGACTTCCACCCCAACGCATAACACCCCTAATCTCCAATTACGGGTTCTCCTTTCAACGTCCTTGAAAATCGGGGTTTAAGATCGCAGTCCATCCCAGATGAGTATACAAAGCGGGGCACCTACACTAAGTTCTAGCCGAAATACAAATTGGCAAAGCTGGGTCCAGGACCCAGTCAGTCCTGCGGCACTAAGATAGCGAAATGGCCACTTTGCCTGGGTATCATGATGATATGTATCCGGTCGAGCAACCTTTTATCCGCCAGTATCCCCTGACTTATCTTACAGTCCTTGGAAAGGATTGAATTGGTGCATATACTAGGTGCATACATATGCCAAAATATGTTTGATTATCAAATTGAATTCTATGTGACACAAGCTCAACTGTTTCATTCTAAGCCTTCTTGTTTTACGGTTCCCCAAGTCCTTCCGTTTCTTAATAATGCCTTGGGCTTTGTGGGTATTACTCTTTTCTATCTATTATTTCTTCAGTTTACGCAAATTGGTAATTGGCGCATAGGGGAATTCCCAATTTTCTGATATTTCATTTCACTTTTCATCCTTTGCTTCGGATTACCTTCATTTTTTTATTCTCTTGGTGTGCAACTGCCTATGGTGAATGGCGCAGCGAACATCGATTATTTTCTTGCGGTGAGTTTGACGCTGTACGTTCTTGTGGACCCAGACATCATCAGCTTTCAGAGGATCGAAATGGGCGATAAATTTCTGCGCACCTTAGTCGACATTGTCGTCAGCAATTCGAAAGCGAGCCAATTCAAGCTTCCCAAACTTCATCAACTTAGCAGAAGCTGGGCGCCCAAAGAAAAGAAAAAAGAAAAGAAAACATCCCCGCTTCTTTATCACTTATCTACGTGGTGCGAACAGTCGAATTCCGAGAGGAGCCGGTCTGGTGCCATTTGCTATTGCTTTCACCAACAGAGTCCCGTTACTCTATCCACTCACTGACTAACACATCACAACTGATATTTCCCCTCTAGACCTAATTACAACATACCCTCCTTCAGACGGACATAAATTGCAGACTGTACGGCTTATTCGTTGTAAAATTAACCAGTACGGGGTTAATGATTTCATGAGTGTAACCCTCCAAGGCTTGGGCGCAACTTCCTGCTGATTTGTTTAAGCCCCATGTGAAGTACTATTTATTTCTTTCGTGGGACGGGAATACCTGTGGATTTTTTGTTTTCCAGGAACGAGGACATTTCTAACACGCGACTATTCTCAACCCCCCCTCCTAGTTCGTTAGGGCTTTTCCGAAGCCATCGACGTTAAAGTGGACGGACGGACTAACTCTATATAAATCAAGGGCCGCTGTAACAGCCTTCCGGATTAGGGTACATGGAGCTATCCAACCATCAATTATAACTTCTTCTGGCAGACGGGATACTACCTACCTCTTGTTACGACAATACGAGAGCAACAATCTTGAAAGTTGCACTAGATAAGCGTGTCAGCCGCGTTATATGCATGGCCGGCCATACATACGCGCTTTTTACGAGATTAATGTCTCCATTTTTCGGGCCCTTGGGACGCAAGTCGGCGTTCCATAGAATGAATATATCTGATTATTTATTGACACTGATTTTAGGGCCGACCACTGAAGCCATCAAGATTCCCTTCGAAGTATTTCTGTTACAAAACGGTGATTAAATTCCAACGCCACTCATGGCCATTGAACATAAACAATGACCCCGAGAAATTCTAACATTGGATCAACTACGAATCTCGCAACTATGTAACGGAATGTTATGATGCCGTATTGATCCAGTTCTAGCTTTTTGTGCAACAGCCCTTGTTCCCTGTATTACGAATACCCGGTTTGGAATCCAGCCAGTGGGCGAGCTTTCCCATAGATGCCCCCGTTAGATCCTTGAACATTTCTATCTGCATACCTTGGCAATCTAATGACTGTTCGTCAGCAAAACTCATACAATATTGTTTATTATCGGTCATATCAACCCTCCATTGACGGCTATACCAAAGGAAGATACTCCCTGGCTCCCGCTCGCTATATCAGGTTAAAGATGTTTATCCTGTCTCTTCTTCCCTTTTTCGTGGACCGCATGGATTTATCATGCTTGTCATCTTGTGTCAAATTTATAGTGGTAGGTAGGGCAAACTGAGGTTTGTTCGCCACTTTGTTGGAGATCGGTTTGTGCCAAGCCGGCACACTAACGATAAATTCCAATCGCCCTAGCCGCGGGGTTTATTGAGATTTGGTTCACGCAGAAGAAAGTCAGGATGATATTATCCATATTCCAAATCAAAACATGGAGTAGTAAAATATATTCAGACCTATATTATCCCTTCAACTTCTTTCTAATAGTTATATTTAAATCTCGAATTTCCAAATGTTCAAAGGCCACCCCTTAAAACTTTGGCTGCCGCCATGCTTGACCCAAGTGTTTCTTTGGCCAGAAATGGTAGCAACATTGCTATCAAACACATTCCTCTACTTTCCCTGACGAGTTTCTTGAGCGGGAAATAGGCCATGCAACCAAGAGTGCTTACAATGTCCGATATATCCGGGCTGTCAAGTAACCTGATAAGACCTGTATTTTGTTTAATTAAACATACCTGAAACCTGGTGAGTGGTAGTTCTTCTCAGTGGACAGAAACACAGCGCTGAATGCCGGAAAAGCCACTCACGGTGCTCACTTCTTTATCCCCAGCGTAACCCGCAGCTATCGTTCTCAGAATCACTAAACCGTTCGCCGTGCTTTGACTCCACAGGCGCAGAGAGCACGGGGCCCCTTCCATTATTTTTAAGTTCCGGAAGATCCCAGCGAACCAAAAGCCACAATTTTAAACTTGCGGCCCGCACTAACTCAAAATAACCTTAAATACAGTTGATGGGCATGAAATATAAACACCAGGACAAAATTTTAGCAGAGCGGTTAAATGCCATGAGTAATAATCCGAGCTGACAACGAGCCGTGTTCGATGGCCTCCTTTGCACAGGCCTAAATTGATAAGATGATAATGTACAGGCCCACAAACGGCCCGCATCAACCATTCAACGCCCCGGCGGCGCTGGTTAGTTTGTTGGAAGTTGAGGATAGGTTTCGTTAGAAAATTGCCACTAAGACCACACAAGGGTAAATACAGCATTGAATGACCATGCCGTACTATCTTATCAGATAATCGACGTTGTGGAAGCCTGGCATGTGAAAGCGACGCGTCAACGGTGAATAATATCTCACGAAAAAAATGGCAAAGAGTCCAGATAGCAGCCTATTAAACTAACTAAAGTGGTCCTTTCTGTCGCGCTCTCTGATAGAAATACACACATGCTGCCGCTAAATTTCTTGTACAGCTAGCTATTCCCCCGTGGATTGGCACAGGAGGAGGTTAAATTAGGGAAGCTTTTTGAAGCTCAGATGACACGCTCCACACATAAATTGATAATTGCCTAAGTACATACATGTGCAACAGCAGTTTTGCATTTGCCGAACTGTAGCGATCGGCCAAAAACTGACTTAACACAGCACAAGGAAGGAAACGTTCACGTGTTTGGACATATTGCCCAGTATTACAATCTCAGACCTTCAAGAGCAGCAAGAGGGACTAGCAGAACAAAACTCCAGTAGCCGTAACTTTATTCACACAAACTCCAGTTTCCATTTTCATATCAAGTTGCGCTGAGTACACATCTAGGTACATATCAAAACAGTCCTGCCCTTCCCATTTCCGCTTCCGTTTCCATGTCCATCACCATTGTACATACATCCATGCATAACTACGTAAAATAAAAGGGAATAAGCATAAAAGCGAACAGCTTGGGGGGAAAATAAATAAATGAGGCCATGCCCATGTCAATAAACAAGGCAAAAAAACTGAGCAAAATTCAAATATTCCCCAAACAAATCACATACATACCACCAATCCCCTAGGATACCCGACTATCATAATCCTCCCCCTCACTCTCACTCAAACTATCCCTCCTTCCCCTCCCACGCCTACCTCGCTCCCCACCATCCGCACGCCGATACCCGTTCGACAATCCCGGAATAGGATGATGGTAACTCCTCGTGCCGGTCCCCGTATCCGAATGCTCCCCAAGCGCAACCTGCTCATACGTGTAATCCGAACTATGCGTCGAAGATAAATCCAACGGCGCCACATAACTGCCCGGCATCGCGGTGCGCTCCCGCTTGCGCGGGCTTGACTGGCGGGAACGATTGGAAATATGGGCGGCGGCAGGGACGCTTGAGCGCGGGCCGCGGGGACGGGTTGACGTGGAGGGAGCGACGGAACCGCGGCTACTACGGTGGTAGTGCTGGTGGCTATCGTCGCGGCGTCGGGAAGAAGCGACAGTAGGGTCGCGCAGTTGGTGTTCCTCCGTGGCGACGGTGAATGCATCGTCCTCGCCAGTGGTGAAGGAGAAGCCTGAAGCGTTACGTTGGCGCTGCGAGCGGCGGCGGTCCGGTTCATAGCCTGGCAGTGGACCGACGTGACTATGGGTCTGAGTCTGGCTTTGGCTCCATTCGCTGTCCTCGTGGCCGTTCGAAGTTGTGTAGTCTGAGGTATGATATTCACCTTCCGGCTCACGGTTAAGTCCACCCACTTTAGCAGGCTTCTCATGCCGGTATGCGCGCATATCTTCATCCGCGCCACCTTCCCACTCCTCATCCCTCCGCTTGCGCAGCAACTTCTCCTTCGTTGTCTCCCTGATACCCTTGCGTCGCGGCTTCTCGCCAGATACGGTTGAGCTATCAACCGTGGTCGTAGCATCCGTGCTACTCTGATAATCACTGTACCCCTTACCAACAACGCTCCCACCGCCCAATTTCGTGCTCTTGGTGGCGGCACTGAGCGTTCTGCCATGTGAATCCTTCCGGCGTAGTACTGTAGATTTGTATTCTTCCCAGTCACCCTTGCGCCACACGAAGCCGCCATTCTTCGCCCAGAAGAAGAACCAAATGGCAGCCAACACGAAAGCAGCTCCCAAAATGGCAAAAAGAGCCATTAGGCCCGCCATGTTTATGCTGGTGGGGTTGACGATGCCACGACTGGGCTGGACGGGATTTGAACCTGGGTTATCGCGCGGGGCGAGGGGTTCGGCTACCTCTGTGATCGGAGAGGAGAGTGCGCGTTCGCGGAGTTGAGAGATGGGGAAGTTGAGCGATGTTTTGCGTTTAGAGAGCTTTGTGACATACTCACTAAACTTACCGGATGAGCCCCCGGCATAGGTAAGGAATGGAGGCATGGCTATGGTTTTTGATGGGTTGCTGATTCAGACGGTGAAGACGAGATGGTGAGACCTATATGTTTGTTAAGAACAAGGCCCAAGAACCAAATTCCCGAAGAAGGCACCGATGCCACACACACACACACACACACACACACACACACACACACACACGCACACGCTGAGCGCGCGTTCTAACCCTCTATCTGCTACCCTTTCCGGTTGATTTGAATGGTTCTCAGCCAGCGGTCCCCGAACAAGCTGAGCCCAAACCAGCTCAAGCTGGAAGGGAATCAGCCAGACAGCGCTGCGATCTTAGTAGTTGCTTTTCTCGCTTCGCCTCATATAGCTGCAATAAGGAGAGAGGTTCCTCTGGTGGCAGTCAAATCGCGTCAAGGAGCCACTCCGAACGATCGACTGGTATGTAGCTCGTAGTAGATATCGGGTGAAGGAACCGGTGCGGGAAATATATATAACAGCGAGAGACCAGGCACTGTAGAAGATAAGATAGTGGGGGGGTGGGTTGGGTTGTGGATTCGCTAAAATACGAGTTAAAAAGATCAGTATTCGTCAAACGATAAAAGCAGGAGCAGGAACAAAGTCAAGTCGAGAAAGGCTCACCACTCGCTTTTCTCAACCTCAACCTCAGCGTCGATTGTTAGGAATAATCGGAAGGCTGGGGAGTTGTGTGACCTCATCTCCCATCTCCATTCCATTCCCCAGCCGCCGCCTTTTTTTTGTTTACATCAGCCCGTTGCGCGGGACAACGTTGCGTATGTCAGCATGTGGTACCCAACACGTGACTCTGGCCAGATCGTCCGTTTATGGTTAGCGCAGATCTGGGCCGGATTTACAACTGTGGATAAGTGCGGGAAGTTCAATCTCAGCCATTGGAAAAAATGTAGTTAAGAGAATTTCTATAAAGTTTGAAGAGAAGCAGTTTTCATGAAAAACAGTGAAAGAAAAGTAATAATAAATTGAGACTACCCTACATTATACAGAAATTCACTAAGAAAAGAATATAAAGAAAATGAACAAATTAAGGGGTAGAAGCAACAGGGGTGAAAAATATGAAAAAGAAAAGGAAAAAAAAAAAACAAAAAGGGGGTATAGAACATAATGAATATAAAAGGGGACAAAATATCCAGCTTCAAATAAAAGACTGAGCAAGGAGCGTAAGCCGCGGGGTAGTAAGAATTTGGAGCACTGCTTGCTCGAATCAAATGGGGATTGATGTGGGAGAGGGGGACAGGAGGGAGGTTTGTAAAACCCTCTTCACCCCTCCTAGCCATCCGGACGCTTAAACCCGCTCATTAGGAAATGTAAACAAGAAACAAGGAGAAGAATAATAGGAAGCAAGAATAATAACGGCGCTCGCAGGGGAAGGGGGGAAAATGGAACTTGGCAATTGGAAATCGGAAATCAGAAATCGGACGAAAAGAAGCTTGAGAGTTAAAAAAAAAAAAAGAAAGAAAGAAAGAAAGAAAGAAAAGATTTAGCAGAGAATAATAGGATTGTATGAAAAGAATAGCAAGCAAATTCGCTAGAGTCAAACAATGAATAAGAGCAAGGGATGAAATGAAATGGATAAAACAAGCAGAGGGAAAAAGAAACGCTTATTATATATGAGAGTAGTTGGGCGTTAATGATTAAAAAGTGAAGATGATGACAAGAGGGGAAGAAAAACGGAAGCCAGAAAATAATAGTAATAAATAATAATAAATCGCCATTCATTGTAAAAAACCAAAACAAACAAAAAATGAAAAATGAAAAATGAAAAATGAAAAAAACCAAATCGTTGAAAATCGTACAGATCATTAATTAACATGATTCAAACCTCCGCCAGCGCTCAGACAAATGAGAGTACACAGCAACATAAATAAATTAATAAAAAATCAAAAGAAAAATGGGGAGTAGGGAGTAAAGATGCGATGGGCAACAAAAAAGGGGTAACGGGACATTTTTTAGGGGATCGGATAGGGAAGTAGATAGAGGTGGAAGAGGGAGAGAAGCTGAGTAGGGATTGAGTGAATCGCACGTAGCCTACGTAGGTAGGTGTAAATAGGGGTAGTAAGGCGGGGGTGAGGTGGGCAATAAATCAAAAACAAAAGTTCCAATCATGCACATATGCAAAAGAAATGCAAAATATCAAAATAAATCACCCAAATCGTGAGAAAATGATAAGAATCCAGAAAAAGAAAAAGAATAAAATAGAGCGCAGGTGTGAAGGATGAAGTGAAAAAGAAAAAGATGAATAACACAAGAAAAGCATCAGTGATAAATGAAGGCGATGATTGGAGAGGAAATAACCAGAACTGCAGAAAGTAAGCATGATCAAAGTTAAGAATGAAGACATAACAAAAGGGGAGTTTTCAGGTACATGATTTTTTTCGTGACATCATCGCTTGCTTTCAAATCAAAAAAGGGGGATATATAGCAATAGAAAGAGAAGCAAAAGAAAAAGAAGAGAGCACGTTAGACATAACAAATATTTTTTTCCCGCAAAAAACAAAAAACTTTTGATGGTTTTTCCAAAAAACCGACCAGGCCTCCCATTTTTGTCTTTTGCCAAAAGTGATTTCCCTTTCCTTCTTTTTCGCTTTTTGTATTTTTTTTTTCGCAAACGCGGTAAATTCCCCCCCCCCCCGCGCGAGAAGGAAAAGTAAAAAAGTATTTGGAAATGCGATAAAATATAGCATTAAACCCTAAGCTTTTTTTTCAATGCGTTTTTTGAAAATCAAGAAAAACCATTAAAACCGGCAAAAAGGTAAAAACAGCAGGTAGTAATCGTTTTGCTGTAAAGCATATATGCAGCCCAGGCAGGGCTTACGACTCCAACAGGCCTCTTCCACTGTACCCAGAGCGGCTCGAGCGCCTACTCGCCCGATCAGAAGACGAATCCTGGCGAAGGCGTCTACTCTCCTCAATATCTCTCCGCGAGCCACTAAGTGACTCCGAGCGCGAGAGGAAATACCGCTTTGGTCTCCGCCCTTCGATATTCACCTCCAAAGACCCTTCCTCGCCAGATCGTAAATTGATGACCTGCCGATCAATGTTGTCTTTGGGAACCCCGATCCTGAGCCCGCCAATCATCACTGTGATCTCATCGTCCTCGGGCCGACTGATGCCACTCTTGGTCTTGACGTCGCTGCCACGGCTGCTGTCGGTGCGGGTGCGGAGGCTGCCGCTGTCGCTGTCGGCGCGGTGGCTGCGTCGGGATTTCACGAGGGTGTCTAGTGTGAGCGGGGTGGCGCGGGAAGTTCGGGAGGATTGGTATTCTTCTGCCTCACGTTGCTTTTGGTCGAAGTCCTTGGGCTGTTCTAGGCCATAGACTGATGAGCGGCGGCGACTGTGTTCGATTGAAATCCTGGCAGCTCGTCCGGGGTCGTGGTAAGAGGTGGTTCTGATGCCTGCTTTGCCGGGTGCACTGGGTCGTCGCTCGGATAGGACGGCGTCTCTGGACTTCTTTCTGCCTAGTCGGCTTGGAGGTAGGGCTGCGCGAAGGTCATCCATATCGATGCCCTCTGGGCGCCGTGACGTGGTTGGGGTAGATGTTGCAGTGGCCGCTTTGCGGGCAGATGGTCGACGAGGGGGGATGATGACTTGGGGAGGGGGTTTGCTCTTGGGGACTGGGGGTGGTGGCATGCGGTAGAAATCTTCATCAGGGTCGTATGTCGACGGTTGAGACACTGACTCGCGGCGGGCACGAACTTCCCGAGAAGAAGGCTGTCGGTGTAGATCTTCGCTACGATGGGTGGAGGGTGAATGTGGGTATTCTACCACTGGTGTCCCGTACATTGAAGCCCGTCTGCCAGTTGGTTTTTCAGGCGATCGGGAGGTGGACGCGGCTCGTGGTCGTTCGAAATTAGGCGGTGGGGCGGACTCATATGCCATATGAGACGGGAGGGGAGGGGCAACAGGTCCGTTGGACATATACGGCTGCATATAGTGGGCGTATGCGGATGCGGATATTGGGGGCCCATGTTGTTCGTAGGCAGGGGTTTGAGGAACCATATGCATGTACATATTCATGTCTGGCATAGTCCCTGAGTGGAAACTCATGGGCCGACTCTGGTGATAAGAATTCGAACGGTCGCGACGAGATGATACGATTTCCTGACTAACGATAGGTGGATAATGGTATGACTGAGGATGAGGAGATGAGGGAATGTCGTAGCCATGAGATTGGGAATGCATATAGGAACCGTAATCGGCCGGATGAGGGTCAGGAAGAGGAGGGGGCCCCATAGGCATATGGTGGTATCCATATTGGTCACAATCCAGGCAGGTATCGGGGGCATGGCGTCCATGGGTGGATTCCCATTTTCTTGCCTTGGACGAGGACCGCTTGGGAGCAGGTCTGCTGGAGCTTCTGTGCACACCTGTTATTGTGTGCATCGTTGCTCCGCTAGAAGAAGAGGAGTGATGGGTTTCTCTTGATTCCCTATCCTTCCCCCTGGATTTTGATTTCTCTCTTTCTCTGTCGTCGGGACGGCCTCTCACGCGTTCGATATCCCTATTGGCGATGACAGTGTCCAGCTGAATAAAAGGAGGAGTTTTCTTCCCCGTGGGGAGTGAATCAGCACTGCCAACAGTGGCTGCTGTTCGGCTGGAGTATCCCGAGTCGCTCGCACCGTCAGTACTAGTGCCTGACTGTTGAATATCGGCCTTCGATCTTTTGACAGAAGCGTTGGCAACGGTGCGAGTCTCTGGAATGGTAACGTTGGCATCCTCATCAAAATCTTCGAAGAAGGCAGCGTACGATTGCTGAGAATTCCTGGAAGCCATGACTCGACTGTCGAGGTTTGGTGGGGCTTGCAGGTATGGTTCGCTCGGGAGGGTCCCGTTGGCTCGATGAATGTTGACCCAGACTGGGACTCTCGACGAACCGTCGAATCGTTCTCGACCAAGACAGCTGCGTGGCAACGCTGTTCTCTCTTTTTATCCCTGGTGTTGCAACAACTTGGATTTGCCAACAAACACTTCGGACTAGCGCGAAACTACTAATTCGTTTCCTTGAGAACTCCAAAAATGCCGTATTAAATATATATATATATATATATATAGGTCGACTCCGTTTTTTTTCCCTTTATTCTTCCTCCACCCCACTTGTTGTGTCTTCTCTTCTCTCTTCTTTTCTTTTCGTTTCTTTTTTGTTATTCAAGATAATGTCGATTTGGGTATCGCCAGGCCGAAAGGAGTGAATGGAAATTTTTTTTAAAAAAAGGAAGAAAAATATGACGTAATTAATTAATGACAGGAAAGAAGGGCAAAACTTGACACGGGGCTAGGCGAATTTGTTTCACCTGTACACAGTGGCTCTGAATTTCAGCTCTGAGAGGGAATCCACTGAGACAGTCAAGTGCTCCATCGAAGTCTTGAGGGAATAGTCGAAGAAGTGGAGGGGCTGCAAGGACAAGCTCAGACACTAACTGGGCAGCGGAGCAGACAGAAGTCGATGAAAAACAAAGGTAAAGAAAGAAAATATGACGGATAGTACATCAACTTCTTTCTTCTTCCCTTTGTATCTTTTTATTCTTCCCTTTAAGAAACGACTTTTTCGACGTTTTTCTTTTTTGGAGGAAGGGCTGCACGTTGTCTATCTAGGAGAGCAAAAAGAAGATGCCAGCAGCAGGGATGATGACAACTCGGGATGGGATATTTTGCAGACGGAACCCGATCAAAGACAAATAGTTAACGAAAGCGGACTAGCAACAGGACGACGAGGGCGGGAATTCAATTCTACAAAGCCCAGCCGGATATTTTTCAGGCGACGAGGGAAGAAATTTGGTGGTGCGATGCGGTGCGGTGCGGTGCGTGTTGTCCAGGGCTGTCTTGGAGGCGAGAGATTCCTGCAGTGGGGTAACCGAGATCACCAGATCCGGTTGGACAGTCTGGAATTCGGGGCCCGGGAATGGTTGGTTGGAAATGCAGGTTTTAGTGCGAATGGTTGGAAGGGAAATGTGGTCCCGAGAGAGAGAGAGAGAGAGTGTGTGTGTGTGTGTGTGTGTGTGTGTGTGTGTTTGGGGTGTGAGGAGAAAAGAAGAAGATGACGACGAAGGAGGAGCAGATAGTTATCCCTGCCCGTCTCTTATTTCTTTTTTTCTTTTTCTTTTGGTGGTATTATGTAGTGGCAGTTCGTTATCGATAGCGGAGGGATAGGATAGGTGAGGAAAAAAGGCGGGCTTAGCGATTAGATAGCGTTGGGGGTGAACTCGGGGAGGCCGTTGGGCGATTGATTTGGAGTAGAACCTAGAGGATGCGAGGTGCCAGGTGCGAGGTGCGGGCTGCAAAAAAGTCGACGCTGGAGACGAGCGATCAATGGTATGAGGAATATACGAATGGCGACGGGAGACAGGCAAAGCGCGGTGGTGTGGTTGCAGTTGGAAGAGGGCAAAACGGTTCAGAGTGGGCGTTGCGCAGAGCTGAACGTCGCACACGGGAGTCGTGGTTGGCGATGGAGAGGCGATGGAAGACAAGGACGAGGACGAGGACAAGGACGGGGATGACGGCAGCAGGACGGTTGTCGTGTTTGACGCAGACTCGAGAAAGGCAGGGAGAGGATAATAATAACAATAATAATAGTGGTAAGGGTGAGAGGATGGAGATGGAGATGGAGGAGAGAAGAAGAGAAGAGGAGGAGGAGGAGGAGGAGAAGAAGAAGAAGAAGAAGAAGGGATTGGAGGCAGACACACAAAAGGGGGGACGGAAGCAGGAAAGACGAGGAGAAGGACGAAATCAGCCACGGGACACACACAAGGAAAGTAAAAAATAATAGCAAGAGATGAAAAAGAACAAAAAGAACAAAAAGAACAGTTACCGGCTTGCTGATGACTCGTTATCAGAATAAATATCAGCGGGACAATCCCGCCGAGGGTCCTTTCTTTGGAGTAATAAGTTAAATATGTCTTATTCTTTTATTCTTATTCTTATTCTTATACTTCTTTCTTATCTTGCGATTCTTTTCTTTATCGTGTGCGCACAAGATTTAAAAATTTCCCGTCAGGCATCAATCTCGCAAATGCTAACTTATTATTTACTTCCTTTTCTTTATTCTTCTTTATTCTTCTTTATTCTTCTCCTTCTTTTGACATTTTACGCTCTTCTTCTCTATCGCTTAACTTATATTTTTGTATTATTTCCATGTTATCTCTTTTTATTTTTCAAACGTCAAGTTCAACCGCCTGCCTGAAAATCATCCATCCCCATCCCATCCCATCCCTGACATTTCCTGTATCAGCATTGGTGTTAACCAAGCAGCGACGAGTAATACACGCATCGCCCACGGCTGCTGAAACATCTCCTCATGTCCCAAGGTGTCTATTATTCTTATTACTATAATATATGTTATCTTCCCCTTTAAATACCTCTACTGTCACACAGAACAAAATAAATAGTAATCATATCATAAGTCATCCTATACAAATTGTTTACTTTTTTTAAGTTTTTGCTACCCGCAAACCGAAGTTACATGATCCATGGCTCCAAAGGCGTTAAATATAAAATATGGAACGCTTAAAAACTATGTTTCGCGTTGCATTCATCTCAGTGAACAACAGCAACAACAACAACAATCAAGCTCTGAGTCAGCCGGCAAAATAAATAAAAATAAAAATAAAAAATAAAAAGGAAGAAAAAAAAATAAATAAAAAGAAAAAAAAAAATCCAATTCAAATGCTCCATCCATCCTCATCTCAAGGGAGACGCAGGGAGAGAAGGCAATAAGGCAATCAATATTAATCATGTAATCTTGTCCTTCGCATTCCAACCACCAGCACTAGGTGGTGAGTGACTCTTCCTCTTTTTTTTTTTTTTTTTTTTGTTTTTTTGTTTACAAAAAAAACCCATTTTCAAAAATCCGCCAGGCTGCATCATATTAAGTGGAGAGTTGGTTGACAGGGGGGAGGGGTGGTTTATTATTATTATTATTATTATTATTATTATTATTATTATTTGTTTCCCCCTTTCGCGGGAAGAGAGGCAATCGAGCAATCGACTGGGGAAAAAATATATGATGCCATCTTCTCTCTCCTTTATCATTAAAACATCTAACTTATTATATATAGTTATAGTTATATATTCAAAGAAAAACCCTATATGAGAGGTTGAATATCCGGCTCTTCTCTCCTCTCTTCCCTTCCGCGCCCCCCCCCCCTCCTCCTCCTTCTTCCTCTTGACGGATAAATCAAATAACTTACTGGAATACTGCCGAGCTGAAGGGAGTGTAAAATAATATAAATATATAAAAATAAATAAATAAATAAATGGAAACGCGTCATCATTGGGCATCGCGCGCATGAAAAGGGAAGTGAATTTTTTTCTTTTTTAAAACAAACAAAGAAATGAAAAATAAATGAAAAATATTCAACAAGCAAAAATAAATAAATTTAAATAAATGGAGGGGGAGGGGGGGGACGGACGGACGGGATATGGTGCGATGGAGGGGCACACATAATATTAATATAGAAGAGTATCGCATCGCAATTCGCAAAGGGCAGCTCAGCTCAGCTCACAGGCAAAACATTTAGTTAGCCCTTTTTTTTTTTTTTTTTTTTTTTTTTTTTTTTTCCCCTCCAAAGCTCTGGTTATCTTTTGCGTCATCCCCACTGCCGGTGAGCAGTTTTGCATGATGGTTACATATGAGAAGAAAGAAAGAAAGAAAGAAAGAAAGAAAAAAGGTAGTTAGAATTCCCTGTCTATAGATAATTAGAGATTGGTCTCCAAGTTCCACTTTTGGACCGGAGAGATCGAAAGAATGCAACAACATCCATTGCCCCCTTTTGGGGGTTGCGGAAGTGCGCAAAGGGGGAGAGGGGGGGGGGGGGGGTTAGACAAGACGGACTGGAAAAAGGGTAAAATTGGAATGAGACGATGATGACATTATTAGTAGTTATTGCCGCACGGTCAAATTTCGGGTTGGGTTGCTACTCTTTTGATATATATATTTTTTGATTCCATGCCTAACTACGGAGTAGTTAGATAGAAATAGAATGTAGCGAGATCGTTGCTCCGGCGGGTAAACTAGTTACTAACGTAAAATCCTAGGGGTGGTTATCAAGCCGGTGATGTCAGCGCGGGGCGAAAAAAAAATATATATATATATCTAACGGCGATGAGATGATCTATCTCTGATGCAGCCGCACCGCACATCATCACATCTTCATTAGCCACCACTACCCTCAGTGTGATGTTGGGGAGGAAGAAAGATGAAATGAATGAATATGAATGGATCAGGGATCATGGATCACGGGGGAGACGCAGAATTCTCCTATCTATCTATCCACCATTAGATCCAGGATGCCAGGATGGAATACCGGGCGGGATGGTTCAACTTGGGTTGGCGGGCTGGCTGAGCCTGGCCGGCAGACTTGACTTGCTGGTTGGGATAGAGTGGCTTTTTGGGCTTTTGGACTTTTTGGCTTTTGGCGTTTGAGTTTTGTTATTATTAATTGTCCAATCCTCTCACCACCACCTGCGTAATCCAAGAGATCTGGCATATCCTGCCATATTTTAGGATCTGGATGTAGTCGTTACCAGGACGTTGATATCCGTGGGTACAGGACAGTCTCAACATCGGGGATATCTGGTATGACTTTCAATTCCAATCCACTGATTGATGGATGGATGGATGGGATGAATGAATCATGGGATTGTCCATCCCGCAAAACCAGCTCCCGGAGCGCAAAAGAAGAAGCGAGCATTTCATTCCGTCCGAATCGCTTCCTTCTTCCCTGCTGACACCGCCCCAGCAGCTGGTAGGGATGGGCGATCAGGCTCGTCATTGGGCCGCAAGCGTTTTACAAAAGTTTTGCAAAAAAAAAAAAAAAAAGATGAACAGAAACAGATCATGAAGAAAGTAACTAGTTAGTTACTCCGTAAAGGCGACAAGAAACGAACGGGATCCGAGCTGGGAAAAGTCTCCAGCGCCACGGCCCACCATTGGGCAGCGATGAAATCAATCCTTCCTCTCCCATCCCCATTCCCCATTCCCCATTCCCAACCCAACCAACACTCAACCCTCCCTCCCTCCCTCCCTTTCTCTCTTTTTCTCTCTCTCTCACTCTTCACACACACAATATAGGCCATGGAAAACGGCATCCGACTAATTCTTGACATACCACACCAGCGGAACACACCACTCACTCACTCACTCACTCACCCACCCCGCAACGCAACCCCTCCTCCTCTCTGCCCCTCCCCTCTCCTCCCAAATGGAATATTCCAACCAGTCATAACAGCGAACCACAGTCCTGGACCGCGATGCGATGGTAGCCTGGAGGCAGCTAAGAGGCCGGGGCTGGGGGGGGTTGGAATTTGTTCGCAGGACAGGCTAAGGATAAGTATGTTAAGGCCTGGGGAACATGAGCGTGAGCGTGGCGACCAGTACTATCGACAGATTCACGTCACACTACTACTACTACTACTACTACTACTACTACTAATAATAATAGCTCGAAAGGCATCTGGCACACTATCCAGCATCTCATCAGACCACAGTAGATATAATACATACATACAATCATGAGGTTAGACAGAGTTTATTTTAATTTCCATCCTTTCTTCACAAATCACATAGCGGACTTAACTACAGAAGTAATGATACAGAAGTAATGATAACTATAACTATACTCAGTATCCCAGGATTTTATCTTCATACAGTTAGTTAGTTACCTATGAGAAGCTCTACCGCATCGTTTTGATCTCACAAGCAAGTTACTGAATATCACAACCCACTGTTCAGGATCCAATCCTGTCATCCTCCAAATGAAACGAGATCCTTTGAATACTTCATCTTGTCTAAGCATGGAATAAGGTGCACTGAGTAGTAGTCAAGTTAGGCAGACATATATATATATATATATATATATTACAACCTCTATCTAACCAACCCTCAAGCAGGAGACACGCAACAACATCGCCCGGACCATAGCTGCGAAAAAAGGGAGAGAGAGAGACTTTCCCATGTCAGTAGGCTTGCGAAGCTCGTCCTCAAAATCGCCATTCCCCGTACGTACCCCGCCCGGCTATCATTGCCAGCCACCAACCATGCATGCTCTGGATGCAGCTTCCCAGGGGAGGGAGAAGCGGACACACTTTCGAGAGCTTGATCGGAACCTCGGGAGCCTGCTCAACAACAACCTTTATCTCTTCTACCCGGGCGATACCTACCACCGCGGCAATTGACCATGGATATCATCAGGTTTAATGTCTGGGGAATAAAATTTCCGTCCTAGCCCTACTACTACTACTACCTAGATTACTACTGTGGATGGACACAAGAGGTTGCAGCGGAAATGTCTGAACAACCTATGACTTTTTGCCTATATTGTTATAGTTACGTTACGCAGAGAGCCAGGGAGCTTCGCCGTGGGAACCGACCAACAATCAACTGCTATTCACCTCGAGAGGGTTGAGTACGGTGCGGGGACAGTCTAACTATGATCTTCTGAGGTTTAGGTTCTAGGGTTGATGGGGAAAAAAAAAAAAACGGGGTTCTACTAAACGAGCGGCTGAAGAAAATATGCAAATGTCGATCTAGGACACGTAATTTTATGTTACTTTAGTCTCGTTTGTTGGAACGTGAACGTGAATCTTAATGTGCGCGATGGTATCTAGATTTATCTTTCTAGTTCTATCTCCATCGAGGGATAAGGCTTCTCTCGCCAAAAAGTACCCGCACAAAAAGGATAGGAATTAGATCGACAGGACACTGCTGACGAGCGTTGCTGCACCGTAGCCTCGCGAGATAGGAGAATTGCATGGCTTTTCGTTCGCGCCTCGCTGCTGGTTTGGTTCCTTCACCCTTTATTATCGGAAAGGAGATCCGTCCTGTGAAAACGACGAAATGGTGACCGGGGGAGCATGCAAGGGGAAAAAAAAAAAAGGGGGCAAGAGAAATTGGATTGGCCCATTACATTCTGAAAGGATATGTATCAATTAGCAAAAATTTACCCAATTTAGGAAATATCGATGATAAGGGGATATAACGAAGCAGCGGGAAAAGAAAAAGATAGGTGGAGAAGGCAAAATCTTACCGCTCAACCGGATTCAACCCCAACAACCGCATCCCGTTATGCAACACTTGTCTCGCACAATCATACATCGCCATACGCGCCTTCTTCAACTCAGGCTCGCTTCCAACAACTTTCAGCACATCATAGCCCGAGCTGAGCACGTGCGTCATTCTGAATAGATAAGTCAGAATGGTAGTGGGCTCGAGCGTCTTGGTCGTGTTAAACACAACGTCGGGCCAGGACGCGAGTAGCCGGATCAGATCGATGGCATGGGACTCGGTGAGGAGGCTGAGGTCTGCGGAGCTCAGCTCGGACGGGTCGATTTCGGCCTTGCGGGTCATGGAGCAGAGGCGGGCGTGCGCGTATTGGAGGTAGGGGCCCGTGTCGCCTTCGAAGGATGTCATATCATCTAGGTTGAATTCGTAGCCGTTGATTCTGTTGATTATTATATATTATGTTAGGAACTGTCCAAGATCGGAGTTTAAGGTGGGGCTGGGGTGGTTTCTTGGGTAGCAAGATTGAGAAAGAGAAAGAGATGGGATTTTTCTTCACATACCGCTTCCCACTCATGTCCTGGACCATGACAGACGTGATACCCAAGATATCAGCGGTCTGCTCAGGATTCTCAACCTGCTCGTACTTGGAAGTGTTCTTCTTCATCACCTCGTGCATCTTCTCGCCAACATCCTTGAGGATATCATTGAGGAATTTAACAGTACCCTTACGAGTGCTCATCCCCCGAACCATACCAAAGTTGACATGCTGACATCGGTCTGCTAGATCCTTCCGACCCACAAGCTCCGTCACCTTGAAGAGCTGTGCAAGATGGAGATCCTGTTGGGCAGCAACGACGTAGAGCATTTTATCGAAGTGGTATTCTTCATCTCGCTCAACGATAGCTGCAATATCCCGGGTTAGGTAAAGAGGTGTGCCATCCTTTCGGACTACGATAGCTTTGCCCAGTTTCTTCGCCCCATGCTTGGCGAAATCGACGATCACAGCGCCTTCAGAGTCCTCCGAGACCCCCGTCTTTGACATGGACTCATATGCTTTGGCAAGGCTTTCTGGCTTGATTTGTGATTCACCGGAGTAGCGGTCGAAGTCGATATTGAGGCGGGCATAGGTTTCTTTGTACTTCTCGATACTCAAGTCACGGAATCGTCTCCAGAGAGCGAGAGCGCTTTCGTCGCCGTCTTCCATGCTCTTGAAATATCGACGCGCCTTTTCATCGTAGCTGACGTCAACCTTGGCTTGCAAGTCCTTCTCCAACTCTGCGGTATCCTCATTCTTCTCTTTCTTTTGTTTAATCTGCTCCTTGAGCTCCTTAATGGGACCTTCCTGCTCGGCCACATCCTTGTTTATTTTAACATAAACATCGAATAAGTGGTTAATAGGATCCTTAACAAGTTCCTCCTCATTTCCATACTTTTCGTAGCCATTCGCCAGGAGACCATATTGTTTCCCCCAGTCACCAAGGTAGTTCATCTTGACTACATCCCATCCCATCACAGTATGCAGGTTGGCCAAGAAACCTCCGATAATCGTACTTCGAAGATGGCCCGCGTGGAACGGTTTCGCGATATTGGGAGATGAGAACTCGACAATGATTTTCTTCTTGCCCTTTGATGGGTCAGCGGGGTCCCGGAGGCCAACGTTCGCATTGGTGCCATATGTCGCCCGGTTTTTCTGAATAGAGCTGATGACGGTTTTGGTGAGGGGTTCTGGTTTGAAGTAGAACTGTACGTGTGTGCCTGAGACAACGGGCGTGCCGATGAGGTCGGACGGAGGCAGGTTCTCAACGAGCTGTGCTGTGACTTCGGCCGGTTTCCTGCCTTTGATTTGTAGAGCGGGGACCTAGAGTGGAAAGGAAAGGGAACCAAAAACAACAAAATTAGCTTCGATGGCCAGATCCCCCGAGGCTATATATCAGATGCCTTCTTTGCTGAGACGTGTGATTTGTGTGTGTTTGTGTGTGTGTGTGTGTAAACCATACCGCCAGAACCAAATCTCCTTTCTCGAGAGAGTTCGTCCATTGTATTTTTGGGTAAACGAACAAAGAATCAATTCCAAGCGCCTGTGCTACGAGCTCTGCTATATGCGCGCGGTATGTGTCGACGGGGTTGACAGCGGGGTAGCAATTTGGATACTTGGAGACCTCGCTCGTGGTGGAGTGAATTGAAAGCCCAGCCACGGTGGGTACGGAGTCTGTCGCCATGGTTGCGCGAGGAAGTTGATGCCGGATCCGTGGTGAAAAGGAAGTGTCGCGGGGTGTGAACGCACGGCGTTTAAGGAGGGGTGAGTGGGAGAGTGTCGACAACCGAGCTACCTTGCTGAGCACCGGAGCAAAATACGGTTGAGATATGGATTTAGGAATGAAGGATGCGCCGTAAAGTATTTGTTGACGCATATACGCTACTTTTTGTAGGATTTATATCTAGTGGAGAAAGTCCGGAAACTTTCTGTGTTTGCTCATTATTTTAATTATTTTTCACTGGACCTAAAGATTTTTCTTCGATGATTCATTCTCGCAGAGGACAAGGCGGTGAGTGACTCAGAGCGGCAGAACGGGGAATCTTATCAGATCAAGAATCAAGCGTGTGCTGCGCATTTACAAAAGAAGAGATCCCCTAGAATCGTAAAAATATTATTATTGACTATTCGTATATCTATTAACAATTCGCCCATATGTAACTTTTGGGTGGAGAGACTGCTTTCCCAGAAGCAATCGACAGCTCCATATCTATGACCAGGACATCCCCCCCAATCTATCCCCCGGCGTTCAGCGTCTAAAATGAGGATCAATGTTATATGTCCAAATTGAGAAGAGATAAGCTGTGAGAATACGATGCAATTCCTAGTAGTCGTCAAAGAACTCTATCATTCCATGGGTATCGAATTCCCAATCGTACTTTCGGCTACTAGAAGCAAAAGACCTGGTCATCTAGTTTGCTGACGAGTCCGGCCTTCTTGAATCCCAATGACTCGGTGGCTTTCTTCATTGCGCTAACCATGGGAGGTGGTCCGCAGATCAAGACTTTCGTATCAGGCGCCGCGGCGGGAAGTTTGGCCTGGAGAGGAGGACATGGAATGTGTTTAGCAAAAGTCAAAGTAGTTAAAAAAAGGAAAGTGTGGAGAACCAACGGATCGAGACTAACCTTGATCATATCTGGAGTCACGAAACCGACGCCACCTTCCCAGCCCTCTGGTGGGTTGTTTAGAACGTAGTAGACTCGGAACCCATCGTCCTCCTTCGCCAGCTGGTCCAATTCTTCTTTCAGGAGAATGTCATCTGGATTTACGTTGGCAAAGATCAGATCAACCTGGGTGGTATCGTTGCCTCCATTCCGTGGCCGTCCTCGGATAATAGCCTTGATGATCTGGAGCATTGGCGTAATACCGGTGCCGCCAGCGATCATACCGATCTTCTTGACCATGTTGGGAGTGTAAACCATAGCTCCCTTCGGACCCCGGACTTTCATGGTTTGGCCAATGCGCAAGCCAGCAAGATGCTTCGAGATATTTCCTTGAGGGTATACCTTGACAAGAAGGTCGAAATAGCCTGCTTCCTGATCCGAAGAGATGGGGGTATAAGATCGCATGATTTCCTTCGACTGGCCCTCGATTGTCGCAGCGAGAGAAATATGTTGGCCAATTGGTAGACCGAGGATATCAGTGGGACGCGGGAGGGCGAAGCGGTAGATGGCGACATTGTGCGAGACAATGGTCTTCTCTTTTAATTCAAAGTTTTGGAACTCGGTTGGATTGAGAACCTTCCGTTGTCCTGTAGAAAAATAGAGAAAAGAAAACGTGGATTGTTAGACTTCGCAATGGTTTCAAAACTGCCGGTGAAATCGGGGATTTCGCATGTCAGAGTCAGACAATAATAGGGAAGAGGGCTAAATATCTCACTGTTGCTCATCACCTTCCACCCCGACAAAATTGCGGCGAGAGCTGCGGCATAGGGAAGCCATTCCTTCTTCACAATGGCAGTCCCAATAACCAGAAGAGCGGATGGGATATACATCCCGTTGATCGCTTCGCTCGAAGTCCACGAACTACTAGTAGATAGAAAACGGGGGAAAAAGAGGTGAGCCAGTCTCCTGCGCAGACGATGAAGAGAATTGAATAGGGATTGAGATCTCACCTCATGGCTAAACGCTTTCGGGGACCAAGACGGAGATAACAGAAGGGATCTTGCAACCAGAAAGAAACGGGGAGGGGAGGGGATGGGCGGGGATGGGCTTGTTATCGATATAAAGTTGAGAAATCGTTGCTCGGTGTTCTTCGTTCTTCGGCTCAACAAGCCCCAAGAAGGGAAAAAATAAGCCCCAGCAGGAGCGGCTGATGGGGCGTGTGGAGGTAGGCGTGAGGGTCGTGCGCCGAGGCTGCAGACAGATAGGGTTTAGCGGCCGCAGATGACATTACCCTGTGGAAAATCGATGATTTCACCGGGGTCCGCTTAACTTACGCAGCGTAGGTGCGGTGAATTAGCGCAGTGTGCTATGGAAGTAACTACTTCCATCCAAGCTCTCAAAAATGCTTTCTTGCAATACAATCAAAAGTTATCACTAATAGCTTCAATGAACTTGTGTGTGCAATTTATCTTCAGTGATAAATAGAATGTTTTGAATGATCCCGGAATTGTCATTGTTAGAAAATTTAACCTCAAGGTTAAGTAAGGGTCAATCATAACCCTATCCAGACACATCGGAACACGCACCAGGGCCCAAATGCGAATATCCTGTTAGCGGCTCTGTCCCTTTCGGCCCCTGCCCTATTCCTTTCGTTGCTTTGCCCATTTCAATTAGAGATCAACTGGGCAAAAACGTCTGTATTTCTCCTACCGCTGCTAGCAAATATGGGAGACCTGCAACCGCAGCCCAATAATCTGCCCTTCAATCTCACCGACGTTGATCGTCAGGTCCTGTCGCAGACGGATGAGATGTTCATCCATCACGATTGGGATGAGATCAAGAGAATCATAGGTCCGTAGCCGCTGCTGCCACCAAACTATAAAATTCAGAACTCAGAAAAGTACGATTAAGGAAATGCCCATCCCCGCTAACTCAGAGTAGCCTCCAATAACCTCGAAGCCTTTCGGCGCAAGCCAAGTGAGCTGAAGCGCTACATCGCCTGGACCACAAACATCAAGGCGCGGTACGGGACGATAACAAATTACATCCTCCAGGAGCGGCTGAAATGGCAGCTCGATGGTTCCGTTCCTCTCGCTTCGCAGTGCCGAAACCCAGTCCCCTTCGCGGATCCCAGTGATTACAGGATCCTGCGGAATGACTGGCCCTACGGCGTCTCGCCGGAACTCACTCATATAGTGATATGGCTCAAAAACAGCATTCCTGTTAGGGAAGACAACGGGGATTTGACTGACGAATCGCGCACCCTCATTAACGATTTTGTCAACCGGACTTTTGTTGCTAGGCTGGAGAAGCTCTTTCCGGACGCCGACGATAGGGTTCTGTGGTTCAAGAATTGGACAGCCCTGCAGAGCGTGAGATCGCTTGAGCATGTTCATGTTGTGGTTCGGGGCGTCCCTGATGAGATTATTGTCGAGTGGACTGGGGAACAGTCTCGTGCTGTCCGATTTGACAGACCTCGGATTGAATCCGATGATATTGAGGTATCCTAGCATTGTTTACCAGCTACCAGCTAGTATTGCGCTGCTTTCGCGTTATTATTTGTCACTATCGGCTCGATTTGAGCGATTTCTGATATTCCATGTCGCTCGACAACAAGCCTTGGATGGATTTTATACGAATATATACTATATATCCAAAAAAAAAAAAAAAAAAGAAAAAGTTGCGAAGATATATCGACATATCTTCTGATCATGTTAATGATTTTCTCACGCTTAGAACTATAGAATTGATACGAAAAGAGAAAATAACCTAAGTTATGCATAAATTCATTCCAGTTCTTATCGAGAAATAAATTACACTGACATTAGGGGAGAAAGAATAAAAAATAAAAATAAAAATAAAAAAGGCGCTGAGGAATAACTAAAGCAAAGGATGAAATGAGTCCCAGTGGAAACAAGAGGGCACATTGACAATCACTGAGAATAAGCCACGAACCTTAGTTAAGAAGGCGACTACGACTAGAAACGAAGTAAATAATCAAGAGATCAACATCGGAGAAGCAAAACCATAGCAGGCAAATAAAACCATCGCACCGTAGCCATAGAAACGAAAATCCGATCTGACCGGAACTCCAAGCCATCCACAAACAAGGAAAAACATGAGAAAATAAACGCATATGGGAGTATGAACTTAGCCGAGGCATTCGATGACAGAACATATATAGGTCTTTCTTATGACTTCTGCTCCTCTACGAACTTTAATGCTTCGTCCCTCGACACCACATCTATGGTACTAGCTTTATTGCGGAAACTAACGCCATAGCACTTCTCCGCAACGAGAAGCATCTCCGGTCGGAATGTCGTGCAGATAAATTGGCCGTTAGTCTCTTCAGATATTGACTTGAGCATCTGCGCGACAGCGGTCCGGTACTGTGCGTCGAGGTTTGCATCGATCTCATCGAAGAGATAGAAGGGAGCGGGGTCACAAGCTTGGATGGCAAAAACGAGGGCCAAAGCGCAAAGACCTAGTTTGGGTTAGATATCAAATTTCGGCTTAGAATAAGAAATTGTCAAGGGGTTTGTTTAACAGAGAAGTGACTGCATTATAGTACTCACTCTTTTGTCCTCCGCTGAGTTGTTGGATGCGCTGTTGGTCGTCATGCTTGCTGTTAAAACTCACGCTGATGCCTACACCAACGTAGTTTTCCACGCTGCTCCGTTCCTCCTCTTCATCAGAGTCTAGTTCATTCCCTAGTTGCTGTGCCCGATCTGTCTTGCGCTGGATGATCAACCGACCTCGGCCTGCTGGGACAAGTTTCTCGAAAATTTGAGCAAACTCACGGGATACTTGCTTGAAGGTCAGTTCGATGGCTGCATCCTTGCGATGATCTAAAACTGTGATCAGCTCTTCAATTGATTTTTGAGAAGAGTCGAGCTCCTCTCGTCTCTTTGTCAGGGTTTCTCGCTGTTTTGTGAAGCCGTTGTATTGTTCAAAGGCTTGTTTGTTGACATGTGAGTATTTCTTCAGCGCTTCGTTGACTTTGTGCAGGCGTTTGACAACCGTATTGGAGTCGGTATTCTTGAATTTGGTAAATGCATCATCAGGGAGGACGCCAAGATCACGGATGTTTGCACTGCATTCGGCTGCTTGCTTCGTCAGCGCCGCTTTCTTCTGCATGCTCTTCTCCATACGTCGTTGATGCTTTTCAATAGATTTAGCTAGGTCTTCCATGTCTCGTTTGACATCGGCCTTGCGCTGCTCTAACTGGGCCATTTCAGCTGATCCCTTTTCCATCGATTCTTCCAGCTTCCTGAGACGGCGATCGAGCGAGCCAAGGGATTTGTTCAGGCGCTCAATTTCCCGTTGACTCTCCTTGAGATTCCCATGTGTGCCTTCATCACCAGCTTCAAGCTCGTGGCCAATAAGTTGGTCTAGTTTCGGGTTCAAGTTTTCACGTAACTCAACTTCAATGACTGATTTTCTGGTTTCGAGTTCGCTGCGACTGCTGGATAGCTCTGAATGCTGACTTCTTAATTCCTGGACAGTCGAATTGAGAGAATCAAGTCTGGCCTCCTCAACATTTGTTAGAGCTTTCTCAAAGTGCGTAGACAATTCTTCTTCATGTGCAGATATTTGATCACCCAGTGCCTTAACATTGGCTTCCATGTTCCGGAGGGCACGTCGTTTTGCTTCCAGAGTTTCCGTCTTGTTCTGAAGCATGTCGCGCTTGCTCTTAATCTCTTGTCGTAGCGGGATGTTACTCCCATGGAATTGTTGTCTCCGCTGTTCCAGCTTCTGTAGTTCGCCTACGGCTTTGGTGATCAATTGATCCATCTTCTCAAGCTCCCTCCTGATCTCGATACCTCGGTTCCGCTTGGATTCAACCTCATCTCGCCATTTGCTAACAACCTTCAGGCCCTCGAGGCGGGATTGGCGAGAGTCGTGGAAACCACCAGTCAATGCACCACGCTTGTCAGACCGATCGCCTTCCGGGGTAATGGCATTGATACCGTGGCTTCGAGCGTACTGTGCGGCAACTTGAAGGTTGGGGCAAATGATAGTCTTGCCAAAAACTTGCTGGAAGGCTTTTTCATATGCTTTGTCGTACACCAGCTTTTCGATAATTGGTATAGTGTCGCTGGCGCGCGGAACATTTGCGGGTTTAGGTTTCAGCCGGTTCAGTGGCATAAATGTGACTCGTCCCAACTTTTCCTTTTGGAGAACATCCAACACCTTCGTAGCAGTTTCATCTGTGTCGACAACATAATGAAAAAGGCTCTGGCCCGCAGTAACTTCCACAGCAGTGCGGTATCTTTCATTCACGTCAAGAAGCTCAGCAACAGTACCATAGACACCTTCAAGGTTAAGTTGTCTTTTAATCCGACGGACAGCGGCAAGTCCGCGACTTGTATTATGATCCATCATATGAGATAGGTTTCTTTCCGCACGGTCTAACTCTTGCGAGGCATTTGATATTATTGAGTCGAGACGCGCTTCTTCTCTCCACAACTCTCTATTAGGTTGTCAGCACATGTTCTTGGAATAAGGCGAATGGGATAACATGAACTTGATTAACATACTTCCTCTGGTCCATTAATCGATCTCTCTCATCCTTTGCACCCTGCACCTCCTGCTCCATCGATTGAATAGCATCACCTCTACCATCAAGCTGCTTACGCAATCTTTCGGCCTCAGGTTCCAGGAGAGCAATATCGTTTTCAAGCCCCTTGATTTCTTCTTCTGTTTGCATTCTTACAGCTTTGACTGTTGAAAGTGACATATAGGTATCCTGAATTTCCCGTTGGAGCCACTTATCTCGTTCCGCCTTATTTCTAAATTTGGAATTGCGGCCTTGCTTTGCGTAGAGACGTTGCCGCGCGGTTTCTGCTTCGTCCAGCTTTGCTTTCACGGTTTCTTCCTGTTGTTTCTTTGCTTCGAACTCTGGGAGGAGCTTGCTGAGTTCTTTCTCTCGCTCCTTTATAGCTGTTTGGACTGCCTTCAAATTCGCATCACGGCGGGCTTTGGCTCGTTGCGCGGCTGATTGCCCCTCGGAGAGGGATTTGGCCTGTAGTTCAGCCTGTGCCAGCGCTCGCGAAACATCTCGACGATCCTCCTCCATCTGGGCTTTTTCCACTTTAAGAAGTTCCATTGACTGTTTCAACTCGGATATCTCCGCATCTATCTGTGCGATATCATTCTCGCCTTGAATAAATCTGTTGCGATTCGCATCTGTGTCTTCAACTCCTGTTTGGCGCTGGCCTTCAATACTCTCGAGAACAGAGGCAATTTCAGCCTGCTCCCGTGAATAAATCGTATATTCGAGGCAGCGACGTTCTCTGTCTTTCTCTTGATAGTTCTTTAGTTCATCCTTCTCCTCTTCAAGCTCCGCAAGCCGCTCGTTAATATAGTCTAGCGACTCGTCGATTTTCGCCCTCTTATTGTTCGTCTCATTCATGATCTTCAATGATTCCGCGCGACGCGCCTCATATACCTGCGTGCCCGCCACCTCTTTCAAAAGAACTAAACGCTCTGAATCTTTCATATTAGTCAGAGTCGTGACGCGACCTTGCGGAACGATGTAGTAAGGGTTCGATCGAGAGAAGCCAGCCGACTCAAGCAAGTTCATCACATCAGCTTTGGTTGCATTTTTTCGATCTAGGGTATATTCATCCTTCTTTGTGCCAATGGTCCGCCGCAGTATTAGTTCTTTTCTGCCAGTAGGGAATCGTTCGTCGGAGTTATCGAAAATGATTTCAACGTAGGCTGACATCACCGCGGAACCAGAGCCCTCCTACTTGCTGTCAGTTGGCACAAACCCAGCAATAATAGTATGAGTTTGGGCTTTCGTACATGTAGCAGAGCCTGCCGTTCCTCCCTCCCCATATGAGTATATGCGTCACTAAGTACGAATCGAATCGCGGCGAAGAAGTTACTCTTCCCGGATCCGTTACGTCCAACGATAACATTGTGTTTCGGGGAGAACGGTTCGATCACCGTTTGATCTTTGTAGCTATATAGTTCACCAGAGAATCTCAGCTCGTATCTTCACTATTATCGATAAAGCGCTCGATTACTCACCTCTTGAAGCCCTGAATGATGATCTGTTTGATATACATCTTCAGCTAGGGGATCCACACCTCCTCCCGCACGAGGAAAAGAGGGTATAATTGCGTTGCCGAATCACTGTGCGACACGTATGAGTGAAGGAATGCGTCGCTGCAATGGCGAGGATTGAAAAGTTGCCCAAGTTGGAGTTGTCTTAATTTCACTTTCAATGGAGGGAAAACGCGTTGCAAGTTGGAATGGATTGGGCTGGACGCGTTCCCGATTAGGCATTAGGGCTTCGTGGCGGGGAGTCGGGCTAACAATTTAGCGTGTATAAAATAAATTTTGCAACGTCACACTTCCACTACTCGAAGTGGCATAATTTTGAAGGAGGGGTAAAGACAACGCCCCTGGCCAGAGAAGCTATAAGAGGAGCAAGGCCCTCTTACGATTTTTTTCCTTTTATCTTTCATTATGGCTGCAAATACGGCGGTGACAGTGCCTGTTGCGACCGATCCTACGGCTGTCTTGGATCCTACACAGCAACAAACCCCGCCACAACCGGGTGATCAAATCGAAGAGGATGAGGAATACTACGATGATATTTTCGCAGATGAGGACCTTGATGAAGACGAATTCATGTCCTCCAATCCTGCGGACCTTACAAAATCATACAACAGACAACGTCGGCTAAAAGAAGTCTCTGCGGACCCAAATGCCCCTAGATCAAAATATCCCAAAAGCAACCCTCAGAAACCCACGATTAATACGCAAGCGAATGTCGACGACCAGATTTCTTCACTCTCGCGACATGCGTCAAAATTACGCCTTGATGACCTCCAGTCAGGTCTGGGAGGGAAGGGCGATAGAGGGGTAGATAAAAGCGACCGGGCAACATCAGAGCAGGTGTTAGATCCTAGAACGCGCATGATTTTACTGCAGATGATAAACAGAAATGTAGTGTCTGAGGTAAACGGTTGTCTTTCTACAGGCAAAGAGGCAAATGTTTACCACGCCGTATCTTGCCCAGAAGATGATGGCGAACCACTCCAACGAGCTATCAAGGTCTATAAAACTAGTATATTAGTTTTCAAGGACAGGGACAAGTACGTCAGTGGAGAGTTTAGGTTCAGACAAGGCTATAATAAGTCCAACAACCGGTCAATGGTCAAAGTATGGGCGGAAAAGGAGATGCGAAATCTCAAGCGTCTTTACTCCGCAGGAATACCATGTCCTGAACCTCTCTTTCTCCGACTTCACGTTTTAGTCATGGGTTTTCTTGGAAACTCTAAGGGGTTTGCAGCCCCACGATTAAAGGACGTGGATCTTACCGGGCCAGACCCTGAGGAACAGTGGAAAACCCTTTACATCGAACTGCTCGGGCATATGCGCACGATGTACCAGGAATGTCGATTAGTGCACGCAGATCTAAGCGAGTACAACATCCTCTACCATAAAAGTAAACTCTACATCATCGACGTCAGCCAGAGCGTGGAGCATGACCACCCACGCAGCTTGGAGTTCCTCCGTATGGACATCAAGAACGTCACGGACTTCTTCAGACGGAAGGGAGTACACACCCTCTCAGAGAGGACTATATTCGAATTTATCACGGCTCATGATGGGCCAAAAGCTACCCCTAGCTCCAACTATATGTCAGAGGCATTGGAGAAGTTATTTGCCACTCGAGAGCAAATGGAGGACGAGGGCGGTGCCGATGCTGATACCAACGCACAAGATGAAGTCGACGCAGCCGTTTTCCGCCAGCAATATATGCCCCAGACGCTCGAGCAGGTATATGATGTGGAGCGTGACGTGGAGATACTACGGAAGGGGCAGGGCCAGGACCTAGTATATCGTGAACTGCTAGCAGACAAAGGCGACGCCACCTCCCGGGTTCCGGTGAATGGCAATGCGGAAGAGGAAGGATCAGACGAATCTGGAGGAGTTTCTATATCAAATGAAGGGTCCGAGTCGGGCTCTCAAGTTGAAGACAAGGATCTATTTGCCAAGAAGCCTCCTAGAGGAAAGCGGTTTGAGGACAAGGAGGCGAAGAGGGACCATAAACGGCTTGTGAAGGAGGAGAAGCGCGAGCAGCGAACGAAGAAGATTCCGAAACACATTAAAAAGAAACTTGTCAATGGGTCAAAGAAGAAGTAGGGCTATGTGATTTTTTTTCCCCTACCACCATTTAAGGATTGGTTTGAATTGCTTCGATTGGGTACGTAACGGATTTTGCATGGTTATTAATGACATTGGCATGAATATGATGCATTAGATGATAGAGGATTTTTAATTACAATAAACTCCTTTTCACTCCGGCAGCGTAATCGACCAATTGGGAATGGAGGAAGTATACCTCTGGCGCTGATTTGCCTCCAAATAGCTTTTATAGGCATAAGAACACGCATCTAAGAATGAGACAGTTAAAGGTACTCCCACTAGTAGGAATTTTAGGCAGCCCCTGGTTCAGGGGGTAGCAACTGTCTCCTAATTTTTAAATTTCCGAAGGATTCACTGCATTTCTCCAATACTAACATACAAAACCGTAATAACCCATCAGAGCTCTCTTTGATCCTCATTCCTCCTCTCATAAAAAAAATACCCCGATTCTCCCGCATCACAATCCCTTCCTCTCATCTCCTCCCCGTTCCAGACGATTCCCTCAATAATACGGGGAGAAATACACTATGTTCCTGCGGTGAATGGAAAATATAGGTATAACTGCCCCACCAACTGACTCATGTTCACAGGTATGTAAGTAAGCCAGGCATATTGAAAAGAAATAGCGAGGAAGCGGGCGGAGAGAGCGGATAGATAAGATGTCAATGCTGAAAGATTGGGTGATTTCTTTTCGGGAGAAAGGTTGGAGCCAAACGTTTTGAAGGGCAAAACAGTGGCCATCTTTTTTGATTTCATCATTTGGGTTTTTCATAATTGGACGTTGCACGTCTTGCTGGGATTTCGGTATTAAAGGGAGTGTGGTTCTTTAAGTAAAGTAGAGGAACTGCATATGGATGGGCATTTTGTGGTGAGAACAAGAATGTGTGTCAAAGGAGAAAATGTAACAGCATCATCGGTTTCTGAAGTCTTGTCTCATTTTCTCATCGCCGTTACCTACTGGGCGGCTGAAATTTAACAGTATAAAGATTATGCTGGTCGGGTGATGCTGTCGGCTGTTAAATTATGAATTGCTGGAGAAACATCTCTGAAAGGACGTAGGGAAACTTGGAGGACCGGTACTGACTCTTTCTAGGGGTTGTAAAAAGCTGGAAGCATCCATCGAGTTGGATGCCGTAATACTCCAATGCGATATCTATAATACCCAAGCTCAGAGAGCAAGTGAAATTTGAATATTATCTTCATATTTCCTGAATACCATGAGGTCATGGTGGAGAAAGCCTTGGCCCTTTCGCTCGTAGCTTTAATCGCGCCAGCGCTTGTTGGACAACATGTTTGGGCAATTGTGGTATGCTATCATCGCTTCCACCAACATCATCATCGTTCTCAACAGCAACAACGGCGGTGGCATCACCGTGTCTGGAACTTGCAGGCATATCAACAGCAACGCCCTCACCCACATCCCCACCATCATCCCCGGCCCCATTCGATTGCTCATCTCGTTCCACTGCCTGTTTCTCCGCAGACATGTCAACAACTTCCCCTCCATCATCCAGCTTCCCGCCAGAAACTCTTTTAAACTCTACCCGTGCAGGACATCGACCAAGACCCGGCCAGATATCCGATGGCAAGTAATCTCCATACTCCGTCCTAAACACCTCACGGGCACGCGCGTCGTCCTCGAATAACCTGTTGAGCTCTAGTCTCGTTTTTTTGAGGACCTTGTCAACAGCGAAGCGGACAGCTTTACGACGTGTAACTTCCATGATTAACCTGTCGTAAGCGTCTAGGAAGCCAGCGTAGAGGCTACGAAGATCGACAAGCTCGGCCATGCCAGCCTGGATATGCTCCTGCTCCTCGTTCCAGACCCGAGTAAAAGCGTGCGCTTGAGCGATGTAATCGGCCAACTGTGACGAGGCTAATGTTGACAAGCGGTGGAAAATATCTGTGGTCGATGTGTAGATGGAGTGAAGCGCATTGCGGTGCTCCAGCACCCGTTCAAGAGTTGCTTCCATCTCAGCGATGCGGTCCTGGATTTCTAAAACGACATCTTCGGCTTCGGACGCGTCTTTTGTTAACACGTTTATCATTTCTTGATATTCTGTTTTTGTCATCGGTTCGAGCGGTGCGTGAAGGTTGCCACTGCCACTGTCATCTTGGATTTCATTCCCAACACTGACTCCTACCCCAACACCTGTTGGGAGATCGCCGGTGATAGAGCGAGCAGCAGCACCGCCACCTTCAGTATGCTTTACGGCTGTTACACAGAGGTCAAAATGCCTAACCAAGGATTCCAGGAGGTCAGCCATACCGCGGGCATGGGCCTCCAGGGAACGCAAAAGCTCCGGGATATAAGATGGGGATGGAATGCTGACTCGTGACGCGGAGGGTGATGAAGAAGACAAGGATGATGACGAGCCCAAGCGCCTTTTAACTACATCGCGATATTTGCTCAAAGCTTGGTGGATTGAATGGATATCGTTGTCGAATGCACGGTTAGACTGATCTAGTTCAGCTTGTGCAGCGTTAGTATTATCAATCGAGGTCTTTAGCAACGACTGAAGATCTTCCACGCCGCGATCATCGACGAAATCATATAGGGTTTTTGGCTCCTCCCCTGCGGGTCTAAACGCAGCTTCGACTGTCGTATCGCGCAGCATGTCTAGGGTTTCATTCAGCCGCTCGCCGACGGTATCCATTTCCTTGAGCGCAGCCGCAAATTCCGATCGGCCCTGATGGGCCACTCGCTCAACTTCAGTTCTCACATCATATAACAGCTTGAGCTGCTCATCTAGGCCCCGCCTAAGAAAGCTGGTGCGTGACGATATGATGACACTCTCTTCCAGAGCAGCCCGGGCAGTAGTAACGATTTCATTGGCTCGCCACACATGATGAATAGACGATAGAGAGCGCTTTGCTGCCACTAGATGCGAGACTAGAGTTTCCAGGTCGGGCGGCTGGGATGAAATACTGGCTTCCATGTCATCCATTTGATCTGCACCCAGATGGACTTGATATGGCGATGGTGACATCCTGAAAAAGTGCAAGGAAAATTTATCTCCTCTTCTCTTTTTCTTTTTTCTTACTTCTTTTCCCCTCCTATTTTATATTTCTATTCTTACTGCGTATGATTTTGCAGATCCTGGGGTGTCTCTCAGATTTCGATTCGCCGTAAGTTCGGTCGCGGCTGTGTCGAGCTAATTGGGATTACATGGTTTTGAGTCTGCGGTACGGGGGCGATCGGATGGGACAACGTATCTACCTCGCTATCTGTGCCCGAACATCAGCAGGGTACGATATCATCATCCTAAACAGATATTAGCAAATGTCACGGGCCTTTAGAAGTATTCCTGAGTTTTTTATAGGTGCGAGCGAGATATCAAGGATGGGAAATTCAGAGAAAATTGCGAATCGCGATGTAGGAGAACCAAACTGCAGAGGCGATAATACAAGGTTTGTAAAATAACTCCCCCTCCAAAGTTGGAAAAGGCTAAGGTTAATAAATTAATATAGAGAGGGCGGGCGCTAACAGCTCCGCTCCATGGTATACAACCATCAAATTCAATCCATTGGCAGGATTCGAAAATTGTGCGATTCGAGGAGAAAATAAGGTGTTCGGCTTACCGGAGGAAGACTATACTTTCAACGTGCTCCGCGTATGAGCCTATACTATCTGGACTAGGAAGCGGGACACTGCTAGATCCTCTGCTTCGCTCTGTGCTGCTGTAGTCCAAGGTGGGTAAATGAAAGAAGTCGTCGCTTTGGGTTAAATGTAGGCAGGCTTCTCCAACTAGCTACTACAGGACAATATAATTCTTAGTCATGACAAGCAGGTAAAGAAAGCCAGTAGAGCATCATGTTATTCAACAGCAAAGACGCCATACACAACCTGGTTACTAGTAACTGTCTGAGGTAAGTGATGTGACGTTGTTGATCGCCGATATCAGAAGTTGAGCAAACGACGTCGGGGACCTCGGGAAGCTCAGGAGAGTGGTCACGTGCCTCCAATACCTTGGGGGTCAGAGAAGAGCGCTATACTGCATCCGGCCTAATGGCCGATGGCACCAGATCCGCCTCTATCGCGTCAGGGTGTGGCAACCGAGACAGAGACTGTTGAAGAACCGCGGACGATCCAGCTAACAACAACTCCAGACGACCAGCGACCAGGCGACCAGACTACCAGGCGGGGTTATATCTATTGCGAAACCTCCCAAGTCGACCGAGGCGAGACATGGCTACAGAGGTCACTATAGGCGACAGGATAGAGAGCTGTAGATAGAGTCCCTTTGTGCCGTATTTCCGTTTCGGGCAATATCTCTCCCTCTCGTCGCCGATTTGCTCACAACCACTCCGCCGCGGAACATCCCTACTTCTTGCTCCTCCTAACCATCCCAACCTCGCAATTTCCTACCTATCCACCATTAAACTATATCCGCTAGCAGAATCTAGCAATATCCTGCCTGTATCGTCCAACTAGACTATCAGTAACGGTCAATTTTCGGCCCTGCCATGCAGCTCATCAGCCTCTCGACCATGGCGTCGAATTTCGCCGTCAACCCACCAACTGGGGCCATCGACGGTGCCACTCGTCCCCAGGCGCTCAGACGGGATGCTGACGGCTCTCCCCGAAAACGAAGAAAACTATCGGAATCTACCCTCGAACCCGATACCTCAGATATTCGCCCTTCAACGACTTCGCTACCAGATGCCTCGCAGTCACAGCAGGACTCAGAAGAGACTACTGTAGACGATAACATGTCCATGATCCCATCTCCACGTCAAGCGGATAAAAATATTGCCCCGTTTCTTACCAAGCATATCCGTGATCACTACGCGCCAATGAATCGATTCGAACCGCAAAAGATTGAACGGAATCCCAATTCTAAGTACTGCTACCGACACAGGCCGGACCTAAAATGTCGACGCCAAGCGGACGAGTTGACAATGGACCAGATGCAACAGGTATGTGGATTTAGTGGAAAGATCAGAAATTGAAAAAGAAAGGCCATGTCTCTGGTTTTGTTCGACTAATTTTGGCTAATCTGAAACGCATTTAGGAACTGCACACCCTCTCCCAAGCTGACCAACGAAGTATCGCCCACTTCTGGTCTATGTTTTCCGCCGCTCCGTCCAAACACCGAAACCTAATGCTGCAGGGTCTTCTTGCTCAATGCTGTTTCCCTCAGCTCTCCTTTTTGTCTGCTAGCGTTCGCGACCTGATCAGAATCGATTTTCTTGCTGCCCTACCAACGGAGATATCTTTCAAAATCCTTTCCTACTTAGACACAGTATCGTTGTGTAAAGCGGCGCAGGTCTCGCGGCGTTGGAAATATCTTGCTGACGATGATGTCGTTTGGCATAGGATGTGTGAACAACACATTGATCGCAAATGCCAAAAGTGTGGATGGGGTTTACCGCTTCTGGATCGAAAGAGACTCCGAGATTCTAAACCCCAGATTCAAATGCGGGCTACTGGACGCGGTGTAGAGAAGGAACCGTTAAATGCCATGACAGAAAAAGATCACGACCTAAAAACCTCTGGGAAGCAACTCTCAATCCTGTCAAATTCGTCGAAAAGATCACAATCTCCAGGCAATTGGCATTCAGGCGCTGAAGACTATTTCAAAACTCGATTCCGACCATGGAAAGATGTGTACAAGGATCGATTCAAAGTCGGCATCAACTGGAAGCACGGTCGTTGCACCACGAAGATATTCAGAGGCCACACGAATGGTGTTATGTGTTTACAGTTCGAGGACAATATTCTGGCTACGGGATCATACGATACCACCATCAAAATCTGGGATACCGACACAGGGCAGGAGTTACGCACTCTACGTGGTCATCAATCCGGAATTAGATGTCTCCAGTTCGATGACACCAAGTTGATCAGTGGTAGTCTTGACCGGACTATTAAAGTTTGGAATTGGCGCACCGGAGAGTGCATTTCGACCTATACGGGCCACCAAGATGGAGTTATCTGCCTCCACTTCGATTCCACAATCCTTGCCTCCGGCTCGATGGACAACACAGTAAAGATATGGAACTTCGAAGATAAATCAACTCGCGTCCTCCGCGGCCACAATGACTGGGTCAACTCTGTCAAAGTAGACACGGCCTCTCGTACGGTATTCACCGCCTCGGACGATCTGACCGTCCGCCTCTGGGATCTCGATACAGGCAATGTCATCCACTCCTACGAAGGCCACGTCGGGCATGTCCAACAGGTCCTCCCACTACCGCGTGAATTCGAATTCGAGGAACACGACGCTGAATGCGCAGATGACGGCCAAAGCACGACTTCAGGTGATGAATTTCACCACCACCACCACGATCCTTCATCTGACCAACAGCACCAGCTTCGGCCCGCCCGTTCCCCTCCACCCTCACACTCGATGTCACCATTATTTAACGAGTTATTCAAAGATGGACGCCCCTATCCGCCACGATACATGCTCACGGCCTCTCTCGACTGCACCCTTCGCCTCTGGGAGGTAACCACCGGGCGATGTCTGCGGACATTCTTCGGCCATGTAGAAGGTGTATGGGCTCTGGGCGCAGACACTCTACGTCTTGTCTCTGGTGCGCAAGACAACATGTCTAAAGTCTGGGATCCTCGCACTGGGCGGTGTGAGCGGACTTTTACAGGCCACCATTCAGGCCCGATCACTTGCATTGGCCTGAGCGATAGCCGTTTTGCGACTGGCAGTGAAGATTCTGAAGTTCGCATGTATAGTTTCAGAAGCTGAGGGATTTGTCTGTCGATATTGGTTTTCTTGGATATTAAGGGCGGTTTCTTTTATAGAAATCCGGTTCTGTTGGGGCTTCGCACCGGTTTGCGGTCAGGAGTTTACTGTTCTTGTCCCAAAATTGCATAGTCGGTCGGGGCCGGGGGGCTTCTGCTTAGTCAATGCATATATAGGTCTTCCGTTTTTACATACCACCATTTGTCTTTGTTACATATTACTATTAATTCTGTTTTTCGGTGTTTTTTTAAAAAAAAAGAAGAAATGAATTAAAAAAAAGAAATGAAAGAAAAGGAAAAGAAAAGAAAAGGCTTTGCAAATGAGTGCACATCAGGCTCGTGTGTTATGTACAGCAAAGAACAAGGGCACCTTATCCCAGCACATACATGGTTGTTGGGTTATAAATTATATATATCTAGATATATAGCCTCTGTCATACATATTTCACAGTTCATTATATCAATATCCATACATTTGTTTGTTAAATATTGTGAAAGGTTTTGAAACACTGAGAAATATCAGTACTTCCCTCAGAGGTTATGGGAAACCCTGTCCTTGAATTCATGCAAGGATACATCTTATGAGAAATGCATTTTCTCTTCTAAATGTTTGATTTGTTTCCTTCAATGAAGTGGATAGGTACAAACCATGTGTCTAATACATCACACTGTCTGTGAATCCATTGCAGCTACTCGCATTTGCTTCTCTAGAGGCATATTTAATGATTTAACTAACATGAGTGAAATATCCTGCACAATTCTACGATCAACTACCCAAGCGACTTCCAAAGTTTGCCCAGTCTATCAATGAGTATAAAAGGGGTGCGTATTCATTTCTTAGTTTCATACATAACTTCGAGTTACATCTATCTACCCACACATACCTAGGGATATAAAGCAGGCACAGCAGAAGAATAAGAACTGTTCTCCTTTCTCTTTCCCATTCTACGATATCGATCATTCTGTCTTTTTTTCTTTTTTTCTTTTCTTTCCTTTTTTTTTTGTCGATGCTACAGTAATCAGATTCTTCCTCCGCTTCAATAAGGATAATAAGGATAATTATACCCTTGCACAAACGAAAGGGAGAAATTCCCTTAGTCGAAAAAAAATGTATCATGGATCCAGAAGACGTAGGTTCGGCGAGGGCTCACCGAGAGGGCCAACACAGGCGGCCCGTTGGAGAATAATGGCGATGGCAACCCTCCCTCCCATTTATGATATCCCGACGATAGAACCTCCACCTCCATACCAACAATTTGAAAGGATACCGGAGGGTGAGTAGGAGATTGCCTTGTGTCTTCCCCCCATTTTTATCATTTCCTTGCACCTCAGTTTTCAATTTCTGGAGAGACAAGTTCCCGAATCGCCTGGACGATACGCTGATTGCATAGAGGAAATAGCAGCCCCTGGCACTCACGAAGCAAGCTCCTCGAGAAGACGAGGAATGTGTGGCACGGGTCTAGATAGTTCGCAGCGAACGACGGTAGATGATTATGATGATGAGGATTATTCTGTGACCGTGTCCCGGATGGGTGAATCCCCAGTGGGCGGACGAGCGCGTAGGACGGCAGGCGATCATCACCCAGAAGGAAACGAAATATTAATTATCCCGCTACAAGATCAATCTTCTAGTTCTTTTTCCGGTCATCATCGCCGTGCACCTCGTTAGGAAAGGGAAGAGATATTATTAACTTTCCCACGGCAAAAGGGTTCCTATAGTCAGGATAGAGATGAGATATTAATCTATCCGGGCAAAAAGACTCTAGGTGCTAGGCATCCCAGCCTTACTCCCCGCCTCCCGCAGGATAGGGACGAGATATTATTGATTTACCCGGGAAAAAAAAAATTTTCTGGTGCTCACTAAGGTCGTTGCAGAGGCATGATACCAGCTCCTTCGCTGCTAGTATGATCGGTAATAAACCAATGCCAATGTGGCATTTATGGACGTGTGATTTTCTTTCCAACGCAGCCGCGTTCTATGATAGGAAACATCTGCAGGGTATCGGAGGGAATGTGAAGGAATTCATCCGCTTCAGGCGCCTGGTTTTCACAAGGTATAGGGCCGACAGGCGCGCAACATTAACGTTTCTTTTCTTCTTTTGCTTTTCCGTTTCTCCCCTATTGCGCGTGACTGGAGTGTACTGTGTTTCGAGCGCAACCAATGTTAAGTATTTCCTTTATGTCTTTATATCGGCCCTCTAACTTGTGCTAGGGTTTTCCTTTTTCGCAAACTGAGACGCCTGCTCTCCAGTTTGTCAACTGTTTCTTTTTTTCCCTTTCTTTTCTTTCTGTCTGTCCTTCCCTCCCGGCCCACCTCTCTATTTGAGTTGTCTGCGACAGAATTGACGTTGAGACCTGCCTGGGAAGTCATCATTCTTCAAAGGAAAACTTTCGGTTCTTTGGTTGTTAAGATAATATGGCGAGTTAAGTTAGCAGATTTAGGAATGAATCCGGAAATTGACGTGGATTTGCAAGGAGTTGTAAAATATATGGGGGGAACAAGGTCATTTGACAATCACAGAATAAGTTTGTTTTGAAAAAAAGGCTACATACTGGCACACTGTGCTTTTCCATGAACAGGTGTAATACGGGGTGATATCTTAGATATCTATGAAGTTCAATATTTATGTACAGTACAATCTTGTATGATCTTTCCCTTGTAGGGTATGAAGCAAAGAAGAAAAATGAAAGAAAAAAATAAATAAATAAAAGAAAAGAGAGAGAGAGAGAGAGAGAGAGAGAGAGAGAACTGTATAATACATTCTAAAATCCCCAAACCCCCAATATCCATTATCCCTAAATCCTCGCATTTCCCTGCGCCCTCGCCGCTGCCATCCGTAGCCGTCGGCGATAATGATCGCGGAACTTCATGCGAGTCAAAGTTCCGTATCCCACAGCACCCAAAAAGACCCCGGACCAAATACCTGTTATTATCAGGCCCGTGGGGAAGATACCTAGAGTCGTGCCTGGCAAGACGAATGCTGTGGCTGCAGCTACAATGTCCGGGAGTCTGGAGCTGACATCGGGGACGGTGATGTTGACAGGGGAGTTGTCTTCATTTGTGAAGAACCCCGCAACGTATGATAGTGTGTCGGAGGATAATGTGGTCATGACGAGTTCCTGGCTTTGTGGATTTGAGGCGCCGACAGTTATGTTGGGGATTAAGAGGACGCGGAGATCGTCTCTGTAAGTGTCGGGTTAGGAGGCATTCTGCGTCTTCAAAATACGAAGACGGGATACTCGGGAAGGTTTGGGATTACAGAGCAGCGATGGAATTAGTCTGGAGATAAAAACATACTGTGCAAGTTTGTCAAGTTGTAGCAATGTTGATATTTGTCCGAAATGGCGGAATTCCTGTAACAATACCATCTCTTGCTGGCCGTCTAGTGTGTCGTCAACGAGTCGAAGGGGATCCGAAATTGTAGCCTGTGGTATGTTCATTTCCAATGTATACTCAGAATGTGGGATTCCCGCAAATTCGCCCGAGGGTTCATTCACTTGATAAACTCTGAGATCAGCTTCGAATGCACCGGTTTCTTTGTCAAAATAGGGTATATTGAAGCAAGCCGCCATGCCAGACGGGTTCACAACACTCTCCAAGTCTTCAAGAGCCCTGAGGCAAGCCGTCGTTGCGGACGCGTTGAACTGCTGTTCATCAAATACAGGCGCTGAAGCCAATTCTGAGGTCTCTGCTGGAGGATTCTGTTCCGTGGGGGACTTCGGAGCATCCTGCTGAGGTGATGGTGCTCTCTTCTCTAAACCAAATCCAATATGAAGCCGGTCAAAGGCATCGCGAAGGGTTTTTTCATGAAGATTCATAGATTGGCGAAAAATTGGCAGTTCCAGCGTATGTTTCGGGAAAGCGGATTGAATAACTGCAAAGATTGTGAAAGTATAGAGGGGCACTGATGCTATTCGCATCGTGGAAGGCCTATTTCATATATGAAAGAATAGGAAAAAGCATAAGTCAGGCGAGAAGATGGCTGGGAGCTGGTAATTCAGCGAAAGTGACGAAGGCGCCGAAGTTGACACCGACGCGCAGAGGAGAAAAAATAAAAGCCACTGGCCACCAGGGTCAGCAGTTATTAGCAACACCAGCTATCCGCAGCGAGAAGAATGTGAATTAGCAAACATGGTTTCTGAGGTAGAATAAATTATCTGATGGTTTCCACTACTTACAGAATAACAAGAAAGAACCTAAAATTGAATATTAACCCAAGTAATGAATAGCGACGGTAGGTAACAAGGAAGGAGAAAGAAGAGACCGAGGGAATCCATCAAAGGCCATTATTGATATCGTTGTGGCCAGGACGAAGGACAAGGGCTTCTTCATCTTGTTTAGAATGATAGGCACTTCTAAATCGAATCTGGAGCATGGAATGCATCATGGCATAGGCGCTAGCAGAGCTTGAGCAGAATTGTGTTGCACAGCTGAGAGCGCGAAGAAAGTGGATGGGGCAGAGCATGCCACAACTGATGTCGCACCGTTTCAGATCTCAAAATAGCTTGACGTAGTTACTGTGTAGTTACTGCGTAGTCCTAGTGGCGGCAGCACTCTGGTGGATTCTAAATCCTGTCCAATGAAGCTCTGCTCGCATCCTAGGCTCGGGATTGATCTGATTTAATGGCCAATCACAAGAGAAGACTCCCTTTTTGCATCGGATTCGATCTTCGAGGCTTGGAATCCCAGCCCAATAATCCTTGAACTCTTGATCAAGATCGAGACATGGGAGCCTGTCGGCCTGGTGCTCTGCCGCAGGCCAAAGGATCAAACTCTTGACGTTGCATATTGGCAGCGAGGTCAACTTGGGGGCAAGCCGGCGTATCAGATCCTAGTCTCATGCTAGCGAGGGTCGTCAGCGTAGGGCATCAACTACAGCGTACGAATAATGCGTAATGTCCCACTCCATCTTGGCTCCCTCTCCAAGTTCTATTTTAGTTCGCTTTGTGGGTTATGACGAAGTTCGTTTTGAAGTTAGCACCAGACCCCCCACGACGTCGGCGCCAAATCGCCCAGCGGCTCATGTTCTCGATGCCAAGAATCATCGGGTGCTGTATCCCGTTACGCACTCACTATTCCATGCTACATATACTTAAATATCATCAATTATCATCTGGATTCTGGATGCAAGTGCTGCGCTGCATGATGTACATGTACATACAATGCTCTAGGAAACAACGTTGGAAGTTAACTATGCCCAATAGAATCTATTGGGTATTGGCATTTAGGTATATCAGCTAGTTGCCAAGAAATGCAGCAAAACACAATTTATAGCTTGCAGAACAGTATTCGTATAATCCAAAGCGAGGGTGAGTTTGTTGGTTGGGAGAAGGATGTTCAGGATGTTCAGGATCAAGTTTATATAGTTATCCTTCTCCCAATCCAAAGGTTACCTAGGTATCTTCCATGACCACGTGATATGGCAACCCCTAATTCGTATTTCTCCAAGCGGAATTTCATTATTGAAAAAGATGTCAAGGCAGAATCGTTGACGCTGGAAACCCACCGAGTAATGTATGTACAGTACATAGATAGGTGCATATGTACATGTACATGTACATGTCGGCCTCGATTACTTTCAACAAGGACACCAGAAAGAGAACAGCAGGGGGGGTGCCTGCCATTGGGAAGCCCATTATCAATAACCACTTGCTCCTTCTCGTCCAGCAGCTGGGTGCATGGCATAAATATCTCTCCCTGTTCAATTTTTCTCTTCTTCTCTTGTGTTTTCCTTTCTCGCCGCGATATATTTATTTATATATATGTGTTAAATATCCGCTTCGGTCAGTCACTCGTTTACTGCGTAGTCACTTAAAGTCACTCGTTTATTGATTGCTTGCTCTCTATTCCTGTCTTCGCGCTCCTTTTCCTTTTCTTTTACATGGGAGATTGTATTTGCCATTCCATTGGCGTCACTTGTTTTTCGAACTCGGTTGCAATGAGTTAGAGTGATTTTTCTGTTGCTCCGTTTCGTTTCTCCCATCATCCGTTCAATAAAATATGTTTTGCGCTGCTGCTGTGCCATACCTCTTTACCTAGCTTTGTTGTCCTGCGGATCGCAAAGAGGGAGCCACATTGGGGTGCGCACTGCAGTAGTAAGTGACTCGTGGCTGTCTGGATTATATAGCATACACTCACCTTTTCGCAGTCGATCCAAAACCACATCGGATACCATGAGATTCCTCATGGTACTACTTTATGTAGTTAATACCCTCGGGAGGATCTGTTGTACTTGGCTAGGTTGTCATCGCAGGAAGAAAAGGCGATATAGGCCGCGGTCGGAAGATGAGAGCCACGAGCTCCAGGGACAGGGAGTCCACCTCTCTGGACAGGATAGATCGCGCCAGGGATATCATTTCCGAGAAGCAAACCAGCCACGTCGTCAATTGTCTGAAGTAGAGCGTGCCCAAGTCGCGATGGCTTTGGGGAATCCACGCTATCCTCTTCCACGGCAGGCTGCTCCAGCGCCTGCTCCAGCGCCAGCTCCAGCTCCAGTGCATGCTCCAACTCCAGTGCCTACTCCAGCTCCATCCCCAGCCCCAGCCCCAGTGGAAGCTGCAAAAGGGTCTTCAGAGAGTATCCGAGTCAGAGACATTCCTCCTGCGGTCGACGGCCATCAATCAGACCAAAACACGGATGCCGCTACCAGAGAGTCAGATGCCACACAGCAACAAACAAATGAACCCCGAAACATCCAACCGATAAACACCCCTGTGGCTAAGCCCTCTGCCCAAATGACAGAGGATGAGATCAAGGACAGGGTGATTTCAGAATGCAATCCCGTTGAAAGTGAAGACTCTCCATCCAGCCCTGTTTGAAACCGTCGCAGCATTGACACAACAAGATGCGAAGCGATATCAAAATGTAACTCCCTGCTTGATGGTGAGTCCCCTCTCCCTTTCCCCTTCCCTCCCCCAACCAAAATAAGAAATAGAATAAAATAAAAGAATACCCCTCAGCACTGCATGTTGGAAAGTCTGGCCAGATTGGAAGAAATCTTCAGAACTGCAACTCTAGTTGCATGGGACAAGCCGTTTACTTTGAAGCCCAACTAACCCGGCTTATGCATGTCTCCTGGACTAACAGTTTCCGTTTTCAGACTAGATAAAAAGGGATAGACTAATGGCGCGGGAAATGTATGAAATGGAGGCGAACAATTTCAAATCCAACCATGGGGTTGTTCGGTGATAGTGTCAAATTGCATGATTGAACAGCATAGGGACTATACGTTCGGATGTAAGTTGTAATAAAGTTTGGGCCTGTCCCCTGAGTTTCCATAATAATAATAATGCTTCATCGTCTTGATGTATATGTTACCAATGGAGTTCTATGGGTTTCTATGGAGTTCACTCACAGACATGTTTGATTCATTCCGCAAACTTTGGTTTTCTGGGCCAGTACGTAGTTTAGTCAATTGAATTCGAAAGTATTAATTCCCGGGAATATGAAAAATCTGAAGTTCTTCGTTGCCGCTGAGTAACATTGAAGTCGGATTGTTTAGGAGAAAGGTGTTAGCTGGGAGTGTTGCTGTTATCATCACTAACGGCGAGGCCATAGAAGTAGAGTACCTCTAATTTGTGTAAAAAGTCGGGTTGATATCTGAGGTGCTAGTTCTGCAGATTGGCACACGTCAAAGTCTAGATTTCTAGCGTTGAGGACGGTAGAGAAAATAGTCTGTAGACTGTCTCTCAACTGCACCGTTCAAGACTCTAGACTGTGTCAAGCCATAAGCATTGATTGACTAGTGCTGTACCGGATAATGTGTGCGTAGGAAGGATGAGGATGTCCCCCCCCCGGTTTTCTTTTAACACATTTCTCTGCTTTCTGCTTTTATATTGATAATAGTTTGGCGCACCGTCAACCATTATACGAAAGTATCAATAAACAACAAATCCAGGCGGGGGCGAGTAGAAACAATTTATACCAAGCCTCGGGCTCTGGCCCTATTACATCGTAGAAATCCGGTCCAATCATGTATGCCGCAATCATCATCCAGCCCTCATCCTCTACCTCTCCATCATCTTCGTCCTCTTCAGCTTTCGCGCTGCGATCAAAGTCGTGATCGCCCGCGCGCACGAGATGAACCCAGCTCCCATCCAGAGTATCATCCGGATCCCCTTCAACCACACTCCACAACGCTTCCTCGTCGACTTGGATAAAAGACATATACCGCTGTGATCTCAAGCCAGTCAAATAAATGCTTTCCGGTCGCGCGTGCCTCAGCCGCCCAAGTGCGGAAGCGAGCACGGAGTTGGTCCCGCGACGCGCCGTCGAGTGTTGTCGGGTCGGACACTAATTTCCATTCGAGGTTGTTTGCAACTTCGGGGGCCACATCGGGCTCCGCCATTCTCTGGCGGGATCGTTCATTGATGATTTGCTGAAATCGGGCCCATGCGTTGTCGTCGCTGTATGTGCAGCGGTAGATTACCCAGCCCCATCTGTCATGTTTGAAATCGCGTAGATGATCACGGATATTTTCGGCGTGTGAAGGAATGGTTATGGGAGAGGACACTAGTTGTGGAGGAGGCGGAATTGATGCTGCGATATGCCCAGCTGTAAAGGAGCGCAGGTGGAAATGGGGTTGTTTGGCTTCTGAGGAGGCAGTTGGATGTGACGCAAATACTCCAGGATGGACATGTTTGGCCTAGTAGCTCTATCTAGGGATAGCTTGTCCAACCTGTAGTGATCGGGTCCATTCGACCTTTTTCATGAGGCAGGTTAGGTTGGCCAGTTGCCAACTACAGGCGCATGGGAATAATTGGTTGATGGATCAGGTTTAGGACTGGCAAAGCCAGGCACGCAAATCTCCTGAAACTTGACGACGAGGGCATTGTCCGTGAATTTTGAAGCTTATGGGGGTGATAGCTTAACTATCCCATCAAGTTCTCTCCAGACATTCACCCTGTATACGTCTGTCTGTGTTTAAACCTTCGTATTATTAAAAACTCTTTTTGTATTATTTTGAAGCAGGGCTAGGTATTATGAATTATTATTATAATTCCCTCTCCATCAAAGAATCAATCTCTTTGGCAAGTTTAGTGAAACATAATCATCTGGATGATGTGCAAGTCAAATAGCTTCGATCAGCAAAGAATATCATTGAATCAAGTTTTAAATACGGAGTATGATCTAGGAGGATCTAGATCCAAATTATCCCATCATAGTTGCTTCTGTCGAAATCTATTTACACCGCCATTTCTATCCACATTGTAAAAAGGGAGTTCGGACATGCCACTGAAATCAATATTGAATTGATGTGCTTGTGTAGTATCACCTCTCCCCACTAAAGCTTATACTTAAAAAGCGGTGATCGATCTCCCATCCTCTATATTTGCTCATCCGTAGATTTGGCATGTATTTCTTCGAATGCAAATGACGAGCCAAAGCCGGTTGGATACTTGGGCTTTTCCTTCTCAAGGTAGCAGCCGGAGCTCTAGATATCAGATGTCTTGTGGCTCGAGCCAGCTGGTGGAGAGCGACGGGGTGTCAACTAGAATGAAACAGCAGGCAACTCCTAGAAGTACGGAAGCTGCGCCTTCAGCAAGGAAGATCCACCCCCAGCCTTCAAGCCCGCCGATACCGTCCAGCTTCAGGACCGAAAATGTACCAACTAAGGCACTAGCTGTATATTTCAAAGGAGAGGACAACTGTCAGTCAAAGGGACACAGATAAGGGAAAAAAAAAAAAAAAAAAAAAAAAAAAAAAAAAAAAAAAGCCCTGGCGAGATTTAATGGCGGGACATACTCCAACCGAGCAGAAAGCGGATAACTACAAGTCTAGTGAAATTTTTCACGACACATGTGAGTGTCATGACAATACTCCAGCCAAGGGTCAGAATTCCAATATACGTCAACGGTCGCTTAAATTTTCCAAGAATGTTGCTAGGAACCTCTATATGCAAGGGGTCAGTGTGGTGCTAATTATCGCCGAATCATGCATGACATAGGCGATCACTCACTGCAAAGCACATGGGGACGAAAAAGATGGCTAGTGGAATATTATACTGAGGTCCAGACATGTGTAGGTCCTCCAAAATCAATATTTGCCCGGTCAATGTAAGCACGGGTTTCCACAAACTCTTCACTGGAAGGCTCCATGGTGCTGAATGAGTAAAACGAGAAATGTAGTAAGAAATTAGCAATATCGGGATACGCCGGTTTCGAGATGGCCAAGCCGGCTTTGCAGGTCCCACAGGATCAACACGGCAGAGTCTATCCCGTAGTCAGTAGTAGTGGCAATCGGCTTTCCACCCGGTTTCTCGGGCTCCGATCACGGCCCCTCTACTAACACCAGAGAGTTAGTACTGAAGCAATAATCTGCTGGGTATTTGGGGCCCGGGCTTCCTGAAGAAGACGCCGAGAGTTCTCCGTTTCCTGATAGTTTGCTCGTGGTAATTTTCCACAGATTAATTTTGCAGAGTGTTTTGTGTTTTTCCTGGCCGCATCCCGGGCAGCATGGTATTCTAGTTGCCAAGGGCATTGTCCCAAACCCGCAACCATTATTAGAAAATGTCAGTGCAGAAAGAAGCAGGGACGTTCTGCCTGTTGTTTATCTTATGGAGTGCCAATAAAAGGAGCAGTCTGTACCCTTCCAGAATATCAATCTGTCCCCTGACAAAATAGTGAGGGTTGCCAGAAGGGTGAATCCCAAAATACGGAATCTCTCGGACATATTTCGATGCAAGGGATATCTCGTGCGGGCACAAAGGGGGGAATATTAGCACGTTGGCCTATCGGGCGAGTCAATGGGTAATAAATTGGGCAATCACTGCTCATGATAAGCTCTGGGGACACGCCCAACCGGACACCGTTCGAGGCCAATGCCCATGCAGAGGAAATACTGCCATGATTGACGTGTGCAAGCTCCTCAGCTCGTGGTGTTCGGGCTTGCAGGAGCAATAGATCACTAGATAAGCGGGTTCACTGTTGTGGCTCAAGGCTAAAAGGTGGTGGTTTGCCGAGCCGCAAGCCCAGGTCGGACCCGGCAACCTCAGCCAACCTCTCACCTCCTCCTCCTCATTGACGACGCTTTGGTCCACCGCTCACCATTACCCCGAATTCGCTAATCTTCGGAATCAGTTCTTGAAATATTTCCCTGGGACAGTGGCTACCCGCCATTCTGTTCCCGTCACCAAGGAAACCAACGATGTGACTTTCCAGCCCAGAGCGAGACCTGCGTGTGTGCTCGGGGTTGTTGATGACGGTGCTACTCTGTACGTTCATGAGACACATATCCAAATACCTAGCTCGGTAACCTTCCTGAACACTGCCCAAGCTGATCAATGATCATGTTTCAGAAATTATGAAATAAGGCCTCAAAGGGCATAGGCTTCGCAAGGAACTCTTACATATCTGCTACCTTGGCGGCCAATGTAGCTCCATCGTGAGGCTTCGCCAACAACTCGTTTCGGGAAGCCCAGGTTCGACATGGCAAATCATGACGTATTCACCACCTATTTGACAGTCGGCAAGCTGATTATGGCCTCGTGCTCCAAGTACGGCGTACGTACATATGATATTTATAGACCACGGCGCTACCTGTCGAGTTTAGATCCTGCCATAAGTCCCTACAAAAGATCCAATAACATCTCGACAAGGCCCTTTGGTTTTCGGGACCAATGCGATTCAGGCCTTATGACGAGATCATGCTTTCACCGTATTATCTTAATCTTTTCTTTTGTTCTCTCCCTTTCCTATTCCTCAACTATGATTGTGCAACTCGAGAGACCCTCTAGCATCGAATTTACGGCTTCGTTGCCACGGCTCCAGGCTGTATATTTCGATGGCTAAAGCAAGAGCATTCATAACATGTCCTTGAATCTACAGTTAGTAGGACCGGCTTAGTCCTGAAGTCCATGCGTTTGCTTTCTAATTTCGAAACAGCTCCTTGCGGTATGTTCGATTGTCCCAACTCGCGCTGCCTACCCGCAGGAAAATAAATATTCCGTGGCATATTATGCTACTATTTTTGCTTTCAGGTCCGTGTTCTAAGAAACCCGATCTACTGATTTAGATTATTGTGGGGCCCGATTCATTGCGGTCCGAGTCGTGTCTGACTTCCCATGCGAACGAAACTTGCACATGTACTACTCTGTCCCTTCCAGCCGGGGTACATTGAGTCACATATAGAGGTGCAAGAGCCACAAATCTGCAATATTTCATATTTCTTGTTAAGCGCCTTTTCATTTTCCTCAGGATTCATCCTGAGGACAATCTGATTTTAAACCGAGCTTGAGCTGGTCTAGAATCCTGCGATGGAGCACTCTGAAATGATTTCCTTGTTAGAGTCTTCCGAATTCCGGTTGTTTATAGCAACCTATACACGTCGTCAAGGAACACAAGAATAATATCATCCTTTTTTAGCCATATTCGGCTCATGGTATTCTTGACATACGCATGCCCTTACCTTGGCGGGCGTCCTACATGGTTCGATGTCGTTCTCGTATAGCCATCTGGAAAGGACCTCAGATGCCATGATATGGATTACTGAGGACTGTGGCGGTCTCGATTACTTCTATCCCTTTGTATGATTCCGACGCTCGTGTGTTTTTCTTCGGCTGGAGTTCCCTCTTTCTGGTATCCTATTGGTCCTAATTCTAACGAGGCTTTTGCTTCTGTGCAATTTTGGTCATCGCACTTTTCTGCTGCCGTCGATCGCGTGCAGTCTGTACCACATCTTTCATACGATGGACACCGGTACTATCCCTTACCTTGTCCTTGCCTCTATACATGCGACCTCAATCTCCATCAGTTCAATCCCGTTTGGAAAATATAAAACTCCATTATCAACGCTCTTAATTCCTATGTTAGAATGTTTATTTTTCCTTCACAGTCCATTATATTAATTCTTGTGCCTCTCGTTCAATAAACCTTACATATTTGTCTTAATATACCTGAAGATCCGTTCCCCTGCTTAACGAACCCTCATATTGACTTTTCTTGTTGCGATTAACAATCCCCCCCGGGTTGCTGTTATCATTATACCAAGCTATGACTTCACGAAGGAATACAAGCTTAGACTTGTCAATAATCATTTACTTCCTTTGGATACTTTTAGGTTCATCAATATGTGCCGCCCAGTCGAATACATATCATCCAATTTCCGCGAAAGGTCCGCCCGGGTTTGTATCAGATAAACATTGCAAGAATAGCCCCAAGAACCGCGCCTGCTGGGGTGGAGGCTTTGATATCACTACAAACTTTGGCACGAAGTGGCCGGAAACTGGAAAAGTGGTCGAGGTTTGCCGCCCTTCCTTTGATCCAAAACCAAACTCAACACAAAACCTTCCAGCTGACTTCCGCTTTGTTAGTATCTTCTTGAAGTAAGCAATATAACTTTAGCCCCTGACGGGGTTGAAAGGCTGGTCTTGGCGATAAATGGTCAATTTCCAGGTCCAACCATTCGAGCGAGTACGTCAATCAATCTCTACCGTTGTGTAGTTCGGTTCCTAACAAATATTTGCAGACTGGGGTGACACTCTTCGAATCCATGTGAAAAACAATCTACAGAATAATGGGTGAGTAACAATGTCTATTTAATAAACTTCTGTTAATTTTATTAATGACGGCTGGGTTGGGAAGAACAAGCATACATTGGCACGGAATTCGTCAGCAGCATACTGGCCATCAAGATGGGACAAACGGAGTCACAGAATGTATGTTGCCAACGGCCGATATCGATGTTCCACAACTCCACTAGCTAACTCTCAATATGAAGGCCCCATTGCTCCCGGAGCATCAAAAACGTACGAATTTAAATGTACTCAATATGGGACATCATGGTATCATAGCCACCATACTGTACAGTGAGTTCCATGTCCCATGATTTTAACTTGGAGCTTTGGTTGCTTAGATTAAAATTGCACAGGTACGGCGATGGTGTTTTAGGGGCCATTGAGATCTCAGGGCCAGCTTCAGCCAACTATGATATTGACCTCGGAACGATGCCTATCCAAGACTGGTATTACCGCACAGCATGGGAAAATGCACTGCTTGGCATCCCTCCTGTTGCTGAGAATGGCTTGATTAATGGGACAATGGTGAACGCAAATGGCGGAGGGAAATATCACGAAAATACAATTCAAAAGGGGAAGTCATACCGCTTACGATTGATAAATACATCAGTAGACAATTATTTCAAAGTCCATTTGGATAATCACCTTTTCACGGTAATTTCAAGCGACTTCGTTGCCATCCTTCCATACCAGACTGACTGGCTGTTTCTTGGGATCGGTATGTAACAAAATCATGCTCATAAATTTTATTCATCCCACATACTGACAAGGGAGCAGGCCAACGTTATGATGTAATCATTCACGCCGACCAGGAGATAGACAACTACTGGTTTCGAGCTGAAGTTCAAAGAGGGTGTGGTGAGAACGCGATGAACGGGAGGATAAAAAGTATCTTCAGATATAAAGGCGCAGAGCCGAATGCGGAGCCCACATCAGTAGCAAGCAACTACACGCAAAGTTGTGACGATGAACAAGGTCTCGTTCCATTTGTTCCAATTGATGTGCCATCGGAGCATTTCATCCAAGAAGTGAAAGATCTTAACGTCACCTTCGAGCCTGAAGTTACTTCACCAGGCCAAAACATAGTTCACTGGAAAATAAACGGGATCCCTATTGAAACAGACTGGGAATATCCTACTCTTCAATATGTCCTTGATCGAAATACAAGCTTTGCCCCGAAGTTGAACGTAATCGAGTTACCAGAAGCAAATGTGGTATGTCTCCCCCTCCAAGACGCTTCATTCTCTTTTCTTTCCTTTATTACGAGCACTCTCTCTACTAGCACAGGCTCTAATATTCGTTACGAATAGTGGACATATTGGATTATCCAGGCTATCCCTGGCAGCATCGTTAACGTTCCACACCCAATCCACCTGCACGGCCATGACTTCTCCGTTCTCGGTACAGGGAGAGGCGACTTCCCCGGGCCCGAACGACTCAACTTCACGAACCCACCTCGTCGAGACACTGTTATGTTGCCTGATCGTGGGTGGGTGGCCATTGCATTTCCGACAGATAACCCCGGTGCGTGGCTAGCACATTGTCACATCGTAAGTTGGAACCTTTTGTTTACTTCTGTACCTAAAAAATTTTACTCAAAAATAATATGCTGCGTATAATCCTGCCAATGAATATATCTAACTAAACGTACCCCGGCGGGTTCTATACTCTAGGCATGGCATGCGCACGAAGGGCTTGCAGTACAATTTGTCGAACGTTACTCGGATATTGCAAAGGCACTTGACATCCCTCACACATGGCACAAGACCTGCGAGCAATGGACAGATTATATCGTGAATGACGCTATATACCAGCAGGAGCGTTCCGGGATTTAGCACAGGGAAAAACAGGGTGAGGTACCTCGCCATGAAGATATATTTGCGAAATTGCCCTATTTCAAGGTGATATTTATTTTCATTTTTAGTTTTTTATTGGCTATGTATAGTACCTGCTCAAAGAGAACCTGCTAATGTGAGAGGAACGAAATTTATCGGGAAGCGGGGCTAAAATAGGCAACGAGGGACTCTTCTCCATTATTGACAGTTTGTTTGTTGTTCTATTGTGAATTTACAGTTGATATTACTTTCCTAGGATTTATTCATCCACATATCTCGTATGCTTACAAATCAAACAACGTTACATATGCTTCCCTTGTGACATAAATATATCCAGTCTCCATTGAAGACCACATAACTTATTTTATTTATTTATTTATTTATTTTGCATAGGTCTCCCATTTACGACCCACGGACGAACACTCACAACCGCCCCTGCATCACTACAAGACCAGCACCATTCTAGTAACTGCCCAGATCGGGTCTCGTTTAAGACCCGGGGAGAGCAATAATAATGCAGGGGTTCGATGTTTTCATCCTGTCGATCTAGTTGATCATTTTAGCGGTTTCCAACTAGCTACCTCATCTCAAGACTCTACTGCGTAGCAGAGATAAGTGTGTTTGGGCTAGGGCCAGATAGCGTACTTTTAGAATAGAATCCGTGCAACCGGGTTATGAGGTATAACCTCTAGTTATATATTGTTCCCGCAACCTCTCAACTGCAACAGGCCAAGCCGGATACCCATGCGGCTAGAAGCCAGCACACACTCTTCGGTTCTGCCGTGGTTGTTCGGACGTAATTTCTCGAAAGGTTCGACGCCCAATCAAGTTCTTTATGCAAGATGCGGAGTGTGAACGGGAGCTGCATCTGCAGGTACACGACATAGCGCAGAACGCAAGATTGCAAGCACAGAGATCTCGATGCTTCGGGTATCGACATGTAACTATAGCCCTATGATATCATTGATAGGGCTATGTGAGCTTGGCTATTCCCACGATGCCCACCCACACTTTTCAATTGGGCGTGCTGGAAGCACGAACGTATTGGCTGCACAGCAATTGGCAAACGGGGCTAGCTTTTCACCCCATCAAAACCGATCGTCAAATTAACGGCACTGTCAATTTACAGTGGGCATACAACTCACAGAGTCTTACAGAGTAGTAGTAGACTTGCAGGAAACAATCGGACCAACTTTGATGTCCATGAATATCATTAGGGCTTATTGCATCACGTGGTCGGGGCATCTTCACTCCGGCGCTTTCCCGCTGCGGGATTAGCTCGGCCTTGTAAAAGCTGACCGCTTGGCGATGTTATCATTCCACCTCCGCGCTCACGGCGCAACTTGGCGTCATGGATATAAATATCCGAGTCGATCGGCCTAACTTAGGCAACTATTTCATGAAAGAGGAATTTTACGTCCGCACGGCTTGATTAATTATTATTGTATCCTCACGGCGCCGCAACGTCACTTCCAGTTAACATTTCAACAGGGGTACTGAATGGATATAAAAACTCTCCCGATTCCCGTTTAGAAACTCCATGTAGCAATTGTGACAACTATTTCCCCCCCTTTCTAATTATTCTCTCAAATTCGAAAAGCTTGCCATTATCCGGCTCATCTGCTTAACTGTTGACTTATTTCTTCAAAAGACGCAAACGAATTGTGGAAAATTATCTTTATATCCTATTCCTCAACCACCTTGGACCCACATTTAGGAAGCATCATGTCTACCACCACCACTGATAACTTGATAAATATTGCTTTCTTTGGCGCCACGGGCGGCTGCGCAAATTCTTGTCTGACCTTTGCTCTCAAGAATGGATACAAAGCAAGCGCCCTCGCTCGAACCCCCTCAAAACTTCAAGACCAGCTCCTTTCACAGGGGCTTGACCAGGCGACAATCGACCATAACTTGACAATCATCCAAGGTGATGCGACTGATGTTGAAGCCGCCAAGCGCACAATCTCTCCAGAGAAAAACAATGGCAAAATGGCTTCACTCATAATATCCGGGCTGGGCGGAACACCCAAACTCACAGCGGCGCTTCAACCCGTCACCCTCGATAACCCGACCATTTGCGAAACTGGCACCAATTCCATTCTATCCGCTGTGGAAGCACTGCAACCGTCCACAGTAACTGAAAAGGAGAAACCCATCCTCGTGGTTGTCTCCACCACAGGCATCTCATCTGGGCCGGGAGATGTACCGCTCCTCCTCCTCCCTCTCTATCACTTCCTCTCAGTCCCCCATAAGGACAAAAAGAAGATGGAGCACGTTCTCTTTGATATGCCCTCTAAACAACTTCTGAGAGGCGCCATTGCTGTTCGTCCGACACTGCTGGTTGGTGATCATTCCATCGCTAGTGGAAAGGGGTGGAAGACTTTGAAGGTCGGGACGGAAAAAAAGCCTGCCTTGGGACATTCAATCCAGCGGGCGGATGTTGGGGAGTGGATTTTTGAGGAGGTCATTAAGGCGGGCGGGGAGAAGTGGCTGAATGAGAAAGTGACGTTGACTAATTAGGATTTTTTTGGATTCCTTCTGTCTGTCCTTTTGATCTTTCTTTTCCTGTTCTGCGTGTGTGCACGTTTTATATGTCTTAACGAGTCATTTCCTGCTAAGATACCTATGAAGCACTGTCTGTTCAATGTATATAATAAATACCTCTAATCTACTTTAGGTCGATACGGGATCTGCATTTTGTTTTTTTATAGGTTTTACTACTTAAAGCAAATATACAATGTTTATGTCACTGCAGTTCTTGCCAACAGAAGGGAGTTCAATAAATAAATCCAGCCGCACAAACGGATTCCTCCACACCACATACTTCGTCCCCTGACTACTAAATTCTCGGGGACTGTACCACAATTTTCAAGCGTAGTATATAATAGCCGGGCGCGCACGGTAGCCAGAATTTCTCGCTCCATCAAGTCTCCAATTCCAACTGCCTATTGCCAGCACGAATAAATTTCCACTCGCTCCAGAATTCGAAAGACAAGGCTGCCCTGCGAGGCTGAGCCCCACTGAAGCTGGAGGCACCAGCATTTTACATCAAGCTACGTACGCTGTAATAGTCTGTCATGTATTTTGATGCGAAAGGTAAGAAGAGAACGAGGAACTATTATACTAAAACATAAAAATTTAGTAAGATATATCATTTATAATATTGACATGTACCGACCAGGTTACGCAATAGTGACCATAAGAAGAGAGGTTGACAGGAGGATGGATCAATATTAAAAGAATAGAAATAAGAAGAGAAGAAAAAGAAAAAGAAAAAAGAAAAAAGGAAGAAAAAAAGAAGAAGAAATCAATCGAAGAGTCCCTGCCCATAAGAATGATGACCTATGGATGGACAGAAGCAATACGCCTTCCATGAAGGCAAGAGCGGTTAAATGAGCCTGGGAAAACAATGTCTGTATATACATGTACGGCCTCTCAGACGCTAAGAAGGAAAAGGAGTAACCAACCTGCATTAATAATAGCATGCTATCACGTACCAACAAATAAAAACTAGGCATATAATATGACGAAAGGAACATAAAGCGTGAAAAAGGAAGAAAACACAAATAAGAAAACGCGGGGTCTCTAGCTGGGATATCATCCCTCGTACAACCGTTGAGAATAAAAGGAAAATAATTCTCTAACGCCAATTAGGTTTAATGGTAACAATCATACGCACAGCGAGAAGAACAAAAGCAGAAAAACACCGTCAAATGCCAGCTATTCGCTTATAAAAAGTTACAAAAAAGTGATGAAGGAAAAAGGGGATAAAATTATAAACAGTAATACTTTAAGGGAGCTTTTTAACATGACCATTAGTTGCCGGAGGCCCGTCTTCACCGAAGCCCGAGCTCTCGAAGGCTTGGCTTAAATTCTGGAGCAAGAAACCACTGCTGGCAAAATGTACACAAACAAGCCACGCAGTGACTACATTGGCAATGTGATGAAGGAGATATGCATATGTGACTCCGTAGAGCGCGGCATATACAGCGAGGATAATAAATAAGGCCGAAGTGATATGTCGCAATCTGGATTATAAAGAAGAACATGTTAAGGTTGAAGGCAACAAGGCGGGGCAGCGAACGGGAGTATTCCGGTTCCAGGGGGTTAACTCAGAATACCACGTACCTTGAGGTTACTCTTGGGATCATATTCCCATTTGTGAGCGTCTCCACGAGAAGTATAAATGGCATTATAGATAAGACATTGTGATGCGATGCGAACGGCGTCCACCAGTGGACAGCGAGATTGTGAACCCAAACCGCAAACACAAGGACATTAACCGGTAGTATCCATAGCATAAGGACGAAGACGGAATGAACGTAATTGTAGAAATTATACTGCGAGTTCGATTTCTGCTCTCATTTATCAGCATCAGCTAATTAAACTTACGAGGGCAATGTGAATTGGGAGTTATGCTCACCGTTTCTCTCGCATATTGCAAAGTCTGCACGCAGGTTGCTAATTGCACAATGCATGCTACGAGATACGCGAACTGATATGGAATGACAGTTGCCACGAAACACAGTAAAACAGCGGAGTTAATGATCCTTTGTCTCGGAGAGAGTGATGGGTAAATCGCCGCAGGTCTAAAGGCAAGTCAGCAAAAATTTCAAGATACACCTCGGGCGTTGTTATTGCTGTGAATCAGCTTACTTTGGGTCATCATGTTTTATGTACCCTCGGCGTGATACCAACATTCTACGGACTGTCGACAGGCCATAAATCAAAGCCACGACAATGTAATTTACCACAGCGCACAATCCGATGCTGATCAGACCAAACAATGGGATCAAGAACCAGAAAAAGCTATCTTGAGAGCCCAAAAGTAAATCGTTCCTAGTGAAGTCTATGACAGTTTCGGTGGAGTTCGATCGCCAATCCATTAATACTTTCTCCGGGTTGTCCATTCCAGAGGTTGATGTTGCCAAAGATGTTGCAACAAATGTCAGTATGGTGAATAAGAGCGGTAATGAGAATCGGAGACAATGATCCAGTGCCTCCGAGAAAGGGATAAAAACGCCTAATAAAGTCAGAATCCGTTCAAAAGCGTGGAGGTAGTAGGACAAACCTGTTTTGTCATATATCTGGAACTGCTTCCGGAGAACTAGTGCAATCACAAGAAGTGGAAGCGCCGCAAAGACCGTACGATATCGCATGGCAAGTTTCCCCATGCTACCGATAACGTCCACACGCAACGAAAGCTCCATTGAGGCATTGCAGCTAGGGTCAGACCAAAGCTGAAACGAAATGCCACGAATAGCACTTTGCTCTCGAAGGTGGGGAGGCATATAGGGTGCAACACCATGCAAGTTGATATCGGCTTCTTTGACATTGACAAAGTACTTCGATTCATGTGGTTCCGAAATATACTGTCGTAGTAGGGGAGTAAACAGCTCAGCATGCTCACCGCACGGCTGTTTGCCGACTCTCAGCTTATAAGCTAAGAGACTCGAGTATAGAGCGGGTATTTTCACTTCGGTCAACATTGGTCGTTCTGCAGGAAGTCGAATATTAAGTCCGGCACCCAACAGGCGGCCAAGTCCAACCTTGGTTTGGATGAGAGCGTCGGAGCTGTCTGAAAATTCCGCAACAAGCCAACCCGAGGAATGTTTGGAAGCTTTGTCAACAACAGCTACGAATTGATGCTCCACCAGATCCTCCAAGTTATATTGCAGATATGAAAATGGAATAGCATCATCGAAAGCGAACTTGGACGAGCGTGTCGATGCTGGAAGATGTATTACATCCTCTACGGCACTCTTGCAAGCCAACCGAGTGGAACCGGCGCTGCCGCCTGAGAGATCCATATTCAAAGATAAGAGGGCAGCTGAATGGCCAGCTCGCAAAGGGAAGACACTACAGAATAAGACTTCTAGTTTCCCGTTGCCACCAGGAGGATCAAGACGTTGATCTGTTAGAAGGGTAAACTTTTTCCCTGAAGCGCCTTGGGGAGGAACGGGAAGAAGATGCGCTTTGGGTAACTGGCGGTTACCAAAACTGCGCAAAACTAGCCGCTGCCCTTGGGGTAGAATTGAATTTGTATTATCTTCCAAAGTCAAGAGTGTTGTCGGGTCTGTGAAACCGGTAAGTATGGAAAATGAACGGATAGCTGATGATGAAAAACTGACCTTTTTGTGGGAGAGTCCTTTCAGAAATGGCTTCCATCCCCGTGAGGTACCATTTTTTGAATACGCTCATTCTTTCCGCTCTCTGCTTCGTCTGGGACGATCGTCTAACGTCCACCAAGTCGAAAAGTGAGCGAATGATTACTTTTCGGAACGAGTCGCACCAAGCGATGGAAAGGTGATCCATTCCAGTCCAAACATTTGGGATAGTGGATGTGAATACGGTAAATCCGTGTGTTTCAGGAACAAGGGACGATAGACTTGTATAATCAGAAGGGACAATCGAGTCCCCACCACCTCCAGCAATAGATATCAAAGTAACGTGCCATAACGGATTGTTGTTGGCCCATTTCTGAGAATATGCTTCACGCCAGTAATCATTAATCTGTTTGTACGTGCGAACAACATCTACATCAAACGATACTGGAGGCCGAGCGTGAGGGGTTGACATCGTAATGATCGTGTTCACCGAATTTGCCTGGTAATTCGACATTGTAAGCACCGTTCGAGCAACGATCCCACCCATCGAATGACCAATTAGAATCACGGAGCTAGGGTCTGGGAGGTTCGGGTCTCTCCCAGGGCGTTTAGGGTCATGATAGAGAGAGAGTATATAGGCTAGAGCTTCGTTTACGTATTCGGCCTGGTCGAGTAACGTTTGTCCGTGAAATGCCGCCATGTCCTCGTTGAAATCCGCCATGAAGAAATCTAAACTTCGGGTCCCCGCATTGAGTTTGTCCTGGTCATATCTTATTACATTCTGGAAATATAACGACGCTTCCGATGCTAGTGACCGGCCTTGCCTGTAGCTCCCAGCATTTCCAGGGAGGAACAATACTGGCACACCCCTAAGCTATTCCAATAGTTAGCATTGATTGGCGCTAGATTGACCCAATATACAAAAATCCAAAAGGAAAATAGAAAGAAAATAAAACAGAATATCTCCCTACCCCAATATCTTGTTCGCTATATTCGTCAACCCCACGCTCCCGATACAGGTATAGTCCATATTTACTCGCGAAGCGGGTATGTTCCGTATCGAATCCAATGAGTTTAATATAAGTGGGCATCATTCGAGGCGTATTACAGCCTTGTGGGTCGATTTGGCGGGTCATGTAGGAGTGAATGATTCCAAAAAGGGCGAGCGCACTCAGGAAGGTCAGGGACAGTGTCAGGAGAGAACATGACCACGGGTTTCGCAGCCGGGATCTTCGTAGTCTTTGGCCCTCCATCAGCTTATCTATCGTTGACGAAAAGGATTGCGATTCAAATGGCATGACAGCTTTCTGTCGAGTTGGGACGTTAAGGGGAGGCGGATATGCCGTGCCACCCGCAAATCTACGGGTGCTAGTGAACAGGGATGAATTGGATTCCTCTCCGCTATACAGATCTGTCGCTTTCTGCTGGTTCATCTGTGGGGCAAATGAATGACATGTGCCATCAATGGCAGGCCCATGTCTCCTTGCGGACGCTGCGTCAATAACTGGATGCGACTGGTCTGGTTGATGTGAGCCGGAGAGGCGCCTCTGCATTTGAAGGACGCGCACTCATCCGCGACTCGATTACGACAGAAGAGCACAAGCCCACGAAATGTGCGAAAACGAATCCAGGACTGAGAGGGGAGAGGTGGGAGAAAAAGGGAGGCGGAAGGAGAGGGGGGAGAGGGGAGCAGGTGAGCAACGAGAAAAACGGACAGACAAAAGCACCAAAAGGAGGTTGAGATAGGATAGGGAGCTCGGAGAAAAGCAAGCAAACCTTATTTTCGGAAGTGGCGCACAGACCACCACGAACAGCATATTTTTGGAAACATACCTTAAGAGAGTAAATGTTCGTCTTCAAAGAATATTTAAAAGTTTAATTATACATACATACACATACATGCAGATATTATTATACATGGGTATCATTTTACACAGCGCACACAACTCAACGAGTAACCAAAAAAGTTTTCTAATTGAGCGGACCAACTTTAACTTCCTCCCTGCTCTTCAGCTCCTCTAGCCTAGATTCCTTGGTCTTTTCTCTGTCCAGACGCCGTTTGATGGCGATTATGTTCTTGAACTGCCCCTTGGCCCCGTGCTTGACCTTCGTAATCATATCCGCTGCATCACCTTTCGTAATATCCCCTGGCTTAATCTGATTATCGAATGGAAGATGCTTGTTAAGAAACGCAATCTGGCCATGGCTAGCGTACTTCTTTCTCCATGGTTGCCATGTGGCCACAAAAACCGGCGGAAAAATGCGGCTAGCCAGCGTATCGGCGGCGTGCACTGCTTGGGCCAATTCAAGTGACGAGGCGATCTCTCGGGGGCGGCTGAACGGGCTTTTTGAATGTGAAGTAGGGCTTAAAGCTCTAACATGAGATACCGAATACAAGCCGGCGTCATCCCCGGCGATTGTGATTCTTCCAGAGGGCGCATTCAGCACATATCGATCAGGGCTCACTGATACCCAAGCATTTTTGCTTAGTGAACGAATATGTCTTTCGCCTGAAGTATCCTGAAGCAAATCATGTACGGAATCATAATCGGTAAAATCAACTGTCACTTTATCCGCAGAAATCGCGGAGGGCTTCGGTTTTGATTTAAAGCCATCCCCTTCGTGGCCTTTGAGTTTCTCTATGTCCTCCATCTTGGTTTCATCAAGTCCTTCGTCCGGGTGAAGGCCAAATAGGGTAGGCGTGGTAGTCACACCAGTGTCAAGAGACGCAACCATATCAATGATATGGCAGTTCTTCTTCCCCGGATATAGTCTTAATCCTCTTCCAATCATTTGGATCAAAAGGTTTTTAGATCTCGTCGGGCGTGCAAGAAGCACACAATCAATATTAGGGATGTCTGTTCCCTCTGTAAAAAGTCCGCAGTTTACCAAAACTGGGTATTCTTGGTTGCGGAAAGCTTCAAGTTCATTGGTACGGAGATCTTTGGGAGTCTGACTGGTAATATATCTCGCATCGATGCCAAACCTGCGGAATCTCTCAGTAAGGCACTTGACGTGCTCAATGTCGACCCCAAAAACGAGGGTTGATTTTCTCTCCCTCGCCCTGGAGAGCCAAGCTCGGACAGTAATGTCGTTTATTGTGTCAGTGTTAACTGCTGCTGATAACTGACCGGTCTGAAAATCGCCATTAGGCGCATCCGAAACTTTTGACAGGTCAGCTCTGGAATTCACCGTCGTGAAGACCGCATCAGCAAGCCACTTTTCACCAATCATATCGATGTAATCCTTATGGTAGACGATGTGGTCAATAGCAGCTCCCAACTTCAGTCCATCGAATCGCGAAAAAGTTGCCGACACGCCAACGAGCGCTGGAGATCCTTCCGACGCTTCATTCAAGCCGAAATATTCAAGCGCTTCTCTATACGACGGAGCCACGATGTGGTGTGCTTCATCCACCAAAATGAGTTTATATCTCTCCGGGTCAAACTTTTCAATCCGCCCTTTTGAAAGGAGGCTGCGGATGGACGCTATGGTTATTTCCGCTGTTCCTGTTGCGTGACTATTCCCCATTTCAATTTCGATGGTCTTCCCCGGGTAGGCAAGCATGCAGTGCTTTGCTGCCTGTTCTACCAGCTCCTTTCGATGGACTAGAATAAGGGTTTGTTTCGCGATTTCATCGCGGGGAGGAATGCGATCGATCAGCTGTGTAAAAATTACCTGTCCCAATCAGAAGTTAGCGAAAGGGTCCGAGGTGGGCAAATATGAAGTGTACTGCTCACAGTTTTCCCACTCCCCGTTGCTAGCGAAATACCTAGCCTTTTGTGGCCCTTCTCCAAATATGAGAGGACAGACTGTATACATTCTTCTTGGTAACTCCGAAGCCGAAAATCAGTGGTTGGGAGTAAAGAGCAAGGCAAGTGGGGTGTGGCGGATTTTGCTGCTGTTGCTGCTGCTGCTGCTGCAGAGGAGAGGGATCGATGGCTAAGTATGTAATTCCCGTAGGCAGCAGCGCACCTGAATTCTCGCATACATTTCGTCAACCACCTCATCTTCCATGGCTGTTGTTAATCAATGGTCACTCAGCTCAAACATGGTCAAGCTGTGGCGGAGATTAGTTTCGGGATGGCTGGGATGCTGGATGCAAACAATGCAAACTGTTGAGGGTAAACTCAACTCTAAAGCGCAAGATATTTCAAATTGTTTCTCTGATTGAAAACAACACGATTTGTTGAAAGTATCAACGTGGCCACGATCGAACAATTTTCACTCCCATGACTATTATTTTTGCATTACATTTCTTGGTTAGGAGTTAAGGTGTCATGTTGTTTCTACCAGCGGATCCTCGAAGGTGTTCAGAACATGTTAACCAGCGGTGGAGCTCGCGATTGGTAGCCATTCTTAAACATGAGCAGCACGGCAAGTGCTTACGACCCGGACGAAGAAGAGGACTCCTCCGATAATAACTCCTTTGGCCGTGGGGTATTTCCTACAGGCTTCGCCACATCATCGCCACCATTACAAAAACTTCGGCTTGAGTCAAGCACAGAATTGAGCAGCCCTTCAAGACCTTCAAGACCCCAGTCCAGCGGTTCGGCAACCGTGCATTCTAAATCATGGAGAAACGGTTCGCGAACTGATAGGAGGCTTCCTTCTGACAGCTATGTCGAGCTCTTTAATGACTTTGTACACAGCGCAGTTGATAGGGGGGTGGATGCAAGTGGATCTGGCTTTGCAACTTCACAGCTCGGGATTATTACTTGGAGCTCTAAAGAGAAAGAGATGTTATTCAACGCCCTTGAAAGGAAGGGCAAAGATAGGATTCCAGAAATAGCTTCGCTTCTTGGATCAAAATCTGAGATGGAGATACGGGATTACCTCGCCGCTCTACATCGTGGACTTGAGAGTCAGCAACTTAAAACCCGTTATGGCAAACCGCTTATTCTCTCCGACGTGCCCGCGGCCTCAGAGATTAGCGAGGAATGCTGTCAGGCTTTAGAAGACAATGCGCTGGCATTATCTCGACAGGACGAGCAGACCAAAAATACAATGGGCAGGCGGAAATATGGAGACATGTGGCTTGTTGATCGCCACGTTGCGGCGATGGTTGAGAATGAGCTAGATGCTGAGCGGGGTCGCTCAGACGATGGTGGAAATGAAGCTCCAGACAACTCACATCCACCACCAAGTATAATAGCTACTTCGCAACTGCTGAATGCCGGCAACTGGGTTCTGCTTTCGGAGCGGATATTCATGAATGCCGGCCAAAATAGAATCGAGGATAATTGGTACCACCTCAGTGTTGATGGTGAAACACCGTCCCTGACCTGCGAGGCATTTTCCGACTTTTATGCCTTAGCAGTCAGCCTCACGCGCCGCTTAGTACATTCCTCTATATTTTTTGCTATGTCCCGTTTACGCTCGCTGCAGCGCGGTGGATATGAGCGCGCAAAGCTAATAAGAAGGGAAGATGTAGGAGCAGCGGTGGACATCCTGAGAATGAGTCACAATTCTCGACAGTTTTGGATAGGTGCTCCACGACGTCATAATCTGGACGTTGCGGACATACGACATCGCAAGGGCTGCAAACCTCTTCCGCTCACATACAACGAAGTTGAGGAGGAACTATCGCTAGAAGGCACCAGATCAAGGACCTCCCGTGCTAGCAGCGTTGCGCTATCTGTGGCTGTATCTAAAAACCAATCAGAAGCCGAAGAGTCGCCTGGCAAGGATTCTGTCTCAGGGGTATCGGACCCTTCTACACCAAGCAAAACCACATCCGACGACGACGAAGATGAGTCACACTTGGACCCCGAAGAAATACACGCTGCATCCATGGACCAGAAATCCAGCCGCATTGAAGAGCTCCGCCTTTGGAAACTACTGAACCAATCCCCGCCACGATCCCTCTTGCCTGAACACGAGGACTCAGACATAGAAATGGGAGGCGACGATAAAATCGCGGTGGTCAGGCTGTCAGGCACTCAAAAATCGAAACAGGATTTGATAGACTGGCGAGATCGTGTTTTGTATCGCAGTGAATGGGAAGAATTCGGGCCAGATACCATCTTCGTTGAGGAGGAATTATCCGAAAATCGTAGAAAGAAGCGGAGGCTTGAATAGTGTACGGGGTAATCATAGCCTGATCTAACTGGTTTAGAGCAGTCTATATTATATAACCGGGAAAGGGGTACACCATTAATGGCAATAATCTATGTATATATAGCACGGAATATATGTGTACAGCACATTACCATTACAGCTAATATGTCACAGCGCCTCTTAATTCATTGAGCCTGAAAATGCTACTCGAAAGGGGACGAAAAACCGTGGTTATTCAACCAGAAATCTATTCATCCCAAATCAACGACTCTGTAGGAGATAAATGGCAAACATAGAAGAGAACTCAAACCAGCCAGTCACATTTATTTTCTACCACTACTGTACAAGAGTAAAGCAATTGCATTTTAAAAGGCAGACACAACAAGGAATAACAAGGAACCCTGTGATGAAAGTTGAGACCCCGGGGGGGATTGAAAATAACCCTGATCCGCCATTAAGATCGAAAATAATAGGGAAAAAAACTAGAATTCGCGAATGAAATTTCGATTGTTAGATCGGATCGTACACATGTTGGGTGAGGAAATGGAGAAAAGGAGAAGGGGCAAAAAATTCCAATTACCTCAAACCTTTTAACCGAAAATAAGTTAACTCACTGAGACGCGAAAAGTGAACAGGGGCTTTTGAACTGAATGTAGTGGGAAGAATATTAATTAAGGGCTTCCTTTCCTGGGCTCCCTCTCTCTGACAGTCCAGATATGGGGGGGCAGGTATGCTCGAGTCGAGAACGAACAAACGAGCGAATGTAAAAACAGAACCTAAATGAAAATAACTCCCCCAGCTGTAGAACCGCCCCCAGAATTAAAAAAAAGAAAACAGAAAGAGAAAGTAAGGTGACCTATCCATAGAACTTGCGCCGTTGGTAGCAAAGAAAGGAAAAAAAAGACAGAAGAGCCCCGTCCCAGGCACAGGGCAGTAGTAGGGTTAAACCCCCTAATTTTATTAACTCGACTTTAACACCCCCATCGAACATCAAATCATCCTTCGCTCAACAACTTATATCTTCTCCATCCCCTCCTTTAAATTTCCAGAGCGATATAAGCAATTATTCATTTCTTTTGTTTTTTTTAAATCTCAAAAGTTTTGTACTCGCCACCTTGCGCACTGGGTGGAGGAGGAACCGCCGCTTGTCCAGCAGCGGGTTGCTGGAACCCATAACGTTCACCAATCCCCACCGTTCCCGCATCAGCCGCCATAGCAGCGCCTTCCTCAGGCCCCTCCAGGCTAGCAGATTTAAGCAGATCCTGAACTTCCTTAATTCTCTTTTTAAGTGCCATGCGGTCAAGGAAAAGTTGTTGCCGGCCTTGCTCCAAATCTCTCCGCTCGGCTTCAACAATCTTTTCAAGCTCGGTGAACTGGGCAAGCTTGATGTCGAATTTCTGCAGTGTTATGTTAACGGCCGCCGCTACCAGGCGGGTCATTTCTCTTTCTTCGTTGGAAGCAAAAGCGGCTGCGCGGGCAGCAGCAGTAGCCAAACCAATCGTTGCGATAGAAGGACGCGAGGATTGTTTGTCCCCACCCGTACTCCGTACAACAGCTGATGATTCAGGTTCGGTTGCAACGTCGATTTCCATCGAATCTTCAGACTTCATGGCCTCTCCTTCTTTGCCCTTGTCCTTATCCTTGGCTTCGTCCTTGTCCATATCCTTATCCTTATCTTTATTGTCCGTAGGTGAGGTACCTGCAAAGCCTCTGTCGAGTTGTTTCTGGAGCTCGCGACGTATTTCCTCGACTGATCGACCGGCAGCGGCCGCTGCAACCGCTGGTTCGGCCATTTCGGCCAAGTAGGATACAACGGAGAGAACGGGGTTGTCAAGTTGGCTAATGGGCTCTCTTCCGCTCATCGCGCGGATCAGAGAGCTATCCTGGGTGTCTTCTAAATATTTATCTTCGATTTCGAGCTGAAGGAATTTCATGACACATTCTTCCGATGTGCGTGTGCCAACATGACGAGCAATCTGTCGCCAGTTGTCGTCGAAATTCTCCAGACCCTCCAGAAGGAGGAGGAGTTCGGAGTTACTCCACGGAGCATCTCTATCTGGGATTGTGGTGTACGGACTATCCTCCAATTTGACGAAGTCGGAAGCGTGGTGAGATGATGGTAGCCTACCTTGCAGGAAGCAATTCGGGCAGAGATCATACTTGGTATCGGGGGCATTGGGATTAGTCGACACGGGAGCAGATTTTGCATAATGGAATCGTAACCGTGTGCAGTCGATACCACAAGAATAGCAGTGGAAGATCTTCTTTGGTTCCTTCGCTGCAGCTTCCATTGTCTTGATTGAAGAATCGCCGCCAGTGCCGTTTGTGGCTGCGGCTTCGCCATTTGTCTGCTTCTCCTTGTCCTCAGCTGGTGTAATGCCTTTCCCCTTTTCGTCATAGATATTGCGACGAATCTCTAGATTGAGATCGCCTTTTGGAATTGGCGTAGCAGATGCGGCTCGTTCAGTAGATGGGTGGGGTTTACCAGGCGTGACGATTGCGTTAGGAGCTGGCTGGAACGGTTGCAAACCTCGAGGAGTGTCTGCTGTGACCCTGAAGTGACCTGTCATAGGAGGACCAATATTGGAAGGCCTTGTCTGGGGATCCACCTGTATTGCAAGTTAGCCAAACGATATACATCTTCATTGCACTGCAGACGCATACCTGGTAGTTGATCAGTCCCCAGTGCTCAAGGAATGAGTGCACACGCATAATAGCACACACATCACCTGCCAAGTTTCGTCGGCAGGCAGTGACAGTAAGATACTCGACAGGGTTCAAGCGGTAGGTGTTGATCATGAAATCGCGATAATCTTTGTAGATGGCAGGAGTTTTGCTGCGGTTTCGGCTATTGAAAAATTCAGGAAGCGCTTTCTTCTCAACAGTATGAATCGTGTTCATATCAAACCAGCTCGTGTAGCTTGGAAGGATAATAGCGTGTGTTTGGGCTACCAGGTGCGAGCGCGCTGAAGCCTCCAAGGAAGCTTTCGTCTGCGCGGGTTGGCCATCAACATTTTCGACTGGTGGTTGCTGTGTTGCGGAATTTTCAGCAGCTTCGTCTCCCACACCGTTTTCCTTTTTCGCATCTGTATCCGTTCCCCCCATTTTCTCGTCTTCCTTTTCTAGCTCTTCGTTCTGGGGCTTTGGGGATGCGGGCGCATCCAACGGATTATCTGAAATCGGGACGTCTTGGTCTGCTTTAGCAAGCGAAATTGGTTTGGATGGCGAGCCTAAATTACAGAGCGTATGATAAGCATGCACACAAAACATTTAAAACCCCAATAATGGCAGCAGGCGCAACCAACCTGAGACGTGGCTAGGAGAAAGTGTGGCGGCGGGAGCCTCAGTTACCGATTGCCCATCCTGGGGAGCGGTGACGGCTGGGGTATCGGTAACCACCTCGCCTGAAGTTGCATTTAGATCCTCCATTCTGGATGTGGCACAAAGAAATAAAAAGGTTACAGGCTTGGTCGGTCCAGGCTATCCGCCTGCGCAGGATAGGGGATAGATACTGTCGAATAGGAGCGTTCTCCTTCGGAAACCCGCAAAACAAAACGCGAAAACTCAAGCGCTCTGAAAATGGCGATTACGCGGGCCTAGTCGCAATGTCAAGCTTGATGGGCTGGGGATGTACCGGTCGGTATACCTGTAGCGTCCACTTGTACACGGATCTGACTTGTCTCCAGTAAATCACTCGCCCAAAAACTTGCGATCGGAGGCTCTTTTCCCTTAACCTAATATGGGCTAGCCTGTAAAGCAGTGTACGGCAGCCCTTAAAATCCAACAATGTCGTTATCGGATTAATTATTAGCCGACCCTCCGATTGGAATCCGGGCCTGGAACGCGACTTCAACGCGCTTTCGCGTGCGTGAAGTTGCGGCATCAGATCGCTCAACGACGCCAGTTTGCGAATTATTCGTATCGACAAAAATAGTCATAACAATAACAATAATCACACCCTCGGTTTAGGAGCGCAAATTGTTTAAGTGATATACAGCTTCATGATTTCTGAACGATATAATCCGGCGTTAACCTTTGCGCCGCGAATAGAGTAAAGTTATATACAGGTACGCGGAATATCTATGTTATCTTGAGCTAGACCAGGTCATCAAATTTGAGTGGCCTTGCTCTAAGATTCTGGATCTAGCAAGATGGGAGAAGTTAATTGCTAGTAGAACTAACAACCAAGGCAGCTCTCCGTGTACATATCTTGGGTAATATGCACACAGCAATATCCGCCACATCAATCATCCGAGACCCTAATTCCCTCTCTATCTCCCTCGATCAATATGGATATGCCACCTTGTTCCAACAATGAGTCGCTGTTAGGGCTTAAAGGAGTTTTGCATGCACATCAAGGGAAAAGGAAGCCTGACGACGCTGTTACAGCCTTATCTCCTAAACGCCATAGGACAATAGGACCTTTTCTTGATGAAGAGGACGACGAGCACGACATACACCCATTTTCCAATTTCAACAACAACCCTGGATCCCAGGATAAGAATCGCAATGCCTCTCTATCGAATACGGCATTGAGCACAAACCCTCTATATATGAGTGCGCCACCCGTCCCCAATACTATTGGGAAGGCGAACAGCTCCAGATTCTTATTTCCGACTCGCATGGAAGCGGAAGCGACTTCGAAGGAACTGGCGACGATCCGTACGTGTTCTGGTAAAGTTATTAATCTGCGAAAGAGAAAGCCGGCTGCCCCTGTTTCTTATGAGCACACAATTGCGGAACGTTCAATAACAGCTCCAGACAGAGCAAAGAAAAGCTACTATGGAATCGACATTCACAAACTACTTGACGATATCACAATCGAAGATGCTCAGGGAAGCACCCGTCTCTCGCGGCTTCCTGCTCACCAACCATCTATTGAAATCGCTGATGTTCCTCTGGCAAGTAAAGAATCAAATCTTATGTGGACCGAAAAATACCGTGCAAGACGATTTAAAGATCTGATTGGTGATGAGCGGACGCATCGGTCTGTTTTACGCTGGCTTAAGGGGTGGGATCCCATCGTATTTCCAGGCCTAGCAAAGCTAAAACCAAAAGCACCCATGGCAAATAGTTTCGAAGAACACGCTCACCGGAAAGTTCTACTTCTCACTGGACCACCTGGGCTTGGTAAAACTACTCTCGCTCACGTATGCGCAAGGCAGGCAGGATATGAAGTACTCGAGATCAATGCGAGTGACGAACGAAGTCGAGACGTTGTCAAGGGTCGAATCCGAGATGCAGTCGGCACTGAGAATGTGAAGGGGGTGTCCGTCGACGCTGGTGGCAAAAGAATTCGAAAGCCTGGCAAACCTGTTTGCATCGTTGTTGATGAGGTTGATGGCGTTGTAAGTGGCTCGGGTGGTGGAGGTGAGGGAGGTTTCATGAAAGCATTGATTGATCTGGTTATGTTGGACCAAAGGAATTCCAGCAACGCCTCAGAATCTACCTCGACTCATAAAAGGGGGTCGAGAAAGGGAGACAAATTCCGCCTCCTTAGGCCGCTAATTCTGATATGCAATGATGTTTACCACCCTAGCCTTCGCCCATTGCGATCTTCCTCGATCGCTGAAATTATCCATGTTCGACAAGCGTCTCTGGACAAGGTGGTTTTGCGAATGAAGACTGTATTCGAAAGGGAGGGAATCCCGTGTGACGGAGACGGAGTGAGACGGCTTTGTGAAGCTTCGTGGGGTATGACTAGCAGCAGGGACCGCCGTACAAACAACCGCGGCGTTGGGGAGGGCGATATTCGAGGGGTTCTAGTGGCTGGAGAATGGATAGCACATAAACTCCGTGCTACTAGTGTAACAGGAGACATCAGACTCACAAGAAAATGGGTCGAGCAACACATCCTAAACGACGCGACCAGAGATGGCTCATCAGCTCGTGGGTTAGGACGTGGCGGAACGAAAGATATTGTTGAGAGGGTTTTCCTCGATGGCGCAGGTTTCCCAAATGCACCCATCTCTGTACAAACTTTCCAAGACCCCTTTTTGGGTGGCAACGCCAAAATTCCTGTTGGGGTCTCTGACCTTCGCAAACATCATGCAATTAATCGTCTAAGGGAAATGGTTGATGCTGCAGGCGAATATGACCGCTGCATTACGGAGTGCTTTGCTGTTTATCCAACCAAGACGTATCAAGATGATACTATTCTCTCCAAACCAAATACCGCCTACGAGTGGCTGCATTTTCATGATATGATATCATCCAAGGTCTACGCGAATCAAGACTGGGAACTCAATCCATATCTTAGCCAGTCTGTTGTCGCATTCCACCACCTTTTTTCTTCTTCCAACCGACAAAACTGGGATGGCCATAAGGCCCAAATGGACAATGAAGACAACGAAGGCGAGCACCCCTTTTCAGGCCCAAAGGCGGATTTCGCATCTTATGAAGCCCAGAAACAGAACCGTGCCATCATAACAGAATTCCAATCGACCTTCTCCCCTCCTCTTCTTCGCACGTTCCGCTCCACCGAATCAATTATCATCGACCTCATTCCGAATCTCACCAGAATGCTAGCTCCTGAAATAAAACCTGTGATTGTTGGTGGAAGCGGCAGTCAAAGAGGTGTTGCTAGCGTACGCAAGGACACTGAACGCGCACTTGTCAAGTCGGCAGTGAGAGTAATGAGTGGTGTAGGAGTAAAATTTGAGAATACAAGGGTAGAGAGCGAAACTGGTTTCCACGATGGCTGGATTTACAGGATGGAGCCGTAGGTCTCTCCTGTGTTATCCCCCGTTCACAAATTTCACCCTACACATCTGCCTCTCGACTGTAATCGATATGAACATTCCATAGCTAACAAGATCACATCTAGACCTCTCGACACATTAACCATGTTTTCCAAGCTGAAAGGCAGCGGATCTTCGGCACCCGTCCGATACGCAATCCGTCAGGTCCTACAGCAGGAATACGAAAAAGAAATCCTCCGCCAGCGCTCTCAAGCAGGCCAGGCAAGGTTAAACGGACCCAAAAGCGACAATTTCTCTCGCGATGACAACAATGACTCCAATGAAATCAACGGTCGCAATGGCTCAAACCTATATAAGCTTCCACCCAGGCTCAATGGACCGAAACGTGATTTCTTTGGCCGAGTAGTCGTGAACGAAGCGCGGCCCGGTTCTCGTGGTACTGGCGGTTCTGCTGCTGCTGCACCAGCTAAAGCAGGGAATAATCCGGCATGGGTTGGATTTCATGAAGGGTATTCGAATGCCGTCCGTAAACGGGTGACGCTGAAAGAGTTATTATCGGGGCTGTAGATAGAAAATCGGTTGATTAGCAAACTACATATACCCTGAAGCGCGATTCAGCCCACTTGGCATATAAGTAGCGTTATGTTATTGCTGATGAGATTACTTTCGCTGTTTAAGAGCTTGACTTTGTATTTGAATATTTCTTTTTGATTGATCAGGTACCTAAAGTGTCACCAGGAAGTTCCAAGTTGACAGTCCTGTACCCCTTGCGCATCCGGCAGCAAGCAAGTGATGATTGTTCATCAAAGAACACAACGGACATCTATTTCCGCACATAACAATCAGTCTGAAGATTTACGAAACCCACTGAAGCGCCATGTTGGTGTGCATCTCCACGCCTGTCATTTTCGACGCAGGTATTTTCATTACTCTACGCGCGAACCATAGCTAACTCTTCACATTTATCTCCCTCTTTGACAGCTAGAGAAAAATGTGCCCTGAACCCAAGGGATTACCTATCTCCCTCCAAACCCTTACGGCCTATTACCAAAATCGCGATAGGGAATCTACTGTGATCTCCAGAAGATTTATTCCCCACTAAATCAGCGAGCTTGCTACATATTCCATGTCCTGCGTTTGTCTGATTTAGGCTGGGCTGCTTTGGACGATTGAACCCTCCTGTTATTATTCTGACATGACCCTTGAGCAACCCCTAGTTAGGGCTTTGCCGGAGTGGAGCAAAAGCCCTGTAGATCAAGCACCAAGCGTAAGCAGGACCCTATAAGCTTAAACAGGCTGCGGGAATTTGTAATCTAGTCCGAAATGTCAGCTTTGATCAGATATCATTGAAAAAAGTCCCAAGCAAAAAGCTGCTAGCTCGTATGTATCTGCTTCCTCAAATGAGACAAATTCGTATTCCTGAAAGAAAATGCCAAGAGCTATTTATGCAGAAACAAGGCCTCGGACAGCGGTGGAATAGCTGTCGAGGGAACATGAAGTTAAGTTACCGATTCCAGCCCCTATCTCTCCGCTCTGCACATCCAGCTCATTCCTCAAATCGTTTCCAGAGGGGGGATCTTGCTTGAATAAATGTTCTTCAGTGAGATGAACTAACTACTCAGGTGGTATATCTCCTAAAATGTCAGAATCAACAACGAGCAAAGGTGTCGAGGGAAGTGCACAGGTAACTAGCGATGTGCCATTCGCAGACAAACCGTCGCCATGGCTGGGCATGAAAAGCCAATTTTTCTGCTCCGTCGGTCGAGCAAAGGGAATTCCAGACGCATCTTACGCAGACTTGGAAGCTCAGTCGCCGTTTGCTGATCCTGCTGCAAGCGGTCAGTTCAAGGGGGGTGCATGCACTGTCATGATCGTGAGATATCTAGAATCTCCCGTCGGTAAGGCGGTTGCTTTTGTTATTATCATTATTCTTATTCTTCCTGGGAGAATGGTTGAGGAGGAAGACACTGCTCATCCTTTTCATCTGACTGTTAGGTCCGTATGATGAAATCTTGTGGATCCCGGGATGGTTTGAAGTCCCTGGTAAAAAAACGAGCAACCCGCGGGTAACGAGGATATATGTTTCCCGCAAGGAATCCATTTACAATGGTATGTTGCTTCTTCCCGCAGTATTACATCCCGCTTTTGGCATTTCGCTGATAATTGTATTAAATGCAATGCAGGGCGCAAAAATTGGAATATCCCTAAACATGTATGTATTCTATTCCAATATCTTTTGATGGTGTCTTGAGAATCTGATAGAGCTAGTCCAGCTAACAGAGAAACAATAAAACCAGTTGGCGAGTTTTAAATTCGTCCCATCAGATACGCCATCTTCCACCATGCCCTACTCCAGGGTGGAAATATCCTTGCCGTCCACCCCAGACCAACCATTTGTCGTCCTCCAATTCTCTCCCCTAACGCTCCTGTCCAGACTCAGCATGCCAATCAATACTTCATATGTCCCCATCAACCCGCTACTAGGGATGCCGCCTGTTCCAGAAAGCAAATCCTGGAAAGAGGATGCTTTGATGGGAACCAAGGAGTGGCGTCATGCCAGAGTTGATGTTTCAGGATGGGCGAGGATGGTGCGTGTCGAGGGCAAGCTTGGGGATGGCCATTCTTTCCCCGAGCTCACAGCTAGTGGCTACTGGGTGTATATCAATGACGCGAAATTGAGTTGTGTGACGGTTGGAGTGTGAAAGTTATTCGCTATCCATCGTCAAGGAACCATATCTATATCTGATGCCTGAGTATGGACTATTCTGTCAGCTTCCTGTGGAGGGAAAAGGGTCCAGATGAACAAACAAAAGTACCTATTTTGTACCTAGGACTAATTTGTGATTTGTGATTTTCTAATCAGCTTTTTATTTACGTAAGTGTTAAATTATTGAAATTTCAGGGGGCTGATACAGTGTCACCCGCGTGAATACGCGCAGCCTCATGAGTCAAATCGGTAACCGCTCTCATAACTGTTGAATCTGCTGTTGGTGCAGTGGTCTACGGATCAAATTGGTATCAAGAGAGCAAATTTCAGAGACGCAAAATCCCGGTAAGTTATCCACGTATGGAGCCAAGTCGGTGCTGTGATATGTGATGATATAACCGAACCGCAGCGCGAATTTGATCTATTCAACTCAACTACATGGGCCAGCTGCTGATTCTTTGGCTTGGCTCAATAATTGAAAATTGGTACGCTGAAGGTGCATTCCGGAGCGCGACAGTCCCTTCTGGCTTTACAAGAATCAGTCCCTCTAGATGATTGTCTACGAGAACCCGAAAGAAGGATACGTGAACATTTAGGATTCGAGGAATGGTTGTTTGAGATACACCCGCATCTCCCCATTCTGCAGGAGATGGGCTTGTGGCAAGTGACAGGCCCAAGCAACTAAACTCGACGCTGGATGCTATTGCTGCCATCCCATATGCACATTCAAAGTGTGTCCGTATGGGTGGTTTTTCTGCACCGAGCTTCTTAAGAACGGATAAACAGCCGCTAAAATTAATCAACTCGCGAACGTTCGGCAACGACCCTGAACATATAAATATTGAAACGAAATCAACGAGGGCGGCATATCAAATGAGTATGACATCGCTTGTTTTGGTTCCTTAATATACTACGTCGTTACAGGAAAGGAGTTCGAAACACCCATTGGTCAAGTATCCAATCCCACTGCACATGGATATGGCGCGGATACGGCAGCTACTAAAATTAGAGAACGCCCGACTCAGGTGCAAATGGATCTAGACAGACATACATGGAGAGATGTCTGACACGGCGGGCATATTCATGGGCAATGTGATCTGGCAGAATGGAGTGCACTGCCTGAGAGCCCACAGTGAGGGCTCTCGCGTGCAGCAGTAATCAGTATGGCGGGGAAGCAAACACATATACCGCTCGTTGCAACTTGTGTCGACGGCCAGGGGCTTTTTCCCTCGTTGTTCCACCACAAGAAATAGAAGGCTCTACACGTCTACACCTAACTTATAATTAAACGCTGGATAAAGATTTGCGGCACGCAAAAGGAAGGCCGTCCAGTTGTTTTGTTTTGTAGGCGGTAGGTGGTATTACTTTCCAATTTTATTATTCTCGCTGATCGTACATTTCCAGGCTTCCACTTGATGTCTCAATGATCCTCAGCAGGTCATCACATCAACCGAAGCTGAGGGTGAGGGCTGGCGTGCCATGGCAATGACTGACTTTGGCAAACGAGTCCCTGGACGGATAGTATCTGGCTTTGTTGGGAGCCATACCCTGGGAGACATTCGGAGGGTGGCAGGTGGAATGACGTATCCTCAGCACATCCCATCAGGTGTTCACGGGATTCTTTCTGTTGGGGATGAAATATAGGATCAGCCTAGGTTTAAGAGATGCAATAGGGGTTGAGGAGGGAGATATCCTGTACGGAGTATTCATGGGAGTTCCCTCCAGGCACCTTTTTTATTTACCTACGCATCTGCACAGTTTCTACAATAACTTACAGTGATTCAATCATAATCAGTCGTTCCCACGATGCTAAGGAGGTATCTCGCCACCATGACGGATCCTCGTCGTAAGTCCTTGAAAATAGCTTCGGTTTGTCAAGCTGCGCAACGGAGACTTTTCCCGCCAACAACTGTGAAAAATGTGCCTGCCTGATAAAAAGAATCAAGACAGCGGCATATAAATTGGGCTCCTTTTGGCAACGCCAGTCTGGGCCGGGAACCCACCAACCGGCAGCTTTTCTTTCGAGCATTCCATGCCTAGAGCCTCAAACCCGTTGACGCAAACTTCCAGGATCTTAGATCAGATTCTTCTAGAACACCTCCCACGTAATCCTATGGTCATGAGAAGTAGCTTCCCCTTATACCTAGATCCAGAGTCGTGTCTGGCCGAATTAGCGCCTAGAAATAGCCTGACACCCCTGTAGGGTTCCGAAGCCGAGCTAGTTCGGTCAAGTCCCGTCAACAACCCATTCCCGAAAGCGACGCCGACTGGTGGTTACATGTACCTAGGTAAGAGGAAGTGGATAGGACCATGTTCAGAACCTTGCGTGTCTTCTGTGACGATCACTGGGCTCAAACTTAAAATTTTTATTTCTGCCTGCGCGTTGCATGAACGGTACTTTCAAGGTTGCTCATGATCAAGTATCAGGGCCAATAAGGATTTGGTCGCCCTGCATGCACCCAAGCTGAAACTTTTCAAAAGATTTCTCTACATTGAGAGGATTAGCTACTCTGTGAAATATTTCATGATGAGGAAATATGTAGTAAAATCAGATGTGATATTTGATTTCTTATTCTTAATATTGTTAATATCAGGTGGTTCATTATAGATGAAAATGAACCAGTCAAAACAAGGAGCAAAAAGACATGAAGAGAACAGCAAGGCATCAGAATTAAAGTTGGAAGATATATGGCGCACACCCGTTCGCAAACTAGAATTTTCCTTCTGAGAGGCAATGAAACACCTCCTTAGGAACCAGCATACTGTCGTAACAAGAAAATAACAAATGAAGATGGAATAGCAGAAAAGGGCAGGAAACAAAGACAAGAAAGTATCATAATAAGGAAATAGACACAACAGGGAATCTCAACACCAAACATGCTCCCAGCCAAACACGTCATTTCTCACTAATTATTCCATCTATCAGATAACTGGTCGAAATAGGCAGGGCATATAGGCCACTCTATCGCGTCTGGATGGCTATCTGGTTGCGAAGTATGAAGCACGGGCCTCCATGATAGTGGGGACGTTCTTCGAACTTGTTTGGGTCTTTGTTTGGCAGGGTTTCTTTGCCGACTGATGAAGGATGGCCTTCATTCTCGCGATGGATGATGAACTTCGAACTGAGGATGAAGAGCTCTCACGAGGAGTAGAGGTAGTTGTAGTCGCTACGGAGGCAGGATTAGAGGAAGAGTTCAAAGCCATGTTTAGGATTTTCTGATAAAATGATATTTTCGTCGAAAGATGAAGATAACAATTTCCGTTGTTGTTTTGCGGACGGCTTGATAGAGAGGCAGCTCGTCAGGACGCGATAGGATTTGATATTAAACGTTGAACAGGAATGGCTGCTTCAGGAAAATGATCCTATTTGAGATATCGTGAGGGTATATAAAGTCAAGTTGAGAAAAGTCTTCTTTGATGTTCTTTGAGAATAGAGAATTCTTTCAGAGCTTTGGTACTTTGAATTGATGATGGAGAGAAGAAATATGTAGGTTAAGAGATGGATTGAACCCTCTTCTTATACTGTGTCTTCACCCCCATACCTCACAAGTTTACCGCATGTAACAAGGGTCGACGTTCTTGATCACCGATGCACCGATGAAAAACTCGAAACTGGTCATAACTAATTAAACCGGCCAGCCCGTTGGGACAGCTCATAAAAAATGTGCCTAAGGGAACCAATCGTATTCATGCATGTTATGATGAAGTCCAGACTGTCAGGCTGGCCCAATTTACGTCAGCATCACCCAACGATAGCAGAGCATCAAACCTCTAGCCAAGGTCTTTTCGGGCGCATTCGTGCATCCCAGGCCGCTCTTGAGCGACTAGGGTGACTCATTGATTTCCATAGTAAAGGGCGGCTCGAGAAATGAAAGTTTCATAATCAACACCGCTGTTCGATATCGGACTGGGAGGGCGAGGAGCCCGTCCCAACCTTCCACCTTGCCTTGTGCCAGACAACAAGTAGACTTCTCAGCGACCAGGTGTGTTGACCAAAGATCTCTCCACGCTTGCGCACGCGAGAAGGGCCCAATAGCCATCACTGAAGACTTCGAGATGATTTCCCCACACCCTCCGTTCTCGGAGTCTGTGCTGACTCGACATCCCGTATTCGTTTGAGGTGTTGATTTCCAATCTTGGACAGCGACAAGCTAAACAAGACGCAGATTGGTTTCGGCGAATGTTAGCGCCGCGCTTACTCACCCAAGCCCTGCACCAACCCCGCTAACAGGACGCTTATTTCTTGTGGATTTTTGATTATGATGTCGAAAACCTCTAGAATTGATTAGTTAGTTATCCAATTCATTTTTGGGAAATGAAACGTCTCCTTTTCTCGATTCCGTGCAACAAGAGACGAAGATGAGGGCGAGCGAACTCGTCTTGAAGTTTGAAGAAACGAAGAAAAAAAAAATCTATAGCTGAGGGAAAACAAACAATTGGAGATTGATGCAAGAAACTTTCAAAATCGCATATTAGCCTATTATTCATGAAGTCCTCCCCACAAGATACATGCACCATTCGCTTCTTCTCTTATCGCCCTCGTATGCCTCCTTTCAGCATGCATGAATCAGTCTGACTCGAGTCGCCTGAACACGCTGGTAGAAATTGTCTTTCGGCCTTCTGAACCCAAGCATCCAAAAGCCGAACGAAGAATGCTGGCCCACCCGACCAAAATTTCTTCTGTCCCATGAAGGGTAAAAGGCCTGCACAAGCAAAGGCACTGTGGTGTAGTTGGTTATCACGTGAGTCTAACACACTCAAGGTCTCCAGTTCGAGCCTGGACAGCGTCAGCTTCTTTTTTTTTGTTTTTGTTTTGTATTTCTCTGCATGGATTCCATCGAGTTGTTCGTCATCTTGACGGTGTCGGCACGGTAGAAAATATGATTCTAGTTAGGGCTTTTGTATCACGTGATTATGTGTTCTTGTTTTCTTTTCTTTTGTTTGTATCATTATGAAGGACAGTTTTAAAAGATTCTCAACTAAGGAAAGAGCAAGAAAAAAATGAAGGGAGGGAAAGCAAAATGCCCGGCTTGGAGGTAAATATGAAAAATTGAAAATAGATATATATATATATTTTATTTTTTTTGCAAAAAGAGATGATGTCGCCCAGGCTCGAACTGGGGACCTTGAGTGTGTTAGACTCACGTGATAACCAACTACACCACGACACCGCCTTGCTGTGATGACATGCAAATCATTTAGAAATTATACCGATCGAATCACCTACCAAAAACTCCAGAATAATTTTTTCTTCGGCCTCGATACCGCAAATACTCAGACAAATCTATAGGCATGTTTCTTTTATTCATGCAATGCATATTTGTTTGTACTGTACATAAGTAGTATGAACAGCGATTTCAGTACAGGCAATTGTTCTGAAGAAAAATTGTCTCTAATAAGGAAGCGAGAAAGAAAGGAGAAAACGTGGGAATGCTATCAATGACTCCAAAGGAAACAAGTGAAAACCATAAAAATATAAATATATGTAAAACAAAGAATAAATGGAGAACAAAATACAGCTATTTTCACTTCTTCAGCTTCTCAGTCAATTCGGGTACCTTCTCAAATAGATCTCCTACCAATCCAACATCTGCAACCTGGAAAATAGGCGCGTCGGGATCCTTGTTGATTGCAGCAATGACCTTGCTATCTTTCATACCGGCAAGATGCTGGATGGCTCCAGAGATACCCACGCAAATGTATAGTTCAGGCGCAACGTTCTTACCGGTCTGGCCGACCTGAAGACTGTTATCCGCGAAACCGCTGTCAACCGCCGCGCGAGAGGCACCGATGGCAGCGCCCAGAGCATCCGCGAGTGGCGGCATCAGTCTGTCGAATTCCTCTTTCGATTTAAGACCCCGTCCGCCAGAGACGACGCGGGAAGCAGTGCCAAGATCAGGGCGGTCAGACTTGGCTAAGTCCTCCGATACCCATTCTGTGGGGGATGGTACGTTGGGATCGGCACCATCAATGATTTCTGCCGAGCCCCCTGTTGTTTCGCCTGCTTGGAATGCGGTTCCTCGGACTGTGATGACCTTCACGGGATCCGTGGATTGGACGGTCAGAATAGCATTACCGGCATAAATGGGTCGGACAAAAGCTATGAAATGGGAGTCAGCACAATAATAAAAGCATTCATGATCATGGGGTATGGGGCCAACCCACTATCTTCGCTTTCAATGGCCGTGATATCAGATACTTGCTGGACGTCTAGGAGTGCTGCAACTCGGGGCAAAACATTCTTGCCAAAAGCACTGTGAGCAGCGATGATGTGCGTAAATCCTTCCTTCTTGATATTCTCAACAAGAAGGGGAGCATAGTTCTCGGGCAATCCCTATATTCGCAGAGCAGGTACATGGTTAGCATATATTCATTTCTCTTGGTTATCTCAAATGGTCACCGGGACAAGCATTGAACGTAACCCGACAGCCTCTCTAACTACAAAAACAATTGAAGCTGTCTAAAGTAACAACAGGCTGCTATCTGTTCATTTGCAACGGACAAAAACCGTGGCATACCTTGTCATAAGCAGCATTGTCCACGGCAACAACCTTATCCAGACCCTTAATCTTTGCAGCCTCTGCCGCCGCACTGCTTTTCACACCACCGCCTGCCACAAAAGCAGTTACGGAGCCGCCCAGTTTCTGTGCAGCAGTGATCGCCGAGAGGGAGGAGCCTTGGATCTTTCCATCGCGCTGCTCAAGAACCGCAAGCGTAGAAAGAAGCCGGGAAAGTGCTGAGAGCTGTGACCGATAAACGGGTTGAGGTCGCAGCGGAGCGGCCGCCCGAAGAATGGAGTTTCTAGCAAGAACGGAATTCATGGCTGATGGTAAGACAGGAGGAAGCTTCCGTTGAATTCAATATCGTTTGGTTCTTTCCTAGCCTCCTGGTTCGTACAAGAGAACCTTGCCAGGTGAGATCAATGGGTATAATTGGGTTGGTTTGCGTTTTGGATTTCCTGTTTCTCATGATATTTCGGAGGGGAGAAGTTGTTTGCCGCAAACCGAACGCCGGAATCTGGATGACTAAGCGGGCCTTCGGAAATTCACGGCAAAGCTGATTTGGCCGAAAGCCGCTCAAGAGCGGCGAGCATAACATGAGATACAATTAATTAATTACTTGACCAAAATTGGTTGCAGTCGAATAATCATAGAAAATGTCTGACGCTCGATAATGACTTTTTTGTTATTATGGGTATCGAAACTTCGCCCGATAAACTATCATTTCCTAAAAATTGGAGGCGGCAGGCACTACACAAAAGAACGCCGAACTCAATCTAAGAACAACAATACTTGAACATGTGTACACAAAATAGGAAAACCCATCATCAGGACTTTGAAACGGACTTTCGCTTCTTTTTGCTAGAGGTGGTAGCCCCTTCGGGAGCGGTGGCGACGGCGGCCTTGCTCCCATTGACCTTATCACCGTCTGATAAAGCTCGAGCCTTTTGAGCTTGAAGCTTGGCTTTCCTCGACGCGATCAATTCAGCATCGTCATCCTCTTCCTTCTCGGCAGTCTTTGGTTTCTTCGACTGCATAGGTTGCAGCTCCCCAGTCGATTTGCGCTTCTTGCTTGTTTTCTTTGACCCTTCAATAGCCTTGGGATCCTCATCTTCTCGAACATCACCTTCATCAACCCATAATTCACTCGCAAGCCAAATGGGCATCGCCATTGTATTCGCACCCTTCAGATGTAGAGCCTTGATATTCCTCCATCCCTTCGAAACAAACTTTTCTGTCATACCCTGAACAACGGCTTCAACATTTTCCACCAACTTCTCTGGAGTAAATTTCGCAGAACCAACACGTACAGAAGTCGTAGCGGCAGACGCCAAATGTACAGGGACACTGGCCAGAGTCTTCTCGATCTCCTTTGCAACGACAGCCGGAGATGCCACAGCAGAATACTTCTCATCGGTTGGTGGTCTCTTCCTATCTTCCTTCTTCACTCTTTTACCTCCAACCTTCTGCACTTCCGCAATGCGAATCGGGACCGGACGCTTGCTGGATTTGTAAAATATCTTTCCGAGGGTCTCCACCAACCTCATAATAATCCGATCATCAGCCAAAAAGACATCATGCTCCGATAGAAGCCGTCGTCGACTCTCGAAGCTCTTATATTTAGTCTTGAGTTTAGTGTAGCCGATGACTTTCGTAATGCGCGACGACAAGGTTGCTGGGAATTGAGGGTCGGCAATTACATCCTTCACCGCGCGTTGTGGATCGGCTGTTATGAGGCAGACACTGAGAGAAGGGGAGGTGTTCAGGGAGTGCGGGACAGGGATTTTGCCTGGTTTTAATCGGTTTTTGTCCACGATATGTTTTTTGGTGGTGACGACGAGCCAGACTGGAGTAGCATCTGCCGAGTCTTCGGCGTCGTCGTCGTCTTCATCGTCGTTATTAGCCAGGAGGTCCTTCTTCGTCGATTCCAGAGCCTTCTTTTCCTCCTCCGCTTTTATATGCCGGAGAAGCGCGGATGAAGCCCGAGTAACCTATAGACAATATTTCTCTCGCGATCAGCATAAAAATCTCCTCTACATTGGAGCTCCGCTCTAGTTGGGCGAAGATGAGAAAAGAAAAACCTACCTGGTCATTATTCAATTGGTAAGGGGTCCCAGAGGTGGGTTTGATGGTGAGAACACCAGAAGTCACAGCCATGACTCGTTTTATCCTGTGCCTTGTTCCTTTCGACTGATATCCTCAGTAATGGCTGTCAACCCGAAGTTCTCCAAGTGAAAAAATCATCGGAGTGCGGTCAAGCAGTTATTCCGGATATTGCACTAGGTGAAATATTATTCCGCAGCCGCAAACCTTAACTATCTGAGCATTGAACCCCGGTACTCACCCATGTTCATTCACATGACATTGAAAACATCATCATTCTCAGCACATACTCACGGAGCATTTCAAACTTCATGATAAGTTGTTTTTCCACTTATCATCACTATTACACGCATAATGTTTCACGCATAAATTCAATCCACAATTCGAGCTACAAAGCTCAAATCAAGTGGTGCTACATAGCTACAGCTAGAGTACTCTAGTTTCTCTAACAATATAAACTCGGAGACCGAATCAACGAGAAAATGACAGACATGTGCGCAGATACGAAGCCGAGGCGGAATCCAGTGGCCGGTGTTTAATGTAGCCCATAAATATTCCACATACTGAAGAGCCAAAGAGAGAAAAAAAAGAAACCACTCGCTCTTTTGATTTAGCGCCCAAAGAAGGTGTTTCAATAAGCGTGGTTTTCAGGACTTACGGTCTCGAAGAAACATGTAACGGCTTCTGGGTCCAAGCGGTGGATAAACGTTTTGATTTCATCTCTATTATTCAGAAGGAGGTGCTGAATATCAAGCAGATCATTAGCGCTAGAGCGAGACATGAAAGCCGCCATTTTACTACGTAGTAAGTAAAGCAGATTGATGATATAGATCGATCTATTTCCCGAACTGGTGGAGACAGATAGGATTTGGCGATTGGTGCTCAGCTCCCACGGACTGCTTTGGTATGAGGTCGGTGTTGGGGTCAAAATGCTCGTGGGATCAAGGGCTATTCGATGGATCTATCGGCGGTTTCTTATTCGAAAAATTGAGCGAGTTTGTGGTGGAGCGCTGGTTGTCTGTTTTGTCATCAATTGTAGATAGACAAACTTTTATAAATTCATAATCACTGTTATTATATGTTCATTGTTAATATATCTGTCTCACAGTATTCTGATCTGATATATTGGTTAGAAAATGAATACTGAATTATGATCTTTGATTTTTGGACACAGAGTATCTTCACCGCTTCCAATAAGATCTACCTCGATGCGCATTGATTCTGAACAGTTGTCATATGGGGGGCCGGTGAGGACAAAGACCTTCATAATATTAAGAAGCTTTGTATTGGGGATAACCAAACTAACTCTCGAATAAGCATATGTTCACTCATTTAAGTCGTTGTACATGTATGTATGTACATATCGAGGTTCAATTTCCACAACCCTTCAGAGGTGGCGCATCTTCCCAGGGGCCTGGAACGCAATGTCGACATCTCGAGTCTCCCGCACCCCTCCCATCAATTTCACAGCAAATCCTCCCATCAGGCCATAGGGAATATATTAGCTCGCTTCAGAGCGCCTGCCATGACGAAAGCTACCGAAGTTATGTAAGTTCGGGACAGGGATAACCGGGGTGGTCTGTTGTTCCTCATCAGAGCCATACTCCAAAAGATTGTATAGAGAAGCCATGCTAACGAGAGATGGAAGTATAGATACAAATATAACGAAATATATCACTGGAAAAGTTGATGTGCAACAATGATGGGGACGAATGGTCTTGTAGTTTGTTAAGAGTGCTAAGAAGAAGATCATATATCCTATTGAGAGTGTTGCTAAAGAAGGGAAAGATGAGGGCGACATCATTGTTTACATATCCAGAAATCTTGACTTGACAAGGGTCTCTCTCCTCTCAGGAGTTCACCCAATTCAGACAGGGCCACCTCGGGATGCGCGATGCGGTGGTAAGCGTTGCTTGCTGACTGGAGTAGAGGCCGTGCCGCATTCTCTTCCGGTATGGGATAAGCGTATTTAAAGCAACCAAATATTTTAGCAAGTGTTGAAGGAAAAGTCCATGTGATTGTCCTAAGCTAGTCAATATGGCAGATATCAAATAGGCGCGAGGGTTGTCCAAGGTCAACTCGGAGTACATGAGCCGTTTGTCCTAGCAACTGCAGGGGTGGCACTTCCAAGCCTAAAGATTTCGATTCCTCTGGCCATACATATCCGTATATGGCGATTAACACACCAATAATAATAAGAAGAAGAACGAATTGTATAGTAAAGATCTTTTGGCAACTGAAACTACTAAAACTTGGAAGTCCAACCACGGTTATTGGAAACCTTGGCACGGGCCATGTGAAGAGGTTCCCGTCCGTCCGAGCCTCCCGGACCTGGAATAATAATTATCCGGAGTGGCGCCATCTGTGGCTTTGCTCAAGAAAAGGGGAGAAGGCTTCGTAAGCGTCGTACCGCCGGATGATAAGTTGGTTTCCGCCTGCGTACAGCGTATGCGCGCAGACGGAGTAGGGTCTCTGAAAAGAAGAAGAAACAAAAGGGCCGGACCTGCGCTAGCCCCGCCGCCGGCCCTCAGAGCCTGAAAAATGGCCTGGGGCAAACTTGCAAGTGGGAGGGGAGGCCACTGCAGATCCTCATGGGAATCTGCTCAAAAAAACTCTAGTCTGGCTTGATCATCACTTACAAAAAAGGTCCCCCTCATTATTATTGTTTCTGTTGTTGTCTGCGGTGTGCATTTGTGCCCAAGTGTGCAGCCACTGGGGTTGGCAAGCCGCCCGCTTTGCTCTTATTAGGGGGTGGCAGCTGGCACCAGTCGTTGAGATAGTTAGATATAACCGTTGGAAATCATTATTCCCGTGCTGCTGCCAGCTATGAATGAACTGTGTTCAAGGTCAGTCAAGGGATGAAACGGAGGAAAGAGTTCAGCTGACAAAGAACCAAAACCCTGGCGCTTAAAAACAGCATTTTTTGCATTATTGCGAAACATAACACTGATTGTTGGGTGAAAAACAGCTTCAAAAATGATAATGAAAAAACAAAACAAAAAGCATTGCTTGAAGTCATGGCCCTCATTGGCTGGGTTTGCAGCAGGTTATTGTTTGATTCCAAGGTTCCAAGGATCCAACCCAAGTTACGTTACCCAACCGGGGCTCGTCGATTCGTGGGTCAGGCACCGGGAGTTTCCAGCCAACCGGTGGCAGTGACAGCCAATAGTCACAAAGCTAAAAACTAACAGCCACGCCTAACTTTTAATAAGAAAATACATATTATTACAGGAAGTATTTTTTTGTTACGCCTGAGTTTCTTGCTTTTTCTTAAGGTTTTGAAAGGGGGTAACTTAATCTGTATGCTGCATACTGCGAATGTATTATTATTGTAAATGTGGATTGTTTCACTGGTAACGTGTTGGGCCTAACCCAGTTTACATACGCATATATGTAATAATAAATAGTTAGCCATCCTAACAATGCTCTAGTATCTCCACAGAGTTCTGTGCACGCAACGGCCAGACAGATGGAGAGATAGCTGCGGTAAGATGCAAAAGGGGTTTTCTGTACCAACAAGCACGCAAGCCTGGATACTCCGTACATTATTCTTCAAGGGGTCCTCCAGGGCTTGCGCCACGTCAATCCACACCTTCCTCGCCCAATCTTGAAATGTTTGGTGAGGCTTAAATCGCGCATCTCAGAGTCTCCACACGTTGGCCGGGATGTATACTATTATTGGCTGACCTCAGCGAGGCTGCCTAGGCCATCACCGTATCAGACTCGGCGGCGGTATGGGGCGGTATGGGGCGGCGGTCTGGCTGTGTCCATTGCGAATTTGCGAGGTACCACATCCGGTAACACCTGAGTAACCGCCAAGGGTTCTAGCCTTGTAATGAAGGCATACGCAGGTTATTACGTGCACTGACAAGGGGTTGTGTGTGTATTTGTAGAGGGACGGGGGTGCAATGTACTGTATCTCCTGTACAGCCGGCGTACTGACATTACCAGGCACCGTATTATTGTTGTTATTCTCTCGCTTACCGTTCCTTCCTCGCTCCCGTCTCCGTCTCCGTCTCCGTCTCCTCGCTCGCTCTTCTCAACACTCTCTTCCGTCACCTTCACCATTCTCTGCTACTCACCCTCCTCCAGTGCCTTTTCTTTTCCCTCCCACTTGGAAGACCGTGTCGTCTTCCTCTCACGCTCATTCGGAAATTTAAAATTCAACAGCTCCTGTGTCTTGCTTTCCGCACTCTCTCCGGCAGGCTCCCCCAGCACCCAGTCCGTTCCCTGGTCAATTCATCCTCACGTTCCCTCAGCCGACTGCTTAGCCCGCACGAATCGAACCCGTCTCTACCACCGCTACTCCAGCTTGTATAAAGGAGCCCACATTGATTGACCGTGTCGTTGACTGTTGATATTTGATATTTCCAGTGTACGTTGTGCTAGTACTATGATGTTGATGATTTCCTCTTCCTGTTTTGCGATGCAAGTTCACATCGCCTGAGACGGACCACCACCCAGGAAAGATCCTGAGGCACATGATCCCTACCATCGTTGCGCTCTGTCTTTCCTAGACTTCGAATGGGGCCCCGTCTTGACATCTCTCTCCACCCCCTTTAACTAGTAGTTATCGCTCTAACAATGGCCATCTCGAATAGACGCTTTTGTCGCCTGGGAGCTCAGCTTGTTGCTCTCGTCCGTCCCGACAAGAAAATAGGGGTCTCCGAGAGACCTCGCGCCAGTCCTTACTCTCAACACGTGCGGCTTGACGTCGTTTGAACAGAAAAGACTCCAACTATGAAGTTTACCGCTTCCGTTGTTTTGACCGTCGCTGCGGCCGGCTCCCTAGCCGCTGCCCAGCCTCACAGACACAATCACCATCGCCATCATCATGTGAAGCGCGCCCCAGACGCAACCGAAGTCGTCGTCGTTGCTGGACCAACCGTCTATGCGTATGAGTTGGATGGTGAACTTATTGACGGGAAGGAAGCCTGCAAAGGTATTAAAGATGGGTCCTTGCAGTGGGCCGATCCAGCTGTCTCGGACGACGCTTGCGCTCCACAACCCTCAGTCACCGCGCTCAAGGCGGGTGAATTCTACGAGAAGCCCGAACCAACTCCTACCCCGTCCCCGAGCATTGACCCTCCTAAGGTTGAAATTCCTAAGATTGAAATCCCAAAGGTGGAAATCCCAAAGGTGGAAATCCCCAAGGTGGAAATTCCCCCCATTTCCATCCCCAAACCACCACCACCACCGCCAATGGGCGGCTCCGGGCTCGACAGCGAGTTCCCTGACGGAAAGATTTCCTGCTCTGAATTCCCGTCGGATTATGGCGCCATCTCTTTGGACTGGCTTGGTCTTGGCGGATGGAGTGGTATTCAATATGTCACCGTGAAAGACTCCTCAGTTACCGATATTCGCACCGGCATCGAGGGTGATAGGTGTGAGGATGGATCCATGTGCTCTTACGCTTGTCCTCCTGGTTACCAAAAGACCCAGTGGCCTTCGACTCAAGGTGCGACTGGCCAGTCGGTTGGTGGCTTGGAATGTTCCGGTGGCAAGCTCCGCCTCACAAACCCATCCCTCTCTAAGAAGCTTTGTATGAAGGGTGCCGGTGGCGTCGAGGTCAAGAATACTATGAACAAGGTCGTTGCCGTTTGCCGTACCGATTACCCTGGTAAGTTATCATACTGTCATCCCATTTCACATTCGGAATCAAATAAACATGTTCTAACAAATCCCTCTCAGGCACTGAATCCGAAACTGTCCCACTTTCTGCCACACCAGGCTCCACCCAGCCGCTAACATGCCCTGATGCTGGCAGCTACTATGTCTGGGAGAATAAGCCCACCTCCGCTCAGTATTACGTCAACCCCAAGGGAGTCTCGATCCAAGAGGGCTGCCAATGGGGTGATGGAAGCCGCCCAATCGGCAACTTCGCTCCTATCAACTTGGGCGTTGGCAAGCGGGATGGAGCGACTTTCATCTCCATTTTTCAGAACAAACCAACCACCAACGCGAAGCTTGACTTCAAAATTGAGATCCAAGGCAGTGATCTGGGTGGAAAGTGCAAGTATGAGAACGGCTTGTTCTGGGACGCGAATGGATCCAATGAGGATGGGTGCACCGTAAGTTTTTTGTCCCTTTCCCCTAGTCACGTGCACCACCAACGTGAGGAATATCCCACATTTTGAAATTTCCATTGCTGACGACATAATTCGTTTTATCTTTATAGGTCAACGTTAGATCAGGCACTGCAACCTATGTGTTCAGCGACTAATTTTCTTCTTTTCCTTTTCGTCTATCTTGTTTTCACGCTCCAGCCCAGCAATGTCAATTCCAAGGGCCAAAGAAAACTCGCTTTCTACGATGTGGGGGGATAGGGGAGATTGAACAATCACAATCTATATGAATCAACGAGGCCATTTTACCAGTTTTATATTCTTCTTTCCCCCTTTCTTCTTCCTTCAAAACTTTTCACAAAATCGCCTCTGTCTCTCCGCTCGCTTACCGCCCCGTCCTTTCTCCTGCTCTTCTTGAGATGGCATGGTGGACGGTGTCATATGCACACAATAAAAGCTTTCCTTTTCCGGCACACGTCCCCCCAACCCCCTCCACCCTGCTGCCTCGGGAGGAAAACTATTTACTTATTACTATTACTCCTTTTTATTATGTTATGTTACCTCGCTTTTAACTCGAAGTCTTTTTTTTAATTTATTTTCCTACTTGTCTTCTTAGGTCATTTATTATACCAATACCTGCGTTTCTAGTGTTCTTTGTTTCTTTTTTCTTTTCTTTTTTCTTTTCTTTTTTCTTTTCTTTTTTCTTTTCTTTTTTTTTTTTTTTGTTGCTATGATGAAGGGCCAAACTGTTCATTTTAAAACTTAACAACTTTTTTCTCTAAAATATTTTAAAATATTTTAGGCTGCCACTCTCACTATCTTCAATCGGTGGGTGGTGAGCACCACTGCAAAGCATCACTGATGTGCCAATTCTCATGTGTTTTCTTTCTTCATGTTATATTTTCAAATGAAAGAAGAATGAAAGAGCTTGTTAATATTAAGAGATATCTTAAATATCTTTTAAAACTCAATAGCTAAGTTTTGTGGTGTTTTCTGTGCATTTATCTCAAAATGCTTTGATGCTTTGCACAGCAGTGCTCACCACTCACTCACGAAGGAGCAGCGGGTACAAATTTGCGCCAGCCTTCCCAGGTGGGAGCTGAGCGCTAGCGTTAGCGCCGGGCAGCTTAGCTTAAACCTAACTGTTGGGGGTCCCGCGGTTGGTCGGCCCTTCTACCAGCAGTGCGCTGGTGGTGATCGAGCTCTTTTGCCCCAGTAGCCTACAGATTATGAGACCGTTGAGCGTGAGCCCCGCTGTGGTCAACATGCATGAGTTCAATCCCAGAATGGACTTAAAAATTCCTAACAAATACCCTGGACATTTTAACAGTGTCAAGAGACATCCCAGGAGTGTGCCCTAGAAGTCCCGTGAGCCCTAGGACTGACTGAGTCCATTATTAAAAAGGAGCCATTGTGGGGAGGTCACTGAAGGGAGCCACTGAGGGGAAGTACTGTACTCTGTGGTAGCTGGTCCGAGGGGGGGTGTTGGGGGTCCCGCGGTTGGTCGGCCCTTCTACCAGCAGGCGCTGGTGGTGATCGAGCTCTTTTGCCCCAGTAGCCTACACTAACAAACGCAGACAGCGCGTTTGACGCGCGGGGACGCTTTTCCCTCAACCGCAACAGATCCCACTATGAGGAACCAACCGCTCTTTTGCCTCAGTGTCTTGCACAATATCGTATTGTATTATCTCTGGGGGACTAAGATGATCAGCTTCACCTTTAGAATCTGACAAAAAATGTTTTGGAGGTGGGTGGGGCTGTGTGCGAGTGATTCTATTGATATCAGAGTGGCAGCTCTCTAAAATGAACGCAAGGATCGCAGAGTCTCATATTGTTTATAGGGAGGCCTACCGACACAAGGAGATGAGCTTTTTTAGTATTTCTTGAATATAAGGCTTTTTCATATTGCGATTGCTTTGTTGTCTTGGAATAAAAACAAATGAGCGACGCGGAAAGAAATAAATATCAAAATGTAATCTATCAATCTATCTCTAATAAAAGAATAACATTCATAAAATAAACCAGAAGCAACAACCTCTCCCACTGTTCATCCATCAGCAAAAACCAGTGGTAACCAAAGACTATCAGAAACCTTGAACAACCTCAATCAATTCTCGCTCTCGCACTTGGCCCCCTTGCCCCTCACGAAGAGATCGTGCCAAGATAATAAATAGGGTCCATTTGTTTGGGAGATTGAAATGAATTGTCAATGCATTTAAAAAGATGACGAGGGCGCAATTCACAATCTGCTCGTCCTTTGTGAGAGGGTATAGGTGACTTGATTCTCTTTGAAGAGTACTGTTTTGTTGCTGTTTTGACAGGGGTCGGCTAGAGCGCTAGTGAGCATAAATTATTCAATATCATTTTGATATGACTGAAGGAATCGTCCAACTTTTGATGTTTCATTTCATTTCATCCGTTTCATCATTCGAACCATTTTCCTTATTTTCAGTTGCCAATATGATGCAACCTAGTCAACACAAGGTGATACAAACAAAGCTCTACAGCTCCTCTATTACTTTTCGAGCCCACCATCGGATTGAATATCACGACGACGACCACTATAAACATCATGTCAGAACCGGTTGTGCGGACACCCGCCCACCAGGACATGCGCAAAGCTTTGGTGAAAGTTGGGCGAGCTGTCCGGGCCCTTCAAGATCATGAATTGGGTTCGGAGCAACTAGAATAGCTCAGTATTCGTGTTGTTCCCATGATTTTGGACGAAGCCTCACCCCCGACAGACCGAGGTTTTTCGCTGCATATCGCGAAGATTTGATGCCAGGGCTTTATGACGATAGCTATAGAGATCCATACAGAGGCTTAGATGATGAAACGACAGATGCTTTCACCCGGCCTATGGATCGCGCCTAAAAAATCAATCTATATCTATACCTCTGCGATTACATCAGCACGTGCATTGAGGATTGCAAAGTGGATAGCGCTCCTTGGACTGAGAAATGGTATTTTACGCAAATCCATCAAATTCTTTGGATCTACCATTTCATCCACCTAACTTGTATCAAGTGTCGGAGAATACCCTTTCACGGGCTTATATGAATTTAACCAACCGCAATACGGCTTCTGATATGGATGGCTCCACCCACCCACACGTCAAAGGAGTCATGTACAATAATAGTAATAGCTTGATGGCCACAGAATCCACAATCCTCCGCGGCGAATTGCTTCCCGTCCTCAAAATTATGCATGGGCAGTTTCGCCAGGCCCGGTTCGCTTCTCACATGATCTCGCCGGTATGTACAGTACATGTACAAATACATGTCTATTTACCTTCCCCTCTACATGAAAGCGAATACTGTTGGTAGTATTCGGAGTAGTTGGTTGTTACTATTATGAATCTAGCTACTACGTGGCATCTTTTTCTGCGGCGTAAGCCCCTATCGGTGGCCGCGGTTGCCTCAGGGGATCTAACAAATACACATTAGCAGCTAGTTCTTGATCACTTCATTCCGACATTTTTTGAGGATGCAGTACACTAACAAATGTATTAATAGGTTTTGTTGATATCGCTCATGGGATTCAAAGCCCGAGTACTCGAAGTATATTTCGAGGATGAGACTCTGGTCGTGCGTCCAACCAAGCTGTACGATTTCACTCACGGCAACGATGCAGCTTTCAAAACATTTACCCAGTGGTATCATGGCAAGCCAATTGGGGATACTGTCCGCGCTTCTTGATTTATTTATGATTTTTCCCCTTCGGTAGTGTTCTTAAATCCGTCTGTCTTTTGGTTATTGGGAAATGAGAATTGGAATGCTAACGGGAATCGGGAATTGGGAGCTGGGAATTTGGGCTTGGCGGAAAATATGATTTTATAGAATTCTGTTCACATTTGGGAAAATAACTAGAGGTAATATGTAGAGCCAGGCAAATCGCATGTGGCGCTTTTAACCTACAAGGAGATATCCAGCGTGAAATATCAATTTATATAATCTCTCATTCAATCTTTTCAATTGCTCTATCCGAACCCGAGGTATCAAAATCGATGAAATCAGAGCTAAAAGGGTATCTTCTAGTCCAAGCTGCCAGGGGACAGAAAAAAAAAAAAGAGCAATAGATATCCAACAATATCCAAAAAAATAACCACATACTAAAAACCATCCGCCTTTATCCCGCTCTTCTCCTCCTCTTCCAATCTCTCTCTATTAACCCTCCACCACCAGCGGTGCGTCTCATCTACCTGCGCTTTCTCCTTTTCCTTCTCCTCCTCCTTCTCATCCCACGGCTTCGGACTCAAAATATAATGCACATTCTTAACTTCTATATCCCTCCAGATCGCACTATGCACCCCTTCCCACCGTAACGTCTTCAGGGCATTATAAATATACGGCAACGGGACCCAGCGACCCGGGAACAGATCTGAGAGCAGCGACTGGTCAGCGAAGGCGTAGTTGGATGTTGACGACGGGGTTTGCAGGACGGCGAGGATTTTCTCGTAAATAGCGGTAGAAGGATTGACGACCTGGAGGCCTCCGTTGAGCACGGCTAGGCCAGCGGTTGCGGGAGCGCCTTGTGTTTGCGCGCTGGTAGGGTCTGAATGTTGGGTTGTCAGGGCGCAGTTGGATGGGATCCTGTGGCGATTGTGTTAACGGGGGGCTGTTTCATGTATTGGGTAGGTATGGTTTTTGCGGAATTGGCAAGGGGTTTGGAACGGCGAACCAGTCTTTGGGATAATGCGGTTTCTTCAACGGGTTACACACGCACGCATGGCTCGCAGCGAAAACGCGGAGGCCCTCCCCCTTCAGCGCTGGATCGTCCAGCTCCATCTCCATCAGCTCGTCCATGTTGCGCAGCACCAGCATGTCGCTGTCCAACTGGACGACGCGATCATATTCCACAAGCGAGAAGGGAGTTAGCTTGCTCCAGCAGTCGTAGAAGCGGGTGTCATTACTGTAATCCTTGTGGGCGGCAGGGAGGAGATAGGGGATATGCTTGGCTGGGATGCCCCTCACTTGTAACGCCGAATGTCCCTCTGGTGGGAAGGAGTCTGTGTAAAGCGCTACGAGGGGGTATTTGGAGCCGACTTTTTTCAGTGAGTAGTCTAGGGTGAGGAGGCCCGGGAGGTAGTCGGAGTTGGTGATTAGAGTGGTCCATACTGCAGTAAAGTTGTCAATACAGGAATCAGGAGAGAGTAATAGTTATTTTATGAAAGCCAGGTCTTCACCTTTTTTCGGCGCATCTCCCCGCGCGGGGTTGGTAATAGTAGGTTCTCCCATTAAATCGTTCTAATATTTTGCGTTGGAGGCGGCTTAGGATCCGAAATGAGAGTCGCCAGAATAAGATCGAGGGCTGTAACGTTTCTCTGCTGAGAAGTAGTGTTCATATAAATAGGGCCTATCCAAAAATGCTGTGGGTAGTTGATCTAGAGAGAGGGCGAGTGCGGATATAGATATGGATGGATATACTCCGTATATCTATCTAGACAGGTCAGCACCAACGCACAGTCAACAAACGTGGTGATGCGACTAGACGGTTACAGCACAGGTATCCACAGAGTAACCCTCTTATAGTCTACGGGTGCTGTTTGTATTACTAATGATGTATTATTATTTTCCTGATATTTTCGCCATTCTTCTGCTGTAGAAGATAACTTGCTGGCGGTGGTTTTTTTCGCCTTTTTTGCTTATCAGATCGGAGCACGTGATAGCGGGGCAAAATTAGAACATCCTATTAGGGAATAGCGTCAATTTAAAATTGCAAACCAAATTTCACGTGATTTCCATACACGCGTTGATGACTTAGCAGCAAGCCGGGGCGGGTTGTTTACTGCCAGTGATGTGGATGAAGAGAAGACATTCACAGGGAAGGTTTAATATTGTCGGACTTGAGAGTATTAGAAGAGAGGCTGGTTTATATTTTGGGCTGTTCCGGCTCCTGCAGTCTATTTGCTATCCATTATTGTTTGCAGTGCTTTTAGCCGCGCACCGCGAGCCCTGGCTGGTGGAGCTGTTGACACGCGTAGAGTCGAGCAAGCGTGTGCTTCTCGCCCTGGCGTCTGCTCACTCATCTTTCTGCTTCCATTTCCCACACAACCTCCTCTATCCGCCAATTCTCTCTTCTCTCTGCCCTCTCCCTCCTGAGAGGTTCCTGTATTTCTTCTTTTTTGCTTTTCTTTTCGGTTTTCTTGTCCTATCATTTGCTATTATATCATTTGTTCTAAGCTTTTGTCTTTTCTACTTTAAAAGTGTTCCAAGCGTGAGCCTCTTTTTATATAGCCCGTTCCACGAGCAATTGGTGGACTTCGACGCGATTTTTTCAGAGACTAGGGTTCTAGAAGGGATAAACTGCTCGACTAATACGTGTTCCGGCTCCTCATTGCTCAGAATGGAGTCCTCTCCCCCGAGAGCAGACACCCTCTTGTCTCCCATCGCCGGCGTGAAGAGGCCTGCCTCTCTTCTCCCGGCCTTCGAACCCTCGTCTTCTCCGTCCTTGCCTCGTCCCTATAAACGTCTGGCACGCGAGTCCGGTGATGAAGCGTCGACATATCCAACCCCAGTTCCCACCTCTTCTACCGCAATCTTGACCTCCTCCCCTCCTCGCGTGCAGGCAGCTCGCCCGAGCCTTAAGCGAACACACTCAATGGTTTCTGAAAGAGCTCCATTAGCGACTGTGCCTTCGGTAACGCTACCGCTGTCAGGGGAGTCCATTCTGATGGGTAGATCAAGCGCCTCTTGCCATTTTCAACTGTCAGCCAGTCGATTGATTTCGCGAATCCATGTTCAAGCCACATATAAGCCTTCGACAAACCCGTTTGATCGAGATAGGATTGAGATTCTTTGTACTGGGTGGAATGGAATCAAATTGCATTGTCAAGGAAAAACTTATGAATTGAACAAGGGCAAAACTTTCACCTCTGATATCAAAGACGCAGATGTAATGATCGACGTGCAAGATGCACGAGTGTTAGTCCAGTGGCCCAGGCACGAGCGAAAGGACTCTGCTTCGACTACTACGTCCGATCAGACCTGGGAAGAGAGTTCCCCCGTGAGAAAACCTCGTACTGCCTCGCACCCGCTCCCAACCAGCCCTCTACGAAGCCGTGGACGACTCGCTTCCCCAGTATCTCCGTCTCCTGCTGTTCAAGCTCTCCAACCTTCTGAAACCCCTTTGTTGACTCCCAGCCGCTCAGTGCATAGTGCCGTGGTTGTATATGAAGATGAACCATCTCCCACTCGTCAAAAGGATTTCAAGTCCGTCTCCCAGCTTATAGAGGTAGCTTCGAGCCCTTGCAATAATGGGAATCTTCAGAACTCCATGACTAGCTCTTGCGATGGGAAGGTCGAAGAGCTATCAGAACATGACGAAGAAAACGACCCGATCGTCCATTCTTTTGGCCCCTTTGGGGATAATATCCTTCCCCGTATGGCTTCATTCAACGCAGGCACCTCTCCTGTTCGATCTCCCCTTGTCAATACTCGAAAACATGTTGTTTCACCCCGCCAGAGCACCACCACAACTAAACCTGCCAAAACCGAGGATAACCAGCATACTCTCAAGCATAAAGTACAGAACCACGTTGTAAATCAGCTCGCATTTTCTCGATTGTCATCAACCCCACTCTCGACGATTATCAGCCAACTCCCCTCAGAGCTATGGAAGAAGGCCCCTTCAAGTAATGGCGCTTTTTCTATCCCGGAGATCAAATCTATCATCGGCACAGTCGCTTGCATTGGGGAAGTGAGCCGGGAAGGTAAAGACGCTGCAGGCAAACCCTTGGAAAGCGAGTTTTACTACATTCCCGACCTGGACGAGGATGAAAAGCGAAAGGAGGCTGTTGTTAATGACTTGATGAAACCTGGGTTGCGGAGTTGCAGAAAACAACACAAGGTTCGAGACACTCCACTTAAATCGCCCATCTTTCTCATTCCCATGTCCCATTTTCTATGTCCCATTTCGTTTATTTTTCCATAGTTTTGTTAACTCAAGTTCATGAGATAGCAATATTACTGGCGGAAACCCAAATAGCCGAGAGCCGTCCGGAAGGGAAAATTTATCAATTGTTCCTTTGACCGAGTCGAGTCGAAAACACTTGAAGCGTCCGGATTTTATGAATCACTGATTGACTGACAAGTCCGTTGAAAATGACATAATGTTAAGATTAATTTCTCCTCTCTGGAGAAAACACCAAATTTCAATTTCTTAATATTTTAGAAAACCGAAAGAGACAAGATCCCCCCCATCCCTTTCAAACAGAAAAAGGAAAAGAAAAAGGAAAAGAAAAAAAGCCCAAGAGAAGTAATTCCATCCTATTCTTTTCCAAATTACCCTTCTCGCGTACAGTTTTTTAAGCATTAGCATAGCGTTATTTGGGCACTCTATTCATTTATCTACTATATCCCTAGCCTCTGTTTTTCTTTCCCCTTTTCCTTTGTTGTCTTCGTGTATTTTTCTTTGGACACAACCCCCCATCCAGAGTTCTCATTTCTTAAATACCCGAAATATCTGCAGTTGACCCTATATCCTATCCCCCATTATTCCCATCAACTATATATCCCCGCAAATTCCCCCACAGCCAACGTCCAAACGGCCCCTACCCATGAAATATCTATCAAACTTTCTCCCAATCCTACTCCTGACACGGGAGATGTATGGAACTTCCCCTAACCCAAAATCGCTCGGATAGGAGGAATTTGATAGATGTATGTATGTATGTACTGTATGTAGCAATTAATGTTTTCTTTTTCCTCGTCTTCTTTTTATTTCGTTTTCGTTCATTTAAAATTTACCCCTTCCCACCAGTGAAGTGCTTGAGTAGGAGCCTTCGTTTCCTTCCAAGGAAAAAAACCGTGGTGCGTATATATATAACATACATTCCAAGGTTTAGAGGAAGTCGTTCAATTCGTCAACACAGTGGATGGATAATTGTTCTTGCGAGCGGAGTGCGGCTGACATGAGCCGGTCCCTGTCGATTGCAGTCCCTCCTCCCTCGAGTCCTCATCGGCTCCTACTATTTCACCAAGGCCGAGTGCGTGGTTATTATTATATCTACGGCAGGGCAGCCTCCATTTGACTCAAATGTCGTTATAGGCTGCCGCCGTAATATCCTTGGAATATTAGCCTCGGCTCGGGTTTGCTGCTCCCCGCTTCACCGCTCCAAACCAGCCCCATCACCGAACTCTAACCAGCTACCCCGTACTCCCTACCTAGGTAGTATAGTATGCCACGCGCCCCTAGACTTCTGTTGATATCCAGCATGTTTGTCCATGGCAGACATCTAGATACCCGGCCATTTACTACGGCCATGAAGCCGCATGCACAAGACACTTGGGAGCTAGCTCACTATTGCTCGTGATGATTGAAGCCCAAGCACCAAAAAGCTTACGGGAAGCCATCAATATGTCGGCCCTTTCGGGTTTCCTTGTATTCGGACATCCTATCGGATCAGGATGAGGCCCCTCGGCCTTTTCAACCTTGGCTAAAGCCACCTACAGCAAGAAGAACCAGGAGCTTGATAGCTTCCTCGGATCATGGGGATCCCCACCCTGTTACCCCGTCCATAGCGCCCTCCCCTCAAGAAAGAAGGTGGCTCACTCTGATGAGATGTAGAGGATTTTCCCAGGGAGTTTGTGGAGATGGGCTCAAGATCAATTATTAGCCGGCTCGGGTAAGTCAGAATTAATGGGCCTGTGATGCTGCAGTGATGCGTAGCTGTGGTTCTTTATAACTGCCTGCAGCTGCATCATCTGTCAAGAGCCTCAATCGGGTCGTCGATTGACTCTGTTGAACACTTTCTTTCAAATATTTGAAATATCTCCCGGCTGAGCTAGGGGCATTTGCTGCCTTTCTTTCTTTTCTCGCTTTTTTCCCTCTCCTGCGGTTCCTTCCGTAAACATTATTAGAGTAAAATAGCCATGGTGTCAGACAAATGCTATCCTCAAAAGGAGGTGGGGAATAATAATTACACAGAGGCCGCTGTGGTGATTATTGGCGCTGGTATTTCTGGTATGTTAGAGATCCAAGGGACTCATCCTTTATATGTACCGGAAGCTTAGTTGCTAACCCCGTCCGCGTCGCAACAGGTATGTGCACGGCTATTAGTTTGTTGAATAATAATATTCACAACTTCGTAATCCTCGAAAAGAGCGGAGGACTTGGTGGGACGTGGCGCGATAACAAATATCCAGGCTGTTGCTGTGACAGTATGTTTCTACTTTCAAAAAATGCCTTGTTCTCGTTCAACTTGGGATTTTTCTTGCTAATATCAGGCCAGTCAACTCTCATCTTTACAGCTATTCTTTTGAACAAAACCCGAGTTGGACAAGGCTGTACCCCGGCCAGGAGGAGATTCTTGTACGAGGCGTGCCCACTCTCCCTTTACCGACATCTGATTCTCGTTTTCCCGACTCTAACTAAAGCTATCACAGAGGTACCTTCATACTGTAGCCGAGAAGTACCAGCTGTTCCGTTTCATTCGTTTCAATTCCGCCGTCGAGGAAGCCAGATGGGACGACAAAACCCGCAAATGGCGGACCGCGATAAAGGTAGCAGGCGAGTCGAAAGACGCGGAATTTGCAGACCAATATACGCTCACATCAGATTTCCTTGTTTCTGCCGTTGGCCAGCTCAATTCGCCCGCCTATCCGTCAATTCCAGGAATAGAAGGTTTCCAGGGAAAGATCATTCATTCTGCTCGGTGGGATTGGACCTATGATCTCAAGGGAAAGCGGGTTGGCATTATCGGGAATGGTAAGGTTTTCGTGTTTTTGATTTCCGTTTTCTCTCCTCTTGCACAGATGTAGTAGCTGATAAAAATTTCTGTAGGGGCAACGGCTGCTCAGATAATCCCAGTAATCGCTCCTGACGTCGCTCAGCTAACTGTATTTCAAAGAACACCTAACTGGGTTGTACCGAGATTAGATACTGCGATCCCCAAGCCTATTAGGGCACTATTTCAATACTTCCCGCCTTCCCTTTGGAAATTACGTAGCTGGATGATGGACCTGAGAGAGGATTTCCACGGCGCCATTGCGGACCAGGACTCGAAATACGCGACGCATGCCCGCACAGCCAGCCTGGAATTGATGAAGAAACAACTCCCCAACCGCCCGGAACTGTGGGAAAAGCTAGTCCCCGACTACCCAGTAGGTTGCAAGCGCGTCATTATCAGCGACGACTACTTCCCAACCTTCCTACGCGACAACGTCACGCTCGAAACAAGCCCCATCACCCAAATTACCAAGAATGGCATCAAAGTGGACGGCGCCGAGCACGAATTCGACGTCATTGTACTAGCAACGGGTTTCCGCACTGTTGAATTCATGCACCCGATCCAGGTCTACGGGATAAACGGCCGAGCGCTCTCGGATATATGGTCCGATGGCGCCTGCGCCCTGTACGGAATTACCGTCGAATCCCTCCCCAACTTCGGCATGCTCTATGGCCCCAACACGAACCTAGGCCACAACTCTATAATCCTTATGATCGAGGCGCAGACCAAGTACATTCAGGCGATGATCAACGCGGTGCTCAAAGCACGCCAAGTAGGCGAATCGCTCACGATCCTACCGGATCCCAAGCGTGTTGATGCTTTTAACGACGAGCTGCAGAGTACACTTGAGACGACATCGTTTGCGCATCCGAGCTGTCGAAGCTGGTATAAGCGTGCGGACGGCAAGGTTACAAATAACTGGTCGGGAACTGTGGTGCAGTATCAGAAGATTCTGTCTAGGGTTAATTGGGCCGACTTCATATTGGATGGGTATGGTGCGCAGCAGCTGCGGGTGAGGCAGAAGAAGACATATGTGGGGCGTGTGAGGGAGGAGTCTCTCTTTACGTATCGGACATGGCTGGTGACCATGATCGGGCTGTTGGGAACCTGGGTTTTGTTGGCTAGGAGGGGTTCCTTGGTGTTGGTGAAACTGAGGGCTTTGATTATTTAGTTGATTTCCATTTCCACTTCCTCATGATCTCACATATATTTTTTGTTCCTTTTCCTTTCCTTTTTTTTTAGAGGGTGATTAACATATTTTTAATTTTTGTTGGTGTTAGATATATCTTGAAACAATATACATTTGTTTCTCAACTCATTCTTTCAGAGGTTAGACTCGATGGATCTGACAGTAAGACTGTCTCATTACCCTACATGTCCTTAGACAAGTTGCCGCTATTCCACGTTGCAAAGCTTGTATTGTATTGCACGTAGAAGTGAATATCTTTATCCCAACCCAATATGTAGTCAGGTAGCCACATATAGCACACACCAGATGCTTGAATTCCACTCCATTAGGCTGGACTAAATAAGCCATATTAGGCAATCTGCATAAGGTCCCTTCAACCTCCTCGTCTTCAACTCTTTAATATTGCTGTCTTCGTTTTCTTCGTTTTCTTCCTTGTGAAACAGGCTTGCCTGGTAATCCTGCTTGATTGGGCGGGTATTCACGTCATTTCAACGAGAGAGAAACTGTCCTCAAACACGCGCAAATGAGAATAAAAGTTTCATAACATGCTCTTCTGATGCCCGTTTCCCACCTTTCTCCCAGCAGGAGGGAGAACACTGCTCCCAAGGTTCTTGGGACAGGAGTTCCTTGCTTTGATGGTACCTCTGGCTGTTTGATTAGAAACTCTCCGAATGTTGACGCTCCGGACCCTCGTCCTTCCGCCCTTGATCAGCAACTGCTTCGGATTTAAAGAACTTGAAAATATATCTGTGGGCGAAGCAGAGGCTGAGAGCTTACAAGGGCGCGAAGTTGGCTCTGTAACTACGGCTATTTTTGGAGAACTTTAAATTTTACTTTGTCTGCTATAAATATAGGTGGTTCCTGTAGCAGCTCAAGGGAGTCTGTGTCTGAAAGCTCAATATTTTATATGAAAAAAAGGTTGAGCTCATGACATCAACAAGTACCGTCTTATCACTTCTCCAGAGGTCAAAAAATAGTGACAAACCCTCAACATGGTTATCGCATCCAGTACACCTAAGCTTATAGCTGCAGGCGGGCTTGCTGTGGTTGCAACATTCCTAGCACGTTTTCTCATGCGGGGATTTTCGATCCGGCGGAGGTTCTACAGAATGAAGGCCAGCGGGATTGTGGGTGAAGTCAAATGCTTGCTTGGGCATTATCTAATACCTCAATTCCCAAAGCCGACGGTAGGACTGGTAGCTGTAGCAAACATCCAACACCAGGGTTGAGGCTGACATCCATCATAGCCCATCATCTAGCCTTATTCACCATTCCTCGGCCATCTCCCATTGATGAGGAGCTTGAGCGAAGGGTTACCAAGCGACGCTCATCGCTCGTATTCCACGATGAAGATAGTCCAAAACTTGGGAGAAATACTTCCCCGGCGCGAAAAAGTGTCCGCCATTGATCTATATGGATGGTGTGGCCCTTCATTGCTCAGCCTATAATCACGGTTATCGATCCTGAGCTCTGCTCGCAACTTACGCAAGAAACACCTCAGCCGAGGCATCCCATGTTCGGATGGGCTTTAACACCGGTGACAGACGGTATTGACTTGATATCGATGAACATGGCTGACCATGAAGTATGGCGCTCTCGGCTGAATCCGGGGTTTTCGTCTCGGAACGTCATTCAAAACATGCCCACCGTCCTGGAGGAGGTTTCCATCTTTGCTCAAAAATTGAAAGACACTGCGGATGCGGACAGTCTTGAGTGGGGCAGTATGTTTACCCTGTACGATGGAGCGGTTGCTCTGACTTTTGATGTCATTTCAAGATTTGCACTGTAAGACCCTACCATTTCCTATTACTCCGGACAGCAGGGGGCTTCCCTTTTCCACTTCCTCCTTTCTAACGCTAACGAGACATGCAATAATAGTGATCTTCATCTCCACGAGCAAACAACGGGTCCTGGGCCACTGCTTACGGCTCTGAGAAATTTGATTTCGCGCGTTAAGCTCAAGAACATCAGGACCAGGTTGGAACGGCTTACCCCTGAATATAAATAAGCACTTTGTATCGGAAAATGCCGCAACTATGCGAGATATTCTCTTGCCGCAGGTTCAGTCGCGCTTCAGCGACACTCTTGAATCAAAGAATCAGAAAAGAGTTATCGATCTTGCTATCAAAGACTTCAAAGAGCGCCGCCAGCAGCCAACACCCGAGTTTATCTGTATCAGTATAAGCAACTTAAAGGCGTTCTTGTTTGCTGGTCATGACACCACGGCTCAGTCTATGTTAGTTTGATATATTTATATTTCCCCCATCACTTCATTTCTTGCAAAACCCACAAAGTCGTCTAGAAATACCTGTTTCATATATGTGTTCTAACTAAGTACCCTAGTTGCTGGTTACTCTACGAAATTTACAAACGCCTCGACATCCTCCAAAGACTACGCGCAGAGCACGATGAAGTGCTAGGCCCCGACCCAAAATCAGCAAATAAGGTGTTCCAAGAAAGCCCTCATAAGGTGAACGAGCTACGCTACACGGCGGCAGTCATCAAGGAATCGCTCCGCATCCATTCTCTAGCCAATATATTCCGGCAAGGCAGCGCTAGATTCAACTTCTCGCTTGACGGCATGTGGTATCCCACTTACGAGTGCAAGATCCAAACAAGTCCGACGATGACTCACATCCATCCAGAACTGTGGCCTCGCCCGACGGAATTTATACCAGATCGGTTCCTGGTTTCGGAGGGCCATGCTCTGTATCCTCTTAAGAATGTGTGGCGACCCTTCGAGCTGGGAAATACGAAATGGATCGGGCAGGAACTGGCGGTGTTGGAACTGAAGCTCGCGTCGGTTCTTACTGTACGTGAGCTGGAGTTTGACTTTAAATTATGAACAGTGGGACGTGGTGCAGAAAAGGGATGGGATAGGTGCGGCGGCGGAGACTGTTAATGGTGAACGCGCGCGTACAGATCTGGAGAGGGTATTGGTTGTGTCAAAGACGATTTACCAGTAAGAGTGAGGTTTAGAAGATAGCTGGATATGACCAGTGCCTGCAGGATGTTCCATATTGTTGGAGATGACGAAACATGATTTATCAAGCAATAGTCTGTATATGAGCAGTGTATTTTCTTGAGGTAGCAGCAACAAGCGCGACAAACCCCTGATGAACTGGATGAACTGGCCGTTTTGACGGATGTGGTGAATGCTAAAGAACCGTCCAAACAAGGTCTCATGGAGCACTTGCTGCACTTGTTCAATGAAGACAATGAGTATCTAATGGATACGTGGGCAGCAATTGTTCTTCCCCTCACGGTTCCCACAGGTAGTTGGTTGTCAAGAAGTGGATTTGTGCCTTGTATGGTGCATTCATCAATCCTTGAAAGTCCACGGCACCCTATTAAATATCCTCTTATACAACGTCCCACTCGCACCTTCGCAGAGCTCAGTCGGGAACGAATCGGTATGACAACCTACGGAAAGTTATATGTAGAGGCTCGCCCGAGAGGACCCCGCCGGTTTTAGCCCTACCTGGTAGTATACAAGAACATAGAATATAAAACTACAAACAACGGGCAAAGAAGGGAAAGTTAAAGCAAACAAATGCGCGTGACAATATCCAACGGGAGAAAACGGCGTGCGGGGCGAGGAGGAAGCCTATATTACGCTTGATATACAAAACATAAAAATATATAGACATCAGGATGATGTATTATTTAGCGATGGCGAGGAAAACAGGAATATATGTGGGCCAGGCTGTGGTCGAATTTGCTCTTGTGGCGGGATATTAAAAAGGTGAGATGGCGCAGGGAAAAAGGATATCGTCTCTCATGTTGCTCTTTAAATATCCCTTATGTCTTGAGCTAAAGAGAAAGAAAGTATCTAATATCTATCTATATACCTATCCATCCACAACGTAACTATCTACTTCGTCGAACAGGAGCAGCGCATCAGAATCAAAAAGAAAAGTCTCCATCTAGTTACAGCTACAAAACAAACCTCAACAAACCATCCTCAGATAAACAATATTCCAACAAAGGACTACTACAAAAATGACATCGCAAGCCTCCTCTCGCACTTCTAAACCCCATCATCCTACCACCAAGACTTCCACTCTCGACACGAAGACAGCCGCCTCCTCCCGCCCTTCGAATGCAGAGCAAGGACATCGGCCATCCTCAGCCACGTCCCCGAGAACCTCGCGATGGCAGCCGAAGTTCAATCGGACACAGAGCTTGAACGAGCAGGATATGAAGCATCAGTTGCAGCAGCGGTTGACGGGGTTGGAGAAAGGGCGGGAGAGCGGCTTCACAGAGAGTGAGAGGGAGGTCAAGGAGGGGGAGAGGGACTGTGATGGCGATGGCGATGGCGAGATGGGTGAAGGGATGAAGGGATGAATGAATGAATGAATGAATCACTCGATGTATTAAATTGCTATAACTAAATATATGAAGCAAACTGTTAGGTATTCCGGGGGTGTGGCGTTTATAACTGTTATCTCCCTATATAAATAAATAAGCCGAAATCTGTGGCGTTGGCGGGGCTGATCGTGTCTAAATAGCATTATGAATTAAATATTATTATATTCATCAATGGGAATGCCAAAAAGATATGGACTGTATATGTGTTTCAATATTTTGACCAAAAAATTAAAGATATCTTCTTATTATATTTATACAAAGTTTCTTTCCAGTGACGCACTCACTACTTATTAGTTAAATAACTACAGCTATAATATTTACTTATTTACTTTTCTCCTTCACCAGCTCCTTTTTCCTCCACTCCAACCACCAACCAACCAGCACAACCTATCTATCCCGCCGCTGCAGCTGTGGGGTTCAACGGCTTTGCATTTCTCAGTCAAAACAACACTTGCTGCTATCCTTGATTACACCCTTTTTTACCAATCCTGTCCAGCTCCGGGCTTCCTGGAATGAGGTGGTCAAGCCCTTCTCGACTCCGTTGCTTCTGGAACTTTGAGGGGATCTCACCCGGCTTGACCGCATCTCTCCTCCCCAGTGCCCGCAAACAACCACAACGGTGGTAGCCCCAAGAGAATACGTGAGATGGATCGCGCAAGGAAGAGTATGTCATTCATTCATTACCTATTCCAGGCGTGAGCTGTATCTTCTTCTTCTTCTTCTACTGTATGTGTTGCTAATATTTTATGCGTTTTGTAGGAGAGCTGCGCACCTTGAATGCACACGCATGGGCCAGGGAGACAGGTATGTTCAGTTCTCCCCCACCCTCCGCCCGCACACCCCCTCTTCTTGTATTACCTTTCGATCTCGAGAATGAGATTGACGATCTAATGTCTGGGCTTAAAAATTAATTCCTTGTATACGCGTATAGATATCTTCCCGGTCAACAAATCTCTCGACTCAGCTCTGAAGAAAAACACGGCTTTTATCAAACGTCTCCGAACTGGTATTACTGCTGCCGCCCTCCCTACTTTCCTTACCGATATCCGCACCCTATCGCTGCACAAATACCTGTCCGAGATCATATCCGCCGCCTACGAAGGGTTTTGCAAACTCAAGTCCCCCGGGGAAATCGCTGCGGCTGTGGAAATCGCCAGCGCGTTGCACCAGCGGTTTGGGCCCGATGAATTCACCAAGCAGCTAGGATGGCTGTTGGGTCGAGGTCTGACGACGCCGGATAAAGCACAGCTGAAGGCTTGGACCCAGGACGTGCGTGAGCGGGAGGAAAAGGAACGGCTGGGTAGACAACGGGTTCTATTGCGTATCGTGACGGAGTTATGGCTTGTTGGGTTCCTGCGAAGCTTGGATGATGTGGAAAGGCCGGACGATCTGGGTACGAAGGGACAGGATGGCTCGGCTACTATTGGTGGTGGTGGCAAAGGCTCTTCTACTTCTGATGGGGCGGCGAAGTCTAAGACAGCGCAGGCCGCCGCAAAGGATGATCAAGATAGGGAGGCGGAGCCGTTTCCGTTAGAAGTTCTGAAGGACCTCTTGGGACATGACCGCGAGCATGTCAACTTGCCACTGGCAGTGTTGTTTGCGAGGACCTACAGCTGGGATATTTTGGGGACAAAGGGGATGGAGGAGGGCAGGAAGAACGTGGAGGCCGATGGTGCCACTGCGGAATCTACAGGGAAAGATGCGCCGGAGATTGGATCTGGCGATGATGAGGCTAATGCTGAATCAACTGGAGATGATCCGCCGCTAGCATCTGAGAAGCTCCAGCTCCGCTTTAGAAATATCCTGAGTCGCTACCTCGAGGACGTCAAAGCACACGTTGTCCGCGACCAGAAGGCCCTGGCAACACAGAGCCGCAAAAATGCAGAAGCATATGTGAAGAGTGGTGAAATATTCGAAGATCGGCAATCTAATTTCGAAAAGCAGTCAAAAGCACACGAAAAGCTCGTCTCGAACACTCAGGTTCTTTGCGAGATTCTCGGTTCGGATATGCCAGATCTATTAGAGAAAGAGGCAGCTGATTCTACACACGGCAGTAGTATAGGTCTCGTGAAGACCGGAGAATATTTGCGCGGACAAGGAGAAGGCCCTGGTATCTGGGAAGACGAGGAGGAGCGCCGATTTTATGAGAATTTAGTTGATCTAAAGGGCAAAGTTCCAGCTGTTCTTCTTGAAGATGGGAAAAAGAAGAAGTCCGATGGGGATGATCAAGTGAAGAAGAAAGTTGACGGCGAAGCTACAAATGGCGTGCCAGCGGACCAGTCCGGAAAAGGGGAGGCTTCGAAACCAGGCGCAACTACCTCCGAACCTACCAATAATCAGGAAGCTGATGACCAGTCTACCGCTATGGTTAACAAAACCGTTGGTGCCCAGGTTGATGCGTTGCTGGCAAAACTTCCCGAACTTCAAACTAAAGATTCAGTTGACCAGCTGGCGCTGGATTTCTGTTTTCTCAACTCCAAAGCGTCACGGAACAGGCTGGTAAAGGCCATCCAAGAAGCGCCCAAGGGACGCGCCGATCTTCTTCCTCTTTATGCCCGCTTGGTTGCTACCCTCGGGCAGTATCTACCCGATATCCCACAGGGCCTTATCAGCTACCTTGACGAGGAATTCCGTAGTCTACAACGCCGTAAACAAAAGGAATTTCTCGGCCAGGTCCGCACAAGCAATATTCGATATCTAGCTGAACTAACCAAGTTTGGCGTTGTCCCCGAACATGTCATTTTCCACTGTTTCAAAGTCAGTCTCGACGACTTCTCTCGGATGAATATTGAGATCATTGGCAATCTCCTGGAGAACTGTGGTCGATACCTCCTCCGGAACCCTGAAACATCCCCACGGATGGTGTCGTTCCTGGAGACGCTTAGTCGAAAGAAAGCTGCACAGCATCTTGGCCAGCAAGAGCGCATGATTATTGAGAATGCGATGTACTACGTCGACCCTCCCCAGCGACCCGCTATTCAACAAAAGGAGCGCACTCCGATGGAACTTTATATTAGGAAACTGGTCTACCTGGATATGAACAAGCGCAACTACCCTAAGGTTTTGAAATGTATCCGAAAGCTTCACTGGGAGGAACAAGAGGTGAGATATAAGAGTTTTGAATTCTATATCGTTTTGTGGGACAAACATGTATTGACAAACGCAGGTCGTCCAAATTCTTGAGCGAATATTCAGCAAGCCTGGAAAGGTCAAGTACGGCAACATTCATATCCTAGCAATCCTTGTCAGCGCCCTCTACCGATATCATCAGAGTTTTGTCATTGGCATTGTAGACAACATACTCGAGTACATTACCCTTGGGCTGGAACAGAATGAATTTAAATTCAATCAGAGACGGATCGCCGAGGTTAAGTATTTGGGAGAACTGTACAATTATAAAATGGTCGATTCACCGGTCATCTTTGATACGCTTTACCGGATCGTTACGTTCGGACATGGTACGTGCAGACAGACAGAAGAACCCTTCTCGAGGCAAGAGTTGCTGACATGGAATATTAGAGGGAGGCATTCCGGTTCCCGGGAAGATTAACCCATTGGATATGCCTGATGATTTCTTCCGAATTCGACTGGTGTGCACGCTCCTTGATACGTGCGGAGTGTGTTTCGATCGGGGATCAGCGAAAAAGAAACTCGATTTCTTCTTGACGTTCTTTCAAGTATTATCCTCTTAAAACCGACAAAGTTCGTCTTTTGATATGATAGCTAATAGATTACTACAGTACTACCTGTTTACGAAAGACCCGTTGCCAATGGATGTGGATTTCCTCGTTCAGGATACCTATGCTTTGTCACGACCCCAGTGGAAGATTGCTACTGATCCTGCTGAAGCTACGCGCCTTTTTGGTGAGGCCGTGGCACAGAATTACAAGGTACAGGAGACTGTGCAAGAAGCGGACAAGGGCCCTGAGCCGGAAGATGACGGAGAGAGTTCATCCTCCGACGACGGATATGAAGACGATGCAATCCCAGACGCGGACGAAGAAAAGGATGAGGAGCACTCGTCTAGTGACGAAGTTGAGGAAGTATGGATCCTAAAAATTCCTCTATGCTATAGTGGAAATTTGTAAATGTCTAACTTTTGCTGTCCTTTTAGACCGTTCGTGACCCAGATCAGGAACATGATTCCGAGTATGAGGAGGAAGAACAGATCTTCGTTACCCGCCAGGAAGAGCAACTTGACCCGGAAGCTGAAGCTGAATTTGATCGAGAGTTTGAGAAAATGATGGCTGAAAGTTTGCAGTCCCGTAAATTCGAACGCAAGGCAATGTTCGATGTGCCCCTACCGATGAGACGCACTCCGCAACATCCATCATCAGCTGCGGAAGAGAATAATGAGGCCAGTCAACACGCACCGAATACAATGGCATTTTCGCTCATGACAAAACGAGGGAACCGACAACAGGTCTCTATCTTGCATCTCCTATCCCATTTCTGTTTATTTGTATAAAAACACATTATTTCTTGTCTCTGGCGCAGAGTTTTCTGATCACTCTTTAATTTCGCATAGACACGCACAATCGACCTACCCTCCGACTCTAGCTTTGCCGTGGCGATGAAAACCCAACAACAGGCCGAGCGCGAGGAGCAGCAGCGCATCAAGAACCTAGTGCTAAACTATGACTTGAGAGACGATAATGAACCCAGTGACGGTGAATTCAACACTTCTTCCTCCCTTCTTCCTCTCAAATACCCAGGACTACCACCCCTAGAAAAGAACCCTAATACTAAAGCAATTTTGCGCAAAACAAAAGGCCCAGAGAAACGTTCCCATCGAGACCCGCGGACCGCTGATAAATCGAGCTCGAATCGTAGCGGGTTCCGTTCCCGCAAGTTGCAACTTAGCGATGTTGATTGGTATGACGCAAATTAGTTTTCTTTTCCCCTTCTTTTGCAACTTTCATCCGACCGATCCTCCTGTCTCTGCTCGTGCCTTGCGTGCATGCATCTACGATTTTGTGGCCGTGGCAATCCATCACCCCTGAAGACTACATATTACCCACATTTGGCCCAGGAGAGGGAGACTACCTGGAAAACTCTTACGGAAAACTGAAAAAAAAATAAGAAAGGGACCAACCACCGCGTGGAAAGAAGAGATATGCTAATTTTCTGGTGCTTCTTCGTTTCATTTGTTTTACCCGTATAGGACTTGAGAAAATCCAAACAAAAATCCTTTCCGCAACAGAAGCCAAAAAAAACCCCACCCACCTCGGGGAGAAATGAAATACGGGATATACAACATATCTATACTGCGTTCCCGTGTCTAGTTTTCTCCCTCACCGTCGGCCCGAAGCACACACCCTCGCCCGAGGAAGCAAAACGAGACGAAACCGAGAAAGATTGTACGAAATTGAAGCAATACAGGAATGACGGATAGGGCGGATGGAGAACGCTATGCTGCCCTCCGGATACCCTCCTAATTCCATGTGCTGAGAGTGGAGGGAGGGGTAGTACGTAACATTATGATTCCCTCTCCGATTCGTACGGGAGCGAACCCAGTGTTTACTACCTTCTGGATGTGTTAACTCTGCCGTCCACCCTCCCTCCCTTCAGCAAACAATTCTACTTCACTGTTGGTGGTGTTTTTTCCAGAACCTGGACCGCGCGAGGTAAAAAAGCAAAATGAGACAAAAGAAAATAAACATACCAAAAAAAAAAGAAAAGAAAAGAAAAGAAAAAAGAAAAGAGAAAGAAAAAGAAAAAGACAAAAACAAAAACAACGCATTCGTTTCCAGTAAGGAAAGAGCGGGAGCGGCGGCGGCGGAAAACGCAGGGGAAAGGAAAACCAAATGGCGCAGTGCCCCCTCAACGTTTACCCTCTTTCTTTCCGATCCCCAAGGGAAAAAGCGAAACCACGCATGTCCATCACCGCCCAGTCCCCCCTCATAGGCCCAAGTCAGTATTTCGACCCGTTATAGTCCTAGTGATTACGGTGTTGACTTGATCTCCTTTGTACCTTGGAGATGGACAAGGGGGGCGGTAGTGGTATTCCTTTTCCCTTCCTGAACAAAACAAAAAAAAAAAAAAAAAAAAAAAAAAAGTATAGAAACAGGTCTTCTCATGTATATATGTATGTTTCTGAAATTTCGGCCCGGCAGAGGGATTGAAACATGCTGATTTTGAAGGGTGGAGGTTGTTGCTGCTGGGAGAATTGATTGATGATTGATTTTCTTGCAATGTGATGGGTGGATGGATTGTATGGAAGCTTTCTAAGTGCTGTCAGATAAAATTAAAACCAGGACAGATACAAAATATTAGTGAGAAGAGGGAATTAGAGAATTGATTGTCTGTTAAAAATGGGGGGAAGAAATTATGTAGTTTGCTGTGTCTGGGTATAGGTGTATGAAGGAAGCATCCTTTTTACACATATAACTGATTATTATCCTACATTTCGACTTTTTTCTTAGGAAAAAAATATATATAATAGTTACAGTAAATCATAAAATCTATCAAAAGAAAACGCCACTGTACCCGCATATATTTCTAAAACACAGCACATAACATTACAAAAAACTTACAACCCCTCACCCCCCTTCAGCCACCCCGCCAGCTCGATGGTAAACAACACCGGCCCCTCACTCTCCACGAGCACCTCCACAACCTCACTGCGCACATGATTGCTCGAACTAACCTGGCCGCCAAAACGGGTTTTCCAGTCATGGATGTCCCATTCGAGGCCTTGGGTGGTTATCGCGGCGGGACCGGCGATGGGAATTATGCCGACGTTTTCGGCGAATGGAGTTGTTTGCGTAGTTGTAGTTGTTGTTGTTGCCGTTGTTGTTGATTGTGATGGAGGTGATGGCGCTGGAGACGGTGATACGCCCATCAAGGAGCCGCCGGGCACATGGATTCTATTCCGGCCGCGGTGGAGGAGGAAGGAGATGCTTTCTTCGGAGATGAGGTATAAGTGCCTTTGTTCGGTTGGGGTTGGGGAGGAAGATGATGTTGATGAGAGATATAGATGATTGATGAGCGAGAAGGCTTGGTCGACTCGTCCGCCCAGCCCGCCTAGGAGGAGGACGTTGATATCTATATCGTTCTCGTTTCCTGTGGATGCGCTTGGTGCGGCTGCTACCGCTGCACCGTTCTTGCTGCTACGGGGTGCATTGATACTCTGCGTACGCGAGCGCAAATAGGACAGACATTTAGTCACATCTGTAGAATACTGGCTCGGGTCGTAGATGATGGGGACCTGCAGGTCTTCATAGTGTTTGCGGACCTTGGGGGAGATGGAGTCCAGGTCTCCTACGATGGCGTCGGGGAGCTGAAGAGTAGTTTTGTTAGAATGAGCTCTTTATAAAAAGTAAATTTCTTATTTGTTGTATTTCTTTCTTTATTCTTAATATATAGTATGATATCTTGTTAATAGCTACTTAGGGGATGTATATATCTACCTCTATTGACTCTCTGCCCGATTTACGCATGAGGTTGTACAGGTGATTAGCCCCGCCATCTGCACAGATTGTGAAGCTTGCTAGATTGGAAAGAGAGTGTCAGTTCAATTTTGATTTATTCATTTACATTATAATAATATATGTGGCCACTCAACAGCTAGGACATGAAACTCACCATGCTTCTTGAGGATCGTGTATGCATTTTGGTTGATTGGCTGGTTGAGCACAAGAAGGGCGAAGGGTGAAGATGGCGGTGGGGCTGCAGGGTTGAAGAACTGCGCGGGATACCAGTCCATTATTATTATTATTGTATGCAATAGCAGCAGCTACAGATCAGCGCACAAAAGAAAGGGATCAATCAATCACTCATGCATCCATGGATACTATCTACAGTACATGTACAGTATATGTATATAGCTCGGCATGGATCATGTATGTAGCAGATCTGCAGCTGTTTTTGCAGTGGAGTGACGTCGGACACTGTCCCAGAACGGCAATCCGAGACGAGAAACGCGCCCGAGCGGGGGAAAGTAATTCCGAGAGTCTATCACGTGATGCTGCTTTTAGTGGGTTAGTTTTCCAAGGTTGTTTCGGACTTCGGAACTAACCTTGGAAGTCTACAATATATTATTACCAGATCGAGACAAGCTTTGGCCTGGTAATCGTAATACAAAACAACAAAACCAACCACACACCCATTTCCGCGACACAACCCCATTCAATAATACAATAACCAGGCAGGGATCGAGGATGGGATGGGCGTATCACTTGGTATCAGGGCGCCCCAAAGCGGCATAGTCAGGGAGAACAATACCTCCATGATTACCATCCGTACGATGCGTACAGCCCCATACCATACCAACCCCTTTCTGTGTCTCCTCCCTCCGTTCTCTGCTCTTCTTCCTCTCCAACTCCCCCCAAGACTCTCTCTCTCGCCGTCGACAGCGCCTGTAGGAGATCTCGTCTCTTCCTCCTCCTCCTCCCTCCCTCCACCTATTCTTCTTCTTCTGCTTCTTCTTCTGCTTCTTCTGCTTCTTCTTCTCTTCTCTCTCTTCTTGCCTCTATTCCCATCATCCCTTTAACTACCTTAGCAGCGTGCGCCGCTCCCAAATACTCCTAGGTGAAGGCTTCACACAACCCCTTCAACCCCCAATTGAGTCCTTCGTTTCCCGTCCACCTTCGTTCTATCGTTCATCCCTTGCTCTATTTTATATAAAGAGAGAAGCTCTAAGCTTGTGCTTCCCACACCCTTTGGTTCTCGTCTTTCGTTGATCTCCTCTTGTGTCCCGTGTTGGCAACAAGAAAAAAAATATCTCTTGGTAAGGCCGTGGAACCCCTGTTTCATCTGCATTATTATATCTTTTTTTATGGGTAGTCCGTTTCCTCTCTGCATTACATTGAATGCTAGATATTTTCTGAACTCTTACGATTATTAAAAAAGAGAAGAAAGTATCCGGTGCTTCCCCCTAGTTCTGGCGTCATTGACATACTCCTATTTTCTCTCTACGTGTCCCCAAGACTACCAGCTAACCAACACCCGCGATCCACAGCAGATTATCCTCCTTTGCCCTTCCTTCCCTTCTAATACTTCGAATATAATCCCAATCGTTCCTTCTACCGTTGAACCTACAAGATGGGTAAGCTTCGATTTTTTATTTTTTACTTTCTGTTACAGCTCTGTCCAGCATCACAACAGCGAAGAACATCACCAGTATCTGTGCTTCTCTGGAGAAGTCGTTAATTTCTCCGCGTTTTATGTGCTGTGTGCAACTTGTCCTGTTGTTCCCTGGTCTCTACGGCCCGGAAATAGGAGATCCTAGTCATGGGCCATTTGAAGTTCCGCGTTTCTGCACCCAAGCAGGAGTGTCAGAACTATGGCCATCGCACTGCGCAAGCCCTGAATACCCCAAAGCTTCAAGGGCCGTCTATAGCAAACTCTCTACGGAAATACAAACTGAAGACGACGAACTTTACTGCACTTAGTACTGACAATGTGAATAACACAGCCACCGCCGCCAACGGTATTCCCGCTCCCACGCGACCTTCTCCAGCTGCTGGCAGTGCAACCGGAAAATCGCCATATGTCGAACGCAGCAACCCAATGGGCCAGGGTGCTGCCCAAACCGTCACCTCTAAGGACCCCAAAGCCGCTGCCCAAGCTGCTAGCGACATGAGGAACGTTGTTCGTCGCAAGTTGACCGGTTACGTTGGATTTGCCAACCTTCCAAACCAATGGCACCGCAAGAGTGTTCGTAAAGGATTCAACTTCAATGTTATGGTTGTTGGTATGTAATTATATATATTTTCTGCTTCCACGTGGTTCTGTTGGAACTTGTGCTGAAAACGGCGATTTTAGGTGAATCTGGTTTGGGGAAGTCTACCCTGGTCAACACTTTGTTCAACACTTCCCTGTATCCCCCCAAGGAGCGCAAGGGCCCTAGCCTCGACATTATTCCCAAAACCGTTGCCATAGAGTCTATTAGCGCCGATATTGAGGAGAATGGTGTTCGCCTCCGTCTGACTGTTGTTGATACACCTGGTTTCGGGGACTTTGTCAACAACGATGATTCTTGGCGTCCAATTGTCGAGAACATCGAACAGCGCTTCGATGCTTACCTCGAAGCCGAGAACAAGGTTAACCGCATGAATATTGTGGACAACCGCGTCCATGCCTGTGTCTACTTTATCCAACCCACAGGCCACTCCCTAAAGCCGCTCGACATTGAGGTCATGCGCCGATTGCACACCAAGGTCAATCTCATCCCCGTCATCGCTAAGGCTGATACTCTCACCGATGAGGAAATTGCCCTCTTCAAGCAAAGGGTACGTTCTGGGGTTTTCCAGTCAACTCACTTCTTCCTTTGCAAAATAATATATATATTCTGACGCTTCCACAGATTCTCGCCGATATCCAACATCATTCCATCCAAATATTCGAAGGACCCCGATATGAACTTGATGATGAAGAAACCATCGCCGAAAACCAGGAGATCATGTCCAAAGTTCCTTTCGCCGTTGTTGGAGCGAACTCAGAGGTCACCAGCAGCGAGGGCCGCAAGGTCAGAGGTCGTCGTTACCCATGGGGAGTCATCGAGGTTGACAACGAGGAACACTGCGACTTCGTCAAACTGCGCCAAATGCTTATCCGTACCCACATGGAAGAGCTCAAGGAACACACGAATAATGCCCTGTACGAGAACTACCGATCTGATAAACTCACACAGATGGGTGTTGCTCAGGACCCAAGTGTATTCAAGGAGGTCAACCCTGCGGTCAAACAGGAAGAAGAGCGCACGCTGCACGAACAAAAGCTTGCAAAGATGGAGGTAGAGATGAAGATGGTTTTCCAACAGAAGGTGCAAGAGAAGGAAAGCAAGCTCAAACAGAGCGAAGACGAGCTTTACGCTCGGCATCGCGAGATGAAAGATCAACTAGAGCGACAACGTGCAGAATTGGAAGAAAAGAAGGCCCGTCTCGAGAGTGGAAGACCTCTCGAGGACAAGATAAAGAGAAAGGGCTTCTCGCTCCGTTAACGGTCAATCCGTTGATGATATACCCTTTGGACATCATGGGACGTCTACCTACGACATGCGGACAACCTTCTTTGCTTGATTTAGTATTCCTCTCCTTTGAGTCCCCTCTCTTCTGCTCATGGTTCCAGCGCTCTCTCTAATACCTCTTCGTTCACTTTTCCCTTTCCTTTCATTTAAGAATATTCGGCTCGCTCTCACACACTCTCTTTTTGCTTTCTTTCCTTCCCTTTCCTTCTCCTTTTCTCCTCTTTCATTTATACCTCTTGCTCGTTATCTCATTTCTGTAATGACTTCTATTTTTTATTTTTTTCCCCCTTTACTTCTTTTCTCTTGAGCGCCCTCTCCCCTTGTTTGTCTGTTTTCTTGCTTGATTGTTGAGTCTCTCGAACCAATAAACGGAGAAAAACCAAATTTGTATCAAACTTAATAATCTATCTATCGACTGGTTTCAACTTTTTCGACAGTATTATTTTTTTTCCCCCTTTTATCTTATCTTCTACTTTCTTTCTCATTGGGGGTTGGTTTGGATTGAAGGGAGGCGCGGGTTTGAGGGGGAGTGCGCAGGCATAGTTTTTCCCGAACATTCGACATCAGAAAAGTATGCTTCTAAGCGGATTGGCAAGATATATATATGCGTGAGCGAGGGTTATAAAATCTTGTCTTTTCTTCGCTTTCTTCTTTAACTATTAATATTTCTTTTCCCTGCTTTGATCTGGTAAATTGATTGGCGTGTACCTCCGTTGCTGAGAGGTCCGACTAGATATATACACGGGTCTGATTTGATCAAAGGCTGTAGTTTGCTATTCCTCTTTTCAATTCGTTTCTTTCCTTTTTTTTTCGCCCTTATCCCACTCCTGCTTCTCTGTTCGTCTTTCTTCCTACGTATAACCCTTTTGCTACCAGTCCGGAAAAATGCTTTAAAAAAACCGCCAAAAAAAAGGTCTTTTGAATCTTAGCTTATGTTCTGCTTTCTTTCATATATTCTTGTCTTCTTTGCTTAACTAGCTATAAATTTTCCTTTTCCCCTTTTCTTCTGTTTCCCCCGCCCCTTTTCTTCTCCATCTGTCTGTCTGTCTATCTGTGATTAAATTTTGATTATATACTCTGAGGTTCTTCTGCTTCTTCTTCTCCTTAACCCGTCTACTTACCAACCCCTCTCCCCTTCCTTCTATTCAACCTCATCGTTCTACTTCCAATATCCCTTTTGTGTCTCCCGGTCTTTTTTCCTCTAGCACTTTTTTAGTAACTCATCAATCGATTGCCCTTCCTCTCTCTTCTTGTTCTTATTCTATTATCCTGCGTTTTTGTTATTTATTTCCTGCTATTTTTCTTTTATTAGGTATGTATGTACATGTACATGTACGTTTGCCATCTTCTCCTCTCATTAATTACCCCTTGAAAATACACAGGAAAGAAGTAAGTTACTTTGCTATATCTGGTTAAATAGGGATAATTGCCTTGCGTTCTATTAAAAAATATACCTCTCTCTTTACGCTACGGTAGAAGACTTTGATCCACTGTCTTATCTCTCGAGTAAAGAAAGAAATCTTGTTTCATGAACGTTTTTTCACGGTCTTAGTAAAAAAAAAAAAAAAAAAAAAAACCAACTAGTAGAGATGGGTATTTGCGTAGGCTAGTATATTATCTCTGATAGGTATGTGATAGGTTTCACCAGATATAGCAGCGATCCACTCTGTATAACCTAGGGAAATTACGGGAGGTATATCGTAAGGTTCTAGATACTCAATGCCATTGTTCCCTTGAAACGATGCGGTGTTTTTCTTTCAAACATGATGGAAAGGGTAAATGAAAGGAGGTACTTCTCTTCTTCTTCTTCTTCCTCTCCTCGTTCCTCCTCTTCACCCTCTATTGTTCGTTGCTCGCTTTCTACCGCCGTTGTTTTCTTTATTCAACTGTACCAGGTACATCTACTGTGTGAATGATAGTAAGTCGAGGAGTAAATACTCTGGGCAGGCTGGCCCCTGCCTCCCGGTTTCATTGTTCCCCGTGGCCAGTGAAGGATAAAAACAAGGGAAGAATATATTTGCTGGTGGGAATATTCCCTGATTTCCTCTTTTTCCCTTCTCTTTGTTAACAGAGAAGAAGGGGGGGCATGATCGGAATGGATATATGTATACACTGGATCTCTAACTGGGTGTTCACCTCGCTCTATCCTATCTATCTGCCTTTTTTTGTTTTAATTCCGTAAGATTTTTTTTTTTTTTTTTTTTTTTTTTTTTTTTTTTTTTTTTTTTTTTTACCACCTCAAGGGGTACAGGCGCTTCGCGGGAAAAGGGAACAAACGATCCATCCACGGGATCATTCCTTTTCTTTCTGTATCTTAAAAGTTCCCCAGGTAGGAGGTACAGAGGGGATACAGCCGGTGATGACCACTCGTCCACAACCAAGGGAATATATATTCTCAGGTCTAGATGTTGTGAATTTGAGATAGGATTCATATATGGATGATATATATAAGAACATAGCCCCTCTCCCACTTTCTTCATAATTAGAATGTGTAACTGCCTTCACTTCGGCACATCTAATATCACAGTACATATTTAGACCTACCTACTGTGCCCTTAAGCTAGCTTTCCCCTGTCTCCTCCTATTCATCGTCAAGCGGTCTCCTAAGCTGGGCACCTACCTGCTGGAAACAATATACATACTCCACCACTCGATCAACTAAAACTACCACCAAACCCAAAACACAAAAAGAAATAGCAAGAAGGGAAAAAAAAAAAAATGTGCAAATACACCTCCCACGAACAATACGCTACCTGTGCCCACACCATCCCCTGCCACCTCAAATACGACATAATCTACTGCCACGCCCCCAACGGTATCCCCCTCCCAATCCACACCATCACAAAACTGCTCACGGAGCCCGGCTTCCACCCCTCGCGCTGCTGCGACATAGACGCGTGGCATGGCACAGTGCTGAAGCTCCGGGGGCTGTGTCCAGCGTGCGAGGAGGAGGCGAAGCTGCGCGCAAGACCGGTGGTAGAGAGCACGGGGGATAGGCAGGGGTATGCAGAGATGCCGAATCTAGTGTGGCAGTTTGAGTGTGGGCATTCGAAGACGTGGGTGCAGGCGGCGAGTTTGCAGAAGTGTTTTGTGTATAAGGGGAAGGATGGTGATAAGAAGAAGAAGAAGAATAAGGTTGATATAGGAGCGGATGTTCATATTGATCCGGGGGATTTGCGGATTGCGGAGTTTTGGGAGACGGAGTATGAGTTTTCGGAGGAGGAGGCGGGGAAGATCCAGTTTGAACAATATAGGGACGAGGGACTTTGCGGGAAGTGTGTTAATGAGGAATCACAAAAGGAGGGAGAAGAGAGAGAGAGAGGCAAGGGGAAGAAGCGGTGGCGGAAATCGGGAGGGCTGCTCGGGCGGTGGAAGGGGTGGATGAAAAATACTTTTCAGGAGAAGCGAGAGAGCTGAATAAGAGGGGAGTGAGAATGCGAAGGGTTTCGTCTCCCTTTTAATTGATTTTAATTTCTTATTTTTTGGAAGATTGGGTAATTGGATAATGTTTTTATATCTGGTCTGGTAGATTTGCAAGTTGGATATTGCATGGATGAGGGTAGAAGTTGCATGTAGCTAATGCACATCTGAGAATGCAGAGGTACGCATATTCTGCAGCAAACGAGAACAGAATATAATTCATATGCAACAAATATGCAATATAGAGCTATAGATCGAGAAACAGGAGCCAGGTTCATGATTTCAGAAGTATCAGAAGTTCAGAATGGTTCTGCAGCTTGTCACAGACAGCTTTACTTCATTCAATGGTTGCTCTGAAACAGTTGGAGAAGCAAAGCATGAATTGTGGCTAATAAGCAAAAATAAACAAGACATGGTATGAAAATGCCAGACTTTCCCCCCCTTTGCCCAATTATCGATTGCGTTGAGGATTTAGTTCATCGACTGACGTCTGTCATGGAAGAGAGGAGTTGGCCGGGATGACGTCGAGCCATTGGTTGGTAATTCGTGTAAGCAAATCATTCCGACTGTGAGCAGAGCCATTGCAGATACAGGGCAGAGTGGTGCAATTGGGCTGTTTGACCTGGAGCTGGTCTTTGTCTTTGTACCGGGGCTTCTCCTGGTTGTGTACTCCGTAGAGATAGATATCCATGGATGTAGAAGCTAGAAAGCAACAAGAGATATTTGCTGTTTGCTGTTTGTTGAAGGAAAAATATTTATTATGATTGTTTCCAAGGTCGGAGCTAGTTACGTCACATGACAATTGGCTGCGGGTGGCTGGGGGTTGGTGTGGGTGTATTGTCGTACGATTACATACAGCGTGATACAGCTTGATACAGCCGTGGCTGCCTGAAACCTGCCACCCGATACGGCGCCAATACACGCTCCAACCTGAGTCTGTCTGATCCAAGAGCACAAAACAAATCCTCCCGACAAGTCACAACTCAACTTCTGGCCTGATCAGCGATTATTCCACCGTGACCTTTTGATGATATCCTGCAGCCTGGCTCCAAGGGAATAGATAAATAAATACACTCAACTACCACTGCTCTATCCAGCTATCTCTGCTTCACCTCTCCCTCTCGTCCCGACAACGCACCGCTTTCTCTCACTGACCGGCTGGGGCATTTAACTGTTGCTTGCTACAGATGGCTCCTCCGCCTCCTTCCACCCTGCCCTTGGGCGAGCGTTTGAAGCTGCTCGCCCAGACCCTACAGTATGTTTCCCCGGTAGACGTCCATCCCCCTCAGGGGACCGAAAGAGAGAATGCCGTTTGCTAATCTATTTATAGGTTCGGTTGGTTTCTTGGGTATGTCGAGTTCACTTAAACAGTCCTGGAGTATTTGTGGAAGCGGTGAGGGAGGTAAAATAAGGAGAAAAAGGGAAAAAGATATACAAATACAGACAAGCGAAGACGGAGATGCTGGAACCGTTTGATCCTGAATAACAGGGAATATGGAGACTGCGGCTCCTATGGAAATAAACACAGATGGTTCTTGCTGGCTAACTTGCTCTACCGCGCATCTATAGACACCTGGCATTGATTCTTGCTGTCTTCCGATACTTCCTTTCCTACATTACATTCAACTACTACTCAGGCATGGCCAGATATTCATATCGTTTTGCATTCATATCCGCTGCCGCTACATATGGAATTGTCGTGTATAAAGCATATATTGCCCGTGGCCGTCTTGGAGGCTCCATCCCTGCCACTGCCATCAAATTGGCCGGTGACGAGAATGTCCAATATTTATGTTAGTGGGCTTTTTTTTACTCTTTCCTCCCCCCTTCCCTCGCATGGCTATATTAAAAATCCGTCAAAAATATTACCTCCTCGCTGACAGAAATTCACCGCGAACAACAGTCATGGCGCTCGTATGGCTCTACTCCCGCCAGATCCCAATCGCCCTCCTACCCTTCGCTATCTACTCCGTCTTCCACGTAGCAACCTACAGCCGCACCTATCTCATCCCAACCCTCCAACCCGCCAAACCAGTCGCACCAGGCGAAGCAACCTCCCCATCCGGCCGCCCCGCCACAAGACAATCCCCGCTCGCCGAAAGCATCGGCCGCTTCGTCAAGAGATACTATGACGCTAGCATGGGCCTCGTGGCCGCCTTTGAAATGACCCTCCTATTCCGCCTCGTCGGGTCCGCCCTGACCTTCTCAAGCGGCAGCTGGGTGCTGCTGATCATATACTTCTCCTTCTTCCGCTCCCGGTATGCGCAGAGCTCATTTGTGCAGGGCACCGTGGCCCGTGCGACTGCCCGTGTTGATGCCGCCATCTCTCACCAGAATACCCCACCGCAGGTGAGACAAGGCTGGGAGATGTTCAAGGGTGTTGTCCGGCAGGCCTATGACGTAACGGATATCCGACGGTATCTGGGTGGGTACCAGGGTGCTGCTGCGGGAGCTAAGAAGCCCCAGTAAAAAGTTTTTGAAAAATAATAATAATAATGATAATAATTTTGATAATTTTATTATTGTTATTGTTATTATTATTATTATTTCCGAACGGCCTCCCTCCTGACGCTACTCCTGTTTTCACTTTTCCGCAACCTCTCTCGGGATCCGAAAAAGAAACATAATGATGATTGTACACAACAGCAGCAACCACGACGACACCTATCTCCTAGCTCTCAGCATGTTCCCTTTATTTTTGTGTTTAAAAAGTCTTGGGGGACTCATTTCCCTCCCGGTTTGTCGTTTGTGTGTACGGAATACAGCCATAACATGACGCATTACCACTTCGGACCCGGTTGCTGTGCATGTGCATGTCTATGTATAGTACAGGGGAAGGGTGAGGGGAGCAACCCTCCGCGGCGGCATACGGACCCTCTTAAATCGTAAATGCATGCAAGCGCACGCGTCAAAATTATCATTATCATCCGGAGCCAGAGACCGGCTGACTTGGGGCCTTTCCCACTACCAGCGCCCACGCGGACGGAATTCTATTTTGCTTTCCTTATCCTTTTCCTGTTCCCTTTTCATTTTAATTTTCATTCTCATTTTATTCTTTTTCCCTCGCTTGTTTCTTCATTTTGGCGGGATAGTATGGGGTTGGGGATGTTTGTCACGCGACCACGGTGAACATAATAAGAATAATATCTATCTATCTGAGTTTGAGTGCGATGTTTGTCTTTTGAGTGTGCAGGGGACGGGTAGAAGGGAGTCAAAGATAGGAAGATAGGTAGGAGCGGTGTGTCTCTTCAACAAAACTTTGAAAAAAATATATATAAAAAGAAAACAAAATAGCAAAGGGCCTGTACTTCTAGGCATTCTCATCATTTCTTTCTGTTTTTTTGTTGTTTGTCGTGTGTGATTTTGATGTGATTTGATTTCTGGGTTTTTGAAGAAGCAGGGAGCCTGTTTACTGTTCTATCCTACATATTCTTTTATTTTTGTTACGTATCCTTTTTTTTTTTTTTTTTTTTTTTTTGAGCGACAACGTTTTCATCTGTATTTTTCTTCATATTTTCTTTCATACGTCCATACGTCCAATATCTCTTTCTGGGACAAATCCGGGCTGTACTGGTATCTTGTCTCTGCCTCTGTACTCCGTATTTCCTTTTGTGAAAAGGCCTTAGTAAATGAGCAACCGAGTTTATGAGTACAATATACAGATAATCAACTGACAGCACTTCCTCTTATCTTTCCTCTCAATCCCAATATACTATACCCCCCGAGAATTCCATATGAACAAAATGTCACGATTGCTCATATGGTATGAATAACCTACAATAACTACTAGCTGTCCCGGCGCCCCGGATCAACATTCCTCCGACCGGCCCGATACCCCAGCTATCAGAAAAAGGTCAGAAAAAAAGGTTGAAAAAAAGACAAAAAAAAGGAAATGCACGACAACTCAATTCCTTCACCCGCCCACACCACACGCAAACCCCAGCTCCGCATTCTGTTGTTTTTTTTGTTTTTTGTTTTTTTGTTTTTATATATATATATTTTGACCAGCGCAAGAATAAGGATGGAATCGCCCGTCCGCCCTTCGTTTCGAAGTTGGTAATTGGTTGTTACTGCTCCCTACCCTACCTTCGCTCCATTGCCTGCCTCTTGGTGCTTCCGCTTCCCTGGAAAGAATATCCCCAGGACAACCGGGCATAAGGATCTACCTGGAGAATCTGGATACATACGAAGTTTTATATCCCTTCTTCTATTCTCGCCGAGTCGTCCGCAATCCCCGCTCCGCCAACCCGCCCTAAATCCGAATCGGTGAACCTGCCGGGAGAAGCGGAGACGGCCTCCTCGGACCGGGAATAAAAGGAGCGGAAACGAAAAATATTTTTCCAATTAGAAGATATAGATATAATACATATGCACCCAACCCACTAGAGAGATAGAAAAAGAGAAAGAGAGAGACAGAAGAAAGTATCCCAATTCGCATCCCCGCCTAGTATAAACGAAACTTACGAAGAGAAAGAGAAACGGGAGAGAGACGGGGGCGGCGATGAGCCAGAATTCGACAACGACAAACTCGTGGATGTCGATGCCTGGCTTCTTCTCCTCCGGCACGAGCACCAGTAGCAGCACGACCACCGCTGCCGACAACACAACGAGTGCATCATCATCGCCCTCCACTGCTTCTGCCTCCGCTACCAATACCATCCCTGTCACTGCTCCTGCCGCCATTGCTCTTCTCCCACCTCCTACTGTATTTGGCGACGGCGATCGGGATCGGGATCGGGCGCATGCGACGATGACCACGGAGTTGGGGGTGGAGGGGAGAAATAAGCGGCCTAGGACGATGAGGGGTGATGAGCGGGTAGACGGTCATGCTCATGCTCATGCTCCTGCGCCCATCACTGCGCATGTCCATGTGGATGTTGATGTTGATGTTGAAGCTGCAAGGCCGCCGTATCTACATGTATGTATTACTCGGAAAAGGAGGAGGGGTGATGTTTTCTTTTCTTTTTTTTTTAACTAGGGAGGAAGGAGGGGGGGGAATTTATGATCATGCGCTACAGACAGGGGGGATCACATTTACTCTCATAACTAACCTTTTTTCACTATTTCTAGTCAATGATAGCCGGTGGTATCGGCGGGACCAGCGGGGACCTGCTCATGCACTCGTTGGACACCGTCAAGACACGGCAACAGGGCGACCCGCACTTCCCACCCAAGTACACATCCATGTCCTCCTCGTATATTACCATTCTACGGCAGGAAGGGATTCGGAGAGGGTTATATAGCGGAGTCACACCGGCATTCCTGGGCTCGTTTCCAGGGACGGTAATATTTTTCGGCACGTACGAGTATAGCAAGAGGCACATGTTGGATGCGGGGGTTAATCCGTCGTTATCATATCTTGCAGGCGGTACGTAGTTACACATTATATGTTCACTATTTTGTTACCTACGCTAACAAAGCCAATTTCTAGGCTTCATCGCCGATCTCGTCGCCTCCGTTGTCTACGTCCCGTCAGAAGTCCTAAAAACCCGTCAACAGCTGCAAGGACGATACAACAACCCCTTCTTCCGCTCCGGATACAACTATAGAGGCACAATCGACGCATTCCGCACAATCGTCCGCCAAGAAGGTTTCGGCACATTATTTTCGGGATACAAGGCGACGCTCTTCCGCGACCTGCCTTTCTCTGCGCTGCAATTTGCGTTTTATGAGCAAGAGCAGAAACTTGCGAAAAAGTGGGTTGGGAGTAGGGAGATTGGATTGCCGCTGGAGATACTAACGGCTACGACGGCGGGCGGCATGGCGGGCGTTATTACTTGTCCGCTTGACGTTGTCAAAACGAGAACGCAGACGCAGCAGAGTCCGGATTCGTTTGCTAGGGGGTCGGCTCCCTCAGCAGCTTGTTCTTCTGCTGCTGCTGGTGGTGGAGCTGGTACTGCCACTGCTCCTGCTCCTGCTCCTGCGGTGGCAGGAAAGCATAAGATGAAAATAAAAGAAGCGGCGTCGAAGAATATACAGTCTTCCAGATTAATATCGACATCCTCCCCATCCACATCCACCGTGAGACCCGGAGCGTCACTACTAGATACGTCGTCAGTATTTACAGGGTTGAAAATGATATACCGGACAGAAGGGATTGTGGGGTGGTTTCGAGGGGTTGGTCCACGGTTTTTGTGGACGAGTGTGCAGAGCGGGACGATGTTGGTGCTCTATCAGTATCTGCTAAAGAAGCTGGATACATACCAGGAGCAACGCGAGGGTGAGATGGGAGGCGGTGGGGCTGTTCTATGATTTTCCTTTACCCAAGCGCACCCTACACACAGCAGTGGTTTCCTTTCTTCGATGGTATATTTTATATTATACTACATTTTATTTTTTGTTTTCCCTTTTTCTTCTTTTTTTCTTCTGCTGTTTCCTAGAGGGTGAGCTATACCATCTCGTTGTTAGCCAGGGATGTGTGTCATTTTGCATAGACAGGCGTTTGGTGTCGGTTCTCTACCTCTTCTACTTCTTCTTTTGATGTATATCACTTCTTCTGGTGTCCTCGTATTGTTTTTTTCTCTCTCATTTTGTCGCTGTTGATATAACTGTACAGTACCAGAGGATGCCCTTCTGTGGCTCATACATACACTTTTGGCGGGATATGGAATAACTCTACTGCAATTCTTTTTATTAATTGAGAGACATGGAAGAATGCTCCATATAACTCTACGAGTAGTCCTATAATAGCATAACTATAACAATGAATCAAATAACAAACAATAAGCTAATGCCATTGTTGACACCGTCCCCTTTCCCGGCGTGGCTCAAGCTTGGGGAAAGGAAGCCGTGATGAAAACACGCTAGTGGCGCCGAGTAAACAACATCATCCGTCCAACCTCGACTCCCCGCGACGTATCTCATCCATCCCCCTTGATCCTCCACCCGCGTCATCCTCCCCTTACCGCCTGCATTGCATACCCAGTTACAGCTCTTCACGCTTCAATAAATACAATCGCATACTCTACGCGACTCACATTCTACCCTTATATTGTCCCTTCCCCACCCAGCCATGTCGCCTGCTTTACCCTACCTGCGCGGTCTGCGCAAGAGTGACCTCGTCGTTCTCGCTGAAGTCTCGAATCTCCAGGAGTATGTCCCGTTTCTTTTGTTCGATATATGCTTTTTGAAAACAATGGTATACCGTGTCGCGCACATTTTCTAATCAGACAATCTAGTTTTGAGGACTACAAGAAGACCGAGCTCGAGGCTGCGCTCGACGAACATCTCGCCGCGAATCGTGCCTTGCTTTCCGGCGAACAGAGGCTGGCAGACTACTACAAGCGTCTGTCGCACACATCGCGCTCATCTCCCGTCAAGAGGGAACCCAAGCCTGAGCCTGCAATGTCTAGTGATGATACCAGGAGACCTATCCGGTCGAGGCGACAAGTAAAACCAAAGCAGGAAGTCGAAGCCACGTTCGTTCCCTCTTATTCTCCCTCCTCTCTCTCTTTTTTCCTCACTTGCCATCACGCGTTTTCTCTTATTCCCTCTTGCGCAAAACGCACGACGATAAAAAAGAAGTATTAACAACAAAATCTAGAGATGAATCCGACAGCAGCGCTAGCAAAGAGTCCACCCCCGCGTCTCGCACCCCCGCGCGTCGCTCACTGCCCTTCTCTTCCCTCCCCCCATCCCCCGCTGTCATCACAGACGCGATCGATCGCCAAACCACCAAAGCCCGCCAGTCCATGTCTGAAGCCTGGGACGCGTCCGGCATAACCGAGCGCTCCGACGCGCTACGCTCTTGCCTCAGCAGCGTCCGCGCCATCGAGACCATCACCCTTGCGATCGAGCTGTACGGTCTTCTCGCCGACATCGTTCCTATGCGCTACCTAGCCACGTTCCCTGCCGTACCCTCTGTCGGGACCCCGAACTACGCCATCAAGGTCCCCGACCTCTTCATCCTGCTCGACGCGTCCTTCTGGGGCCCTTTCTCCCTCTGGCTTACCACGAGTATATTCCTACCGTCCCTACTCGCGTACTTCTTCAACCTGAGCTTGAAGATTTCTCAGCAAGGCGGCGGCAGCAGCATCCATGCTTATGGCACGCGTCGTACCACCACCTCGGTTGCTGCAAGGGTTGCTGAAACCGCTAACCTGGACCCACTGGTTTATAACGTCTCCAAGGCGTTGGTTTCGTACCTGGTGTACACGAACATCTTCACCTTTTGGAACGTGTACCGTCGGACGACGGTGATGGCTGTTCCCGGTGCGGTTCCTGGTGGACTACCTGGTTTGTTGACTGGGTCCGCCATTGGGATGTTGGGGAGTTTGTATGAGGCGATTCTGAGGAGGTGAAATTCTTAACTTTGTGTGTTTTTTTATTTCATTTTATTCCATTTTCTTTTACTACTAACTGATCTGGATATTGTTTGGACGTTGGACGGGGGATGATACGTGATCGGGGTTGTTGGCTGGATTAAGTTTCCTGTCAGGGACAGCTCGGAGGAAAAGGAGGTTTTGTTGGAGTGTTTAAACGAAGGGGTAAAATTAGGGAGAAGAATAACGTCCTTCGGAGAAGTAGAGGGGAGAACTTCTGAGCTTTCTTTGGAAGCATGGATTTTTTGAACCTGTGATTCAGGAGTTGGGATGGGCTGGTTTCTTCCATTCTTGTTTTTCTTGTTCCTCCGGTATCTATTTTTTTCTTTTTTTTGCTTCTATATGTTTCATGAAACCCCTCATTCGTTGGGTATGTTACGATTTTGATATTTTTGTAGCTGGGTTTCTTTTTCTTTTCCTTTCCCTTCTTGTCTTTCTTTTGCCCTTCCTCCCCCCGGTTTTCTAGCCATGCGGTAGTTCTGGTTTTCTCCTCTTCGTTCCCTCTTATACATATATCCGCGCGCTGTGCTTTTCTTTCTTTTTTAGCTGGGGAGTGAATTGGGCTTGGTTTGGCTTTGGCTTTGGCTTTTTGCTTTGGATTCGATTGTTCTAGTTTGGATACTTGTTCCTTAGGTTTTGCTGTTGTGCTCTTATTTTTTGTTTTCTATTTTAATTATGATGAGGGGTTTTTTGGTTCCCTTGATGTTGGTTTATATCTTATCTAGTACTTATTGGCTTCCCCCTTCTTAACGGTTTATTTTCCTGCCCTCTTCTTATTTTTGCTATTCTCAAGTTTAGGTTTGTTGGGCCCTCGTTTTATTTTCATATCCCTTGCAACCTTTGGATTTTCGGATACAGGATGAAGTAATTGGAAAAGTTTCGGGAGGTGTGGGTGGGTGTATCTTTCATACTCTCAGAATTGAAGGTCTTTGCATGAGTAGAGAGGAGACGGAAGGAGTAATGGGATTGGATAAGCGAAGGGAGGGAGGAATGTAAAGAACGGAGGAAAAGCTAAGTATTGGTTATTATTATCTCCTCTAGTCAAGCAAGCAACCACCTTTTTTCCAAGTGCCTTGTAGGCTCTATTTCACTTGCTCTGCCGGGCTGCTGAGGATTTCCATGAACGAACCATTTTAAAAATGCATAATATCCTTCGATTATGAATTTAGTTGTTGGGTGGTTGAGGTATGGAAGAGCGGATAGGTGGATGATGGTAGCAAGTATAAATACGCACAAGTTCAAGTACAAGTACAGTTGTAGACAGACATACATCAATTGGAGTGTTCCAAGAAGGTAAAGTAAGTGGGAGAAAATGAGATAGAAAATGGAAAGGAAACGAGGAGGAATCTAGTGTATAGGAAAAAGGAAATACGGGAGCGTAACATCGGCTGGCCGTGCTTAGTTGTATATATATTATGGCATAAATTTTTTAAATGAAACACAGCAAACACCCCTTGCTTGAATGCTGAGTGCCGAGGAAGATAAGACGAGTACACTCTCGGGTAATTTGGCTCATGCCTCCCTAGTTTTTTTCTATGTGTTCTTTTCTTCATCCCTCAGCCAACCGGTTTTATCGTGTCATCCGCCGAAAAGAAATTAACTATGAGCTTGTTGACGGCTTCGATTCTGCCTTGGGCTTCTCCTCTTTTGAAGATGCTGCGGCCGCAGGGCTTTCTGCGGGGCTTTCTGACGGTTTGGAGGGGTTTTCTCGCTCTTGTGTCGTGTCGGGGCGGGGGGATTCTGCTGTTATTTCAGCTAATTGGGCGTCGACTTCTTCCTCTTCTGTTTCGGTGGGGTAGATCTCGGGATGCTGGCGGAAGCAGTTTTGCATGCCCCTGTAAAGTGAAAGTGAAAGATTTTAAGATCAGCCATTTTGCACAATTGAAATGACAGCATAGGGGAGTGGGGATGAAGCTGCATAACGGATAATCGAGGCCCAACAGCAACCATGAGGGAAACAAGACCAGGAGCGTGAACGCGGCGAAACATACTCGAATTTTTCAATGCAATCCATCCCCTTGGGCTCTTCCGTTGAATACACGAAGCAACTGAACGCAGCTCTAAATTCCTCTCCGCACGGACCGTGCGCCATGCCACCTAGACAGGGGCAATCCCAATTGATCTCTCCGGTCTCGGGGTTGAAGGCGCCTTCGTTACTGGCTTCCTCTTCAAGCTCCCCTGGCGTTAAGAGCCTGGGCTCCGGTTCTGACGACGGAATCTCTATATCTGCAGTAGCGGCAAGGTCGGATGTTACTGTGGAAGAGGAAGAGGGGGACCAGGTATCTGCCGTCGAGGGCGCCGGGGAGGGTTTCGGTGTGACCTTCGCTCTCTTCGCCGATGTTATGGAGTCGAGGGTTGGTAGGGAGGCGTCATCTTCATTTTCTTTAAAGGCAGAAGAAGGCGGTTGGAATGAAACTATGCGGCGATTACATATACGTTAACTAAGGGGGTAAAATGGGAAGGACAAGTCAAATTCGCCCTTTTTCTTTTAATCTTTGTTGGTAGGGCCTTACAGCCAGGTTCCTCCGCAAATACAGTGCTCGTATTATAATAATAAACCACGCCAGCGGCAAGGGCCCATCTCAGCGTTGTGCCCTTCCAGCTTGACGGCTTGCGCGACGAGGATGTGGACTCGGTGCTTATGAATCGTCTTGCTTGGGGGAGTCGGATATGTTTTGGGACGGAGGGCGCTATTCGAAGAAAAGATCGCGAAGCCGGGCTAAACATTGTGAAATACAGAAACAGAAGGAAATAATTCTAGAGGAAAGAAAAAAAGATGACAGCTATTCGACGTCAGGAAGAATCATAAGTGAACGACCGCAGCCCAGAGGAATCGAGCAAGCAAGATCCGGCGCTGGCATCAAAAAATCGGAGGTCGGAGTTTTTCGCGCGGCTATGGATGGATTAGTCAGCGGAAGGTAAGCGCGGTAACCACTTTTGATGTCTATCCCTGAATGAGGAATGCAAGAGAAAAGCTTCAATTAAGCAAATAGAATGCCAGCCAACGCGGCTCTAGTAAAACATTCATCCACTTGCCACCCCAGTGTCGCTTGAATCCGGTCTCAATAACCCCCCGATTTCTATATCTGAATTTCTTTTCACTGCACTGTTACCATTGCTACAAATTGCAATGATGAGCTGAACCACGATTTCCTTTTCCAAATGTATACTCTAATCACCTTGTAGCCAGGAGCGACGTACAACTTGGTTCACCAGCCATATCTGATTTTTGAGGCCAGCGCGTAATCTCCTATTTCTTGCATGCAAAAATGAGTCTTCGGATAATGCCGGATTTTCGTCATTTCTATGCCACTTGTGGCAACGGGTTCGAAAAACAGGTGTTCAAAACCCATAGTGTTTCTTTTAATGACACATTTATCTCCTCCAGCCCTCGCTGCATTCTTGTACCGGATCAGAAGGAAGTACCACGGGGACAGTCTTGGTAAAATCTGCCTACGGTAAGGGCATACGGAATATAAAGACGTTTCAAGAGATATATTGCTATCCTGTCTCTCAACTGAGAGAAGGGTTCAGAAGCCACTACATCAAGTACTCCGTAGTAAATGAGTAAATCTCCATTGCGATGCGGAATTTCACCCTGTAATCATATGCAAAATCGCAATGATGTTATCGACTTTCCAGCAGCAAAAATGGCCAGATGCGGCTCAAGCACTCTGTGCAACTTCCCAAACAACTTTATTTCCACCTCAATAAATCCATCGACTATCCGTCACCACTCGAAAAGCTATCTCCTCCTGTGTACGCAGGAGTATTCTTTCTGGAACGATGCGAAAGAGGAAGATGTTTGACATACATACATATTCTTCTGCCTAGCCTGCTTCGTATCAGAGCCATGATCGGTGGCGCAGATCGTAACTTATACATGGATAGCTCAACCTTCTCTACTCCGTACAGTACAACCGTCAACTCCTGTCCAACTGAGAATCCACAATAATATCGCAGAGATAAATGTCAGTTCGTGCAAAGGAGGATCCCCGCAGCTAAAACACAGGAGAATTAGATTTATAAATTATTAATTGCTCCTCCCGCCCTTGAGTGACTGTGGCTGAGTTACTTCGAGAAATGCGGGTGACAAGTGCAAGACGCTTCAAGGAGCAACGTTCCCCGTTCCGAGTGGAAAGGCGCCCATAAAACAAACAACAAGACAGGGGCTGATTGGCCAAAGCAGCCTTTAGCGGTCAGTGTGGCCGAGCCTCCGTACGCACGAAGCATCGGGGTTTCGAGTATTGTGGACGGCACAACTCAGCGCTCCGGGATGGTTGAATTAGCGCCACAGGAAGTGGAGAAGAACAGGAAAATAACCTAAAAATGAATAAAACACTTTGCGTGAAGATGGCCTGTCTCAGGCCACTGTTCGATTGGATTGATTGCGTTTGGAACAAACTCACGGCCGCCTCCGTACTCCTCTCTTTATAATTCTTCTTCATTCATTATTCATTTCTTTGGCCTTTTTGGATACCTCATTGCTTATCATTTTCCACGCCTAGTTAAAAGAAACAAGATTAGTTAGTTATACCTAAAAAGCACTATGAGGAAGCCCAAGGACAACCCCAGAACAACTGTCGCCATTATCGGCTCAGGTATGGCAGGACTTGTGACGGGATATCTACTCAAGCAAGATCGGAATCAACGATTCGATGTCCAGGTCTTTGAAATGGTACGTTTAATGGTTTTTATTCCTGTCTTCGCCACGTGTGATTTTTTTTTTTTTTTTTGCCCTCCAATTCAAGTCTCCCCATCCAGGTATTCTTTTCCCTTTATTTTCCCATCCAAAGTTGGGAGCTTTGTTAACTTATGATATTTTGTGCGCTTATTAAATATATTGGGCAACTTGCCATTCGCCAGTTGTAGTTTGGTCCTATCCAGTTGTTCCACCAGGTTCAAATGGTTCCATCCTTGTCTGGCGGTTTTTGGAGCCTCTTGCCCCAGCCCAAGCTTAAAGAGGGGGTTTTATATAGCCCCTTTTTGGCGTTCGGCGGAATTTAAAACTCAATTGTTTATTCTAAACTTTCTCTACATTTATTTATGTCCTTATAATATATGATATTTTATTTTCATTGGCCAATTCATGCAATGGGATAAACCTCGTTGGAGCAGTACTAACAAAGTTAACAGCAAGATGAACTATCTCTCGATTCAGCATCAATCACAGTCCCTTCAGAAGATGGGGAGGGGATGCGAATCGATCTCCCAATGCGGGCTTTCGCGGGCGGATTCTACAGCAATTTAAGGAGAATGTACAAACACCTAGGGGTGAAATCCATTCCCATGCAGTTCCTGTTTCCACTGTCAAGAGCGCCAATTAGCAGAAAATCGTCATCCCTTTCAAATGAAGGAATAGAAAATGATGACGCCTGCGAATGGGAAGACGACGATACGAAAATCATCCCGCCAAAGCCGTATTTTATCCATTCATCCAACAGCCATCGCATCCCTCCTGTGCGGCCTGAGCACCTGGGGTTATGGGATTGGACAATGGAGTTTGCGTATCTCTTTTTGTGCTTTACGTGGTACACGCTATGTTGCTTTTTTATACCCCCTTACCGATCAAGAAACCAATACCAATCCGTGTCGCCCACTGGTGCAACAAAGCTGGAAGACGCATCCTTATGCGAAACTCTTGGTGAATACCTCCGGCGGATAAGGCTTCCCACGTACTTTACGCAAAACTACATAATCCCCCAATTCTCAGCTGTGACAACTTGCTCTCACGAAGCTCTTCTTAAATTCCCGGCCAAAGACCTGATAGATTATTCGACGCAGACGTTTAACGTGCCCTACTACGTCGTGCACGGGGGTGTGAACGTCGTCCAAAAGAAGCTAGCCGAGGGATTGAGCATCCAGCTAAACTCGCGAGTAATCTCAGTGGAGTCGCTATCTGGCTCTTCTTCAAAAGTGCGCGTTTCCTACCGGATTGGAAGGGAGGGTACTCTCCATCAGCAGGATTTTGACCATGCCATCATGGCCGTCACGCCGGATGTTGTTGGCGCTATATTTCAACCGCTCAGATCGACGATGACACAAGTGCCAACGACCCCCGTCGAGAGTATCGTACACAATGACACCTCCTCGCTCCGCACACTGTCACAGACTTGCCTCTTTGGCAATAAGGAGAGAAACGCCACCGGCCATGTGCCCTCATCACCGGAGACACAAGTCATTCATGTCCGTTCCTCGCCAGCCGGACTCACGGAGGCAGTCCACGAATGCGCTGCGTCCCTCCTCGTCACCACCGCCCCCGTAACGCCCATCAATCCGTCCAAGATTATCCACCGAACGCGCTTCACTAGAGTGCTTCGTACACCGCAGAGCAGGGAGGTTGTAAATCGCATATTTGGGGGCGATTCTGGTGCTTCCCGGGTGTCGGAGAAGGGTCATCAGTGGCGAAATGGAGATGGGAATGTTTGGTTGGTGGGGGGTTGGTGTTGGGATGGGATGGTTTTGTTGGAAGGTTGTGTGGTATCCGCGACGCGGGTTGCTGATGCGTTGGGTGTGCATGTTCCATGGAAGGCGGTGTCATAAGATTCATCGACAGATAGGCAGACGGATTGGAGCGGATCTAGCTATTTTTTACGTTTTTGACATGATGGGTGGCGCACGATTTTATGTTTGGGGTTCTCTATGTCTATTTTGTTTGATACCTTTATATTCACCATACTTTTGGTACGTAGATATGACTAAACTGTTGGCTTATTTTCGTTGTTTGGGTTATTTAACTATCCGTATTATCTCACTAAAGATAGGAGTTTGATACTCGAATATAGGCATTCAAATCCTATATGGAGCCTGTATTTTAGTTTTTATATCCTTGTTTCAGCAGTAATAATACATGGTTCGGAAAGGAGGTTTTGAAGTTTCAATTGATCAATAGACGCTGATTGAAATATCTTCTCCCCTGTATCTATCTGAATCCGTAGCGATTACTAAGTCCAGAAGACTAATATAACAGAATGACGCATGGACACAGACACATAAGGTATCCTCAGTCGAAAATACTTGCAAAATAGTGTGCGGATGACTTTATAATTATCAAAACTCAACTAATGTAAGCGAACCATACAAAAGGGTTTACCCAGACCCCTGTACGTTTTGCACCAAAAAAGAGAAGCGTCAGTCTAGCCCATGACCTACGCTTTCCCTCTGGGCTTTCGAGCTTTCCGTGCGCCCTTCTTCGGCTTAACATCCTCTTCGTCATCCTCATCATCGTCGTCAACAACGTTCTTCTTGGTCTTCTTCGCCTGTGGCTTTGTAGCAGCCTTTCCTTTCCTCGCTGGGGTTTTCTTCGGCAGTTTCACATATTTATCCTTTTTCAGGTCGAGGTCGCTCTCATCGCCTTTAGTTTCTTCTTCGCCCAAAATCTCCTCGCCTTCGTCCGACTCATCAATGGCATCTTCAAGGTCAGGCTTCACCTTGGCAAGGTGCTTCGGCGCGACAACGCTTGTGGCTTTCATAAATGGGAGAGGATGCGATTGTTGATTATATAGGCGTGTGAAAGTGGCTTTCGTTTGTGAGTCGATGTTTAATTTCTTTTCATCCATTGAGGCGAGGCCAAGTTCGACGATGGAATCCCAGTCCTCGCGTGTGAGGAAGTAACTGTCCATCAAATCTATGACTTCTTCAACCGCGTCTTTGCCATGGACTTGTAACGGTCGTACCAATTTGTTCCACAGAGCAGGAAGGTATTGCTGGCGGATTTCATGCCGATCCCCAGAAGATCGTAGTCGCATGTGTCCCTGTATTTCTTTGATCTGACGTGCCATCTTGCCTAGAGAGAAAAAAATAAAAATTCAGCTTTTGAAGGAATAATATACGAATGCAGCGGTCGGGTCTAGATAGTTACCTTGCTTGCTATTGTTACCGAGCCAGCTTGTGAATGCCGGCTGCCGTGTCATGTTTCCAGCAACGAAGCTAGCAGGTCGGACAAAGCTGAATACGGCATGGGTGGGCATCAAACTCCATTGCTGCTGAGTTCCATGAATCATTCGATCCACTAGGTCACCATCACTTATACTCTGAGCAGCATTGTCGGCCAACTCCAACAACTTGAACTTCTGCTCTCTGCCTTGGTATGAGTTCGCTGCTGATGGCTTCGTATTGAGATAATTCTCCTGCAACATTAGGTAACTGAATTCGTGATCGTTAAAGTAAAGTTCGACCTTTTCATTCAGAGACGTTTGTGAACTTTGAGAGAACATTTGAGCACTCAGGATCTTGCTAACAATGTCCCATGGTTTTAGGATAACGTGTTTTTCCCAGGCCTTAGACATTTGCTTGCCTTGGTCGTAATCAAGGGCTTGTTGGTCAAGCTTCGCAGTAGACAACATATTTATTACTTGTCTGATATCGGCGTGGGTGCCCTGGATTAGATTGTCGAGGACCTGCGGTGTTATTTTTAATCCCTCGCGATAACAGATAGTAGATAGCCGCGCACGGATCTGTTCCACAGTAGGGCGCCTGAATTGTAGGTCGAATGTGACGGAGTCGAAAGGTCTCATTTTGGGAAGTCTTCGTTCGTTGCAAATTAGTATCATCGGGATTCGAGTCTTCTTGGCCACTGCAGCGAGGGCTCCAACACCACCACGGTCTCCAGCCGACATCCCATCTACTTCATCCATGATAAGAACCAAATTCTTTTTGCCGCTCTCCACCCTCTTCCCTTCCCCAGAGAAGTAACCTTGGAGAGAAGTAGTATCCAGCACCCCCTGAAGGCCTGTTTCAACAAGGCTTTTGCTTCTAGTATCACTTGCATTGCTTTCAACAACATCATAGTTCTCAAGCTTTGCTACAAGATGTGCAGCTGTTGTTTTCCCGATACCGGGTGGGCCGTGTATCATGACGGCACGATACAAACCTGTGCCATCTTTCCCTCCCTTTTTAAAATCCGCCATTGCACTGTTTCTCCAGTTCCGAAGCCAAGATTGAAGTTTTTCCACGGCACCTTTATTACCGCATATCATGCTAAGTGATGTAGGTGCGTACCTCGAGGTCCAAAGTCGACTGTCAACTGCGGCAGGCGCTGGCTTACTTGCCCCGTTCGTGGTCTTGCTTGTGGATGCCATAGAAGCCGCAGCCCTCTTCTTTTCTTCACGGTCTATCTCTGCCGCCATGTCCTTGATTCTTTGCTCTTCCAGCTTCTTCTTCGCTGCGTGTTGTTCAGCAGCCTTGCCATCTCCTCCATTTGCGGGAAGCCTTCTGATCAATTCGAATAGCCCATCTTCATTTATGGTTTTGAGCCCGAACTTCCGGATAGTTTCTAGCTTTTTAGGCCCTGCATCATTGCCCAGTACGACATAGCTGGTTTTAGAGCTTGGTCCTGAAGTAACTTTTCCACCATATCGTTTCACTAACGATTGGCCTTCTTCTCGGCCTAACGTATCAAGTACACCGGTGAAGACAAACGACAGGCCTGCCAGACAATTTTCTGCGCCAACGGGCAATTCTTTTGTGTCAGATGTAACAGGGTCTCTAGAACGTTGGGCGAAATTGAATTTCTTAGTGCCATCTGCGGCCGGAGGAGATGGCGGGCGCACCATCGGAATGCTGTCAAAGATATCCTGGATGCCCTTGTTTTCTGGCCGGTCCGTTTTCGTTGCTTTTGTTTTCTTCACTGCAGATTTGGAAAGGCTTTTTTGGGCCTGGGCACGGGATGGTTTTCTTTTCGTATCGATGTAGTCATCGCTCTCTTCATCCACACCTAATGCCTCCGACTTACGTTTTCGTACATTTCGAGACGGTGATTCCGTAGCCTTTATTCTATCCTCACGTCTGGTACGTGGGGTAGTTCTGGCTGGCTTTGACTTGGACGATGCAGCCTTTGGTGGTTCCACTTCTATGTCCTCAAAATCGCTGTCGTCCCCCTCCACATAGTCGTCGTCTCCACCCCTCCTTGGGTTTCGATAACCGGTTGCGAAAATATCATCTGCACCAAGGTCGTCTTCATCGTCGATGATTTGAGCAGTTTTAGCGGATTTATGCTTTGGTTGCGTCTTCCGCGTTGAGGGTGAGCTGCGAACGGGAATATCTATATGTTCATTCCTTTCCGATTTGGGTTTAGAATTTGTCTTGACTTCCGGAGTAGCATCTGCCCAGGCCTGTTTTGTTTCACCAGATTCATTCTCTTTATGTTGGGTTTTGTTCTTTTTGGACGATGCGAAATAAGCAGATGTCGTCGTGGGTTCACCTTTGGGTTCTTCGGGCTTGCTAATTAAGGATATTTCAGTATTAGGGGAAGCATGGCGTAGAATCTAGGCAGCGTACTGTTTTTTCTTTGGCTGGGGTTTTGGTGGAGGAGCCTGTTCAAGATCTTCATCCTCATCACTATCTTCTACTACCTTTCTACTACCTATAGGTCGTCAAAAAGGTTAGCAAGATATCGACATTTTGATCCATCGAAAGGACCTTTCTCACGTCGTTTTCTAGAGGATGATGCATCCTGAAGGATGAGCATTACGGTTAGCACGAAAGCAGGACTCGGAAACACCAATTTAGGCGGAATATATTTCCCTATACAATTCACAGCCAACCAACCATCAAAGAAACCCACATACCTCTGGCTTTTTGGCAGGTGTTTTTGTTTTGCTAGAACTGGTCGGCTGCCTCCCGCTGCCGCCAAAAAAGCTCCTTATGTCCGCAGGCATTGTCATTCAATGTATATCAAAAAAAATCCAATTATATCCACCAGACTAGAAAAGGTCCAAATGGCCCTAAGGAAGGAGGGCAGGCTCAGTATGCCACAAAACACAGACGATGAAGATTGTTGAAATAATTTCCTTGACCTTACGACACGTCGTTGCCGCATGAGTGACGCGCCAAAACACGTGAAGCGGCTACCTTGATGGGAAGTTGCTTATGTAAGTTAATGCGGCTCTCGTCGCTGGTCCGTGCACACCTGAGGAGAATTATTTCGCAGGTCGGAGCGAGAAATGATGCTTCCGCGCCATTGGGAGGGATAACGATTCGATTCCACGCCGGAAACATGGCTCCCCGATTAAATATCTTCCAGGGGCTTCAGTTAATCTCTCTACGCCCGTCCCGTGAGTATCCCTTCCAAATTTCCCGTTCTAAGGAATATGAAACTCATGCATTTTGATAACAGCCACCTCCTCCACATTATTGCCCAACTCTATACGATGTTTCTCTACGACCTCCCCCTCCTTCAACTGGCTGATCCCAAAGCACCGCGAGAAAAGGAAATCGCAAAAAGGCCGGCCTCGGATGCCAACTGGTGGTTCCTCCCGTGGAACAACAGTCATCTGGGGCGACTATGGCCTTCGTATGAAAGACCATGACCGTCGAGTGTCGGCAGATCAACTGAAGACCGGCTATGAAACGATCCAGAAACGGCTCAGAGGCATGAAATACAAGTTCTACCCGCGAGTAGCTGCCAACATCGGTGTATATACGAAAGGTAACGAGCAGCGTATGGGGAAGGGAAAGGGTAAATTCGATTACTGGGCTGCAAGAGTCGCGGTTAATCGAATCATTTTCGAATTGAAGGGGGATATCCACGAGAAAGTAGCGAGAGAGGCGTTTAGATTGGCAGCCGCCAAGATGCCTGGTATGTTTCTTAGGCTGCGTTTTGTTTTCCGGCTGGAAGTTTGAGTAGAGACAGAGACGCATGGCGGATAGCTAACACAGACTTTCCTCATAGGGCTTTATGAATTCGTGAAGAAGGGCGATCCTCCTATGGTGGGCCTTACAAAACTGCAGAATGGCGTTACGCTGGAATCATTGAAGAGGGCGCGGAGAGAAGTTCCGTTGAATTCGAAGGCAGCACAACCACCACCGCCGGAGGTTTCCGCACCTGCGCAATCGCAATAAATTCTTTCCGTTTTTCTCCGTGTACATGTACATTACGGCGTTAAAATATCCATGTGTCGAATAGAAGAGCTTTCCCAATAAAAAAATTGGTGTGCATTCTTACTTGCCGCAAAATAACGTGGCTCATGTCTGGATATTTGAAGGGGGCATCCTGGAATAGACAATGGGCACATTTGGGATTCCCAATAAACAGAGGAATATATAAACAGATTTTGTATAACCGGATTCTAAAGATTGGCAATGGCACATTGCTATCTTTTTGCTTTCGATAGGCGTTGCTCCACCCTGCGCAGCGCACGATCAAACCACAGCGTAAGACTAAAAAATCACAGCAATGACCCTGATCCCAATTGCACGGTTTCTCAGAGCAAACCAAAGCCACAGCCCCAAAACGCCAGATACGCCATGCGTTAACGACATGGAAGAGATACGAGTGCTTAGAATTCGAGGCCCATTAAGTAGCTACCACATTGTTAGTTGGGGAAAATAGCTGTTCTGCAATGAAGCTTACCTCTCGAGTACTCGCATAAATTTAGCAACAAACGCTTCCAGATGAAATATAACCTTCTGTGAAGTAATATCTATTAGCATGTTATCCTGTAGTGGTGATCTCATTTCTTCATGAACGTACGCTTCCAAGCTTTATCCTATGTTCGTAGAAAGCTGCCCATTTGATAACTTCGGGTTTCAATGCGTCGTCGATTTTAGGTATTAATTTGAAAGTCAACGTCTGGGGGAAACAACGTAAAAAGAAAATGTTAGAATAGTAAATTCCAAACTTGATAGATAGATTGGGTCGAGGAAGCTTATTCACCCTGAGGATAGTTGTTGGAGGGATACAATGCGTTAAAAGGTCGTATAATTTCGCTCGAACCTGAAGAATTCTGGCGGGTGAGCGCTCTGCCATGATTTCATCTGCTATCAAAGAAATCAATGCCTCCCAGTCTGGTGGCGGGATAGGAGTGTCATCCGTCACTTTCTCGCTATTGATAATGGGCTTTTGTCAGTTGGACGTTTCTGGTGGAAAGTCTCAGTTAATTGAAGCTTACTTCTGTGCATATATAGCTTCTAACATGAGAAGAGCACGTCTTAGATTCCGCCCACTCTCTTTGGCTATTCGTTTGTTAAGGCCTGGTGCCTCTGCCCAGCCTTCTTTTTTCTCTGCAACTTGCAGCGCTTGGCATATCTCAGCCTCAGTGGGCGCGGCGACCCTAACAAGGAGAGTTCTGGACCGAATGGGCGCGATAATATTCGCTGTGCTATTGGCAAGTAGAATAAGTCTCAGATTAGGACTGTATTTTTCCATCGTTCTTCGTAGGGCCGCCTGCGCATCTCTCGTGAGATGATCTGCCTCGTTAATCACAACGACCTTAAATCGCTGCCTCGCGGACAAGTCGACCTGTTGTGTCTGCGCAACTTCCTTTAGAAGCTCCTGGACCACAACCCGGTCGTAGTTCCCGACATCGGATGGGGTAATTTCAAGGTGGTAGATGGAGGAGACAATGTTGAATTCCAGCTTGCGATTGCTGCTCGTTTGAAAGACTCGCGCGTCGATCTTAATCTTTTCGACGCCAGGACCGAAAAGTTCTCTGAGCGTAGCAATTATTCTTGTCTTTTTACCAGCTCCCGACGGCCCATAAACTAAAAGATGGGGGAAATCACCGCTTTGCGCCTGCCAACGAGCTCTGTCGTTAGTAGGGATCGACTGGGGTATGTACGACTTGTTTTGGATGCTTACGAGTGATTTTAATCGGGCAGAAAGATCATGATGGTAGGTGAGGGCATCAAGGTTTCTAGGCCTGAGTCTATCGACGAGAAGTGCCATTGTCAGCGGTAAATCAAGTACTGGGAATCGAAATGCAGTTGTTGAATTGTGGATGCTTGATATAAGAGAACTTTCTCATCATCGGACGCGTGCTGCACGCGACCCTTAATTAGTGGTCTGTGCTTTTGCTGACTACCGAGGGTTGGTGGGGGAGAGAAACGCGAGCGGGACAACAGAGCTATGGGATAAGAGAACCTCGCAATTTGTATATCGGGTTTAAATATTATAAATATAATTCTATACAGTGATAAAGAGTGATGCTATTTATTTTAGTCATAAATATCTAATTCCCCCAAAAGAACGCCGTTTATCGTTGAAGTAATCCTTGCCCAAAATATACATAGCGGTATAGGGGAGATTATAGATACAGATATTCCGCCAATATCCCAAATGATTTCTTCGTGAAATTATCCGAGTTGCCCAGGTATATATAGGAGTTTTAGACCTAGGATGGACCTTGAATGGTCCACTGGCGATGCGAATGGGTGGACGGTGGAGGATGGGCGGGGGGGGGGGGGGTCTGCGGAGTCATCTGGTCTACGACTCCCCAACCGGAAGAGCATTGAGATGCAATTTCCAAAAAAAAAAAAAAAAAAAAAAAAAAAAAAAAAAAAAATCCCATGCTCCATAGAAATCCTATAAGAGTGGACCGTTCGCTTGCATAATTAGAGTGCGAAGACTAGGCGGGAATAGCCATTCCTGGGATCGGCTTCAGAACCCCATCAGAATCATATCGAGCCTCTGTAGTAAAAACGTCATATCAGCAACTGATTCTGAAACCCATCCGGGACATCCAACTCCAAAAACTGCCAACTTACTGAAAAACGTATATGACAGCGTAATAGTATCAATATTCCTCATAGCCGGATCCGTGTGAAAATCAGGATCGATGAAGAAAAACACGGGCATATCCACCGATTCACCCGCACTCAATCTCTGTTCCTCGAAGCAGAAGCACTGGATCTTGCTGAAGTACGGTGACACCTTCGCCGGAGTAACGCTGTAAGTAGCAACGCCAATGATATCGTCAGGTCCCTCGTTTGTTGCCGTGTAAAACGCCAGTGCCGTTTCGCCGGGGAGGACTCTAACTTCCCGCTGCTGGGGTGTGAATTTCCAAGGCAAAACGTCGGATACGGATCCGTTGAAGGTAATTCGTAATCTGCGGGATGAGGTTACGGGTTTGAGGCGGGAGGCGGGGTTTTCTTCGGTGCGGTGGGTTTGGACGGGTTGGCCGTTCCAGCCGGTCTGTTGGCATATCTATTTTATCGTTCGACTCCCCGTTAGCCACGTTTTGTACACGTCGTACGGAAGATTTCAAAAACAATAAAAGCTAAGTACCATTTTGTACATGGGAACCGATCCATATGAAAGAGCAACAGTTCCAATAATTAAGCTGATAGCATAGTACCTAGAATAAAAAATCAGCATTGGCATATGATATAAATCAAACTGTGACAAAGAAGCCGGCGGGGAAAAGAACTATCACTCACAGGGCAGATTGATTACTTCCATAAGACAGCTTATTCTGTATTGTGGGTGTGCGTACTTGCTGCTGTCGTGCAGCGGGCGTGGAAAATGCATGACGCTGTTGTCTACCGATAAAAGACGAAATCGAGAATGGCTGCGGCCCTAGAAGTCTTCGACTCCATAATGGAACTATCCGCGGCACCATAGTAACAACTCAATCTCTCGACAATTTGTAAGAATTGGTTTGTTTTATTTAATCCATGAGAGTGGTTTTCAAAGTTGCGGTAGAATCGCCGAGAGATGAACTTCCAAGGTATCTTGCTCATCACGTGATGGGTCGGTTAGCGGAGCTAGCGGAGCGGAGCGGACTGGCGGTACCTGCAGCTTGAGCTTCTAACGCGGAAATGGCTTTCGAATTCTTACATATATTTTCCCGGTTTAGAATTAATTGAAGATACACCAGATGGATTTTCTCTTCGAAAGGCGATTCCAAAGAGAAAACCAAGTGCGCACCATTACAAAGTATAGGCAAAATCACCATACATAGTGGAGTAGCACTTTTCGATCATTAAAAGCCAAAGACAATTTCAAAAAACAGTGTCACTTGTCATTTCTTCTCTCTTCAGGTCAATTCATGAATTACGACTATGCTTTAGGGTAAAATAGCACATTCCCACCCACACAAGCAGAAAGACACAGGAGGAGAGCGCATCTTGTTGGGTACAAAAACAAAGGCAACACCCCATTATTCTTGCTGATAGATTATTATATATTATAATAGTGGTGTAAATTATATACATAGAAGAGAGCTCGCGAGTAAACCTCCAGGGCTCTCAGAGAGAGCGCTAATGTTTGAAAACCTGACCCAAAACCCTTCCCAAGACACCTCTGATCATTTCTGGTCGTTCCTGGATGCAAGTTAAGACGATTGCGGTGCTGACGGAGAATGCGGCTTGCTCCCTCCATTGATACTATTTTTTTTAGACGGGGAGAGGAAAGCAATTAGCATAAAAATGCACGTCGAAAGAAGGAGAGTTAATTTAAATCATACCTTCTCATCATATCTTCGCGGCAACAACGTCGCCGCCGCCCTCGGCGCCACGAAAAGGGCAACCTCCAGACGCTTCTTCGCATTCTCAACCAAAATGCTCCAACCACACATCATACATCCAGCAGCAACACAAAGCCCGGAGTCCCACATCATAGGTGTAACGTGTTTGCGGCTAAATAACCGTGGTCCCAATCTCGTTCGCGTCAGGCAAACGGAATAGTAGAAAATACTGATAAAGAAACTTAGGAAAGCAGAGGAGCGAATGCCGTTTTTAACTGCGTTGATGAATACAGTTACGGACCGTGATCGCCAGCGCAGGGCAAGCTGGATGGGTAGGTATGTGGCGCAGGCGAAGCGGAAAGCTTTGGCAAATCTCCATATGGCATGTTTCTCGCAACTGGGGCCGCAGCCCATGTGGACAAGCTCGCAGGGGAAAGGGATTGTTTTCTCTGGATCTCCCCATTCTCGAGGTAGATTATAGTCAGCGCACATAGATTGTAGTGGTGGTTCATTCTCTGATGGTTTTCCATATTCCCATTCGCCCCTTCTGGCTGAGCGAAGTGCTTCGATCAGACGGTTGTCGACTTGCGCGGCTTCTCCGATCCACCTACGGTAGGAGGCAGGTAATCTCTCTGGTAGATAGAACCACGCCCACATAACTATGGCTGAGCTTATAGCAAAGACACCAGCGTCTGTTAACTGAGGGGTGATGGACTCCGCATATGTCCATTTACTTCGTGCCTCTCGGTGATTTCGCCAACGATCCCATGCCATGCATGCAACAGCGTCTGTTGCTCTGATGAGCGCGAAAAGACTTAAGTCGAGTGTTTTCCCGGCTAGACCAGGAGGGCCTGGGACTTTCTGTCGTTTGCTCCGTTTTGCCTTCGGAGCTATGTCATTAATTGCAGCCTCTTCCTCCGAAGTCGAGGTGGCCTCAGTTCGAGGGGTTTCATTTCTAGAGTTAAGAATGGGGAAGCAAAGCCACGCAGATAAAAGGGCAGCAAGAAAACGAATCGTGCGCAATGAGCTCTGTGCTAAGGCTGGTCGAACTTTGACTTTTCCTTTACCCCAAGCTCCCTTGAAGAGCGGCCCAAGGATGGCTGGAAGTAGAGTTGAGCCTCCGACAAGCAATGCGCAAAACGCAGGGAATCTGTTCCAGTGAAACGATCCACTTAAAACTTTAAAGAGCTGTCCAAGGGTGTCGCCAAACGTCAGTACTTTTATATTTTCTTTTAATTCTTCTTTTCTTTTCTTTTCTTTTCTTTTCATAGGGCCCAATTGTAGCTCGTCTTAGTAGACACGTAGATTCAATAAATCTATGCAAGGGATTTTAAGGAATCTAGACGCACGCGGTTGAATTTATCTTCGCTACTCAAATCTTTTCTGCGAAGTACTTTGAGGAAAGTGATCAGTTTAGGTCCTGTGACCGTAAGATAACCTAGAACGTGCGCGCGAAGTATTCTGTGTTCAAATCCAAATTCAGACTGTCAGTTATCAAGAACGGGCATACCGCATGCGGCGATTCGCGCACAGTAAAATATTCCCCAGCTACGACAAAACCAGGAGTGATCACAGAAGGTGGTGAGAACTCTACATACGGCTTGAGTATCTTCGCATTAAGTTTCAGGGGTTGAACATGGAGAAACTTTGCCTCCATGTTCACCACTGACGCAAGGAAATATATCACCCCTTTTTATAAAGATGCGGGGAAGGATCGGAGATTTTCAGAGAAGAGAAAATGCTAAGGAAACTATGCATGCAAAACGAAGATATTTAGCTCCTGACGATCCCCAACTTCCGTCGGAAAGAGAGGAGGGGAGTCGCGATAGTGATGTGTTTATGGTGAGGGGTCTCGCTGGGTACTAGCCCACGCGGCCACGCCAGTTGATATAAGCGAAGATAGTAGTGTCTCTCCCCCTTCTCCAGCTGCCGGTAGGGTCGGGATCAGCGAGCAGGCGAAACTTTGTTTGCGCGCGAAAACAGGAGAGAGGAATAACAATAGGGATAATAGCGATTACTGGAGCGCGAAAACGTCATTGATAGGGATAGGGTTGTTTGAAGAAATGAGAACTGCGCTAATGTGCGATGGAGAGGCTCTGTTTCAGACAGCCTGCATCGTTTTATTTATTATTAACTCTTCAAGCTGATGCGGTGCGGACAAGGTGCGCGTTTTACCTGGGCCTGAATCCGATTTGCAGAGCACCGTGTGTGAATTCAACCTCGGTCCCTGCAGCGCAGCGAGATCTTAGCGGGTGAAAAGTCCCGGTACGGCAGCCTATAACGATATTTGAGTCAAATGGATTTTTTCCCGGAGTGGTGGACCGTGTGGATGGAGTCAACGGGGCAATTGGGAGCTGTAAAAGAGCACTAAATACGGAGGAATTACGCGAAGTGGATTTAGTCAAATAATAAGGTGTGGATGAAACGGAGCCGTTGACGCCGCAATCTCCCTAATTTTGTGCTGGACAGGTAGCAGCAAACCGGAATTGCTCCTCTCGACAGGTATGGTATCAGATGGCCCGGCGATCGCTTTTATCTGTTTGACGCTGCATCGACCGCGGCGTGTTTCTTCCTGCGGAGAGCTGTCGGGGAATTTATCCAGGATGATGTCGCGGGTGAGAAGCTTGATTTCCCGATCCGGACTAGACGCAGCTGACTAAGGGCACGTATGAACGCCAAGGGACGCTCGGACCCTACCCTGGCAGCTTAGTCTTATTTAGGAATAGCGTGTAATGTACTTCGGACAGCAGTTGCTACTCCGTACAATTGCGGGAATTACTGCCGAAAAGAATTACAGCGATCGTCACGCGAGGGGTTGGCAGGTGTGGCAGCCTTGTAAAAAGCTGTGGGGTTTGGGCGTAATAATGTACTGGGCCCGGTACGGTATTATTCACGGACAAGCTCGGGGGAAGCTTAGTCATCCAAAGTCAGTCGTCGCAGTTCGGAGCATGTGACAGTGTTGTCTGCGCCGAAACCATTTGGGGGCAAAAACAAAAAAATAAAATATATCAATACATAATAATCATAATAGCAAGAATCGCACAATTAACAGGATTAACCGGAACAACAAACCATCTCGACTCCAAGTTTTGATGCTGGTTCACTGGTTGCGGTGGCCCCGCCTAGGCTAAGACATCCTTATCCTACTTCCCGCTTTGCTATCAGACTACTAACAGACAAACAATCCTGCTGGCCTTTTTCTTTCCCCAGACTTGCGCCACTTCTCCCTCCGTTTATAAATCCCGACCTTCTCCAGGTTTTCCAGAATTTCCACCGCAAAAGTAACTCCATCATCTCACTTCTTGCTCCTCCTCATTCTATCTAAGCTTCGGGACTCTCCGACGGAACTTGTCTATCTCTCTATCTGTCTGTCTGTCTGTCTGTCTGTCTCTCGCGTTATATCTCTCTATATCTCCCCCCTCTCTCCCTCTCCCTTTAGAACAGCGCCGTTTCCCTTCCTATAAAACTCCCCCCTCCCCGCCAAATCCCCGGATCCTATACCACACCCATATTTTCACGGCCCGGCCAACAACGCATGTTACACCCGTTCCGTTAATGAGTTTGACGCGCGCTTCACACATATAAATCAACTTTGCTTTTTCGATTGCCCAGGTTCGAGAGGAGCGTTTTTATATACAAATCGCTGGCTCGATCCGTTGTCCAAGATGGAAACGAGTGCGCCAGAACCTATCCACCATCAACATGATCACCACCTGAGGCGAGCTTCCCCGCCTCCAGGCCCTTTTGGATGTACGTGCAAATATAAAATATAAAATATGTCCTTTTATCCTTGTCCATTTCCTCCAATCCAATATAAGTAAAAAAGGAAAAGAAAAGAACAATCATAATAACATCAACAGATCCTGCATTCAATGTCGATTCGCCGTATGACGGGCCACCCGCGCCGCCACCTGGACCCTCTCTCCTAGATGATACGGAATCTAGTATGCTTAACAATTTCTTCATGTCAATGGATCATTTGGACAATAACGATTTCTGGTTCTCCTTCGGTCAAGATAAGCCGGGCGGAAACTTTGGGTTTGAATGGCCCGATGAGCTCCCTCCTACCTTTGAAGGTTCAACAACGTCTCTGGGACCAGTTCCATCCTTCGCGAACGGCATACATCAAGAGGGAATTACTGTGGGAAAGACACCATCGTCGCATAGTTCGGACGTCTTAGCTGCCGCTTCCATGCTTTATCATAAAAACAACCTTATTTCGCATGATTACGCCCCTGACCACATGTTCACTACGGAAAACAACAATTATCTTAATGGCGTTCACGGCTATAACAATTCTCATAGTAACAATAGCTCGAGGACAAAATCCTCCTTCCTACCTCCACGTTTCGTTGAAGCACTGCCACCTGGGTCTTTACCTAAGGACATTGCTGTGCTTGGTAAAGGATTCCATACCACCAAAATGTATTTCGACGTCGAGCACCATCTCGGGCCTGAACAACAACAGCGAATCAGCACGCTCCGATGGGGCTCAGATTCCAGATTTTCAGATCGACGTTACCGTGCTCCCGTAGACGAACCTAACGAAGAAGATCGTACCAAAGATCTACTACAAAACCTGGATTGCCTGGAGTCTCAAAGTAGCGCAACCAACACACGCGCTTCAAGTCCTGTTCGAAGATCATTTGATCCTGCGATGCCAGAATGGGCTTCCCTAGGCACATCCGCACCAAGCCCAAGCACAAATAACGGCGTTAAATCATCGTCAGCGTCGATACCCACGCAAAACGATCCAACGCAAGCTGAAGACGGCTCAAGACCCAAGAAGCGCCGAAAGAGCAGGAACAGAATGAAGGACGATGACATGGATATCGACCCACCAAATAATAACAATAAAATCAACAGCACGAATAACAGCACAAACAACAAAGAGCCAAACGGCCGCCAATCCTCATCAAGATCCAGACGCTTCTCTTCCACCGGCACAGATTCAACAACGACAACAACAACTCGAAAACCCAAGACAGGACAAGGCGGCAAACCACGCGAAAACCTCACGGAAGAGCAGAAACGAACCAACCACATCCTTTCCGAGCAGAAGCGGCGAAACCTCATCAAGCAAGGCTTCGATGACCTATGCGCTCTCGTACCGGAACTACACGGTGGCGGCTTCAGCAAGAGCACCATGCTCGTGCAGGCTGCGGAGTGGTTAGAGGATCTATTGCGTGGTAATGAGAGGTTGCAGAATCAGCTGGATGAGTTGAAGAAGAAGCATGTGACTGGTACGAATACAAGTACTACTACTATGGCGACGGATATGACCACGGGGTAAAAATCTACGTTTTTCTTTTTCATTTATTTTTTATTCCCCCTGGTTTTCCTTTTTTGTCATTCCTCCCCGAACATTTTTATAATTCTCATATATATAAATTTTCACTCTGTCTTTATTTTCTATATATATATGCATATATATATCCTGATCATACCATACCACGCCATACCTCTGTTTTTTGATATTTTGCTTTTTCAAAGCTATCATGCTTTCTTTTCTGCATCTAATTTATATACCACATTTCGCGCCTATTACGCTACTGCAATTATTGAATGAAGAGATGGGAGGGAGGAATGAATCATCACAACCACCACAAACAAACACAGTTGGTTCTATCCCAAATGAAGGGGGAAGAAAAAGAGAAAAAGAAATAAAGAGAGAAAGCCCACGGACGAAGCCTCGCGCATCTTTCGTTTTCATGTATATAATTAATAAAAACATAAAAACATAAAACAACGATTCATAAAACAGTGTCAAACAACTCTCTTCTCTAGCTCTATCTCTATCTCTTTCCTTTGCGAAGCTACAACAACAATAACAAGGATAAATAAAAGCGTTACCTACCAGCCCGTTCCAGTCTGCTTCGTTCCGATTTACTCCTTTCTTTTTCTTTTGGTAACTACATACAGCTCAATTACACTTATATCTTGATTTTCGCTTTTTTTGTCTCATGCATTCCTCATTCCTCATTTTCTAACTCTGGCAGGACGGACGGGGAGTGGTGGTTTCAGGTCCCGAGGGGGGGGGGAGCACAGGCGGGAGGGAGGCAAGGGAAACAAGCGACGATTGATCCGAGAGGGTCTATTTTAACTTCTTGATTTGGTTGCTAGCGCTGCCCTGATCTGTTCCTTTCGTCATGTATACGGACCATTGAATGGTTCATGTACTTTAGATTCCGTCTCAAGGCTTTTTGTTTTGGCCTTGGAGAGTAGATATTTTACTTCATTTCTGGCTTTTCCCTTTCCCTTTTCCGTTTTTTTTACTTTATTTTTGTCCCATGTAACCTGGAGCTCCCGCTTGCTTCCCTAACTCGTTTCTCCACACACCTGGCACTTGTATTTTTTTTTTTTTTTTTTTTAAAAAAAAAGGTTTGATTTAGCTCTGCCAGCCACGTCCTTACACACAGGGTGAGAGGCGCTCTGGCCAACTAGAATCTCACGTCAACACATACACATCAGTGCACTGGAATATAGATTACCTCTGGAGGTGCTCCGTGCGTAGCTACGGGGTATACCTAATAACATGGCTGGCTGGCGTGTTTGGATATACGACGCTGCTGCGTACATGTCACCATTTGGAAGTTGCTTGAATGGCTAGAATAGAGTGAGAATAAGGTCATGAAAAGGTAGAGCCGGCTGGGTGACGCAAGGAGTTGAGTTAGGGTGAGAATATACTCATAGTGAGAATGACAATAATAATGATCATGGTTTTGAGTCTATAAAAACTGACTGGTGACTTTGGACAAGGATCTGCGGATGTGTGGCGAAGCTGTAAGGGGGGCAGGAGTATGGGGTAGCCAGCTAGTTGACTTGCCAGTGGAGATGGTTCGATACCCCTCGTTCTGATTCCGGAGTTGGTTTTTTTTCGGAGAAGGACCCCATCCGGCTTCCTCCACCGCGCTCGCGTCTGAGATGGGAAAGTTGGAGGGAGTTAGCCTATTAGAGTGATTGCATGTAAGCACCGTTATTGTATCTAAGTTATTAGTACCGGGTGAGCATGGGCTGGCCTGTACGTTCTTGTTTCTTTGATACCATCATCAAATTATCTGGCAGGCGCCATCGGATGAGTTTTAGCTCGTATATGCGAGCAATTTGGTAGGGGAGAGAATGATCAGATTGCTGCTCCGAAGCTAAGCAAGAAGAGGCGGGGAAGGGGGAGAGTACGGCTGGGATATGCTCAGCTTCAACCTGCTCTCTGCTACTTGTGAGTCTGGACGTTGACTGGGGTTTTTTTTTTGCCGAATTTATTAGGGTGTGGGCGGGCGGGCTTCCACTATGGTGACGTTCAAAGGCTGGATGAAATATCAAACAACCCTGGCTAGGGCAAGAGATCTGATCATGTCATGATCACGTTCGCCTCGGAGGCATCTTAAAGAAACTGGATGCGAATACCCTGAAGATGGCAAAACCACAAATAAGGGGCAGTCATATCCAAGTTCAAGGAGTAATTGATAAATCATAGTAAGCAAAGACTGGGGAGTTTGCGGGAAAATTATTTGTAGGTTGGATATGCAATATAGCTTGGCAAAACCGGTACGTTGCCGTTGTGATCAGGGGTTTGCGGAGAATTATGTGGAGAGACGGACTGTGATGGGCATCGTAGATTCGTAGCAGGGAGAACCCACACCCGAAATTCTCCTTTCCCAGTCCCGAGTACGGCGACGAATTAAACGAGGGACTTGGTAATGTGCTGGGGAAAGAAATGAAGGGTTATGGTGATCCTTGGAAAAGATCCGCAAACTTTGCTTTGCAAAGCCATTCAAGGGGCGGCCGTAGCACAAAGGGTGATTTTCTTCCAAGTTTTCCTCATTTCCATTCCGCAAAATCCCGCTAGCGAGAGTCTGTTTCAGCAGAAGAGATCCTGAGCCTTTTAGTAAGTGCGGGTGATCCCTCTTCGTTTTCGTATTTGACTCTCTCTCTCTTTTCTCAAAATCAGCCACCAAAAAGTCTGGGGGATCACATGCCAAAGGCAAAGAAGACAGCTTCCCCTTGGACGTTGGGCTAAAATGGCTGGACCTGGTTGCCATCTGCCCGAAGCCAAGCCGGCTTTATTTTTAGGTGGAAATTTAGATTGACTCGTCATTTCAAATGGAGAGCTCTGTTTTATGACCCGTAAACTGCAGGTAGTCTTCAGCTTCGCGGGGCTTAACGTCGAGTGCGCCTGTGAACCCTGCAGCTCCTTCGAGATTGCGTTCCAATAGACACAAACCCTTATGATGAATAAAGGCACAATATGCATCCCTAATTTGAAGGATAAAACCTCAAGAACAAGGCGTGTTGCTGAAGGGTTGCTAGGATTCTAATCATTCACGCATGCAACACGCAGCCGAAAAACCGTGGTTCCTGGCATACGAGAAAGCCACGCTTGTTAGTGAGAAGACCAAAAGAGCTGAACCATGCGGTTCCTCGTACAGATTCACATGGGTCGCGATATTATAAAATATTTGCCATACTAAAAACAAAAATGAGACAGTAGTGGGATGAGTTCATGGTCGTAATGTGCATCCGAATCGACGAGTGAACGGGACATCTAGATCACGGACCCTCCTAAGCTAGGTCCATGTCTGATGCTAAGGCTTTAGGCCCGGCAAATCGTGATAGTCTCGATTTTGTGGATATTCGCTCGTTCTTCCCGCTCTCTCGAAGATGTTCATGTTGGGCAAGGTGGACTCTGAAATGATAGTGGAGTGGAGGTTGCGGCTGGGTTCCGTATCACGTGAAGATAAGGTAACCAAATTCTTGGCGTGTTGTGCTTGGGAGCGTGACTTGGAATCCAAACAAAGCCAGTTCATCTATACAAGGAGACCTGGAGAATATCTATCGATATGGGCGATTAGTTTTGTGGGTTGATCCGATATTTATCCTGAATTGCCTGCCCACTTCGGACCGCAGCGATCATGCCTCCAAAGCGCAAACAGCGCTCTGATGATGCCGACGAGCGGCAAGATGAAGGAGAGCACGACAGCAAGAGTTTCGCGATGTTGAAACCCAGGACCCGTCATATCTCGGAACGCACGATTAAAACAAAATGGACTACTTTACCTGATTCTGTCCAGGAGAAAATTAAAGAACTTTTCCGATCGATTGAGCGGCCGGTCGTTGTGAGACATCGTGACGAAAGGAAGCGAATTGAAGCCCAATCCGCAGTACTCGCCGTCAGAAAAAAGTATGTACAGGGTACACCTTTGTATCAACCCTTGAATTTGCAAATTTTCGGATTTTTTTATCAGGGAGGAAATTGGTTTCGCACCATAATAGCACCTTGCTAATAGCACATTTGGCGCGAACAACAGTTTAGGAAGACGGTTACCTCGAATGCCATTCCCACCGGGAACTCAGGATGCCGATTTCGACTACGAAGCTGCATTGGATGACAATGTTAGTATTCTCGAATCTCAATTTGATGTGAACATAAGCTAGAACTGAGAATGCTGTGTAGCGCGCTTTGGAGCTTCAATTGGCCACGGCCGCTAATTCCGCGGATTTATTAAGAGCAGAGATCAAACGAGAAGAAGCTCAGCTTGCAAGAGAGAGAGCACAGCTTGAGGAGCTGGAAAAGAATGCGAGAACAGCACAAGTGGAAAGAAAGCGACAGACAAGAAATGTACATTACGCTATTTCCTGCATTATTAGTGAAGGTTCCCTTTCACAAAAGGCGCTGACTTGTCATGTTAGGCTCATCCAGTCATTCGGCGTCTGGAACGCTCGGGAGAGCGAAGCGATGGGAGTACAGACTTTACATTCACTGGACCGAAAGATAACACCAGTATGCTGTGCGAGGTATGGGACAAAATGCCCTTACGTCGAATATTCTTTTTGTCCCCTTCGATTTTGTCCAACTGATTTACAAAATCGAAACAGATCGATCCCGATTCGGAACTATACCCTTTGATTAAACAGCTTCGTAGCCACCTCGAATCGATGCAAAATAATGCTACACAGGTTGCTGGCCTCAGAGAAGCCATCATTCGTTCCCAATCGTGCTTAAATCTTCTGCCCCTAGGGTGATTTTCGAATGTGGTCCCCAGAGACGTCAAGGAAATCTTTTCAAAGCTCCACCTTGGAGAATCAACGGCCTGCCGGAGGATTCTTGGCTTGTTACTTGATTTTGCCAGGAAAATACAAACTATCTGCTCGCCCATTCTGGATTTAACCGCTCCGGGAGGTAAAAATTTCTCCAAAAATGCGGATATTGTATGGATCGGTCCTACCATATATATCTATACGAGCATCTATTGATTTAGATTTAGCGCGCGTAGTCACCGCATATGTGGAACATGACTCTGGAAGCATGTCACTTGAAAGAATGGCCATACTGTTAACGCTGCATGTGGCCTTGATTTTAGGGGTACGGAATTGGCTTGCAACTTTTCCTCCACTATTCTGTATTTTGAGTGTACTCTGTCTGCACTGAGCGGAGAAGAAATAAATACAACAGCAATATCTCAAGTGTTTGTCGCCATATTATATGTTAATCCCACTAGCCTATGGCATTTTGTAGAATATCATATTTTTATCAGTTCGGGAGCAACAACAGGAGGGAGGAGGGTGGTATGTGGCCATCATATATCCTTGTATGGCGGAGCCACCATTCCCAAACTCCGCAAGCGGGCAAATAGTGGTTCCCTCGGCAGTGTTTAAAGATTCTGTCCCAATTTTCACGGGAAACGGGTGCGCCGAACACTGGAGATCCAGGGCCCATCTCGGCCCATTTATTTAGCCACTCACCAAAGCCAGTGTCGCTCCTGGAGGCGGGGACAAGCTTAGTGCGATTCCTCTCTCTTCTTGTTCTATCCTCGGACTCTAGAAGGCCTGTTTTGCTGCACGGAAGACCCATCCTTCAATCCAACCAACCCATCAACCCCGGTACTACCCGCTGCAAGGCTTCAAACAAGGCGACCCATCCGGCACCAAACCAGCGATCAAGGATCTCTGGGCGGAAAGCGACTGTGCATCGGCAAACGCTCATCGCGCTGCAGTGCTACTGATTAAATACTACGCAGTGTAATCAGCCAGAGCGCCCACTGAAACCGGCTACCAGGATTTTTTAAACGCCCATCCGGGCTTCAGAACAACAAGCCGTTGATGACCAAGAACGGGGAAAAGCAACCTGCAAAAGACGAAGGGGACAAACCGAGTAATGGAGACGGTTTGGAGACATCAACGCCGTCGAATTCAACAACAGAGCGCGATGCGCAAACCAAAGAGATGAGCACAAAGAACAACCAAAGCCCCCCTAAGGGTGCAGATGGGACGCCTGCAAGTTCCAGCCCAAAGAAGCGTCGCAAAGTTAATCACGGTGGGTTGAGCGTTTTTTCTATTTCTTGCATGCCGGACATGGCGTTGCGCATCTGTATCATGGTTTCCCCCCCCCCTTCATCTACGGTTGGGAGATAGGTAGTTCCGGATAGAATAATAACTGCTAACCTTTTGTTACACCTGCAGCTTGTGTCTATTGCCGACGATCGGTGAGCACCGCAGCCCCCTCTTTTTCTTTTTCTTTTGATCTGGATGCTCCAGCCAGAAGCCAGTTTGTTCACAATCTGCGCATAACCGCATAGACATGGAGCCCCAGGGGCCTTTATGGAATACAAAGGAATTGGCTTGGCTGACAATAAAGAAATATCATTATTTATTGACGTTGGACAGCATATGACTTGCGATTCGGTACGACTTTGCATAATTTCTGAACCCTTCTGCTCCATCACTGATTCCTCAACCTCGTTTTTATTTCCCCTGATGGAACGTGGCTAATGCCTGCCTTTGTTGGACCCTTAAAAAATAAATAGGACCGACCATGTACTCGCTGTATAAAACGCAACATTGGCCATCTCTGCCACGACGAACCGAGAGAAAACGTCAAGCGGGCGAAAAGCGAACAAGCGACTTCTGCGCCGGACGAAGAGGTTGCGCCAAACAATGATTTCGCAGGAGCTCAAAATATGCCACGGAAGATCGAGCCGCATGAGATAAATCAAGTGCTCCACAATTCCAGTCTTCCCAATCTATCGACGTCCATTGATCATTCTCGACCTCCTCAGCCTCAGCGTATTTCCGCACACCCAGTCGATGTTAATCCGCAACAGCGTGAGTAATTGATATAGGGCCTTTTGATATACCTCTTCGTGTTTATTCTTATATGCTGGATATTGATTGTGATCAGTTATGAGCTACAACGATTGGCGATTCGGTACACAAAACCAATTCCAAGACATGCACACATTTCATCCATCATATATGTTCAACCATCCCGAAGTTACGAACGAATATAATCTGCTTAACGATTTCCTGAGCACGAGTTTGCTTGACGACGCCTCCATGTATCCAGGGGAAGAAATGCCCGGCCTCTATTCGGATTCGTCGTTACTCAATTCTATGTCAACCAATTTAATACCGCACAACAACCAATCACTTCTTCAGCAACAGCATCAGCAACATCAACAACAACAGCACCAGCAACAACAACAGCAGCAGCAGCAATCCATGCTACCTCCATCAATACTTGCCGCTCAGTCCCAAAACGCAAATGTGGGGAACTCGATTCAACGCCCAAGCAGCAATGTTGGAAATGAGAAAGCCAAGGAAACTTATTACATGACGGCGGCTGATCCTTCGGGGACGGACCCACCGGAAGAGAGGATGAACAAGCTTCTGAAAGCCAAGTATGATGCTGGCTTGTTGAAGCCATTCAACTACGTCGGGGGCTACGCGCGGTTGAATTCGTACATGGAGAAACATCTAGAACCCGCATCGCGACAAAAGATCCTTCGCCAACTCGATAAATTCCGCCCTAAGTTCCGGGAACGGATGCAATCGCTTACAGACATGGAGTTGTTGGTGGTTGAGATGTGGTTTGAGCGGAGCTTGATGGAGTATGATCGTGTTTTCGCGAGTATGGCGATACCGGCATGTTGTTGGAGGAGAACCGGCCAGATATTCCGAGGGAATAAGGAGATGGCCCAGCTCATTGATGTTCCTATTGAGTCTTTGCGAGATGTAAGCTTTCCTTCCCCCCTATTTTGTTTTTCATATTTGCCCTATAACCCTTGTCAAAACCGCTACTGTTAGTAGTTACATGCTAAAGCAACCTCTCTGGCACAAATAGGGTAAATTGGCAATCCACGAAATCATTGTCGAAGATCAGCTTGTCAGTTACTGGGAGAAGTTTGGCGCCATTGCATTCGACAGTACCCAAAAAGCGATGCTTACGAGCTGTACGCTGAAAAGCCCCAATTCGAATAGTCGAGCTGAAGGCATCAAATGTTGCTTTTCATTTACGATCCGCCGTGATACACACAACATGTAAGTGCAACTCTTATCTAACTGACGTATTCTCGAGTATTAGAACTTTAAACTAATGGGATACCGCCAGCCCTTCTCTTATCGTTGGAAACTTCCTCCCAATGAAACGAACGGACCGGTGATTGTAGCCGTATCTATACCTTCATTCTGTTATGACCAGCCCAAAAAATTACTTGTGTACATTGTACATGTACATGTACATACCTGCCTTTAATATCCTGTTGTATATGTTATCATCCCCCATTCTCTCATAATGACATTGTTTCAATTATGAGAATGAATTTTTCCTTTCATTTCTTTCTCTTTTTTTTAAATATGGATGGTTTTTTAATGGCGGGTTGCAACTAGACTCTCTGCCTTCTCTCTTCGTTGTGGGCTATATGGTAGCAGCCTATTATCGACAGTCAATATGATTAACATCGATGTCACGGTATCATTATTCGAGGTCAAGTCTATTTCTCTACGTGACGCTTTTTTCTTGTAAAGTAGAGGCAGTTGAACATAAAGGGGAACATTGGAAGCCCGACTCGGGCTATGGCCCAGCAACCTGTGACCCCCTTTTCGGCTTAGCTTGACAGCCTTTTTCAACCTCACTTTGCTTGTCATGGAGGCATCTTCTATGTCCAGCTCTCTGTTACTTAGAGTCTGTTCCAGATATTCCTGAAATACCACGCAAGACCTGATATAATCTCCCCAGGAGAATCAAAGGGGCGAGCAGAGCTCAAAAGTCATAGTCCCATCTTCTATCATCATGCTTCCATGCCAGAGCACCACAGCGAATACCAAATTGATTTTGGGTACGTCTGAAGAAGCTCTCTCTTGCATCCCTCTATCCTATCCTATCACTATGTGAATCGCCTCTTGAATGGCCCTTGCTAATAACCCAAAATAGACTTTGGCACATTTCTCCACAAGATATTCCTAAAACACGTAGAAGATGACGACGAAACCGTCTTTCATAATAAACTCCCTAGCATCAATAGGCACATAAGCCGCATCTTGGAGGTCCCGAGTGTTCCTCTACTAGAGGACCGAGCATTGCTAGATTCGATCGGGACAAAGTTGTGGAATGTGTGTACGCGACTTATAAGGAAGGACGGTGGGAAAGGGGAGCGCCTATTGGTTTTATGTGCTGGTTCGTGCAAAACTACCTCGGGACTTTTGAGTTATCTAATTTGGGTTCCGCAAGTTTGTGACTTTGTATCCGTAGCTTGACCGGCTTTTACTAATAAATGTCGTTCTTGAGCAGCACGGGCATTTTCGTTTTTTATGATTGAATTCGGGGCAGGAAACAGGGAACAAGGGACCGATTCAGGTGAACCTCCACTACCACCATTGCCTTAATTCGAGCCTAATGGGATGATGCTGACTAGGTTTGAAGAACACGAAGATTACATGAGGCTTCTGAAGGTAGCTTTGGCAACCGCACGGGGATGTCTAGGTTAGAAGCGAGATGATGTGCCATTTTCTGGATTCATTACAGAGTCTAACAGGGCCCACAGATGTTGACCAACTGAGTCTGTGTTTGAGCGTACTTGGGAAAGCTGCAGCTCGGGAGGAAGCCTTGTCAAGGCGAAACCAAGATAACGATACTCCTGATGGTAGTATTTGTAAAAGTTCCGCCGAATACTATATTTTGCGCATGGCACTGGTAAGCAAGCTATAACATGGACCGGTTGGAGACACCCAATGGCTAAAGAATATTTACCCCAGTCATGCCGTCAAAACCAGATTGATATTGCGGAGCATATGTTCTCTAAGATCGATATTGCATACATAGGACGTGATCCTACCATGGCAGAACGACTTGCAGAGGCCCTTTATGATATTGGAAAATCCATGTTAAATCGAGGTGAGCACGCTTTAGCTGCCACCTGGTTACAACGGTCTTATGATGCATTACCCCAACATGAGGATGGGCGACTCGGTAGGGATGGAAGAGAACTTCGGCTGGCCGTGCTCCTTGGGCGAGGTAAGTTCCAGCTACATTAGATCTTCCTGTTGGACATGGCTAAACTGTTTTGTTTCCATTAGTTCGGGCAAATATGCTCTTACAACAGGAGGACGGGGAAGCTATAGTTGCAAGTTTACTTGATCTGCTTGAGCAAGTAAGTAACATCTTTGTCTCTTTGTAACAATTCTTCTAGCTTTCTGCTGATGCTAGTTCAGGAGTACGGAAATCGGCTTCCAGTCATCTTCCTGAACTTGGACGTTATTAGCAAAGCCAGCTCCCCTGATAGTCAACGTTATTACGAAAGTATGTGCTGCTATCCTAGGCGAAGATTTTCAGTGGCTTATAGCTTATATTTGTCTAGAGCTCTGCCATGCGGTGCGGACGATTCCAGCTACTGAGTCGAATTTTGAAATGTTAGTTAGTTATATATCACGAGTGATGATTATTAAAACTTGTCTAACGCCAGAAAAGGATAGTTCGATATGCACATCGGCTAAACAAATGGAGGTGAGTTTTTACTTCTGCTTCAATTGCCAGCGTTTCGATTCGTGTTAATGAGTTATAAAGCTCCGAACTAGCAGTAGATGTCCTCCAGCAGCTGCTACTACAGAGATTGCTTCTGCATAACAACATTTCTATCCTGGAAAAATGTTTCGTCACATATGTTTGGATGCAGACTACGTTACCCGAACTTGCAGCTGGCCTAGATTCGGTTTCAGCAACCGTAGATAAACTCATGCAATCATTGCGGAAACCCTTGGGCGAGGAAGCTGCCCAAGCATCTTTAATTGTCAGAGTTTCCTTGCAAATTATACAGACTTCGCACTAACGTTCCATACGGAATAGCTGCAGTGGAAGAAAGCCAATATTGCCTATGAACACAAAGACTACGATATTGCGGAGCAATGGTGCTTGCTAGCCCAGCATAAGATATTTGAAAATGCAGGAGCAGCAAACAAAGCCAAAATATGCAGGTACAGTGTGTCTCCTAAACTTAAGCCTCTGCAAACTCGGGCTCAATCTGAATAGGAAAATGATTCTCTGCGCATTGGGAAAAATGGATGGATCAAAGGCACGCCAGCTGTTCAATGACATGCCGGAAGCCTCAAGGTCTGAGAGTTTGACACAATATCTACTCTATAGGGTTGCATTACTAGACAAGGATTCTGAATTGGGTAGGGCAATATCCATTGTTTTCCTCCATCGGAATTTTCTGACCAATATTATATAGCAAGGGGGTGTCTTGAGACCCTTTCAAAACAAGGCGCGGGGTCCGAAAACTATGTACTGGCATGTCTCGCAGAAACGCGGCAGACGGACGATAAATATCAAGAAGCTATAGCCTTACGAATTCTGCTGGATATGCTTGATAAGAAATCGTTGGATGGGATTCATTTGCCAGCACTTCTCAGGTAAGTGCTTTGAAACCTTGACTGCGTTTTGGCCAAACTTTTATGGACCTTGCTGATGGAAATTCTAGATATACCATCCGCCTTCTTGTTGCAGAAGTGAGCAGCAAGTATCAGCCCGTACGACTAGAAGTCATAGAAAATACTTGTAATGTATTCGAGATCGGTGTGTTTCGATTCCTCAGTGTTTCCAAGAAGTTGATGCCAACCAATTTTCCTTTAAGCTTCCGCGAAGGTGATCGAATATCGCAATCAGACAAACGACAACCCTTTTTCAGTCTCTGAGATGGAGTGGTTTTCTCGAAATAGCTATAACCTAGCCGTGAAGTTTTGTACGAAATGGGATACTAGCCCAGTACTATCCCTAGTAAACACATGTATTAAGGTGAGCCACGGGGGCTTCTTGGGGGTGTTTGGATTCGCTGAACTGACCGGAATCTAGTTCCTCGACATGTATCCGTCGAACTTGAGTCCAAAGCAACTATATGCTGCCACCCTCCGAAGGCTACTCTGCCACTTTTTGGGAGCTTTACTTAGCATGGCTCGGGCACGCACAGAGACTGATACTCAGGCCCAAGTACTCCTATTCCCCATGCGCTTCATGTCGATTGATATTTACTGATGTACGCCTTTCAGGCTGATTACTATCTCGATTCCAGAAATCATATTCAATTTTTCCGAGGCGTCCTGAATTGTGAATCCACCAACTGGGAAGAGACACATCAAAGTGATTTGTTTAAAAAACACAAGACGCTGCTAGCCTTTGACTTCGAAGCTGCTGTCCGTCTGCGGCAATGGGGTAGCTTAGATGAGATCATCGAAGAATCCGAATCATTCTCAGACGACATATTATATGGCACATTTTCAGAAGCTCTGCTCTGCTCAGACGCGCCTCTTAAGAATACTACGCGAGCCTTGCAGGTAAATTGAATCAACCATCCAAGTGATTCTCCATTCCTTTCGTTTCATTTATATTGACTGGTGGCTTACGCTCAATATTAAGCAAATAACCACTCACATAGTCCGTCGCGGCGAAGTCCGCGACACTAGCAAACTCTCCCGCTGGATAAGGTGCCTGTTTCAGTTGGCCTTGGACTCGAACGCCGAGATGGCAGAGGACATACTTGACCAGGCGTACGCGCTAGCCAGGGAGTGCCATTCCCAGCATCAACAGTATCAACAGGGTGAACAGAAGAAGCCTCAAGGGCCCGAGGCTTCCTCGTCATGTTACCCGGAAGAGGAGCTCGAGTGGCTTGCTACGACGGCTTTTAATCGTGCGATAGATTTCTATACGAAGCCAGATGACGTTTCGTGTCGAAGGTGGGCTCAGAAAGCGCTCGATTTGGCGGGCCAGATGCGTGATGGAGGCCTGTTGTATAAGGTGCTCAGGAACAGGTTTGAGGGTCTGAGGTGGGAATGATGGGCGTCATTGTTTACTAAGTTTCGTGCTGAATTACTCTTGTTGTTATAGATGTACGGCTTTTTTCTCCCCTTGTACTCCTGTGATGTATTAGGATTATAATGTAATAATAATACTTGACGCTTTAAAATGTAAAATGTGATATAAATTTAGTATTTCCATTTCTATGCTACCCTTCAAAGTAGTTTAGCCCTGCGGCTGCATGAGGTGGAAGATGGTTTATTGATAGCTTATTTGTTAATTGGGGTATTAGTTGCTCTGTAACATACGGATATAACTAGATATATACAATCATTTAACTGCAAGCCTAAAAGTCTAGCGGAGTCTTTTAGCCGTTTAATTTTATGTAGCCCTGAAGAGATGACCCCAAACAGGGAAACACAACTAGTAGAATCGAAATGCGAATGAGTAGCTATAGACCCGTTGGCAAGAGGAGCGCAGGCCCGACGAAAATGGGCCAGGGGCTGGGAATAAATAAGTAGTGACATGGAGAAAACTGGGATTAAAAATGATAGTGAAAATATTACAGGGGTGGGAAAAGGAAATCCCGACCTCTATCAGTTTATTAGGAATAATAATATTATGGAGGTCCTTCTTCTACGCATTTGAATAAAAATAAAACATATAGCGCTCAACAAAACAGAGCCGCTGCTCGAATTTATGTTTCTATGACCCCAGCTCTGCACAATAGCTAGGAAAGGAATTTAAAAGGCAAAACAAAAAAAGAAGCGCTCGATCCACATCCAACCCATCTAGATCATACCTGTATTTGCCCGCCGTAGTTTCGCAAAAATACTTTCATCCCCCTAGAAAGCTGGCTATTAATAAATATGTATAAGAGGGAATAAAAAAACAAGAAAGATCTTACGAATGTATGTCCGCCGAAAATGAACTTCTAGAGAAGGGGGCAAAAGGGAAAAGGAAAAAAACCGAAGGGGCTATAAGATTGAAAGGACGAAGGAAAAGAGATACGAACGAGGGAAAACTAAGAGGGGAATATGAGAGGAGAAGGAAATAGGAACAAGAAAATGTCGGATGGACTAGACGGGACAAAATTAGAATGTAAATAGAACCGAAAGGCGTGCGAGGATGAAGGGAAGTAGAGGCCTATATTAGATAGGCCGAACAAATCAGGAGAAAAGGGTTTTTAAATTTAAAAACAAGTTTTCAACGTATAATAGAAAGCCAATTTGCGGGCCACGGGAAAAGGGATATCCACAAGAAAAACAGAAAGGTGCAAAATGACCAAGAGTAAAATAAATAAAGCCATTTTGTACGAAGGTTTGAGAGATATTAAAAAAATATGGGAAGAAAGACGAAGGGATGAAAAAGTAAACGAAAGGGAAGAGAAAAGAAAAAGAGACAAAATATTAAACGATGGGGCGAAACAAAACCCTCATCACGTCTATCCTTCCCCATCAGGGTCCAAAGAGTGCGTCCTATATAGGCCTCCGCCATTCATATTACGACTTAAATTTGGAGTGGATGGTATCCGGCGCGCAAGTCTTAGCGATTTGACCGGCATCGGGGTACCGATAGATCTGCTTTGTTTGACATGATTCTGTACGTGCGAATGAGAATTTCCGTTGACCTGGATGCGCTTCGACCGCTCACCTAGTGCTCGCACGGTGAGATCAAGTTCCCTTTCCAGCTCTGTCGCGGCATGTAGGTGATCCGTGGAGCCGTTTAATTTCTTTCTGTACGCTCTCAATGTCCTGCAGACCTGCTCCGTGGACATGTTTAGACTGCCGAATTCGCTAGTATGTGCAGGTGAAGGGGTAGAGGGGTTGTTGATGGTATTGCCATTAGATTTTGTGCGAGAGCGAAGATCATAAGAGGGACGCCGTAGGCTGCTGTTACTTTTTTTTACTGATAGGGTTTTGGAGGGTTGGGGTTTGGGACTTGGCGGGGATGGAGAGCGCCTGCTCTTGTAGTCGGGCATCATGACGCTTGATCGACGAGGTGGGGGAAGTGGAGGAGTGGAGATGGTAGGCGAGTTGTACCCGATCTTGGATATTGATGGGCTAATTGTATATCGGGATGTCTTCTTTCGGACTCGTGGTGGCGATTGCTCTCTGACCGGCGTAGGGCTTGAGGAGTAGCCATCAAGACGTTGATAACCCGCAAGTTCAGTTTTTGAGAGAATTCGACGCAGTGGCGGCTTAACGGCGGTCAGTTCCTTTGCTGGAGTGACGTCTTCTGCGCGAACTGGTGCAATCTGTTGGGTTTCCTGCACAGGTTGTTGTTGCAGGATGGAAAGGTTCCAAATCATAATTATACCATCAAGACCTGTACTAATTAGAGTTTTCTTTCCTTTTGCATTGGTATCCTCTGACTTCGTTTCGAGTAGTACGATATCACTGACACCTTCAGTGTGGCCAAATTCTCGCGTTAAGAGTACGTCCTTTTCGAAGTCATAAACTCGAATTGACTTGTCTGTCGTTGACACTCCAACAAGAAGCGGTGGACTTTGTTCTGGGATCTCGCAGTTTGCCATTAATGAACTGACCACGACCGTGTCATTCGTTTCCGGGTCTGAAGCTTTAAATGAATGGATCTGTCTTCCAGATGGGATATCGAATCTATGGATGTGCCTATCTATAGTGGATAAAATAAGTGTATCCTCTCCATCAGGATAAAGGGCCATTGACACTGGTGAAGCCTTCAGAGTGAGAACTCTCGACAAGCTGAACGCTATCGTAGTATCCCCATCGGTTTCACGGGTCATGCGATCTCGAACTATGACAGTGCGATCGGAAGAACATGACAGTAACCTTTCACCGTCATTCAGCAATAGGAGGCGTCCAACAGCGCCAACATGTTCGTCCATTGTCTGTATCAAGTCGAGGGAGTTGTGGGCGATTTTAAAAAGTTGAACCATCCTATCACGGCCGCAAGTTGCGACCATGATCACTCCAGCATTATTTGCTTGGACGGCAATGTCTGTAACTTCACCGCCATGGGCTCTAACCTCATTGGTGCATTCCCATGGGTCTCCGGTGATTAACCTGGTATATGACGTGAGCAAAACGGAGAATGATACTAAAATTTTGCTTCGCGAAATTGAAATGATAACGCACCTTATTACACCATATTTATCACCAGAAATAAACGTTCTCATATCCGCTGTGGTTCGTAAAATTTTCAACTCATTTTTATCATCATCATTGCCGGGTAATTGCTCCAGATCTACTTTCCTCGTCGCACGACATCTGCCCTGAAGGCTCCAGAAATTGACAGTTCCGCCTGATGACCAGGTGAAAAAGTCTGCTTCGTGCGGGTTGGAGGACTTGAGAAGTCCAATACCAAGTACTGCATCTCGATGTGCTGGCATGGATGTTTCCACTAGGGTCTCGACATTATCCTCGCCTACCCTGTCGAGTGGGCAAACGCGTATTGCGCGAGTGGAATCTACCGTGACCATATGAGTGGAGAATATACCCATCGAGATGATCGCCGGCATTTTCGTCTTTGGAGTAGACGAGAGTCGTTCGTCATAGTCCGGGTATGTTGGTGATTGGGAGATCAATGATTTCAATTCCACAATCGAAGATCTTTGTATTATCCGGCCACGGCCACCAAGCCAAACCATTCCAGACTCATGGTCTACAGCAATGGAGCTAATACCAAAAGCCACGCTTTTGACGAAGTGTAACTTTTGCTGTGTCCTCGTGTCATCAAGAATACAAACCATGCCGCTATCGGAGCAAACAATTGCTTCACTGTCTGAGATGCTTGCAACGCAGGTGAATGTACAGTCACCCAAGGTGCCTAGAAGACAGTTTCTTCCGGCAAGTGCTTTTGGCGAGGAACTCGAGGGAGAAGGCACCGGGGCATCGAGAGTGAATCGCTGCTGTTTGGATGGTGAGTTAGGCCTAGGGTCTGTCAATCGCCAGACCTTAACGTGTCGTATCCCAACACTACAGGGGCCAAATGTTAGTCGGACTGCGCTCAAGGAGAGATATATATCACCTCTCCACGTACGTTATTAAACTATTTCCCATCCAGCATATATCCCTAACGAATGAGGTGCATTTGTTTGTCGAGTGTAGCTTCGCCGCGCCATTCTTCAAGTTCACGCTCCAGATGAACAAAAATCCGTCATTAATATCACCGAGCGTAGCCAAATATTGCGAGGTGGGACTGAATGCGAGGCTACGAATGCCAAACGAGTGATCCATCATTATCGAAAGAGGGATATCAAGTGGAGAGTCCTTGGCGGTTGAGAATATTAAAACCCGAGGGGAATACCCAGTCTACGCTGTGTTAGTGGGGCTTTGATGGGCTTTCTCCGTTGTAGGCAGAGGGAAGTGCAACATGCCTCTCCTACTGCTAAAAACCTGCCATTTGGGCTTATCGAAACACATGTAATGGCTTTTATCCTTTCTCGCGAAGTCCATGTTCGCGAGCTGGTATTCTCACCCCATTCTGAGTTTGGAGAGTTCGCATACGGCGCTCCGTTTATAGTCGACGCTCTACCCGTCGGTTGAAGCGACCTCGTTCGCGTATCTGGCGTAGTGGGAGGTGTCGATGTATTATAGAATGACTGGATAGGATTAACGGGAGATGCGGTAGGCCGTGCGCGAAAGAAACGCTGCGAGATGTTTAGGTCCTCATCTATCTCTGCCAGAATCGTCGCTGAACCTGCACACAGCGCAAATGATTTCGTAGGCTCGTGGAAGGAGAAGCCATTCGGGTTTGAGGTAGTTGTTCCGATCACAGTCTGCAAGGATAATGTCGAGTAATGAGGGGGTCTGTGAGGTGGTCTTGCTGCCGGTTTTAGGATTGGAGACTTCGCTGGCGTGAGCTTTAGAGACGCTCCAAGAACGCTTGGAGGCCTAATTTTTGAACCTAGTATATGATTGTTATTGTTATTGGTATTGGTATTATTTGCGATGGACTGTTCCATGGCTAAGAGCAGGTGGTGGAGCTCGTTGCTGGACGTATCCAAACAATTGCGGCCTTGTTTTCATCGCAGAGTGCGGCGGCATGGGTTTCTTCGAAGCTCTAGAGCTCTAGAGCTTGCCCGCATATGAGATGTTAAATCTCTTGCAGGCAGAGCGATCTTGGTTAACGGAAGCGAGTATGCATGCAAATTGGGACTCCTATACAGATATGAAATAGGGTGTTATCTTCTTTGTTGGGAGTGAACTGACGTATGCGAGCGAGAGTAGCTGGGAAGCCTCGGATTGTTGGGAAGTGAAGATGCCGGCTTTAACGAGCGACTCGAAGAAGATATAGACTCGAACGTAAGTAGCTCTCGAGGGATCGCGTATCCCCTGCGGCGAGAGTGAGACTGCTTGGTGGTGGTGGTATATGTTGTGGGCGTCAACAAACTGAGCTACCCTTGGATGTTCTGCACTATCTCTAGGGACGGCCCGTATTGGTATTACAAGATCCGTTTATCTTACAGGGGTATCTTGGCGTACTTTTGACCTACCAACTTGTTCTACTCGGGTACCATTTGGATCGAAAATTACCCAATAAAAAGTTGTATACACAGCCAGTTGTCGTTGATTGGAGGGGAAATGCAAGATAATCCTACGGAGTACAAATTATGGAAGATGTACATACATCAATCGTTACAGATATTAGTTATCCAGTAAGGAAGACACAAGTTGGGCAAAATATACATTGAATAAGATCAGGTATACAAATATGTTTGAAGAGTACCCCATCTTGTTTCCAGCTTCGGTCTCCCAAAATTGTCAGGTAGTGGGTGAGGACGATCGGAGATTATAAGAATGGTTTAGGAAAGATAGGAATGCAAAACAAGGGAAATAGCACATAAATAGAACAAGAAAATATCTATTTGTTTTTCTCAGTTACCCCATAGGGAGAAATTATTTTACAAGGTGTCAGTGAGGGCTTTGTTCAGCTTAGCAAGCTTGGAGGAGACGCTGAGATCAATGGTTCTTTCGCCAACTTCGACAATCAGACCACCCACAATGTCAGAATTGATCTGTGAGAAGAAAATTAGTATATGTTGAAGAAGAATAGATGGCAATGCCAATCTTCCTCAAGAAATAGAACACATAATCCTGGATTCACATACCTTTGTAACAACCTTAAGCTTCTTGCCTTGGCTATATTCAGACTTGGCAATGGCTGCCTCGAGGCGCTGAACAGTCTTCGCGTCGAGTTTCTAATTTTGATTAAGCAAAGGTCGAATTAGATAACAGTTCATCTTCTCAGGCAACAACCCTGCTAGGGCCGCCGTCATTTTCAAGGGGCACCCGATCGATATCCATCAATCCAAAAAGCCGATTCCACGAAATTCGCCATACCTGAGCACTGGTGATCACCAATTCAGTCTCGCCATTGTGGGCGCTCATCAAAGCAGCGAACTTCTCACAAACACCCTGCAAGAGACCAAGTCTATTGTTCTCGGCCAAGGTAGCAAGGAAGTTTTTCATGATATTGTCCTTTCCTGGGCCGCCGGCAACTCGTTGCAGTTCCTGGATGATCTGAGATTTATCGGATGCATCGAGGGCGGGCGTGCTGAGGATGGCAGGCAATTTGGCATCGGTTTTGAAAACCTCTGCCAAAGTTGCGACGGCTTTCGCGGTTTGATCGAGACTGGATGACTTGGCTGATGCGGTATACTGTAATTCATCCGAGGGAACAAAACAAGGTCCGAATTTGTTAGTTTTCAAAATATTTAAAATGGGGAATACTCCAATTGCTCCTCGCGGCGCAGTCGGCACGAGGAAGGGATTATTTCAATGCGCACCAGAGCATTGGCATAAGTGCCATCGACACCGAAGAGAGCGATAGGAGGTTTCACGCTCGCTGTGGCCGTGGCGTAGGTCCTCACACCATCGAGAGCGGCAGCCCGGGGAATAGAGGAGAATTGGTGGGCGGTCGCCCGGAGGGTGGATTGGGCTACTCTGGGGGACAACATTGTAGCGGGAAGTCTCTATGAGACCAAGAAGAAAAATTGCACAAGGTGGAGGGGTTGAGAGAGGGTGTGGGGTATTGCAATTGCTGCTGGAGGCCACAGTTCGGGGATGGAATTGATGTTCGACTGGATGTAGCCACAAACGGTAGTCGTTAAACATCACGTGACCATGAAAATCAACTGGTGGTTTTACGCAGTAAGTACGATATGATATAGTATTTGTCATAGTGACTCTCAGCTCTCGGGATGACGTAGAACCATGTTGAAAAATGGTCTGGGAGTAAAACATAATGCATAATATCATAGATTCTAAAAGGATTGCTTGTTGCAGTAACATACACCCCAGCCACGAACGCCAGCTCCCATGCTTTTAGGAGAGAAGAGAACCCAAAGACTCCGACATCCTTTTAGAGTAACATAATTCCCTGCCCTCGTACTCTGATAAAAGAACCAAAAAAAATATACCGCTCTTATCAATATCAATGCAATATCTTTTTAATCCACGCGTCCTTCTAGTCGCTGCGAAGCATACTTTCCACCAGGTCACCTAGCGGGCCCCAGAAGTCCTTCCCACTAGCCAGGTTGTGTTCCTCCACGAAGAGCACGTAATGTTTGAAACTGGTGTTAAGATGTGGCTCGAGGCCCAAATGTACAATCACCGGATAATGATGACAGTATATATGCGCATAAACTCGGTAGAGGCGTTTGAACAGTTGGCGCAAAAGACTAGTAAAAGTTTTCGGGAAAGGGACACCTAGTTTTATCCAATGGACCTATTAGTCTCACAGCTTTTCCCTTATTTCTTGGGCTAGCCATAGACAAAATGAGAATGGAAAACTAACCAATTCGACTGGGAAACATTTGCTCATTGTCAATGTTGCTCTGCACCCAAGCCATCAAATGCTCAACATATTGTGGGGCCGACATTTTCGTAGGCCGTTTGTAATTCTCCGAATCTTGCCACAAGTACTCAAATCTACCATCCCGTCAGCTTGCTGGCAACTTATGTATGCAGGAGGTGTATGTTTTCATCACTGACTCGTCTGTAGCCTTCATTTCAGGGCATGACTGCGGGGAACAAAATTCCGTAATTGATCCGTAAAGCAGGTTGATCTGGTTATAAAAGTCCACAACTGCGGCAGTTAGCAAGCATGTTTCGCGTCCCTTGCCTTCTTTCCCATCAAAGCATTCCCATACCATTCACTGCAAGCCACTCATTCAAGTCTTCGCCGTCTGGAAGTTTCACCGCCTTTCTTAGACTCCCGCTTCCGAGAGTAGCCTCTGCGAACTGCCTCAGTTGGTAGTTGGTTGTTCCCTTATGCGACGTTCTCGGCCTAAACTGCCCCTTTGATCGCGCATTGCTAGAAGAAATGAACGAAGTTACTAGTTAGCAGAGATGGTCCGTAGTGTACTTATGGGTAGGTAGCAGTGATCATGGCCGCTTTGGACGCTAGATCCAATCCATGAAATCCTGGAGACTGTCTCGACTGGGTACCGACATGGTTGTTATGAAAGACGCCATGAAGAACTCTGTAGTCTGGCTATCTCTTCACTGCGGGGGCAAGCTTGGTAAAACACTATCTGTCTGGCACAGATTCCGTTGGAGCAGTCTGATATCGGGCACTCCACGCTCTAAACTTTTGGAGGGTATATTCAATAATAAGACAAGACAAAACAAATATAGCAAACTGGAATGCACCGTGAGCTTCTTGCGCGAATCGCGACAAGGGTGAGGACTGACTTGCCCGCCTTTTAGCGCCGCGCCAGGTGGGCGGTGGTTGCCCAGGCGACTAAGTTACCTCTAACGTAATCAACCACCATGAATCACTCCTAATTACGGAGTAGATAGCTCTATCAATACAACCTTCAACTATTCTACAATAAAAGGCCATGTAGCAGCTAGCCTCTTGTAATCTCAATAAACTAACTCTAAGAACACCTTCATCAAATAAATTAATTAATAAATAAATTTAAAAAAAAAGAAAAAGAAAAAATTAAGAAAAAGAAAAAATTGAGAAAAAAAGGTTGAAAATAAGTATGAAATCCTAGCACCGTGCGTTCGCCCTTGTATATCTTCATGACACCTAAAAGTTAAACTACAATTCAATAAAGACTCAAAAGTTAACCGTCCTTTTCTAGATCGGAACACCTTGCAGCTCCTCCCCGGCGGGCTCCTGAACACTGCCTCCATACACAGTCAACGGAATCACAACCTCGAATGATTCGCAGGATATACTTTCCAACGAGGCCAAGACTGTGCCTCTATCATCCCGTTCCACCTTCTCCAACAGGTTGATTCCGGACGCCCCGATTTCATCATCATCAAGCGCGCTGCAGGTCACGAATTCGAAGCGAAGCTCCCATTCTAGATTTACTCCTGAGGTGATAATAGTCGGCGTTGCGGAGACAGGAATCGAGGGCGTAAATACCACCCTTGTAGCGAATAATGTGTTTTCAAAGCAGCTGGCATGAATCTTTCGTGTCGCGCGCGTAATGCTTGCGTTGGAGCGGAGGGCAATCGTCGGGCTCACCTTCTCGGTCGTTTCCAGGGAGCCTCGCAACGAGTAACAAGGTAATGCAGAACCCGAGAAATCTATTGTGGCAATGACCGTTTCCCCTAGCCGATGAGCCGGTCGGTTCAATATTATGACTGCAATCCGTCGTCCGTTGCGGGTTATCTCAAACCTATTGGCACTTCGGTCCGAAGTCGAGGATTGATTACTTCGCAAAATGGCCAACTCGATTGCATCTTTACAGGAAAATTGTCCTGTGGGGGAGAAAAGACTGAGGCGAGGATCTATCGCGGAGGTTGTTGAGCTGAATGATTCGGGCCTAACACGGCGATCCAAAATCTCATCGACGTAAGATAGAAACCCTGAAGCCGAATTCCATGATTTTGCGCTGATACTCTTTTCCTTGGCAGGGCGCGTAGGGACGTTTTCGACCTTTTGCACACGAGCTTCATCTCGAAGCAACACGTATGGTCTCATCAAGTCGTGGCCTAGAACACCTCCTTGGGCTTAAATAATTTTGTAAGCAATAGTCAATAAGTGTATCTCATGCATTGCAAATAATAGACCGCACTCACCGTCAACTCCACTGAGGACTCGGAAGGGAACGTTTATTCGATGGACTTTCTGGGGTTCTTTTGGGTTTATCGCCCGTTGTGTGCCAATCACCAAATTATAAGAAATCTTGATTGCTTTCCCCTTATGGCTCGCTGGTAAGCCCCTGGGCAAGGTAAATGCAAAGGAAAATGTCTTCTCCTCGCCGGGATTCAACCGCAAGTCCACAAACAGGAGAGACTGCGGCGTGGAAAGCAGGGGAATGGCCTGGGAGGAGGCAACACCCCTCATGTCTCTTAATCCATCGAGTTCGCTACTGGAGAGTAATGTAGATAGCGAATCGCTCAAATTATTCCATCCTCCAAGCGTTCCCCAAAACCCATTCCGGGCCTTCTCAGCTTTGTGAGGAACATCGCTTCGCGCTGGATTACCCACAACACCCTTGCGTTTCACTTCTTCGAATAGAGCCTGATTTATTAACGACCCGTCAACGGTAAATGAGGCGCTAATTTGGGCGTATCCCATGAGCAGTGTCTGGGAATTGTTTTTACTAAGTTTTCCAACAGCTTCCATGTTGGAATAATGCCGTCTATGCCGGATCGGCAGTTGGGATTTATTTGCAGGATATGTCACATACTCTGACTCGAGTGTCTCGGTTGAATTGTTGCTCATAGGATAGAACTCTCCACTGCTTCGCGTGCTTCCATTCATGCTAGAGGTGGAGAGGATTTTTGTAGCAGGAGCCAACCGAGTAGGTGGTTCTAGGATAGGACCATCCTTTGTATTTAAGGTGCGCGGAGCGGTGGAGACAGGCGAAGCATTTGTGCTAGGTAGGGTATCACTGGGTGTTGGAGGGGCCTGTGGAAACTTAAAATCAGTTGGGAGGGGAGGTGGGCGCCGTCCCGGATCCCGCTGAATTGGGTTTGATATTGATGGAGGCTGTGTGGGCAGCCGACTTCGCTCCGGACCGCTGTTATGGTTTGGTATCGACAAATTTGGCGTTGAGTCGTTTGGTGAAATGCGGTAGTGTGATGGGCGTGAAGCTATCAGTTGTTGTTAGTATAAACCGAACTTACTTTCTGTCCCAAGTAGGAGAAAATTACCAGGATGAGGGCTCTCCCCATATAGCTCATTCCTTTTTGAAAACACCTGAAAGCTTGCAGATCTGGAATGGGCATTCCCCATCCTCTGGTTAACAGCGGGCGCCCCCTGTTTTTCTGGTTCTAGGGATATGATAGAAACAGATCTTTTGTGTCTATGTCCTGGGCTTTGTACACCATTGTTATTCGCGGTAGTCGGCGGCGGGAAACTGTGGCTTAGGGAGAGCGGGGAGCTCATAGATGCCGCCGTACGATGGAACTTGTCGAAACCATGCTGTCGATTCCGGGGGCTTGCGGCTGCCGAACGTCGATTATTGAAAGAAAACGGGTTCAAGGATTTCGCAGGTGAATAGTTTCCTCCACTAACAACTCCATTCATCGGGCGCGAGCCTCTTCTGGTGTGCCTCTGATATGCGCAGAGATCTGTGTTGGAGTCGCCTGGGGTAACATTCTTGAAGGTGATGGTGCAGTCGACATCCTCTCCTGCGAATATCGTTTGCTCTTTCCATCGCACAAACACCTGGATGTCTGACTGCATGACGAGGGCGGCATATATCACGGCATCGGCAGGTCGTTATTCGTTAAGCTCCACTATGGATCGGAAATGGGAGAGGGGGCTGTCGGGGATTAAACGAGTAGTATGATGTAGGGTGGCTACGAGAGGGGGCATGCTGTCGTAGCTGACAGTGAGGAACAATTCAAGGATATGTAAGCAGACATTATAGTAGGAGCAGACCGTTAGCACCTATTGTAAATATTATCATGTTAAATTGGTAAGGAGGATGCCAAAGACAAACCGAGTGCGGTCTTTGTCTGGTACAACTACATCAGTTGCTCAGTTGGGGGAAGAGGCGTTTACCGCGGAAGTGTGGCTGACGCGCTTAGCGCCCAGCTATGGCGCACAAGCTCCAGTTCTTGAAGTGTAGTTGTTCAACTTGCCATCAACAACTGCATGGGTGTATTCGTTTTAAAATCTTCAATTATATATTACAACAATGGGATATGGTATCGTACAATATACGTCTCAGGCATATTTATCCTGGTTTTGGGGGCATTTCTCAACCCAGCTAACATCAACCTACAAATGAACTCCGTAGTACGCCATGCTCCAAAAAATATTACCAGCTATGTCACTTTGAGCCGACGGTGCGGCGCTTTTTTTCAAGGACTTTAGTATCTGAAACATCAGCAAAGCTTGGCCTGTGCGGTCGAACCCCAATTTCCGACAGCTGGTTCCAAATTCGTTTCCGGCGTTTTTCCCACCGTTCCCGCCGTTCTGCAGCAACCTCCGGAGTCGGTTGCCATTTGCTTTTTAAGATGCGCCGAATTGCTTCTGGAGACACCTTGAATTCCTGCGCGAGGGCAGGGGTCGAATATATGTTTGGGTCCTGTTGGTGTAAATGTCGGATAGTATCGAGGGTATCTGGGTGAAGGCGCTTTCGCGGATTCCATCCCTCAGGGAACTTCTTCTTTAAAGCTTGTTTCTGTATTTGCCAAGGTTCTAGTTCCCGAGGCTTCTCTGGTTTTTCCCGTTTCTGTGTTGTAGATTTTGAACTGCGAGGGACATTTGATTTTTTAGAACGGGAGGTCTTGCTAGTTGATTTAGAATCGGAATTAATATCTCCGCGATCGGATTTGAGCCCCTGTTCGTCAGTTCCAGGAGGTTTGTTGGCGGTTGACAAGTAGCTGGGCGATGACTGCTCAGACGTTTCTGGTAATGGCGAAAGTATAGGACGAGATTTGCTAAAATAGCGGCATGAAGGAGGTTGCCAAATTTTGGCCGGGGAGTGAATCGTCGTACTTCGTCGACACGAGGTGGTCAAACCGCATTTTTCGTACGTTGCAGGAAGGAGAGGGTGGGCACCCAAGAAGCATTTTAGCAACCCTGATGCGACAGATGCAGAGTGTAATGGGGATGACTTCAACATTGAAACAGACATCGTGAAGCGTCTTATTTTATTGTAGTCAAACAGGATGCGCGTTTCGTCTGGGTGGTTGCTGAGCAAGAACTTTCATATCGACTTGGGATGCACGTGGTATGTATTTCATGACACAGATAGAATACAATCTAGACCAGAAATAGTATAGTTTCAAAATCATATATGTCACGTGATCTATGTATATCGCGGTAGAATGACGTTTCATATCGAAGATAGGTTCAAATCTACGTTTAATTCTCTGGAAAGAGAACGCTCCTTCGGGGCAGAAGATCGCGTTTACGTAGTAGGTCCTGCAAAAAAGGGCTATGGCATTGGTCGCTCGAATAAACGACAGCATCCGCAGGCGATCTTAGATCCTTTCGTAAATCACTACTCTACTCTCATTTTATATATATATATATATATATATATAATTTGTTTCCCCCTGGAGATTCTACTCTCCTTTTTCAACCTCTTTTCTATTTATAAAGATACCCCGATCATAGAGATGACATGATCAAACATACAAAATTATAAATGTCCATACATCAGGGGTGGACGGGCTGTATCCCCCCCATAGGTGGTATAGGCATTGAAGCCCTCGGTGGCTCAGGAGGCGCCGGACCTCCACAACGTTGCGGGGGAACGCTGAAGAAAGAGCATGCCGTCTTTCATGTGATTTGATGGATACGGTTGGAGCTTGCATTCTGAAACGGACAGTAGAAAATCCCAATGCTGTGCTTAAGGGCAACTCCTAGTAAACCTTCAACAAAACCTCTATGCAGAGGGCGCAGATCTGACAATGTCGTCCGCGGATGATCGGTTTTGTATTTGCCCTCGGCTGATTATATGTTTTGGTACGGCAAACGTGCTGGGATGGGAATAGATCGTGGTCCATGTAATTATTTCCCAGTGCCCTTTCTCTACCATACGAGGTAAATGGAAAAGAGGAAAAAAAAAAATCTAACATGCTGTCCATCAGGGAAATAAATCCCTGAAAGACTATTTAATGTCTATAGGAAAAAAGGAATCTGAGTGGACGAAAATATATGGCAAACCAAGTCCAGTCCGATTTCCACCTGTCAATTTTGATGGCATCAATTCCCTAAATGATCACCTCCGACTTCTGAGCCAGTACAAGGCTCTAGCTCCGTACCTACTAGGGGATGACTCCCATAATGAATTGAGTCGTCCGACATTGCGCCACCCAGGTAAGGAAACTCCTTCCACCACGTTACCAGAACTACAGTATTGATTACGTTCAGATCTTACACCCGGGAATATATTCATTTGTCCGGAAACCCACAAAATTTCTTGCATCATAGATTGGCAACATGCGGCTTTGCTCCCACTTCTACTCGCTACAGGACACCCTCCAATGCTCCAAAGCCCTGATAACCCTCCACCAAAAACACTCGAGAAACCTGTCCTCCCTGATAACTATCACTCACTTAGTCCGGAGGAAAAATCTTATGTTGATGAACTCTACAGGCGCAGAGTTCTATTTTATCTTTACATGGTGTTTAATGGCGGCCTGAACAAACAGCACCTGGCAGGAATGAGAGATCCCTGTGTTCTCCTAACACAACACCTCGTCGAAAGAATGGAGAAACAGTGGAGTGGAGACATTTTCAGCCTAAAGGGGGCTCTAATTCACATAACTGAGAACTGGGACCATTACAATGCAGAACTTCCAAACCATGTTCCATGCCCCATATCTTTCATTTAATCTGAAGTTGAAATGCACTATGAGCAGGAACTGACTTGGTTTCAGATGAACGGCCTCGTTGAGTACTGGAAGTCAGAGTTACAGGGCATGAGCGATGATGGGTGGGTTAGGACCGAGGCTTTTGAAGACGCTATCAAGAAGAATATGGAGCTAATGCAGGTTTTGCTGGATGGTTCTGATACCCCAGAGGAAGAGCGATGTGTTCAGGAGCAGTGGCCATTTCAGGATCACGAAGAGGAGGCTAACTGATTCATTGGATACCTTGCGAACCGTGACGCTGCTGCCATGTCGCTTAACAATTTATGAGCACATTGCCGTGTAGCCCAGCAAGAGGTTTAGACTTGTTATAGGAACTCTCTTAGTATGAATCGACCGTGTCAGTTTTGCGATTAGGGAGTCCCAAGTATAGGTCAACGCGGCAAATTTCACCTTTACACAAAAACTCTATGAATTCAACGAATATATAGATAAATAAACAAATAAAATATCGACGAATTCAGCCAACTCCGGTTTCCAAAACACACAATGTTACGTCAGATCATTCTGATTCGTCGGCCCCAGCCCCTAATTCATCCTCATATGCAGCGACAGAATCGCGCCTCGCCATACGCTCAATCTGCTCGTGGACACGATTCCTCGTCTGTTCATCAATCTCGCTAGGTGTAGCCTCCTCGCCTAGCATTCCTGTACTGGACTCGAGTGGGTGGGTGCTTACGCTCTCGTCACCGTGTATAGTGCTGGTGAAACTGCTTCGACGGCCAATGGAGCGGCTGGCTGAAGACCGGCGGACCATAGGGGACTTGGAGCGACGGGGTTTTGAGAAACGGGAGAATATGTCGTCGAAATAATGCGCTGCAGCCGTAGTGGGAGTTCGCGGAGTGTGTGGGAGGCGGCATGTAACTCTATTCAAGGGTTAGGTGTTAGCAGCACGATCTTCATACTTGCAAATGCCAGAGATACGTACCCGGTATCATGTATAATCTTTGCGATCAGGCCAGTCCAGCCGCACTGATGAGATGCCCCGAGGCCTCTTCCAGTATCAGCATCGAAAAATTCGTGGAACCAGAGGTAATCCTTCCAGTGCGGGTCAAAGTCAAGGGTATCGTTTCCATCATTGACAGCCCTGCGATCATTATCTCCCCTGACAAAGAGATGCTGCAAACGATGTTGGATTTCTTCAGCCACATGGCCCAGACTCATATAGTCTCCAGAGCCAGTTGGGCATTCAACCTGGAAGGAATCCCCGTAAAACATATGAAACCGCAGAAGTGATTCGATCAACAAAAAATTGACACAGAGCCAGATTGGACCCCTCCAGTTACTATTGCCGCCAAAAAGCCCGCTGTCAGAATCGCCGGGTACATATCCCACTTTAAACTCCTGGCCATTCACTTCCATAGAATAAGGGTGTTCAGCATGATATTTCGACAGGGAGCGTATTCCATGTTCCGCAAGAAATTCGGTTTCGTCAAGCATTCGTTTAAGAATCTTCTCCAATCTCTCTTTGCTCACTAGGGAGAGGAGTAGCCGGTCGTCCTTACCGCGACGCTTCATGCTGGCTATGTTGCGTTCAGCGACGTCGAATTTGTTATCAATAAACCAATTCATGCGTCGCTTGAAATCAGGAAACTTGTTGATAAGCTCCGGTTCTAAGGTAAGCACCGCATAGAGGGGGATTAATCCCACGAGGGATCGGACGGGCAATTGATGGCTCCACGGGCCTCCATAGGAAATGGCATCGTAATAGAACCTATATAGAATTAATGAATTTTCTCAGCGTCAGAATCGGCTACAGGATATCTTAAAAGGCTTACCCATCCTCTTCGTTCCATAGAGACGATTGCTCGTCTCCGACCCTGAAAGTCATCGCATCACTAATCAGGATAAAATGCTCGAAAAATTTCGACGCAACTGAGAATAGTTAGAGCGTATAGAGCGAGAAGGAATTTTTTTTAATGGCTTACTTACTGTCTTCATATATCCTTCGGTGCTTTGCCAATTCCAATGCGATGTTAAGCATCGACAGACAGTAAAATGCCATCCATCCAGTACTGTCGGCCTGTTCAAGGACACCTCCTGTTGGCAGCGGCTCGGATCTATTAAAAAGACCAATATTATCCAAGCCTAGGAAACCGCCCTCGAAAACGTTCTTGCCTTCAAAATCCTTTCTGTTAACCCACCATGTGAAATTCATGAGCAGTTTCTGAAACACCCTTTCCAAGAAATCTAGGTCTTGTCGCCCATACATTTTTCTTTCAATTTTGAATATCCGGAAAACTGCCCAGGCGTGAACAGGAGGGTTAACATCTCCAAAATTCCATTCGTAGGCAGGAATCTGTCCATTAGGGTGCATGTACCATTCCCTTGTAAGGAGGTCAAGCTGCTTCTTAGCAAATTCGGGATCCACCATAGCAAGGGGAATGCAATGAAAAGCAGTATCCCACGCAGCGAAGAAAGGGTACTCCCATGAGTCAGGCATGGACAAAACATCATCGATATGTAGATGTTTCCACTTCTGGTTACGAACTGCTTTCCGTTCCGGTGGTGGAGGCGGGAGGCCGGGGTCGCCTTCTGCCCATTGGTCCCATATAAATTCATAATGTTGTTTTGTCCACATCATCCCCGAAAGAGCTTGCCTCTGAATATTCCTCAAATCATCCGTCATCGGCAAGGGACTGATTCGGTAGTAGAATTCGTCTGCTTCCTCAATGCGCTTTTCGATAATGTTATCCAAAACCTCTTCATCCACGTAGATATCATTGTTTTTGGATATGCGGAATCGAACGACAGCACATTCCCCGGGAGGGACACCATCTCCTTCGTCGAAAGCATACCATGCCGCAAACTTAGTGCCCTGACACTCCGGGTTTATGGCTTCCTTTTCATCGTCAACTATATACCGATGGAAGGCATCCTTGACGTATGGTTGGTCATTGTCTTTACCGTATAGTAATTTGGTATTGGTTTCGTTTTCGGTGAACAGAGAACGAGGCATGACGTTCTCTGTGGTATCGGCAATGGGAGAAGGTGATGGTGATAGTTGAATGTATCGAGTACCAAGCTTGGAGTGGTCTGACTGGACCATTAATGGGTCGATTTGCTTGAGTGACGGCTTTTTACCGTTCTCGCGGCCCCATCCCCATGTGTTCCTGAACCAAACGTGTGGAATGATGTGTAGCGGAGCGGGTTCCGGGCCTCGGTTGTATGCAATGACACGAAAGAGCAATTCGTCTTCATCTTCCTTTGCTGTCTCAATGAAGATATCCCAATACCGGTTATCATCAAAAATGCCCGTGTCAAGAATCTGGTACTCCCTGTCCTGTTTCCCACGCCTTGCATTTTCCTCCACAAGGTTTTTATAGGGGAATTTCTTTTGCGGATATTTGTACAGGTATTTCATGTAGGAATGCTGCAATCAACTGTTAGGTCATGCAACTTCACAAATTGCTAAGTAAATGTACCTTACCGTTGGAGTATTATCCAAATGAAAATGGGCTTCTTTGATGCTCTCGCCATGGTTTCCTTGCGGGTTTGATAGGCCAAAGAGCCTCTCCTTAAGAAAATCGCTACTCCAATTAGCAACTTTCGATCAGAGCAAGGGACTCCCAAGCGCATCATACTCTTTCTCATTCCAGAACGCAAATGCTATATTCTGTAGGCCGTGGGTATCTGATACTCCAGCAATTCCGTCTTCCCCCCAACGGAATGTTCTCGACCTAGCATGATCATGAGGGAAGTCTTGAATTTAGATAAACCGTGAGCCTTTGCCGCATTCCGTATATGATAGTTTCAGAACCTACAACTCCATGCATCTCCGTCCGCGCTGGAAGGATAGATGGGTTAGAAAACGAAGTACTTTCTTGCATATTATGGGGGGGCACTCACGAGTAGTCCTCACGAACTAGGGCGGTTCGAATTATTAGCAGTGCGTTTCGTGAAGAGTTCTGACTGAGGCAGCTCACCAGTTGCCCACTGCCTTTCTGAGACATATGGGCCCCATTTCTTCCAGTACTTTACTCGCTTTCGATCCTCATGTAGGCGTTTCTCCTCTTCGCAAAGGTGCTCGGACTTGTCAGTGGCAACCATTGTTAACAAAATAACATATAAGGAGGAATGAAAGAATCAATGGTCGGAAAGAGCCCGCCTAGCAATTTAAGAGCGGCAGTCTATTGCTGGAGGAATTGATGTTTTGTGGCAGCTTATATAACAGCCCCATGAGCCAAGTTGGAGTGCAAACCAATGACGTAGCTAGCTACACACATGGAACGCCAATTCAGCTATCGCGAAATAAAATCAAGATCATTTCTGCTCGAGATGCGCCCACTGACTGTATGATTCAAGATGCTTGAATCAGGAACTTTCTGATCTTCCAAAGTTTCGCCCGCTGTCTTTCGCGGGGCAGGGAACATAGATTTTCCGCCATTGCGGGCAAAGATATTCTCTCGGAGGGGTCAGACTGAGTCCCTGCTCTAAAAAATATCTACCGTTTCACTCCCACTCCAACAACCACAACCGCTTAACGCCCTTACCACGCGGAAACCTTTGCAATGCTGGCATCTCGCAATGTCGGTGTCCTTGGTGGCGGCCAATTGGGCAGAATGCTCATGGAGGCCGCAAACCGCCTCAATATCCAGATGACCATTCTAGACGCTGACAACGCTCCCGCAAAACAAATCAGCGCCCACAGCGGACATATCACCGGCTCTTTTGCTGACAGCGCATCGGTGCGCAAACTAGCAGACTCATGTGACGTTATTACTGCAGAGATTGAACATGTGGATACCTATGCGCTTGAGGAAGTGGAGGGACAAGTGGAAGTCCAACCAAGTTGGCAGAGCATTCGAATTATCCAGGATAAATTTGCGCAGAAAGAACATCTGTCGCGCTATGGCATCCCAATGGCAGAGTATAAGGAACTGAAGTCCAATACCGTGGAGGAGTTGGAGGCAATTGGGCAAGAGCTGGGTTACCCGCTTATGCTTAAGTCAAAAACACTGGCTTACGATGGACGGGGTAAGATTTTTTTATCCCTCCTTCTACAAATATTATCTCGCTATAACATTGTCTAACAGAGTATGTAATTTTAGGAAATTATACTGTTAAGTCAAAGGCCTCAGTGCCGGCGGCCTTGGAAGCTCTAAAAGACCGACCACTATACGCTGAAAAGTGGGCAAGCTTTAGAATGGTATGCAGCTCCTAGCTTGTTTTGTCCATAGTAACGGTCCTATTGTTGACATTGCAAAATATAGGAACTGGCTGTCATGGTTGTTAAAACTAAAGACGGCGTTCTCTCCTATCCCACCGTTGAAACCGTCCAGGAAGATTCAATATGCAAGCTCGTATATGCCCCATCCAGGGGTGTCTCAGAAGCTATTGACAAAAAAGCCCAGGAGCTGGCAAGGAACGCAGTCGCGGTGTTTGAAGGCAAAGGCGTATTTGGCGTCGAAATGTTCCTCTTAGAAGATGATTCTCTCCTGCTATGTGAACTTGCCAGCCGCATCCATAACTCAGGGCACTATACCATCGAAGCCTGCCCCATCTCCCAATTCGAAGCACACTTAAGAGCGATCCTCGACCTCCCCATACCTCAACAAAGCCTCGAAATCCGCCAACCGGCAATAATGGTAAATATCCTAGGAGGTTCAACACCAGACTCACATCTCAAAGTCGCTGAACGAGCCCTCTCAATCCCCAATGCTAGCATCCATCTCTACAGCAAAGGTGCCGCCCGCCCAGGGAGGAAGATGGGACACATTACCATCACCGCGCGTACAATGAAGGAAGCAGAGTCGCTCGTCCAACCGCTCCTCGGCCCTACGGACACTATCATCGCTATATCTACCGCGCCCATCCTTTACCGTCCACCTAGTACGGTCGGTGCTCGACCTAAACCCACCATTGGGGTAGTGATGGGTTCTGACAGCGATCTCAAAACGCTGATACCCGGCCTTAACCTTCTAAAGTACACGTTCGGCATCGATCCCGAGGTTGACATTACCTCCGCCCACCGTACACCTGACTATATGGCCGAGTACGCCTCCGCCGCTGCCTCGCGAGGCATCAAGGTAATCATTGCTGCGGCAGGAGGCGCAGCGCATCTTCCTGGCATGGCGGCTGCCCACACCTCGCTGCCCGTTATCGGAGTTCCAGTCAAAGGGAGCTCGCTAGACGGTGTTGATAGTTTGTATAGCATTGTGCAAATGCCAAGAGGCGTTCCCGTTGCAACTGTGGGGATTAATAACAGTATCAACGCGGCGCTTCTTGCAGCGCGGATACTAGGTGCATTTGATGGACAATTACGGAAGAAAGTAGAGGAGTATGCGAAAAATGCCAAGGTGGAGAATCTGGATATTAAGGGGGCCAAGATGAGGGAAATCGGGTGGGAGAAGTATTTTGAGCAGATGCCGAAATGAATGAAACCATGAAAAGACGTATTTTTTAAGTCCTAATGAATTGGCATTTTATATTTCGAACTTTTTAAGATAGACTCTGATTGGAGTTGCTAGATTTAGACAAAATGAAGTTCACTGCGAACGCTCTTTCAACCCCACCGCACGTGTCCTTCTGGTGACCGAGCAGGAGACACGCTGGCCTGTATCCTGACTATTGCAAGTTATTGCAAGATTCTATACACATGACTATGAAGAGTGCAGCAAGCAGTATTTTAGATACCCAAATTCCTTAAGACTAGGACAAAACGTTGTTCATTTGGATTCCGATGTATGTCATGGGCGCGGGAGCAGTACGGAGTACTAGATACGGATGCAGCATATTTTGAAGGAACGTAGAGGCAGATGATCGAAGAATACCTCGTTAATAGACAGTCTGACTGAAGACCTTGATCCACCCAGTGTTCACGAGTGCTTCTTTGCGCCCAAGTCTAATAAAACCGCCATCGACGACTATCAGGGAGGATATACCAGCACGAGACCGCACCACCCCACACCTGATCGTTCAAGCCCCTAACTCCTTCATTCGCCCCTATCACATGGTCATTGTTTCGCAAGGGATGCTATACTCGCGATTTTATTTTATTTTATTGAGGGGACGTAGAGCGCCTGCATCACTCTTAGAAGTCTACTTCTTAATGGCAGCTGTGTCCCCATTTTATTTATGGCTTCCGCTTACCGCAGCTTGAGGGATGGCCAATCAGCTGCTTCCATTTTCGATTCTAGCTTATGTACAAAAGAATTAATAGGTATTATTCGAGGGAGGGGATAAACCAGCTACGGTCCATCGGATGGCCCAAAGGCTTTAACTGTAAAGCGGAGAAAGAAAATGCAAAGTGAAAAGGTGACGCATAAAAAGGAAGACATTGAAGGAAAGAGAGCGAACGTTGTTGCATACGTATATCTGTGGAATAGAGGGTGACAGAAATTGCGCCTTGGAGCTGGAGCAAGTTGGAAAGAGGGAAGGGGGGGGGGAAGGATAGGAGATGAGCGAAGTGCTAGTATTAAAACGAGTTATATAGGGGTGAGAAAGAATGAATGAAATGGTGGGGGTCTTGAAAAGAAATTAAATGACTGGAATGGGTTTAAATGGAACCGGAGGGCGAGGAAAAAAAAAAAAAAAAAAAGACCGTGAACAAAATTGGGAAGGTGCCTTCAACGACGGGATGGGATGGGGGATATGGTATGCTATGTGTGTATGTACGACGCAGCGTGAGGCATTGACTGGTCTAAAATAATAAAAGTAGCTGGGCAGAAAAGTAAAAAACCCCCAAGCACAAAACAAAGAATGAAAGAAAGGACGAAGAATCAGAAAATGGAAGCAGAAACTGTACCTACCCTATAATATCTTGGTGCAAGCTGTTGGGAGGAAATGGAATGGAAAAGGCAAGGGTAGTCTGCACGCCGATGGAAATCAAAAGACGTATTTCTTAATTCGTGTGGCTGATAAAAGCGGCATACTCCAGTATTGCTTGCCCAGTCGCTGCGGACGGTCTTCGGACAGAGAGACAAGGAACAGAATGGCTATGTGAGAAAAATGAAGAAGGCCCTTCTCGTTCACATTATCTTTGTTACGAATTTCGATCTACGCTCTTTTCCCTCTCTTTCGTGTCGTCTCTGGTGGGACCGTCGCCGCGATTTGTGCTATCGTTGGCATCGCTGGACGAAGCTGCTGAAGTCAAACTATCCGTGAATCCCTCGTCCGATTGGTGGCTTTCTGAAGTAGGTAGGAGATGATAGTAGCGACTGACCATGTCTTTTCTCCGCATCCTGGCCTGATGGGAATGGCCCTGCCATGTCGCCCTCTCTTCTATCCGAGCCGTTTTGTGCGTTATTATTGGAAGCTTGTTCCTCCGGGGAGGCAGATCGGGAACTTGATTCTTTTAGGCGCATTTCAGCTTCCCGGATTCTTGCTTCCAGGGCCTCCAGCTCGCGGTTTTGAATCGTGACCATTTGTTGCCTGGAAAAGCACAGAAAAATAATTATCAGCAAATGCGGAGAGGTAGAACCCGCAGGATAGGTGTGAGCTCCATCGTATTGTAGACGTATTTTTGTGTGTTGATTTTTATCGCAGTGTCTCCATGATATCATTTGTAAACTGCCAGAGAGCTGATTGAATGCTTGATTGAATGTTGATAGGCGTACTTATAGTGAACAGATTGTGTCAGGCTGTCGACCTCACTGTCCAGCATGAAGGCGTTATCAAGGGCAGCAGCAAGGGAGCGGGCCATAGTTCTACGTTGGATTGGTCAACAACAAAGCTTTACAAATAAATAGAATGATCACGAGCAGATAGTACGTACGATTGAGGCCGTCCAGTAGGCTTCCATTCTTCTTCTATGTCGGACATATTTGCGGCGTGTGTAGTGGAGAGCCGGTGAAACCGGTGGAGTTCTGTATAAAGGGTGTTTGGTTGTAGCTTCGAAATTAGAGAGGTGAAGAACCAGAGAGACAAGTGAGGCGGTGATAGATGAAACCAGAGCCAGCTGAGAATCCGGGCGAAATAATCTGCTCTCAGATATAGAGGGGAAATGGCTAGGGAGGTGGGAGGTGAGAAGTGGGAGAGTTCCTGTGAGTTAAATTAGAGTTGTTGGAGACGCGAGACCCCTGGCCCTAGTAATAATCACAACCACACCCTGGGCTGGGAGTGAGATCCAAGCAATGACAGGCTTGGAGCAACAGCCAGAAGCAGGGTCTGGAAAAAATAAGCAAACGCTAGTTACCTGTGCTGGGACCTTCACGGAGCAAACGCCGCTACTTGGACTGTTTGGGCCACCAGCTCTCCAGCTCTCTTCTGGTAGGCTGACCAGGCAAGACCATCTGCCACTAGTCAACACGGGAGAGTGGGTGGGTGGGGATCAAAACGGCCAAAAGGGTCAATAAAAAAGGGTAGCGCAGGCAGGAAAAGGGGGAACAGATCTTGAATTTGTCCTCCTCCGCTCCAGTTATTTATTAGGTCTGTTTATTGACCTTTGTTGACGTTGAGATGTTTACTCGGTGCCGAGATCCCGTGACCAGCCCCTGAAACCGATGGATGACTCAGTTAATATCACATGACTAGTAGTATACTGTCACGTGAATTTCCCGCCTTCTCATTCGCCCAACTCGTTTTTCTCTCGTATCGTCATGAGCTTGACCTTGCGACATCCAAAGAAACGCCGATTCCATCGATTTTCCATCACCAGGTTCTTCCAGGAGATTCAGCTGCCGTCGTCACACCTCACATCTCTCTCTCAAGCGATATTCCTCGTGGCGTTTGTGACTATTGGAAGATACCGTGATGGTCTGAAGCCAAAGAAACACGCGAGCCCATACTTTCTGCCCGATCCATTCCCCGGGCACTCAATCGCCCGCCTGTACGTCCACCAGACCCACGGACTACTCCCACCGTGGCTCCCATCGTCAAGGACAACAACACCCTGTCTAGTCGACTTGACTGGCAATGGGGGATGCCTTCGTTGTCGTCCTACACTCCCTTTGAATCTCTGCTGTTTTTCCAATTCCTCAACACTCTTGACTCTCAACCGTCCAATTTCACGCCTATTTCAGAACTTCTGATCAACAACTCGTTCGTCCGTCAAAATGCAACGTTTGACAAGGCTAGACTGACCCCGCAGGCTCTGGAAGCGCTTTATATAAATCTAGTGCAGGAAGAGTTACAAAACAGGGAGGGAACCCCAGAACACGGGTCCAATGGCTACAACTCGGATGCTGTGAACGCGAATCTGAAGAAAAGGAAGATACAGGATCCGTCGTCCAAACATGAAGGCGCTTCGTATTCTACGGTGATTCCAACCCTTGTCGCTCGTTTATATGCCAGGTACAAGGAACGCGCGACACGAGAGATTGAAGATGAGGAAAGGAAATATGCCCGAATTAAAGATGAAATCAAAAAGCTGGAGAATGCGGAGACTGCCAAACACACGCCTCCGATAATAGACGGCCCATCGGCGACTCCCGAAATATCTAAAGAAGCGGCACAGGCACAGCCTTCATCGCCACAGCCGGCGACGATTGCTCCCAGAGTCAATATTGAGCGACCCCGAGACCAGGTCCTTGAGCAGGTACAGGCTGTTCAGATGCCAAAATATGCACAACGCGGTTTAGTAGAGGGACAGGCGACTGTCCAGCAAGCTCTACAGATTGAGGGAAAACTTGCAAACGCACCACGATCCTCTCCGCAACACCCCCAAGCGCAACAGTGGCAACAAGCTGGCCCACAGGCTATCGCGCAAAATATCCCGCCTCGCTCCCTTTCGCCAAACCTGGGAAATGGAAATGCGTCCATACTTCCCTCTCAAGATCACATCTCTAGCCGTGGCTTGCAGTATGCCACTTCCAAGCCAGGTCAACCAGGAATAAACACCTCGACAATACCTCATGCAGGAACCGGGCGAGTACCAGGCCAAGTGCTCACTCCGGTCACATCAGCTACTTCTCAGGCCTCACCAATGTCATTACAAACCACGCCCACTGCTACAAGCGCCCAACAACAACAACAACAGCAGCAGCAGCAGCAGCAACAGCAACCACAGCGTATTATGGCCACCTTCCAGCCCGTTCAATATTCCCCTCCGCAGGCCCAAATGACTCAGACACCTCCAAACACAAATTATCAAAAGCAATGGTCCCCACAACCGGTTCCATCAACCACTTATGGGCAGCCATCCCCTTATGCCAACGTACCTTACTCTAACAGCCAGCTTACAGGTAAATCTCACTTACCGCTTGGCCCACATAGTCCATATGTCCAGCTAGAGGCAGGCAAGTCGTTCCAGGGCCCTTCCGGTCCTTCGCTCCAACCATCGCGACCAGTCGGACTTGGGTTACCTCAACTACAAAATGACGCTAGAGCTCAAACTACTCCGCACGAACAGCATATAGCAACTCCGGTCAGTACTCCTGGCTCCGGTGGACTGGATCTCTGTACCCCTTCGTTTTCGGCGGCCTTAAATCGGAGACCGCCTAGACCGTCCCTGGATACTTCTGGTTCGCTCACCCCTTGGAAAAAACCAAGCCCGATTGTCATATCTAAGTCCCCTGGGTCTCCGATACGGCCTCGACCAGAGGATGTAAGCCCTATCAGCGAAAAGGCGCCGTCACCAACGACTGAGATTGAAATGCCATCAATATCGACAACCCGGCCCAAGGGTCAAACTGTGCATGCAGATGTTGATTCCAGCCCGGCAAAGAACACTCGTCAAAGGAAATCTACACCAGCACTTAGGGGCAGGGCCACTGCTAGCCCGGTTTCTTCTCCCATACGCTCCACTCGAAACCGGAGCCGGGGTGCTCGATCCAACGTATCTCGTGACGATGAGTCGATCACTGATTCTGGCTCTGTTACTCAGCAGAAAATAAAGCGTGAAATGCCAAGCACCCCTGCTGGGATATCAGATGAAACAGAAGTGGAACTTCGAGCGTCAAGGCGGCTCAAAGCCCCAAGCCAAGCCCAAGCAGATGAATACGTGTCAAAGGGGAAGGGGAAAAGGAAGCGGGGACCAAGCGAAGCGGAAGACGCGACCCAACCACCTACTCGACAAGCGGCACAATACGTACAATGTACCCGAAATTTCCCACGAACATGTGCTCCAATCATGAACGATATCGCATCCCATAAATACGCATCCATATTTGCGAAGCCACTAACAGAGCGTGACGCCCCGGGATATAAGAGTCTTATCTATCGACCCCAGGATATCAAGTCTATTAAATCCGCCATTCATCAGGGAAGCAAAGCCGTAGCGGCTGCAACGGAGGCTGTGAATACCCCCAGCGGAGAAAACACCGAATCTCCCGGCCCTGGCCCAGGTTTCGGCACCACCCCCTCGAAAAGCAATGGCCTGTTACTGAGGAGAACGGCAGAGCTGACCCCACCCAAGGGCATCGTAAATTCAGCACAGCTAGAGATGGAACTTGTGCGGATGTTCGCGAACGCGGTGATGTTTAACCCAACTTCAGAAAAGACTTTTGGCCCGTCCTTCCCGATGCAGAGCGATTGGGCTTCTCGGGAGGGAACACAGGTTTCGGACATGGATGAGGGGGGCATCATCAATGATACGCTGGAGATGTATGACGATGTGGAGAAGGCAGTGTCGAGCTGGCGTGCGGCGGAGAGGGCTGTCGATGACCTGGGTGGTAAGAGCATGTTATCCCTGCGAAGGGGCAGTGCGAGTGATATTAATATGGACAGCGCTGACGAATTGAAGTGAAACGACATTTTTAATGTACAAAATCCTTAAACTTTATTTTTGGTTCCGTCCTTTTCTTCTCTTTTTCTTGGGAACAGTGAATGAACAAAGCAAAAATGTTCTGGCTATGAGCGATTTTGCCAATGACCCGAGGTATTTGTCATTATATTGTAATTTATACGTGGAGAAAAGCTTCTACCTCCCATCCTTGGACGGAACTTGCCCTGTTTCCATGATAATGCACAAGCTTGCTCTCTTGTATAGTATGTATTCCATATAAATATATATACATATTAGTGGAGGCATTCCAAAGTGATTGGTCCAAAAATCATAACCATATTCCACCAAGCAATCAAGCAGTACATCCCACCGCCACCTCCGGTCTCGTCCTTCCCAACCCATCCTTCGCATAAAAATCCATCGGATAAACCCCACCATTCCCCTCATCCCACCCCAACCTCTCCCCAAGAGCCACAAGCGCCTCATACGGCGATAACAACGGCCTCGCAAAAGCATACCCCCAGTCAATGCTCAACCGCGGACACGCAATCTGCACCCAGCACTCCACATCAGGCATCGACGCCAGCTTCCCCGGGAAAATCTCACTAAGCAGCAAATTCACAAACGGAATCCCACGCTCATTCAGCTGCTTCTCGATCTTGGCCATGGTGTGCGGGTTGCCCTGCCGGCCCAGGGAGCCTAGGATGATACCCCATTTCCGTGCCGTTCTGGCGGCGTTGATGGCGTCGCGGCGCAGGGTGAGCATTTCTTCGTGGTCGTAGGATTCGCGGGAGAGGGTACGGGAATATGGGTCATAGCGGTACGCGGGGAGGGAAGGGTTGTGGATCATGGCGGATTCGAGATGGAAGCGGCCATCACCGAGATAGAGGAGGATGTCGACTTGGTCTAGGGGTAGTTTGGGGGAAGTACAACCTAGGATCTCACCTTTGCTAAGCGGAGTGATTTGTGGGACGAGGATGGAGTAGCCGGCCTTTTCCAGGGTGGACTTTAGTCCGTGGATGGTTGCGTTGAATTGGATTGTGCCGACGACTGCGATGGTTTTTCCACTCTGGAAATTCCTTTCTAGTGTAGAGATTAGGTGTTGTGTGTCGATGCTTATGTCGACAAAGATGTATAGGGTTTTGATCGTGGTGACATCGACGGGGATCAGACAGCTATGCGCGTAGTGGACGAGTAGGTCACAGCCTAGCGCACGCGCGGTGTAATCATCTATACAGCAAGCGCCGTATGTGACATCGCCCATAATTAAGGTTTCAGTCCCAGGGCAGAACTGGGTGAGGATATCGGATATTGTAGTTGCGAAGAGGAGGAGGCCTTCGGGGAATTGTAAGGCTACTCTTTTTGCACCCAACGTTCGTATTCTGTGGATGGTTTTGGGGATCTCAAAGGAGTAGTTTCGCGGGAGAAGGGAGATTGCCGCTTTGATGTCTTCATCGTCTAGGATTTCGGCTGGGACTTGATTTAAAGCTCGCGGAGCTCGTCGGGTTCGTGCTAGAAATGCTGTTAGGAGCGGGGATACCAACAAGCGCAAGGGGAATATGGGACATACCTTGCTGCAGGGACGTTGTATTTGACGTTTGAGAATCTCCATCCTTTTGGCTTTGTGACTGAGAATCCGCTGTCTTACGCCCAACGAACCTTTTTTTGGGCTGGCGCGTATGATTTGAGGGCTTATCAGCGGTAGCTGATACCGGGGTGGCCGCTGGCGGGGCCGTGTTGTCTGCCATAATACTAGAGAACCAATGAATGTGAGAAGGGGTAGTAGTATAGATACACCGGAGCCTTCATATATTAATCCAGATAGCACAAATGAGATAATCGTTGGAGGGTGTTCCAACTCTCAAATTATTGTTTCTATCTCCGATCTATCCACATATCAGTTGACGGAGGATGAAATATTTTTTTTGGCGGGGAGCAGTGATGACATAATGCGGAGAGGGCGGAGAGTGGCAGAATATTGCCAAGATATATCGGTGAGGAGAAATTCACCTTTTGATTGGCTTCAAATCTCCATCCGTTTCCCCGGGACACGATCACGTGATTCCGCATTTGGCCGAGCAGCTCTCCCCGCGACGATTGCGACCCGTCGAACATCATCAACAGCTTCAATCTATCCGACGATAGTATAACATTCGTATTCTTCAACATGTTCATCTCCACAAGATATACTTCTAGACTCTGCCGGGTTGTCCGGCACGAAATACCAGTCCGCCTCTTTTCTACTAAAACAAGCTTTGCCGGAGACCATCTTCGGATCGTTGAAGTCGGCCCCCGAGATGGGTTACAGAACGAGAAGAAAGCAATTCCTTTAAGCACAAAACTAGAGCTCATTGAAAAACTGGCGAAGACGGGATTGACCACAATTGAAGCTGGCTCGTTTGTCCCAGAGAAGTGGGTGCCACAGGTTCGTAGGTCGCCTGGTTCACGTCGCCTTCTCTACTAGTCGTATTACTTACGTCAATTCATAGATGGCCAGCACCCCGGAAATATTGTCATACCTCCTCAAAACGCCTCCCAAGTCATCTCACTCGATTGCATATAACTACTTAGTTCCCAACGTCAAAGGGCTCCAAAATCTAGTAAAAATCATGGATACTGATAGCCCACCGGCCTCGGAAGCCTCAAACTCCAACGCACTTCCGAAACCCACTACCGAAATCTCATTATTTGCTGCTGCGACAGATGCATTCTCAAAAGCGAACACAAACTGCACTATTGAAGAATCCCTCGAGCGCATCAGGCCCATTGTGGAACTTGCCAAGGAGAAAAATATTCGGGTTCGCGGTTATGTGTCTGTGGCCCTTGGATGCCCCTATGAAGGTCCCGATGTATCTCCTCACAAGGTTGCCGACATAACAGCCACTCTGCTCGAGATGGGTGCCGACGAGGTCTCAGTCGCTGACACCACGGGAATGGGCACTGCGCCTCGGACATTAAAACTGTTACAAACCCTTACCTCTGCCGGCATTGCTAATAATGATCTCGCCCTCCATTTCCATGACACGTACGGCCAAGCACTCGTAAACACCATTGTCGGCCTGGAGCATGGTATCCGCATCTTCGACAGTAGCGTGGGTGGGCTTGGCGGATGCCCTTATTCGAAAGGTGCTACTGGAAATATCTCCACAGAGGACCTCATTCATACTGTTCACAGTCTTGGAATGCGGACGGGCGTTAACCTGGAGGAGATTTCAAAAATTGGTGCATGGATTAGCAAAGAACTAGGCAGGTCGAATGATAGCAGAGTGGGCAAAGCTACTGTTGCTCGACTTCAGGGTTAAGATGTATATAATGTCTCTATGCTTGAGCTCCCTCTTTAATTCTGTCCATGGGGAGTATGTCCTTCTGCAAGATCGATGGTTCCACGCTTCCTAGATATCTAGGGGCTTATGATAGATCAACCATGATGCGGAATCCCAAGCAGAAACTCTCTTTCGTCCCGTTTCCTATCCTTTCTCCTGCAGTCAAAACATCACCTGCATACTCGCGTGAAGCGGCATTATACTTCTGTTAGCTTTTCTCTGCTTTCTCTTTGGGCAGGCATCTTTCATATACTGTACATATAACCGTTTTTCTAGGTGAAATAGCAACTGACGGCAATTCATTTCTCGACCTGGTCCCAATGGCGGTTCACAAATAAGACACCTTGTGAATATATCGAGCGGACTAGTAGTAGTTTTGTCAGTTTTTTCCAAATTGCGATCATCTATATATGGTCGAGCAAAACATAGAACAAAAGGCTAAATAGGAAAGAGATGCATGATATATTGGTACAAAAATTATTAGACATCAATCTTAATGCAGTTCCCCTATACTTCATAGCAGGGCAAGGAATTTGTTTGAAAATGCTCGAAACATCAACTCATCCACCGAGCGGGTTTTGTGGCTCGGTCACATCCAGGCGTGTCCGAGTGCACTGACATCCAACTGAAGTTATGGGAATTGGGTATTTTATTTACAACTTCCCCAGTAAACTTGCCATCTGAATAACTTCTGTCCAAAATGTCAGCCAAGTGCGAACCGCCGCGGGACGCGCGCCTCTGGAACCCTCAATTTGGTTAAAAGGTTTCCAAGACTTCCCCGGGATAGAAACACGCCAAAGCGATAGCAGATCCTGCTTCTGCTTTATACATATAGCTCATTTTTATTTCGTGTTTTATTTTTTTTTAAAAGTCCGTAACCCTCCCATTGAAGCTCCAATCCCCTTTCGCACCCCATCTCAAGGGCTCGTTCTTCGGGCCCCCAACCTCACCAGTTTTGGGATTTGTCTCACCATCAAACTCAGGTTTTGCCCCTCGGAAGAGATCTGGATGTACGTTCTCGCCTGATCCGCTAACCTCGACTTGCGGGCTGGCAGCTATTGGTGGGGAGGAAGAGGAGGAATCTGCTGACTGGGGGGATTGGTTGATTTGCGGAGGTGATCTGGGGGTGCTAAAGGCACCGGTTGATTGTTTTTGGAGGTTCTCGAAGATTTCTTGCTCTTCTTTAGGGAGTCGGGGTGGAGATGGAGCGTTTCCGAATTGGCTGTTAGCATCATCGCGTTTAGCTTGTATACCTGTTGAGAAAGCTCGAGTGGGGCGGAAAGGATGGGAGAAGGTGCGGAGAACGGCGCTGGTAGACCGGAGGTGGCGGAGGGTAAGAGGGGATACCATGGTGGATATAGTTGCTAAAAAGGGATAATATCTTGATGGCCAGTGAGATACAGTAATGGGGATACCGCAATGATAACCACCGACTGCTGTGATTAGAAGATTTATTAATAAGTAGTTAGGATGCTGCAGCGCCCGGCTGCTTGGGGAAATCTTCTGGATCATGCCGAGGACTTGCGGAATATCCTTGATCCGATCTGATAAGATCATTTTCCCGGAAAAAAGCAGTCATCGATCCCGATATTGCTCTCTCTTCTCCAGTTTCTTCTCCCACAACCACCACCAATTGACCTTCAACTTGTATTGGTTGGCGTCTAGAATTGGACTGTGGGCAGCGTTTGCACTTTCTAACCTACAATATGGCTTGCCGTATCGCTGCACAGCGAATCCGGCCATGCGCTCGATCCGCCAGACAAGTCGCGGAGCTTGAGTCACACCAATGGAGGTATGCATCAACGAAGTCAGGGGCAGAGCAGGTCCAGGTAGTTATATTTCGATGCGTTTTGCCATTCCGTAGACCATTCGATTAACGGAGAGGTGGTAGAATACGAAGCAAACAGCATCCCATCATGATCCAGCGCCCAACAGCAGCTCCGCAGCCTTCGTGGGCCAGCGAGCTCCCTTCATGGTCCCAACCTACGTACGACCGACTCCCGTAATAGATTCCGGAAAAGGGTGTTATTTATGGGACATGGAGCAACGAAAATATCTAGACTTCACAGCTGGAATTGCCGTTACATCACTGGGTCATTCTGATGCTGGGGTTGCGGAAATCATATCGCAACAGGTTAGTACAAAACATACTCAAATTGACACTCAGAAACATGCTCAAAAAATTAATACATCTATCTAGTCTAGGATGTTAATTCATGCATCCAATCTCTACCACAACAAATGGACCGGCACCCTCAGCCAGCTCCTCGTCACCTACACCCTTGAGTCTGGCGCGATGCGTGGCGCGAAGCAAGCATTCATCTGCAACTCTGGCACCGAAGCCAATGAAGCGGCCATCAAATTTGCCCGGAAGGTCGGCCACAGCCTCGACGCGTCCGGTGCTAAGCACGAGTTTGTTTCATTCTACAATTCCTTCCATGGCCGCACCTACGGCTCTCTGTCCGCCACACCAAACCCCAAATACCAAGCCCCCTTCGGGCCTATGGTACCTGGCTTCAAATACGGCAAGTATAACGATATCGCCCAAATCCCAACTCTCATCAACGAGAAAACCTGCGGTGTGATCGTCGAACCTATCCAGGGCGAAGGTGGCGTGCATACAGCAACACCTGAATTCCTTAGTGCCCTTCGCTCTCGCTGCGACGAAGTTGGCGCCATCCTCATCTTCGATGAGATCCAATGCGGCCTCTCTCGCACCGGCTCCCTTTGGGCGCACGCACACCCCGTCCTCGAACCAAAAGATGACTCATTACCCGCGCACCCAGACATCCTCACCACAGCTAAGGCGCTAGCCAACGGCGTCCCCATAGGGGCTACTCTCATCTCTGATGCAGTCAGCAAGCATATCAAGGCAGGCGACCATGGCACGACGTTTGGCGGGAACCCGTTGGCTTGTCGTGTGGCACAACACGTGCTGACCCGTCTGGCGTCTAGCGCCTTGCAATCTGCCGTGCGCTCGCGCGCCGCGACGTTCCGGTCAGGGCTGGAGCAGTTGCGAAAACGATTCCCAGAAGCTGTTGGGGATATTCGCGGGCGCGGGTTGATTTTGGGGTTGCAGCTTGCGGATCAGTATAAGGGGGTGTTCGGAGACATCGTGACCGAGGCGAGGGAGAGAGGGTTGCTAATCATTACGGCTGGTGAGGGGTGTTTGAGATTCGTGCCGCCGTTGATTATCACGGATGGGGAGATTAAAGAAGGATTGGATATTTTGGGAGAGGCGATGGAGCAAGTGTTTGCGAGGGCTGCTTGAGGCTTTTTTTTTTTTTTTTTTTAACAACCGGCAATTCGTTATAAAAGGATTCTTTTCAGGGATAGATAAAAAAGGTTTTGGTTCCTTTGTGAAAATAATAATTTCATCCGGATTATTTTAGTATCTTCTCCTTTATTCATCAGAGTAGCATTACTTTGACTCGTTAGGACGCCGAAACCCGCGTCCCCTGAGTCATCCACAGAATACTACTTACTGGTATCCCAGAAATCTTACGGTGTGGCTTTGCTACTATTATTACATAGAAGAGTACAATATAACTACAAGCCTTTATCAGCCAGGATCGTACGTAGTCTGTTACATGCAAACCATTAATGTAAATAATTATTAGGCCGTTTCTCTGAGAAAACCAACAAATCTCACGCAAATGGCGCGAAAAGAAAAAAATAAATAAGAGGCTACCCGTTAGTTACATTACTCTAAATATTGCAAAATAAATCAATAAAAATAAAAATAAAAATAAACATAAAAATAAAAAATAAAAAATAAAAAATCCCTAAGGGGTCTTTACCGCCTCCCCCATCCCTAACAACCCGCCCGCCAACCCATTCATACGCCTCCCTAACAAATCCTCCTCGCTGGGCAAGCTTGTCAAGCTCTCATCGCGCTGTAGAGCCATATTCGTCATGCGCTTGCGCCAGGAATGGACAATGTCTTCTTTTCCATCCACATCATCCTCCGCCTCGTGGGTTGGTTTGCAACCCTCGTTATGATTGCGGGCGTGGTTTCCGTTGGTACTGGGTTGGATGGAAGGCAAGACGCCGGGACTTGACTGTGTTGTGTCCCCGTTCGGTTGTGGTGGATGCTTGTGCTTTGCGATACCATTTGGAGGGCCCGCGGAGGGGATGAGACCAGTCTTAACGGAGTCGGGGCTTACTGTCCCTTCGGGGGCGGCGACTGGGCTTGGAGAGGGGAAATAGGAGGCATCTGCTGTTGATCGAGCAGAAGGCGATGAGGAAGACAAGGCGGATTTAGAAACCCCAAGCGAAGCTGATGGTCGTTTGGTCATTCTCAGCCTGGTCATTTCCAGTGGCCTATCTTCGTCGCCCGACGATTCCCCAGTCAGTCCTCGTTGGTGGTCTCGTGGTCCACTCTTATCCGTTCTGCTTCGTTGAGTAGATCCTGCGTCTCCCCGCCTCGCGAATGTTATTGATGATGAGGAGGAGTCGGGTTTTAAAGTCCCTGAGCTATCTCCTTGCCGTCGACGAGGCGCGAGAGATCTCATCGAGGAGGCCGTAAGATCCCCTTCAGCCGCAGAGGCTCTTTCAGCGGCATGCACGAACAACTTCCGAATCCACCGTGAGCAACGGAAGATTTGTCTCCACCCCTCGGGAAACAAGGCAGGAAACTGCAAAAACCCATGTGAGATTCCCGGGATCAGGGACACTTCGACATGCGCCTTTTCATCGAACGTTCTCATGGACTTCTCAAGGCCCAGCTCCTGTCGTTCGCGAAATTGACGCAGTTTTGCCTGGCGGATACGCCCAGCGAAAATCACTGTGTCATCAACTAGCGGGTCTCGTTCCCCCGTTAGGAAGAAGGTTTTGGGGAAACGGGCCAGCAGAGCTTCAGGCGCGAGGATAGGAGAGAGGAGGAAGTCTGAGCTGAAATCCGGACGATTGTATGGGCCGATATAGAGGATGATTGTAGCACGCATAATTTCAGGGGTCAGGATGCGGTCGTTGAAGTATGAAATCATGGACGAGACGGCGAGTCGTGTTTCGATATGCCCAGGATGCTTGTTAGCTGTGGCCACGACTTCTGAGGCAGTGTTTCCTGGAACAGGTTTATTGATGTTTTCGGTCTCAATCGCTGGGTCACGGTCCTCATGAATTACACCGGCGTGCTGCTGGGCGAAATAGTCTTGGATGACTGGATGTTCTGAGGAGGCTTCGTGAAAGCTTGACGGACGTGATGAGGTTAGCTTGCGGTAGTCCTCACTTTTCCTTCGGAGGATATTGACATTTGTCTCTCGCATTCCTCGCTCCCGTATTAATGACATTTCATCCTCCGTCATCCAACTACCTATGTTCATGTCCAATGTCGGGTATATGAGCACTAAGCCAGCCGGAGGCGGTAGAGAGTCCTCTCCCCGCCGCTTCCGCGAATTCGTGCTCTCTGACTGGAGTACCATCAGCGTGACACCAGCAGCCAGATTCCCACCCGCACTGTCACCTGTAATCACAATGCTGGGACTGACCTTGCCACTTAGACCAATGCAACGACCACGGCTAGTGACTAGGGTATGATAAACATCGTAGCACTCATTTAGGGCGTATGGATAAGGATATTCAGGTGCCTTTTTGTAATCCAAGCTCAGGACCGGCACTCCCGTCCTCCCGGCCCAGGCTAGGAGCTTATCATCACTCATCCGTGGGCCCATGGCCACAAACCCACCACCGGGGATATCCAGAACGATATTAGTCTGGTCCTTCAGGGTATGCAGCGGGCCGTTATAATATAACCATGCAATGCACGGCTCCTTGTACGACGATTCTTTCGGTCTGGGTATCCGTATCTGAACCGGCGCATAGTCCATGAAGCGTGGACGCATAAGCTTTGAGAGAAATGACAGGTATGGTGTCGTAGCTTTATTCCACGATATGCGCAAGTGCTCCACTGTCATCACAGCTCTAACCTTCCGGACCTTCTCATCTGCATGTTCTGCGGCGATGAGGTAGTAAATCGAGAAGACCATTGATGCTAGATCCCGCAACCACTTCTTCTTGATGTTCATGGCCGTCCAGAACCCGGCATCCAGTGCCGTGGTTACCCAAGTGGCACGGAAGTAGGACCGGGAATATAGATTCGCGAGAGGCTCGGGAGACTCGAGACCAAGTAACTTGGCGAAATTACCAGATAGGTACAACCCAATTAGGGTCATAACGGTGGTCTGCCATGGAGTGGCTCGCTTGGATAACCGGGAGGATAGGAGACGAATGCCAGGAGGGCCATGGATGTTGCCACTGCGAAGACATGATATTGTCAGTCTATTTCATTTTTGTTGGAAGTCGGGCATACGTACCGGAGGAGATATAGGAACCAGAAGGACACAACCGCAAAGACCTGTATCTTGCGAAACTGCGTCGACGGCCTCCCTAGAACATGGTCTATCACAAGTTACATCAGTCATGGATACACTCCCAAGGGTTACAGGCATTAGATGAAACAACAAATCGCACCTATCATCTTAACCTCTTTCTAACCGAAGCCAGTATATCCGGGATAGCCGATATGTTCCAGGCACAAACGGTGAAGAAAATCCAAGTCAATCCTACCCAACTTCCCAGCGGGATCCCGAATAACCAGAACTCCGCTGCCGTGGCCTCTAGGAAATGAAAGCCTTTCCCGTCTACCCCGTCTATCCCGTCTATCCCGCCTATGCACGTCTATCTGCTACCCCTGTAGACCAGGATATGTTGCCTCCGGAGCGGCGGGATGGGGACAGGAAATTTAGATCCGTTGAACAGCGGCGAAATGGGATGATGCCAGATATTCAGATAAAAACCGGCTACTTGTGAACGGTCGTTGGAAGTACTCAGGACGTTGAGCGGCCAAAAGGAAAAATCAACTTAAAAGTAAGTTGCGGCCAGGTCTGGGGAGGGAGGGAGGGAGGCGAAGGCAATGTATGTACATGTACATGTACTGTACATATATAAAGTATCTCAAGCCATTAGATATAAAAAAAGAACAATAGAAAAGTCAAAAAGCGAGTAACTTATCGTTCGCATCAGGTATCCGGTATTCCATACATCTACTATCCTCAGCATAAATGAGAAGATTATCATACAATTATCTGCTTAATACTCATCCTTCACAGCCTGGGTTGGGTGGGTGGATGTTCTGTTCTTCGCTTTCATCCAGTTTGATATTGGCATGTGAAAAATTACATACAATACACATTCATACGCTAGCTTGCCATTGCACCAGCCATTTGCAAGCCTATATTTCATGTTATAGGGCGTATCGTTTTGTCATTTCTGTATCCACCACGGATTAGTACGGTTTCATACGTTGATTTGTGCAGGAATAACTGTCATCTGACAAAGTAAATTGGCACAAAAGGGCAAACGAGACATAGCTACAGTACTCCATACATCAGTTGCTGTCCATCAAGCGCCATTGTCCAAAACTATGTGCTCACGAAACCCCTCACCTAGATATGCCTGAGAACCATATGCTCTATAGTGAACAAAAAGAATGCTATCTGCCAAAAATGGTTATCAAAAATGGGAGCAAATGGAGATGCGAACGAATGAGGAAATCGTAACGCCCCAGTTTGCCACTACAGCTTCTCGCAATAATCCCTCCCCCTCTTCACCTGCCAATCACAAAGCCAAACCTCTACCACCATCCCTAGCAACCCTGCCACACATATACCTCCGGAGTCGCTCACCGTCGTCGCTCCGAGCGAAAACTCCCGGTCCTCTTTCGGTACCCGGTTTGAGATCTCTGCGAAAGTATTCACATACACCAGGCCGCCCAGCAGCCCTTCCCAAAATATGATGAGGAATATGATATAGACGCTGGGGATGAAGTTGAATAGAGCATGAAGGATGAGGACGCCCAGATTGATTACTTGGAGGAATGAGGGGAAGTAGAGATTGTGGACGCGGAAGAAGGGTGTGGAGGAGCGCGAGATGAAGACGCCGAATTGGTAGATGGCGTTGTAAGCTGGGTAGAAGGCGCGGAAGTGGTTGAAGGGTGTTTCGTCGAGAGGGTAGAGGAGGGTTGGGGCAACGCCTTGATTTATGGTGTATTCGGCGATGTAAACTAGGAGGAGGGGGAGCATGCTAGAGAGATTTTAGCGAGTTAGGTTAGATATAAAGCCGTGATTATTTGGGAACCTGTCTGGGAGTCTTTGTCCCTTTTTTTTGTCAAATCGCAATGAGACTTACAATGGAAAGAATAAACCCTGGGCCCTTTTCAGATTCGCTTTGAAGCGTGACCAAGACATATCGTTCCCGTTAGCTACCAACTTGCCATCCTCCCTTGTGTGCTCCAAATCCCGTCCTAATAGCCCATCCCTCTCATCTCCGGTATCATCTAGCTCTCTTTGTTGAGTCCGACCCCTACCCAAAACACCGGCTTCATCGGCTTCGTCTTCAGCAGAAATCTGCTCATACTCGCCCAGCTTCTCCGCACATTTCAACGGCCCTAGGGGTAGAATTGTAAAGAAGCTCAGCAACATAACTAGCGGCAACCCAGCCGAAAATAACAACGTAGTCTTCACACTGAACCTAAACGAAGTGGTTGCTAACGCGTATGCCCCCGCGCCCACCAGTCCAGCCGCCCCAGTCCCGCTACCCCACGCTGCGAGACTAAACGGGCCATAGAAATGCGTCAGGCCTAAGAAGCTCAACTCGCCGCCCCCGCTCGATAAGCTGGCCAGAATTACCCCGAGCATTTTCGTCATGATGGGGTTCCCAGTCGGAGAATTTGGTATGTAGGCCGGCGACAGTGCGATGAGAAGCATACCGCAGGCGGACAAGGCAACGAATATTAGGATGCGGACGGGATATGGGATGGCATGAATGAAGTAGGGGGCGCATAGTTTTGTGAAGAACGAAGGGACCACATCGGCGAGGAGGACGACGCCTTTGGGGATGTCCGGCCCGACGAGGTCAAGGGCCGCGGAAAGGATTATTACGTAGAGGACATTATTTATTAGGCCTGCATGCAAGTTAGTTGCCTTTGTACCATTTTTATTTTTTCCGATCGCCAAAACAAGCCTCTCAATCGGCGGATAGGTAGTATTTATCTCACCGAAAAACCAGAAAGCGGTGCAAACTCTTGGGTCCGCACCATTGAATAGGGCTCGAAGTCGCCCGCAAAAGCTTTCCCACGAGGACGAAGGGGCACAAGGGAGTGGGAGCATGGGAGTATCAAGATTGTCCGAGCTAGGCATGGGACGGGTTCATGGGATTTGGTGAATATACCAGAATCGCCTTCAGATTGGATGGATCGAGAAGCGGGTGATGGAGAAGAAGATAGCAATGAGAGACCGAAGTTACGATTAAAATAATGACATCAGGCAGCTATATCATTCAGTGATATCCTAATTCTCATAAATTTTTTAGTATTTGGCGAGTAGATTGTAGGTTACCAATTCATTTCAGCGAGATGTTCAGTTGGAGGTTGTTGCTGCTGTATCATATCATGCGGTCATCGGCAGCCAGTGGACGCTCTTGAGAGGTGCACGTGATCTGTCAAAGCCCTAATTGCAAAGCGTTTCGAAAGTCCTCAGACAGGAATGACGATGAGAATGGAATCGAGGAAATCATCAATGTATGTAACACGATTACTGGTAAAGAACGGAGTACTCAGCTTTTGATCCAATGTTTCTGACCCATGGAATACATAAACCGTGCAGGAGCGGCGCATTTCTGGGCGTTTTTGTAGGCTACTGGGGCAAAAGAGCTCAATCACCACCAGCGCACGGGACCCCCAACAGTTTTGACATACAGAATACCCCTAACCGGTGAGGCATTCGTTTCAAACTTCTGACCATTCTCCATGAGCTCTGGCAGTTTCAGAGCTACCTGGGCCGCTCTTGAGTTTCAGGAACGCATATCATTCTAGTGGCTAATGCAACTGATTCTGCGCTGGATCTTCGTCATCAGATAAATCAGATACAGAACTGTGATAATATCTACAAATTTCCTTTGCATACATGATAACACCTGGTACAACTTGCACATCTACATGTGCTGTACCGTACACTCCCTCGCTACTGTTAAAGTGTGGATCAAAGCTATAGTCTCAACTCAGGCATTATATATGTACAGTTTTATACATTATTACAAGCAGTACGCACTCATGTATTACCCACACCTTGAAGTCCTGGAGGAACGACGACGAAAATTCCTTCGTAGCGGAGTTTGCTGAGTGATAAAATGCTCCAGGGCTGTATCCGAGCTGTCCAAAGGGGTAGGAATTTCATTTGAACTCCGCCGGCTACGCCCCGTGGCGGTTTACGCTTCTTACAGAGTTGATGGAGCTCAGGATAAATTGAGAGGGACTGTCGAGACGGCCAATTACCCTTTCTTCATCCTACTTTCGAATACATATGTCCTCGTAATTGACTAGGTGATTGTCAGATGTAGCAGCTAAATAAAGGGATCTAGATCTACCGAAGTAGCCACTGCCCTGGTGGCCATTCGCCAGAACGCGTCAAACGGGTTCTGTTGAACATGGCTTCAGAGCTTGTCTGCAGTCGTTTGTTTTTAAGCCCAGCCGCAGTAAGTCGCATTTCCAACCCTGAAACAACAATGATGCAGTCACATCATAAATGATCAGTCAAGGACGCCAACGCAAACCACAAAACAAAAGAATCATACTATATGTATTGATGCTTGTTTATATAGACTAATTGCATGCAGTAAGCAACCTATTCCTTGCTGGTGAAAAAAGGCCTAGAGAAAAGAACGGCTCTCGCTGAAAATTGAAAGGTTAACTTAGTTACTGCCGCAAATCTATCTACCTAAAAGTTTAGCTGAGTTCGTTCGCGATCCAACAGCGAGAGGAGGTGCACGTATTTACTCTAGTTAGTAGGCTGCATGCCCACTTTCAAGTTTTAAGTGACCTTGACTCATTTTAACTTAGTTTTATAGTTTTTGAATTCTGGGATAAACTAGCTGCTGAAAGCTGCGGGATACAGCTCCAAACATGTGTTGACTCGTTTCCAGAGAATCTAGCCAACCAATAAAGTTCGGGATCCAAATCATGTTACCCTGGGGCGCATCCGTGTGTGACTCGGTTTTCCTTCTTGGTGGCCCTTTGATCCAAAGACTTAATCTTCACCCCCAATTACTCGGCAGGATTTTCCATCTTTTCGGAATTTATTTTAAGGTCTGGTTAGAAATCTAGACCGAGTTAAATAATAAACAACAAAAGCCGTAGTTTTTTTCCCCCAGAAGGAACATAGTCAGAGAGAGTACATAGGAAAGACAGATTAGCCCGCCAATTTGTTGTATCCGTGTTGTCTCATGTAGCAAAAGAAAGCAGCCGCCTGAAGACTTTCAAATATTCCTCTAAGTATGTGGTTGTAATTAGTTATTAGTTATTGGGCCGATGCAAGGGAGGTCAGTCATGGATCTTTATTGTTATTGTGACCGAGCATGGAGGCGCCAGGAAGATCCTAACATTTGTGGCTCAGAATCACAGCGAACCCTTTCACGCTATTCTGCCTCCGCTCGGCATGGAGAGGGAGAGGGGTGGTGCACAAAATGTCGCTCATTGCTTTTCCCCCACTGTCATTATTGCGGTAGTGGTGGCTTCTGACTCGCTGGCTGGGGTGTGTGCCTCAGCCGGTTTTATTATGGCTCTATCGTTCCCCTAATTTCTAATCCCCTAGTAATATGTTGGCTCGTTGGTACGAGGTAGTGAACAAGGATGGGGCCTAGACACGTTAGCCCCGGTAGGGTAGGCTGCTGCTTGGTCCCACCGCCCGCGAAAATTGCGGATGCTGCCCTGGAGGCTGTCGCATGCTCGGGCTCCAACTTTTCTTTTTCTTTTTCTTTTTCCTTTTGTCTTTGGCGCTGGTGGAAGGGAGGTGCAGCGTCACCAAGAGGTAATCTGCCGCTAGCCATCATCATCATTGTTTCTTTTTTTTTCCCCTTCCCTTTCATCCTCGTCGCCTCCTGTGAGACTCTCTCAACACCACAACAACCGTTCACCGTTTCACACCCTGTTGAGGTCGACCAAGCTCCCAGTCACCTCGCATTTTTTACATTCTTCCTTCTCTCAATATTGTACGGATGATTCTTTGGTCGTCAGAATTTTTGATGTTTTGGCTCTGTCCTCCCCTAGCCCTGGAGCCATCGCATTCCAACACCTGGATGTTCTAAAGGCAAATATGGATGATATCCCAACAATGGACCCCCAGCACCCACGCCAGCCTTTTGCCCGCCCATCAACATTTGGGGCTCATCCACCATCAGAATCCAGACACACCCAGTTGCCGCCACATCTATACGGACCGGGCTCGCTACCAGCAAATGGAAGGTCTCATGTAACCTACGATCCGTTGGGGCGACGTGAAAATGAGATCCCACCACGAGCACCTCCCGGGCTCCCTCCGCCGTCCCCGGCCTATCCATCTCACCCTTACCATCATGAAATCGTTCCCCATCCGAAACCATCACCATCGCCAGGTCCCTTCGCATCTCTCCACCACGAACCCACGTCAGGTTTCCATTCGCGCCATTCGAGTCGCGGTTCGGTTATAAAAAGTGGTGATGGAGGAGTGAAGGAGCCAAGCAACCCCAGATATCGTGAAGGTAAGGGAAATATTTTAAAACCCCGCGAAATGATACCTGTGAAGTATAGATCTGTGAATTCCCATCTTGCCGTATTTGCGACCATAACGAGATGTTATAATATATATATATATATATTCGTTGGTGGTTGCTCTTGTACCCTTGTACGGGGGGCGGGCCGGGAGAACAACAAGGCCAAGCGGCGCGCGCCAACATTAAGACCCTTCTTCGCTTGGACAGCTCCACACACGGATGGACAGATTAAAGCCCAGTTTGAACCATCCAGCAACAAGAAAGGAAGCTTCCAACTTACCCAGCCTGCCCAGTCCCGTTTTCCCAGCCTCCCATTCTCCTCGCCTCTGCCTGAGACTGTCCCTAAGAACCTACATACTCCGTATATATACTTTGTCTAGGGCTCATTCTCAGCCTCAGGCCAGATCCCAGCTGTCCCGTGCTCGGCTTACCTAATGCCCCTGGATCGGCTATGGTGATTGCTTCAGACGGGAACGCTAGCCGAATCTGGATTGACGGATCTCGGCCGTGCCCAGCCGAGCGAGTCCCGTGACCAGCCCCATTCCCCAGCAAACCTTGGAATCTGCAGAGCCGCGTCTTGTCTTTCCGCAGATGGCTGACCTTTTGCCCTGTTCTCCCACAGCACATCAACCTCATCAACCACCGCCACCACCACCCACCATGTCGTCGCGGGACATGTCACATCCCACACAACCCTACGAGCACGCTAGGCGACGGTCACTGGGCAGCAATGGCAGCTCCCCTGTCTATCCTGGTGAGTGTTATCCCCGTTTTCGCGCCGGCTCCGGCACCGGCTGCCTGTGAAGGTTCGCCCCTGGTGCGCGCGTGTGGTAGACACGCAACGAAAATGATATACAATGATCAAATTGGAGTTTTGATATCATCGTCTCTATTGTGGAAGCATAACCTATCCCCAAAGCTACCCTACTATGTTTGGCGGTTGTAATGTTGTGATGTTACCTCTCTCTGAAATGTGCTAACTTGTAGCCATAGCCTCGGGCCAAGTTGACCAGCAAGGCGGACAGCAACCCCCTCCACCCTCTTCCTCCTACACTAGTCGCCAAATGCCTCCTCCGTCCTCTCCTCAACATTACCACGCGCGTGGAGCCCCCATCCCGGGACTTCCCCCTCCCGCACCGTCCTCCTTCCCTCCACGTGAACCTCCTCAACCATCCGCACACCGACCCGGAAGCAGCATGTCGATATCGTCAATGTTAGGGTCGGATTCAGATCGTCCACCTCGGGATAGCGGCCCTTCCTCCATCTATGGCCGCCCCTCGGTATCCTCCGTTCCAGCAGGCTCCCAACAGGGAGCAATGTCGCCCCCCTCCGCCCCTTCGAGACAACCACAACCATCCTCTGATTTTCCACCTCTAAGACGCTCGCACACTCCAGATAGGGGTCTGTTTTCAAACCCCCAGCCGCCTCGTCCATACCGCTCGAGTTCTGGAAGCGCGCCGCAAAACCAACCCCAGCCGCCTCCTCCCGAGGATACCTCTCGTTTTGGGGCTTTATCTCGGCCCCAAAGTCTTTCCTCAATATACGGAGATAAACCACAGGCATCACAACCAACCCCTTCTGGGTTATATGCAGTATCCCCATACAACCAAGACCGACGTGGTAGCATAAGCGGGCCAATCCCACGCCCCAGTAGCCAGCCGCATCAAGAAGAGCCTCCATCGTCGCGAAGATCTCTATTCAGCCCGGGAACAAGGTCGTCTGGTCCGCATTTTGGAGATGGCTCATCAAAAGAGTCTGGATTACAACCTGCAGCACCTGGATACCCAGGGCCTGAGGCAGCGTCTCATGCCCAACGAAGATATGGTATCCAGCACCAAGAACGCCATTGCCCCGCGGAGCCGGTGAGCCGCGAGCAAGAACACAATGGCAGACTATCACAAGAAATGAAACAGCAACAACCACGGTTCGGATCGCATTTCGGAGAGCGGGAACCGGAGGGAGCCCCGCGGCCTACGTGGGATTCGAGTGGAATCCAGCGCCTGTCTCCCGAAGCAGCGCGCCATTCTATTAGCAATGACTTCGGTGGTATGCGGAACACGAAACCCCTTGGATCTCAGTTGCCTGGTCCTCGATCAGTTCCGGGGCCGCATCTGCAACAACAACAACAACGACCCGAGCCTTCACAACGCAATGATTCACAACAAAGCTCAAGCCTGAACAAGTTCCAACAACCCTCACGAATCTTCTCTCCAACTCTGGGCCCGGGCTCCGGCTCCCAACGACCTTTGGGCGGCATGGGCGAAGATCAGAAACGCAAGGACAGTGACGAACCCTTTCAACACCGAAGTCTCCTCAACCTTAACGCGGAGAATAAGCGAGAAGGGAGGTCATCGCCACTTCCTCAAGCTGTTCAAGGCGCACAAGCTCAAATAATCGGCCCAGCTGAAGAGGCTGGTATTAAGAGCGAACTTGGCCGTGTATTTTCGGGAATTGGAAGTGGTGTTGGTGTTTCTGCGGCTAGTCACCCGGGTAGCGGGCCATCCACACCCATGACTTCGAGCCCTTTTAAGAGAGACGGTATCGCTGCACGTTCGGCGGGGGCAGAAATAAATGAATCTGCAACGAAGCCAGCCCGAACTAGCGTGCCGGGACCAGCGCGACGTGGACGAAAACCAAAAGACGATGATATGAAAGGCGAGGGCGAGGGTAGCGCTGGAAACCGTGGTGCAGGGACCACCCGTGGTCGAAGGCCGCGGCATGTCCACCACCACCATCACCATGGTCACCAGTAAGTTTCTCTTATCTACATTTTCTCCTTGCACTTTGATTCTTTTTTTGACTAACTTTTTATCTAGCCACCATCACAGGCATAAGCTGGACGATGAGGCTTCTGGGTCTCTTGCTTTACAAAACGCCATCCCGCCGCCAGGGGTGGCTGGTTTCCAGCGATCACCTATTCACCCTGAAGGTACCGCTCTGTCCCCCTCCACTGTCGCTCCGCATCACCACCACCACCATCATCACCATGTTCCACGGTCCACCACTGGCGGTACATCCGTTGTCCCGCCGTCGACTTCAACCTCTGCGGCCCCGATACGAGAATACAGCACAATCGTCAATTTACAGCCGCTTCTACGAAGTGTTGCACATCGTCCTAGGTATCATCTCGGTTCTACCCTGTACGCCCCCAAGATCGGAGTACCTCCATCCCGGGCATCCCCGGAAAGTTCGAAATTCGGCTACGTGAGTACGCCAGTCCCTATTCCACGATTCGAAGGTAAAGAGAATTGTACGTATACTATCCGCGTCCCTCGGTTTCGCATCGACGCAAGCCATCGAGAGGAGATCTGCGCGCGACGAGCACTCTGGGGCACTGGTGTGTATACGGATGACTCCGACCCCGTAGCAGCAGCAATCCATTCTGGGTTCATCCGCGGCGAATGGGGAGAGGATGTGGATGTGTCCTTGCTAGATCTGGAGATCAAAAAAGAACATCAACATGCGCCCAACGGCAAGAACGGCACTACCACTGCACTGCCAAAACTTTCTTCCCTGGATGAACTAGGAGTCAAAGAACCTAAACCCTCCGACAAACCCGAAACAACAACAACAACAACAACAACAACCAACCCTACCACGAAGTCCAAATCCAAACCCAAAATCCCACCCCTCCCACCCCCTAACAAAGATCTACACATTACCCTTCTAATACTGCCCACCCTCGAACGCTACGACTCGACTGTGATGTTCGGCCTGAAGTCGCGCCCGTGGGGGGATAACCATGACGGGATGAGTTTCAAAGTTGAGCGGATTGACTGGGTGGATGAAGGGGGCTCGAAGGGGGAGGAGCGCGGTGGTGAAGCACGGAGGAAGCGGTTGAGGAGTATGATGCTGTCTGGGCGGATTTGTACGCCTGGCGGGATGAAGGGGAGGGGCGGAGTGGAGTTGCGGAATGGGTCGAAGATTGGAGGGATGGGCATGAGAATGAGCATGGGTATGGATGGGGGAGAAGGGGGAATTAAGGCTGTTGAACCTGTGTCGTGAGGTATTTATTGTGTTGGGTGATTTGTGATACATATATTTTCATTTCGCCCCTGTACCCTCTTACGCCCTTTTTTTTTGGATTTCTGCCAAATCTTTTTTCTTTCATATTTATACTTAAGTGTGCTTCTTGATATGTTCTCTTGATCTCTTTCTCCTTTTTATGGTTCCCTGTGTCTCATTTTTATCATTTTTATCTTTGGGTTTTTATTTGTGTGTTTTTCTCTTTTTTGATATCAGATACAGCAGAGCGTGTTACCCCCCTCCCATCAGTTTTGTATAGTTTGGAGTTTTAATTTGACTGGCTACGGGGATATTTTTCCCAACCTATTTTTTTCCCTTCTTTTTCTTTTCTTTTCTTTTCTTTTCTTTTCTTTTCTTTTCTTTTCTTTTTTCTTTTTTTTCTTTTTTTTTTTTTGCATCCCATCCTTACGCTTCGTAGCGTTGGATCCGCAGGAATCTCTCATCTGATACAGCTAGCGGGCAAATCACCTTATGGCGGGGTGGCCCGGGCCGGGATATTGGCTTAATCGGGCATTTAGGAGCGTCACCCAGCACAAAACTTCTGGGTGCTATTGATTGAGAAATTTTGTTCTTTCTTTTTTGTTCTTTTTTCCCCATCTACTTGACATCTCACAGCGAAATACAGAGCTGCTAGTAGAATAATACAATAAATGCCACCGTACCGTACCTTGGAGAGTAGAAGACATGTGACCTAGCTCCAAACAACCTCGGCACTCGGCGACCAGGCCCGCACCGCAACTCTCGCGATTATTCTCTTCGCGAGTCCTCGCTTCTTTCTTCCTCCCGACTAAGAATAAGAGACGGCGCAACTCTGCTCTCTTTTTTATTTTAGTTTAATATATATCCACCTCTTTTACACCCTCTTGTTCTCTCCTTAATCCCCTCTCTTTCTTCCAAATTCTTCGCCAGTTCTCAAGAGGGATGTTCCCTGCTGCTGCTCGTGGCCGGCTCTCTGTTCTTGGACGAGCTACATCTGCTCTAGGCCCTGCCCGCACTACGGTTCGTTTCGCCTGTGCTGTTCATCTCTCATTCGTGCCCATATCTAGCTGTTTAGGTTTTGATTTGTAGTTTTATGGTTGTCGTTGAAACACCCCCTAGCGCTGCTGTGTAGCTGACATTGTATGGCGATCTGTCTAGTCTATCACAATGGCCTCTCGTCGAGCCAACTCGTCTGTTCCTCAAGGTACATCTTATATGCCCGCATCCTACTTCCTCCATGTTTCCGGACAGGGGGAGGAAGGAGGATACTAGCCATTTAAAGCCTCTAATTGGCCTTGCGACTGATCTTTGGTTTGTTTGATTACTGTGATACAGGATACAAGGAGGATCTATCCAAGGGGAAGATGCTCAGATTCGAGGATTCTCTCCCGAGACTCCCAGTTCCAGCCCTTGAAGAAACCGGCAGACGATACCTCAAATCAGTCCACCCACTTCTCACCGAGTCAGAATTCAAAAGGACCTCCAAGGCTGTTGAGGACTTCATTAAACCAGGTGGTGAGGGAGAACCTCTCCAGAAGCGGTTACTAGCACGCGCAGCCGATCCTAAACATGTGAACTGGCTTTCCGACTGGTGGAACGACGCCGCATATCTTGCCTACCGTGACCCCGTCGTGCCATATGTCAGCTACTTCTACTCGTACCGGGATGACCGGCTGCGGAGAAACCCCGCAAAGCGCGCCGCTGCCATCACTACCTCCGTACTGGAGTTCAAGAAACAGGTCGACGATGGATCTCTTGAGCCAGAGTATCTGCGCAAGGAGCCAATGGCTATGAGCTCGTACCAATACATGTTCAATGCCTGCCGTATGCCCGCTAACAAGGCTGATTACCCCGTCACATACCCTGCCAAGGGCAATGAACATATTATTGTGATTCGCAAGAACCAGGCCTTCAAACTTCAAACCCATGTCAATGGCCAGCAACTCAATACCTCTGAGCTTCAGCACCAGTTCGAGAAAATTTACCAAAACGCAGAGAAAGTCCACGCAGTTGGTGTGCTGACCTCTGCTAACCGAGACTTCTGGACCACCGCCAGAGAGAACCTCGTCAAAGCCAGCCCCGCCAACGAAGCGTCGTTGGAGACCATTCAGAGCGCATCATTCGTTGTCTGCCTAGACGATGCCTCGCCCGTCACTCTGGAAGAGCGCGCCCACGCCTACTGGCACGGCGACGGCTGCAACCGCTGGTTCGACAAGCCCCTCCAGTTCATTGTCAACGAGAACGGCACCGCCGGCTTCATGGGCGAGCACAGCATGATGGACGGCACCCCAACCCACCGCCTCAACGACTACGTCAACAACATGATCTTCAACAACCGCCTCGACTACTCCAACCCAGAAATCCGCTCCACTCTCCCCGACCCCCAGCCCATCAAATTCGAGCTCAACAAGCAAGCCATTGACGACATCGCCACAGCCACCCACGCCTTCACGACCGTCATCGGCCAGCACGAGCTGCGCGTCCAAGCCTTCCAGGGCTACGGTAAAGGGCTGATCAAGAGATTCAGATGCAGCCCCGACGCCTACGTGCAGATGGTCATCCAGCTCGCCTACTTCAAAATGTACGGCAAGAGCAGACCAACCTACGAATCCGCCTCGACGCGCAAGTTCCAGCTCGGCCGCACCGAGACCACCCGCAGCGTCTCCGACGAGAGCGTTGCCTTCTGCAAGTCCCACACTGACATCAACGTGCCCCGCGAAGTCGTTGCCAAGAACTTCCGCGCCGCCGTCGTTGCGCATAGCAAGTATACTGCCGACGCGAGCCTGGGCAAGGGTGTTGACAGACACCTGTTTGGCCTTAAGAAGCTCATTGCGGAGGGCGAGAAGGTCCCTGCACTCTTCGAGGATCCGGCATATGCGTACAGTGGCAAGTGGTTCATCAGTTCTAGCCAGCTGAGCTCTGAGTATTTCAATGGATATGGATGGAGTCAGGTTGTGGATGATGGGTTTGGTATTGCGTATATGATTAATGAGAATAGGTATGTTCTTTTTTTTTTTTTTTTTCTTTTTTTTTTTTTTTCTTTTTTTCGTTTCTGTTTTATTTTTCCTTCTGGGTGAACCTAACTAATCCTTCCCCCCCAATCTAGCATCCAATTCAATATCGTCTGCAAGAAACTCGGCGCTGAGCGCATGAGCTTCTACCTCAACGAGGCCGCCTGCGAGATCCGCGAGCTGCTCATGCCAGATCTCCTGGCTGAGGCGGAGAAGGCCAAATTGTAAAAACACACTTGCTTCTTAATGTCATGTCAACATGCACGCCATTGTTGGGAAAAGAGAATAGAATATTGTTTGTGCTGGGTACTATTTGGCGATGGGACGGATGCGCGAGGGAGAGAAGAAGACAATGGTGAGTGCAGAGCGGTGGTCTATCAGCTGGTGAACTCAGTGAATGGTGGTGGTGGTGGAAGGTGACATTTGATGAATGGGGTTCTATTCATATTCAAAAAAAATAGCGCGCTTTTGAGTGGGGATATGTGTTATGATTTTACATATGGTTTTATTTTTAATTCTTGACATGTTGTCTTCCCCCTGCTGATGCTTGGAGCTTTTTTTCTCTCTTTCTTCTTTTCGCTCTCCTGCCCTGTCGGTTTGCTTTTTGCGTGTATATATACCTACATAGATAGATAAACCTCATTTTCTCTTATTTATTCTATATTTTTAATCCTATCTTCTCTTCCTTCTCTCTCTCTCTCTCTCTCTCTTTTTTTTTTTTTTTTTTTTTTTTTTACAGGCGGCATCGAATAATTGGCTATTTCGATAGTCAGGATGCTTATCTCCTCTCTTAATAGTTTGAAGCTCTGAATTACTGTTTGCCCCAATGCCCAATGCAACCTGTCAAGCCTGGAGGTAGTGATGCGTGTTGTCACAATGGATTAAACATTTTTCCTACCTAGGTGAATGATTCTTGGGTATCCTTTTCTTATATTTCTTTTGAACTTCAGAAATAATAGTAATAATAATGAATGATAGGTAATAATAATAAAGAGGGCTGTTTCATCAAATAATTGTCATTAGGTCCTTCATTCCCACGTTTTCACGAAGGTAGTTACGTAGGATAAAGTTCGCCGTGCTAAAAAAAAAAAAAAAAAAAAAAAAAAAAAAAAAAAAAAAAAAAAAAAAAAAAAAAAAACATACATATCGTAATCGAGAAAGGAACAAAAAACAAAATTTGGTGAATCACTCATCCTGAGAAGTGGCACACGGAATGAAGAGTAGAGACAAGAATAAGAAGACGAAAAGAGCCAAACAAAGCGAGGTATGTCATAGGTACACATTTGAACGCTGAACGCGATAACATGAGGAATAAAGGAACAGAAAGGAAGTAAGTACAAGAAAAAGAGGGAAGAGGAGACCGACTTTTATCCCTATGCCATCATTGGTAAGTCACACACTGTACGGTTTTCTTCACCGCCCCACAAAACATTTACTTCTAAAAGGAATAGCAATAGCATCATTCCTCCTAGGCAAAGATCGTAAAGCTATAAATTTGCCAACCATCTGCCTCACGATAAATAATTTTTATTCGTGTGGTCAATCATAAATCTGCATTGGGCTTGTACGGTACTTGAGACTGCGACCCGATATCGAAGTTGATGTACGTATCCGAAACAGATTTTGTTTATTGTGTTTGGCAATAGATAACGTTATGCGGGAGAGGGTGTTGTGTGTTTGGAGGGGCTGGTTATCGAATGTAACCAACGGATTTCAACATTGGGGCAGTTGTGTTAGGCATCCTTGCATGTGGCAGGATGGTACGATGTTCGGCATACTAAAGCTGAAATAAAAGACGCTCCTGTTTCAAGGCTTTTCTACATCCTCAGCAGGTTGCGGTGCTTGGGATGACTGCTCTGATTCGGTTCTAGCTGGAGTTGGAGGTACGGCCTCTGCATTCGATAGGCGAGATCCGGCGCTTGGCGTGTGAGCAGTTGATGAGCTTAGTTCGGCGACTTGGCGCTCTGTAATGGAAGTAGAAGAGTCAGTACGAAAATCTTAAAAGCCCTTTAATATCATATCGCTGGATGTGCAAGTATGTAAGAGCATACCTAGCTCCCGAATCCTCACTCGAAGCATTTGATTTTCCCTTGTTAACATCGCAGTTTCTGCTTGGTAGTAAGACGTTTCGTCTCGACTGCCGCGTCGCCCACTACCGTCTCCACCCATCGACGCCCAATCGGCAGTCCAAATATTAGTTTCCGGGTCCGAATGGGGAGGTACTGCGGGGGAATGACCAGAGCTGCGGCGCCGGGAAAGATTGGATGGAAATTGGGTTGAGGATCTGTGTGTTGGTAGCGGTGGTGGTATGGGAGGGAAAGATACGGAACGCTCAGATGTTGGCGTGGAATCGTCAGCGATGGCAGTCCCTGATGCGGCAGACTGTTGGTGTTGTTGCTGCTGCTGTTGTCTCTGCAGCTGGGCTTGCTGTATCCGAATCATTTGCAGCAGTCGATTCTATCGATTCTGTTAGATTTCGTCTTATTCATAGTGTATGTCCAAACATATTTTGCATTTGTAATTTCTTTTCACATACCACCTGCGCTTCCTGCTCCTGCTCTAGCTCCTGATGTATCTCACCAAGAGACGGCGTTCGTTGGTGGTGGGGGTCCCCAGTGGCAATAGCTGGGTTCCCGCCAATACTGGTTGGGCTGTGGGTCCTATAAGAACTTCCAATGGATGAACGGTGGTCACTACTGGACAGTTCGCCAGGACCCGGCAAAGTCGGGTCATTTATATTCAGGTTCATTGGCACCGTGGACCGGCGGCGCTCGTGCACTCTAGTAGCATGCGGAGAGCCACGGTTGGCACTAACTGAAGAACGTCTCGAGCGGTCTGTTGCGTTCATGGTTGCAGCCGCAGCAAGAGAAGTTGAAGAAGAACGAGGGGAAGGCGATTGGCCCAATGGAGCCTCCGCTGAATTCGAATACGCGCGTGGCTGGTAAGGGGAATGGGAGGTCGCGCGGGAGGGGGGAAGGGAGTTGATATCAGGAGGCATGGCTAGGAACAATGGATAGTATAGTATGAAGTATGGTGCCGACGATTCTTCAAGCTGTCAATCCAAATATGGTGGCCTAGATACACGTAAAATAACAGAATGATTTCCAAACGGACTCTGCAAGGAATAACACCGGAGAATGTTGGAGAAGTTGAAGTTGAAGTTGCAGTCGAAAGATGAAGCTATTTAGCGGGACAAAACTTCCTAAAGCGGACGACATGTCACGTGCGGGAATGTTTGGCCAATCACGTGGCAGAAATTGTATATGTGACGTCATAGTATGATGTAAGATTTCTGGAGTACTCCGTACAAGTTGTAAAGTTGTAGCTGTAGCATTGGGAGATAGATAGACATAGATATTAAAGTAATATCTGCTATGCATTGCGTACGCTGGAAGGATATCGTTGTTTGCTTTCTTGCCCTTTATCAGAAAAATTGGCTGTAAACGGGGTAAAGTTAAGGAAATAAACTACAAAACTCTGGAAATCCTGAATTTACCTCCTTGGAAAGGTTCAAAACAAGGAGTGAATCTTTCAACAGATATTGTCAAGCACCCATTTGATCTCCTCAGCGATAACATCCGGTCGGGTAAGCTGTACATTATGCCCACAGTCTGCAACATGCACAAAATGACACTTGGAGCTCAACCGGAGCTGCTCTTCCTTCAGCTCCCGGTCAACTTCATCCCAACTATCTAATAGATCACGAAATGCCTTCCTTTGCTCTTGCGTCCCATTCCCAACCTCTACACCTTTTGCATACAGTCTTTCGTAGTCCCTCATGCCATTGCAGCGTATAATGCTCACGGGTCTATTTCCCATGGCTTGTCTTTCAAACTGTCCCTTCACAGCCAACGTCTCACACACTTCAACAAACGAGTCTGCCTCAGCCTGAGAAGATGCCATTCCCCGTGGTCTCTCTATCGCTCGGGCCCGCCACTCATCTCTAGAGAGCATAGAATCCGCCCTCAAGCCCGTGACCTGCGCGAAGTTGAGACCACCAAGGACCGCGGCTACATTGGGGTCTGGGATCTGAAAGAACTGGCACTGTCGCTCTGTAGCAGCTTCTGCAAGCACCATGCCAGCCACATCGTTCTGGCGGATGTGTAATAACTCACGCGCAATTATGCCGCCGTACGAGTGCCCGACCAGAATGAAGGGCGGGCATATTCCAGCAGCGTCCAGGGCGTCACTTAATTCGCTCGCTGCCGATACTGCTGTTGGGCGGCTGGGACCATCCTCACTGCGCCCAAGGCCTGAGCGGTCGTACAGAAGGATACGCGCAAATGTCGAGACGATCCTTTCAAGGGCTGGGTAGGACCTGACAGTTTCCCCTGCGCCAGGCAGGACGACCACCACGGGAGCGTTGGTGCCTCGTGGTGGGCCCGAGACGGAGAGGAAAAGCTTATGTGTTTCTATGGGTACGAGGGAGGAGATGGTGTCTTTGTTCCAGTCTTGAGTGATGGCGCTGTTGAGGGAGGATGCAGTTGGTAACTCCATGGGATGATGGTTTGGTTCAATCTGAGCAAAATAAGTTGCTCGTTTGCCTAAGTTATCGTTAACTCGATGATCAAAGGCAAAACCTAACTATCGCCAAGCTGACGCAGGGCATGAGTGATAACTAGAGGTAACTTAAACATTTGTATGTGCAAAGCCGGGCGTGAAAATTTTTTTTTTCTTTTTTTTCTTTTTTTCCCCTTTTTTTTAATCTCCGGCTTTAACTAGATCCCAGACCCCAACATCCCACATTTTCAAGGATAAAAATTTGACAGCCTAGGAGAGTAGGAGCTCTATTCCTACACCCGTAGCAGGTGATATTAAGTCACACGATTCAAATTCCCGGCTTGTGTGCAGATACATCCACAGAAAATCAACAACACCTAAATGCTGATGGTCTTCGCCTTCTTCACGGTGTCAGATATCCACTGTCCTTCTCGCTGCTGTCGGTTTCATCGGCCAGATTGCCTGATGCGACAACACCGCAAGTAGCTGGATCTCTATAAGCTTTAAAAAATATCCATGTTTGAACAAAGTGATTTGCAGACATAAATGGAGTGTAAATGATAAGGGGTAAGGTTTCGCAAAGCAAAGAAATGAAATGTGAATCAGACCTTCCAACCATTCTAGAGCTCCGCTTGTTGTGGAATATTTATATCATAGAAAGAAATGAGAGATCGAGCAACATAGGCAGGGACATGTTGGGAATTTCAGCTTTCTCTATATATCACTTGTTTCTTCCAATGATTCTTCCGTTTAAGCCATTCAATTGTGCCCTCTTCCAGAGTACGCTACAGCAGAGCCCTGAGCGACGGGGGAGGTACATAGTGGTGTAAGTAGCAACAAAAAGACAAGAGGCGGGACAGCAAACAATCTTAGAGTTAGTACTAACAGAACAAGGGCAGAAGCTTCGGAAGTAACCCCAGGTCCGTATGTACATGTACACACAAACATGTGGTACATGAATAACAAAGAATTCTTCTTAGCCCTAGCTATTCCTTTTCCACTTCCTTCATGGGGACCAGTTTAAAAAGTAATCGCTTCTTCAACATTGGGTGTTTGTTTGTTGTTGAGTAGGAGTTTTCCTCTCACCTAGGCACAAACTTTTGCGTAATTTAGCAGCTCCTTGAAAGGTACGGCCACTATTTGCTTGTCGGACACCTAGGCAGTTTGAGATCTAACTACAAGACGCAAGTACGGAATTCCACTTTCCTCGTCGCAGCGGCTGCCGTTGGCACTCAAAGCGCCCTCACTGGGCCAGAGTAAGCACCGTGTTGCGAACCACAAAGCATTAAAATGTCGTCGTTAACCATGAACTCAATAGCAAGTAAAGAGTACCAAAGTACCAAAACCGAAATCAAGGGTCACAACCAAGTTCTGCAACAAATACAGGGCAGAAATTTCTAGAAGACGGAGGATACAGTGCATGAAATGTTCGAGTTTAAGACTCCCGAAAGGGGATCTTATAGCATCATGTCATTTTCCGAGGGTAATCAAATCTTGGATAGCGATCTGAGCATCAAGTGGTTCCAGGACATTATTCAGGGATGGGATGCACGGCTTTCAAGGGATACGATATCGGCCATGTCAATGGTGGAGCGGCGAAAACAGTCCCTCTCGCGCGGAGCGTGGGCATCAATAGCACTAGAGGCCTGGACTTCCATAAGCGCTTCAAGAAGCGCAATGTTGTTGCCTGAGCTTTCTCAGCTCTTACAAGGCACAGTTCCGCTTCTTCGCTAGGGATATCTGGATTGAGGCTATTTCCTGATAAAAAAGGGAATGTTTCGAATGGCGAGAGAAGCCTATCTTCTGTTTCTTACTGGACATTGTGCCATCTGCCAAATCACCACACGGCCGCACTCGTTTTATTAGTTAATATTCTGCTTCATTGGACTTGTTTAACTTTTTTCTTCTGAATTTTTGCATTGGATGTGTACTTACAGGGCATAAATCTTGCTGAACGTTGAGATCTTTTGAATCTTTAATCTGAATCCTCTTCTTACAAATTGAATCTCGAGGTGTTTGGATGCGCTAGATGGCAGGGCTCCAGCTAGTTACCCTCAGGGCAAAAAAAAAAAAGCGCAATAGCAACAAAGGCGCTAACCATCGAGTTCAGGGTTGTCGAATTCTGCGGATTATTACAGCGTATACTCTGTACTCGTCCCACGTTTGAAACGGAGTTGAGACACTTCACGGATGTTATATGTGAAGCTGAGGGTCGAGTCACGGAGCAGGATTCCTTCGTTGCCAAATGCTGAGGACAGGGGGAGGGAGGAGTTTTGTTTGACCCCTCTCATTTTGAGGCCGAAACGAATGGAGGGGCTAGAGTGCGGAGTAGACCTGGTTAGAAAGGGGAAAAATGTGTCTGTCATTCAATATAACGGAGGGCGACCTTCCATACATGTGGCTGAAAATTTTTTGGCTTGATATCGCTCCCCAACACCGTTCGTGGAGGGCATCAAAATACCAGGATTCATAAGTCCTTTTCTACAGTTAGCATTTTTCAATAGTTTGCAGCAACGACTTTTGCTGCAGGTGCACTCTTGCGTAGCATGAAGCCGCCGTTGGTTGCAAGCTTGAGCTTGGCGGCCATCGTGGCGGTGATCACCGCCCTAAACACTTCCGGGATCGAGTCACTGATAAATTGTGATAATTAGCAGCAGGGCACCAGGCCCGGCTCACTTTTAGGGCACCTCAAGCCTAGACCTTGCTGGGTTGGCGGTGCACTTCCCGGGGGGCTGGCGTCAGCTTGGGGGGACTCCGGGCCCCGGTAGCCTCGCCAGATTGGGCTTCGTCCGCCCGGAAAGTTCCCGGGGCTCCCCTACGCTACTGCGCCCCACAAGACTCAATTCAATAGTTCAGAGGTTGTCAAAGCTTTCTTGTTCTAAAAACAAGGGCTGCTGCTGTATTGGGATCCGGATCCCATAGGTATGGTATATGGTCCGTACGGAGTATAACTTTAACCACTATTGTCTGGGAGTCTGCGGAGATATGCATAGTTGGCCGTGCGTGCTAGTTGCTGTACGGAGTATAGAAGAATGTAGTTACTGTAAAGTAATGATGTATCCATCGTCCCGCTGGTCTCATGTGAACGTTCTGCATGTTGATGTGTATTATCTGCAAGGCTGCACGCCAGTCGAGGTTGGATCATCGGCAGCTTATGCAGGAACTCTGCCTTTGTCCTACAAACTCCTGTCTGTCAGCGCTGGAACTGCAATCTCGTCCAAATGCCTGGTTGGTTTGGGTGGATGGACTCAAATGCGCCGGTATTGAATACCACGAGTCACACCAGAAGATCGTACGGTGTAATAATAATAACAGCCCTCTCCAGCGTCGTCGTCGTCCAGTGTATTATTATTACAGATTTTCGGAGGGTAAAGGGGTAATAAATGGGTAAGACAGGGCTGGTCTTTGGCGGGTTAGCGGTAAGTTACAGTACCGCCCCATTCCTGTCCATCCGAAACTTCATCAGCCAACGCCCCCCAGTAAATAATAATTAATGTAATCCTCCCTCTCATCAATTGCTGCTGCTTCTTCTTCCTCTATCCTCTTGTTCTTGGGTCCAGCCAGCTGAATCTGCGCCTTATAAGTTATCCCTCGTCCTTAAATATACTCTCATAGCTCGTCGCAGCCTGAATGCCCTGGGAACCTCGATCCGACCCGCACTACATTATGGAGCCATGAGCTCGGACTCGTTTCCTGTCGTCCTCCAACTAACGGCTAAATTCACCCAGGTAGCTCGATTTACTAAGGTCAATTGAACAGTGCCAGGGATCTTAATGCCTAATGCATTCGCTATTACTGTGTACTATTCACAAAATACAGTCCTGTCGATTCCGCCGTGAAGAACTTCCTTTTCAAATCAGCCCTCCCCTCCCTTGCCTCGCAGCTCGTTGAACCAAGCTGAACCCCCCTTTCGTTATTTGCGCGCCGTGCTGACCCGTTTCCGCTGATTCCTACACCACCGCGAATGGAATGTTGGTTAAGAGAAGCATTGGCTTGACGATAAGATTTTTGAATGAGTCTATTTGACCTCTTGATGGACGCGATTGTTGGTATTCGAGCGCAAGCAACTGGAGAACGCAACAAAGTTCAAAGCACAGATCGTTTCTACCTCGACACTACCCACCGCGATCTTTCTCCTTACCCTGGGCTACCGTGTTTAAGGACAAGGAGAGTGATCTTCTGTCTCCACGGCACAGTTAATTTAGCTACCAGTTTGCACAACGAGATGGTTGGTGTCTTGGGGTTAACTCGTAATTAAACCTCGCATACAGCCCCTGACAGCTGGGGTAGCCATAGAGAAATGGATTCTCCCAGTGGCCACTCCGTGCTTGGTTCAAGAAGGGGTCTGAAAATCCGTCCAATTCAGACGAATATCAATAACCCTAACACTCGCCAGCAGCGGCCCCCTCGCCCGAATGATGAACCTGCGCAAGAACCCGCCCCAGAGCGAGCTCCTCTCAAACCGCAAAGTTCAAAATCATCTTTGAAAAATTTGTTTTCGCGCAATAAAACGAATCGCCGTTCCAATCATGAACATACCCTCCCTGCCATCTCAGAGTCACAGAAGGTGACAGCCGCGAGCATCATACCGGATACCATATCGTCACCCAATAGCCCTTCGACAACTCCTATGACACCTAAATCCTCAGTCGCAACATCTTCTCCTTTAACGGGGAAAACAGGATCTAGCAATCCTTCAAAGACTTCCAAGTCTTCAAAGGAGAAAGGGCAAAAACTTCAAAGAGCAATCACGGTTTGGGACCCGCCACCTCTCTTCCAAGCGTACCCGCAGGCAATCAAACAAGGCACACTTCCTGCCCCAACACTTTCCACAGTATCCCTTTTACGGATGAAGGGTCATCGAAGAAACAGTAGTGAGAAGGACGACTTTTCAGATGTTGACGCTGATGACGACAGGGCTTCCTCCAGGGCGGCCAAGAGGCGAAAAGATGAAAAGGACAAGAAACATTCGCGCAAGGCTTCAGGCTCCAACAAGCCCGAATGGACGCAGAAAATTTTCATTCTGGTCACGAGCGGCTATCTTTTACAATACTCCGGCGACGGAAGCTTCGATCGCCTACCTGAGAAAATGATGGAACTGGGTCAAAACTCGGTGGCGTTTGCGAGTGACGCTATTCCCGGCAGGCATTGGGTGCTACAAATATCTCAAACACTTGAAGAGGATGGAACAGTGGCCTTGGATACCAAAAAGACCTTCCTCTCCCGGTTTGGATTTGCAGATTCCCGAAGACAGACGAAGACTTTACTCTTGGTTTGCAATGACCCCGCCGAAATGACATCTTGGCTTACAGCTGTGAGGCGGGAAATCGAAGCTCTAGGGGGGAAAGAATACACACCCGAAACACCACTGAAGGAAACGTCTCAGGATTCTGAACAATCCCAAAAGCGGTTCATTCGACAATCTATAATACCTGACAAAACGCAATCCGTCCCTATGAACTTGGCAAATCCGGGATGTACGGAACCCTCTCCAGTGGTTTCATCACCGAATGGCAAGGAAGAGCAGAAGCCAAAAGGGAACAGACCTGCTGATGAGGCGTCACTGAGATCTACAAACAGACGGTCAATTCGCCCACAATCAGTCGAAGCTCCTTCACTTTCGACTACTGGTACGGTTACAGATCTCGATCGATTACGAGAGGGGTCAAGATTATCATATGTTTCAATCGGGACGAGGACTATACCAAGCTCCAGGGGCTCCTCTCCTGGTTTATCTCCGGCCAGACAAAAAGGCGTTGCGTCTATGACTCCCTGTGCCGAATCCCCATCGAGCGTTAGGAGTACAGTCGCGGACTCCAGCAGCACGCACATGTCAATCCATGCTTATTCCTCAAAGCAGTCAGAAGGAAGTGGTACGGACACACCAGGTGGATCGCGTCCAACATCAACTGTTGGCCCACTGATCTCCAGAAGTACCTCTCCTCCCAACTTCAGCGTGCCAGTGCTCAGCAAAAGATTCACATCAACGCATTCTGGCCCCCCTCCATCGTCGCGGAAATTCTACCAAACATCACCTCCCTCGCCGCGCATAATCATTCCAAACACCTGGAATCGCCTTTCTGGCCTGGATGACTCTGCGGCACCTCCTCAATTACCAAATGGCCAACCAGAATCGAAGAAGGCGTTTAAAGGACCAGATCATACCCAGCTGTCGGTTCCTTTTATTTTCGACCCAGAAACCCCTTCGCGCGCCTCTGCGTTGCCAAAACCAAGAGAGAGAAAAACAAGGCGGTATTCATCTTTCGAGTCGACTCGTGCCGCTTACAGTGTATCATCGGACTATCGCCCACAACTCTCACCCGTAACAAATGAGAGCAGTGAAGAGGGATGTAAAAGCGATACGCTATCACATCGCAATCCCCACCGAACGTACAAGCAAGTTGACGACGCACCTAAAAAAGGCCACGAAGAAGCACGACAATTACGCCGACCAATGAGCATGCAAATTGGATCTGAAGCTCGCCGCCGTGCAGAGGCAACGCACCCACTACACGCCACCACCACCCGCACGGGCTTCCCATCCCCAGATGGCCGAACTTCTTATCGACGAAACCGAACCAGCCTACCTCACCCGGAGATAATAAGAGATACTTCCCCGCCTAACAATAATCACCACCTGCCAGATCCCGACCGGGGTTCTCTGCAAAAGAGCACATCGCACTTATCTCTTGGCGCGCCCGTTGCACCTCCGCCGGATTTCCCGCTGCCAAAGGTACCCCCCAGAGTTGCCTCTCAGTTCAGACCTGCATGGCATGGCCATCAACAGCAACTAGCCTTGGGGCCAACGCATGATGAATCCGGTAGACTGCGGTCCAGGAACGGGCCGGATGGGCCAAGAAGTACGCATACGGTGATTACGCCGGTTGATCTGAGGGACGTTGAGAATTCGCCGCGGTTGAGTGGAATGACGGCTAAGGAGTATAGTATGGTGAATGCCTTTTAACTAGATGGCGATGGACACACACCCTGGTCATACTATTCTTACATTTCTTTTTTTTTTTTTTTTTTTTTTTTGACGTTGGAATCCCCCAGCGCCCTCTTTTTTTTCGTTCCCTAATTCATGACTCCATGTTCCACTTATCTATTCCACTACCCCCTTCTCCGCTTCATGTCATTGGGTATTATTGTCTATCGGATATTATTGGATGGGTATATACTAAAGTGAGATCTTCTTTTCTCTTCTCTGTTTCGCCATGCATGTACATGTACATGTACATGTACAGTACAAGAATAACCCCGATTACACCATTACACGTTTATGTTTTTTATGTTTTTTACTTTTTTACTTTTTTTTGCCTTGTTATATATATATATATTTCCACATATATCCACTCTGTCTAACTTTTTACGAACTTCACTCTGACGCATGCCATTTGTTTTCGCCCCCTCTTCTCTGCGTTATCTTTTCACTACGATATATCTATATATAAAGTCGCCAAGTCAGCACAATATACTCATTGATAATACATTTTATATCCTCTCTCTTCCCTTTGACCTCTGTCCGCCATCTGGTTTTCCCGCCCACCTGTGCTAGTTGTACATGTACATGTATGTACACGTACAACACAAGTGCAGTTTACCTAGTTTAGGCCAAATGATCTATGCGAGGGATCTGGTTATCTGCTTTCCGAGAAATCTTTATCACCTACTCAAGGAGAGCAGAGGGTTTAGTTGAGATAATCTGTGTTTAACATGGAGTGTAGATCGTCATATACGTAGGGCCGGGATGGAGACGACCATGTTGCGCAGCCTTATATTATTATTATTTATTTACGAACGGCGTGCTTAGGACAAAGTGGACCTGTTTGTGCCCAGCATGGCTTGGCATCGTTTACGTTACAATTCAAAAGTAGAAAAGAACTCCGATTATTTGCTGGAAATGGAACTCCATAAAGATTTAATTTTTATTTTCAAAATGCCCTTTTATTTCAGTAAAAAGATATGAGTTGATGGTGCGATCAGGAGCGGCCCAAGGGGAGAAAACTAGGAAAGATAAATAAGAAGAAATCAAGGAATAGTAAAACAAGCGTAGCCGGAAAGCCATGAATAACGGAGGAAAGCTGCAATTAGAAAATGGGGGCACACGAGGTATGAGATATGAAGTAAAGAAAAGCAAAAATTTATTAGAAATCATTCGTCATCCGCCTCTTCTACGCGAGGGGTAAGATCTCGCTTTATGGCTTGGCCGGCCGCAGCGGATGAACCCGATGCTACTCCCGACGAGGAACCGCCTTTGCCGCCGGAGGGAGGAGCTTTTACGGAGCTGACCGGTTTTGAGCCGGAGGATGAAGCAGTCCCTGTGCCTGTGCCTGTGTCGGTCTTTTTGGACTTCTTCTTTTTCTTGGTCTAGGCAAATTTTCAAGTTAGTAAATATCTTGGGTAAAAGGGAGGGGATGACCTGATTGATAACCAAAAAAGAAAGAGACGTACCTCTTGCCAACCCCAGACAGGTCTGAAGCTATCAAAGAATCCCACATCTTCAAACAGATTGGGGTACAGCCACAGGCCCGGTGGAACAGCAAAGTACGTAACGCAGAATAAGATGAGCCGGAATATCGACATGGCGAAAAATAGGCCCAGCAAGCCCATGACGCCGACACTCAGGTACCAAACACCCTGTCTCAACATAATAGGCCACAGCGGGAACATCACAACTGCCATGATTGCGACCAAGACACCTGCAGCCATTGCCTTTTGCTTCCACTGCGGGCCCTCGTATAGCCATACATAATGCATCATGGGATCTGTCTCCTGGTGCTGCTCGACCTTTACGGTCCAAAGGCCCTTCACGCGACTCTTTGGTTTCGCGTGGTTATGTCCGGCATGGGGGTCAATCTTAGATACTCGTAGGGCAAGGAGGGAGAGTGGGAGGAGCTTGAAGGCGTTTTCGGCGGAAGCCCAATCGGTCACGGGAGGAAGGAGAGACTTGGGTTTCGCTTGGGCTTTGGTGTATGCGGGCGACTGTATAGCTCGTATAGCTCGCTTGACTGGAAAGTTTTTTTAACATTTTACATTAGCTTTCCGTAATAAGCCTAATTTGACGTCCAGAAAATAATAGCAGACCTTTGAACAGCTCTCTTCTGCGCCCATCCAAAATGCAAGTTCTCGGTTTCAAATCCTGCGATTTGAGAAATTGGGCGACTGCAATCGCGCGGGGGTCAGGTGGTGCGTTGGAATTCATAGGGACGTGTTGCGGGTGTTGTCCTCCGTGTTCATGCGCATGTTTGGCTTGCTGCTGTTGTTGCTGTTGCTGTTGATGTTGTTGAATAGCCCTGGCTTTCAACTGGGCTATGTATTGCTCCGGTGTAAGACCCTGTTTCGCAGCGTCTGCGGCAAGCTGTTGTCGTTGCATATTGCTAAATTCCTCTGGGGTCATTCCTCGCTTTGCAGCTTCGGTTGCAAGGTGCTGTTGCATGGCAGCAATTTGCTGGGGGGTTGGCTGACCAGGAGCTGCCATTGTGTAGGAGATAATTATATGATAAGCAGCGGAAAGGAGTAAAGGCTAGAAAGGTTATTTCATTTGTTGTGGTGGTTGAAGTAGTTGATTTGTTGTGGAGGATCACTTCCAGGGTAAATAAATTTATATCCAAACTGTCGGAGTTGAAAGTGGCCAGATCAGAGACTGAGTCATGTGATACGGAAGCGTCTAGCGCGCTTAGATCTAGGGGTTTCTCAAACCTAACTAACTGGTAACTAATAAACGCTTCTTATGTCATCGGTTTACCCACTCCACTGTGTAGATTGCAATGAAGTGTGCGGCTAGTTCGGGCTATTTTCTACTGACGCCAAACGTCGGCGCAATAAATCATGCTGGCAATTCCTCGATTTTCAGGATAGAGAACGTACGGCCGCCTTTATGCGGCGTGTACCAGGCAACTTACGGCCATTTGGGAGCCCGTTTTCATTCCTTCAGGATGCTCAGGATCCTTCGCCACTATACCAGTTGAGGCCCTGAGAACATTCGTTCACGACATGTCCAAACCAGCCAATTACACGCCTGACAACAGCGCTCTTCTGGCCGCTCCATGGACAGTTGTGCAGCTGGTAAGATTCACTTTGTACAGGGATTTGTTGTGTTTATGAGAACCCTTTCCCAACTAACAAATATACCACAGTCCCAGCGTGATGTCTCGTCGCAAATCCCCATCAATCATGTTGCCCATCCAGGCGTCTATGTGACCTCTGCTTGTTTGCGCAATGGTAGATATGGGGAGCAGGATATGGTGAAATGCATTTCGAACCTTTTGGCACTTGACTATCGTCGTTTCCATGTCGATCTATATTGGTCTGGGGACCACCGCCGGTGGACTTTTTGTCCTGTTGCAGCCAATTCCCCTGTCCCGACTCGTCCTGTGTCTGGTCCTGGTCCCTCGCCTGCCCAAACCGCCTCAGCTCTCACTGATCCTGGATCGTACTCGTGCTCTGAGAGTCTTGATATCTCTGTATTTCTCAGTGTGCTGAAAAATTACTTTTCCGCCACTGACGATACCCTCAATGCTCATATGTTATATATTCTGCTTAATGTACATTCTGCCGTGTCTCTAGGCTCCTCTGACGAGCCTAGTAGTGCAGATGCTCTTGAAAAACTTCCTTCTGGTCGGGATCTTCTTGGGTCTCGTTTTAATGAACATTTAGGCCAGCACATGTACACTCCCAAGCAACTTAACGAAGAGAGAACAAACCTGAACCGGTCGTGGTACTCTGTTCCTAGGCTTGCCCATCCCATATCAGAATATTTCACGACGCGCAGAGACTCGAAAGGTACCCATAGCACTCCTGATGGCTGGCCATGCGAAAGCTATGTGGAAAGGTGGCATCTAAAACGATTTCTGGTTGGCTGGGGCACTATCGATCCTCAGATGGCGAACTATGATTTCAACAGCGATCGCAATCTTATTTTCCCAAGGGCCTCGCTTGCAGCATCCCAAAAAATTGACATATCTAATAGTAGCGATGCGAGTAGTGGCACTATAATCAAATCAGGGTGCCTATTCGACCCTCAATCAACGAACGTCGCTCTGAGCGCTTCATGGCCCGAATCAACCATCGATGAACGATATGATTTACACCCTCTACATTTTTTGTGGGGTGACTTGATCGCCTGTGGCATCTCACCAATAGTAAATGCGACACTCTCCAATGTGACCGCGAACGAGGATTTCAGACCTTATGAAAACGCTTCGCAAGCTTCGTCATGGGCCTGGGCACAGGGCGAACCGAATCCAGATTACTCTCCTTCAGATGTATTTTTATCTGATCTCCGATGTGCTCGGGCCGACGTTTCTTTCAAGGGACGTTGGTTCCCCACAAAATGCTCCGACGATCTTTATGGCGCATGTCGCGTTGGAAATGAGCCGTTTCAATGGACCCTGACATCTGAGCGAGTTTCCTATGGTTCTGTCGCGGTTAACTGCCCCGAGAACTCAACCTTTTCCGTGCCCCGTACAAGCCTCGAGAACACCTATCTATACCACTACCTCAGCTCTCTACCCAAGGTGGTACTCGACCCGTCGTCTGATGCCCATGACGAGCGTAGTGTTTGGATAGACCTTAATTCACTCGATGTGCCCACTTGTTGGATTCCCGGTGGTCCTGATGCTCAGTGTCCGTACGAAGTGGACGAAGATGCCGTTCAAAGGCGGACGGTTCTTGTACCTACAATTGCGGCCATCATTGTGTTGGTCATTGCCGCGTTGACAATATTCGTCAAGTGTAATTCCAATCGCAGGAATTCCCGGCGGAAAAGGGTTATTCAGGGATGGGAATACGAAGGTGTTCCATCCTAGTACATATGTTATCCCCATCACTTCGATGGGGTTGCGTTACTGGTTGATATGGTCTACATTTTTGTTGTATTGTTGATATTTTTGATATTTTTGGACATACTTCTTTGCATATATTTGCCCTGACATATTATTTTTTCTGATAATTCGTTCATATAATACCTGTTTTATATTTAAACATTCACGTTGTACAGGATTGGTCGGAAAAGGACCAAGAGAAGGGTATTTCAAAGTTTATCTATCAGATCAAAGCATTCTATTTAGTATACAGAGAAGGCACTGTACAATTAAGGAAAATATGTTATAGAATCCTCATTCCTCACATTGGATAGTGCAAATGCGGTATTTCCATCACACGAATACATCAGCATCTCACCGCAAAACCTCCAGCATTTCCTCTACCCGCCCAAATTTCTCCCTCACTTTCCCCGCAGCTTTCCCCCTTTCGATCTCCGCCCGGTCGATCCGTTCCCAATCTTCCCAATTCGTCGGGTGAAGTCCCAGCTTCCGCGCTGTAGGAAGCACCCCTTCCCAGCCAAGCCCCGAACTCCCACCTTCGGATGAATTAAGGAACGCATGCCCATGACTACTCGCAGTATACGATGCCCAATCAGTTGCAATCGCATCAGCGGTATCAAATGCGTCCGTCATCGTCGACGCGATGACGCCAGTAGGGCCCCTCTTTACCCACCCAGCACAGTAAAGACCAGGCACCTGCCTGGCCTCATAATCTCCAGACAATTCGGCAGTTCCGCTATCAGGCGTGGGAGGTGTTGTAATAACGCGCCCCTGGCCGTCATTGGGGATTATACCGCGCGAATAGTTGAACTGGATATCCAAGTCCTCGAATCCAGGAAGTGGAAGGGATTGGTATCCGATGCTACGGAAACATGTGCTAGTAGGGATATCGATGTGAGCAACGTGGCCGTCTTCTTGGAGCAGCGGGGTCACTCTTGCGGTCGGGGAGAACGGGTCCGCGGGGTCGAGTTGGTTTCGGGAGAATTTTATGTATGAAAGAACATCCGGATGCGATGGCGAGCCGTGGAAGGAGTGCGGTGAGAGAAGGAAATCGAGGGACCAGGATTTGGAAGCCTCTTGTGGTTTTGTGAGAGATCCTTTTGCGAGGAGTTGGGTTATGCGCTTTTGGACTCTTGGGAGGGATTTGATGCTTGACTCTGGAGGGAAGAGGTGCTCCGGAATAGGCTCAAAGAAGACCGAAGGCAGCTGGAGGATTTCTCGTACTTCTTTAATTGTGAATGCGGCCTGGGAAACAATACTTTTAATAATACATATCGTCATGAAACTGAAAAGCCTGGGGTATGAATAATATCCCTACCTGCATAGGACCCCGTCGCCCGACCACTGTGACTCTCTTGATTTTGCTCTTTGCCAATTCTTCTAACGCGTATTCCGACATATCCGTCTTTCTCAAGACATCAACGTCTGTTAGAAGCACTCTCGCAACATCCATGGCTACATTTCCCTGCCCAATAACCACCGCATCCTCCCCCGAACTCAAATCTGGAGCCAGATCCCTGCATTCGGGTAGCCCATTGTACCAGCCAACAAAGGCTCTAGCCGAGTATATACCACGTATAGTATTTTCGCCTGGAATTCTAAGTTCTTTATCCTTCGAGGCCCCGTAGGCAAAGAGTATAGCATCGTAGTGTGGCTTGAGAGAGCGCAAAGGAAGATCCACCCCCAGATCAATGTTGCCGATAAAATTAAATCGCGGGGATGTCGCAACTTCTGTAAATTTCTCCTGGCAATTCTGTAGCAATTGGATACGAGAGAGCAATATGCCCAGTTAGCGCAGTTCCTATTGTATTTACCCCTCTTCCCTCGCAATCTGCAAAAACGGGAGTTTGCGCACATACCTTCACCTCCGGATGGTCCGGCGCAACGCCAAAACGGACCAAACCGAATGGGACTGGGAGCTGCTCATACATATCCACAAATGCATCTTCAACCTTGGATATTAACCTGTACGCTGCATAGAAACCAGCAGGCCCTGATCCAACAACTGCGACCCGCAGCGGGCGACGACTTTGGACCCCATTACTGCTAAATTGCTTTCTCTGCAGGATCCAAGGAGTGTGTATTCTCGTTCGCGAAGCATAGAATCTGCTGGAGTGGGAAAAGCAGCGAGCGCATATGTTCCGAGCACGAGATACATTCATTGTGAACGTCGCGAGTGACATTTCATAGAACATATAAATTTAACCGCCGCAGAATGAGGTCAGCCCTATGACTGTATGCAGTAACTACTCCTTATCGGGGCGGTTGCCGCGCCAACAATCGGCTACTGTGTCCTGTACGTACAACGACACCACAACAGCGACCACGACCATATCAGCCCTCAGCGCCAGCGGCATCCCATGGCCCATGACACAGTTACATCTATATATCTCCATTCCTTTTTGCAAGCAGACTTTAACTTGACAACAGCGCATTCATTCATTCGTATATAAGTATTCACTCATTTTACACTCTTGCGCTGTCGGTCTCCCGTCGCGGCCATGGGACGAGTAGAGCCGCCGTTCATGTATGACCCACCGTCCCGCAACCGGTTTTCTGGTATTTCAGTTAACTTCGATCCAAAGGCTGTGACGCGGGCAAGCTGGACTCCGCGCGAGCCTCGAATGGAAAGAAATGGGCCCTTGGTGAATTTCAATAAGCATCCTGATTCTGTAAGGCCTCCCTTGGTGATCAAACCCTAGGTAAATCAGGAACGCCGTGCAGCTAACCTTTTGCGCAGTATGTTATGATTCCGAATGGAAAAATTAATAAGAAAACAATGAGCCCGAAGACTAAAAGCAGGGTGAAGTACACGAGAATCTTTCAATTGGTTTTGAGAGTATGTGCTTTGATCGGAGCGCTGGGAGTGCTGTTCTGCGTGATATGTATCAATAATATCGCTGGCGCAGCGGTGTGGATGATCCGTGTAGCAGTATGTGCTTGATTTCTCTAATAATGTCATTTTTACTATCTGCTGACTGCATGGCATAGCCTGGTGTGGCAATTCTACATACTATATACGCGATCTACCATCTATCTCGGTCTTCTGCTGCGCGTACTCCCGCTTCGTCCGCGAGCTATATGTTGTTCGCGTCTGTTATGGATGCTGGACTTATTCCGCTCTATGTTTTCACGGGTATCATAGCTCGAGTCGAACACACTAGCGGGACATATGGCTGGGGTACATTGTTCGAAACTAAATTGGCAGCGGATAAAATCATATATACGACATTTCTTGCTTGCTGCGTTACCGCGGGCGTGCATCTTGCATCCTTGGTTATATCCCTCTATCTGGCTGTTATATTCCGCAAAATCTCCAAGCTCCCACCAGACATGAATCCATTGGAAGATAACCTAACTTCACGCGGTCACAAGCGCACAAATTCTAACATCGCAGAGATCGCAGAGAAGCACATGAGCGACACCACGATCGCTTCTTCGAATTTTAACCGCAGATCCCTGGCAAAAGAACCTCTGATGACTCCTACGCGTAGCGTTCCTTTTATGCACACACGCGCTGATTCCGTCGAGGATATTGGCGATAGTCCAAGTCAATCATTCTATTCAGCGCAATCTCACCGGTATTCACGTTCAGACCTCCCGAGCCAACAGACGCGCCAGTATGAACAATCTCATCATACTCCAGTCGGTATCGCACGGACAATGGCGCGGGGTCGTGGCGGTACTTCATCTCGCCCTCAATCTGTTACCATAAACACCTCCCCTAAGTCGGAGAACTCGCGGCCGGTGTCTCCTGAAACTGTTTCCCGTGATCCTAGTGGTGTATCATCACTATCCAAGGAAAACTGGTTTGTTCACCGGTCATCTCCATCTCCTCCATTGCACGCCGACCGAGTTTCTCCGTTGCCTGATCGGCTCGGATCTCCCGATATGCTTGGGAAGGATCTAGGTGTGAAGGATTGGGAGTACACAAACGATTCATATGGATTTGATCGGAGTGGCACAGTCATCAAGCATCGTAGCAAGGATAATTACAGCCCACTCAGCAACTACTACGACGATGATGAAAATATTTACGACAAGGAACATACTGAGAATTTGTATGTCTATGAACATGATCTGGGTGATAACCAGGGCGGCAACAATACCTATGAGGGTGTACAAGATGATAAGACAGCATCCGTGGCAGCCATTAACCCACTGGAAATGAACCCTCCAACACCGCAGCCTTTCGAGAAGCAACACCTCATCTCGTATGGCAAGACAGGCAGTATCCGTCGCATTGCATTGACTGACGTACCGAACCCGTCACTCAACAGTCCACGCTACTCAACCCCAGCCAAATCTCAAAATCATGGCGATGTCGAACCCACTTACGAAATACTCTCCTCACCTTTCGACAGCAAGAACGACGCCCACGTCCCCCAAGGCTTAACTCCAAATAGTGCTGCGAAAAATTCCACCCCAAGCATAAAGCGATGGACGTTAAGAGGCGGTAAACCATCTGCCTATGAGTCTCTACAAGCGGACGATGACAGCGATGATGGTCGCGATGCCAGCCCTGCCCACCACGATAGTGACCGCAAGGGACGTGTGGTGAGCAATTCCGGCATTGACTTGGGGTCAGGTTTTGGATCTGGCTCTCCTGGATATGGTAGTTATATTGCCGGATTGGGCGTTGGGAGGAGACGGGATGTTAGCGGGAAAGTGGCAGAAGAAGGGCGAGGCGGTGGAGTTAACACCGTCGCTGAAGAAAAGGAAAAGACTGCTGCGAAGCCGAAAGGACGACGGCTTTCGAAGTCCGGCGGTAGTGAGATTAAGGCTGCTGGGTGGGCGCGTTTTAAGGGGTTATAAATGCTCTCGCCATACTCACCTACCCCACAGTTTGTTTTAACCTCTTTTATTCTTTTTTTTTTATTCGACCAACAGAGCAGCCTGTGTTCAGTTCATGATTCTTTTGTTTGTCTGATCTGCTCATCATTTCTTGTTTGACCCTCTCCCCCATTTCCAATTGCTTTTCCTAGGACGACAACAAACGGCGTTGAAAAATATTCCCCCTTCTTTTCTGCTTTATATGGATTTTGTTATGATTTTGATTTCTTATATTCCATATCTCCCCTCTGCGTCTGGTATTTTTTTTTCTTTTTTTTTTCTTTCTTTTTTTTTTTTTTTGTCTTCTTGGCTATTTTGGGGGATTTATGACTTTGACGAGCACGCGAGGAATATGCAGTTATTGGCCAAACTTTGGTTTGAAATGATATCCAATGTATCTTTTAGGTAGTTAGTTAGAATATTAGTTTCTGATACCCGGTGTGCCCTACAATGGAAACGTGAATTTGAATGAGCAACAAGAATTTGAGACGCATACAATAACGATTATTAATTGAACACACAAGGGAGTTACCTAGGTACATACGGAGTATATCTTATCATAGTAGCATCTGCTCTCTCAATGGTCCCGAGATCCTTTCCGCTTTAACCAACACAAAACAAAACAAGCTGTTGAAACTATATTCTCCAAAACCTCTCCTCCGAAGCGACTATATTCCTCTTTGCAAAAACCTCACTGTCCGCTTCTTCATGGAGAATCAGCATACCCCTCGAATCGAGCATTCTCTCAGGCATAACGTCTCGTAGATAATCTTTATCGACGGGGGGAACATGTTTTGTCCATTCTGGCCCGTGCTCTGGAATGTAAGGGGCATACGGATCGTTCACACCATCCCAAGGGCCAGGAGGGACGTTGTTTCCGTCTCGCCTCAAGCCCTTGCTGAGCTTGAAATTGAAAGCCTCAGGCATAGACTCGACAAGGCAGGCAAGAATCGCATAACGGATGGGGTCCGGGTCCTTTGGGTCAGGAATGCGCTCTAGCTTCCAGGAACGTTCACTGCGGTACCAAAAGTATTCAACTTCGTATCCGATCACAACGTTCATACTGTCTCCAGCCATCGCGGCCTCATACATGCGATACAGGGAGCGCAGGGGGGTATCATGTGAGCACCAGAGTGGAATTGCTTGCAGATTTTTGAGGTCGCCTTCACACCGCCTTGTCCAGCACAGGGATGGATTTTCAGCCAAGATCAGTGGAGGGAGAGGCTCGGGTATTGGATATGACCATGAGGTCAACGATGCGGGTAGGAAGAGACGCAGCAGCGCAAGGTATGGGCGCTTGTTCCGATGGCGAAGACGAACAATACTCCCTCGAAGCTCCAAGGGGCTCTCCTTCGATTTCCACACGCTCCACTTCCGTCTCCACCAACTTAATTTACGACGAGGACGCTGGTGGCGAGATGTCATAGCTGGTGACTCTGCTTTTGAACACGGGTATTCGACGGAGACTAGCGATGGAGATGGAGATGGATATCCATGGATATTTTGAATAGGTTCAGACGGGGAACAAAGGTTTGGGGAGATGATGGCAGACATACGCTGTAGTTAATCCGTGACTTGACAAGGCTTCGTCATCTTCCAGCACAAGCACTTGACCAGCAGCTAAAACTAGTTACCGGGTATTATTAGGTAGTTAGTTAGTTAACTTAAATTTAGCCAGTCTTTTATAAGAGGCTAGTCTCAAATAGACAATAAGCTAGGTAACATTCTCTGTGACCAAGGATTGGCTTCTGAGAATTGGACCTTACCAAAATAGTCTTAGAGTCAGTAGCAAGAACAGAGAGGAGAGGCTGAATGAAGCCTGCTGAGATACGGAGTAGTTAACTTCTAGAGGTAGTTAGCTATAAACTACCTACAACTACACAATAACTACGGATTAATATATGATTATTATACTAACAAATGCGCTTGGCATGGTTACTAAGTACTTGTGCCTTGATCAGCTATGCTATGTGACCCTTTGGCTACCAAGGCCGCTCTCAACATTCCACATTCATTAGGATTGCCTGGAAGGTCTCAACGCCACGGCCGAAGTGAGGCTACATAAGTCTGATTGGGACGGTGAGAGCGGCCTATCATCGTAGGCCTGTAAAGCAGCTGAATACTGCAGAGTGCAGAAGCCTGACCAGTTACAAGCAATGGCAATGCACCTGCTTTCCCATGTTTGCTCGCCGGCTTGGGAGCCACTGCTCCAGGATCTTCCGCTGCGGGGTAGAGGCATTTATGTCTAGACTAACTATGCAGTGCCTGTATGTGTATGTATTGGAGCATCTCAGGCTTTTCGATAGAAAACACATGGTGTGGCAGCTTTCGCTCTTTCAGATATACAAAGTGCAATACTACCGATCATTTCAAAGCCTATCAGAGTATCAACAAACCCCAACACCGTCCCGTAAACACGGGACCATTCCTATTGTAACCACCTCTCCGCCATCACAAGGCGAAGCATTAAGGGTCTACCTATCCTCAGGTTGCAAAATTTTTACGAGGGGATCCGAAAATTTGAAGTCATGGAAGATAGAGGGGTGGTTCTGGATAAGGATAAAATGAGTCAAGGTAACCAAGTCAAATTAACTGATACTTTGAAACCATTGCTGACAGAAACACAATAGGGCTCGAAGCGTTGGATAAGGCATTAGGGGAAGATGAAATGATATACGCATTTTCTCCCATCACGATGGTCTCCGCGGGCGGCTATCTCGCGGTTTCATATTTTCAAAATCGCTCGACAACGGAAGACATCGATGTGATTATTGATCCGGAACACGCTTCTGATAAGGAGTTGCTTTGCAAGATGCGAACTGCCATGGTGACAGTGGGGAGAGACTTGGGCTTCGGGAAAAAATGGATAAATGACTCAGTTGCTCTATTCGTCTCAAAATCTGCTCGCAACTCCATCTTTGAGGATGCAGAAAAGCAAAACATTGTTCTCTGGTCTGGTGAGAATTTACGCATACTGGCGGCACCACTGGAGTGGGGCTTGGAGACAAAGCTCCGGCGACTCTCTACCAAGCCCCACCATCTGAAATCCGTCACCGATACCGATGATGTCTTGGTCATTTTGAACTCCCTGATAGATCGAAATAAGGGGCTGCTAGAAAGAGATGCTGTTCGAAGGCTAAACAGAAATGGATTTGATGTCGCCATTTCGTATCATGTTTTGGATCAGATCGCAGAGGCATATCAGCAACGATATGGAAATAGCCCGTTTTGCTAAAAACGCCGATGACTGCTTCAACTACTCCAATTTCACCGCTTCGGTGGTGGAATGCTCGGAATGTGTTTTATGCATTATGTTTCGTATCAGTTGGTGAGAGAACGAGACGGAAAATATGTCTATATCTCATTTATCTTGGGATGCGTGACGTTGGCTCTCAGTACTTGATCCCTTTTCTTTCAAAGCGCTCATTATGAGATACTCGATGTAAGCTGCTGCATTGGCGGAGTATGCGAGCAGTGGGCACCATTCACAGGAACCAATACTAGCAGATTGGAATATTATCTACCTGTTGCCTGGCACTTTCAGATTAGTTAATTTCTCCCAGTTGATCGAGGACTGATTCAATCGCCCCCTTTAAGTGCATTCTAGTACATTCTTTCTATTGAGTGAAGGATGGAATCGGTTCACTCCCTACTTCCACAAATATATCTCCCGGTACTTTCTTCTGTTCTTCTTCTCTCCTCTTTTATTATACTGCGTCTGAGTACTTCATTAGGTTTGCAAGCAACCTTAGCTCCCGGCTCTCAAATTACAGTCGCGCCGCGCATTCAAGCAAATCATGGTTCCTAGCCGTGCCTCAAAGAAGGCAATAACCTGCTACTATTGGCACGATGGTAGATGCAAGTATACAGCGGATGCCTGCATTTATGCGCATCGCGATACCGGCCAGGTTGCGAAGAAACCACTGCCTACTGCCAGGTCTGGTATGGATACGATTGCCCTACCCTTCCATATTGCTACTCCTTTCGGGATTTGGGATAATCACTTACTGGTATTAGAGCCCAGATCAAACCAAAGGGATACTATGGACCTAATTTCGTTGGTGGGTAATGACGACATTATAGAGGATGCGGTATGAGTTGACACCCCTTAGGGAATAATACGATCTCGGTGCAATTATATCTTACATATGCTAAGTATTTTAATAGATTTCAAACGCTGCGACGGAGAATTCGCCTTCCAAAATTAAATCAACTACTTCAGCTGAAGGATCTGAATGCCTTACCTTGGCTGAGGCTGTTATAAAGGCTCTTCAGTCTAATATGGACTACACTGGCATCAAGCGCATGCTCGATACGAATCCTCCTGAACGTGTGCATAAAGCACTCAATAAAGGCATCGATGGGTTTTCCGCCATCTTTGAAGCAGTCAAACGGAACAACCCCGATATTATAAAGCTACTCGTTGAAAATGGAGCTAATCCTAATGCAACAGAGCATAACTCTGATATTCCGCTTCTTGCATTTGCAATTTTGCAAGAAGCAACGTCAATTACACTTATCCAAACGCTCCTGAGCCTTGGGGCGAATCCTCATTCTATTCCTCGAGATTTGTGGGACGGAGGTAACAGCAAGACATTCGGCGATGATGACGAGTCACTGGCTGGCGGCGACTCAACGCCCCTGACTCTCTGGTGCGGTAGTTTACACCGCGCCTCACTTCTAAAACGAATGGACTTTGGTCTGAAATATCACCTTCTGACCTCGAGCAAGCTAATCCCTCTAACAAAGCAGGAAAGACAGAATGCTGATATACAAGGGACAATATCTCTCCTCCAGGCCCCATATTTCTTGATCGGGCAGAGCCTCGCTATAAAACGCGTGACCGAGTATGTCCAATCTCATCTTTTACTTCCAAACAGTAACGGGCCATTATTGCTCGCATTTGTCGGTCCTCCAGGCCATGGCCAGGCACAGCTGGCTGCCAGTGTTGGCAAAGTAATATCTCTTAGCGCAATTGTTACCCGCATGAAAAAGATGAACAAATGCTCTGTTACCGAACGTATATCCTCTAAGGAAGTCTCCGCTCACCAGCCTGGCGGATTGGAAGTGGTGTATATCGATGACTTGGACAAAATCGGTCGTTCGAATCTGGTTACGCTCCTAGATGGTCCCCCGAAAGGTGAGTTTATGTTGATACTCAAAACTCATTTTGCCCTAAACCAACAAAATCGAAGCCTACCGAGTTCTACTCTTATTAAGGTTGATATCGAGCTATGCCAAACTAACTTCTTTTTTTTCGAGTCACTCCAGAAACCGACCGGGATAAAACTAACAGTAGCATCTCCGATAACTCGAGAACCATCTGTATTCTCTCTGTAACCGACGGTGAGAGCACAATACTCGATTTTTACGCAAGATATCTAAGAAACACCTCCAAGAGCGAATTACACTCAGCGCCCTGGAACGAACTAGACAAAGCGCTGAAAAAGGACCTCATAAAAAGCTATGGTGTATGTTTAGACACATTCAACTAAACTCCCTTTGTCAGCGAATAATGAAAAGCTATATATAGCCTTAACTAAAGAAAACGAAATTATACAGTCCTCCCTAACTTGCCACGTCGATGCCATAATCCCATTCTTCCCCTACTCCAGTTCTGAAACCGATGTGCTGGCGTACAAATATATCCACGACTTACGCTCTCGCCTAGCCACTACTACCGCCCCTTGCGACAATGCCTCCGCTGCAAAACCTGCAGCTACAAATGCATCCGTATTTCTGCCCCCTATTCATCTTGACCTTGAAGGCGATGGCAAGGCAATCTGCACGTATATTGCGAAGAAGAGCTACGACATGAGTCTCGGGGAACGATCTATCCAACAGGCAGTTATTAGGGAAATCCAGCTGTCGATTTTCGCGCAGTGGATGAAGAAGAAACCTGAGGCAGAGGAGAGGTTGGACGGACGTGGACAGTCGCAGTCAGAGACACAGGCACAGGCGCAATGGTGTTCCGGGTTGGGCCTGGGAAGGCCTCTTTCCTCTTCGTCCAACTCTATTTCCGGGGGTACACATGCCCTGCCCACTAAGGGGATTACCAAGGCCGTTGTTAAGTTGCTGGCGGCGAAGGAGTATCCTGAATTCATGGTGCCTAGTGGGAACGGCCGTGTGTCAATTTCAGTATCTTTGGAGTAGGTAAGTTTGGGTCAAACTAAACTAGCAAACTAGCAGAGCGTGGTGACAGTGATTTTCTTTTTTCTTTTTACTTGGTTCGAAAATGGAAGGGTGTATTCCCGTTACCATATTAAAATGAATAGGGGGCTACCTAAATTTAGGATGGGGACAGCTTGTTGGAACGAATGGGGAAGACGGTTCCTATGGGAGGTATTTGCTACTTTTGAAATTGTTTTTTGCTCAGGAATGTGGAGAAAAGAAAAAGCGTCGCATGAAACTAAATTGGAGGGGAGATGTCTAATCTGAAATTGTGAACAGGAAAGAGAGTTTTAGCAATAGGGAGAGCTGGACAATCAGAATATTTAAGTGAATCAAATTTGACCATGGATTGCTCTTCTGTGCCTTTTCTCCTCTACTGATAGCCAACTCACTACCCCCTGGATATGATATGCCATCCTGGTAAGGAGACAAGGATCTCGCTACAGAATGATAACTGGATATTTACCAAAATCTAGACAAATTAAGGTCATATATTTGTTCCCTTCACCCTACTTCAAAGTCGTAACTCATGATGACATCTGACTTGGGAGAATTAAACAGGAGACTGAAAATGTAAAATGTCCCTTTAAGTTAATATTTATATTTCATATATCATCGAGGATATAATCCGCACAAGAACAAGGGGCGTATTCACCCATACATACGAAAGTCATTCCTAACCTAACACGCAACACTACCTCATAAAACCCTAAGACCTCCTGGCTATTATTGTACCCCTTTGGGATTCCAAAATTAAGGTAAAGGGAAAACGAGGGGAAAGATAACCTTCTACACGATCAGAAGTCCTATGCTTAGATGTAAATACGAAAGGAATTGGAGGAACGGGAGAAACCTAAAGCCGCAGGAACGGCTCCGTGGGTAAGAGAGGATGGATGGAAATGTTTGACGATAAAAAAAAAAAAAAAAAAAAAAAAAAAAAAACATGGAAAGGACGATAGAAATCGCGGAATTGAGTCAAGGGAGGGGAAAGAAAAAGGCGAACAGCAACGAAACAGGTAAAATCTCATGAAAAATCTTCTCCAGGCTCTTCGATATTATTCTTGATACGGAGTAATATCGCCGTCTTCCACTTATCGAGCTTGCTTAACTGATCGTATTGGAATAGCTTGTCGCCAAAGGACTCCGCGTCGCCCTGCTCAACAGCTTGCGCCAGATCGACAAGGAGCATGTGTTCGCGAGTCGCTGTAAACGAGTTATCTAGGTCTCGGTAGTTTTGCAGAGCGCGGTTGGTGGCGACGAGGTCCTGCGCAATAAAGTGGAATAGTTTTAGTTGTCTTGGCTTAAGCTTGAGGAATGGGGAAAGAAAATTGGCTGGCTAGGGATTTCTTACATTTGACGCAAGGTGGCAGATGCCAGCTTTCAAGAAATAGTCCTTTACGGAATATTTCATCAGGTTATTGTTAATAGAGGATTTGGCGACACGCTCGAAGTGCTCGATGGCTTTGTAGTAATCCCCCTTGAGCGCGGCAAGATCTGCGACTTTGAGATAATGCTTGTTCGCCAGCCTGTTAAGAAAAATATATATATATCCACGATTAGTATATACCGCTTTCCTAAGAGCCTATGTTCCTTGAAACAAGGCTGACGAGGATACGGAAAGAACGCTTACGCTTCCGCGTTATCTCCTTCAAACCATTCCGCGGCCTTCTCGTAGGCTTCCAACGCCCGTCCTTCATCGCCAATTTCCACCTCGTATATTTCAGCCAAGTTCTGTTGATGGGTCGCAGCCCGTCTGAAGTTTCCCTTAGAAATGTAATGTTGAATAGCAACCTGCAGCACGCGGGCGGCATCTTCGGGATCCGCCTTTCGGTATACTTTAAACGCCTCAGTGAGGGTGTTGGCCGCGTCGTCTGGTTCGTTGAGGTTGTTGGTGAAAACAGCTGCTGCTTTCTCAAACGCCATGCCCGCTTCCTTATCTATATTACCCTCGTGTTAGCTATGAATTCTTGTTTGCGACGGTTCCTAAGGAAAATGGTGAAGTTGAGCAGGCAATGCCCGAGCTGAGGGGGGATGAGGGTAGACCAACTCATCTTCTGTGCCCGGAAGGCATTGGCGGCTTGTGAATAGAGGTCTGCAGCATTTTCATATTTCTCTGTTCGTCCGCCAAAAAGACTGAATCCACCTGAAGCGCTTTGGAGCGCTTTATCTGCCTGTCATATTTTCAGCTTGTTGGGTCTAAAACGGGGTGGAGAGCGGGGAACCAATATCATAGCCCACCTTCTGCAGTAGGACCCGTGGATCCTGTGCCATGATTGAAACAGTATAGGAGATATGGGCACACTGGAGAATTCGAAAAGCCCGTAAAATTACAGTCTGATATATTGGATGGTTGGGATATCGTAGATTTGGGATGTGTATGGCGGCTCAAGTCGAGGATTTGCTTGATATTGGGTTATGTTGTCATGGGCTTGGCGGGGTCGAGCTGACTTCACTACGTTAGTTACGGCCACAGCATCTAGTTAGAGCCACGACCACGCTAGAAAACGATATCGGCATTTGGGTTTAGAGTTAACTACAGCGTAACGGTTATACAACTGCACCGCTGTCCGACACATCTAAGTGAACAAAAACGTCCTACGGGACACGTATTAACAAATTCTGTCTATTTTAACTCTTCTACATTCTACATAGGCTCAATGGCTCTCAACCGCATCTGGTCTGCACGACCACTCCTGCAAACGATTCCCAGAACAACACAGTGCGTGGGCGCGAGAAGTATTCAACAGAATCCGCCGTCAGCAACCGGTTCCACTGAAGATCCAGCTTCCATTGTCTCGAAACCAAGTTGGTCCGTCAAATCTCTCCTACCAGAAAGTACATCCCTTCCCCAGTCGCGTACGATATCTTCAAAGCAGCTCCACCATCTCCTCCGGCTTTCCGCACTTCCACCACCCTCAAGCGTTGAAGAAGAGGAGGAGATGCTGAAAACTCTTGAATCACAAATTCATTTTGTGAAGGAGGTCCAGAGCATTGATACCACGGGTGTTACACCGCTGCGAAGTATCCGTGACGAGACCGAGGAAGCACAGGAGGAAAATAAAATTAGTATAAAGACCCTCGATGCGTCTCTGAAACAAGAGCGCTATATAGGACGAAGCAGACGAATTCACCGCACAAGACCTGAGAGACTTGACAACCCGGAAGGGGAGGTGTGGGATGGTGATGCCTTGAAACCAGCCTCGAAAACAATGGGGAGGTATTTTGTGGTCCAGTCAAGCTAAACGAATAGTTCAGAAAACGACGGCGGATATAGAAGATAGAACCGGTCTTCCCGTAACTGCATTCCACACTCATCCAACATTCAAATATCTCCTCACCTTCGTGCGCGTCATCTCATCGCAATTTGTCGATCTTCGTACAAGGCTCCTGCCGCAGAAGCTCCGTGCTGACTCATCGGGTTGGCAGCCGTCGTCCACTTCGCCTGCTTCGTTCTTCGGTACATCTTCCATCTTCGCATCATCATTTGTTTACTATACTGTACAACATTACCCTCAATTCGAATACTCTATCTTCTACCACGATTGTTTACTGGTGCTTGAACCCTGTGGAGTTTGGATTTCGCGCAATATAGGTTAATTACCCCGGTTCCTACAGCTTCCTCTCTCGACAGTGCGCACATGGATTCGCCAACGTCATGGAGCGGCCAGAGCGGCCCGCCGGAAGTGGGAAGACAGACACAACAAACACAGATTGATGTTGACCTGGCATCCATCCTCAGCCTAAACGAGCGACAGGATCTGGCCTTGCTCATTGTGGATATTATGGATCAGATGCAGCAAACAATTTGCGATCATTTCAACATGGAGCATCCGAGGCCTCAGCCAAATGATAACGAACTTTCCCCAGACAACCCCGACCCGAGTACTCTCAAGCAAGAGAGCCTGACCCCTACACCCCGAAAGTCATCTACAATGGAAGTCAAAGTTGAGGCGGAAGCATTTCGGTATTTTAGTGCCTGGAAAGATTCAGTCACTTATCGCGTTGGGGATATCATAAACGCCCCTGATTATCCGGAGCTTCGCAACAGGCAGCAGCAGCACGAGGGCCAGATTAATGAGAGCGCAGAGAGCACCACCACCACACCTGATACTTGCAGGTACCCGCCAATCGAAACCCCCCTTAAGGAACTTCCACGTGCCACAAAATTAATCATTCTGCATTCGGTTCTCCTTTTACTTCTAAGCCTTCAACACTACAGTGCACATTCACGAGTCCTTCTGCTCAGAATGGTTTCCAGCCTTGGATTGTCAATAGATGACCTGGTTAACGATGAGATAAAGGTTGCAGAAGGTCTGTTACAGACTGCAAAAATAATGACGGCAGATGAAGAAGCCAAGGCAAAGTTTGACAAGACGAAAACGTCAAGAAAGTGGAAAGTTGGTCTTGCGTCCATCGCAGGAGGTGTGCTCATTGGGGTGACGGGAGGACTAGCTGCTCCCTTTGTTGCTGCCGGTATTGGTGCGGTGATGGGTGGACTTGGCCTAGGAGCGACCGTTGCAGCGGGATATCTTGGCGCAGTTGCTAGTAGTACCGCCATTATTGGAGGGATATTTGGGGCCTATGGTGCAAGAATGACAGGCAAGATGATGGACCGGTACGCACGGGAAGTTGAAGATTTTGCATTCCTCCCCATCCATACGCCAACAGCTTCAGAGGGAGAAAATATAGCTTCCGTACGAACGGATCAACGTCTTAGGGTTACAATCGCTATTAGCGGCTGGCTTACTGAACAGGAGGATTTTGTAAACCCTTGGCGGGTTCTTGGACAGGATTCCGAAGCATTTGCGCTGCGATGGGAGTTTAAAGCCCTAGTGAAACTCGGCAACGCGCTGACAGCTGTGGTGAGAAATGCAGCTTGGGCTTTTGCATCCAAACAAGCTATCACTGGAACCGTTTTCGCACCCATCCTTGGCGCAGTTATGTGGCCTGTTGCCCTGCTAAAGCTTTCACACATAATCGATAACCCGTTTAGTATCGCTAAAATTCGCGCTGATAAGGCTGGCCAAGTCCTCGCGGACGCGCTAATCAACAAAGCTCAGGGTGAACGTCCAGTAACGCTGGTCGGATATTCTTTGGGTGCTCGTGTGATATTTTCTTGCCTCATAAGCCTTGCGAGAAGACGAGCGTATGGATTAGTTGAATCTGCTATACTTATTGGATCGCCGACTCCGTCGACAACCAGCCATTGGCGATTGATGCGGACGGTTGTTAGTGGTAGACTCGTCAATGTCTTCTCACTTAACGACTCGATCCTCGGATTTTTGTACCGTGCAAACAGTGCCCAATTCGGAATAGCTGGTCTCCAGCCTATCTCTGGCGTCCCAGGCGTAGAAAACTTCGACGTGAGCGATGCGGTTAGCGGTCATTTGAGATACCAGTATATGGTTGGATCCATTCTCAAAAGAATCGGGCATGACCATCTGGACAAGGAACAATTGCGAAGGCAAATCGACATGCTGAGAGCTAGAGATGAAGGAGACGAGAAGAGACTTGAATGGGAAAAGGAGCAAGACCAAATTAAGATGAAGCTGAGGCAACAGATGGAGAACAATCTCTCGCGGGAACCTTTACTTGTTGATGTGCAGCCAGTTGAAAGAGAAGGGGAAGAACGGCAAGGCCAGCGTGAGATGAACATGGGGCAACAACTACTCCAGGAAAATAATAGTCTGTTTGAACCGTCGTCCGCTGACGTGCAGCGACTGGAGAGAATGGTGGAGGAACAGACACAGCAAGCCCTGTGTCACGCCCAACTGGCAAGACTCGAGATTGTGGACCGCACTAATGACTGAGGATACCATAGGTAAATTGCCCGTGGATTGCTGCCAAATATTTATTATTATTATTGGAATGGGTTCCATGCTGTGCTTCATGCTCATCGCTGGTAAACTAATTCCATTTTTCCCTGACGTTTCCTTTGTCCATTTTATTTGTATCTGTTTTTCTCAATTCTTGGGACCGTTTCAGTTTTTTATCACCTCAGAACGTTTCTCGTTCTCAATGAATATAAATTATTATTAAGGGTAAATCGTTTAATTGGCAACTGGCCTACATGTAAATTTGACACTTGAAAGAGGTGGGAGTTGAATAAATGGAAGAATATATAAGTCAAAAATCGTAAAATCAATCGTAATATTTGTCTATACGTTATAGATGGTGTTGGTGTTCATCGTATACTCGTCTAGCCTCGGGGGGGGGGGGGTTCTCGCTGTCCTAACCAGAGGACCCGCAATATCGTGGAATTTATTTTCACTTTTCTATCGCCATGCAAAAAAGGGAGTTTAAAATAAAGTCAAAGAAAACAAAGGGGATGTCATAAAACCATCAATCAATGCGAATAGAGGGTAGAGCAAGATGATAAGAGGCAAAATGAAAAAAATTAGCCATTCAAAAACACTGTTTTCTCTGCATTATTTCTTCGTTTGAGACAACCAGTCAATGCGTTGCCTCTCCCCATGCAACTGCCTTTCGGGGGAAAACACGCTTGTACAAGCTAATCCCAATCGCATCCTGCGGATTAATTTTCGCATCAAACGTCGCCTTGAAATACCCATGCGTCCCCAGACTCTCCTTGATATACCCGCTGCGGCCCCGCTTCGTCCACAGCTGCAGCGCCTTGAACCAATTCACATCCTCCGCGTTGAAGAACATGTACCGCACCGTGACGACCTTCTTGTGGATCTTGTACGGGTGGCCGGTCAGGATGACGCGCTTGGCAACAACGCGCGAATGGTCCGGCGCCATGGTTGTGCCGGTGCCGATGAGCTCCCAGGTATCGAGCTCTCCATTATCCGCGCTTGAATCCATGGCTTCGGTGTCTGCGGCAGCGGCGGCGGCTGTGTTTTTAAATACTAGGACTGGTATCGAACCCCAGGAGACCGGGCCGATGAATGTAGCTACGGCGCTGCGGCCTGGATGTAGGTATCTATCGAACTTGTGGACGTTGTTGGGAGTGTTGCCGGCGGCGGAGAAGAGGGGTTTGATCATCAGACGGCGTGGGCCGCATTGGATGATTAGTTCTTCTTTGGATTTGAGAGGTTCTGTGACGGTGGAGTTTAGGGTCATGTTGATGTTAACGACTGCGTGTTTATGTTCGTGTCGGAGAAGCGAGAAGAGAGAAGTTGGCTGTGACGAGAGCGACCTTAGGTGTGGAGGTACGTCGCTGAGATGAACGTCAACGCGGGAACCGGGCTTGACGCCACCGACGAGCGCTTCCCGGAGACATTGGTTTTTGGAGCCCCTGTAGTCAACGATTTGTAACAGGCGACGCCAGTCTTCAGGCTCGTGTGCTCTGTCTTCTTCCATTTCCCACTTGCTCGTTTTAAGGCTTTTAAGGCCCCTGTATCTAGCTAGTCTTTCTCGTGCAATTGTAGATGGGTGAAGCTCAATTTCATCGGGAAATTCTAAGTCCTCTTTCGCTTCATTCTTTCGGCTAGCGCGATATTCTTCTATTTGTTGCGCCTCGTCTTCAGGTGATGGGTCGAGGAACATCTCTGATTGTGGATATTCGGAAGGGCCACCAGCTTCAGTCATGGCGTCTCTCTTGTCCATATTGAAAAAGCCATCTTCTGGCCCGGCTGGAGTGTCCAGGTCCATGTCTTCATCGACATCATCCATTTCATCCACTAGGTCAGAACCGGAGTCAGAGAGATCATCAAGGTACCATGCCGCCTGATAATCAGACGTGCCCTTGGGCAGGCGCCTTGGCCGTGCCGTATGCTTGTCATCGCCATCCGAGAAGTAGTGGTAGTCATCAAGGAGTACCCCTTTCTTCTCCGTGTCAGCCAGAGAGAAAGTTTCATCCATCATGACGACTTCCTCGGGGGCAACTGTAGCCAAATCGTCACAATCAGCGCTTGGTTGATCCAAAACTTGCGGTTCCGCTGTGTCGTCGATATTCATTGCATGATCCCCCTTCTTCTGTTTAGCTGACGGCAATGGCGCAGCGGTAATCGATGAGATTTTATAATCACCCCATGTAGGTATATGGACCAAGCGGTCAGCTTTCAAGCCCCTACCCCGTACGACACCGGTGACCACAACTTCGTTAGATGCGTCAGAAGACGATTCGGGCCATTGTATAGACTCAATAAGCATCCAGCTTCTATCATCCCGCCAACGAATCCCTTTTGGCGTCGCCGTACATATGCCGCGTACTATGTTAGAACATTCCTGCCTTGAATCCAGCGAATGCACCTTGTCTAGTGTGGGGAAGAAATGTGTGATGAAAGACTTGAGCGAAGCAGTAATCTGTGGGCGCTTTTTGGGAGGCATGATTTTCTCGAGCCCCTGAAATTGATAATTGTCAATGACTAAAATACAGCAAAGGCTTGGTATATATAAGGGCACCTATCACATACCTGTGTTACCGCAAGCACATTGGATATTCCTTGACCTTCAATCGCCCGCAGCATTAACTGAGCCCCTTCGTCCAGTGTATCGTCCGCGGGCAGGATAAAAATGACAAAATCTGCCAAGCGACAAGCATCCAGTGCGCTAATCAAATCTTTTTTTGTTGGAAGGTATAGAATATTCTGCTTAAATCTCTCTATGCGAACACGGCACGTATGTCCTTGAATATCTGTTTCCGGAATATCGAGGCTCTCGTTCAAGCTCCTGATGGCCGCATCGGTGTCCACGGTGTCTGCAATGGGGATAACGGCAACATGTCGTGATGCTCCGTTCTGGCCTGAGAATATGCTCACGGATTCGGACTTGTTTTGGTGCTTCAGTCTTTGTTTCTGGCGTGCTTGATTGCGGCGATCAAGTTTCGACATCAATTGTTGGTGGGGAGTTTTGCGACTGCCCCTCTCCTCGATTTTGCCTATCGTGAAAATACATTAGTCTATGTGCAACAATATAAGAAAAGCTGAAAGAAGTATTATAATTTATTTTCCAAGCAAGGAACCTCTCACCTTTGGACAAGTCCTTAAGAGCGCCTTTGGAAAGATGCTTTGACTTGAACGCCTTATTTACAGATTTGGTGGTATTCCGGTGGTGGTGCGGAACAGCCACAGCGCTGGGTGCCATGGTGTGCGAACCGGAACCCTTGAACCTGAAAGGAAGGGAGGCCAGGTTGACGGCAATATAAAGCAATGGCCTGTTGGCCAAATAGAACAGCAGAAACCCGGTTACCAATCCTCTCCCGTCTGAGTATATCTTTTTGCGATATGAATATTAATTTTTTTGTGCCGTCGATAAATTGGAATGTAGGCCAGGTCACATGATGACATGTTTGCTGTGTTTGCAACAAGTGAATCTTGGCATCAATTTTCCAAAATCGCAAAGCCACAGAAAAGAATGCTTCGAGATGGGAGATTCTATACATCGGTGACGCGCCTATTCTGGGCCATTCATTCAGGGTTTGTTGCTTGCTTCCTTAGTAGTTGATATAAAGCCACTCGTCACAACTATGGAGGTTCAAGCCGTTCCAAAAGCGAAGGCTGTCTCTCGCAAACCATCCAACAGAAACATCACCGAGTCGCGGGAAGACAAGCAGCGACTAGCAGAGGCGCGGAAAAAATACGGACGAGGCAAACAAATCAATGCGAAGAGCGTGAAGGACAGGAAGTTACGAAGCAATCTAAAGAGCCTGGAAGCAAAATATAAAGATGCAGCACTAAAGGCTAAGGACGCGGAGATCCTGTTGGAAAATGAGCACGGTTACTTGGAACCCGAAGGTGAGCTCGAGAAAACGTATAAAGTACGACAAGATGAGATCAAGGACAGTGTGGGCATAGAGACGGCAAAGAAGGGATTCGAACTCAAGCTGGAGGACCTGGGTCCCTACTCGGCTGATTATACGAGAAACGGACGAAAGCTATTGCTGGGTGGGCGGAAAGGTCATGTCGCAACCATGGACTGGCGAGACGGGAAGCTGGGATGCGAGCTGCAGCTCGGAGAGACAGTGAGAGATGCCAAATGGCTGCATAACGATCAGTTCTTCGCTGTGGCGCAGAAGAAATATGTCTACATATACGATCATGCAGGGGTTGAGATACATTGTTTGAATAAGCATGTCGAGGCTACACATCTAGAATTTCTACCTTACCATTTTCTCCTTGCCAGTGTTGTGAGTATATAAAGAATGGCCCAATTTTGGCCACTCCATCTGCTAACACATTTTCTGTTTTACAGGCCACCAGTGGATATCTCAAGTACACCGACACATCGACCGGCCAACTAGTAGCAGAACTAGCGACCCGTCAGGGCTCGCCGACTTCCCTTTGTCAAAACCCCTATAACGCCATCCTACACGTCGGACACCAAAACGGCACCGTTTCTCTCTGGTCTCCCAATTCCTCAACATCCCTCGTCAAAGCACTCACCCACCGCGGGCCAGTTCGGTCAGTAGCGGTCGACCGACAAGGCCGATACATGGTATCAACAGGTCAGGATTTGCGCATGGCAGTATGGGACATCCGCATGTTGAAGGAGGTTCATAACTACTCCGTCCCCCAGCCTGGCTCCAGTGTAGCCATCAGCGACCGCGGCCTCACCGCCGTTGGCTGGGGCACACAGCTCAGTGTTTGGAAAGGATTGTTCACCGCTGCAGCTGCAGAACAGGAGAAGGTCCAAAGTCCATATATGGCCTGGGGCGGCGACGGGAAACGCATTGAGCGCGTCCGCTGGTGTCCATATGATGATATTCTCGGCGTGTCGCACGAGAAAGGATTTGCCAGCCTAATCGTGCCGGGCAGCGGAGAGCCTAACTTTGACGCTTCCGAAGCCAACCCATACGAGACCACGAAGCAACGACAGGAGGCAGAAGTCCGAGGACTGCTTACGAAGCTGCAGCCAGAGATGATATCGCTCAACCCTGACTTTGTGGGCAATCTTGATCTCGTAAGCGAGGCTACGCGCAGAAAGGAGCGGGACCTCGATCGGAAGCCTGATGATATTATTGAGAAGTTGAAGAATCGGGGTCGTGGGAGGAATAGTGCGTTGCGCAAGTATTTGCGTAAGAAGGCGGGGAAGAACGTTATTGATGAGAAGAGACTCAAGGCTGAAGAGTTGCGGAAAGAACGGTCGTCTAGGGCGAAGGAGAATCTTCAGCGCGAGAAGGCTGGTTTGGGGCCCGCCCTTGGACGGTTTGCGAGGGTGCGATCCTCCTAGGTCGTTAGGGTGTGTTTGTCGGTTTTTTCCAGCAACCCAGAGGTCAGGATACTGGCAAGTAAGTAGCCATGCAGCTATCGTCACTGATTGTTCTGCACCAATACACTTTTCGTTCGGCATTTGGTTTATTTTTGAAAATACCCATGGCGTTACAATATTATTTTTATTCCAGCGTTGCATCGCACAGGAGTACGTACTGGATTCGGAATGGATATGGAATTTGTACGGATTAGAAAAAAATTTCGGAAAGGAGAGTATAGAAATCATAATCTTTTAGTTGAGCTTTGCCACATAATTATATGATTGCTAGGTATGAATCCCACGTCCCTTACGGCATGCTATTTGAATTGGGAACTAGCTCTCGCCGCGCCAACACTTTTCTGGAATGCGTCTCTGTAGCATGTGCCAGATGCAGAAGGCCCATGGATGCACGGATTCCTTAACAATGACAATTTAGATACGAAATAAGCAATGGGATCAAGCTCATTTTAGTCCTTCAAACAGCCCCGGACCCTCTAACCGCCCCATCCTTCCACCTCTGCAGGCTAACATCATATGCCCCGCTAGCCTTCCATGCGCTTAAAATCAGCTCAACAATATGCTCAATCCCTTTCCCACTCTTCACCTCTGCGAAAACCGTCGGCCCCCCTTCTCTCATCTTCGCCGCATCCCTCTCCATAACCGATAAATCTGCCCCGACCGCCTCTGCCAAATCAATCTTATTCACAACCAACAAATCACTCCCCGTTATGCCAGGCCCTCCCTTCCGGGGGATCTTGTCCCCGCCCGCCACATCGATGACGTAGATGATGAAATCGGCTAGTTCGCGCGAGTAGTTGGCGGCTAGGTTGTCGCCACCGGATTCTATCAGGAGGAGATCGCTCTGGAATTGTCGCTGAAGGGATTGCAGGGCGAGTAAGTTGGCGCTGATGTCCTCACGGACGGCGGCGTGCGGGCAGCCACCAGTTTCGATGGCGCGGATGCGAGATGGAGAGAGGGCTTTGTTACGAGTGAGGAATTCGGCGTCCTCCCTGTTTTAAGATTGGAAGGAACGCGTGAGATGGGATTTGCGTTTTGGTTATAACCAGCAAACAGGAGTACCTCACCTACCTCGTAAATATATCATTCGTCACGACAGCGAGGTTATATTCGTCACGCAGGGCCAGACAGAGTGCCAGCATCAATGCTGTCTTTCCTGAACCTACAGGCCTGTATTAACACATATAAGTCAGCAAATAGTATCGTATCGCTATAGGAACGTATGTCATATACTCCGTCCCATAGATAGCTGATCTGGACTGCCAGAGCTATACAAACCAAGAGAGGGGGAGATAAGGTCTTACCCTCCAATACCAATAGTGAACGCCCTGCCCGTCCAATCGCGCCCTTCAATAACAGGCATCTCCCGATTCAGATATGAGCCAGGACCATCGAGGATCTCATGGGTATGGCCGTGCGCGCCACCATCATGAGTATGGGAATGACCCCGTGAGTGGTCGTGCGTAGCCATTGGTTCGGGAAGCTGTGTGATACGGGGAATATTTAATAAGGGTAACGAGTCAGTCGTACAGGGCGTGCGAACTTAAATCAATTGGACTTGATAGCAAAGGAAGCAGTAGCTGTTTATCTTGATAATACTAGTTGGGGGGGGGGGTGGGATGTGGAGGTTTGGAAATTGTGGTGCGCCTAGGTTTGGTGGGGGGGGGGGCACGGCAAAAGGCAGGCGGCGGCCATGAATAGGGTTTCGGCATTAACGACCCTGTCTCGGGGCCATGATAATAATAATATGTTGGTTAATCAGTAATCAGTAACTAATCATATTATTATCATTGTTGCCAGGAGTACGGAGTACGGAGTACGCGGGACAATAGATAACCAATAAACCGGTAGATAAGTAAGTTAAAAGGTAATAAATAGTATTGTCTAGAACCAAAGCGGTAACTACCATTTAATAGCCCCTTTCTGCGTTGGAAAATCCCAGATGTACGATACCAATATATTATTACCCAACAGAAACAAAATGACATCATGGAAGAAAGTGTAGCAAGGAGTGAACACCCAAATATGCCCTTTTCCAAGCCTTGTTGCAAAAACTATCATCTTCATTTAAGACTTCTCTTCTGCAGTACGCAATGGAAAAAAATCAAAAATTACTCCAAAAATAGTGAGATGAGCTTCCGCAAAGAACTTAAAAACAGGTTAATCAAAATATCAGGACATCGAAGCAAGTAGCTAGGTTAGTGTTTGAATATAATGGCAATAAAGGATGAAAGGAATAAATTTGCAGCAAGCAAAACCAGTATCACGTCAAAATCCAAGTAATGTAACATGGAAAAGGCAAGTTATAGAATCCCCATTTAGCCAAGCAAATAACATAGCGGAGTTTGTTAATAGATGGGGGCAGGAGATGAGTTGGGAAGTTTTGGCCGGGGACAGCATGCCAAATGTGGGCGATCAACAGGACAAGATGGTATCCGCAGAAATTATAATTCCTGATGTCTTGGAGTGGATTGAATCAATCCCTGAGCCAGGGAAGATTGGGGGGAGGGGAGGAACCGGTGTAAGGGAAATATCAACGGAAACCCCAATGCATCGACGCCTGAGGACCATGAACAAGACAAGAACTGCGGAAATAAAACACAATGGCCGTGGAAAAAAAAAAAAAAAAAAAAAAAAAAAAAAAAAAAAAAAAAAAAAAAAAAAAAACATCAAATATTAAGTGCGGTAGGAGGAATGATAAGAACGCAAAAAATACCATCATTGTCGCGTCGAACAGCATGTAAGTTGGCGGTGCCTACTCGCATCCATCCAGCACAAGCAGTCAAGCCCAAGCAAAGTGCACGCCATTTGCGAAAAGGAAATATAGAAAACAGGGTGGTTCAGAAAATGTAAAAACAGCCGATCTACTCCGGCAAAAAACCTACGAAAACAATAGATAGTGCAAAAATGTAAAAACTTAGGGGAACAACCGCAAGTTGCCAAAAAACGCAGGAAATAGTTAGCAACAGTACGGGGCGATCACGCACACAGAACCGTCACGAATACATAAAAGCCAAGGGGAGAGAAAAACACACCCGCAAAATATAACCAGACAAGGGATCCGTAGTGCAATTCCAAGGTTTATAAACAGCAAGGGCGCCACGCCATAATAACAAAACAACGAAAAACTAGCAATCCCTACCAATGGTTATCCAAAATAAATCGAAAAGGGAAAGGAGAAGAGAGCAAGGAGAAGAAAACAGACGCCCAAGAAAAACATATTCCAAAGGCATGTAGACAAACGCCAAGTCCGTCTCGAGAGGGGTGTCAGGAATGAGAAAAATTAAAAGCAAGTGAAAACGACGAAGGGAATATTTGGGGGGGTGGGGGCTGACATTCTTCTGTTCCCACCTTAACTTTAGCTTGTGCCTTTCTGCCTTTTGCCGCCAACCCTTGGACTAGCTTTTGGCGCCTTGGATGCGCCCGACCCTGTGCCGTTTACTTCTGCAATTTGAGCATTATCATCTTCGGTCTTGATAGCGCTTCGGCGGCGTTTGTTGCTCACATTGGGGCTGGTATTAGCGCTCGTTCCTTGGCTGCCACTTGTGTTGGTTCCCTGCTGACTTTGCTGCGCAACCATTGCAACAGGGCCCGCCATGTTGTTCTGTGCCGGACTAGGTGTATGGTTTGGTCCCCCGAGGTGCGGAGAGCCCTGTGCCCCTGGTAATCCCAGATGAGCTACTGCAGGTGAGAATTGTGTCGGCCCGTTAAGACTCGGTGTGCGTTGTCCAGGTGGCTGCTGAACTCCCAAGTGACCTGAGCCGAATCCAAGACTCTGAGGAGCGTTGAATGAAGCAACTAATTGACGGAGAGCATCGTGTGGTGATAGATGAGGGTGTTGTATGGAATACTGAAATAATGTTTGCATTTGAGATATTGTCTCTGCCACCTATAAATGCAGTGGGCTGTTAGACCGGCAACTTTATGAAGAAGCAAATATTGTCATACCTCTAAAAACTTCATAACAGCAGGTGGAACGCCGTGTTCGGTAACAATAGAATCAGGTGCGGTAAATGAGGGTACGGCTGGTTGCTTTTGCTGTGCTCTCTTAGCAAGCCCTTTGCCAACCTTCGGGCTCTGTTTCTGGTCTGGTGAGACTGGTTGAAGCCGAGTACGCGGAATGTACTCTGTGTGATTCTTAGTAATGAGCTCTAGTAGGTCTAGTTTACCATGTATATCGTATTGAGCTCGCAAAGTGCCGTTGGCAACAAGCTGGAATACACGTCAGTAAAAAGATTATATTCAGCTCAAGTAGTGAGGGCTTACTTGACAATCATTAGACATGTAGCTAATGAAACTCGTCTTGGGACTCTCCACAATTTGGCTACCGTTAGGAAGATCTTTTTCTTGCACACTCTCAACAATCATTTGTATGTGCTTTATACCGCTAGAAAAATGGGTGTGGTAATATCGGGCAAGAGCAGGAGTAGAGATCTCGAACTGTTTGGTTCCTTGCTCCGGACTCCAAACGCCCTGTCGTAGGACCCCACTCGGTGAAAAGAATTGATCTACAAAACGGGCCCAATATTCTATTCCAGGCTGGGGTTTTTGACTCTAAAAAATTAAGGTCTCTAGTCAGTCATGAAAGCAGAAAGTTTAACAAACTGAGTTGCAGGGTTCACTCACGGAATATGCGCTCAGGTGTTCAGCGAATGTGACTAATCGAAGAACGCCGGACCTTTTCATAGGGTTGGCCATTCTTTGAGGCATCATCATTGCGGATCCGGCACCCTGCTGCTGTGCTCTGAGTTGCGCTTCATGGGGAGTCATTTGATGTGGCTGCGGATGTTGTTGTGGGGGTTGGGTTTGAGAATTTGGCCCTTGCGGCTGCGGTTGGGATTGTTGCTGGGGTTGTTGTCCCTGTTGCGGAGGTGCTTGGGATGATGGAGGCTGCGGTTGGTTCGATTGCTGGGGCTGTTGTGATGGAGTATTGCCTTGACTTGGAGGCCCTGGTTGCGGATGTGTGGTGCCGCTCTGGCCATCGTGCATAGATTGCGGTTGGGGTCCACCTCGTTGGGCGTTTTGCTGGTTCTGTTGATTTTGCTGTGCCGCTAATTGCAAAGCAAGGAATTGTTGCTGCTGTTGCATATTATGCGGTTGTCCGTGATGCCCTTGAGCCTGTAAATGTTGTTGTAGAGGATGAAGAGGAAAGTTAACTGGTCGCATATTGGGATTAGATTGCACAGCAAGCTGTACCGCGTTCAATCCTTGGGTTCCATTGGGTAAGGAAGCGGGGATCCCTCCATGCTGTGGCTGTTGCTGTGGCTGTTGTTGTGGTTGATTATGCTGCGGCTGCTGCTGCTGAGGCTGGTTGTGCTGCTGCGGTTGATGTTGCGGCTGCTGTTGTTGCTGCTGTTGCTGCTGCTGCTGCTGTTGTTGCTGCTGCTGCTGTTGTTGCTGTTGTTGCTGCTGCTGCTGTTGTTGATGGTGCTGCTGCATCATCATTTGTCGTTGTCTCAACATTTGTTGTTGATGTTGTTGTACTAGTTGAGGGTTGGCAGGATCTAGAAGCGCATACGTGAATTAGCCATAACGCATCATGAAATGGAAATCCAAATAGCGCACTAGTCATATGAGAAAATAAGGAAGCCTTCTAGCGCGAAGGTGTATTTCGTAAATGCTTGGGAAAATATTGTGGATACAGGGAGCAAACAAAAGGGGCATTGAAGGCCCAAATTGAAGAAAAATGGTGCGAAAGAAAAGCTTACAGGTTTGTCCCATTTGTTGAGGTGGAAACATTTGATGCCCATGGGCAGGACCGAGATGGGACAAGGCATGAGCGCTCGGGCCGGGTCCGCCAGGGCCGGTGGTGCCTGGCGGTATCCCGCCAACCACAGGACCCCCTTGGGTCACTTGTTGGGCCCCTGGAGCGGAAACGCCAGGATGCATCTGCTGCACTATACCCCCACCCGGGCCTTGTCCAGCGAGATGCGCCGCGTTTGGATGTTGGCCTGCGGCCATGGGATGACCGGGAGGCATCACCGGATGGTGAGCCATGCCGACTTGATGGGCAGGAAAAGGCTGCGCCATCATCATCGCCGGCTGAAGAAGTCGCCGATTTCGGGACCCCGAAAAAGAACAACTCTATAATTCTGCTGGATTAAGACTTGGTTTGAAGTGATGTTGGAAAAATTGACCACACTGAACGACGTGCAGTTGGTATGAATGAGGTTTCCGACTTAGGACGCGACTAGCACGCCACGGTTTGTCGGTCGATCGTCGAGAATTCGCGCAATTTCGATCATGAGAAGGGATACTCTCGCAGCCTCCGCCTTCAGGGCAAGAATCGTATCTAACATACCAGTCAGCAGCGGGATAGCGATGAGTGCGTGCAGGGAGCAAAATAGGACTGCTACGTTGTAGGTTGGAGGGGTGGGGGCCGGGCAGAGGAGAACAAACCTACCTTGCACAGTCCGGTCACCAGCGTGAGGTGACCATCCAGCGGCGCACAGGATCAAAGGTGGCCGTGTCCACCGAAAGCGTTTGAAAAGAGCTGGGAGAGCGATGTGCCAGGCGTCGGGATGAGCGCATGTTGAGACTTCAAGTTCCCCCAAGTGGAAATGGACGGGGCGTTGTGACAGTCTCCGCTAGTCCCGATGGAGGTTAGTGGAATCACGTGTATCCCACGCTGCGGCTCTTTGTTCTGAGTCAGCAGCTTGTTGTCGCTTAAATTAGCGGATCTGCGGATTTTCCGCTCCGATATTTAATCTCGTCCGGCACCAAACGACTATTTTTTTTTTTCCTTCTCCCGCATTCCATCTTCTTCACTCCCCAACAATGCTGATATCTTTCTCACCACGGACAAGACCATGTTGTTATGAAAATTATGATAATGTCTCGCAGCACTTTATTGATGCTCTACTAATGTATTCAACACGGGATGGATGGGACCCGTGTACTGGCTTGTAGCCAATGATTGATGGTCAGTACAGTACTCACTTCCCACATGCCCTCCTCCGAGCGTCTCTAGGATGACAACCCTTCTCAATACTTCTTTCATACCCTGAGTCGACCTTGAAGAAACATTCGGACCTTCCCTCTCCGGTTGGTCTGCTACTTGCCAGTACTTTTTGTCTGATTACATCTACTATCCACACACTATCATAATTGCCCTTGAAAATAGCTATTGGACTTGATGCTGATGAAGAGGCTGTTAATAGGTTTCACATTGAAATCTTCAGATGCTTTCAACTAACTACAGGGTTTCGTTTTTCTTCTCCCAATACAATCTCTAAAAGAGTCTCTAATGTAAGTCGAAAATTCCCCCTTCATTTTACATCTTCCTTGCCCCCTACCTCTCATGATGAAATTTTTTCCTACATTCGCAGTTTCCACGCTAGCCGTCGCATGAACCTATTAAGTCGACGTGTCGTTGAGCGGACAATTAATTGCCTAACCTTGGATGTCTGATTTTTTGCACCAATCTACAATTATTTTTGCATTACCCAATTATTTCTCTATCAAATTGGCTAACGTACGCAATTCGTCTTAGGCATATATTACGTTTCGCGTTGGCTAAACGTCAGCCTTGATATTTATCACACACCTTCTTGAAGGCTTGAAGAGGGTAATCACTGAGATATAAGCAGGATCAACATGCAATTGTTGGCATTTCTAAATCATAAAATAGTTTAGTTATTGCAGCAATATGATTTTTGTTCATAGTTTCCATCGAAGAGTTCATTTTTCAAATACTCCCTCTGGGCTTTTTGGGGTTTCAAGTCGTGAAATTTTTTTATCACATCAAATAAAATGTGTTCTAGAGAAATTCACGTAATTAGCTTGAGGTAATAACTGCCTATTCGCGGAAATACCCCAAACATCTATATGTATATATTCTCGAGGCTGTGGAAAAGGCGGCCTGGAAAAAGATAGAAAACTCTTTGGAATATGCAAAATAAATCTCTGATATTGAACGTGGGTGTGTCGAGATGGATAGGTACGATTAGATCCCATTATGAAGATTCACATCGAACATCAAGTATTCAAGAAGCTATATACACTAAGGCTAACAAAACAACCAAAGAAAAAAGAGGGAGGAACGAAACCAATCGGTCTCAAAGAGGTATGAAAATCCATCAAATATGCAATCTGAGAAATCTGTACCCTCTCAAGCTCTTAAGCTCTCAAGTATATTCCCATTCCGTCTATATGTTCCTTAAAACCGAATCAATACCGCCCGGCCGGCGGCGAGGCGGAGAGCTCTGCTATAGGAGCGGCAGAATTATCGGGCAGCTCCGCCACGTGGGCCCAGTTAGAGTGACTGCCCGCATCCTTCTCTACAACGGAAAAAGGGGGTGGCGGCGGGTAGCCGTCTGGCGATGTTGGTTTGGAATCGAGCTCGCTGGGACTGGGGTGGTATTCGTGTTTTTTCGTCGGCGCGAATTGCGCCGGTTTTTCTGGCGGTGGTGGGGGGAGAGGATTATCATAACTGTTGACTGGAGGTGCGGTATCTGTCTTAGTTCGACGTCGACGGTAGGCTAGGAATCCAAAGGCGGCTAGGACGCCGACGCCTGCGCATACCCCAATCGCTGTCCCGGCAATTGCTCCTCCGGACATTGATGAGCCCCCCTCTGACGGCCCCGGCGATGCTGCTTCTGGGTCCTCTTGATCTGTTGGTGATGGACCGGGTGTCACATCAGTCCCCTGCGCTGTGATACTACCCTGAGTAGAGAGCGTTGTGGGTTCGGCAGTTGTAGCAGTTTCTCCAGTCTTTCTTGAGGTAGAGGTCTCATTGGCAGTTGGTACAGGCTTTTTTGAGGACTTGCTATCCGTTGCTGTGGGGTCATTTTTCTTCGATGTTGTCGTCGTCGCCGACGGCAGCCGCTTCGACGCCCTGTTGTTACCATTGCCGTCGATCGTGTCGATGAGATACGACCTCACCCACGGCTGGCCTAAGTTCCTGGGACCCCAGACCAGACACGACCAGCCGTTTTCGTCCTGGCACTTATCGTCGGCGAACATATGAACGCAAAATTCCGTGCCTTGGGGATCAAATTTGTACTGCTTCCCTTTTGACATATTGATCTCCGAACAACCTTTTGTAGTTCTGCCCGTATGGAAATGTTCTGCATTGTTTGCATCGTGCCAAAGCAAGGTCCACGCATGAGACACGCCGACCAGGAGGAAGATATTGAAAGTGAAAAGTAGTAGAGATTTCATTGGGAAAGAGAGGCAGCTGCAAGGAGGCAGCGCTGTGCAATGCAGCTTGGGGGTGTTGATCAAAAGGACATAGGACGGCGGCAATAGACCTCTTCCAGCAAGCCGACCTCAATAAAATCGCCTGAAGGCTTCTGGAGATCGAAGAAGAATGGCCTTTCTCCGTTAATTTGGACGATTTGAAGCGGTAATCCTAAGGTATCATTGTTGGGAGGGCATTCGAATCACGAATGACAACTCGATGGTAAATATTTTCATGGGGAAGTTGGCGATTGAGCCATGTCAAATGGAGAGGGAATTCCACTTATCAAGCGTCCCCAAAGACCAACTGTAGTTAAACGGGGAGCCCGTGTTTTTCGTATTCCAGCCGCACTAGTTTGCGACGGAGCCTTGTCCTTGGCGGGTGATAGCGAAATATACGACCCAAGGCGATTTCCCCCCCGTATTCAAGCAACGGTTGGAAGGGTTCCACATGCAGAAAATCATGAACAAAAATAATCAACGCCATCAGCCCAACTGCGCTTATGAGGGGGGAGATGAGGCTGATTTATAAGTTATAGGGTTAGTGAGGAGCTCATTAAGCTAGCAGGAGGCAAGCTTCAGATACCATCGTCGGTGTCATTTTTTCCATCCTCTGGGGGACACAGCAAGGTGTCCTCACTCTGGTTCATCTAAGAACAGGCAATCCAAAGAAGCCTGAACCCATGCCACGACATGAACATGGATGCGATGAAGTCAAGTCGGATCTATTCCAGGTTGACCGTATGTTGGATGTTGGATTAAACCTTGCTCCAATGCCCGCTCGCTGCCGGACTAACAATTCTCCGCCCCCTGGATTCTATGCAAGCTTAGTCAGCCGCCGTATCAAAAAATATCCAGTTTATCACCAACCTGCGTCAGACGAAAATCCTCGATATATTTAGGAGAGATTGAAAGCACCCAAACCACCCGGCATTGTCATCAATCATTCGTCTCGTGCTGTTTCCAACACGAGCTCGCATGTTTTTAGACGTTCCTTTTTTCCTTCACTACCGCTAGACCCGGTGGCGGCGGCTCAAAATTCAGCCCTGCATGCATTCCTCTATTCAATGCCGGCTGCTGTCAGTCCGTCAGGCATATCTGAAAGCGCCATGCCGGATTATTGGTCGTCGAAGACTCCCCTATATTACTCGTACTTTTCATGCCTCCTCGCCCTCTCGCTTTAACCCTAACGACCCTCCACCTTCCGTCGACCCTACCCTCAGTAACAATACTTCCAACACGAACCAAGATTCTGAAGGCCACACCTCACCAAAAGAGAATGCGGAGACGGTAAAGCCTGAAGTGCCACCAACGCCATCTAGGAAACCACAAGGTCCCTATGGCTCCGCTGTTCGCCGCGCCACAAGGAATAGGAGACCTCGAGAACAAACACGTAACGTCGCTATCGTTCCGGATTGGTTCCGTGAACGGAACGTGGTAGCTCAAGATACCACCGTTCAGATTGCGGTACCAACAAACCACGACGTGGAGCTAGAGCCATTGTCTCGTGATCTAGAAGAAGTGGTGAACAAACTTGCTCAAGGCGGCGAGGGCGGTGAGAATGGTGGTTCCGGAGGTCCATCCGCCGCCGGCGCTCGTTATCGCCTAGCTCTAGCCGTTTGGGACGAGCTATGTGCATCTGCTAGGGCGGGACTTAATTTACCAGCGTCTCGATACATTGATGAACCATCGGCGACCAAATCGCATTTGGTCCTGCAGTATCCTGGAGATGGAGGGATTTTCTTTCTCGACGCTGTTGTCAAGAAGTTGGCGGCAAATCTTAAGACCAATCTAATAACGCTAAACGCGCAAGATATTGCTGAACTCTACGCAGAACAGGATCAAGCGGAGGCCGGGGTCCCTAGCTCTATTGCATCGATGGGATATGAAGTTTACCAGTCAAGGAGAGCTTCAAACCCTAAAGAACTTGAGGAAGAAATGGAAGAGGGAGATGAGGATGATAGCCATTCAGCCGAAGAGGAGGATCCAGACATAATACCCAGCCGAAGACAAGATCGTGAGACTTCATTCACCCGAACGATTCCTTTGACAAGTATCCGTGGCTCGGACTTCCTGCAAAACCTCCTGGGGGCTCGGGGTTCCGTAGGTATGGCCAAGGTGATTATTCCACGCCCTCAGCGCGAAGACTTAGAGTCCAGAGAAGAGCTCAGATGTCTACGCATTGCCAATGAACTCCTTTCCATCCCCTGCAAGCATCAACCAAAACCACCACCCGCGCCGGAAGGCCAGAAAGCGTCCGAGTCAGCTCCCGAGTCAGTTCCCGAACCAATCCCTGAACAAGCCAAGACTACTACATTCAGACCAGATCTTATCGTTCAAGTTCAAGACTACAAAGATATACAAAACACCCGCAGCGGATCCATATTTCTTCCCCTTCTTCATAAAGCAGTTCAATCTAAGAGACGGGAAGGACAGAGGGTTATAATCATCGGCACTGTCTCCGGAAAGCAGCCGGAATATCCTCTTGGGAAATCGTATCCCAAACTTGTACAGAGAGACTTCAACGACGAGTTTGCCAGAACAATTGTTGTTACCCCTGCAATGAGCCCACAGGTGGTCGAGACGGTATTTTCAGAAGACATGAAGCGAAGAACCCTTGAGATCAACGTGCGCCACCTGCAGAATATGCTGAGGGTTAGATTAAACGATCCGCAACTAGTAGACACAAGCCTCCTCCGCGGCCCAACCTGGCCTCTGGACACTGCCGCCATCGCAAGCTCCGGTCTTGATGACGGATATTGGTCCTTTGACCGTGTTCACCGGGTTGTGTCGCTTGTGTTGGGTGGTGTAGAAGGCACCGGAAAACTTGATCTTCAGCACATACAACGCAGCATCGATCTTGTGGACAAAAGCGATCGAGCAAAGGGAGACTGGCTCGCTGAGAAGTATCCCAAGGTAAAAGCTACGTCGACAGAACCGGACCGGGAAAGTCTCTTGAAGCAGTTACGGAAGACATGTAACACTCATGAGAAAAAGCTACTTAACGGCGTCGTCGACGCTGAAAGCATCCGCACAACTTTCGATGATGTCCACGCACCCCCGGATACAATCGAGGCTCTCAAAACGCTCACTTCTCTCTCGCTGATCAGACCCGATGCGTTTACTTATGGTGTCCTTTCTACCGATAAAATCCCTGGCTTGCTACTCTATGGCCCCCCAGGAACGGGGAAAACGATGTTGGCCAAGGCCGTCGCGCGACAAAGTGGTGCCACTGTGCTCGAAGTCAGCGGCTCCGAAGTTTATGATATGTATGTGGGAGAAGGGGAGAAGAATGTGAAAGCCATCTTCACATTAGCCAAGAAACTCAGTCCCTGCGTCGTTTTCATCGACGAGGCAGATGCCATCTTTGGTTCTCGAGTTGCAGCCAGCACACGAACAACACATCGAGAACTAATAAATCAATTCCTACGAGAGTGGGATGGCATGAACGAGCTCTCCGCCTTCATCATGGTAGCCACGAATCGCCCCTTTGATCTTGACGACGCTGTCCTCCGACGACTCCCCCGGCGTCTCCTGGTAGACTTGCCCACCGAGCAAGATCGTTTATCAATCCTAAAGATCCATCTCAAGGAAGAGCAAGTGGACCCTTCAGTGGATCTTGCCGAGCTAGCCAGCCGAACGCCTCTCTACTCCGGCTCGGACCTGAAAAATATGTGCGTTGCAGCAGCTCTAGCATGCGTCAGAGAGGAAAATGCGCTCGCAGTCAAGCACACAGGCGAGGAGCCGTACAAATATCCCGAACGACGAACCCTCACCAAAGCCCATTTCGAGCGTGCCATGGAGGAGATCAGCGCGTCGATTAGTGAGGATATGTCGTCTCTTTCCGCCATAAAGAAGTTTGACGAGAAATACGGAGACCGCAAGGGGCGGCGCAAAAAGAGTGCTGGATGGGGATTTGCAGCTCCTGGCGAGGCGCAGAAGAGCACGGAGACTGGACGAGTGAGAGAGTGATTATTAGGGGCGCCAAGGCAGGCAGGGAAACTCTGGGACATATACTTCCATGGGTATTACCACGGATTTACTTGGAATTTTGATTTGATTTCGTTTTATGTTGTCAGTGGGCTGTGGTTGCGTTTCATTTTCATTTGCTGGTGCACACATATAGAGTCCTCTTTGTAAAATTAATGATAGACATGTACTTCTAGTTTGACTTCTATTTTATTTTTCTTAAGCCCAAAGAAAATAGACGAATAGCGTTATTTCCTTCATACATCCTACTTTATTTTTCGCCAACCGTAAGGTTTGATGCAGGAGGCGCTGGGGTGTGTCATGTGAGCAGGATGGCCTTTTACGGGGTTTTCGCGGGGAAAAACCATATAGATGAATCTACCATCTACCAGAGTGATTCGGATATTCCCTTGTGCAACCGACCAAAACCTAATGAAGTAACGACAACGTAAACGAAGCTTCTCAATATCCGCGCTTCAAGGAGCCTGACTACACACAGCCCACAACCTCCAACCCTCGTCTCCATGTCTCAGGAACAGCTTTAAAAAGTGAGACCTTGACACTCGTGACACTCGTGACATCCGTCAAACAAAATAAAAGAATGAAAAAGCGGGAACAAATGGCCCTTTCAAAATCGGAGGAATCCCCTTCTCAACCTCGTGCTTCCGTTTTCGCCTCGTTGCATCGCAAACCCCACCCCGACCCCAGAGGTGGCACAGATGGAGCAGCGGAAAAGGCGCTTGAGACGCGTGTCGAAGCCATAAAAGCTGCGAAACGTTACCTCCTCGAAACAATCCGGGATGACTGGTCCTACGAATACCAATCTGCTACTCCTCCTCCCAAGTCGGACCCCAACCACGTGTACGTGCCATTACAACCGCAATCATCTATTCAATGCGACACTTCAGATGGAGGAGTACAAGTACATGCGCGCCAGGTACGGGAATGGCGGGAGCGGGAACAGGATAGCTCTTGTTCGGAGAGCGGGGGAGGTGTGGGGGTATTTACGGGAATATGTCCGGGACCGTTTAATTTACTATCAGCTTCACCTAAGATGAAAGACTCTTACAGGTTTCAGTCCCCGGACGCCGTGCGGGAGAGTGTTTTGGAAAAAAAAAGGAAGCGAAGGAAGGTTGTGGAGGAAGAAGCAGCATGGAATGAAGGGTTGAGGATATGGATAGAGAGGCGGGATGCGTGGACGGGGGCTATATTGCGCAAGCCGACAGCAGTGAGTCAGAGGAGTGGATCTATTTTGGGTGCTACAGGGAGCAGTGAGGCGAGTGGTGCTGGGAGCTGTGCCAATGAGGAGAGTGAGGATGTGGATATGGCTCCTCTGGAACCTTCCGAGAAAGGGGATACTTCATCGCAACCGCTATCTTCCTCAGGCACAGATATGCAGACAGCAAAAGCTCGGATAAGTTCGCCTCCTGATTCACTAGGCAATAAGGGAATCAACGGAGCCGCCTCGCCCATCAATACCTATACCAATCCCGACTTTAACCCCAACCACCTGCGTGTTCCAGATTCTGAAGAACCCCTAATCCCCGTTGTGGAACCTCTCCTCCCAATCACAAACCCCGTTCGGGCCTCTATAAAGCCCGCCATATACCCATCCATCTACAGCAAAGTCGTCATCCAATCCCTAACACCGGCCATACCAATAAACCTCTCAGATGTTACCAAGGCCCTCGTCCAGGGCTGGAAGGCGGATGGTGAATGGCCACCAAAACCAACCGTCACCCAAGACGTATCTATCGTGAAAAAAAGGCTAGGAGGAAATAAACCTCCTCCCACCGAGGATGCAAGGAAATCCAGAGGGCTGAGTGGTTCAAGTGTTACGGGTGCCGTGAAGAAGGTTCTGGGGTTATCTGGTATCAACACTGGCCGCCGCTTCCACATTCGTGGCGGGAGCCATGTCGGTGCGGGTACCAGTGCGGGTGCGGGTTCACCGACTGCATCGGGTGTTGCGTCGAATGAAGTTGCGGAGACACATTAGTTTATGGTGAATAAAGTTGAGGCGATGAAGATATATGACGAGGACACGTGCATGTGGATTCTAGCATTGGCTGTGCGTTGTTTTTCGTTGTCTCTTTTTGAATACCTATCTGCATCCAAAACATGATTAATGATGACGACGGCGACGATGATAGTGATGATGATGAAATCATAGCGTCTTTGTACCACGTTTGACTTTGCACACTCCATATTGCATAGTGCATGGTGCGTTGGATTGGGGACATCTGTTTTCGGGTATATTGTGTTTTTCTATCTAGGTTAATATTCCATCATCTCAACTTCAAGATATCTTGTTTCTTGATCGTGGTTGCTGTGGGCGTTTAATCGTGAAGCTACAAGGGTACTGGAGAGTTATCATAGCCGTTTCACTTTGTGTATTTAACAAATACATAAAAAGCGACCGATTCCTCCTTTACCTGTAAAATTAAAAGTCATGATCTACGTTGTTTGTAGAAACAACCGAATGGCCATAATTGGTTTGCTCATCAATGTATATTACATATATATATATATATGTCTAGCTCATAATCCGTGTCGTCCTATCAATCCGATGAAAAGGAAAAATCCTAGCAGAAGCAAAAATCAAACGTACATTTCATACCCCCGCTAATCCGTATCAGCATGTACAGTACAAACTCATAAAATATCTAGTCATAAATTCATGATTGCGCTAAAAGGACGAAGAAGAAAACGCCATCAACCTCTCCATAGTCCCGAAATATATCTCAACAGTCTTGAGAAATGCCGCTCTTGCGGTGCCTACCGAGCTGCAAGCGGGATCACTGACGACAACCTCCTTTATCTGCTGAGTATGCTCAGGGCGAACGAAATATTTCCCATTATGAAACGACCAACCGTCCTGGAACCGGGATTGCAGGGCACGGGCGGCAAAGCCGCGAGCATCTGCAAAAAAATGTGGTGCGGAAGAATGATTACTTTTTTGGCCGCTTTCAGTGAGGACTAGGTCAAGCGTCTGGGGGCCAACAGCGTCCGCGGGATTTAAGAGAGTGCAGGCTGCGAAGAGCATAAACTGTTTGAAGATATCCACGTATGCGACGAGGGTGATCGCCTGGTCCGAAATTCGGTCGAGGTAGTCGATCACAGGGAGTGATGTAATTATTGTTTCGAGAACAGAAGTGACCGTAAGCAAAATATGGGGTTCGTCGAGCAGGCCAGGGTGATCTACTAAAAGACGAAGAGCATTGTCAATTGCCTCAAAGTAGCAGATCAGTGCCCCTACAAACATGGAGACGTTCTTGACATCGCATGTGTTGATGAATACAATCGAACCCATTAAAACCCGCGTTAACGACTGCAATAGAGGCCGCGCTACAATCCATGCCCCGGGAGCGATGAGACATATCTCCACATAAGCCGGGAGGATGCAACGGAGCATAAACAGACGGATAGTGGGGTGGTGGCGTTCACTGGGCTCATTGGACTCTGACATGACAGAGTAGAGTTGATCAACTAGGTACGACTGCTGGCCGTCAACCGCCGCTCGTTCAGATACATGGTGAAGAAAGGTGAAGAGTTCGTTCGCAACCTTGCTAGATGTGAGCCGAACTGCATAACCCTTCAACTTGCCGACAATATAGTTGGGATCATCCACGGGAAGGGGAAATGTGCTTGGATTTGTGAAGAAAGGATCAATCAGACATATCCTCTGTGAATGTTGCTGGAGAAATGCAACAACTCGATGTACAAAGTCGACGTATGAGGAATGCACTGAGGAATCAACATTGCCCAATTCACTATAATTTGACTTCATCTTGTTCATCAATGTTTCAATGAGCCCGCGATACCGACTTCTAGTATTTTGCATGGCATGTGCACTGAGATCTTCCGCATCCGACAGATGTTCCCGCATGTTGGAGAGAATGCACGATATAAGTGACAATCTTCTTTGAGAAAATTCCTGCAGAGTAATCTCATACCGACGCTTTAACGGATTTTTTGAGAAAGGAAGATTCTTTAGGAGCGCACTTGAGGCATCGGTGTTCATGATGGCATTAGTCAATGCATGCTGATACTTCAGCATTGACCCCCTTTCGACGATGCATTCCACCCAATGGTTCAATACCTGGTTTTCGCATTCTGTAAAAAATTCCGTGTCCTTTTCGATCATGCTTGCGAGAAAATATGGCAAAAACTTTTGTGTCTGGTTGGTGGCCCTTAATGAAGCCCAGGAGTCTTCACTGTATTGATTGACGTAGCTGCTCCATTCTCGTAAGCCGTGACTCACAAGAGTATAGGCGACCGACGACCAAGAATCAGCGACTTTAAGAAGTACCGTGTCGTCTGGAGATTGGTCTTCACCATAACAGGTGGAGAGAAAGCGAGATAACACAGGGCGAATGACGGTATTCAGATGCTCAACAGGCGGGGCTGCCCCGGGTGTTCCCCCTTCTTGCGCATACAACTCCGCTACAACCGCCCAACCCTCAAATTCCTGACTATCATCGCTTGTTTCGGTAGGTCCTGTTAATATTTTGGATTTAATGGTAGTATTTGCGTAGGCAACCATGACGTCTAGCGTCTTACATATGAGTGCATATAAGCGGGTGACCCTGGGGTTGAAAAGCTCGAGCAATCTGGCAAAAGGGAGTTTCTCCAGTAGAATTTTGGCTTGGTCAGGAGTTCGTGCCGCCTCGATTGCAATTTTCAAGTTGACCAGGGCATTGTCTAATAGGCACTCTATTGGTTTCTGGTATTCAATGACAGTCTTTTCGACGGTATGGCGAGAAAACAATGAATTTGAAGCGACTTGGGCTTCTATATCAGTTCGCGCATGGGAGTGCTGCTGCAACATGTCAACAACAAAAGAAGCATGCCAATCAGCAAAAGGTATTAATCCGGCACTGTCTTCTTCCGTAGATAATTTGAATCTAACCAGTCTCAACCAGGAATGAATGTTAATGCTGCACACCTCCTTATGAGCCGTGGCGGGATGTACAAGGTTGCGTATAGTTTCAACTCGTGGTCGACAGGTGTCAGGGGTAGCCCAGTACAGCGTACAGAGAAGGTCATGGTGGTTTCGTAGGGCGTCAAGATCCTCCAAGCGGAGAGGTTGGTCTTTTGGATACTCTCGGCCATGATTCGGTAGCAGGCGCCAGGCAAAATTTCGGAGCTTTTTCTTATCGTATAGGTCAGTCATCCTCTTGAGGCCTAGGGCTATAGTTTTGAGCAGGATATGGAAACAGCTATCCCTGGGTTCCATCTCTAGCGTTGGTTGTCGATCAAGTTCGTCTAGAAATTTTGGTGAGCCGAAGGATTGCTCTTGGTTAAGGTTGTGAAGCCAGTTCGCGGCGAAAAAATCGAAGAGGGTGTCTAGTATAATTTTGCTATGCCGCCAGCCCCAACTATCAATCAAGTAAAAACAACGGTGGAAGAGCGCTCGACAGTAATTGTTGAACGCTGGGGAAGAGCTTTTTGAAGGAAGTGCGTAAGTATCAAAAACGGGCGATACCAGACGCTTGACCGTCTGCCACTGATCGAAGGTTTCTCTAAATCGGTGCCCCGGGCGGAAAATTCCGAGCTCGTCAAATTCGTAAAGTGGAAGTGTCGTGAATACTCCGTGCCATAATTTCTCTAATTCACGGGCGTCATTGGGCAAATTTGAGCAAGATGGAGGCATAATGGCCTGCGAAAGAAGATCTTGGTTGGTACCGCAAAGCATCGGGTCTGTATAAAATATCTTCTGAACAACGAGAAATGCTTCCACGAAGGGATGATCGTCTTTGATTCCAGGCTCTCGCTTCTGCTGCCATTTAACATCCGCCAGAAACTGCTGAATAGCTGCTAATCCTGCATTGTTTAAAACGCCTCGTAGTACCCGATTTTGAATTGTCGTCATAATGCCAACGATTTCAAAATACTTGGTAGACTGAATCAGTTCATGCGAAGCAATTTGGCGTATTTGATTGGCAAATACATAAGTTAAGACTTCCAATTTCATGCGGAACTGTGTAGCTGTGGTGGAGTCGCATGGATTGACTGCGATTGAGAATTGCAACGTATCCGATACTTTTGATAGAAGAGCTGTGCATCTATCGACAAACATGCATCTATCGACTGGGTCCATAAACCATAGTTTGTCACTCACATATGCAATAATAGAACGGAAGGTATCTAACGTCCGGCTTACTCTTACAACAGAATCACGCGAGATACTCTCATTGGACCATTCGTAATTGCTGGCCGCTTCTAAAACCTTATCCAGCAAAGCACCAAGCTCCGAGGATACGGTCTCGCTCCATGGACCCCACTGGTAGCTCTGATCAGCGTGCTGTATTATAGCACGGCCACTATCATGGGCAAAGTTACGAGATGAGAGCTTCATGGAGCGCGAAAGATCACCACTCCCAATGAATGTCGATGAATGGAAAAAGGTACCAACCGGGAGGGGGAAAATGTCAAAATTGATCGTGTAGACCGCCGAGGAGGGCCTGAGACCCTTTAGAGGAGGGCATTCGCTGACTTCAATTGGTTTTACGGAAAGAGTTTCTGCCGCACCGTTATCAACACTGATGGCCTGGTGACCTTCAACACTTTCCACATTGAGATGCTGGGGAGGGCGTTTTCTTCGTTGACGAGGTCGTCGTGTCCGGCCTTGTTCGGGAGAGAGCACAACGTCATTAGGGGCGCCGGAGGGCTCATGGGATGTCGTTGAATGGGTATTTTGTGACACGACACCTGCCGTTAAAAACCTTGCCAGTGGTAAGCTGGTGTTTCTGCCCTGAACCGAAGCTGTAGTTCTGTATAGTGAGTTGAGCGTAGAAAGTGAACGTTGAAAGCCTGATGTACGGTCAAGGCTCGTCACTGAGAGGTCCAACTGTGCAGGTCTGGGTGCATTTCGCCGAAGGGATGAAATCGCATAACCGCCTTTCCGTACCGTCCAGCGCTGGCCAGCCTGGCGTCGACTGCGTGAAGGGCTTTGTGGGTTTAGACCTCCTTCCCGCGACGTTGAATGCAACTCTAAAGCAGGTTTGAGTTGGCCACCTTTAGCACTTCCGGCGTCGACATCAGTCCGAGGCGAGTGTACCGTATCCGTCCGGGCCTGATGTCCTATATTTTCATTGCGTTCGATATGGCTATGGCCCGCCACGCTGCTATTATATGACTGTCGAGGTCTCTTTGCTGTATGATTGCCTGTGATCCTACTCTGCTGAAGCGAGCCTGCCTTCCATTCTGCTAGTGATCTATTGGCATCCTCAGTGTCTTGTCTTGTTCCAAGTTTTAAATATGTCCTTGTTGGGCTTTTCCGGCCCTGATTTCGGCGGGATCGCGCTTGTCGCGCTGCTACGCGGAGAAATTGCGGCTGCTCCCGAACTGGTTGATCCTTTACGTCAGTTACATCTAATATGCCTAATCGTGGAAGCCGGAATTTCGGCGGCGCAGCTGCAACGCGTGGTCTTTTAAGGGTATCTGTTATTCTCGCTTGGTGCTGCGGGCGTTGCCTCAACATTGAGGCTACTTGAGAACGTGGGCGTTTCTCGCGGTTGAACCCTAGAGTGCGATGCTTGTCGCGTTGCTTTGCTTTCCTTGGAGCTGGCGGTAGCATGTAGTCAATACGGTTATCTTCAGGAATGTCATCAGCATCGTCTCCTGCAAATAAATCACCTGTGTCCATCAATTCTGAGAGAATTTCACCCGAGGTTTGATCAGCACGGGTTGGCTCATCGTCGGAACTTGAGTCATCAGGCATGAGGAGAGCATTCGAACGCATTCCTTGGTTATGGGTATTGCTTCTATCTCTCATTATTCTCCGGGCCACACCTTTACCGCTCTGGCGACGATTGCGTAAGTAGCTAAGTCTTGCTTTCTCGGCCGCTGCCTTCTCCCTTTCCTGTTGCTGTTTAAGGTCAAGTCGTGGCCATGAGGCCGGTAGCACCCCCTTAATTCTCCGCCTAAGCCGTTGGATTTCAAGAGTCGCATGATCTTCTGGTTCGTCCAGGTCTTCCGTTACTTCTGGTGGGTCTATTTCTTCCACATCATTAACATCTTCCATCGACGGTAGCAATTGTGACTGTGATGAGTTATTTCCCGTTTTCGAATGAGTCTCAAGATCAAGGCCCAGTGAGTCGTCTATCGATATTGCATCCAAATTTACAGTCCTTTCTGGCTTGTGTAAAATCGGACTGACTAGCGGAGAAGGGCTGCCGCCACGAGGGAACCGGAATTTGGCTGATTTCTGAAGCCCATTAACCGGTGATTCTTGTCCAAACGGGGGCGAGGACGAGGGAACATCGAAGACATCCTCAGGTTCAAGTGGCGGAGTTCCCATCAATCGATTGTCAACGACGACCTGTATTTGGTTTGGTCTAGCCGCCTGGGGCTCATTTCCACGGACCCCGCTATAAGTGCGAGATATTCTTCTACGCTTCCGGTTGGAGCCATTTGCATCACGTCTCGACAGTGGTAATTTGGTAGAGCTTGAAGGTATGGGGCCATTTCTGGAATTGCCTGTCTGAGAGGAATCTTGCAGTGGTCGTGTAGGCTGAGTTAATTTCTTTCGTTTGGATCCCGCAGACGGAGATCTAGGTGGGAACCGGAACGACGCTGCCGGGCTGCTCGATGGAGGGGCATTTTCATCCACGAACTCCTGGCCTTGAGACTCTTCCTGGCGATTAGAATCACTGTCTGCGGGTGCTATACGAATCGGGCGTATATTGTGACTTGCACACCATCTCTGGTATTCCACCTTGTCCGCTAAGTAAGGGTGGAGGTTGATGAAATTCCGACCCCGCAGCGTTCTCTTTACTCCCGGATTTCGAAAAGATGGCGGGGTTTGCGGATTCGACGGAGCGGGTGACAAAGACGAATCTTCGGTGTCATTCCCTCCATCCTCCTTCGAAATTTTGAATTGCGAGTCCTTTTTAGCTGGAGTACGTGGTCGGAAGTGTTCCTCGAATTGTAACTCATCAGGGGAGGAACTCCGGTCAGTACTTGATGGGAAACAATGAATGGCATCCGAAGAAGATGTGGTGTTTCCAGTAATGGTACTGGGTAACTCAACCCTCGAGATAAAATTACTCAAGCCATCATCATATTGGAGCGGGTCTTCGTCTAGATCATCGCCCTCAGAAGGTGCGTTACCAAATCCCTGGGTAACGATCTGAGAATCGGGATTCTCCTCCACTTGTTCTTGTGCCTGGTCTCCCAGGGGATACAGATCCTCCGTGATAAATTCCTGTCTATGCGTATTGGATTCCGTTATCTTTCCGGCCTCTTCAACCAGCCTATCCGTTTGCTGTTTCTCGAAACGTTCGCTGCAAGATACTGAGAGATCATGGAACTCCGGGCCATCTTGCACCTGATATCCGAGTTTTCCATGCGCACTCGCGTGCTCCGTAGAATGTTCATCATCCCCATGTGAACCGGGTGTCAAAGTCTCTCCGGTCCCTTCACTTAATTTATTGCTTTGCTGACTGTCGAATTCGTCTTCCTCATCCGAGTCTGGAACAAAGCCACGCTCTCGCCATAATTCCATTTGCAAGCCAACAGTGATAACCCATCGCCTTATGCTGTCATAGTAAATAATAAGTTAAATAAGCGGAATTTATGGTGTTAGGTGAATTCGAAAAGGGTTTTCGCAAGTTCGTTGGCGGCGATTGGAAACGTTGTATTCGACGCGTCGTGAAACACGCGACGGCAATCGCGATCAGTATCACGTGATGTCGGCTTGCGATTTTCTAAAATCCTAGAGCATGCAAGCAGTTTTTTTCTCCCTCCGGGATTCGCTTTCGTTAACTGATCAATTGCACAAACAATCCTTGCCTACGATGGGTCGAATGCGTGGGTTCATCCCAGTTGCCTTAGCTGTGGGTTTTGGTGTCCTCAATGGTAGGTCACTACCCACCTACCATCTTTTTCGACTTCCCACCATTAACTTTTGAAACTGTAGGATATGTGACATTCGCGCCGTCGTTTCTGAGCTTAGAGGCGGATAAAAAGCATGAGAAGGCACAGTAAGCTTTACTCTAATTGCCTCTGAATTGGCTTGCACACATAAATGCGAACTTGTGCTAAATAATGTCGATGTCAAATTATAGCGGGACGGAATCAGCAACGCCATCACAACCATCTCAACCGCTACAGCCATCCCAGCCAAAGCCAGTCGTGGACAATGTAGCCGCTATGCCTGAGGATAAAAATAGCACTGCTAAAACCGTATCGGAATCGCCCAAACAATAGCCGGAAGCTATCTCCGCAAATTTTTGAGGCGAAGTCAAAACTATACGATTACCGATCCGAAGGCTGTCGTATATTTGTGATTTACCATATCAGCAAACGGCATGATGTGAATATATCTACCCGCATAGACATTGAAAGCCAGGATCGTGCGGACGCCTGTAAACATAGGGCAATTTTCCATGCTGAGATGGACGTCACCTGCTGGTTCTACTAAGAGGTACCAAGTCGAAGGAGACAATATGACGATATTTTACCAGCTTCGGGCTGAAGGAATCTTCGTACCAGGGCCCCTTGCTCGCCTGGACCCTATATATACAGTCTCCTAGAGTTTGGGAATGATAGATATGGTATAAGCCTGGCGATGTGAAGAAAAAGAGTACAATTACTCCGTAAAGTTTTGACCGAAAGATGTTTAATTCACAAAATGGTCCAACAAAAATAGGAGCCAACGAAACTTTTGGGAAGTTTCCTCGAAGAAAATACTCAGCTGGCAGTGAGGTACAGGAAACGTCTGCATATGCATATATTTTTTATACGTCGAGATACTCAGGGGCTACTATATATTACACCTACTAATAGGGCTGTTTTTGTATGCAGAGTTTCCAATTTATACAAGCGGGGGTACTATTTTATAGCCCTATCCAACCGATATATATAAAAAATAACTCCACCCTTTTGGTAGTAATACACAATATGCCCGTATTGCCCTCGCCTCCCAATAAATATGAAAGCCATCCCGCACATTAATGAAAATAGTCCGAAATTGAAATGCACCTCTAAACGCCTCGCTGGTATAAAGGAATAACAGAGGGAAAACAAAGCCATTTTCAATGGTTTTACACCTCTTCCACAAGTCGGTGGCCCCGGCTAGGCTCAGTACGCCGATTCGTAGGCATATTTCCAAAGATCCGCCCGGCTGGTGTCCCAAACCATTCCTCCGGCACCCCAACGCGACGACCATCACGGTTAGAAACATATCGTATCATTATCGGGTCAGGCTTTTCGGGTTCCTGTGGTTCTTGGGTTCTAGGGGTTGTGTCACCAGCGGCTGCGGTTTCGGCTGCAGAGATCTTGCCCCGTCGTTTGGGGGCTTGTTTTTTGAGTAATTTGTTAATTGTATCCATCTTAATTTATTTTCAGACTTGTTAGTTATGTTCCATTTGGAATAGAGAATAGATGCGCTGGTTTCATAAAAAATAGGAGAGTTTACCTTTTCTTCCTCGTTGCGTTTTTCGCTGAGGTTTTTACGTCGTCGTGCCATTTCAGCTCGTCGCATGGCATGCTCTTCAGCAGTCAGGTGTTTCTTCACCTGCGGTTCTGTACAGTTACATAAAAGTGTCAGCATCTAGTTTGAAAACCCATAGAAGAGAATCTTGCAAGTACAAAGGGTAAATTTTCTTACCCATTGGTAATTGTAGGAAATCACCCCCAAGCTCCATACGGCCTCGTTGCCGTTTAGTCATCTTCGTTACATCGGGAGTACTTGCTCGACTGGCAGTAATAGGAGTGCCGCTGTCACTCTCTACTTCTTCTTCATCTTCTTCTTCTTCCTCGTCCTCTTCTTCTTCTATCTCCTCGTCTTCTACAAGCTCTGATGGCTCATCTGGCACGGCCGTTTCATCAGGTTCCCCATCGGCGTCGGCATCAGAATCTAATTCTGAGAGCTCTTCATCGTCATCATCATCGTCATCATCAAGGTCCATATTGGTGTCGGTATTCTTCAGCCTGCCACCTCCGGCAGGTGTAACTGTAACAGTCGGCCGTGCCGCAGCCTGTTTGGCGCTTGGGGAAATTGGAGGTGCATCATCCATGTCAACATCATCACCATCAGCGTCAGGATCAGTCTCGGCATCGGCATCGGCATCCTCATCCTCATCCTCGCTCTCATTTGGGTCTACTTCACCATCCGTCCCATCAGCATCAGATACATTCGACTCCTCCTCTCCATCTTCATTCATCGACTCGTCCAAATCCTCATCTTCGTCTGTGTCAACTTCCACCAGGGTTTTCTTCGATCGGCTATTTCTTGGTCCCGTAACAATCACCGGTTCTGTGAAAATATTGTGATGACGTTTTTCAGGCCCACTAGTGACCTCCCTGAGCTTACTCGACGGCATCTTAACTTTTAGACGAATAGATCTGTTTGTGTCTTTAGGGGGGCTGGGTGGTAAGCGTGACACAGTAACTGATGGCGAGGACGGGGTTTCGTCCACGACTCTGTGAAATCTTAAAGTAGAGTTAGAAGGAGATAATGGCATATTGGTTATAGTGGTACGAGAGCGCAGAGTGCGCTGGGAAGGCATGATGGAAGTATGCAGTAAAATCAAATGATGGCTGGGTCAAGAAGGAAGAGAGGCCTTTCAGTCATAATCCTCCAGGCGGCGGGTTGGGGTTGAGGAAGAAGCAGGGAATTGCAACAATGAAGGAGAGAAAATATTCTAAGCACAGTGCTCGGCTGACAGAGAGGGGGACGTGTTTCCAGCTGAGCACTGAGGCACAATCTGAACTGGTGCTATATAGCACACAAACACCAGCAGGGAATGTGCAGGAGGGAAAAAGTTGTAAATCAGCGAAAGGTCACATATGCAAAATATGCACCGCACTGGCCAATCTTTATGGGTGTGGATGTGTGGTACAAAGAGCGAGCGTTCCCGGATGCTGACAACCTCCCAAACGTCTTCTGGGCATGACAGTCGCTGCGCGTATCTTTTATCTTGTTTGTTACTCAAGAGCCAGCGAAGCAACAACCCCGGATCATCGTTGGGATGTTATTATATTAAGCTGGCGGCAAGATTTGTCCCAAGCCTTCCATCCAAGCAATGAACCTCGGAATTGAACTTCTTATGATGAGATAGGAAATTATAAGCGCAGACGCTGGAAGACAAAATAAAAAAACATCCGGCAGACCACCGAAACAAGTATATATGCAGTGAATCAATCAACTTCAAAATCGTAAACCTTACCTGGAAGGTTCTGATTGACTTGGGGTCGGGGCCTGCCAATCGTCGCTGCTGCTGGTGCTGGCTGTCTCCGTATTTTGGTAGTACGACGATTCACGGTCAGACTGTTGGCGAGCTCGCGTCAGAGGCCTGTCTGCCATGGAATTTCGGTCTGTCCAAGGGGCGGGTGGGATGGTCGTGGATAGCGGCTTGCCACAGCCACTACGGCGAGAAGACGTGAGTTGGTGAGAATAGCTTGCGCCAGGCGGGGACAGCCAAAACGCAAAGGAGAAACTCAAATCCTCAGCGTACCAATGACCACGATGTCGGGTTCAAAGAGCTCTTTGCTATGGGGGAATGGAAAACTCGAGGATATGTATTTGTTTGAACAGCTCATCGCGAAACTGTCTTCAACCTCGTTCGAGAGAGCTTTTTGAGGTTTGGCGAGGATGGGACGACGGTACATGGTGGCCCGCACGGAGATACTTAGCGGGCCACAGCAATCAGCTGCTACGAGAGGTATTTCCGCGTTTCGTAATGCCGTACAGCAGGTACCGCCTGTTCTCTGCAGTTGTCCGTATCTGATTTAGTTAGTTACCAATATTATGACTCAGCCAAGCCGAGGTCCATCGGGTCGGAACCTTAAATTCCCATGACAAGCGGGCAATATCAACTTCATTTCTCAGGACGACGACGGTTTCTGGAATCAGTCCTCCCTATTCTTCGCTCCGAACCTTCTTGTGCTCAACAGCTATGGGCGGCGATTCAAAGTCAAAAGCTCTGGCGATTCCAAGCTGGCAGCTTCCGCACGCGGATAGCACCACATCGAATCCTGCGACGGCGGTCAACGCTTCCAGCGAGGATAAAGAGAAGACAGAATCATCCGCAAGAGAGACTCTGATAGAACAAGCTTCCCGATTCCTGGAAGACGAATCTATACGCGATGCCCCGACCGATAAAAAGGTTTCGTTCCTCGAATCTAAAGGTTTGAACAATGAGGATATTCAAAAGTTGCTCGGTGTCTCAAGGAACCCCGAAGCTACAAGCACAGGCACAACATCGCCATCTACAGATTCCGTCAAGACCCTACTACCCTCTTCTCAGGGTCCTCAGAGCCCTCAGATAGATTCATCTAGTCCCATTTCGCCGCCATCCCCTTCAAATAACCTAAATCCGCCAACAACAGCATCAACTCCGCCCATTATAACGTACCCCGAATTCCTTTTGCACACTCAAAAACCACCCCCTCTCGTCACTTTGCAAGGTGTCTTATACACGCTCTATGGTGCTGGAGGACTTGCTGCTACATTATATGGCGCCAGTCAGTTCCTTATCAATCCAATGTTGGCAGAACTATCACGCGCCCGACACGAATTAGCGGAAACAGCCCAGCGCAACCTCTGTACTTTGAATGAAAAGCTCGAAAAGACTGTTTCCTCGATCCCGCCCATGCCCCAGAGCTCCTCGCAGCAGGATCAACAGTTAATCGATGACGATACCGTATCCAATGCCTCAGATCCAACAGAGCTGTTCCATCGAGACATAGCAACACAAACATCCCCCGAACTCTTACCTAGCGCCACTACACCAGTTATAGATCCGGAGACGGATGGCCTTTCACCCTCAGAAAAGACCGTGAATGCTCACGTCAAACGTCTTCAATCGATATCGTCACGATTAACTGATTACCTATCCGAAGAAGATACGTCTGGCATCATACACGGCAGTACGGAGAAATCTGTTGGAGAATTAAAGAACTACTTGGATGGGCTGATATATAGCAATCCTTCGGCGTATCTAGGCTCGAACCTGTATGGAATATATAATGATAATTCCGGCTCAATGAGAAGCGATGGGACTTTCGGTGGCACTAGTAAAGAGGAGGATGCGATTGCGGCTTTCAAAGCTGAGATTCGAAGTGTCAAAGGAACCTTGCTCAGTGCAAGAAATTTCCCTGCTGGTGGAGGCGTTAGATTCGCGGTTCCAGGCACAGGTGCCCGGTAGAATCTTTTCCCTTAATCCCATGTATTTCCTGTTCATTATTCCATGTCATGCTGCGTGGTTGGTCCCCCCTATTATATATCCGTTTGATAGAGCGTGTACGAACAAGATATGTATATTCCCATTGCTCAGATCCAATTCCCGCGTACTGCGCACTGTTTACTTCGGTTTTTCCCCAGCAGCTTTTAATTTTCACCATTCAGCTTGGGGGGCATTACCAATTGGGTCATTTTGAGCTATTTAGCGTAAATTTGTTTCCTTTCAATGAATAACTACTCTTGATTTTCCTAAATACATCCTCCAGTTTTCTTTTCGAATCAAACCTATGTCAGGTCATTTCATCTTCTGTCACATGATATTCTTCTTTATATGAACAGTATCGCAGCTGGCAATCTTTCAGTTTATGTTCCCGTTTTTCATCAGCAACAGGGCTGAGATGTTCAGAACAAGCAGTTACTTTTTTGGTGTTGTGCCAGATTAACTCAGCACGTTTATTATGCGTTTAGCCTTGGTTTTATCAATCGTCGTGAGGGGAGTGGTTACAACTGCTGCCACCGTGGTGGGAAGCTGATTTTCCAATCCTCCCAGCGCGAAAAGTGCTCACCCAGCCCTATCCCTTTTGCTGCGATGGATATTCACGCCCGGGTGCAAGTTTTGGGTGGAGGACCGGCTTTCAAAATATCCGTCTCATGGGAGCGGCGCTGATTTTTTGGACATCTTCCCGCACCCTGTGTTTAAGGACGTGACATGGTGATGTCGGATTGACAACGCCAAACTTGCGCCAACAACAATAGGGAGCAATAAAAAGTGAACATTGAAGGTTCCATCAACTGGCTCAATTCGCAACTGGAAGAATTTCTACTCTGCAATCCGTTAGCTTAGAATCAAATACGCTGCACTGACCCGTATCTCCAGACTCCGATTCTGCACCATCCGAGCTATTTATTAATATCCTTCTCACCAGATCCAACGCCTGACTCAATGCCAAAAGGATTTGTGGGATCTTCGCAGCTAGCTTGCACTGGACTGGATTTCTCGGGTATCAGCTTACCTTCGTGGCCTTACAGCTTTGCCTCTGGAGAAATCGTATAAAGGGATGTTATTTACCTAGCATAGGTTGCAACCCACCACTTACTGTCCACCTGAGTGCCGCTGCCTTCGTGCTGCCTTCGTGTTTCCAGTCCCTGTCAATTGGAGTTAAATCAATCACCCGCGGGGGTTCTGAGCCACAATGTGGAATTATCCCAGGGCTGCCCTCCTCGCCTTCTGGTACCTTGCCCAAGGCCTGGGGATGGCCTTCCTCGTCAAATACTCCCGTAAAGGCTCTCTCCTCCGCATCGTTGGCTTCACCTGTGTCGCTGCTGTCCAATACTTCTTTTACACTTCTTCTTTCACTCTCGGCAACAATATTCTCTACAGTGCTTCCTTAGCCTCAATGTCACCTGCTCTGTTCGCACACTGCATAAATATTCTGTTCATTAATCCCATCGATGCACAGCATGGTCTGGGGATAAGTATAGGACTAAATTTACGTGGAATCGGCACACCCTGGCTTGCAAAAAACACTCCAGAATTTCCATCCTACTATGGCGGCCGCCGCCCGGGGCGATTCATTTTCCTCCTGCGCCAGAGTGCTATCGTGATCTGGCAGTATCTGATGATTGACCTTTTAGAAGCAGCTGGTTCTGCGCAGTCTCCTGAGGAAATACAGATGGTGCAGGGTCTGGGTTCTGAATTCATGTACCTGAGTGCAACCAAGGAGCAATTGATTGCGCGCATCGCAACGAGTCTGGTTTCCAACTTCGTCATGTCCCGGATGATGGTCGATGGTGTGGCGCGGCTCCTGTCAATTATTTCTGTAGGACTTCGTATTTCAAACCCTTCGGACTGGCCGCCTTTATTTAATAGCATGTGGGATGCGTATACACTGCGGAACTACTGGGGGTACGTTCGTTATAAAGTGAATCTATACCAAATACAATATGAAAGAAAAAAAAAGAACTTGAAAAGCCCCTACCAATCCATGCTCTCCGCCATATAACGATAATGACTAACACCGCAGCTACCATTTACTATCTCCGCAGTAAATTCTGGCACCAAATGCTCCGCTGGCCCTTCACCTCCATCTCCAACTACCTAACCCGTCGCGTCCTCCGCCTTCCCCGCCCCTCCTTCCTCGAACGCTACCTAAACATCCTATTCGTCTTCTCGCTATCCGGCATCCTGCACGTACCCTTCTTAGCCGCCACCAGCATTTCCATTCTGGACTCCTGGCGCGGTTCAATGCTCTACTTTACCTCTTTCACCCTAGGTTTCATGATCGAGGATACCGCACAAGCCCTTTGGCGAAGACTGGGCGTCGAGAAATTGGGATCGCAACCTGCCAGTGCGGGCGTGACCGTTTTCAAGAGAGTCGTGGGTATGCTGTGGGTCATATCGTTCATGTGTATGACTGTGCCGTTCTTTGGGTATCCGGTCAGTCGTGTGCCGGCGGAGAGGAGGGAGCTGATACCAAGTGGATTTAGCATTGTGAGAGTGGTTGGCCCGGAGCCGGTTCTGGGGGCGGTAGGAGTTGGGGCGTTATTTTTGAAGTTTGGCTTTGGGGCGGGTTTGTAGTTGCTGCTTATTCTTTTCTTTCCTTTTCTTCGTTTTTAAGTCCTGAGTCCTAACCGGTTTGAGACATTGTGTTTACACACTTACAAGGGGTATTTAGATAGGCATCATAGAAGAGTAGCCGGCTGGATACTCTATCTTTCGCGCGCCCGAACTCCCAATGATCGTGATAAAAAGGAAAGAATAACATGAGCAAACGCTGGAAGGACCAATTTCATCCTCGCGATTTCACATTAACACAAAGTTTTTTGAGTCACATGCAGGAGACAATCTAACAAAGCCAATAAATTCAAACTGATATTAATACGTAAAGCAAAAGGGAATGAAAAGAAAGAAACAAGCTAAGAGTTACAAACGCGGTTCCTCAAGGGTCACTCGGTCCAATAACTCAATTCATAGTCTTATAACTTGGTTCCCCTATCTCCTGTGCTAGTTTATTGTTCTGATGTTGTACTTCCGACAACACAGGAGAAAGAAATTTATAAGAAAGGGAAAAAAAAAAACCGGAAAACTGCTATATAAATGCTAAATTCATGGCGTCGCCCTGCTCATGCCAATCAACCGTTTCACACCAACCTAAAATGAAAGAGTTGTTAGCCACATCTATCCAAAAGATAGCACGAAGTACCACCCAAAACTTTCCCGAATCACAAGTAGAAAAATAGTAAAAAAATAAAAACAAGGGATGGGGCAACTCACCATCCAATTCCCACACTCATCATTCCGATTCGTGAAAATATCCAAATGGATGGCCTGCGCCGTATCGTAATCGCGCGCCTGAATCGCTCGCGCAAGCTCAGCCATACTCTCCACCGTAGCAGGCTTAAGCAGATCCTCATTGTTCAGATGATCAAAGAGGATATTCAGCCGTCGCTCCGCATCGTTGACCTGCGCCTTGAACGAGGTTGGTGCACGCGCTTTGACTCGCTGCATGTCTGCGGAGAGGATTTCGAAGATTGGTTGCGCGTTGGCGGGGATGTGGGTGCGGTCGCCCGGTGCTGGTTGCAGGTTTATGCGCGTTAGTTTTGATGTATAATATGATGACACTTTGTTTATAGTGGTTGCGGGAATATGTTAACTTACGATATTTAGCAGCTGGGGCTGGCTTCCTTTGCGATTGAGCAGTTCCTGGGCGTGAAGCCGGTGCAGAACCTGGATGTGGAGGCTCTGGTCTTCCGGCTGCAGGGGCGCTAGGTGGCGCATACGGGCCCTGCGCGGGTGCGGGAGGATGATGGTACGCATGTGGGGACGGAACTGGCGCAGGTGCAGGGGCTCCAGTGGGGGGTGGGGCCACCGCCGGCCGAGGAGGTTGAGGAGCAGATGGTTGCGCCGCGGGGCTTGGAGCGTATCGATTGGAGGGTGGTGGTCCGGATGGGGGCGCATTATAGGGTGAAGGCCCGCGAGGGATTTGAGGAGCGATCATCGCTGGCCCAGGTGGAAGGTGTTGGGTAGTCGGGGTATATGCACTTGAAGTTGATGGAGGTCTTTCAGGTGCTTGGAATCCATGCGGCTGGCCCACTGCTGGAGGTGGTGTCATTCGGGGTGGAGCAGCTGGGCCTCTAGGAGGAGGTGGGATTGCCATCGAAGTTGATTGTCTAGGGGGAGGGGGCGGGTGGGGAGACATTGCGTGCGGGGATTGCGAGGGTTGTGGTGGCTGTTGGTTGGGGAAAGGTGAGCTGATGGCACCAGCACCTGCGCTAGGGGTACCGCGTCGTGGAGTCGGGGCTTTGGCAAACCCTTCAGGTAAATCATTCCAAGCAGGCAGATTCGTAGCATAGGTATAAGATGTAACCGTTGATGGTGATTGATTTACAGCCCGGGGAGGTGGTGCGATGTTAGATTGCGGTGCACTTCCAAATGCTTGTGGTGGTGGTCCAACAGGCCCTGATGGCTGTCGTTGTTGCGGCGGTTGATAGCCTGCTGGAGCATATGGATTGCTGGCTTGCATGGGAGCTGGCGGTGCGTAAGGGTTGTTTACTTGGGTCATGGTTGCGCTTGGGTTGTATATTCCCTGCGGAACATTGGGCTGCGGGAGCGGTTTCGGAGTTAACCGGGAAGTGCTAGCAGTATGCGCAGGAATTGCTCTCGCGGTCACTTTCTGGGTAGCAAGCTTGATACGATTTCTTGCGACCTCCGCGGCAGGATGGGCTTGTGGTAGTAGGTCGAGATACCGCTTTGCAATGTCCAGTTGTCCATGGGTGGCAGCAACATCAGCATATTCAAGATACTTGTCATAGAGAAGGCTAAGCTTCCAATCTGCTGGCTTTTGCTTTTCCGTATCCTCAAACTTCGTGACATGGCGGAACACAGTCACCTTCTCGATCAGGCTCTGCAGGGCCCGGACATGAATCGAGAAAGTCGTCTCATTGTCAGCGGCTTCTTGGATGCTCTTGTTCTCGTTCTCTTGCAGTTCATCAATCCAGATACCCACGACTTTCTCCAACTTTGAGCTGACCAAGAAGCAGAAAGCCGCATTTTTACGTCCTTCCTTGTCATCTTGGGCTTTGGCCTGTTCTTCGAGCCTGTCTCCTAGCGTTTCGCAGAGATCGGAGAATTCCTCATTGGTCGCAAATGTGCAGAGAGTAGCAATAGCTTCTTTCCAGTTTGCAAGGTCTGCATTATGAACAACGTCCCACAGGTTTTTGCCAACGATAGACGCCAGTAATCTGAGATAGTTCGGTCCTTCTGCTTGCTTTTGGAAGTAGGCTTCCTGGGCCTTGTCGATGCACTTTTGGCCTCCGCATATCGCAACCATAAAGGCATCAGACATCCGGTCTTCCTGGAGACATATGTCAAGCGCCTTCTCAAAGTCTCCGAGAAGCAGTGCTCGAGTTATCCCCCTGTCCGCCTCGGATTCCGACCCAGTATAGATCTGGAAGGGATTATTGGTCTTGGCGCCTTTAGACGCAGAGAGGTCGGTGAGGAAGTTATCGCCATCGGTATGCGTATCGAAAATCGAAGATAACCGCTTATGTTTCCGGACTCCCGGTCCGCGAGAATCTGATTGCGGCACCCCATTAACCCCCTCCCCGTCACTCCTCTCTAGTCCAAGTTTCGAGAGGCTGTCAGCCGCTTCATCAACTTCGCTCGAGAAACCCAAGTAATTAATGACCTGCTTTTTCGGGTCGTCAGATATCAATGTTTCAATAACCTTCCAATCAGCCCTGTCCGAATCACCCTGGGCATTTTCAATTCTGGTTTCACATATTTTACGTAGATCGCCGACTTTAAGAGCTTCCTCAAAGGTTTGGGTAGCGCTGCTGAGAGTTGAATCTATTTCGAATGGGGTGATTCTGACTTTCGAAGCGCGGGAGCCAGGCTTTCCAGGATCAGTCAATCCAACCGAGATAACTCTACCACCAAAGCCAAACGAAACACTAGCAGGTCTTTGCAACCATTTGGGGGGCGTTGGCAGCGAAAACGTAGAAGCCTGTGGTTGCGACTGAGCCTTTGCGAAGAAGTCTTCGTCGTCGGCAGGCTGGGCTTGGCTTGCCCCAGCTTGCGCAATTGCATCGCTCTTGGTATTCTGGATGGTTTGAATGGAAATTCTACCATCAAACGAAGCCGTAGCAAACATGTTCGGATTGTGTGGGTTCCATCGTGTCTGGAAAGTCCAGTTCGTCACGACGGGGAATTCACCGTACTGAACACCAGTCTGAGGATTCCAGCAAATGGTCCGATTGTCCTTGCCGCAGGACAAGAGCAGGTCTGGATCCTGGGCACACCACGAAAGCGATAACACTCCAGACTCATGGCCTTTCAACACCTATTGCAAGTTAGTTACTCTCCGCAAGGAAGTGGGGGCTCATTTGGAGCTTACTCTTTCAGGGGCGTTAGAATTACGCAAGTCCCAAACTAAAATTAAAGGATCCGTCTCCAATGGAATTGACGTGATAAGTTTCGTTGGCTAGTTAAGACAAAAGTTAGCAAATATATGCGCATCTCAGAAAGTGAGGGGCCACAGTATATGTACCTTTTCCGGATCCCACGCAACAGCACTAACAGCCTTCCGCCCAAGATTATTCAAGGTCAGACTCTCCTTCTTGGTCTTGACATCCCACACTGTAACAAAGCCTGCGCTGCTTCCGGTAACTAAAATATGCGGCACTTTCTTGTTCCAGTCGAGACACTCAATATCGTCTTGTCTCGCAGCGACGTTCCCTAGTCGGAACGGATGATCGATATTGTTCAAGTCCGAGATAAAAAGCTGTTGTATATAGGGAATTAGACCTTGCACCAATCGAGACACCACAGTAAAGAAACAGAGATTTAATGTACGAACCTCTCCCTTGCTTCCACCAGTAGCTAAAAGGTTCGAGTGTCGCGGATTGAATTGTAGGGTTTTCACGGGACCGGAGTGTTGGGAGGACCTCGTTACCAGGGGGTCACTTGGTCAGATTAGTATGAGAATACCCGAAATGCGTTACAGTCACTTGAAGAAAGTATAATTCGAGACAAACACACCTCGCTCCGCTCAACAGCTTATCAGCATTCCACAGATCCAACGACCCATTCTCCAAGGCACCTGCGATGATACCTCTAGAACTGTCGTCCGAGTCCGTCCACGCAAGATCATGAAATCTAAGTATTTTAAACCAATTAGTCCACCAGTTCTTAGAAAGAAAAAAATCAAGGAAAAAACCATTTCCTATCTCCCTATTTTGCACAAGAGTTAAAGGAAAACCGTACCCAGACTCCGTGCTAAGTTTCGCAGCCGGCTGTAACTCCGCCGCGCCTCCCTCCCGGTCCAAAGCCAGGTCCCAAAGTTCAAGGTCGGTCTCATTGGAGAAGTCCGCATCGACAGCACCGGCGCGTGTTCCAGTAGCGATGTATGGGGAGGCGGAACCGGGGGACCAAGCAAAGGCCGCTGTGCGGGGTATTTCCCTTAAACGCACCATGATGTGAGGGTGGTGGTGGACGGGGACAGGAGAAAGGGGTTTAAGCAGGACTCGGACGGGCACCCCACAGTTATGCTTGCCCAGGGGACGGGAATAGGCAATGTATATAGATGACAAAATTGAGGATCGGAGGTGGAGGTCCAGGGATAAGAAGAGAATAGGGAGCCCTAGTCAGAGGAGCAGGCTTGTTGTCGACTTAGTCCTTCAATCTCCGTGTCTGGTCTGCTCAGGATGATATTGATCCAGGTGTCCTTCTCACAGGCGCTCCACCAGCCACAGTATATCCTTGGCACGATTTTGTGCCACAGTTATGCGCCACGTGACATTCCACTGGATGGGGGAGTATCAAAAACGGGCGGGCATTGAAAGGGTAACGAGGAGAAAGACCTCTTTACTTTTCCATATTTACCCTCCAAAACCAAACATTCACAAAATGTCCCTTCTCTAGGAAATATTTGCCCGAATGAAACGTACAAACTACAAATCTATATGGATACAATAATCTAAGGGCGCGATTCCCCCATTCCACCCCTCGTCCATCAGTCCAGCTACTACCCCCTCCTGCAAAAATGTCTGAAACTGCAAGATTAAAAAGCACAATCTACGTCGGCGGGCTCGACCAAAGCGTTACAGTTCGCACTCTAACAGAAGCCTTCCTCCCCTTCGGCGAAATAGCCGATATCTCTCTCCCGAAACCGGAGATCCCCTCCTCGACCGATCTACACCGCGGCTTCGGATATGTCGAGTTTGAAGAAGCCCAGGATGCTAAAGAGGCCATTGACAACATGGACCAGAGCGAGCTGTACGGGCGCATAATAAAAGTCGCTGCTGCGAAGCCGCAGAAGGACAGCAATGAGGGACTGGGGAGTAAAACTGCTATTTGGCAACAGGTGGGTTTCTTGCATATTTACATTCTTTTATTATTATTATTGTTGTTGTTGTTGTTGTTTTTTTATACGCATGTATGTATATTCTAACGCTGGTTATCAGGAGGGCTATTTGGCCCAACATGCGGTTAGCGAAGAGGACAAACTCCCTGCTGAGCAAGGCGGAGCGGAGTCGAGTAACAACAGACCAGAAGATCCCATGCAAGGCCTGGAGGGACTGGACGTTGCCGGCCCAAAGCCCGAATGATAAAAAATAATGATAACGAAATGTTTTACTGTATGCGTTTATGAATTGACCGGTTACGACAAATACACGGGAAACGCGGGAGCACAACAAATGAGAAATTTATTTCAAAGAAAAAAAAAAAAAAAAAAAAAAAAAAAAAAAAAAATTGAGGATGTTGCTTTCTGGCTGTTATTTTCGGGTGTGAATGGATGGGAATGGTGAAAGCGCACACAATTTCCAGACAGGATAGATAAAAAAAAAGGATTTATATACAGGGGCCAAATTTCCTCCACACATGCATACACATACATGCCACGCGCACGGGTCTAACAATACAAATTAGAGAATCGGAAGACTCCTCCCAATCATCCTCCTCTGCCCCAGACAAACCCTTGCTTCCACAATTTATACCATTATTGGTAGTCTTTTTTCTTTTTTTCTTTTTCTCTCTTCGTTATACGCCAGACCTACTAGCAAGCCGTCCGTTGCAAATTTCCCGTTCTAGTGCTAGGCGTCTTCGGGCTTGGGTCGCGAGAGACGGAGGGTCTTGTCAGTTCTGAATTTTTTAATGATGGAGTACGCTCCGGCACCGAGGGCGACGCTGTGTGTCAAGTCGTATGGGTTAGTACTTTGTTTTGTTTGGGAAACGGTTTATCATTTTTCTCCATTTCGTAATCCTTCTCCTAGTCCGGCATTTTTGGGGCGGGTGGCGGTATTCCGGTTTATTTTTGTTTTGGCTTTTCTTTATTGCGGGGTGAGGGTGATATTATCTTACAGAAGGACGGCGCCTATAGAGATGGAATGCAAATCATCGGATTTAGTATAAGTGCAATAATATACGAGGATTCAAAACGTATTTATTTCCATTGGTTTGAGTACATACCCAGAGGGAGCAATTCCGGGGGAATCTTCTTCAGGGTTCGCAGGCGCTGCGAGACGGTATGAGCTATGTGAGCAATTACATCAGCATATTTCCTCGTTTCCTCTTTTTTTATATATACGGATTCTCATTGCAGGCTCCTAGGGGAGGAGGGCGGGCATTAAATACCGCTCAGGTCTTCCTTCTATATCGCACTCTAAGTTAGCAAAGTTCCATGGCAGATATGATGTGTGGTGGTTGAGGTATCAGGTATGAATTGACTGACAGGCAAGGGAGCCAGTCGCGGCCGGGTGAGCTGCATTCTCAGCGGGCGAGTCGCGAACATGATGACTGGGTAATCACAGGCGAAGAGCGTCTGTTGCAGGTGGGAAACTGTCGTAGCTGTCGTGAATTGAAGCTGGCAGAAAACAGAGGCAAAAGCGAGAGTGAAGTTCCCTGGAAGGTTTTATGTTGCTGTGATTTGATGTGGATGTGGAAACGGGGCGGTGGTGTGAGTCGCCACCCAATCAGCAGCCGCCGCTCCGGCTGCGTTTTTCCTTGGCTGGCCGGCTCACGGGACTGCGCTGGTCAGACCACTGACAGGCCAACCTCATCTCTTCCTTTCTCCTCCGCTGCAACATTCGACATCAACATCGCCCGTCGACCACATCCTGCCCGCCCCAATTGCTGCTGCTGCAACCAACTACTCCCGTCTACACCATGAGCAACATCCCAGACGCTGATCCTGACGAACCCGTCGAAACCAAGCCCTTCAAGTTCGTCACTGGTAAGAATCATCTCGGCCCCAATCCCGTCCCATCTCTCCCTCTCACACACAACCACACAAAATCCAATCACTTAATTGAAAGCAAACAACCTTGATGAATGAACTCCTCAGCTAACTAACTCTATCCTGCAACAGCCGGTATGTAATAAGAAATCCAAAACGATTCCTACAATGAGCTGCGCAGTCATTACCCCGTGGCATCCCCACATTCCGCTAGCCAATTGAAAAAAAAGCGTGGACTTGAAAGAGTCAAGTTGAAGCTGACCATGTTACGACAAAATCACAAATAAAAAGGCTACGATGCCCGCTTCCCCAATCAAAACCAGTAAGACTCTTCCAATACCTTTCCGTAAAGCAATAATAACTGCGATTTTTCCCAATTTCCCTAATATTTCCATTATTGTCGCGGACAGAATCTGTTTTAGCTGAACACAAAACTAACCTTTCGAACCACAGAACAAAGCACTGCTGGCAAAACTACGTCGACTACCATAAGTGTATCATAGCCAAGGGCGAGGACTTCCGCCCATGCAGACAGGTAAGCAAGGCCGAAAAAGAAAAGAAAGGAAAAAATATACAAAACATTTCACGCCCCGTTTCCCAATATTTTTTGCCGGCGCGCCCCATTGCCTACATGATACCTAGGTCATGATGAATGAATGACATTAGAACAATACTAACACAATATCCTTCTTCCCCTTTCCGAGTAAACAGTTCTACCTCGCCTACAGATCACTCTGCCCGAAGGGTTGGACCGATAGATGGGATGACCAGCGCGGTACGTTTTCCACGTCATTCTATCCGCTTCAAAGCGCGTGATAAAGAAAGCCTCCACACACACTTATATATATATATATACTAATCCAATCCCCCGCTAAATAGAAGCCGGCAACTTCCCCGCTCGTCTCGATCGGTAGTCGATGTGAGCAACACTTGACGGAAAAGGAAAGTTTCATGTTTGTTTTTGATAAGAGAAGCGAACAAAAATAAGTTAGCAGTGGGAAACTAGCTCTTGTATTAAATATATTAACATAGCATGACATATCTATGAATTTACTCCCCCGCTCACCCCATTTTATGTCCCCCTCTCCTGTAATGTAGAAATGGTCAATGGGTAGTTTCGAAGCAGCACCTTTCACTGTATTGATTGGCATGATGTTTTTTGAAGGTTGAAATTTGGGGTGTTTGTTCTTATGATTTCTTATATCTCAACTTTGTTCATTCCTCTTCTCCCGTCCTTGACATGATAATTACTTTTGTGGGAGTGGCATGCATGTAATTTTATTTTTCTCTCTCAAAAAGAAGGGCGTGAGTCAAGGAAGTAGAATGAGTGCGAGCTGTGATAGGATCTGTAGTTCATATAGCTTTGTTGCTTTTTTTCTACATTTCTGTTTCCGATGTAATTAGTCAAACAGCCTTCATCTCTCTCCATAATCCCTTTTTCCTAGAATCCGGATTTTTCAATGGTCGCAATTGGGAAAATAAGAAATGAATCTAAACACACTATATTCGAAGGGACAGTGAATGTTTCTGTGGACATATATATATATATGCAAAAGGAGCAGGGGAAGGGGGAAGGAAGGTGTTGATCTACATTATTACTATTGTACATGTAAAAGAGAAAAACAGGGCAAAAGGGCCTCAATGTAGTAGAAGAAGCAATTATTTTTGAAACGCCACGATCTCTATCCGACTCTATAGGTCTATAGGTTCGCCCAAAGGAAAGTAGAAAACAAAGAATACTGTAGCTCTAGCTGTGAAAGCGGTAGTAGTAGTTGGACTGTTTGTGAGATATCATGAGCGAGGAAAATTAAGAACAAGGTTAGATAGATTGCGGTTCGTGTTTGCTCCTTAAATAGAGAAACATAATCGCTGGGGGATCCGCATTGTCGGAGAATCCAAGGTTTTTTAAGTAGAAGAAGTTAACATCGAGATATGGCATTGGAAGATGGGAGATATATGTCTGGAAGTGCGAATGTGGAAGGAGGGCGTAGCGAGGGATTGCCTTTTATCCAGATAACCTGACCCAATTCCTGATCAAGGATTACGAATATATCTCGTGTATGGTAGGTTTTTTGTTCCTTGTCTTTTTTCTCTGCCCCTTTTTCGTTCAGGCGTTAGATGAGAGAATCCTCAATACGCGGGTTCAAAGCTCGGTATATTTTCTTATGCTCTTCCAAAAACAGGAACGTAGCGATAGTCTGCGGCGCCAGGCGGATAAAACTAGGTGTCCAGCCCCGGAACATCCACGAAAACCCTTCTTTCCTAATCACCTCCTTCAACAGGCCGACGATGCCGTGCCCCTTCGACTCCGCAGGGTTCGCCGTCATTATCCTCGTCTTTATCACATCGACGGGACTGCATATCGTCGTCGCCATGAACCCGGCCATGAGCGAAGCTGTGAAGTGCGTGTTGATGTTATCCGACATACCAAAGTGCTTGATGCATATTCCCTTGAAAGTATCGTACGTGGACAGCTGGGAAGCGTTCATAAGGATTGCGCGGGCTGAATTCGGCCACAGGCCGCGGAATAGACTGGACGGGCCCTCCGAACGGACCATCTGCATCAATCCGTGCAAGGCGTGTCTGTAGTTCCTTCTCTGGGCTGGGGGCAAGGCTGCGTCGGATTGCATGCGGACGTTGAGGACGTCGGCAGGGTTACCGACCAGCCCGCCTGCTAAGCCTGCGGCTGAAGCCATGAGGACAAGGGTGAGTAGGGAAGGGGAAGATTCGGCGGAGGTGAAATGTGATTTAAGCTCCTCGTAGACTCCGAACCGGGTGGTTGAGTATGTTATTGCGCGGAGGAGAGAGGCTGAGAGCTATTTCATTTTTTGGAGGAGGACCAACTCAATTCATCAGCGCTTTTTCCTTCTTTCTTTCGTTTTTTTCTTCCCCGATTGTAAACCAGAGGTACCACAACTGCTGGGGATGGGTATAAACGTACACCATTGTATAGACCCAGGACCCCATTATTCTTGACGATATGAGCGGCAGTCCTCAGCATTCCAGCAGGGTCTCCTGGTTTTCGGGTCTGGAGGCGGACCTATGACGGGGATATCATTGTTTAGAGCTGATCTTCTTCACTTCGGCTACAGAAAGATCTCGAGGAGGTGATATACCTTCACTATAGTTTTTTAACTCCCCAAGATGTCAGTCACATATGTCTCTCAGCGTAGCAGAAACAAAATCAATATATATACATATATAAAAAAGGGAATGCGACATACAAAGATCCAAGGGATGCGTCGTTGCGGTCGCCATGCACGATGCAGAACCGCCGAACCAGAAGGGATAATGGCGCGGAGGAAGCGACTGTGGAGCAGACGAGGGCTTTGAACCCTTCATATTGTCGCTATCTGCCATCTTGACAATTTAGCAGTATGGTATGCACATACATCCCGCCAAACAAAGAGAGCGTTGAGAGCTATAGCTGTGCTGTTCTGTGGCTGGGCCGAGGGTGATGTTGACTCTCCGGTTGAGATCATTGAGATCATTTTTATTTTCTTAAATTCCGCCGAAATTTATTTTTAAGTCCGCCTGCAGAATACCGTACCAACCATTACATGCCACTAGCCGTTCTAAAATTGAAATTAGGACTTTCTATTGGCTTGGTGGTTATTTAGTCTCAAAGTTACTAGGATACCGCCCAGCTGGGCAGATGAATTCACGATTAACTCGGCTCTGTGTTCGAAGAAATTCGTGATTTGCATTTGTTTAAATACTCTGCTCCGGCCTGGACTGCAGGGAACGGACGAGAACCGACAAAACGGGCCCAATTGCCTCGTCATAAGCTACCGACCAGTCGAGTCAAGTCAGAGAGACATGCGGTTGCTTGCGACTGGCAGAATGCTGAGGTTGGCCTCTAAGCAGACCCATTCCACGGCAAGGACCACAGGGTATTATTACAACCCGTCGCGGAGTCAATTGGCTCCCCTCGTCACCTCAAGGTCTAGCAGCTCAAGAACAACGGGAGGAGAAACAGCAGCAGCAGTAGCGTCAGGTTCAGCCTCGGGGGAAGCTCTAGCGGAATCGAGATCTCAGTCTGATAGCCAGATATCACCAGTCCAGATACTCCAGGGGCGCATCAAAGACGGTGACAGAACCCACCTGGTCGACGAGTGGACAAACACACCGAGAAGCATCCTGTCGCATATCGGACGCCGCCTCTATCTCAATAAAAACCATCCTCTTGCGATTACACGGCAGCTTATAGAGAGCCAATTCACCGGCCCAGAGTTTGGCAATTATGCTGAAGCAAACCCTATCGTCTCGACGACGCAGAACTTCGATGTCCTCGGGTTCCCTACAGATCACCCTGGGCGGAGTAGGACGGATACATACTACGTGAACAAATCTACGGTTTTGAGGACGCATACGAGTGCTCACCAGCACTCTTACTTCCAGCGCATGGGTTTAAACGAGAAAACACGGCCAGACGAGGAGGGGTATACTGTAGTCGCAGATGTTTACAGACGCGATGCTATTGACAGAAGCCATTATCCAGTCTTCCACCAAATGGAGGGGGCAAGATTATGGCAGCGCCCCCAAAAAGACCCCTTGAAATACTCAGCTCAAACCGCAGAGGCCATCATGAAAGACGCCGATAAAATCCCCACTCACGACGTTAAAGTCGAAGATCTAAACCCAACAATACACCCGCAAAGAAACCCCCTGCAAGCAGCCCACCTCAGCGTCGAGGAGACAGAAGCGATCGCAGCCCACCTCAAACGCTCTCTCGAACGTCTCGTCGTTAAAATCTTCTCCGCTGCCCGCGAAGGAACTCCCGAATCCTCCCACGCGGACCAGGAACCCCTCAAAGTCCGCTGGGTCGAAGCCTACTTCCCCTTCACCAGCCCCTCCTGGGAACTCGAGGTGTTTTGGCAAGGCGACTGGCTCGAAGTCCTCGGCTGCGGCGTCGTTAAACAAGAGCTCCTCATCTCCTCCGACGTCCCGCACCGCGTCGGCTGGGCGTTCGGCCTCGGCCTTGAACGCATCGCCATGCTCCTCTTCAACATCTCGGACATCCGCCTCTTCTGGTCCGAGGATCCGCGCTTCCTCTCCCAATTCCAAGCGGGCAAAATCACCCGCTTCGTCCCCTTCTCAAAACACCCTGCGTGCTACAAGGATGTTGCCTTTTGGCTACCACCTTCAGCCGCAACTGCTGCAGGCGGCCGCACACTGTTCCATGAAAATGATATGATGGAAATTGTGCGTGATGTTGCTGGCAATCTGGTGGAGGATGTGCAACTTGTGGATGAGTTTATGCAACCGAAGACCGGGCGGAAGAGTTTGTGCTATCGGGTTAATTATCGGAGTTTAGAGAGGACGCTGACGAACGACGAGACGAATAAGTTGCATGAAAGGGTGAGGCAGGAGTTGGTGGAGAGGGCTGGTGTGGAGATTAGATGATCATGGTGATAGATTTACTGTACAATATATCTGCGTATATTTTGTTTTTATTTAACCTACAATATCTTGTATTTTTTAAAAAATAAAATGCTCTCTGGCTCATAGTTTGCTGGATGATAACAATTTTTGCTCCTTCTCACCTTTTCCAACGTACATTACAGCAATAGACATCGCACCGTATTGTTAATAAAGGGTGGTGATGCTTCTGAGTTGAGCTAACTAAATGTTAATTCGCAGCTTGCCTGTACGAAATGTTAAAAGTAATCAACTATCGGATCAACCGCTTCCGGATTTGATTACACCTTATTTCATAAAAAAATAAAGAGAAAAAGAAAAAGTAGACACCCACCTAAGACCCCACTTCCGACTGGTGACGCCAAGGTCTAATAAAAGTAGATTGAAAAGGATCACACAAAAAGGAAGCTGGCCAAAAATCGGAAAGAGTGAGAATTCACCATATCATATATATCGTACCAAAGGTCCCAAGCCTGGCGCTGCTGATGAACACATTAAGAGAGGAGAGATGTGTAATAATGGGGAAAATATGAGAAAGACGTAAAAAAATCTAACAGAAAAGAGGAGGAAAACAAAAAGGAGACGGTAAATATCAGAGCGGTTTGGAAAATAGGGATATATATGTGTATGTGCGCGCTCCATAAAATAGTAGCTCTCAAATAGCGAAGAGATGATGAATGCAACAGATCGGAAAAACGCCGTCGTCCGTGTTGTTTCTCCCGTTTTATACAGTGATATTTTTTTTTCCTGTCCGCGTCGAATACATGCATGGATATTGTACAGAGAATAAGGTGGAGTAAAGGAATAGAGCTACTAAGGATTGTAGCTGTACACGGAAAATTGTGCTGATTGTGGGGAGAAGGGAGATTACCGCCTTAAAAGTCTATATTGCGGTTTGTGAAAGCGGCGAGGTTCCGTAATAGGGGTGTGAAAGGGGAGGAAAGTGGCTTTTATTGTTCGATATCTCATACTGGATACGAATTCGTGCCTAGGAGTTCTTCACAACTCCGACTTTCGCAGCCTGTATTTTTACGGACGGGTGTTAGCTTAGCTCAGTAGTAAATCAAAGGAGACAAAAATAAGATCTTACCCTGAGTGTACGGCCATTGAGAATAAATCCCTTAGTTTGAGCGTGGAGCACATCTCCATCCTCTTTGCCCTCAGCCGCAGCCATGAAAGTCGCCTCGTGTAATTTTGGATCAAACTTCTGCGGTTTGCCGTCTACCAGCTCGGAGGGATCGAATCTTTCCAACCCATGCTTATTCAATGTGTTGAACAGGACACGTTCGGTCATTCGAAGGCCAGCCACCAGCTCTGTCAGTTCCCTGTTCTCCTTCTCACCCGCGCCGGAGATTTTTTCTGCAGGGACGGCAGCAAGGGCGCGGTCGAGGTTGTCAATGGAATCAAGAAGATCTGTTGCAAATCGCTGGATAGCAAAATTCCGGGCAGATTCTACCTCCCTGCGTGTACGTTCCTGAAGGTTCCGGAAATCGGCAACGGAGCGGAGATATTTATCCTGAAATTGGGATGTTAATGTATCAGATATTTGTTTTCTTCGAAACCTCGTCGTAATGCCTCCAGAAGGGGCGCCACAGGACAACCACACAAAAACCAAAAACGGACAGACAGGTCGCATACCTTGAGATCAACAATTTCTTTTTTCGCAGCTTCAAGCTCTTTCTTAACGGGGTCTTCTACGGCTTCTGGCTTCTTTTCGTTGCCATTCTCTTCTGTGGCAGTGTCTTTCTTGGGCTCTGCTCCTTCGGACTGATCAGATGAATAATATCTCTGGCATATTCGTGGAGGGAATGGTTTGATAGACTGAGAGAGTGGTTGCAAATATGCGGTTCTTGTTGCTGGCAGAACACGATTTGATGTAGAGCGAATAGACAGCACAGACTTTGCAGCCTGGCGTTGAAGCATAGTTCTAGAAATCATGGTGTATAGCTAGGGTGATATTCTCCAAGGTAGAACCGGAGGAGCTTGTGCTAAAGAAAGAAGAAGTTTGGGAGTAGTGGGAGATGAATATTGTAGATAATCTATGTATGACTAGTTACTGGAAAAGGAAATTCTAAGCTTGCGATAGAATCATAAAAAATTCAGAGCCCAACGGTTTAACATTTTTCCGGGCGAAGCTAAATTCAACGACGGATCAAGACTGAAACTCTCTACATGATCAAAACATCTGTCTATTCTGCTTGCATCTCTACCTATGGTATACATTTTTGTAGAAAGAATACTTCATTTATTTCATTTCCTCTTATAACCAGCCTCCCATTATCTTGATCAAATCATAACAAACAGCAGGAGAACATAACATAATGGATATATACAATAAGGAAATGAACAGGGAAATCATGGAAGCATACAATTTCCAAAAGACTTGAATCCGACATCGTTGACCTGTTGCCAAAGGTTACAGCAAAGTGCCTTATTGCGCCATGCCTGATCCAATGACCACATTGCTCGTCCAGAAATTGGATTAAAGAGAAATAGAGGCAAAAAGTTCACTGAAGGAAGAAAATCATTGTGTCGTATGGAATGGCTTTCAGAGCATTTGCGAGCGAGAATTCATCGTGTGTACGAACGTGCTGTGCGGACGTGAGCCCGTTAGGATACCAGCGTGGCTGTGGGTGGAGTTGACGGCGCAGGATTGACCATCTTTTCCATCTCCCTTTCGATGTTAGCAAACAAAGTGTGCAGTTCGGCACCTGCATATATCTTAATCGATTCTACCTCCCGGCGGTTAACGCCCAGCGGAGTCTCCGCTCTCGATGGGCTTCGAGATGGTATCTGGTCATCTGCTAAAATAACACTATCATAGTGTGGAGCCCACAACGTCATTGCACCAGCCATGTGCTCAAGCAACTTCTGTCGAATACGAATCCGTTTGTTTTCAGCATGTTCCAGCTTGTAGACCCATTCGTCAATTGACTGGTCAAGTTCGGAGAGAGCTTCTTCTTGCTTGAGGATGCCTTCCCTCGAGAACTTGGAAACCCGGGGCGATTTGAGGTACGAGATCATGCGTGTGTGCAGGCTACGGCGCCCGGATCGCAATGACTTGTAAGTTTCGCGGAGATAATCGCACCTTTTATCGAGTACTCGCAATTCCTTGATACAAGCTCAGTATTGTGACAAGGATATGGAGACAAACCAATTACATTGACAAGACAAACAACGACGACTTACCCTAGAAAGCGATCGGACTTCGGAGAACTTTAGTACTTCAAATCTCTTGGCCTGGTCCCACGCCTGGTCTTTTAATCTCTCGATTTCATCGAATGGAAGCAGCTTTGGAGCAGTGTGTGCCGGGATTCCGGCTGGTAAGATCAGGGATGAGCAGTCAAGAGGTTCATTATTCGGTTTAACCGCCCTTGGACTCTCCTCCATTGGAGATTTATTCCTTGGGGGTGCCTTCACCGCGATTGAGTCTACAGGGATGTCTGGCTTGTTATCTAGCGACATTGAACCTTTTCTATGCAGCATGGGCGGTGATGTGATCGTGCTTGGATACGTTTGGCAAACCCCGACACTTCTGTTCCTTGAATGCTTGGGGGTACCTCTGCCCTTCAGTGGAGACGGCGAGATCCATGGGGTCGCAGGGACTCCCAGATCAAATGAACCCGGCTGTGTTTCGACGGTCTTGGCGTGTAAGGGAAATATGAAACTCTGCGTGGAACACTTGCAGGCTGTGGGACTGTTCGTTGGAGCAGTCAATGTTGTAGCGGAGGAATTTGAGCTGGCGCTGAAATAGTTGGCCACTGGCTGGGTAGCCAAGGTTCGCAGGCCGAGTCTGGGTGATTTTGGCGGCACTTCAGGCGGTTTGTCTTTCTCCGATTGGTTTGGTCTTGGATGTTTTATAGGCAAATTGCCTTTTGAAGATCCAACTTCATCTGCAACAAAGGGATATGGCTCTAGTGCGTCGGGAAGCAGTAATGAGGAGGCCCTTTTTATTGACTTATGGCCATCATCTTCCATCGGAGAAGGTCTAAGCACTTTTCCAAAGGACTCTCTTGACGAACTTACTGGTTCTCCAACAGCATCGAGGGCGGAATCTTTGAACGTTGGCCGGCTCCAGGATGCTCCAGGGGCGCTACTCGACCGTTCATGAGTAGGAAATTTAGCTGGTAATGTTGCTACTGCAAAGTTAGAGACAGCGCTGCGACTACGAATATCAGGGGGATACTCACGCGAATCTGAATTCTTTTCCTGGACGGTCGTCATTGGCCTTAATTCCGGAACACTAATTTTACGACGCCGATGAAGTGTTCCGCCCTCCTTGAACGGGTTCTTCTTGAGGTCACTTAGATCTGGTGTCCGCCGTCCAGACGTCATTACTGACTTTTTCCAGATTGGCCATAGCTGGTACCTTTGGTGCTCAGTCGGCGTTTGCCTTCCCGATACGCTAACGTTCAAACTACAAGGAGTCTTGTCATTGGGCTGTTTGTTGAGTCAGCGTGGTCTATGATTCTTCTGAATTTTACGCTGTAGGGAGTAGCTCACAGTTGGGGAGGAGCAGCCTCTGGCAAGGCCAACATGTACGGCAAATTCCTGAACCTTCTGCTCGACAGCAAGCATCATTATTTCCCGCAGCTTACGTAAAAGCAATTTGGCGGTGTCTTCGGATTTGCCGTTAGGGGTAGATGCCTGATTTCTCTCTAGCCTGGTCGTTGTCCGGACCTATATATGGCTATAACAGCGATTCCAGGGAACGAAGTATGTCCTTATAACCCGGGACAGAGCTTCTCTTATTGACATCTCAAACGCCAACTTTTAGCCCTAGTATTGAGGAGGACCTGGAAACTTGCTTTGTGGATCGTCTCCGACTTCACACCAGGAGTCGGTGTCATCAGGACCAAATGACTCTAGACAGTAAACTAGTAAGGATCTTGGGCTGAGCCGCGAATATGCTGCAGCCCTTGAAACAACATCCATGTCTGTAAGTAAGCTTGCTAAACCTTATTTGACCCTAAACTATGGGGTCGAAGTGCTTGAGCGACTTGGACCAATATACTCCGTAGAAGCGAGCAAGAAGCCCATTCCTGCACTTCTCGGCTCCATAAAGCAGAACAGGTCAAATCGAATCCAAAACATCAAACCGACCACAACTAAACACCTAAAGTAAACTTTTACTAACACATGCATAGGTACTCCGTAGTTCAACTTAAGTTTCTCTCGCCAATGCCAAACTCAACAATGAGTCAACCCATATTCTGGACGCCGATGACGAAAAATAACCTCTTTGCTAAACCCCCGCCTTCCACTAGATTTATTCCCTATCCACGTTTGGTTGTAATACCCTCAGGCCAAGGGAAGACCAAATTCTCTTATTCCCCAAGAAATGCTGATCTATTAGGATGACCGACCATTGTGTAAAGCAGAGACTCGATGAATCAATTAGAGCTATCCTTTGGTCAGTCTTAAACCCATTACGACTGGTTGATCGGCTCTGTCCTGTAACCTATGCCTGCTAGCCTAAGCTTTTGTATGTGTGCTATGGTTCCTCCAGTTCACACCGCGCTTCTGTGGTCACTAAAGGATGTTTGTTTGCTTTATAGTTAATGCCAATTGTGCAGTTGGAATGGACAATGCCTCTCTTGCCCTAGATCAACGAAACTTGAAAGCCAGAACATCGATTCGGCTATTGCTCGATATAGAACAGCGAATCACTCACAAGGGTGTCTTTATTAGGGGGATTCTAGTAAGGACTATCAACCCAGTTGGTAATCCGGTCCCATTGCTCTCGACTCCTCCTCACTTATGTCTGCAAGTGTTTTGGCTAATATCACCACTGTGTATGATGGAGGAATGTGGAAAAGTCAAAAAAATCCACTAAACAAGTGAGGTATCTACAGTGTACTCCGTACAGCGTAAAAAATGCTGGAGCACTCAGGTCGCTGATACCCTGCTAGAAATGTCCGAAAGCAACCCCCCAGCCAAGCCAGGAGTCTCCGGAATACGAATCCCAGCAAGAGTATGACCTCGCTGGCACTCAACTTATTATTCAGTGGGCCAGGATGCTTCCCGACGAGATTTTCGGGGTTTCTAGCTCGAACCAGATGATCTACCAGCTCGCGTTCTCGTGGAGCAAGCACTTGCACTTGTGTAATAATCCATCTTTACCTCGCATCGACAATGGTGCTAGAAATGTCGCAGGTTCAAGCCTGTATTGAACATCCTTGACACCTTGCATGGGTTCGTTCTGAGCCCTTCCCCCTGCGACGGGAATGCAGTCGCGGTACTAGCGGATGCCACTATTTCCTTAGTGTGAACTTTGATCTCGATGCCTCAGGGGCGAGAAGTTCCTTTATTAGAATCTGTCCAAGGCGCATCTCAGGTCGGGGTTCAACATCCACGTTTTTCACAGGGATGTATCCTGACCTCTCAGTGACTTGATCCCTTTTAACTGCGCAGCCATCACCTCACCCCAAGTGATAGGGAGAGGAGCATGAGAAAAAAGTCGAATGAATCCTCTCGCCGAGTTATATCTCACATAACGATGCAGGCAAAGCTTTTGAAGTCAACTTTTACGCTACGTTTATTTATGCTGGGCGTATGCTGGGCTGGCGTTGCGGGAGGTGGATAATCGCCGTCCAGATGATCTACGTCACCCCTCTGGTTGGCGGAGTCGTTGCTCTTCGCCTGCGATCGATTTCCGTAGCGCAGTCAAACTCGAAGGCAGCTGATCATGTACTGTACATTTTTTAACGCGAGCTTGCTGAGAAAAGCGCTTCAAATCTCGCAAGACTTTCAGATTCCAAATAATTTTATCCGGAAATACTTCGCTGGGAAGACAGTACAATCACAACAATGCCATTTTTAATCAGAGCTGTTGTTTGGTTTGCATTAGAGTTCCCAGGCGATTTTGTTTCCTCACTGGAATTTCATCATTGTTGCTTCTTATCGGTTCACAAATTGAATCACTCGGCTATTCTGGCGCCCGATGATACTTAATGAGAAGACGATGGCCTGGACCCGTCTTGGCTGCTAACTCGAATGCGGGGACTCTCAATGAGTGACCACGTGGTTTTAAGGGGAGATTTACCGGTTCAATCAATAGCAGTCTGTTCAACTCTTTGAATTGGAGAAGGCTGAGCTATTCTGAGGTTTTCTGCGCTTTTGCATCCAATCATTTCATCCACAGAACGCGGAAGAAACAATTTAAGGGTGTGGTGTTACGGCATCAACATCTGTCCTATGATGTGCTGCAGAAAATTCCAACTAACGCCGGTAAATTCGCCCCCTGACCTGGATTGATTCGCGAAGATATCAGCCTGAGAAATTTGGGTTTGCATTCCTAGCCTACGAAACGGAGCGCATCGTGGAAACTCTAGGCGGTGCTAACCCCGCATGTTCGCTCTTTCTACGTTCGGGTTCGGGGAAAGTTGCTACAAGGGAAGACCCTTGAGGCGACGTTCGTTTGAAAAAAAGGGGCCTCGATGATTATTCGGCCTAAGGTTGCTCATGCCTCTCTTCTAAAGTTAATTAAAGAAGATTGACGATTTGACGAATGACGAGTGTTTACCTTCTTATAATGTCCTACGGCATGTGCGTACAATTGGGCGCTATATCGAGATCCACGTTCGCAATCGTAAAATGGCAGGAATGGAGTGGGATATGGTCGATCCTATCGAAGCCAAAATAATAGTTTTCTCGGGGGATTCAACTGGGATTTGGAGCTTTTGGCTTTCCCTGGTATTTCTGGAAAAACTTGGTTGTATAATTTTAACACCAAGTGGAGAAGTCCAAAGATGCCAAGCGAAATTTGCCCTGAAGGTGACAAGGTTCTATTTATCCGGTCTGATACTACTCAGGCACCTTCGTTACAGGCTACCTAGTTCGGAATCCTTGTTGAATAGGGAATTCGAGAGCTATGGCACAACCTGCAGCCGATAAGGAATGTAAAACACCGAGATGGTGAGGGAAAAGCGGGGGAAAACGGCTGCGAAACACACATATCATGCAGCTCTCCATTTAAATAGCCACAATTAGCTCGTGTTGGATCAGCTCCCCTGCAGTCTCAAAATCTCAAACATGGGGCTCCGAAGGGAGGTGTTCGCGCACGATAGCTAGTCAAAGAGGAAGACAACCTGGTTACAACGTTTAATTTACAGAGTAGAGAAGAGAGGGCTTGGTAACGAGCCAGCACTATACAATCATTACATGCTTGGCCATCATTTTTATCTTCTTGTTCCCCATCCGTGGCTGAAGAACCTGTCGGCACCAACATTGGGGAAAAGAGATATTAATGGTTGGTGGATCATCTTCGGCGATGTAGAAGTTTATGATAAACTGCTGCACAGTTCTTCTAACTAGCAGCTGCTGAGAAGCAGAATGCGTGCGAGAATGCAAAGACTAAGGCATCACTCACTACTCTTGCTCCAAGCAAAGCCGAACCATTCTGACGCCTGCCAACTACCTCCAGAGAAGCATTCTCTCTTTTTTCCGCGCCCCCTCTCCATTCGTCCTTCATTTTGAGGATTCACACCATCGTTTATTTCCGATTGCAGTTTGTGCCACTGCTTGTGGACAAAAACCTACAGCATATCCATTGCGCCAGCTATCCGCCCTACCCAGTGTAAACGAACGGTGTTTCGAGCCTTGCAAGAGCCCCGCGCGGATGAGGGGCTCCGCATTGCACGAGAGTTGCGATGCTTGCCACAGCGTGTAAGCCTAACCCAACCTGGAGGCCGGGTGGGCATAACGCGGATTTTGCACGGTCTGAACTGAACCTGGCAGCTTCAAAACCCCCCTTTGGGCGGAGCACTGAATGAATGTGCCTGATTTGAATGTGGCGCCGCCCTTCTTTTGACGGACTGCGCCGAGAACTCTTCTAGTGCCATGCTCACTTCCAAGTTCCCACTCTCATTGCTCTCGTCTTCGTGGCCCATGTACACAGTAGGGTAGGGGAATTCTGTGGATTCCGGCGCGTAGCCCGAGGAATCCTTGTTGAAATGGCTCGGAATATTTAGGGAATGTTGAGGAAAGTCTCTCTGCCGGACCTTGAGAAGTATTCACTGTTTATTTTTACTTGTGACAGCTGATGATCATGGATTTTGGCAAGTTAAACTGGGGTATCTTGGTGCACAGATGTTTAACTAATCTGTTGAGGTTATTGATCCCTGATACTTTCATGCCTCCCTTAAAGCTGACGATACAGTACCTTGGATATATATGAGCATTTGCAATGTGATATGCATACATCTGTACTTGGTGCACCTCACCACAACACTAACTACTTCTTCAAAATAGGTACCTTTTGTGTGGGTTATCTCATGCATGTTTTTAGAATATACTATATCTTCGATGCAACATCAGATATGAGTAGAATATTAAAGATGTAAGTATATTCTAATACAAAGAATATGAGTATATAAATTTATGGAAATAAATTGTTCTGCTTATTTTATATAATAGCTATACATAGTAATTTAGTAGTTCTGGCTCCATCACCTGTTCAGCTCCCATCTTTCAACCGTCATACTGGGAAAAACGGCTCCAACTGATGAAGCGCTGGTGAGTTAGAATTGCAAGAAGTCAAGCATTATACTGTTATCACTAATAATAATAATAATAATAATAATAATAATAATCTGGAATCCAACAAACAACGTTGATGCCGCGCTATCAGGCAAATAAATCTACGCCAAGAACTGAAGCAATATTGCAATACAGGACTTCAAGGCCTAATGAAGATTACTGCATGGCTCAGGAAAATACGGCGCACAATTCAGCTATTCAACCGCCGGAGTCAATGCAGAGGCCCATGCTCGAGAAGATTATCTATCCATGCAACTGAGAACTTTGCATGTGAATGTGAGGTTGTTCAACACGAGAATCGAGCCTCCAAAACGACGCCGCCGCCGTGGCAGTAGAATGGGACTTGCTAATAAGGATGATGATGGAGCAAAATTCTTCTCTCCTACTAAGGTTAATGTAGTTTGAAAGGAAGCTGCTGCGCAGGAGCAACAAGCACAGGAGAAGGTCTTCCTAATTGAACCTCAATGTGTTTCAATGTGCAATTCAAAAAGACCAAGAGTTTGCTGAGAAGGAATCCCATGAACCAAAGAAGCAGCAGTCTAACCTTCAAATTAGTTGATATAAAGGATATCTAAGGTGCAAGTGCTGTCCAAGGCCAATCCCTATCCTGTTATTGTCATGCCTCAGTCAACATTCTTCATCATGGCATAAACTATCATTCCACAGCCCATCCTCACTCAATCCATTGCCCATGTCAATGCGTACATAATTTGGGACAATTGCCACTCCATCTTTGGATGTCTAGGGATCTGTTGAAACAACATATCTGTAAACAACTCTGCAGTTCACCTTCTTACAGCTAATGCTGCATATTCAAATCCTTCAGAGTAATAAATTCCAGTATCACCTCAGTCAATTAGCCAAACCTCGCCCTTGAGGTCTAGTATGAAATTCTGGAGAGCAATATCTTGATGAGTAAGAATCAACTTATCAAAACAGAAGAGTGGAACAGTATCTGAGACCTGCTTGAAACTTTGACAAATTTCAAGTTTGTAGTTAAATCAATCCTACATGACTATAATTTCTCTGAATGAACCACTCTCTACACCAAATCAGCACTCTTTAGCCTTGCAAAGGTGATCTACTGAGCCTGGTTGTTGAGATACACAAGCTGACTGCAAAGCAATAAACATAGAAGTCATCTGAGAAACAACATCTTCATGCTGAGTCTGACTCGAGGTCTCTCAACAGTTCTAAATAGAGTTGTCAACTTGTCATGGAGCAATGGTGCAGTATTGAAGAGTTCAATCAGGGTTTCATCAGGGACTTTAGTTATATCGTAACCATCGAGGGGAAACTTGGTCTCAGACTGCCTGCTGGCAAGCTTGCAGAGCATCTTCCGTCAGAAGCTTCAGATTATGGCGGAGGATGAGGATTTGCCTTATATCAAAATTGGGGGGGTACCAAGACGAATAACATTCGTCATTTCGCAGAGACTTTGTGCGTTATTATCCTCTCATTAAAAGTTTAGCAGCGAAATTACTCTTGATCTGCTTTCCTTTCCTTTGCTGAGAGCTGCTGACCACGCTTAAGCCCGCCTCTATCTTGTTGGTGTACTCCGTAGCATGGGAAAGATAAACGTGTGGCGGGGTTGGCGTTCGCCCAATATAGACTTGGTCTACCCCTGTATTTTCGTTAGTTGCCAAAATACTGGTGACATTTTGAAGCTCAGAAAAATGAGAATATAGAATGTTTTTTTATTATATACCTCGCTTATGTTTTCTTTTGATAATAGAGTGAGAATGCGTGTACAGAGTAGAAGTAATTATTAATATTAATAATTAAATAAAAATAATTCATATAGTTAATAAATGACCCTCAGTATTAGACTACAGTACATACCGCACTTGTTCTCGAGCGCTCTGCACTAACCTCCGACCAAGGCCTGCAACAACACACAGTGCAAGCAATTATTATTAACAGGTTATCCAGGGGCAAAAAAGTATGATATCGCGATCTGGCCGCTGCTTTTTCTTAATTGGTCTCCCACAACGCTAATCAACGTCAAGCACTTTTGCAAGGATCATACCGAATTTGGGGTGTACTGCGTACGCACCGAAGACCCATGGCCATGGCGACAGATATTACTCTAGTTCGGAGTATTTTCGCGGGGAATGCCGATTGCAGGTGCAAACTCGGAGAATTGTCGTCCAGAAATTTCGTCACAAGCCATCACAATGTTCATTTGTAGAACCGGAGAATTATTGTCACAGCCTTTCATCTGCTGACGCATGCCGTAATGACAATCAATAATGGGCTGTCTTCTTTCCGCAGAATCAATCCCCACTGATCTGCTCAGCCATCAGGGCAAGAAGATTGAGGGCAAGATGATTTTTCGCGAAGCAGAGCCCCCTCGCTCGTACAGATTATTCTCTTTTGCAATTGGATCATGAGTTAGTTTCCCCGCAATTTTCTCCGTCGGCTTCTCAGAGTCCGAACTACCTCCGCGGTTTCGATGGGAAATTCTCCGTCCAATTAATTACTTCCGTCGAAGGAGTGAAGCATGCTTACTGGAAGGAATAATAATGGACAGATACACGATCGAAACAAGGGTGTTGTGGCTTATCTGACTATTATTCTGATGTAACTGCGCTGTCCGAAGTTTCGAATTGTGGTTGCCCAGTGTGAGATTTACGTGGCTTGTTTCAGTACGTTAAATATGCCATGCCAGTGACTGGGTGATTGACGAATGCAAAGGCTGGGGGCAAATCCCACCCTCTTCTATTGGCTCGCTGCAAAGTTTATTAGATGTTGTGAATATGTGTGGACGTAGCAATATGGGGGCTAATTCGGCCTTGTGACCAAGAGATGTAGAAGGAGGAGGTACAGAGTAATGTTTCTTTCAGTTCTCACATTTGTCTGGCGAACTTCGTAGTACGCTTTTCCTGATAGTAGTCCTGTTGTTTTGAAGCTTGCCGAACTACGCAGTAAGCATGTCCCAAACCCCCAGCTGCAGGGACTCGTCGCATGCCAGCGGACGAGAAATGCTAACTTGAGGTTACTCTCTCACCTCTTCAAAATGCAATTGTCGTTGCATGTAGGAACAAGGTAAATAATATTATCTACCTTGGTAATCAGGAATATACAACAATATTCATTCTATGGCATCTCCATCAGAAACTCAGCCACGGTCTGACATGAACAAGCACGTACCACTTCATCATCATCATTTTACCAAACAAAACTACCTTATGGCAGATTGCCTCGTCAGCACTGGAACGGAAAATCGCTCTGTGATATGTTCTTTTCTCTATAGTGTCATGGGATGGTATTGAATAGAAGTGACCCTGTACATGAAACCGGACATAAAAGCAGGAACAACGACGCAGCCGAGCGATGTCATTTCCGGCAATCTGGTTCCGATACCGGGGTAGGGGCAGCATGTATTGGAGCGCCAGAAGAATCAAGATAGCCAGGCCAATGTGTTGATGTCAGTGACGCCAACCAGGTTCATGTTGCCGATGCTGCGAACTGGCGAACGACTGTCTCCCAAGTGCGAGGATCGAGTCCAATAGAAATCATTCGCAGGGTTGATACATGTAATTCCTTATCGATAACCGCATGGTACACCTCCCTGGAGACAGTCGGGCAACTGAGCAGTGTGAACCCCTGACAATAATATGGCAGATCTGTGTATATCCAGGAAGTCCGAAGGCCAGAGGTTCCGGTACATTGGTCCGTCAGCATTCAAAAATAACAACTGATTCTTGTTCGGATCGAGCGGCCCGCGCGGAGAGCAGCAATGGAAGGAGCACGTCGGGACTTCTACCTAGCCTAAATATCATGAAGATAGGCTGGACTAATCTTGAATGCGATTCCCTGAGATAACAAACAAGCTATGAACTATGCTCGTGGTGAAACAGCAGGAGCCATCCCGTTAGGCGGACCGCATTCGACATTGGATATTCTTTCAAAAGTGGATCTTGTAACGTTTCCCCTTTGCCTGAGTTGTTGCGTATGTCCCCTCCTACGATACAAGTGAGTGTCATGGTCGTTTCCTTTCGGTTTGCGACGCATATATCAGGCATTTCTCCCCCATCACTGGAAAACGGTATTATATACCTGTTTAGGGATAGAAAACGAATTATGCCAATGGATCCTGAAACGCTCCTGGAACAAAATCCGCAGGCTTATGTAATCTCCTATCTTGTAACATGTCAGCCTCATGGTGAGGCAGTAGTGATAGTTTTTAGATCATACTGATTATGAAAGAACATATCTAACTGTTGGTGATGTTGCGTCGTTTCTCTCATTTTCGAGCTCAGTTGTTCTTCACTATATCTGCAGTTCATGCCCAAAGCTCGCATGATAACTCGGGTGCTGGGGAGAAAGAAGTGACGCTCAATTAGCAAGGGAACGATTTCAAGAATTCAGGATGGCTGCATACGTAAATCAAGGCATGATCCATACCGGGGCCCTTGGCTATAGGATTTTTTATCCTTGACCACACTCTTGCATGAACTGATAGATCAAAATGCAGGGGCCTGTTTGACCGGTAAACAAATGATACGGGCCGTGGAGCTACGAACACTCCCCGGCTCCGGCAGCGTTTCAAGATGGGAGCGTTCGCATATGTTCCGGGAGCAAAGGGCGGAAGAGACGGATAGAACCCCCAATGCCCTGCTTTGTGTTCCTGGTATAATCCTTGTTGCGGTAGTAGGGTTCGATAGCATGGGAGTAATCTTGCCCATGGATATAAAGCAACTTCCGGTAGGGAACCTAGATCAGCTAACTACCCGACGCTGCAATTGGCTACGGGCCGGTGAGTTCGAGATTTTGGTAAAAGAAAGGCTGGGAGTGACTGCTGAGGCTGTTTTGAAACAATTCTCAAAATGTTTATTATACCTTCAGCCTTCAGGGAAGCGGTGACACTGCGCACACATGCATATAAAGGCAAGGTGAATCCTTATACAGTCCTTGTGACAGATCCTGCTACGCTCTGGATATTTAGTGGTTTAGCCTGAGCATCCTGCATGAGTCCCCTCCTGTTCAACATGACCCTCCGAAACCAATGGGGACTGCTTCTATTAATGCAGAAAAATACGCTAAGGCTTGAAAAATGCTCTGTCAACTTCCATCAGCATGGAGAATATGATACTAACATTACCTGTCAGTATTGGATTCATCATAAGTTAACTTTCTTCTCCATATGACGGTTTCAGGCGGGGAAAAAGTAAACCAGGCCATTTGTCCTTCCTCTCACTCCACGGTGTTGTTTCTAAAGAGAAAGGGAAAAACACTCGTTTGTCTCCTCAAGGCTCATCGCAAAGTATATTTGTTGACTGCCCTGGATAGACACATAGTCGTTCGCATAAAATGGTAGAACCGTCCAACTAGCCTCCCCGATTGGCTTGTGTAGTATATCGTTTATCGTAGACCACCATTAGGATCTCCTATCTAATTCGGGAAAATATGTACGTGCTCTACATGTACATACATGCACATGGAAGAACATGGGTGTTCCGGTCCTCGAGGGTACGTTGGAACCCTTGCGCGAACGGTCTTTGAACCATCCTTGTCTCAAAGGCCAGGGTAGAGTTTTGATAGCACAGACACAGCAACAGCTGCTTTGCGGCGTAATGGCCATATCAGGCGCTATTTAACTCAAGTAGAAGTTGCATTCAAGATCAATGGCAATATTCGGTTTTTCGTGCCTGGGCCAATACGCTGAAAGGGACGCAAAAATTAAAGACTTCTCAATATATTCTGTCTATCCCGGTTGGAATAGCTGGGGACGACGAACATGAATCCGCAATTCAGACCTATGTATGTACATGTACATGTACATAAATATATCTGAATTGAAATCGTCAGTTACAAAATCTAAGCGCAGGCAGCCTCAAACCAATTGATACATCATGTGGTTTTGTCGTCGTATCTCAAGAAAAAAGAGAAGAATATTTGGAACATGTGGATGCAACTGACTTACCTTCGTCACAAATAGCCCAATGGGTTATATGGTATGTTCTCTCGATTCGATGGCCATATCAAGGGTTGAGACCAATTCATATATGTTGCGCTCATGCTGAGTCAATAATAGCAACTGCCCTCCCTACCCTACCCATTCTATCTACAAGTTAGGTAGGCTACTGTGCGGTGAGTATCAAGTAATCGAAATAAAACGGAGTCCACTTGCAAGATGCAAGAGATTTTACGACCCCCTCGCGCGAGATTATCAGCACTCACATTCTCAAATATTAAGCCAGAGACCGTATATGTATTTGACTTGATTGATATTGATCTCGATAGGATAGGGAGCAAGCGAATAGAGGTAGGAGTAACCTGATAGTTTTTGCAAGAAAAGATGCAGGGTCTAAGCAAAGAGATAGGGAGATAAGTAGAAAACGGAGATATATGAATTTAAACAGAATGAATTCCCATATTCCAGGGGTTCGGGGATCCGTGTGTGTGTGTGTGAGGAACGTTCATCACGTATGGCAAAATGATGTACCATTAAAAATATCAATGAATAAATAAATGCTGTCTAATGTAAACGAGAGCAAAGTCTCCAACATGAATATCTTGGATGGTAACTAAACGGCAGAGAGAAAAGGGGAAGAGAGAGAGAAGAAACAGAGGGAAGGGAAAAAGTAAAAATATGCGGCAAATCCTCAACCAACCCGTAAACGCCCCCGTAGGTTAAATATCACAAATCACTCAATGCGTTAGTCCAAAAAAACAGCAGTCTTTCATATCCATTAGCCACACCAACAAAAACATGAAATAACGTAAAGTAAAAGGAAAGGAAAAATAAAAATTAACAAAGCCGGACTCATCTCCTTATCTCCAACTCTCACAAATACCTCATGTTAACATCCCCCTCCCCTATTCCCTCTCATTCCCCTATCTGTTACGCATAGTCACTACTATATAGTCTCCCAGACGAGTCCCCCATGCAATCCCAAAGACTGCCTCTAGGTCTCAAACCGCCATCACCAGCATCGACACCGCCCATGTCAACTCGTCCAGGGAAACCGGTAGGTGGAGCAGCAGCAGCCGCAGAAGCAGAAGTAGAAGCAGAAGTAGAAGCAGCAGACGTAGCAGAATTGCAACGGCGCGGCCGACAAAACCTGCACGGGTTGTTGACACGGATGGGATAGTAGAGGGTGTTTTCAGGGGGGCAGACGTATCTATTCCCGCATCGCTGGAGGGGCCCCCAACTTCTGTGGCCGCAGTTGTGGACGTAGAAGGCTTTGCTGCACATGGCTGGCGGGCTCTCTCGGGGGTTTTTTTAGATTTTCTCTGTTTTCTTTCTTTTTCTTTTTCTTTCTTCTTTTTCGGTTTTGTCTTTGTCTTTGTTTTCGTTATGTGACAGGCCGGATTGGATTCAGTGTTGGGATGTTTGGTAGTGATGGGTTTGAACTTTCGGTTTCGGGTGTGAGGTATATTAAATTTGTCTGGGTTGGGTTTAATCGGGAGAAGGGATATAGCTGGGCCGTAGAATAGGACGTTCTCAGGGGCCGTTCTCTAAACTAAATAAAATATATTTATCTTTCTTTCCTGCCATTTCCTTTGGGTCAGATGAAAAGGATGTAATGGCTCACCGTCCAATATCAGCGTTTGTTATAGGAAAATAATATCCGTGGCTGATTGACAGAGGAGAGAAGTATGTGTAAGAAGTTATGTTCATCGTCATATCCAGGAATAGTTGGTTTCTCGCACGATCAAATCGGCCGCCTGGATTACATAGTATTTTTTTCGCCAAACGGGACTATGGTAGCTGGAAATAAACCTAATTGGGAAGAAGAAATGGCGAGGCAGGAACCGTGGTTGTTTTCGCCGAGATGCTATATTCTATGGTTATTATTATTATTATTGTTATTATCGTTAATATTAATATTTTATTTTCGGAACAGAAAGCGCATCTGATAGAGAATTGTATGCTCGAGGGGGGGGGAGGATGAAGCGGGCAAAATTGAAACATTGGTGAAGCTTGAAGCCTCATCTCAAAAGCATCTCCCAATGGTAAATCCGTGTTGGGTAGGAGGGAGGTGAGAGGCAATAATATTAGATGCAGTGGATGTTTTTCTGTAGGGTCAAAAAGACCCAGGAATATTAAGGCTGACAGGAGGTAGCCAACAGCTGTAATTATATATTCCTTCTTCCCTAGCTTGTACATATGAAGTAACTGAACGGTAATGGCCGTAGGAAGGAAAATGGTCTTCTGTGGGTTGCCAAAATCAAGCTTAAACGGCGAGGGTTGCATTTTGCATCATCCAAACTATATCAGGTCATGTTTCTCCTCTTTCATCCACGGGCATTCGCATATTACTCCGCACTTGGTGAGAAGATATCAGGTCATCCTATACGTTCTAGACACGTTGGTGTTGCACGCTTTGTTAAACCTGGCCAAAAACGGATAAGGGAGAGCCTCCGTGAATGTGACGATCAATCTATCTTGCCGAAATAAAGGAGGAATTGAATTGACACTTGTCCATATTTTTTCCCTCTCGTGGCTGCCCTCTCTCTTACCAGGTAGCTGGAACCAGGATATCGAGCTTCATGCTTCTTCATCAGAAGAGAAAATTCTCAAGAACCTGATATCAGGTATTCCAGGAAGGAGAATTTTCGGTTAGAGAAGGGGATTTCGGCCATCATTTCAATTTGCCCGGAAGTCCCCACCAAGAATAAGCTGGATACAAGCGAGTAAGGGCCTGTTCAAAGTGGATTCTGGTTTTCTTTTTGTAGCAGAAGGCGCTTGTACGAGCCCATTAGAGCCCCGTGTAACGACAGCCGCAGAGAAGCTCGGGGACACTCAATGACAGAGGAACCCCCGAACGCACTCATTAGAGGAGCTGCGATGCGGTACAACGGCGAGGAAAAACGATTGTAACCAAGTGAAGCATAACCTGGTAGTAAGAAGTATACACCATGGGTGTATAAACGAGGAAGAACGCCCACAAGGTTGCTGGTTGTGTGACGACCAGGGCGGAAATATCATCCGAGCTTTGGGGTGAAAGAAAGTTGTGTAATCTCCAACGGCGTGAAAGCTCTCCTGCTAAATTTCTTATTCTTTCTTTAGTTGTTTTTTTTTTTTAAAAAAAAAAAAAAAAAAGAAAAGAATGGCTTGATAGCATTAAGGGGTCAAGACTTGTGGGGATGGTCGCATGGGTAGAGGATGAATATTGTATATCCAGGATTCTCGAGGCGCAGCAGTCGAAAAATTCACAACAGAGCTTAAAATTTCTCCGCCTTAATAGATATTCGTGTATAGATTAGATGAAAGGGAGGGGAAAAAAAGAGCTTCACGGAGAAACGAGAGAGTTTTTTGGAGGGAATCGGCCTTGAAACTTGCCGGAGTCGGAGATGCCATCCATATGTTATGTCTTGCTCTCCTCTTTACCGGAAAGAAAGATGTGAGAACGCGGCAACGAGTGAGCTATGCGATGAGATGAGTTTTATGCAGCATGATGGTCAGCAGCTCAGGGGTTCTAGGCTTTTCGAAGGGCCATTCGAGTCTCCCGGCAAGCTTCGGTGTCTAACTGTCTCGATCCAACCTTGGGCAGAAAACGAGTAGTAGAGTGGAGGAGGGCAATCCAATCATTCGTAGTCAATCACCGTTTGATCGTGTAACTCAATTGTTGGGGGCGGTGTTTGGATCCACGAGCACTGGAGAAGCGAAGCCCAGGTAGGGTATGTCTGTACATATTAATATACGGAGTATATAATAACTAACTAGATAGATAGCATTGACAAGTTCCGGGAAAACCCTTCTTTCGTCAATAATAACCCAACAGCTGGCAGAAGAACGAGGCTCAGCGACCTGTATAAATAAATACTCATTTGGAACCCGAGAGCAACCTGGCAAGACTGCAAGAGTGGGTGTTTCAGGGCGATGTCTTGCGGAGATATTTAGCCAACTCCACGGGCCAATTTTATTCGACAGACTGGTTGAGGAGTGAGTACATACGGACTACTCCGTACACAGTACGGATTACATCTGCAAATAAATAAATAAGAATAAGCCCGTCACGCCATCACTGGGGCTCAGCGCGGGTAGTCCAGCGGTGTCGGAGGTTTGCCTTCGGGGGAGAGGAGCTGTGAAAAATCTGGTAGTGGGCTGCTGCTGCGCCTTTTTCCTTTTTGCTGGCCAGTCAGGCTGTTGCGGAGAGAGAAATCAATAATAAATAAATGTCATTATTTTTTTCGCCCGAGTCCCGTCTGCTTCGCCCCAGTAAATAAGTTAAAACAACTAAATAACTTCAGTTGGGCCATCTTCAACTCCACTCTTGCCACAGCTAGCTACAGTGGGTTGGTTGTTGCACCCTGCTATTATATCAATCAATTCTGGCGGGTTGAGGAAGCTGCCAGCTTTATTTACGACAACAACATCTGCTGTAGCCACTTCGACGCCTCATATTTCTTTATTAATATCTATTTAGCTCCATTCCCCCCCAAAATCCATACATTCTCGATACCAACGTTCGAAAAGAAAATACTGGATTGTGTCAATGAACATGTTGCCGCAACCCCCAACACCAGGCTCGTGCTTCTCCTCCTCCCCAGAGGCCTCCTCCTCTGCCACCGCAAAACGGACCTCCCGCTCCAGGCCGGAACGACAAGCTCTCTCCCTCGATCTCTCAAACCTCCCTCCCCTTGCTCAACCCTCCCCGCCTTCAAACACCCTCCTAATAACTGATCTCCACGATCTATCCCTCTTCCAGCCCTCCTCCCTCGACGCCATCAAAGCCCAAATATCTCGCATAACCCCACTGAACTCGTTCTCCCCGCTCCCCTCCCTCCGCCGCATCGTCTGCTCCTTCACCTCCATCGCCGCCGCTATAAGAATCCGCCAGCTCCTCGACGGCGAAGCCATCTTAGGCAAAAATGTCCGTGCCAGAGTTTACTTTGGTGAAAATACCCCCGTGGAAGACGCTGAAGAGGGCCGTAGACGAAACCTCCTCGAGGCTCCCAAGTCACAGAAGCTATTCTTCATCAGTCCCCCGCCCAGCCCTCCGCACGGCTGGATGATGCGCAATGAAGACCCGCCCAATAAAGAAGTGCACGCAGCTGACCTGGCTGAGGCATTGCAAAGGCTCGAGACGCCGACTGGGGCAGCAGCCCCAGACGTTGATAGTGATATGAATATGACCTCTGAGAGCTGCGGTGCGGGACATGACCCTGATACCCCTGTTTCCGTATCTTCGGATGTGCACATGCACGGAAGCGACCAGGAAGGATCAAGCGCGCGTTTGCGCTCAACATATACCCGGCCAGTGGCCACCGGTCGAGAGCGCAGCGGCAGCAGTACGCTCATTTACGACCCAGAATACCATGGCAGTAGCCCGCATTTGCCCGCGGTCATGGTGGAGGATACGACGGTTGGCGGTGGCGTATCTGATACTGAGATAGATATGGACATTGGTAGTGCCGGATCGAGCAAACGCATTATAGCGCACACGGCTCGACCGCCTGTTGAGCTTATGGATTGAGGATAAGGAGATGATGGCGTTTCTCGTCCCTTCTTTCTTCGTGTCTTTCTCCGTGGCCTATTCAAAAAGGAAAATGGGGGGGGGGTGTTGCGCTCTATATGGCATTTTATGCTTTTGAGAGCAGCAAATTGATTTTTTCTCTGCATGTAATTTGAGCGTCGTTATTCCTTCGTCGTCGTCATCGTATTCACTGGCGTTCTGGGCTCTGTCCTGATTGACTCTTTGATCATGGAGGCTTTTTTTCCTTTATTTGTTTCTTCCTTTCCCTTTCTTCTCTCCTTTTCTAATTAAATGGATGAGCTTTTCACAACCATGCTTTGATAACCAAGATTATACCCTCCCGCCGACTATACCTAGATAATTTACTCCGTACTGGCTAGAGTATTAGTTGAGGAATTATCAACTTAGTATTGCATTGGGAGTTAAGAATAATAGAATACAAAGGAAATAAAAACTGTCATGGTGGATTACTTGGAATGCTTTTAATCATCTCAGAGGATCAGAGGATCATTACAGATACTCCTGTCACGTACAAACCATATTCTTATGGAGGGTCATTATCATCAAGCGGTATACCAATATATATATATATATATATATACTACGCTGTACAACTCTCCCCGTGGAATTGAAAGCACATTGAGGGTTTCTTTGGTTCAATCACAAACAGACAACCAGGAATTGATTAGATACGGAGAAAGTGCATCAGATGCTCCGGAGAGCTGCCAACCACAGTCAACAAACCAAGGAACCAGCCAGCGCCTGGTAGAAGAAAGTCGTCGGCATAGAGGGTAAAGTAAGGCTAGTACTGGAATAGCCCTTAAAAGCTCTCTCAATCTCTCAGCGCAGACAGCTCCCACATCGTCGTGTTCGCTGGGCGCGGGGGAAGGGATGACTAATCCAAAACGTGGTAACTACACCGCCAAGACACCTGCAACCCCATCAGGACTAGCGGAATGGAGTTAGTCAGCCAAAACGGCGGTTGAGCCGCATGCCATATGGCCACGCGGTTACAGTTGAATGTGGTGCCAACAAAACTGACTGTGGTGCCAACTTTTGACCCACTTTTCTGGACACATATTTAACTTTAGTGCTCTCTCTAAAATGCACACTCACTACTACGTACACACCTCACACATAATACACACATATTACTAATCCACACTAACTCTTTTACGATCCCTCCTCATTGGCACTCAATCTTCTTTCTTAGTGTAGAAGTCTATGTTAGAGAGTTCATAATTGAATTAGAATTGAAAGCTAGAGTCTTTTGAAAAATATGAAAATTCAATATTGTAAGGGGTGTAGATAGAGATGATGAGCTTGAAATGTCTAGTGTATTTAGTTTTAATGGGGTGCTGCCATGGATCCAAGTTTGAAATCAGGTTGGGACCACCCTGAGCTGTTTTTCCGGCCCGAGTTGGGACCACAATGAGTTTTGTTGGCACCACATTCAACTCTATGCCCCCCATCCCATGGCCAAACCAAGCAAACTGACCGGAACGGAACGAGGCTGATAGGGACAGAGCCTCAACCATCGCCATCAACGACCGCCCATCAACTATCACCAGTTACGGTCGTGATATATCAAGCGGGCTACAGTTAGCTTATATTCGGCTTCTCCAGTGCTGCAAACCTGCTTTGCACGTGTCGTCATTGCGCTTAGTTGGGCTGGTGAGGAGCTACTGATGTGAGACTAGGTGGTTAACAACCGTGCTCAGTCTCTCCCCCCCTTCGCCGCCTCTCTGGCTTTGACTGTCTATGTCTCCCTGTTTGTGGATGTCCATGCATTTGATGGACGCGGTCTACGAAATAGCGATAACAGTAATGGTCTAGCCCTGGACTGCGATTTTCAATATCCCTTCCTCTCCTTCCCCATTCTTACCCGTCATCGCTTATCCTGGCCCCCGCCACGTCGTCCTTCTGAGACCAATGAAGCTATTCACTTGTTCCGCCTCAGCCAGTTCTGCGATAACGAGATTTAAGATACGATACATAACCCCAACTTAATTCCTCCTTTGTCTCTATTAAATATATACTCGACCTGGGATTTTCTGATTTTAGAATCGCGACCCTTCCGCCCTGACGATCTGCTTTTCCCAAAATTGACAAGCTAATAAACCCATCGAATGGTCCAAGTGCGCCCGCATCGCTGGAGAGCTTGAGGAGAGCGAATGCTTTCAACCTCCGGTCACTAGAACAGTTTTTCCCTGCTCTCGCCTGGCCTGCACCAGCCATACCTTCCGCCCACCATGGCTAGACGCCAGCGGACGAGAGATCGGGAACTAAGGCAAGGTTCGGAAAGTTCGAGTACTGGTAGTTGGCGATCCCATGATACCGCGAGACAGGGGAGTCAGAGTCATGATCAAGGTCAGGGCCCTGCGGACGTTCGCCCAACTCCTGTGCGATCGTCGGGCCAGGAGCCTAGGTATGTTTTAGTACTTTTAGTTCCGTTGATATAGAATCTGAGGGAAGCAATTTATTTCGATATGGATGTAGATTGCTGAACTCTATCTGTGTGACTGTTCCTCTTGTTTTTGACCGGGGTGAGGGAAGGGCTTGTGTTGACGATTACCTGTATCTCAGATTACGACCAATTTCCAAATACCGATCATCCTCAAGGAGTAACAGGAGCGTCAGGAGTAGCTCTCGCCGGTCATATTCCCCCGACATATCCCCAACCGACATGAGGTCGGGTTTTTCAAGCCATAGAAAAACCCTTGCGCTCCTTGGGGCGGCGGGCTATCCCCCGCCGTATTTCCCAGATCCTCCTCGCCCTCCTCTGCGTAGGCGCTCGCCGTCATGGACGCCACCTCCATCATTGGATCGAAACGCGTTGAAACCGAGCGGGGCGCCAGGAACGTTCCTGAATGACGGTTCCGACCAAGAAGTTTCCCCCGCCTTCCCCCCTGCTGCCACCGCCCGCACCGGCGGGTCTGATTCTCCTGACGACCCCATGGATCAGGACCATCGCAGACCGTCTGCTGCTAGTGCCACGACCGTCAGCAGCCAAGGATCCAAAGACAGTACTGGTCGGTTCCACAAACGCCTGCAGCGTTTCTTTGGAGAGGATCAGGGCAATATGTCGGATTCGGCCCTCTCCCATCCCCCCAAGGTCCGTGAAAGAAATAACTCTACCCATTCCCTCAATCCTATAACGCGTTCATTCTCTCCCCATGGTGGTGATGGCCCTCGACCACGCACCGCTGTCCCTTCCAGTGATGTTGCCCCTTGGATGTATCAACGGATTAATGTAAGCTGGCACGCAATGTTCCTTTTTCTGCGAAATAAGAACCCTTTCAAACGTCAGGCCCTCGTCGTTTCTTTCTCCACAAATCTTGAGCATATCACTCAGATGATTGTTTTTGTATACGGTCACGAGCGTACATCCTTTTGGGAATGCTTGGAATGCCTCTTACTTTGTTTCTTTGTTGAAGAATCCTCTTTCCCCATCCACATTTAACGCTTAGCTATGTTACACTTATGCCTCAAAAGTTTCGGGTTTCCTAGGGATACTACTCCCTTTTGAGGACCTACAACATTTTCAACGATTTCGTGGTAGAGTAATTATGCTAACTTGACCCTTTAGGACATATCAAACTACGGGGATCTACCGATACACGGGGACCCCACGGATCCGGACCTTGCGCGTTTTACCGGCACGACAGAGGAGCAAAACCCAGATAAAGATAGTCGCCGTAAAAAAACCGCCAGACATCGGCATTCTCGGAGCGGAGAAGAGAAGTCAGTATATCTGGGGACCGAATTTCCGCATATTTTCGGGTCTTCTGATCAAGAGAACCCCAAACCAGCGTTCAGTTATTTAAAAAACGGCGCTCTATCCCCGACTAGCTCCTCGGGCACATTCGGTGCACGCTCGACTAGCCCCTCGCCAAGTGTACGCAGCGGACATGGGCAAAGATCACCTGGGGGATCATCTAACAAACGATCGTTCTTCACAAAGATACGACGCCATCCAAAAGTTCCTATTGCGAGCTCCCTTCGACATATACCGGCTTCTTCAAAGGCTGCTCACGAGGGGAGCTCCAAGGGAGCTAAGTTTTTAAGACGGGATGATTCCCCAGCCAGACGGGTCCGGAATGCTAGCTTCGATAGTGTCACAAACCCCAAACCATGGGAAATGTCTGATTCTGACCGCAAGAAAGACAACCTTGGAAAAGGGGCGTCCAAGTTTCGTCACCCGCGGTTCCCCTTTGGTCATGATGGTGGACACAAGTATCATGACAAAAATCGACGTAATACCTTTGAAGAAGATCGGATCTGGAAGTTAGACACTGACCTGTCAAACCTCTCTGGTATTGTCGCGCAACCCCGCCCTATATCACCTACTGATAGCGGTGGTATATACACTGGCCCGTCACAACCTGAAGAGAGGAAGAACAAGAAGGAATTTCAGAATCCCTTCGACGCTCACGTTGCCGGCGACTGGCACGCTCCAGAGAGTTGGGCAGTGAGAAAGGCACAGGATGATATCCTGTCCCGACTTCCTGAGTTACCCGATGATGGTATCGCAGTGGATGAAGAAGGGCGACCGTATTGTGTCCGTATATTCCGCATCGACTCGACTTTCACGACTCTTTCGGCTACCCTCAACACTACCGTGGCGGAAATATTAGAAATGCTGGGCCGAAAGTCATTCTTGCAAGATGAACTAAACAACTACGACATCGTTTTCCGGAAGAACGATTTTTCAAGAACACTTGACTATGGCGAGAGGCCCATTCTCATGCAGAAAAGATTGCTCGAGCAGGCAGGCTATCAACCGTCCGACCGAATAGCAGATGTTGGTCGGGAAGATAATAGCTATCTTTGTCGCTTCACCTTCTTGCCAACTAAACTTTCAGGTTATTCCAGTCTTGACACAGATCTGGGCATCAACGAGAGTCAAAAGTTTAGCCACGTTGACCTGTCTGGCCGTAGTCTCATAACCCTCCCTATCCCTCTCCACAAAAGAGCGAGTGAGATCATATCCTTGAATCTCTCAAGGAATCTAGCACTGGACATTCCGAGAGATTTCATCCAAGCCTGCATCAACCTCCGTGAAGTGAAATATATTGGAAATGAGGCGTGGCGCCTCCCAGCAAGTCTAAACCTAGCGACTCGGCTTACCTACCTAGACGTATCCAACAATCGACTTGAGGACCTAGATCACGCGGAACTCCACAAACTCCACGGACTCATAAGCTTGAAAATGACGAATAATAAGCTGTCCACGCTCCCTGCAAATTTCGGAGACTTCCCTTTGTTACGAAGCCTGAATATCTCGTCCAACAGTTTCAGTTGTTTCCCGGAGTTTTTGTGCAATTTGAAGAGTCTGGTTGACCTGGATATCAGTTTTAATAAAATTACGGAATTGCCGAATATCGGAAAACTAACAACGCTCGAACGGTTGTGGGTGACTAACAATGGACTACATGGTCCGTTGGACGAGACCTTTAGAGATCTTGTGAATCTCAAAGAGATAGACGCTCGATTCAACAGCATTACCAGTATAGATAGCATCACTCAGCTTCCTCACCTGGAGCACTTGATGATTGGACATAATGCCGTGTCTACATTTTCAGGGATGTTCCCAAAGCTTCGCACTTTTACCCTTGACCATTGTCCCGTCACGGAGTTTGATATAACCAGCCCGGTTCCGACTCTCACCACACTCAATATTGCGTCGGCCAAGCTTGTTCAATTCAAGGACTCTCTCTTCGCCAATATCCCGAACCTGACTAAACTCATTCTTAACAAGAATCATTTCGTTACCCTCTCTCCTTATATCGGAACTCTACGAAAACTCGAGCATTTTAGCATTGCGAAAAATCCGTTATCAACCCTACCGCCGTCCATTGGTTGTTTACAGGAATTAAAGAACCTTAACCTCCGCGAATGTAATCTCAGCGTACTGCCTGAGGAATTGTGGTACTGCTGCAAACTAGAAACCCTAAATGTTTCTTCCAACCTACTTGATTCCTTTCCGAAAATTGGTGACTCCCCTCCCATTCCCCCCAACGAATTACCTGTAAATGGTGGAACTCCTGTAACCACTCCTGGCTTGTCATCGCCGGATTTCGAAGAACTTGGAAAGCTGGAGGATTTCGAAACTCGACGACCAAGTTATGCGTCTGGTGGCCTTCTGAGCGTGGGGAGCTCACCGGCTGGCTCCCACACAAACAGAAAGGGCTCTGTTGTTTCATTAAACAACCCTGCATCTGCTGCAAGGAGGTCTTCTATCGCGTCTCGCACTCCGACGGATCAAGCGTCTTCGCGAAAGGATTCCAGTTTCTCGCAAAGAATCTCACTTACATTTGCGGGATCCCTGCGACAGCTATATCTTGCTGATAATCAGCTTGAAGATGATATATTCCAGCAGCTCGTGTTCCTCGGGGAGCTTCGCATTTTGAACTTGTCGTACAACGAGTTGACGGAGCTTCCGCAGGGCCTTCTCAGGCGTTGGCAGCACCTTGTTGAGCTGTTTGTCTCAGGAAATCAGTTAAGTTGGCTTCCTTCAGATGACCTTGAGGAGTCGAGTAGCCTAAAGGTCCTACATTTAAATGCCAATAAGTTCCAGGTGCTACCCGCGGAGCTTTGCAAGGTGAACCGACTTGGAGTTCTGGATGTTGGGAGCAATTCGCTCAAGTATAATGTTTCCAATTGGCCGTATGATTGGAACTGGAACTGGAATCGCAACTTGAAGTACCTTAATTTCTCGGGTAACAAGCGCTTCGAGATCAAACCTACCACCTCTTATGCATCCGGGAGTCCAACTGGCCATGGCACAGATTTGACGAACTTTAATTCATTGAATCATCTTAGAGTCCTTGGGTTGATGGATGTCACACTTACCATTCCTACCATTCCCGATCAAACGGAGGATAGGCGAGTGCGAACCTCAGCATCCTTATCTGGATCTCTTACGTACGGTATGGCGGATACACTCGGGCGAAACGAACATCTATCAACGGTCGACATGCTGGTTACCCGGTTTAGGGGAAATAATTGCGAAACGATTCTTGGTTTATTCGACGGCCATACTTCGCCCAATGGTGGGTCGAGGATCGCGAAATACCTACAAGAGCACTTCACAAGTACGTTTACAGACGAGCTGAAGAAACTTCGAACCGGCGGGGGTGAAACACCGCTCGATGCATTGAGAAGGACATTTTTGAGCCTCAATAAGGATATAGCTACGGCTGCTCAACGGTCCATGGATGAGCGTGAGCAACGTCATTTGGATCGTGCTGGTCCGCCCTCCAGCAAGCTGCTCACACCGGATGACTACACTTCTGGTGGTGTGGCGACTATCGTGTACTTGCAAAATATGGAATTGTTCGTTGCGAATGTCGGAGATGCCCAGGCGGTGCTTGTGCATTCGAATGGCGATTTCAAGTTCTTGACTCGCAACCACGATCCTGCTGAGGCGGGGGAGCGTGAACGTATTCGGGAAGCTGGTGGTTTCGTTTCTCGAAATGGGAAGTTGAATGATAAACTTTCTGTTTCTCGGGCATTTGGTTATTATCCCATGGTGCCCGCGGTCATCGCGGCCCCTAGTACGCGCAAAGTTACATTGACCACCCAGGATGAAATGATTATTCTCGCTTCGGGCGAGTTGTGGGATTACGTCGCTCCAGACCTTGTTGTCGATGTTGCAAGGTCGGAACGTGCAGACTTGATGAGAGCGTCTCAAAAGCTTCGTGACCTGGCAATTGCTTATGGGGCGACAAATAAAATCATGGTGATGATTGCTGGTGTCAGTGACCTCAAACGCCGAGGTGAACGTCCCAAGTTGAGAACCCCCAGTCTGTCAATGGGCCCGTCTCCTTTGGGCGATGACCATATATTCCCTCCGCCGAGCAAATACAAGAAACGTGGCGCCCCAAGCGACTCGAGGCTAGCACGTTTGGACCGCGTAGAAGCCCCAACTGGTGAGTTGGCCATTATATTCACCGATATCAAGAAATCAACATCGCTCTGGGAGACTTATCCCGTTGCTATGCGCTCTGCTATTCAAATCCATAACGACCTATTCCGCCGGCAGCTGGCTCAGATAGGCGGCTTTGAAGTGAAGACAGAAGGAGATGCTTTCATGGTGTCCTTTTCTACAGCAACTGCCGCATTGCTCTGGTGCTTCACGTGCCAAAGCCAGCTTCTCGAGGCAGAATGGCCCACAGAAATCTTGGAATCTGCTGCTTGCAGGCCACAGTATGACTCGGACGATAATATCATATACCGTGGTTTATCTGTGCGAATGGGTGTGCATTGGGGAACACCGGTGTGTGAGAAGGATCCGGTGACAGGTCGGATGGATTACTTCGGCCCAATGGTGAACCGTGCCTCTCGAATTTCCGCCGTCGCGGATGGCGGTCAAATATTCGTTTCCGCTGATTTCGTCGCTGAGATCCAACGGAACCTTGAGACCTTTGCAGACTATGATCGGGCCTCCTCCATCGACTCTTCTGAGGGTGCGTACTTCGATGATTACCTCAGCAACAGCATCCGTCGTGAGCTGTACCAACTCAGCACACAAGGGTTTGAAGTGAAGGACATGGGTGAGCGGAAGCTGAAGGGTCTTGAAAACCCCGAATTCGTCTACCTGATGTATCCCCACTCCCTTGCCGGCCGTCTTAACGCGCCCCGCGAGTCAATTGATGATCCGGACACTCTGCCCATTGCTCTAGGTAGGGACAAACATCTCACCATCGAAGCGAGCCTTGTCTGGCGCTTGTGGACCGTCGCTCTGCGGCTGGAAGCGTTCTGCAGCGCGCTGGAAAATTTCGGCGAGGTCGGTATACGACAGCCGGAAATGAGCCTGCTAAATGCCGTCAGGGAACGGCCTGGAGAAGTCACCGATTCGCTAGTTTTAAACTTGATAGAGCATCAGGTTACGCGAATTGAGGTTAGTTTTCCCCCTCCCTCCCTTGTCTCCTTTTAACCACCACAGAAAGGTCTTTTACTAATATTCTTTTAAACAAAAACACCAGACATGCGCAAATACCCTTACGATCCGACACATGATAAGACCATTTAACCGCGCCAACTCCCTGAAAGACATCGCCGTCCCCATGGCGGAAATTTTGGGTGAGTTGCAGGTGCAGCTGAGTGAATACAAGGCTCTGAAGGAGCAAATCGACCCTTCTTCCCTGGTCAGCCATCAAGTTCCACATGCGGCTGTCTCAGTGTTGAAGAGTGCTGGCCAGAGCTCATCAGCGGTATCTGACATGCTTGCTGGTGGTAGCTCTGGTTCAAGTACTGCATAACTTCATTCTCGTTTTTCCCTTGCCCCTTTTTTTAGGGGTGGGGAAATGGGGAAATGCATTACTAATAGTATTATTCTTCTCTTTTCCATATGTTTATTTTATTCTTACCCTCCGTCTCTTTTCTTTTTCTTTTTCTTTCCTTTTCGAAGCCAATTGAATTTGCAAGGTGTGCGGAGTTGGTTGGGCCTTCCTTTGCGGTTTTTTTAGTTAACATTTTGCCTCCCTGTATTACTTTGATTTCTAGCGCCATTTTATCTACCTTCTTTTCTTTGCGGTTCGTCTTCTTATGTTCTAGTTTACTGGTAAACTTATCTTTTGGATTTGTCGGATTTGCCCACTGTTCGACTTTTTTATTCTTTGGATCTCTTGTCTATCTATTATTTACGTCCGGTGAAATTGCCTATTGGTTCATAATGACTTGATGTCCATTAACTGTTCAAATAATCTTGGGTCTGGGGGTAACGGAACAAATTTCTGGTTTTTTTATTTCCTTTTTTGCTTTTTTCCTTTTTTGCTTTCTACTCTTTTTGGATTTTATTTTTCAGGGCCATCCTTATGCCATAGTATTACTCCTTATTTTTATAATTGAGAACATGTTTTACCTCACTATCTTAACTTCCCAAGTCTTCTGCTTGGTTGCTAAGCCTGGAGTTGACATGTACTTTTCAAGATCAAGGCCATAATATGTAACCTACTAGCCGTAATCTTTAGCTTATTTATTACAATGTATTTGACCATGTTTTTTTTTGTATACGCCATATATATACCTTTATCATAAGGAGGAAATTTTGAAAGGATGACGTGAGTCACATGATATTTCTGTTTGTGGCGCTTCGTCCATGTTTGTTTTGTTGCCTTCGCCAACAACGGAGACCTTGTCAACTTCCTGGAACCACCCGTCCATCTCACCTCATTATTGACCCAACACCTACCAACACCTAGGACGCAGTTTTACGCGATTCTGACTTTATTTATGACTGGGGTATGTATTTGATTTAGCCCCTGTTCAATGCTGCTGTACGGAGTAGTACACCTTGGCCTCTCCACCCCACCTATCCTCTTGCCGTTGCCCGGGATACCAGTAGCAAATGCTCATTGTTGTCCAGGTCAAACTTTTCAGCCATCGGCTTTTTGCTTCCTTGGAAGAGGCAAGTCCCGCAGGCCAACCAGTGCAATCCTTTTTCCACAGATGTGATTGAGCCGTTTACTCCACGTTTCTCTTACTTTTTCCCCTCTCGGGCGAATAATTGTCCTGCACCGCAGCGGGCAGGCAGAAGCTACACACCCTTCCCATCATGGCTTCAGATTCAGAGAGCAACAATGAGCTTGCGTACCTCAGCCCAGATTTTGATCTTACTTCCCTAACTGTTCCGCGCATCCGCTCGATACTCGTTAACCATGATGTTTCCTACCCTGCCTCTGCGAAAAAGGCACAGCTTATTGAAATTCTGGAAAACGAAGTGCTCCCACATGCTAAAAAATTGCTACGGGAGCGTGACCGAGTGAGGAGAACTAGTAATGGCATTACCAACATGCCTAGAAATGGAGCATCATTGGAGGGCAAGGATGCGGATCAGGGCAGAGAATCAATTGCCCCACCATCTACGCCGGCTACATCGCGGAGGGGTAGATCTAGAACCAGCACGAGGGCATCGACAGCTGAGACAGACGAAAGTGCTCTTTCGCACCGACCACCACATTCGACTTCTAGAAGACAGAGGACAACGGCAAAACACCCCCGGCAATCCGATACCGAAACGGGGGAAGACCTGGGCTCAATAGAAGAAACACCACGGAGATCTACATCTCGGAAAACGCGGAAGAGCGAAACACCCTCCACTCCTCGAGCCTCAGCGGCCTCTGAAATTTTACCTACTCCATCCAAACACAAGGTTCGAGACGAGGGTGTTTTCACTGACGATAATCCCTTCCAGAGTGGAAGCTCTCCGATAGAAGCCGAACACCATGCTCGTGCTAGGACAGTAAGTATTGAGCGAAAGCGCAGAAGCAGCACAAGGTATTCAACTGAGCCTCCAGACACTTATGGCCGGAGAATGAGAAAAACGGAGCCGGTGAAAGTAAAGCAAGAGGAGGATGTGGAGGTTCCATCAAAGCCAACATTTGAAGTGAATGTTCCTCGATTCTCAACTCCGAAGGTTGAAGAATCGGATGAAGATGGCGTTTTAGAGCCTGGAGAAGAGTTTACTCCTGATGAGTGGCAATCTTTGGCCGAAGAGCAGGCAGCAGCCAAAGGGGGCCGGACCTCCGTTATCCGACGGCGACAAGCGCGGAAACAGGGAAAGCTCAGTCAAGCTGCCCCGTGGATGGTGATCTTTTCGCTGCTGGGTGGATTTGGTGTATGGTGGCGCAAGGAGAAAATTGAGATTGGCTATTGCGGCGTAGGGAAGCCTCACTGGTCGCTAGCCGATACCAAAGTGCCAGAGTGGGCGGAGGTTTTGGAACCAAAGTGTGAACCTTGCCCTCCGCATGCATTTTGCTACCCAGAGTTTGATGTTAGATGCGAGCAAGATTTCGTTCTGAAACCACACCCCTTGTCTCTTGGAGGTTTAGTTCCGCTCCCACCCACCTGCGAGCCTGATGGGGAGAAAGTTCGTCGCATAAAATCGGTTGCTGATAGAGCTATTGATGCGCTGAGAGAGCGAAGGGCAAAGTGGGAATGCGGCGAACCGGACAAAGCGGATGGAACTGAAGTACCGTCTCCGGGGATGACCGCATCTGAGCTTAAGGATGAGCTGAACAAGAAAAAGAGAAAGGGAATGAGTGAGGAGGAGTTCGAGGAGCTTTGGAGAGGAGCTATTGGTGAAATAACGAGTCGTGACGAGATTGTCACTTCTACCCAAAGGTAAGGAATATTTTTTTTTCTTTTCTTTTCGTTTCTTTTTCTTTTTCTTTTTTTATTTTAGTTATGTGTTGTTTTTGTCATGAATTGCTGGGAATCTGAGTCAAATGCTCGATTATGGGATAAACGGGTTATGCGCAGAAAAGTGGCTGCCAGGCCTCCATATTTTATTACTGATATTCCACCTTCTCTTCTTTGATTTATCTTTATTTATTATATTTTATTTTCATTTACAAAATTACTCTTATGTCTGACATACATATTTTAACGCGACTAACAGCACCCCTCACGAAAACACAGCCCGTCCGACAGCGTCACATACACTTCAACATCACTCTCCCATCTCTCACTCAGCTGCGCCTTCCGACGGCATCTACGCCTCTCTCTCTTCGCGTATCGATTCCCTATTTTCTTTCTAGTTCTCCTGGTCGCTGTAGCGGCATATGCACGTTCGAAGGTGCTTGCGCGCCGCTCCGACGCTGCGCGCATCCCTTCGCTAGTGAATATGACCCTAGACCGCCTCGCGACGCAGGCGGCGTTGCATGCTCGCGGCGAGGCTCTAGAATCGTGGATTTCTATTGGCCAGTTGCGCGATGACGTGCTGCGGGATGAGTTGAAGGGTAGTAGACGGGAGAGGTTGTGGAAGCGGGTGCGGAGCTTCGTGGAAGGGAATGCGAATGTTCGCGCGTCGGTAAGGGAGGGGCGAGCGGGAGATGTATCAAGGGTTTGGGAGTGGGTCGGGGGGATTGGGGGTGTTGGTGGGGATAGTGCTGTGAAGAAAAGGAGGGAGAGTAGTGTTGGTGCTAAAGTACGCTTTTCTTTGTCTTCAGAAGAAACGAGTGGAGTTGTCGGGGAAGCTCATCAGGGGAAGGATGGTGCAGCCACCATTGGTGGGCATGGTGGTATTAGGGAGATGAGGAAGTGGGACGAAGGGCGGCCTGTCTATTGATTCTACTGATTTTTTTAATATTTTTTTGTATAATTCCTCTTTTTTTTTTTTTTTTTTTTTTTTTTTTTTTTTTTTTTTTTTTTTTTGAGCTGCACTTTGGCACTGCCTGATTTGTAGGTATATTATTTTATTTGAATTTGGAACGGAACACATCCCTTTGTTCTCTTATTTTCTCATCTAACATTCTTGTCTTTTTGGCTCTTTTGATTAAATCGTGGCTCAGTCAGGTTCTTCACCCGTGGCTGCCGTGAGCGATGACGCTGCTCTCAATCGTTTATAACTACATCCATCTTTTCTCGGAGACTTCCTATTTTCTACCTGTTCTATTCTCGCATTCCATTCCTTCTTATCCTTTTGAATATTGCGTTTCGGCCTCTAAATGTCACAGCTGGCTGCCAGGCATATGAGGTATCATGTCGGTTCATTTTCATTCCTTGATGCATGTAAAATAAGCAGTTTTTCAATCATATCGCCAGTGTGAAGCCAGCTCATGCTGATTTCGGCTGTTGCCAAATTTAAATACATACATACTATTATAAATAGAAACAATTGTCAACAACTAACGGGAGCTACGATTGATAGTGTAGGACCAACCTATCCTCCGTTCTTACTTCTCATACACACCTAGCTTTTCTTAAGATTGTTATAATATAAACTGAGGAGAGTCTCATTTATCCCCCTGTATTTCTTTAGCAAAGTGAGCTAGTCCCCCATTCCGGGGGTCAGTTCAATCCCTTCCCCCCCCCCCCCCCCGGTTCGGGCAGGATATACCGGCTGTTTCTTGGGGGGTATGAGGGAAGGGATGAGGTTCCCGGCGCATCAGCATTTACTTGGAATGCGGCATATCTAGGCATGTATGTACGAGGTAGTAAGTAGGAGGGGGTATATTCCGAGAAACAACCTATCGGCCAGAGATAGATTCAAATGATGATTATTATTATTGCAGAATGACCGCCGAAGTTGCCGCCCGGTTATCATCTTCTTGATCATCATTGCCGGGAACTTGGCAGAGCTCCCTTACCATTAGGTAATAATTGCTAAAATATCTGTATAATAACTGGTTGGATAGACTTGGTCCGCTTGTAACCCTTCCTCCGCCCTTTGGCGCGCGGAGGTGTAGAGCCGAAGAAGTTTGTCCATGGAGCTCGACGCCGTGGATAGCCGGGGCCGGATTGGTTGTGGGATTCGGCGATTAGCTGGGGGAATAACTCGACGGTTGCGGAGTTTGATATTATTATTATTATTATTATTATTATTATTATTATTATTATTATTATTATTATTATTATTATTATTATTATTATTATTATTATTGGAGTCAACGTGTAGTAACTTATGACATGCAAATGAAGGCAGGATACATCTCGTTTTGCCCGGAGCTCTGGTCGGATCGCCATTGTTCAAAAGTTGGGAGTTGGATAAGTTAAGTTAGTTAATTAGTTAACTAGTAACTAAGTTAGTTATAGTTAGTTAGCTTAACTTACTCAACGAACTTATTACTGCGAAACGATAACTATCATAGCAGCTGGGGGAAGGGTAGTTACAGGTAACTAGGGTAACTAGGGCTTAGGGTTAGGGCTTGTCTACGCTCTCTTTCTTTTCTGCTCGTCCCTCCCTGTTGCTACTATGTAACTATGTACTATGAAGGACATGAATTCGGACAATTGCCTGCTCCTACTACTTCTCAGCTACATATGTAGGTTTGTTTCCGCGATATCCAAACACAGTACGGTTGTATATAGGTGCTGATGTGAACCGCGACCCAGCGTCGTACTAGCGAGCGACACATTCCAAACCAAACTGGACAATGAATGCTCGGGTGGACTAGCATAGTTGCCCCGAGTTGAGGGAAGCATGACCGTTTTCAAGCGGCTGTTTTGAAAGGAGCGCATGTGTCTCACATCACCGACCGGAACCTATGCAGTACGTACACAATACATTGCATCCGCATCCACATGGCACTTCAAATGAGGATGTTGAAGGGACACAAGCACGACGAAGCAATATTAGCGGGGATCAAGATCTCTTTGACAAAGCAATTTCCCCCTTTTCTCTCCGGTAGAGACGAGGTGATTATTCATTTTGATATCCAGAGACAAAGGGCTCTCTCTATCACCCCAAAATAACTCCCAAAAAAAAAAAGGGATACGAAGAATCGTTACACTCGAAATGATGATTCACGGTCGAAATGGCTCTCAAATGATTAGGATGGTTGCTAAGTGATGTTACAAGTAGCATCTGAGAAGAACACAACTCTGGTCATTAGCTGCGCTCTCTGTCGCGCTGCACACCGGTAGTTAATAGCCTTGTAACCAACAGGCTCTCTGCGGCAGCGGGCTCCCCGCAAAAGAGAGCATATAGTTACATTATTACCTTCCAAGGAACACACACACACACACACACATACATATATATCGTATAAAACTGCAACGAAAGATGCCAATTTCTTACCGGGGAGATTTCTGCTTGCGGGACCCTCCGCGGGTGGGGAGTGTGGATATAAACGGAACAAAAAAAATACCCTCGTACATGGACATGTATGTACATGTACATGTTACCAGTAATAAAGGCCGGTTGCTTGTTGCGAACTTGTCTGTTGGGAGCCGGAAGTTAGTTGTAACTTGTAACTTCAATCGCCAGCTATCTAGCCGGATGCGCTCCTTTGCACCGAACATTGAAACACAGCCCTCATAACTGCGTAGGCGTCATAGCCGAGTCTCGGCATTTAGAGTTTCGACCCAAGGAACTTCTTTTTTTTCTTTTTTTTTCTTTTTTTTTCTTTTTTTTTCTTTTTTTTTTGATAACAAGCTAGGAGAGGTTGTCTTATTTAAGTTATTTATCCTCCTATCACATATCATCATTATCATGTTTCCCTTATCTATATCCTTGATCACGCGCCGGAGGCCCCCTTTGGACTAAAAAAGGCGTGGAGTCCCCGGTGTTGACCGCGAAATAGCTCGTACGGGAGGGTTCTCTGCGCCCCGCCGCTGGGAGAGTTTTTTGGATAACTAGGCCCCCAGTTACAAACTTATAAGGGCAAATCTCGCCCCCCGAATTGCCGAAGCCGGAAACGAATGAAGAAGGAAAATTTTTATGTTGAAGTATATTATATATATAAAAAAATTTTTTTTTTCTGCTCCATTCCATTTTCTGCTATTAACTACTGGTCTGACTCCGAAGCGTTTAGGAGAAGACTGACACTCACTACTGATTGGCAAATTGATCCCATTCCCACTCATTTATTTCACTCATTCCAAATCTCATACACGGAAAAAGAAAGCTTGGGATTTCTCTTGCTTGTTTTCTAATACATAATTCAACAATATATCAATTAACACGCTGAACAATGGCTCCTGTACCTCAAGAAAGCCTGTTCGGCACTTTGGAAATTCCTACATACGATGAGGTATTTGCCCTCATGGCAACATTTGCCGCGGACACTTCACCGAAGAAAGTGAGCCTTGGAGCCGGAGTGTACAGAGACAATGAAGCCAAGAGCTGGAGGTTAAATATCGTGAGAAAGGTATGTACATGTAGTTACTCTAACCATTGAGCGGGTATCTGAGGCCTGCCGGGGAAAATGAAAAGCAAAATGCGCTTCCCATGATTTAAGAAAAATAGTGTTTGTTAACCCTGACAATCCAGGCCGAAAAACTGCTGTGTGACGATCCGACTTTCGATCATGAATATCTTCCCATCCCAGGATACCAGCCATTCGTGGACGCGGCGAGGGATCTGGTCTTCGGCCCCAACTGCCCCGTCGCAAAGGGCCGCATTGCCAGCTTGCAGACAATTTCAGGAACAGGCGCAAACCACCTCGGTGCCCGTTTTCTGAAAGACCATCTCCCTCGTCTCGTCTCCTCGTCGTCATCATCTACTAGCCCCGCACGAAGAATCTGGCTATCAGATCCCACATGGGCAAACCACCACTTGATCTGGAACCTAGTCGCCACAAGCTCCACCGGAACCCCCCTCAAGATCGCTCTCTACCCTTACTACCACGCCCCAACCCGCTCCTTCGACTTTGACGGCATGATCAGGACGCTGGAAACGAGCGCGCAGCGGGGTGATATCATCCTGCTACACGCCTGCGCGCATAACCCGACGGGCTTGGACCCGACGAGAGCGCAGTGGGAAGCCATTGCGTCTCTGTGTCAGCGGAAGGGGATATTCCCATTCTTCGACTCGGCGTACCAGGGGTTTGCGTCGGGGGATCTAGATAATGACGCCTGGGCGATTAGGGAGTTTGTCCGCCGTGGGATGGAGCTGTGTGTGGCGCAGAGCTTTAGCAAGAACCTGGGCCTCTATGGGCAGCGGGTTGGGGCGTTCCATCTCTTGTGTCAGAGCGAAGATGCGGCGCGGAGGGCTAGGGGCCAGCTTATTGAGTTGCAGAGGGGGGAGTTTTCGACGCCGCCTGCTTATGGTATGTTATTCCGTATTTCGAATGAACAAGTTTTTATTTTTTATTTTTATTTTATTTTATTTTATTTTATTTTATTTTATTTTATTTTATTTTATTTTATTTTATTTTATTTTATTTTGGCAACAAGACAATCCAATCCGGCTATGGCCAAAGCGTCCAACGAGCATTAATTATAATACAACTAACAACTAACAACCCAAAACAGGTGCAAGAGTTGCATCAATCATCCTCGGCGATCCCGCCAACGTTGTTGAATGGAAACAAGACCTGGCTATCATGAGCAGCAGGATAAAAGCCATGCGACACGCACTGTACGATGAGCTACGCCGTCTGGGCACGCCAGGCAACTGGGAACACATCATCAATCAGATCGGCATGTTCTCGTACACCGGCCTGACCAAGGAGCAGATCAAGACCCTCGCGGAGGACTATCATATCTACATGCTTGACTCGGGGAGAGCGTCGATTTCAGGGCGTAAGTAACTGAGTATTTTTTATTTTTTATTTTTCTCACTTTTCTTGATGCTTTCTTTTCTTTGCTTTTTTTTCTTCTTTGCTTTTTTTTCTTCTTAAAATTAAGAAACGGAAAAGACACACAGCTGACCGCCTCGCTTCAACCGGCTTTCCATCGTTTACAGTGACCACCGACAACATCAAGTACGTCGCCGGCGCCTTTGATGCGGTGGTGAGAGGCAAGTAAAAAAGAAAAAGAAAAAGAAAAGAAAAGAAATCAAGCCCCTTCGTCGGCATCATATCATGGACCTTCCTCCAATAAATGGCCTGGCATCGTTTATTCGTTCTTGTTAACCATCAGCAACCAGCAGTAAAGGATGATAACACACACTACTACACTACATACATACGCTTATCCGAAACAAGGATACATCCCGAGATCTTTCATCATGGTATCAAGTTGGCGTTTATTCGGTTAAATGCGGCATCGGTGTATTATACAAAGCATTTATAGAGCTGAGATGAGATGGCTTTAATGATCATTAGGAATATATACATACAAATAGTTAGTTATAGTAGTAGATCTAGAGAATACATATACACTCCATCGGCGGTTTTATATTCTATCTTTGAAGCGCAGACACAGTTAGACGTGTTCATTATTGCTCGCTTGCTTTCGGCCAGCTGGCTCGGCCCGCTGGGGGGGGGGAGTAGAAGTGTGCCGGAAATGCCAGTCAGTAGAGATTTATATAGACATCACACACCTTGGATATTAGTTGGTTAGGCATCACCGCTGGTTTATAAGAAATAGCTTGATAACTATTTAATTGATTTTCCGTTAATTAATTAATATATAAAAAAAAAAACCAGAAATCTTATACTCAAATCAATGGTCTAAATATTTACGGACTCCGAGTCTCACGTCAGCTAAATCTACAATCTCTACGCTGGTATATGACCCTCAATTTTCGTCAGGGCCACCCTAATATTTTAGTGGCATTCTAACCATCATTCTGGGGGATAACTTATAACTACGTGGCATTCTCGCGTTGGCGCGCTTGGAGCGCGTTCTCATCATCATTGTATATAGCATAGACTACGTAGAAATCATATTGTATAACTAACTGCCTAACAGCGAGCTAGCATCTCTACTATAAGCTCCTACAGCTTCTCCACTGTTATAGCATCCCAGGCAGCTCTAACTACTCCTCAAAGTGCATCATTTTCATAAGTCCAGTCAAGACTGCGAAGGAGAAGGATATCTCGATGTTGATCGCGGGTTAATCGCTTTGGGGGTGTAGCAGGGGGTTCCAGAGCTTCTGGGGCTTCTGGGGCTTCTGGAGGTGCAATAGGGGGTTCAAGAGTAGCAAAGAGATCCATCTTGATGATAATAATAGAATGAGTATAGGCACGTACGGGGGAAATAATAAGAACGAGAAGCTATATCCTATTTATGAGGATAATTGAGAACGCGCCCCCCCTCCCGAATGATGGTTAGAATGCCACTAAAATTTTTGGGTGGCCCTGACGAAAATTGAGGGTCATATACCAGTGTAAATATGGCTTTTAAATAATTTCTACAACTTCTTCAAAAATCGTCTTTTCATATCTCTTAAAACTCAGCTCAGAGACTCACAGAGAGATTGCTGACTCGTACATCCTCCTCGCGTGGTAATTGTGATGCCCTTGCTGGGCGAGTTGAGATTAGGCGGGAGTAATACGAGATTGAATGGACTTGCTCTACTCCATGCTAATCCGGGGCGGCTATGTATCTTGAACCTCACGATCTCTTGAAAGCATGAGCATGGACGAGTTTGCGTGTTTTCTATTCAACCAAGACAAGAAATTCATCAAGAAAATGGCATGTCCCCTCCTAAACCTCTCCGCAGAGCTACAATTCCTAATATTCCGGCACCTCCAATCGTACAAAACCCCCGAGGAGCTAGATGTTCAGACTCGCAATCAATCTCTCGGGAAACAAGGCATATTCGAGCGAGATCTCCGCAACCTCAGCTTGACATGCAATTTCTACTATACGGCTCTTCTCCCGTATACATTCGAGAAACTCGTTCTTCAGAACAATGAGACATCAGCATCCTCAATCCTGCGCTGCATGACCAACGCCGCGAGGAATTACATCTTGTTTACCAAAGAGCTCTGGTTCACTGATACGAGGGCCATGAAACTGGCAATGGAGGACGAATATTTCGCAAATGGTCGCCGGAAGAACAACTCCAACAAGGATGATGAGAATGAGATCAATATACCGGAGTTATGCCGACTTCCAACATCCGCAGCGGAGATCCTGTCGAGCCTCTCCCGCTTTCCGAATCTGAATCACCTCCTCATCCACTGGCGCTTCCACGACAGTGACTGGTACATTGAACAGTACACCATAGGCGGTGAGACGGAGGATGACAACGGTGCCGCCGAGTGGGAGGAGCAGTCTCCCTGGAGAGCACTGATGCGCGACGTCTATAACGCTGTTAGCAAGAATGTTGTTGATATCACTGCTTCTTCCCCCCCGCAAGCAGGCCTACTACAATCCCCTCCTATGCCACCAATACTCAAATCCCTAGAAATCAAAAACAGCCCCATGCACCCCGTCTCCAGTTATCTCTCCCCCACCTTCCACCACTTCCTTAGCACCCTCCACTCCTTCAAACTCAGTCTAATGACCGCCGACAACATCGGCCACTATGCCATCAACACCTGCTTCCAGTATCAAGATTTCACCTCCAAACTGGACACGTACTTCCTCAACCATCTATCGATCGCCACATCCCTGCACATTGCAGCCCGGGACGGGCCGCTTGGCAGCGAAGACAGCGGTCCTGCTTATTGTCCCCTTTCTCTGCCTCTAACGCAGCGACTTCCGGCACTGAAGAGGCTGGTGCTGGATACTTGCTTTATTACTGCTCCCAGCACAATTGATTTCTTTGTCAGGCATGCGCGGTCCTTGGAACACGTGAAGTTTTTTAGATGTTTCTCTGATGATGTTGGGAATACGTGGTGCAAGTTATTTGAAGCGCTGGCGAGGGCGGGGCCAGAGCGGCTTGTGGAGTTTTGCGTGGAACCTGCCAAGGTGAAGTTTAAAGAGGCGAGTTGGCGGAGAAATGAGGGGACTGAGAGGGAGGCGGGCCGTTGTGAGGCATTACTACTGGGTGGGGATGAAGATGAGGAGGAGAGGGGGGGGAGGTGTGTTGTGGGTGAACGTAGAGGCGCAGCGGGGAGACGAGGAAGAAGGGCTTTTTGCTATGGTTATATTGATGACAAGTATGGATTTGTGGCGGAAATTCCGCCTATCAATAGGGAGATGTTGTTAAGGGGAGAGGATCAGAGGGCGTATGATGCGTTGATGGAGATTGTGGAGCGAAATAGGAGGCGGCTGATGGCGGCGGAGAGCAGGATTTAATCACCGTCCACATATACATACATACATACATACATACATATATACCTTCTATATAATTTCGGAAGGCCGTTGTAGTTGCGGGTGCTCATTGGATATTTTGAATACAGCTACTTCTCGGTAGCTCTTCAATAACAATATGTTCCTTTACTGTTTGGTGTGCTTGGGATTCTTCATGTTATTCTTCATACTAACACGCTTGTTGATTCACAATATCACAAACATACTGGACTATTGGCTGCTTGCTCTGTCCTTTCCAATTGCCGTGGCTGCCCTGAAGTCATACCAATCCGCAGCTCCGGCGCCATACATCTCAACCAAGGGCGAGTTGGCAAAAGGATCCGTTGTCGAATCCTCATGCCAATTATACTCTAAGATGGTTGCAACCTTCACCGCCAGTTTCCTCCCATAGACCTCTTGCACAAACGCCAACATCTCGTCCATCCCAGCGCTGACGCCAGAGGATGTCCAGATATTCCCATCCACAACCCACCGCGCCTGCCGCACCCAGTTTACATGCGGAGCCTTCGCCGCCACAAGGTCGAACCTGATTTTGTTCGTGGTCGCCTTCTTGCCATCAAGGATGCCGGCCTGTGCAGCCACGTACGACCCGGTGCAGACGGTAAGCAGGTAACGAATGCGCGGGTATCTCTCGATCAGGAATTGGACGGTGGGCTTGATGGTTTCGTGCCTCGTGCCAAATCCTCCAGGGACGATCATGACGTCGATGTTCTCTGGCGGAGCATCGTAGGTATGTGTTGGCACCACGGATTGGTGGGAGGTTGAGGTGGTGGTGTAGAAGTTTGGGATTGGGGACTTGGTGCTAACAGGGTCCATGGTTGGCCCGATGATTGATAGTTGTATCTCTTGCTCTAGAGCTACGATGTTGAGGATGTCTAGGGGTCCGAAAGCATCTAGGGCCTGGAAGCCTGGGAAGAGAAGCACGGCATAGTGGACGGGAGCTGAGGTCTCAACTATTTATTGTTGGTGCGAGTTCGATACAGCTCGAAAACGTGGGGATGGAAAGATCTGTTTAGGGATGTACTGGTTCCCTTACCTGATGCATTCGCTGCCATAATTACGACTGCTGCAGAAACGAAGAGATTAATATGATATACTAGAGAATGGAAATAAGGCCATTGAAAGCTCAATATAAGTATATCAATGGTGGGGGGATATCAAATATCAAAAGGCAATAATGAGAGAGAATTACAGAGGACAAGCAGCGGACTAAAGCAGCTATTTAGCTGGGTAGCTGTCAAACTCACTTCCAAGTGGGTATCCAAGCTCAATATCGTTCTTAAAATTACAGAGAGGGTCGATGCAGAGAAATTCAATCCTGCTTTTATCCTGTTGATCGAGTTTCGAAAGCGCTGGTCTAGGTATCAGTACCATTCGAGGGAGCAGTTGCGCCTTTATATTGATAATTCTCAACGCCTCCAAACCAATTTCGCTTTTATATATCTATCACCCCTGAACAAGAAGCCGCGGTTAAATAGTCCACAAAAATACCCTCGAAATGGCTCATATTACGTTTGGCCCCGCCGCCCTGGCGCGGAGTTTAAAAAGCCATCGATCGCCTCTCAGCAGCTCTCCGCCCTGTGATTGACACTGTGGGGGTCACCAAAGCGCGCTATCTGCTCTCTCAGCTTAAATACTTGCAAAGCTTTTCTCTCCACAAGATATTATCAGTGGTTAACCGGGAGCCCCGGCAAAATGTCTGGATTCTGGCCCAGTTTGGAGTTTTGCTTTGTTGACAGTCCGGCTGTAAACTTCACAACTTGAACTGATTCCTCTCTTGTCTGTTCGACAGGCGGACAATGCCACACTCGCAGTTGAATTCTGGCATCTGGAGAGCGCTGCCTCGCAGATCCGAAGGACAATAGTTTTAAAATTCACGAGGAGGAGAAGTTGCAGTTATTAGAATTCAGCAATCGGCTACGACAGAGCTCGCCCCTGAGGCGATCAGGCAGGCCGGAGTTTGCAGTTTGCGGGGGGTTTTTCTTTTTTTCTTTTTCCCTTTCTTTTCTTTTCTTTTCTTTTCTTTTTTCTTTTCTTTTTTTTTTTTTACGCTGTAGCCATATATCACTTACCATCACTTTTATATTTATTCGAGGTAATTCAGGCCTTTTGAGAAACATTGGCAGTGTCTTCAGTGGCCTATATACAAATACCCTTGCCTCGTGTTAGGGGGCCTGATTACGGCTCCTATTCAGCGCGCATGTAAAAAAGAAAACCTTCGCTGCAACCTACTGCCACATCTCCCTAGACAAGAGCGGAAATAGAGCTAGACACCCAGGGAATCCGCGCCTTACGACATGCATTGAGTCTATTCCCTCCGAAGCTGCCTCTTTCCCTGCATACCAGTCATCAGTTATTGGCTTTGGCTCCTGGTCGGTCTGTGATGTATGTTGAGGTGGATGGCGTTGAGAAGCCGAATCATGTATCTTTTTTGCAAAACGTGGATATCTCTCCCGTGAGCATTCAAGCTGGGTCCCATTGAATGAAACGATCTCGGCTGCGAGGGAGAGAAATCTCATGGTCTTCAGCGCTGCTGCGGACGGGGATTAAATGGCCGCTACTTGGATGCAGTGCTTGTTCTGGACAGAATCCCCTGGCAGTTCACCCCATGTTCCAAATCGATCGTTGAGGCTGGATGTGCCTTAGAGCTTGAAAATCACGGCATGATTTTTGGAGCCGACGACCGGCCCACGAGCGTGTATTAGCACAAAGTCCATCTTCCTTCAGGCGAATGAAAAGTTGGGGGAATTACTGCGCCTGCGGTAATAGTTCCGGTGTTGATGGAGGTGTCCGCTGTGGCTGGGATAACTAGACGACGCAAGCCTGAGCTATGGGTAGGTGCCGGAGCTTTAATAACGGAGCCTCGGGGGCTATATGGAGCCTCTCGATACTACAATAGAACGGACTTAGGTGGACATTGTCCGGTGCTGTATTCGATAAATCTAGGGAATACAATCGATTAAGCTCATCAGTTGATGACATTTAGGTAACTACATGTCCATCGTACAAGGGCGAAGATTTTGCAGTTTACGGGGAGGGACCTCCATTAGCATGAGCCATCCCATAAGCAAGACTCCAATCCCATATTTTCGAACTCAAGCTTATACCTGAAGCGCATCACACGGTTACAATACAAGGAGGTATAGTAGGGTTCCCTGAGATGTTGGAGTAGAGATGAAATAGTTACGTGAACCATTCATTGGTTCCCGAGTTGGCTTTTGCCTGTGGTGACGACAACGCTTCGTAAGGACATGAGGGTTCATTTCATATGTAAATGTACATGTACATTCAACTGTTGTCCTTTCCTGCATATTGCATCAGTATTGACAAAAAAAATTGCTTCTAGCTCACGCTGGGCTGTATAGACAAGTATATCTGCACGTTATATTACATCACTCATAGAGGAAGTAAAGGAGTGAAAGTAATGATTCATAACCCCCTTATTTTGGCAGAAACTGAAGCTTTCAGCGCCCTGGGATTGAGGACTGGTCATATTCTGTCTCTGGAATATATGTCATCCTCCTCTTAAAAATTGGAATGTCTTGCCTTAGCGGACAAAGTATTAGACCTGCGCGAACTTCACCCCTGAAGATAGGAAGGAGGAGGATGTACCAAAAGCTGGTCCCGTTATGAACAAAGCGTTTGCATGGACCCCCGGCGAGACTTACAGAGCGGTTGATCAGGGGTTCAATCCTCGCACTGCATCGAAGAGACCAGGAATTAGAAGGTGGTTGGTGCCCCGGAATATAGGGAGTATTTGGGATTCACAGACAGTACCGAGCCTAGGGCGCCATTCGCGTTGATCTTGATATAGAGAGAGAGGAAGAATTTTGTGATGTGGGAGTTAAGTGTTCTTGAAGCATGTATTAGCGATCAAATTTACGAGAATGAGAGTTTGCGATTCCGTTTTGGAGGGTTTCAGTATGTCAATCGCTATGAATCTTTCCCTTGACCCTTCTCTCATAATCGTGACGAGCTTGACTTTGGGCAGTGGTAGAGATCGAATGTAGCATTTGGAGGCTACCTAGAATGGGCACAAAAGATAACAAGCGAAAACAATAACATATCCAAAAGGCGCGTTTATAGATAGATAGCACAGCTAAACCAGTCCACGTTCAAGTGAATTCAACTGGAGGTAAACCTCTTTCCTGGACAGCATCGCTAATATTATCGCGAAGGCTCCAGAGTGCTTTGACCCATCCTTCTCTTGCCTGGACATTTTTGGCCGTGCTAGATGTTCCGACCTCCGGAGAACTGCCACCTTGATCTGGCTGAATCTCTTCAGCGGTCGAAGACCCGATCAACCATGCTAACCACCCAACCACAGCAACTGCCTTCGCAATATCCTTCTCCTCAAGTACCACACGTTTTAAATACTTCGCCAGTGCCGCTACATCCTCTTCATATGGGGCCTCCGTCTCAAAGGCTCCGTACCACTCGTCCAACGCCTTGCGCAACTCTGGGAGAGACGAGAGTTTCTTAGAGGTGAAAGTTACCTTTTCCGGGCGAGGGAGTAGACTGATCGTTTTCTGTTCTGGTGTTCGCACAGTGGGCTTGGGGAAAAGAGATCTGCGGGTCGGGGGAGGTAGGTTGAGGCCGGCTCTCTTTTGGAGGCGGGAGCGTTTGTGCTCTTCGAGCACCTCACGACGTATATCATCCGGCAATGCAGCGAGGAATTCATCTGAAATGCCGTCGGCTTCAGCTTGGGGTGAGGCAGCTGAGGCTACATCTGCCTGGACGGAGGTCGGATCGGCTGAAGGCCGTGTAAGAATGAAATTAGATTGCATCAGGGTGCTATTCCCAGCAAGGTTTTTATTAGGCCGTCCACGTGCACGCCCGGCTCTCGCTTTTGTGGGAGTAATGGCTTTCTTGATAGCTTTTGAGATCGCAGCTTTACTATGCCGTGGTGTGCCGAGTTGTGGCGATTCTGAGCGAGGACTTAGAGGTCGCTTGTAATAACCCAGGACTTCCGCTCGAACATCCTCAGGTAGCTCAGCAAGCATGTCCGGATCGAGTTGCGATTGAGGCGGTAGATATGCAGCTGGAGAGGGTGAGTCTGCACGTGGAGATTCACCATGAAACTGAATCCCCTGAATATGTGTCTGCTTAGGAGCAAATTTTGATCGAATATCCATTGGTAGCTCTGTCAACACTTTTGGGTCTACCTGGGTTGGCATCACAAATTGCGTCCCAGTAAGATTCAATGGCTTTTGTGAGGCATCAGTTAAACCTGGAGCAGATTGGAGGGATTTGGGCAAATATTCGCTAGTCGTGTCCCCTTTCCGAGGGGTGTTAATTTCATCAGGATCTATCGGTGTCTCGCGTTGTCGAGTAGGACTTGCCGGTTTGAAACTAATCTGCTTTTGGCTGCTATCCAATTCCCTCGCATGATACTGTTTAACGGGTTCTAGTTTCGTCATTTGAACCCCAAGGCCTCGCAAGTCACCTGGAGAGAACTTGAATCCTCTCAGAATTGTAATTGCCTCCCGTCCAATAATGTCGCTAGCATTAGTAGCTACCCCTAAGTTGACACTTTTGTTGAACGTATCGCATTTGCCATGTCCTAGATGTTTAACAGGTTCCAGAGGAGCATCGGCAGATCGTTTCATAATCCGCATGGTTAGCTGCTTTCCTTTTACGAGATTCTCAACAAGTCGTCGATGGAGTTCATCGCATAAACTTTGGACGAATTCCTCAGCCTGAGCCTGATTGACAAATCGAATGCCCCAGTTTATCTCAGCCGATACCGATTTCCGAGGCGCTTGGACTCCCACTTCTGTATTGTCGATTCCACGTGCGAAATCCCATAGTTTGGCCCCAGTCTTGGGCCCTAGACTAGATGTCAATTTTTCCCTGCTAAGATCACGGATATCCTTCACGAAAGTTACGCCAAGCTCTTCAAGTTTCGCGCCCAAACTGTGAGCGACGCCAGGAAGATCTTTCACGGCAAGAGTTCCGATGAAATCTAAGACTGCGTCGGGCTTAAGCTGAAATTGGCCAGCAGGCTTCGCTTTTCGTAATGCAACCCTGGCCTGCAACACGTTGCCACCGATACCCACAGAGATATTGCAGCCAGTTCGCTCTTTAACGGAATTGCGAAGATTTTGTGCTATCTCATCAGCCTTTTCCTGTTCCCGCCATATCGAGCCTTCCGAGATGCCACGACCATCCGAACCACCAGCATCTAAACAGACACCTGTGATATCCACTAGAGCTTCATCAATACTAACGCTTTGAACAATCCCATCGATTGAGAGTATGACTTCATAAAATGCTCGACTAGCCTGTTCATATGCAGCGAAATCGTATGGAAGCACTTTCAAGTTTGGACACATTTGCAGTGCCGCTTTCATCCACATCCCGTTTTTGATGCCGAACGAACGTGCTGGATAGTTACAACTCGCAATCTCGGATCCAGGACCTGTGCCGTGTGCGATAGCCACAGGTTGGTCAACTAGTTCCGGATGTTTTCGTATTGACACGGCGGCAAAAAAGCTGTCAAAATCGACGTGCAAAATGTATCTCCGTGCTCCAGTAACATGAGGCTTCTTCGCCGTCCGAGATATGCCTTTCTCTTGGGCCGCACTCTGAAGTTTAGCCTTGAGTTCGGCTTTCCACGTCGACAGGTGATGAAGACGGGATTCCCGGTAGAACTGTTGTATGAACTCGGGGTTAACAACACTTGAATTTCGCATATGAGGAGCCGAAAGAAGTTGTGCATTATATTCCTCCGGGGTCATTGAAGAATGAGCGTCACTTTCTTTATATTTGTCAGAAACGGGTTTGGGAAGTGTAACTTGATCCACAGTCCCTATTTCATCAGGCGGCTCAGGATCCTCCAAGGTTTCACGGGAACTAGAACGAGTGATCGCCTGATTAACTACACCAGTGTCAAGAGTGGTATTAAGAGCAGGAAATGCGGCCATTGTAGCATCGGAGTGGGTTCCCCGCAGCTCGTTGTGTAGGGTAGACGCTGGTGTCCCTGCATCCATGCCGTGTGCTGAGGATGTAGCGCCAGTAATTTCCATATGATCGTCATTATCCAGAGATTTGGACTTTATTTGAGACGTATACCAGCTCGTATATGTTTGATCTTTATAGCTTCGACTTTGAGGGTTGACCTGACTTTGCACTTGCCCATCGCCTCCAAACATCAGCACTTTTTGGGACTGCCCTTCATCCACTACCCTAAAACTATCCCATGGCAAAAGGCGTCCAGCTTTAACACTTTCAACCACCCATGCAGGCTTCACAATGCGATATTTGCGAAACTCCTCTCGCTTCTTTGGAGTCAGAGTGCTTGCAATTATATGAGTGGCGGATGTTTTCCCGTCCAGATACTGAAGAAACCCTCCTCCATGGCTCACGATCAAGTGATGAAGATCTTTCAGAGAAGGTTGTGTGTAACCGTTGACGTGCGCTACCACCCCGCGGAATATAGGTGGGTTTTGCGGCGATGAGGCACGGAGTTCCGCGTCAAGGTTCTGAAGTTTGAGCTTCTTCCGTCGGAAATAGTCGCCAAACCCCCCAAAACTTGACCCCTGATATTCCTCCCCATCTTCATTGTCAAATACATCTATGGAAAACTGATTAGCGGAAGGGAATGAAAGGTCGCCTGTAGAGAGAACGGTATTACTCACGGTTCTCGATTCGCTTCCGCACGGCATTAGAACCTGATTCGAGTCTAGAGCCCATAGTGGGGCATGTGAGAGGACAACAGCATATCCAGCAGCACTATTCAGCACAATGTGCACAGTCCAAGGGATGCGACAAGCCTGCAGTTGGAAATCATCCATCCGGCAGAGGCAAGCAGTTCCAAGTTTGTTAGAACGACACGCAGGCGCGTTGTTGGAGGGTGTGTGGCGAAGTGAGGCGTGATCACGTGTATTTAATTAATCAGCGCTCACCGTCGCGCAGTTTTAACGCTTCAAGCGGGCGCATAAAACCAATAAGCGCATGGTTTGAATGGGTCCAGATTTGAGCCTAACCTGAAATTAACCTAGCGTCAAAAATACCCTACTCTATAGATTCTGTAGCTTATCATTGGCTTGAAATTTTGTCGCAGAAACTTTAATAAATTTGCTGCTGTTGACTTTTTATTTTTATTTTTATTTTTTTTGCCCTTTGAAATCCCGTGTTGGTCTCTCCCGCACAACAACCAACTACGTTCTTCACTCCTGGTCTCATTCCTCTTTCGAGCTGTGGCCATAGAGTTTTTTCCTGGTTTCTGACAGCTTTGATTTTCCTTCCTGCCTCTCCGTCAAGTTCAACATGTCTTCAACTCACCCTGTTGCGCTTTATGCTGTGAAAGTGCCGCCGGGCGGTATCTTGATCCCTGCTGGAGCGGATGCCTCTGCTATGGTATGTATTGCTGGGTCATTGATGCTTGCACATAACATTTAAGCCTCTATTCAAGTCTTACTTATCAAATAATGTCTCTTTCATTAGTTTCGCGTCACCATGGCCGCCATCGACCCCGATTCTCAACCTGAGTTTGATGCAGAAACAGAGGGCAAGACACCACGCGCTACATTGAAGATCGTCCGCCCACCTCCAGGAATGGATCTCGAAGATGATTCTGACGATGAGGATTATGATGGCGAGGATGGCGACGAGGATGATGATATGGAAGATTCAGAGGATGAGTCTAACGGAGGGCCCAGTGACCCTGCCAAGTTGAAGAAAGCTAGAGAGGCGGCTGCATTGAAAGATCTTCTTGATCAATCCGATGATGACGATTCGGATGGAGAAGATTTTGACCTCAAGGCGGCCATTTCTAAGTTAATCAAGGGTAAAGATAAGGCCACTGGGGATGATGATGTCGACAGTGACATTTCTGAGGGACTGGAAATGGAGGAGGTCGTTGTTTGCACACTTGATCCTACAAAGGTTGTTCGCGATTCACTCAAACCTCCATTTTCTTGTTTATTGATGAACTAACGCCATACGTCCATTTTGTAGAACTGCCAACAACCCCTCGATTTCGTCGTTGGCGAACACGAGCGCATCTTCTTCAAGGTCACCGGTACCCACTCTGTTTACATTACTGGTAACTATGTCATGCCCTCTCATGAGCATGGAGATATGGACGACAGTAGCGACGACGAGGATGATTACGGCGGATATGATCTGAGCCCTGACGAAGATGAATTGGATCTCATGGACGAGGACGATGAGAGCGATGAGCTTGATGATATGGATGACCCTCGTATCACTGAGATTGACACTGATGAAGAGGAAGCTGAAAAGGCTGCCGCCAAGAAGGACAAGAAGAAGGGCAAGAAGCGCCCCGCAGAAGATTCCGATGATGAAGGTGCTAACTTGGACGACCTCATGTCGAAAGCACTCAAGTCGGGACCCGAGACCACTACTAACGGCGAGCCAAAACTTAGCAAGAAGCAGCAGAAGAAGCTGAAGAAAAACAATGGCGAGGCCGTGGAGATCCCAGTGAAGACATCAGAACCGGCCAAGTCTGACAAAAAAGTTCAATTTGCCAAAAATCTTGAGCAGGGCCCTACCCCTTCCCCTCCAAAGAAGGATGATGAGAAAAAAGATGGCGATAAGAAGGCGCCTTCGGCCGGCACTCTCGGCGTCAAGGAGGTCCAAGGAGTCAAACTGGATGACAAGAAGCTTGGATCTGGTCGTGTAGCGAAGAAGGGAGATCGTGTATCCATGCGATATATCGGAAAACTTGAAAATGGCAAAGTTTTTGATGGTGAGTTTGGCCCCTTCACTTTCCATACTATTGGATAACTATTTTGAGACTTATAACTAACAGTCGGCTCATATAGCAAACAAAAAGGGGCCACCATTCTCATTCAAGCTTGGTAGCGGAGAAGTAATCAAGGGCTGGGACATTGGAATCCCCGGCATGGCAGTTGGAGGTGAACGAAGAGTGACAATTCCATCACATCTTGCATACGGCAAGAAAGCGCTCCCAGGAATCCCAGCCAACTCGAAACTGATTTTCGATGTCAAACTTCTTGACATTAAATAGACAGAGGGAGAGTCACCGTGCTTGTTTCCCTTAGTATTCTCTCCCTTTTCTGATTGCTTTGTATCTACCATCTGTCCAAAAAGCTTCCTCTTCATCATTCAGCCTAGTTGTTCATCGGACAGGCCACATTTTGTTATATTGCTGCGCTTTTTTTGTTCCTCGACCTTTTTCCTCTGGGATTTTTTTCTCCTTTTTTCCTATTGTCTTCCTTGCTTTGAGACCTTTAATGTTCTGATAGTGCAATTTCCGCTGACTCCTGAGGTCAAAGTACCTTAGATAACTTGTACATTGCGCTGGGCATTTATCAGGAATGATTAGATCATAACGGAGTTGGCAAAGGAACTGGGTATTGTATGTGCTACTTTTAAATTGCTTGATTTTCTTTGCTTTTTCTTTTCTTATTTTAACTCGAAATTTCATGAAATTCCATTTCCCTTTGGCATACATAACTGGAAACTTGATCAATTCATGCATGCATTTATAGTGCACGGTGCTCGTCGCTGTATCTTGTAGATATGTGATTCGATATTACCACTGGGGTATATTTAGTAAGTGCTTCTGTGCTTCTACATCAACGTCCATACACTCGCCTAGCAGACATTTTTTCGGGATTTTTGCAGAAAAGAGAGCTCCCACGTGACGACTAGTTCCATTTTGAGCCTCCACGCTTCTCCTCCCCCTTTTGTTTGTGACGTTGAACGAATATCACAAATATAATATTTTGCAACACTCCCCGCCATGTCTTTATATCTGACCTAGCATCAAGCTCTGACTAGAGCTCACGGCCTCTATTTTCACCCTTGGCTCCCGTAATAGATATTTTGATATGATTTCCAACATTCCCCGGAGGCCTGATGGCTACTCTCAGATTAGGAAAGCCTTCTCCGGCTAGAAGGCCATTCTTAGACAAATGCGAGATGTGGTTGAAATCACTTCCAGGTTAACACAGTCAGAGCCATCATGGAGTCTGCTCTGGTTAAGCCCAACTTGATCGATACGGCTGGTTTCGAGAGCTGGACAAGCAGGATGCAGGCATCGATTCTGCTGTTCTCTTCGCTGTTGCGGTTACTATCAATATTAAACGAGTCACTCCATGATACCGATTATGAGGTACAGAATCCACCGTTGGCCTCCCAGAGACCACACCCAAGGAGGATAGGAGATCATATCATGTTACTGCGGTGAAAGAGCTACAATCCATGTCGGCCACCGATGTAAATCTCCCACCGGTCAACTTGGCAGCCCCTCATGAGGTTGATATAGGGATCGAACTTCCCAAAACCTCCTACAGTTGACTGATTGCGTGTGGCCCAAGAAATGTTTAAGATGCATGTCTTTACCGAAATTCAGCAACTGAAAGCCAATTCTGCGGCTATGGCTTTTGTCATTTGAGCAATAAATGGATTCTGCTGTCAGAGTTGGTCATATTATCCATATGCACATGGATATATCGACAATTCGACGGACAACCTGGAAATGACGCTCCTTCCTCATTACTGTGTCATATATCTGGGTTGTGCCCGCCCAGGATATCTACGTTTTCTGCAGGAAGGCACACGTTCGAGTAACTGTTGGAGATATCTGTGTATCATGGATCGTTCCTACCTATCCCGAACGTGGTATCACTTCCAATTACGAGAGGCAACGTACATTCCACGCGACCGTCCTTCTCTTATATGATACACCATTAGTGACTTCAGGCTATCTGACTTTTACCAACGCTTTAGCTCTACTTGACATTCTTACCGCTTTATCGAGACTATAGTCGTTATTATACATACTTGTTCTTTTACTATTCAATCGTTGAAGTACAAAATTAGAGGCACTCGGTTTCCCCATTCTCGCCTCACTAACACTCGTTCACGAATGAAGGGCTGTGGAATTTCACACGGATTATGACGCCGGGACAAAAGCGGAAGATACGAACGTCCAGAAGTTTTTTCGGTCTTCTGGCGTCGAATAAGGTCATCATACTCGACGGTGATACACAAGCAGTGCGTAGTGATTCCCCAGCATCAACACCCGATAGCATCCTCGCGAATCCTAGCGGCAAGGCAAAAGTGAAGGCATTTCTCAAAAGAAAAAGCTCGAGTCTGTTATCTATGCTGAAGACTCGAGGTAGCGGAGGTACTAATCTACATCCTATCCAATATCCTTTTTTCAATTTCTTTCACGCCACTGACAGCGAGTTAGATCGCAGGGACTTTCGATCCCCCACGAGACGAGGCTTTTGTCAGAACAGCCCAAGTCGCCCAGGATTAGATCCCATCATTTTAGCTGAAACCACTACGGCTGATGAACCTGGATCAGCCCAAATAACCTCCGGCGAATTGGAGACAAATAGCTCAGCTACGACATCGATGCGTGAAGGACCTACTAGAGCGTTTTCGCAATTAGCAGCAATATCTCCGTTTGTTGCCCGAGAGGAATTTCGCCCCTATCAAGAAAATAACCTGGATACTGCACAGACTGTTGATTATACAGGAACTAATGGCAGGCATCCGGTATTCGGGGTTCGCCGGAGCCACTCCACATCTGGACTCTCACATCTGATATCTCACAAATTCTCAATGCCTTTTGGCCAACCGACAGTAGTTCATCGTGCCAATCTACGGTCAAGGCCCGGGATACCTAGTATCTCTGGCGCGTTTTCCCTCCCCCCTTCCAATGCTGCTGGGGCTGGCAACCCAGGGCATGAAGAGCAAAATGACTCTGATCCTTCCACCGCCACCCAAAGTGGGAGCGGCTCATCCCCCTTTAGCCAGTCAACAAGTCCAACATCTGATGGTTCACCTATTTCACTACAGTTTACGAAACTAGCACGCTCAGAGGCAAATAACCAAGCACAGGATAAAGCTGTTATGGTCTCTACTAGTTTTGACAAGAAATCACGCCGGACTGATCAGGTACCTCCTGTTGTTCCTTCCATTTTAACAGTCGAAGCTACTGCAACAGCAAAAATATTTTTTGAAACGCATTTCAATGCCATTTTTTCGGACGAAACACCACGCGCTAAACGACACCGCGAATTGGAAGAAAGATTATACTCGTTGCCACTAACTTTAGAAGAGCGAGCAAAAGCCAGACAGGCATGGAATCGGCAGGAATCTGAGTACTTACGCCAGGAGCGTGTCCTCAAAACTCGTTCCAACTTTCTAAGAAACGGAGAGAGTGTCTCTATCGCTGGCTATGAAGTCATTAAAGTCCTCGGGAAGGGTAGTTTCGGGGTCGTACGCCTTGTTAAGGAAAAGAATACTGAAGAACATCAGACCGCAGCAACAGAGGCCAATAAATCACCCGCCAGGAGTGACTTAAGTTATATCAAAGCTAGTACGATAGACGCGTTGAGATCTGCAGTGGACGGAAGAGCCTCACGTCGAAGAGATATAAGCAAAATGAAAAAAGAAGTGTACGCAATGAAAGTCATTCGCAAATCCGAAATGTTGCGGAACTGTCAAGAGGGACATCTTCGCGCTGAGAGGGATTTCCTGGTTGCCTCCGAAAAATCAAGATGGATTGTGCCACTTATTGCGAGCTTCCAGGACGTGAATAACCTGTATCTTGTGATGGATTATATGATTGGGGGAGACTTCCTGGGACTCCTGATTCGAAAAAATATCCTCTCTGAGGATGTCACTAGATGGTATGTGGCGGAGATGGTTCTCTGTATCGAGGAAGCCCACAGACTCCGATGGATACATAGAGACGTGAAACCGGATAATTTTCTTATATCCGCGTCAGGGCATCTGAAGATTTCAGACTTTGGTCTTGCTTTCGATGGCCATTGGTCCCATGACCAGTCATACTTCAACAATCACAGGCATTCTTTGCTTAAAAAACTGGGTATTCATGTTGAAGGTGATTTTCAGGATCGGGAGGAAGTTGCTAAAGCTGCGGAACGTCAGAATGAGAAGGATCGGAAAAGGTCATCTGCAAATTCTGGAGCAAGCGAAGATCGCCATCCCGAAATTTGGGGCCCTGGTCCGAACGATGACATCCTGCGCTGGAGGAACAGAAAGGAAAAGAGAAAGCTTGCTAGAAGCGTAGTGGGTACGAGTCAATATATGGCACCCGAAGTTATACGCGGCGATCTATATGATGGGCGCTGTGACTGGTGGAGCGTTGGCGTGATTCTCTATGAGGTAATTAGCTTCCTGTCACTTTCCTTGAAGTTGTGCTAACTACCCTAGTGTCTGTATGGGTTCACCCCGTTTGCGGCAGAAACCCGCCATGACACCAAAGTTAAGATATTGGTACGTTTAGGCGAATGTTTCAATTTTGGAACAAGATTCTAACTTGTCATAGAAACACGCGGAAACACTATACTTTCCACATGACAAACCTTCTGACAGGCTAATTTCGGCCGAAGCAATCGACCTGATTGGACAAATGCTTCAGGAAAAGGAATACCGCCTTTGCTCGAAAAAATATATGCTCAACGACTATGTGCATTCAAAAAAACTTCCTGGTGGGCTCCTCAATCGGCCATCGAATAAACAGAGTACAAATTACCAGGGGTACTATGTTTATCCGGACGATGCGGGTGATATTAAGGACCATCCTTTTTTCAAAGGTATTAGATGGGAAGAACTTCATTCTCGTAAACCCCCGTTTGTTCCAAAAGTGAAGAGCTGGGAAGATACAAAATATTTTGAAGACGAAGATCCGATTAGCGATATGGAGGATGGGTCGAGTCATGGGGATACCTGCCCTGAAAACGAGGCCCCTAATCCGGTAGCCAATAACTTAGATTCAAGTCACACGGTTCAAGTGATGGATATCGGAGCCCAAACTGATGGCCCTCAAGCTGCAAGCATGAAGGAAGTATTGAAACAGAACGGAAAACCGGAGCCAGAGGCTGCACAAGAAAAATGGCAGAAGAAAAGGAAAGAGAAGAAGAGACCCAGAGACAAGATTTTGCGCGACGAAATAATTGGACGACAGGCGCTCAATCTGAGGAAGCGGGGAGCCTTTCTGGGGTATACATACCGACGGCCGAAAGATTTTTTACTCGGATTTGAGACCGATCGTGGGAGATCTTTGATCGGCCTTGGAGAGAGTTGAACTGAGATAGGGCAGCCCTTTGGTCTTCGTGCGAAACCAGCATGAGCTATTCCTCCACCGTCGCTTGCTGAACGTTTTTCATTACTATATTGCCATGAGTTTCTCTTGTCTCGTTTCACAGAGTCCTGGTTTGTTAACCCTGCTTAATGCGAGTCCTTTCTGTTTGACTGTCACTCGTTCGACCAAACCACTTGGTCCTCTCATTATTCATCCCCGCTGCTCCTTATCAAGGAATAGGAAACAGACAAAGGTTTTATTTTTAGTTTAAATTTCGATCTTTCAGAAGTCAGTCATCCTTTCGCGGCTAATTCATTCGAAAAAGCTGTTAGAAAGGCCTCAGATTGAATTGAACACTTATTACGGGTCTGAGAGATGTTCTCATTGTCCTTGAATTCACCCTGCGCGACTGCCCCCTCTCCGCAAACTAGGGGTATGTAATTGTATATGGTAAATATGTACGTAATGTATACCCGCCCTCCTGAAAACTAAAAATGAAAACTAAAAATAAAACTAAAAGAATGCCAAATTGCCTCTCCTACTTGTGAACCCCTGGAAAATTAATGTCCAACCTTCATTCGTAAAC